TTGGACCTTGCCTCTCGTGGTGAGCGGTCTGCGGCTGACGCCTCTGCCTCGCCCAACTTGATGTCCCTGAGGAACTGATTGGTGAGAGCGCTCATGACTTCCTTGTCGACTTCTACAGGCATTGCCTCTACAGTAGCCTTCGAGGATTTACGGGGTCTCCAGATCGGACCCGTATAGACATTTCCATCCGGTCCAATCACTGGACAGGGGAGGATCTCTGCACTATTTGCACCGTAGGAGAAGGCTGAGTCCTCTTCCCCGTACATGGAGTTATCGTGGCTCTGCTGGATCATGTGAATGGACATGGCTTCCTGCTGACCTTCAGCCAAGGCATCTCTGATCGTCTGAGCACGAGACCCATCAGAAGGATGCGCATGGATAGGCTTCTTGGAGTCGGGCCTATTGGGGACCACCCAGAACCACCATCCTTGCTCTTTGCACTGATCCTTGCACTGCCAGATAATCTTCTTATCGGCAAAGCCTTGAGCTACCGGGCAGTTGCGACTGACGTGTCCTGGCTCTTTGCAGAAGTTGCATGCGTTGGCCCTAGACATGAAAGGTGCTTGCGAGCTTACAAAAGCTTGCTTTTGATTGGGGTAGCCTTGACCGCCCAAGCCTGAAGCTTGGTATCCGCCAAAGGGCTTCTTCCCTGGGTCGAGAGGCTTGGGCAAGAAGGATCTCAGTCCGGGGACTAGGCCTTCGAGCTGAGCAACTACGGTCCTGTAGTCCGGCTGTTCTCGCCACTGTCGAGGGTGACCCGACCTGATCTTGTTGGCTTGATCGAGCAAGCCTTGCAGCTGGCTCAGATCGACCGAGTTTGCGGCAGCATGGGTCACCATGGCATCCACTCTCTGGCCATCCCAAACGGGGCTGTCGTCATCAAAGAAGCTGGCCATGTTCAAGCACAGGGACTCGACGGTCACTGCTGATGCCTTTCGGACAGTGAACTTATTCGCACCCGGCAAGTAAGGTCCATAGACCGATGCCTGGTGGCTGTTCTTGGCTTCCAGCATGCTGCGCAGAGCAGTGTACTGGCCTTGTTTCTCGTGCCACTCGAACTGGTCAACGATGCTAGCAGCGCTGGCCCTCAACTGGCTCATCTTTGTTACCAAGTCGTCGATCTCACTAGTCGACACTGGCTTCTTGGGAACGGCTACCCGAATCGGGCGGTCCCTCTCCTCTTCCTCATTCTTCTTCTCTTTGCGGGAAGTACTCCACCTGTCCTTTTCCGCTTCCGCCAATGCAGCGAGATCGGTAGCTTTAGGCATAGTGGGGTTGAGGCGCTCTGCGACGAGTCGCTCAGTGACATTCCCTGGCCGAAGGTACTTGGCCATCTGAGCCATCACCCTCCTTTGCGGCGGGTAGCCACCTTCCTCAAAGTCGACGCCGTTGGCTGTCTGTTGAGGTTTGATGTCTTGGAGCAGTCGCTGCTGCCAGAACACATGGATGCCGATGAAGAAGGCCTGATTAATGGTGTAATCAAGCCCAAGCACCTTGGCTTGCGGATCAAGTCGCGATTGAGCGCTGGCGAACGCCTCTGTGTACTTGACCCAGTCCTCCTGCTGCTCAATCTTCTCAGCTGAGAACTTGATGGCTATCTCGTACAGCTGCTGAGGCTGTACTGGCTCTTTGGATCTGTCCGGGTAGTACTCGGTCAGGAAGTCCTTGACTTTGAGCCAGTCTGCTAGGCTGATGCCATGCACCGCCAACAGACCTTGGATCGCCTTTTTCTTTTCGACTGGGATGTACTCCAGCCATTTCTCGGTCTTCTTGTCCTCTGAGAGTCCAGTCTCGTCGAACTGCCCATCCATCCAGGAGAGCTGCTCGGACAGGGTGGAATTGAGACCATCCCACATCCTCGCATTGTGCGAGTGCGGAATAGGCATCTTTCCCTTCTTGATAGCCACGGTGGCATGAGGGGTCTTTTCAGAGGAAACGTTTCTGTTGACCGTAAGGATGAACTTGTTCTTCTCTGATTCTGGGAGGGTATTGCCTAATTGTTCCATATAGGTACGGTCGGCCTGTGAGATATCCGCACTGAAATGCATCTCGTTTCCCGGCATCTTTGCGTATTTCAGCAATATAGGTTTTTGGCCTAGGGCACTTTGGTATTGGGTATAAGGCGAAAGTAGAAGGTGAAGAGTCGGAAGTAAGGAGGGGGAGAGATAGAGAAGGGAGTAGAGTAGAGTGTCAAAGAGATATGTGAGTGAGGTGGTTGGGGCAAGCCCTCAGGGAAGCGGAATAAAAAAAGGAAAGCGGCCCGAGAATAGCCGAAGGGCGAAAATTGCCGAAAGCGGAAATTTCCCCTCCCAACATCCCCAGTACACCACCACCTCGACGACGACCATGACCCCGGCGCTGACGATCACAAGGGGGGTGAAGAAAGTGGACAGAAGAGTAGGGGATCCCAGACCAGCTCCATGCAAAGTCTACCCACAATGTCCGCCAAGTCCCGACTTTCCACCCAATCTGCCTTGCCCCCAGCTGACCCGCTGAACCACCGCCGCCATATGAGAACTGGTACTGCCCATCCTTCCTGGACAACACCCCACTCCACCTAGCCCACGACCGCCGAGCATAGATGGCCGAAACAAAGAGACAACTTACACACTGGCAGTCTGAATCTCTCCATTCCCTTCCGCGCTCCTTGAACCATCTCAAAACCTTCCTCCTCGATCGCGCCGACGCTCCCTTTTCCGCCATATCCTTTCCAACCCTTCCACCGCGGCTATGCAAGCCGCAAAACGTCCGTAGTCCCCAGAGTGGATTCCAGTTGTGGTGAAAAAGGGTGGAAGCCGGGTGATGGCTAGCGAAAGAGAGGAGATCGAGGTGAACCAGGGAGGACTGGCGCACAGGAGAGGGGTATGAGAGGGATACGAGGAGTGTGCCGAGCCGTATAGATGTCGATGGGAGTAGCACCGAGTGTCGAATGGCCAAGCTGCAGGTGAGACAGAGCAAGAGCTACATGAACATGTATGTGGCTAGTGCTATGTACGGTGATTGACGATCTATCCAACGCTTAGCCATCCATGGCTCTCGTCAGCCTCGCCTGTGTGCTGTGCACGGACCTCCTCATTCCTCGTTGTGTGGCGGAATTGTATCAAGCCTGCGCTTTCCCCACAACGTGCCAACGTAAGGCTGTCGCTTTGTACGTTGCGATGCTGGCTCTGGAGAGAAGCCGATACAGCGTGGAGATGACTGCATCAGCGTCCCGCGGGATGACAAGAAGGAAGCACGAGCACTACAGCGATGAGAGCCATGGGGGCAGGGTGAGCATGCGCAAGCGGAGGCTGTATGGACCTGGGGGCCATTGCGTGAAGGAGTAGGCAGTAGTATCACGATGCATGGATCTCGAGTGATCACCTTCGTACAGCCCTTGAGGCGCCTCTGCGAGCTGCGCAATCTATGCTGTATGTGGACGTGGCGTGCGCCGCTGTGACGACGCGGCGTGGACGGCGCAACTAGAAGTCCGCTGCCGCTTAGGACCTGTCGGATCGTATATAACGCTAACCTGGATTCTGCTACGCGATTGTCAGCAATGCACTCGTCATCTCCTTCATCCAGGGAGTAGAAGACTCACTCATCACCGGGATGGTCTATACTTCGGATGCGCCTGAGACCGGCGGAGCCACATCCACTCCTTCTTCTTCGATAGACGGCGGCTCATCCTCGAACGCATCGGGCGGTATTCTGCCTTGTCTGAGTCATCAGCACCACCTATGACCGGCAAGACCGATACGATCTACAATCTCCAGGATGAATGAGGGTGGAATTGTTGGGCAAGACAGACATACAGCTCTGTTACGGATCCCTTGAGGATGTATACAAATGGTGATGATCCAACTGGAGGCGGTCTTGTCTGATATGCAACTGTAAAGTATCAGCTATCGGTGTACTCGGCTTAGACCGGAGGCTGTTAGAAAGTCGACAGAGGTGGGCCACGAGACATACCGGTCGACTTGCACCGACTACAGACGAGCTGTTGACGCAGCTCCATTTCGCCCGAGCCTTTCCTACAATGATCAGCTCAGTCTACCAGTCTCTTCGATCGGGCATTCGCGAGCTGTCACAGTATCTCCATGCGGCATGAGGATCAGACTGACGTACCTCTTCATGATAATGCGTTGTCCAGGCAGGGCGTTCAACTTGAACTTCCTCGCTGCGACTTTGCCATCCGAGCTAGGCTGCGACCGAATGATGTAGGCATTATCTGACCTAGCAAAAATCAGCTACGGCTCTGTACATATACAACCAGTCATGCCAGCTCACTTGCGCTGTGGCAGACGATCCAGCTTGCCCTGCATGACCAGCACAAAGTCCCCGCAGAGACAGTAATAAGACCGGAGGATGGCTTTGGCGGACGCCGTGAGTCTGGCCTGTTCATCGGACGCTACAGTCCCGCGGGAGATTACTTTAGGCATTTTATAGCGTCTTTGTAGGCTGAGGGCGAATTCCCGACGTCAGTAAGTGTGAGGTACAATGCGAAAAGCTCGGTAAGAATGCCAAAGCAACAAGTGGTGATGGATTCGACGCACGGACCTGCCATTTGTCACAGCCAAGCAGCGAGGCTAGGAACGCGACGGCGAAGCCTTAAGCTTCCCTCAACCATACCTCGTCCTCCATCAAAGCTGTTACCTACAACACAGCCATGGACATGTCCATCCTCATCTCTGTCCCTGCTGGCCGATGCCACCGTCGCTCGCCCGATTCGAAATGGGTTGATCCTGCGCCCGAGAAGGGGTCGATCGAGATGAAGTTTGAGGATGATCTGATGCACCTCTGTAAGCTGGCCGAAGAGAACCTGCCGGGCGGAGGTTGTAAGCTGACGTGGTAGGGTGGAAAAGCAAGAGCACAGGATCTATCGAAGATGTACGTCCCCTGATTACCTGGTGTGACTGACGAGGGGCAAGCGAAGCTTACATGGGTAGGAATTGATCGTCTTCCCTGGAGAAGCTACCTTTGAACAGGTCAAGCAGGTATGTTACCTTCCTCACGCCTTAGGAGGTTTCTATACTACTGAGTCTCGATCTCCCGAGCATGATTACTCAACCGTCGCGACTTCTGCTGATCATCTTGAAGGATCCTACTGGCCGAACGCACATCCTCAAGTTCTCCAGCTCTGACCAGAACTACTTCGTAGGTCTACTTTCCCAACCTAACGCGCGCCCATGCTCCCGATGTGGTCATAGCTGACAGTCTAGTTCTGGTTCCAGAGGGCCAACAAGTCGACCGACCTCCGCGCTCAGGTCGACCTGAATGCGTTCCTCCAGGATCCGTCGTACCGGTAAGTCCCTCACATACTCAGCTGAATTGAGCGGTTCTGCTTTGACCACAGCTGACATGACAGTGTTGGCTCTGCTCCTCTCCCCGCTGTTGCCGCTGCGATCCCTAGCACCCCTATGCCCAGCTCTTCCTCCGGCTCAAGCGGACCTTCTGCCCCCGGCGCCCCCGCTCGGTCAGCCGCAGGAGCCGCCTCCCTCGAACCCGCCGCAACCCCCTCCGCCCCTTCTGCCGGTACCGGCGCCGCCGCCTCTTCCTCCTCCCTCTCGACCCAAGAAGAGATGGCCCGCCTCCTCGTCCAATGGGCCCAAAGCGGCGGTATCTCCTCCCCCTCCGGAGCGGCCGCAGACGACGCCGCGCGCCTCACGGACGTTCTGTCCCCGGCCAACATTACCGCCCTCGTCCGGTCGGACCCTTCCATCGGCGCCCGGCTCAAACCGCTTCTCCCTCCCGCACTGGGTCTGTCTGAGAATCCCACAGCGGAGGACCTCATCCCGGTATTGACGGCTCCGCAGATCACGGATGCGGTAGCGAGTCTGGATAACGCCTTGAGGAGCGGTGGGCTTCCGGGCGGGATGATGCGGGATCTGGGGTTGCCGGAGGGGGCGGGGACGAGCGTGAAGGCGTTCTTGGACGCGCTGGCGGGTTTGAAGAAGGGAGATGCGGCATCAGAGGATAGGATGGAGACGGACGAATAAGGCCGTAAGGAGAGGATACACTTTGTCTACATCGTGTATATGCAGAGAGAAGACATGCCGAAGGCTAGCCACCCCTGCATGAGGTCCTCCTAGTCGTGCATCCATTCCCTACTCCATGGAAAAATAGGGAGGCAAAAGAAAGGGGCAGCACCGAAAAGATCTCTCCATTTCGTCGACTCCCTTACCTTCTCGGAGCTGTGGAGGCCTGGAGTTGAGACTGATGTTCTCCCAGACCTCTCCTCACCTCTCCGATCCAGCGGAGTCAGCAGCCGCAGCGCAGCGGCAGCATACCGCCGCTTGCATGCATCATCGTCGGTGATCTGGAAATGCCGTAAAGCCGACGACGAAGCAACGGTGGACGGCCTGCAAGCATCGGCCCTCGCTTTAATCTTACTATCCGTCACCGAGCTATAGAGTATAGCATCTCCTCTCATCCCATCACACTCGCACATATCGCCATTCGCCCTGATAGCGACTAGCGATTCCTGCGACCGTTTGACCCAGAGACAAAGTGCGACCTCAAACCTTTACACCACTGGCCTCTCGCCTCATCTTGCGATCTACTCGTTTACCCATCTCCAAAGCTCTAATCACTCCTCTTGCGTACAGATCTTTTTCTTCTTCGATCGTTGCCAAGATGCCTCCTATTCCCGTGAAAGAGGCCAAGGAAGCCGGCGAGTAGTAAGTATCTCCCCCCCGCCCTGGGGAGCTGCTGAGTAAGCTGAAGTCGGGGCTGACGATTCAGTGACTACTTTGTCATCGGTGGTGGTTCCGGCGGTCTCGCGTCCGCTCGTCGGGCGGGCCAGTACGGTGCAAAAGTCGGTATTGTGGAGGGGACTTACAGGCTCGGAGGAACCTGCGTGAACGTCGGTTGTGTGCCAAAGAGTGAGTCCGGACAGCCTCACGCCTAACCCTCACCTACATCCTGCTGAGCTCTGAGCTTTGGTGTCGTCTTGATGTACCCACGAGGCCGATCAGTTGCTGATATACAGAAATCATGTGGTACACCGCCGACATTGCCGACAACATCCGTAAATCCGTTGCGTACGGCTTCGGTGACTCTGCGACGGCCGACAAGATGGTGTCCAAGTTTGACTGGACGACGCTCAAGCACAAGCGAGATGCGTACATCAAGCGCCTGAACGGGATCTAGTAAGTTTTTACCGTCTCGCCTTGCTCTGCCTCCCTGCTCCTATCTACTCGAATCTGGGCGAAGCCCGGCCCCTCGGCTTTGGCTCCACGCTCCGCGTCCTATCTCTGATCCCGACTTCGCTGAGGCTGGCTACTATCGCTTCGCTACACATCGCTGACCCCGCAGTGAGAAGAACCTCATCAACGACAAGGTCGACTACCACGAGGGCTGGGCCAAGTTCCTCTCTCCCAACGAAATCGAGATCACCAGCCGGGATGGTTCCGAGTCCTACAAGGTCAAATCCAAAATCTTCAATATCGCCGTCGGTGGCCGGCCCACTATTCCTTCCAACGATGACATCCCGGGCGCAGAGTACGGTATCGACTCGGATGGATTCTTTGATATCGAGGAACAGCCCAAGACGGTCGTCGTGGTGGGGGCGGGGTACATTGCCGTTGAGCTGGCGGGTGTCTTTAACACACTGGGGACGGAGACGCACTTGGTCATTCGGCATGATAAGGTCCTGAGGACTTTTGACCCGATGCTCCAGGACGTGCTTGGACCATACATGGGTGAGCTGCCTTTTCCGGGTGTTCTGCCATGTGGGGAGGTGTTATGCAATGTGGGGATAAAGCTGATAAGGCAGAGAAAACAGGGATGAACGTCCACAAATCCTCCAACGTCAAGAAGGTCGAAAAGCTCCCTAACGGCCGTCTGTCAGTGACGATCGACTCGGCCGACAAGCCCGTCGAGGCTGACGTCCTCCTCTGGGCGATCGGGAGGCACGCCAATACCGAGAAGCTCGGTCTCGACGCCGCGGGCGTCAAGACGGACAAGAAGGGCGATATCATCTTTGACGAGTACCAGGCGACCAACGTCGAGAATGTGTATGTGGTGGGTGATGTCGGAGGCAAGGAGCTCTTGACGCCCGTGGCGATTGCGGCGGGCAGGCGATTGAGTAACCGGCTCTTTGGGGGTCCGGAGTACAAGGACCAGAAGTTGTCTTATGATCTCATCCCGAGTGTCGTGTTCTCGTGAGTCTCACAATTTGGGGGAGCGGTTCCTGGCTGACAGGTAGGCACCCCACAATCGGATCGGTCGGTATGACCGAGCCTGAAGCGCGGACGAAGCACGGCGACGACAATATCAAGGTGTACACCACTTCTGTGAGTTGATTCGGAATCCGACCCTTTTGGCACGTCCAGCTGACGCCCCAGTTCAAAGCCATGTCCTTCGCGATGCTGGATGAGGAGCACAAGCAGCCCACCTCGTACAAGCTTATCTGCGCGGGCAAGGAAGAAAAGGTGGTCGGTCTCCACATTATCGGCGAGGGATCAGACGAGATGCTCCAGGGATGTGAGTTGCCTTTTTCCTGTTTGATGCTATGTCCTGCGCCCCGGCGCTGAAGAGTAAAACTGACATTTCAGTCGCTGTTGCCATCAAGATGGGCGCAACCAAGAAGGACTTTGACGATACCGTTGCCATCCGTAAGCCGGGCCACATTGCACCCGAAGCGCGCACGAAGAAGCTGACATGTCCAGACCCCACTTCTGCTGAGGAGCTCGTTACTCTGCGTTAGATACTGTAGATTGTCGGCGGTGCTTGCGGAGATGCAAATTGTGATGTTGTCCTTTAGTTCGTTCCCACCTGGATGATCTCCCCCCTATGCTGCTCGTACTCATCTACCTGATTGGCCTTCATCTAGCTGTATCATGCCAAATCTACTATCTCGTGTATACAAAATTGAACAAGGTATCTATGCCTATACTCCGGGTATCACTTCATCCAAGATCACCTCGTCCCGCAATCCCTGCTTCCAAATCTCCATGCCGAACCCTGTACAACCATCTATCGTCCGCGCCTTCCTCCCCTTTTCCCGACCTCTATCCTCCTCCAATATATCGTGACCCCCCTTCCACCTCAGACTCCCTTCCCCATTACCGCCGCGTCCAGAACTGCTGCGGACCATACGAGAACATCTGGCTCATATGCAGATCCATCGCCGTCGGCGCATACCCGCCCGGTAAAGGGGGATACGCCCCCGGATCATGCTGGCCCTGCATATTCGCTTGATACGCCTGAGACGAGCTGCCACCCGCATCATACCCGCCATTGGTGGAGTATGACGGCTGGACCTGCTGCGCCTGCATCTGCGTCTGCCACGAGTCCGGATTGTGCTGGCCTGGCGGGGGCGGTGGGGGGACAGGGTACAGATGGCTGGGCCGATCTTGCGCTTGGACGCTCGTATCGCCTCCAGCCATCCACCTGTCCGAGCTGTACATGTACCCCTGGGCCTGGGCCTGGGCTTGTGCTTGCGCCTGCGCCTGCGCGTGCTGCGCGTCCTGGCCGGACGGGGCGGGAGGGTACGTGGACGGCGCATATGCGGTGTTCTGGTCGGGCTGTTCCGAGCCCGATCCGGACGGTGGGAAGGCAGAGTACGGTTGTTCATTGTAGACCGTTGGGGGGTGTGGGGGATAGTTGGTCGTTCGGTAGGTGTTATCTTGGGGTTGCTGGAGGAGATCCGCGATCGTCCCCGGTTGATGGTGTTCCGCTCCCGAGCCGTTGTGCAGGTGGTGCTGCTCATCACGTCTGTATCCGTCTCCGTTCCCAACACCGTCCGCAGCTGACTCTACCACCATCGCGATCGCCTCGGCATCTTCCTCGGTCTCGCCTTCGCCCGAGTAGAGCGCTTGAGGGGGATACCGCGCCTCCTCGTTCTCAGCTTTGACGAGCTGCTCACTTTGTTCGCCCTCTCCCGCCGCCCCTGCCTCTCCTGGGGCGAGCCTCCGTTCCTCCGTAAGCCGGACCATCGACCCCAGGATATTACTACACGCATTGGCGATCGTCTCTCCCTGACCCGGCCCGCGCTCCAGCGCACCCATCGCCTCTGGCGGCGACAGAAACCCGAAGAGCCGGAGGGTCCGCCCGGCGCGTTTGAGGGTGTGAATCCATGCCGGCGAAAGAAGGCTGTCTGGCAGATTTCCAGATTTCTTGTGCATGGCGTGCGAGCCCGCCCAAATCTCCATGAGGATCTTGGACGAGTCGAGGGCGTACGCGATACACTCGTGGATAGGGAGTAGCTCCACCGCCTCGGTACCCGCCTCGGCCTCGGCGATAGACTCTGGGTCCTCATTGGCCGCCCGGCGCGCGAGACGGGTCTTGGCGATGACGTGCGATTGGAGGTCGCCGAGGGTCGCAATGACCTGTTGGCTGATCTCGCCCCGGTGCGTACCGTATTGCCAGATCACCATCGTTGCGAGCGAGTTGTTTTGGAGGAGTGGCATAATGTCGACGGGGACAACGGCGCGAGCCATGGCGTAGCTCGCACGCTGGAGGGGAGGGATATCCGAGGGGACGGAGGGGAGGGCGAGACGGCTGCCGGGAACGTACGAGGTCGCGATGAGGCATAGCATCCCGTGGGAGAGGACCTTGATGTGCTCGAACCGGCGACGCATAGACCGGTGGATCACGTAGCCGCGTTCCAGGTTGCCAGAGAAGGGCGTAATGATCGCTGGGTGTCAGCTTGGTAGCGGGGAGAGCAGTATTGAAGCTCACCTAGAATGGCTTCGTGTCGCTGATCACACTTGTCCATCTTTTGCGCAAAGAGAGTAAACTCGTCCGAGATTGCATCGACAGCGTTGAATTCCCCGTCCATCGCCGCAGTGTCGATGGTCTTCCTCAGCCTGTCCAGGCTATCAATCACCTCCCCCAGCCTACACAGCCGATCGAACACGCCCAACCGCCCAACCAGGCCCGCCGCGCCAATACTCTCCTGTCCATTCCGCCAAAGGTACTCGCGAGACTCTCCCAGGTACTGCGCCGCCAGTTCCCGTACCTCCGCCAGCGCTGCTGGCGCATGCGGGGCCTCGTCCTCGAGCGCCATACCCGCATCGAGGGCGGTAGTGTAAAAGTAGAGGAGGCAGTCGGGCTGATTCCAGAGATTATCACCCTCTCTTTCCGCAATCGCCTGGAAGAAGGTGGCGAACTTGACTTGGGACGAGATGAAGCGGAGAGCAGCTATTTGTCCGCGCGCGACCGTGACGATGCGAGGATCGGTGAGTTGGAGAGGGACGACACCGAGAGGGGCATGCACGCTGACGAGCTCGAGCGCCTGGAGGGTGGTGAAGCTGATGGGAGTGTGAAGGAGGACGCGATCCCGGAAGCAGGTGATGCGGGGTCGCAGGTAGGCGCGGAGCTTGGTGACTGGGAGTTCCGGGGCGAGGGGTAGGGAACTGAGGTAGATGATCATACAGAGGAGGAGTTGATCTTCGCATAATGGGGAGGCGGTGCATCTATCCCAGATGGTTTGAAAGGATTCGAGGTAGGCGTGGAAGGTTCGTAGTCGGGAGAAACTGACCATCAGCTATGAGATCTGAAGATTACATGAGAGGTAGACTCACCCATGCTCCAACCTATCCAGCATAGAGCTATCCACCAGCTTGAGCCAATCAATCTTTTCCAGCGTCATCGCCAACCGCCCATCCTTGACCATCATCTTGGAGTACGCCGTCCGTATCATGGCGCACGCGAGCTCGAGCGGGCGACTGCGGAGTGTAATGTCGCTCGCCGCCGCTGGTATATTGGCGAACGTCGCGGAGAGCGGAGAGGAGCGAAGGAAGGGGTCCGACGAGTACAGCGCCGGTTCGCCATCACCGTACTTGTACTCCAACTCTGGATGGATTGTCTGCATGACCTCCAGCGAGTGGTCGATACCCTCCCCGTTGTCTTTCCCCGCTGCCGCCTTGCCTTTACCTTTGCCCTTCGCCCGGCTCCCGGATGCCTGGGAGGCACGTAGAGCCGCGAAAGGATCATTGGGGTCCCTCTCGACATCCGTATCCGCCCTAGCACGCTTTTTGGCAGGTTTTCGACCGGCATCATCGACGACGCAAGGGAGCGCGAGGACGCGGCATCGATGACATGCCTTGTCCTCCCCTAGAGGCTCAGAGGAGGAAGGAATGTCGATGTCCGGCAGCTCGCATCGCGTTTTCCGAATCTTGCAGAGCTCGCAAGAACGCCGCGCGTGGGTACGTTTGGCGCGTGGCTCGCCGTTTGTACCCTGGGTGTGGATTTGGGCGCTCATGTCGCGCGTTGAGCAGTGGACGCCTAGACGAGGATGGGTGGGTTGGTTTAAAAAGAGGTGGAGCTTGGCGGTGGAGGAGAGGGGGATGTGAGCTCCGCCGGAGACATCGATTGCAATCAATGCCAGCGGAAAGGCGAAAAACAGCGGGTATCCGCCGAGGAATGGACGAAAGAGGTAATGTGCGGCGAGTGTGGCAGTGTGGCACCTCGTCATGACTGCGGGTCAGGTCAGTGGAGATCTGGCGCGGCGGTGCTTCACTATGTAGCACTGCGGCGGCGGCGGCGGCAGCTCAATCAGATCTACAGGGTACCAATACATGTCCAATGAGATCCAGTTCACCGCATAAGTAGATGCGTGCGTTCTAAGGCACGCTGTCGGAGGGTCCGTACGCCACAAGAAGGCACTATACCACCCGGCTGCTGAATGATTCGGCACAGCGGTCAGGATTTGCGCGTACTGTGGACATTCAGTTGCTGAGGAAGATCCGCAAGGGTTGTACTTAAAACCCCTTGGAGCCCAAAGCATGACGACCTGCCACTTGTATAGATACTTGTACCGGAAGATGAAACTGGCTGAAACGTATGGCTCGAGGGAACGCACGGATGAGAAGCGGTTATCGCCGCTGCGGTATCGCTCGGAGCTTGCTTGGCGGTCTTGCCCCCTTTGCTCGTGTGACTATCACCTTGCTTACTACCACCATCCTCTTCGAAAAACACGGTCCCCGCAACATCGCACCGCCCGTCAAACCTACAGGAGGACATACAGCGCGCAACGTACGAGTCCAAGAATGCGCAACCCGGCCGTATTGGCCCTAGTGGCCAACTTTGTCTTGCGCGCCGTTATCGCTTGGTCCGCGCCCGACCATGCTGCTCCCGCCCAGCAACCTCTCGTGGCCCCCATCATGGGAGCAGGCAGTCGGCAAAAACATGGGAATGTATCGGAGGAGCAGGTCTGGCGGCTAAACCTGGAAAGTATGGGGCAGGAGGAGCGAAATATCGCTAGGGATGTGATTGAGGTATGTCCTATTGTCTCCGCCAACGTGGACGCCTTACCGTAGCGATATGGAGTTCGCAGCTGATCTCATAGACGATGGATCTGGACATCTGGCGCTCTGCCCCATCCTCCCTCGACGTTCGCCTCCCCTCTCATCAAATATCGCACCTCCGCGCCCTTCTCCCCCCTTCGACAAACTTCACCCTCTTTATCCTCTCAGTGCAGTCCCTCATCGACTCCTCGTCCATCTCTCTGTCGGCTCATACCGCCGAAGACGAGACATGGAACGTATCCACCCTTCTCACCCCATTCCACGACCACTATCACCCCCTAGCGGACATGTACCGTTTCGCCGAGGCTCTGGTGGGCGCCTTCAACGGCAAGTCGGTTGGCGACGGAAGGCTCAGGATGGAGACGTTTGTGATTGGAAAGACGTGGGAGAAGATGGAGATGAAGGGAGTGAGGGTCAAGTGGGTGCCGGATAGTAAGAGGCCGAGCGGGACGGCCAAGCCGGATCCGTTACCTACCGAGACGGGAGAAGCTGGTGAATCGGGTTTGAAGGGAAAGAAGGGGAAAGGAAAGAAAGGGAAGAAGATAATCGAGAGGGAGCTGGTCATCCAGGCTGGGTCTCACGCTCGGGAGGTGAGTTGTCATGGCGCCATTCCTGCTGGCACATGGAGCTCATAATGCAGTGGGTCGGCCCTTCCTCCGCGATCTACTTCTTCCACTCGCTCTTGCTGGCCGGAACTGCCGACTCAGAGTCGGACGAGGCGAGCCTCCTGAAAGCCTTCACGTTCACGGTTGTCCCCACGATCAATCCGGACGGGTACGAATACTCCCGGGAACACCGGATGTGGCGTAAGAATCGACAGGATACGGGCAGTCGGACTTGTTCAGGTGAGCTTATTCATTTACCAGGTAGCCGTAGAATGGCGAAGCTGACACGCCAGGAATCGACCTAAATTCGAACTGGGGCTACAAATGGCGTAAACCCCTCAGACCCAACCCATGCTCGGATGCTTACCCCGGCGCGGATGCGTTCGAGGCGTACGAGACCAAGGCGATGGCGCGGTATCTCAAGAAAGGGGTCGAGTGGGCGGAAGAGAAGGGGGAGAAGAAGGGGCCGGAGAGGAAGGTCAGGGCGTTTATTGATTTGCACAGTTATGGGCAATTGTGTGAGTCCTCCACAACTTTGCATCTAGTCACTCTCTTTTTTCGGAGAAATCGGGCCTCGATGGGATATGCGCTGACTTGCAGTCATGTTCCCCTTTGCGCACTCGTGTGACGACTTCCCGCCCGACGCCGAGATGCTCATGGAGGCTGCGCTTGGCGTCGCCAAGGCAATAAGGGCGGACCACGGCGAGACGTACCAGACCGGTCAGGCGTGCGAGTTGACGTATCGGTGAGCTTCGGTTTACTATACCTTGACCGAGTGATCCGAGCTGAGCTGATACTTGCAGGGCCCCGGGAGACGCTATCGATTACGCGTACGGGACGGCGGACGTCAGGTGGTCATTCTCCGCCGAGCTACGGGACACCGGCACTGTAAGTCTAGCATATATGGACACGGACGGGGGAAGGTCTGGAGACGCTGAGCTGATATGATAGTATGGCTTCCTTTTGCCCCCGCATCTCATCCGGCCGGCGGCGGATGAAATCACGACGGGATTGGTACACCTCGCCAAGTTTATCTATAACGTCGAGATTGTCAATTAGGGCCGTGAAGGAGGAGATGAGGGGAGCAGGAGTGGAGTGTTTCTTCATGCTGGGCTTTGGGATGTAGAAACTGGGATGTAAGGATGACACACGCGAGCTCCATGCGAGACTATGCGAGACATGGGCATGATCGGATGCAGATCTTGGCTTCACGTTCCACATTCCTCCGTTCAGGTCTGGCAGATCTTGGGATTTCTCGATTCACACCCTTCCATGTGTACCAGGCACCTTGCTTCCGCTACTCTCGCCCAAGATACCCGTCACATAGCGCTGCGATCTTGTCTATTGTGCCGCACATATGGACTGGATCGCACACTCGGGCTCGACATGGAACGTGCCATCAAATTCCCACCCCATGTCGTGTGTGTGTGTGTATGACGACAGTCAGCACGCAAAGCTAAGTAAGCTTTGACACCTACCTTTGACCCGCTTACCCCCCGCCCGTCATACATCGGCCGTATCTATCTGCGGTATATCAAGGCTTACCCATCTCTCCGCGCATCCCGGAGATGTAGCATAGGCGGAGTACATATACTAACCACCTCTCCCCTACAACCCTCACATCTCCGCTCGGCATTCCAGCTATCTTGCACTACACACACGTCAATCCGATCGCGTATTCGGTACCCCAACCGCCGGCCTCGGACTGCACCTTTATGACGACGCCCGAGCTTAGCCATCCTTCCTCCTTTCGCAAAGACTTTCACCGTTGACGAAGGATTCTGCTTTCTGCTTTGCTTCTTCTCGGCTACGAGGAGTGGCGTCATAAGTACCCCGAAGGCGCTAGCGGTAGCCTATACATCCTGCCTACCTCTTGCGCCAATCCATCAGCTCCAACGCGCCCACCAAAACCCACTTATACGGCGGCGCACCAACCCTCTATGCCGCTCACCAAACGCCAAACGGACCCCACCCGGCTCACATCTCGCTCGACATCCACACTGCCATCTGCGGTCACTGGTCCGCCCCTCTCTTCTCGGGAGGGACCGCCGCCGGCTTTTAGGCGATGGCGGAGTCTGAGGGAGAAGCAGGATGTTGGAGAAGAGGGGATGGGGCAGGGAAGGGATGGGGAGGAGGAGGGAGTTGAGGTCGGTATAGGCGAGTCTGAAACGGCGCAGGGTATAGGCAGTACAGTGGAAGGACTAGGACGCGTTAGTGACGGGCCAGGGTGAGTTGAAAACGCCTCTTCTCGGTCTGCGAGTCATAGCTAACGAATAGACCGCCTCACCTCTCCCGCTCAACCTCGATCCCATCATCAACATATTCATCCATCTTCAAGCTCACCCGCTCCCTCTCGCTCCGCACCCACCACACCGCGGCATCTACGGACCCCCTCCTCCCTCCTCCTCTCCCTCCGCCTCGAGCCATTCCGTCAAACTCTGGCCCAAGCAAGCTGACCAAGGCGCGCCCGAGCCTCCCTCCACCTTCTTTACGCAGAGCATGGGCGTCAGCGGTTGCCCTCCCCCTCCACTCTCCTTCATACCCCTCCGAACGCCCCTCTCTGGCTCTGACTCGCACACGCCACTCAACTCCACCACAGTCGTTGTCGGCCTCTGGCTTCGACTCTGGCCATGGCGTCAGCTCTGCACGGCCCCTCTCCCGGAACGGCTCATCCAGCACCGCGACCAGCACGTCCTCATCGTCCTCTGCTATCCCTACGTCTAGCGAATCCGCCGGCCTCTCTACGCCACAATATGACCACGACCTCGACCTCGAGCCGCCCATAGCCAATCGGGGGACGTTCGGCCACACTTGGGATATCGCCAACCTCGACCTTGGACCTGATCGGCCTGATGGCTTTGGGCTCGAGCGCAGAGACAGCAGTGCGTCTCCTGACGAAGGGGACGATTTCCGGCCGCCCCGGTTCCCCCACTACGTCGGGGATGAGGATGACCGTTCAACGGAGCAAGCGCGGTCCACCAAGACGTCATCTTCGGGCAGGACAGCTATCCCTCTCTCCCGGGCGCAGGTGTCTCCGGCATTATTTGATCTGCCCCACGAGCGGGATGTCGGGTCTGAGGAGGGGAGACCAGCGGCCATTGGGGCGGAAGATACAGCGGAGTCTGTGGTGGAGAGGAGGGAGGAACGAGGAGGAAAGGAGGGGATTCCGAGACATCCGTTGATATACGACCTGGAGGAGATGTTGCGCTCCGCCGCTGGCGTTGGCGCTGGCGCCATCGCCCATATCGACGGTGGCCCAACAGGATCAACACGGACGCACCGATCAGCGAGATATCGGTCCCACTCCCGATCAGCCTCGGTCGGTACGCCGTCAGAAATGGGTCTGACGATGGACGAGGTCCTCCATCGGGGACCTTCCAGGCCTGACTCGCTCGTTTCAGATCCTCAGACGTCTTGGCAAGGCGATATCACTTCCCCGCGTGGTCCGCGTCCTCCGATACCGCATCGTCACTACCGTCCCGCGCCAGCCCCGCCACACCTCATCCCTGCTCCGCCTGTCCGAGGCCCCGGCGCCGACCTACTCGGGCCTATCGGCGGCCCGCCTGTTATCCCCGATCGGAGCACCTCGCTGGGTCAGCTCTGGCGCCGGATGAGCGGGCGGAGCGGTCGGAGTGGGAGCTCGAGCGAGGCTCTACCAAGCGGAGCCACGCTGGAGGTCGAGCCTGGACGCGAAGGGGGAAAGAAGGCGCAAAGGCCGGGAATGGTGAGGTCATTATCGAGGAAAAAGACCGCGCCGCACGGGCAGGATGTCTTGTTGCGGACACGGCGTGAGGAGGAGAAGGGTCAAATACCGCCTGTCCCTCCCCACCATGCTCAGCTGCGATCCACACCGCCCATCCCGCCAAGACGGCGCTCGTCCATCCCGCCCGAGGCGTCGATCCCTATACCGACCACACGGAGCCCTCCAGATCCCTCGACGGCAGCTACCTCGCATCTCATACCCCAGGCGCCCTCCATTCCCTCCCCACCAGCCCAAATCCCAAATCGCGCCTCGTCCCTCCCTGTCCGACCTGGCATCCTCATCCCTAATAACAGCGCCGCGCACCGCTCCAGCCTCCCCGAGTCCTTCTCTACCATCCCCGAACACCCTTCCTCCCCTTCTCCGCACGGCTCGAACACCAGCTGGCTCCCTCGGCCCCCCCTTCATTCGGGGGTAGAAACAGGCTCAGAGCGAAAGCGAAGGTTTCGGCGGACGTTGGTGGAAGTTGTGGATGATGTGCAGTTTCAGCGATTGTTGCAGGATGGGGATAGGATGGGGACGCTCGAATCACCGGCATCTGGCGTCGTCGCTGAGCAAGGAGCAAGCGAGAGATATCAATATGGGGTGGATGGTGTGGGGCTGGCTATCACGACCAACGCACCTGTTCAGGCCGAACCGGAAGATCTGGGTGATGCTCCTTTATCGCCCATCGTCGACTCGCCGTTTGGTTTGGATGATGGTGGGATAGATAGGCAGATAGTTCAGGCGTGGTTCGTCACGAGGGAGTTGGTACAGGGGGAAAAGAGGTATGGCAGGTCGCTCGCAAGGGGTATATCGGTGAGTTTACACATGCGCATGCTAGGTTGAGAGACTGGTATGAGTACTATCAGCTGATGCGCTAGATCGCTCGGTCCGTCGCTGAGAAGCTCAACAATCAGCTGGATTTTGCTTCCTCTTGTTCCCTCTCTGGAGGCGGTAGCGGCACCTCCACTTCACCGTCCAAGCGCTTCGCTCGGCTCTCGGCGTCTCTGGGATCCTCACCCATATCGACGCTCCGCCGATCCCGAATGATGTCTGCTCCTGCCCTCAACCTATCTACCTACTCCTCATCCTCTCTCCTCCATCTCCCACTCTCCTCATCATCGACAACCACTACCTGCCTCTCTTCACCGGTCTCACCACTCGGCATCCTCCTATACCGCCTCCCCCGCCTCCTCGCGCTCTCCCTCACCCTCTCCTCGCGCTTCGCACACGATCCCTCCCCGGACCAAGTCGCCACTGCCTTCTTGTCGATGGAAGATGAGATCATGCGGGAGTTGGCGGACTGGGCGGGCGAGGTGGGGCAGTTGGTAGCGATGGGGTTTGGGGAGATGTTGGATCGGGAGATGAGGGAGGATGGGAGTTTGTCACGGAATTCGACGATGGGGGATATTGCCCACCTCGGTATGGGTCCCATATTCGGTTCGCCGTTCGATTCGCTAGACCAGTCATCATCGACAGCATTCGGTTCCTATCTCAACTTACTTCGAGCGGACACGACGCAGGAGGACCGAACGAGCTTTTCTGAGATCCTCCTCGCTCCTATCCAGCGGGCGGCGCGATATCGCCTTCTCTTCCACTCGCTTGTTGTCAAAATGCCGAAAGAGACGGCGGGGCGGGAGAAAGTACAAGCGGCATTATGGGCGGCAGAGCGGATTGTTCACGCTGTGAACAAGGGCCAGGGGTTCGACCTTGAGGGATTGAGGAGGGAGGAGGATGAGACGGAGGATGGGAGAAGAGGAGGCGGCGGTGATGGTGATACTCTGGTCATGCGGAAGCGGACGAAGGGTAAGGGTATGGAGAGGAGGGTGAGGAGTATGGTGTCATAGCCTTCTCGTTCGGTTGGCCGGTTGGGTGTAGACTTCTAGATAGATTTGTAGATATTATTAGAGCCGAGGAGAAGTTGGGAGGTCTATGGTTGGACCGGGCGGGCGTTGGGCGGTTTACACGATACTCGTAGTGCAGATTAGAGAATTTAGTAAGTGCTGGTAAGTATGCGCGATGCCAACCAAGTGCTTGTTCCGTTTCTCGGTTGGCACCGGATATGTCGGCAGGCGGTACATCAATCGTCGTCGTGGATGACAACCCTCGCCTCATCTACCACCGGTACCGCTCGCCTCTCCGTCTGTCCCGTCTCGCCCATCGCCCCACTCTCGCTTGGGATTGGCACATTCAGATTCCCCACTCCTGCCCTCTCCACTTCCGCCTCCGCCTCATCCTCATCTTCGCTCCCCGCCTCATCTCTCGGCCGAGGGACGGCGAACCCTTCCGCCCCACCTGCTAACTTCCGCTTCCCCCCTGCTGCCCCTCCTACTACCACACTGGGACCAGTACTGTCCTTCTTATCCCCCTTCCCGCCCGCTTTCCGCTTTTGCCGCTTCGCCCTGTTCTTGGCTGTTTTCGCATCCGCAACCGAATCTCGAGCCTCTTGTCGAGCTTGGAACGCTTCTTGCTCTTCCAGCTATTTTATCAGCTTCTGCCACATTTCGGCAGAGAAGAGTCAAACTCACAGCCCGCCCCTTATCCTCCATCAACTGTATCCGTTCATACTCCCTCCTCCTGCTCGCCTTGTACACGTGAAATTCGCCCGAGCCCGCACCCGCAGCCGACCCTTGTACATTCTTCATCATCTCGTGTGGGTCGCGAAGTTGTTTCTCCCGCACAGGCTCGGGGAGGGCGACTTCTTTATCTGGGTTGGCAAGGAGTTTCTCCACCTTGGACATGAGCGCCAGTCTTGCATATGCGATGCGATGCGATGACGAAGGACTCACGTGCATCCGTTGAATATCAGACTGGGTCAATTTGGCCCGCTTGGAGGGACCCGCATCGCCACCGCCGTACCCCCCTCTCCCGCCTCCCCGTCCTGCAGCTGGTGCTGACGGTCCGGCGGACCGAGGCTGGCCTGGAACGGGTGCTACGAATGTGGGGTCGGGCGAGATGGAGTGTTGACGCTCTGCTGGACTTGCAGACTTTTCGCTGCGATACGGGACGGCCATGTTGGTCTGTGACTTGAACGAGTATGAGGATGGTTGAGCTATGCTATCGATCTTTACTGTTTGTGTGAGCCTGGGTCCGACGGTGAAGTTGGTGTAGGCGATGCCCCCGGAACTGAGCCTGCCAGCCCAAAAGCCACGTGTTCGACGCACGGGCTTGACATTTTAGGCTTTACCGCCGCGGCGTTTTGTGAGCGCCCTTCGACCTCGCCTCTTACATCTCTCCTTCTCACTGCTCATCTCACCCACCAAGTCTCTACGTACCCACATAGAGCTTCACGGGCACACCTCCGCTCTTCTTAGCACGGCAGTACATCACCCGAGTCTGAGAACTGTGCAAATCGTGCGTTCGAAGCTCTGGAATTGGTCGAGGGAGGCGCTTACTCCGCAGTCACCCGGGCTCAAGCTTTTTGGATACCTTGCATCTTCTAAATACCAAATATGAGCGCTGGGGCCACCGATCCCCAAGTTCAGGACCACTACGATCCCTATGGCTACAATGATCCGCCCTCTACCGTCCCGAATGGAAGCCAATACCCTCCTCAACCGTACCCGCCCTCTCAGCGATCGAGGGGTTATGAAGCTGGTGAACGAGATGCCTACGACCGCAACGGACCCCCTCCATCGACTACTACCGGGTACTCTACTCGCCCTCAGGACTCTTATCCTGGACCCAACGTCAATGGAAACAACACCCCTGACCCATACAACGACTACGCACACCGTCCCTCCCATGCTCTTCCCTACGACTCTCAATCGACTTATCTTCCCCCTACGGCCAACGGCGGCCGCGCTGGCTCCTCCGGTCCAGGATACGGAGCGCAAGGCCAAGTTCAAGTCCCACAGCCTCGGCGAGACCCGCCGCGTTCGGTGACTACATCCCAGCCTGTCGGCGGCGGTCTTGGCGGGACCAAAAATGGCGACCACAGGTTCTCCCGCAACGGTCAGCCGGTTCCTTCGCCGGTCCTGCCCTGGAAACAACCCGGTCGGAAGAGCCACAGCCGGAGTCGCAGCCCGGAAAAGATCCCTCGTGCTGCTGACCAGGCGCCTCGAGAACCCCCTACAGGACCCAGTCGGCCTACTACCCCCGCTCAAGCCCCTACCGACCAGCCTCAACGTATCTCCCGCTCATCCCTTCTCCCTTCCCGCCTATCTTCCCAGCACCCAGACGCCGGCGATAACAGTACCGACACTGAGGATATCAACGGTACCGCCTTCCAAACACCGGACAAGCAGGTCAGCAGCGATAACGGGGACGGGACGACCGAGCTTTCATCTCTTGCCCGATTGCGCGAGTTTAAAGAGTCGGTCGCGTCCTCTCGGTCCAAGAACAAGCTGCTCGATGTGGACGCGGGCGCACTGGAAGAGATGGCAGCTTCGTTCTTGGCAAGTGCAAGTGCTGTCCCTCCCACCCCAGTGACGGTTCAAGCGAGCCAGCTTGCGCCGGTCACTGCCAAGCCCATGGCAATGCCGACGCGGGAAGAGCTCGACAATCTGGTAGAGCAGGTCGCTGCGGAGACATCGGCCAAACCTGTACCAATCACCGCCGCCAACGTCCCGCCCGCTGCTCCACCTGCAGCATCGTCCTCGGCCGAGGCCACCATCAAGACGCGTGAGCAGGAGCTCAAGGAGCGTCTCAAGGCCAAACGCGAATCCAGCTCGCCGAGTATCTCCAACGCCATCCCGCCCGGAATCTCGGCCATCATCAACAAGGCTTCCGAGCCTGCGCCATCCGGACCCAGCGTCAAGGCTGAGCCTGGCGCCAAGGGGTCTACGGTACCTACCAAGCGGGACCGGCTGGAGGAAGGGGAGATTGCCGATGAAGAGAGCAAGCGAATGAAGATTGAGGTCCAGCCGCCGAGTACGGCGGGGACGACTGGCTCGCGCGAGGACGGGCAGGTGACTGGCTCTTCGGACGGTCTAAATTCAGCTGGGAAGCGGAAGAGGGCGGACGCGTGGATGAAGACGACTGGATCAGGGTCTGTCGAGCCGTCCAGTGCGGCCGATGGTCAGCAGCCGAAATCAAGCAAGGAGAAGTCGGCGCCGCACGTCAAGGCTGAGAAGGGGAGCCTGGAAAGTCGGATCAGTCAGGACACGGGCGGCGCGAGGCGCGATCGCGATAGGGACGATGGGCAGGCAAGCCCTCGTGGAAAGGGCTCAGCGCGTGGTAGGCATAGGAGCAGGTCGCCCGCCAAGAACTCGCGAGCGGCTGGTAATGCGCCAGCGGGCGGTTTCAAGGATTCGACATTCAGCAAAAACAGGCAGGAGGTTGAGGAAAGGGTGAGGAGCAAGGAGAAGGAGGTTGAGCGGGAGAGGAGCGATAGGGAGAGAGACAGGGAGTCGAAGCCTTCTCTTGCCGAGTACGTTTCGAGCTTCACCAGGATAAGGTCTCAGCTGATAAGTCAGGCGAATTGGACTTAAGGATCACAGTACTCCCTCGTCCAAGCGTCAGCCTGGATCTAGCGCGCCAAACTCGGCGTCTCAGCGCGACTCGTATCGTGACCCCGGGCACCGATACGATCAAGCCATGGATAACGCTCGTCGATCCCGTAGTCCTCCTCGACAGTCTCAAGCTACCCCAGGAAGGGGCTATGAGGCGGCCGATCGAGGTGTGAGCGATCGACGACCGAGCATGTCGTCTGTCCGTCCAGACCAGAGGGGACGTGACTCGTCTCCGTATGCTGCGTCAAGGGCGCAGGGGACAGACTCGAGGGACAGGTTCCGGTACGTCACTTAGCTCAGCTTTCTCTGGACGGGGTGCTGACCGGCAGTGACGATCGAGGTCGACACGATGCTCCCATGAACGACAACCGCGAGAGGCCAGGAAACGCCCGCTCTTCCGTTGGCGGTACCGGTTATCAGGACGCGCCGTCTTCGCAAACTCGTCCCGCTCAATCCAACAATGGTCCCGCTGCGACATCGGCTCCTGCGCCCACTCCGGCCGCAACTCCCACCGCACCTTTGGATAGCGTGGCCGAAACGCTCTCGCTCCTCAAGGCTCAGATTGCGCGTCTGGAGTCTCAGATTCCTGGTGCGCCTACGTCGGCGCCCGCCCCGGCTCAGGCTCCTGCGCCGGCCCCGGCTCCTCTCCAGACCCCGAAGGCCAGGTACCCGTCCGCTGCATCTCGCGACCCGCTTCCCTCGGCCGGTACCGCCTTTGCCCAGGATACCGCCAAGAACTATCGCGGTGATCTTCCGGGGGATGCCAACTCCAACAAGCGCTTCACACCAAGGAGGGATTATGACCGTCCACCATCCCCTCGCCAGTCACTGCCCAACTCTCGATACGACCACCCGCCGCATCACCCATCCGCGCGGAGCATTACACCCCTTCAGCCCGCTCCGCTCCATGCGCACACCCGCGACCTGCCTCCCAGCCGGTACAACGATCCTGCCGGCCCTGGGCCCCGTTACCCGGACCGCGAGCGCGAGCGAGCTGATCGCGACCGTGATGTCCGACCTGACTATCCACCTCGGGATCGGGATGACCGCGCTCGACCGCCGGTCGGAGGATACGACAATCGCGCGCACGACCACCGTCCTGCCCCGCCCCCGTCACGCGAATTCTCCAACGTCCAGCCCGCTCGGCCCGAATGGAACGTCTATCGCCCCGTCTCGCCTGGTCTTACACCTCCGCCGCCGCCACTTCCTAGGTCATCATACCCCGATGATCGATTCGGCGGGCAGCGCGGTCCCGGGTACGGTCGGCCAGGGGAGGAAATCTTTCCGCCAAGTGGAGGACGGTATGATCCGCCGCCGCACTCCCGGGACCCGCGTGATTTGCGTGACGCCCGCGATTTGCGCGGCGATCCTCGCGGTCGCGACCCAAGGGACCTGCGGGATATTAGGGACAGAGATGTCCGGGATGTGCGCGATACTCGGGACTTGAGGGATGTGAGGCCAAGATACCCCTCGCCCCCTCCTCTGGGGTACGGTGGTGGTGGTATCGGGGGAGGTATCGGTGGGGATCGAGACCGGCTCCGAGACCATGATCCGCGCGACCTTCGCGATATCCGCGATACCCGGGACCCGCGTGATATGCGCGACTCGCGATACCCGCCCCTCGATGTCCGGGATATCCCTAATCCTCCTCAAAGGCCATACAGGCAGCCCGGGGGATATGATAATCGTGCGGAAATGGCTGGCAGTGGGCGAGGAGGGTATGCTGGTGGACGACCGGGACGCGGGGGGTATGATAATGGAGGAGGAGGGAGGGGGAGGGATGATGGCAGCGAGTATGCGGACAGGGACGATTTGGGGCATGGTGGTGGAGGTGGAGGGGGAGGGAGGGGAGGGTATGGCGGACGAGGACGGGCGAGGGGGAGGGGGATGTGAGGAAAGTTTATTGAAGTCGGAGTTGGGAAGGAGATGGAGCGAGGGAGGATATGGGGGGAACCGTATACTGGAGCGCGGTGTGACAGATCGATTCTATTCTTGTGGGATTGAAACCTCTTGATATGGTATTGTTGAACAGAATGACAGAAGGTATAGCACGGATAGGCTTGATGAGATAATACATAGCTAGGTTACCGTTAGGTAGCTTATGGATCAGCATGATGAAGGCCTGCTTAGGTTGGTTAGGGATGTGGTCGTACGAGTACTTGGAAATCGCAAGGTCACCAGCTCCACATTCCTCGTTCCCATTCGTTTGCTCTCACAACCGATCCATATCGTCCCTCTCCTTCTCTTCCGACCACTTCTCTCTTCCCCAATTCAGCATGCGGCAGCGCAATACTACTGGAGCGGACTCATCGAGCTCGGATGATCAGGCCACATCTATCAAGCCTGTCGCTGCAGCTCCGACATCGCCTGCTACGGAGAAGCGGGCGGCGAGTCACGGTCATTCACACGGTCACCACCACGACGATGAGGACGAGCATGATCACGATCATCCCATAGACGAGGAGAAGCGTAAGTACTAGCTGCTCCGAAGCCTAGGGGCCAAACCGAAGCTGATCGGCCGTATAGTCGATAACCTCCTATGGGAAATATCCAAATTCTGCATCCCGGTCGGCTTCGTCCTCTACCTCTCCATCTACCTCTGCTACCGACATGAGCTCCTCAAATGGTTTTCCCGGCCCTCCACTACCCCATCTACCGCCTCTCATCCCTATCTATCCATCACCCCCTTCGTTAGCGCCGCTACGGTCGACGCGCCCGCTCCCACCGCCGGCGACAGCCCTGACGCTGTGGCGGACAAGTTTGAGCGGTGGGTCAAGAAGGAAGAGAAGGTGGCGTGGGCGGCGATGGCGGCGAATATCGGACCGGAGGCGGGGGCAAGCGATGGAGTCGTCGTGGCGGCGAGCAGTAGAGGGGAGTGGGAGGATGAGCCGGATTATCATGTCAGCTGAAACCTTTCAGTAGGTGGGACTATGATCTATGTATCCGATCAGAAGGCGGACAGAGCTGGGGGTCCGATGGGAGAACTGTGTACGGCGATGCGGGTTTTGACATCCACTACTGATAGGCCGGGTGCTGACGACCAAGTTCACATGGACGCGCGATTCCGCACTGATCATATCGACCTTCCTCCCTCGCTTCTTACCTACCGCTTACCTCCGTTCTTGGGCTCCCAGCGAGGCCCTACAAGACATACAGTCAGCCGAGGAGCAGGAGGGGGAGCCAGACTACCTGGTGGAGGGGCTAGTCAGGGCTTATATCGCCAGTCAAGCGGCGATTCAGGGGGTATCGAACCCGTCTGGCGATCTCTGGACAGGCGGGCTGAATGAGCCTAAGTTCCATGTCGACGGATCGGCGTTTACTGGGAGCTGGGGAAGACCACAGCGGTGAGTTTTCCAGTTCACTGCCAGTAATGATAGCTGATGGGCAGTGATGGTCCTGCTCTTCGCGCACTGAGTCTCATTCCCTACGCCAACTTCCTCTTAGATCGCGAATATCACACCGACATCGATTATGTCAGTCATCACCTATATGATCCCGCCAAGCTCCGAGAACTGGGGAAAGTGATCAAGAACGACCTGGAGGAAGTTGGAGGAGGATGGTGGAACCCCGGATTTGATCTGTGGGAGGAGGTGTAAGTCCTATCGACCCGTCCCGTGATACCCGCTGATATCGCCAGAGATGCACATCATCTTTTCACCCTCCTCGTCTCCCTCCGCGCCCTTCAAGCGGGCGCAAACCTCGCCTCCAGGCTCAATGACACCGGAGCCGCCGACTTTTACCTCGCGCAGGCAGCCAAGATCGTCCACCGCCTCCCAGACTTCTGGGACGATTCTCGCTCTTACTACCGTGCTACTCTCTTCGATACCCCTCCGGAAACGGAACAAATCCGTATAGGCTCGTTCACGCGGAAAGAACGCACAAGCCTCGACTGCGCTGTACCCCTGGCGATCCTTCATGCTGGCGATGCAGCGGGCGGAGATTGGAGCGCAGCGGACGATAGGATCCTGGGCACACTCAGAGCCTGGGTCCTCAGCTTTGATGGGGTGTATGGGATCAATAAAGGCAGGAAGTGGACCGAGGGGTGGGCGGTGGGGCGATATGCAGAGGATGTATATAATGGGATAGGGACGAGTAAGGGGAACCCATGGTGAGCATTCCTTCTCTGTGTCAGGATCCGAGAGGTCAGGAGATGCGAGCTGATGTTTTAGGTTCATCTGCACCTTCTCCGTCGCCGAGATGCTGTACCGCGCCAGATCAATCTTCGAGCAGCAGGCAGGGATCAACGTCACGGATATCTCCGCTCCCTTCTGGTCAGATGTCCTTGGCGAGACCGTCAAGCCCGGTCCTTTGGAATCTTCGGAGCTTTCGATGGCCCTGGAGAAACTGGGGGTAGTCGGAGATGCCTTCTTGCAGGCTGGAACGAGCAGAGTCACACCGGATGGAAGGATGAGCGAGCAGATTGATCGGTACGTTCTGTTGGTCCGGGGTGTGTGGCCACTCTAGCTGTGAAGCGGGCTGATGTTCTCAGCTCGGACGGCGCCCAAGTCGGCGCACGAGACCTCACATGGTCCTATGCCAGCTTCATCGCTGCTATTCGCGCCAGAAGGACTTGAGATGGAATGGCCTGGAGCACGTTCCATTCCTCACCGTGCCTGATACTGAGTAGCCAAATTTGTAACGATACCGTGATGACGTCATGACAATTCTGAGTCCGATGTCTCTCGGAGTCCTTCTTCGGTGCCTGTGTCCTGATCTCCTCTCTTCGTCAGCCCTTTGTGCCTGTTCTCGGACCTGTGCTCCGCGAGGAACGGGGGTCTTGTCTGACATCGGTGGCAACTGACGTACCCCCGAGCTCCGAACGGCTCTGCCGCCGGCGCCGAAACCAGGAACGAGGAGCGAAAATCTGCGTCCGCCGAGCCGGCTGTGGCTGCGCATGCCATGCCCGTGGGGTATCTATGACGGCGTATTCCAGCAAACCTGCAGGTCCAGGCGCTTACTTACGCGAAGCTGATGAGTCCAAAGCTAGAAAGAAGGTGGCAAAGAAGAACGAAGTACCTCTCATCCTGTCTTCCACCTCACTCGTTCGTTCCCACCGCTACCACGCTCAAGTGGTTCATGTCGTACTTTCCCTCTCGTCCCGACTCGCAAGCAACTCTTTCTCCGAGACAGGAAACGCCCGCTGCCTCTCCCGCGTCCAGACACTCAATCAGCGATCCGCCCCATCAAGAACAGTCCGACCACCGTAGTCTGCACAGCCAACAATCGCGCCCTCCTCCCCGGACACAACCCTCTCAGCTTCAGCAAAGACGTCCGGCCAACCATGATGATGCCGAGGCGGGCCGGCCTGGCGCTGTCGGGACCTCGGATAAGCGCCCCAGTATAATCCAGCAGGGGTCGATCTTGGTGCGCGAGTCAATCTTTGTGGATATCAGGAATGACTCGATTGCGATGGCAGGGGAGTTTGTGGGGACTATCCTGTTCTTGATCCTTTCGCTTGGTGTAAGTCCTAGGTAGCCAAAGTCAGCTCAGGAAGGATGGCTGCATCAGAGCTGACTCGAACAGGCATCTCAGAGCGTAGCGTCCGTCAGTGCCAATATCAGCGGCAACGCCATGGCTACCTCCAGCACGAGTGACAAACTGATCGTGAGTCTATCTATCTCTGTCTTCGCATCTTCTCACCTGTACATTTGCTAACCCAGCAGGCAAACCTGTACCGAGCCCTCGCAACTGGTACCGCCCTATACGGAACCGCCTCCATCTTCTATCGCTTCACAGGCAGTATCTTCAACCCGTCCGTCTCGCTCGCGTTGTGCGTCTGCAGAGTGATCAAGCCTGTCCGCTTTGTTCGTGAGTTCTGATGTCTATCCCACAACTCAATCCAGGGTGCTCGCTGATGATGACAGTCGTTTGTATCTCTCAAATGCTCGGCGGGATCGTAGCATGTTTCATCCTCTCGGGCCTTCTCCCCGACACTTCCAGCGTCAATCTCAAACTCGCCGAAAACACCTCGATGGTCCAAGGCTTGTTCATCGAGATGTTCGCCACAACAACCTTGATCCTCACAGTGTTGATGCTGGGTGTCGGTAAGTCCCCTGCTCTGCCCCCTCGCCTCAATGAAGGAGTATATGGACCTGACGGGGTACAGAAAAGCACACTGTCACACCTCATGCGCCGCTCGGCTTTGGCTTCACCCTTCTAGCCTCAACCTTGTTTGCAAGCCAGTACACCGGTGCAGGAATCAAGTACGTCTTCTTCTTGCTCCTCTCATAAGCGTCAGGCTGACTCGCCGCAGCGTTTCCAGAGCGTTCGGATCGGCCTGCGTCGAGGGCTTTCAAACGTATCACTGGATATACTGTGAGCTCGCTCTGTCCCGTTTTCCAGGAGGCCCGAGCTGACACCGATAGGGGTAGGACCGACGTTAGGCTCATTGCTCGCTTGTGCATTCTACGAGTTTCTGAAGCTCATCAAGTACTGGTGAGTCTGCCCCTTCCCGGAGGTATTTGAGATGACCGAAGGGCTGACAAATTGTAGGCAGGTCAATCCTGGGCAGGACTCGATGGAGCCGCTTCAACCTGTTGTCGGGAAGCGATACAAGAAGGAGATGATCGGCCAGGATCCGGCCCATACCTAATACAGCCCGCCGACTTGGGCGCAAACACGATTCTTCCCGGCAACATTACGCACAGAAATCAGACAATAGAAGATAGACACCTAGAGTTGTAGATACACACGAGCATACATGAGGCCATAGACGAGCCAGTTATCGCGGTTCCGGGTCTCTCATCTGACATTTGACAAACAGGCTGCATGGTCTTCTATCTCGTCAAGGGTACTCCCGACACCAGTATCTTCCGATTCCGCCTTAAGCGAACTGAGGAGCCTCTCCGGGACGACCGGGCGAAAGAAGGACGACGGCCTATTCTCATCAGCTCTTGGTCTGCCGCGAGGCTCATGCCGCCTGGGTCAACTCACGTATTTGCCCGAAATCTTCCATCCTGGCTCCTCCTCGTCCAGCTTCTCTCCGACACCGCTGGGGATACCGACGACAACGTCCGACTTGATGGTTCGGAGGGAGCACACTGGGGGTGCGCCAGCCTCGGAAGCGAGGGGACCGATAGCCATGGGGAACTTGGTGTCCATGGGGGCGTGGCAATCGTATGTCAATTTACCTAGCAAGGTCAGCTTCAAAGTCGCTGCGATAATAGTGCTGAGCTCATGAAAACTTACGGTGGTTCAAGTCACCCTTGAAGATGACGAGGTCCGAGTCGGAAAGGTGCTGGAAGAGATCCGGTGCCTCCGAGTGGAGGTCCCACTTGTCATATAAGCTACGTCCGCAAAAAGCTTCAGAGGGGACAACTTACGAAGGTGTAACCAGTGCACCAGAAGGGGTGCGCCTCGTACTTCCACTTCCCCTCCTTCTCGTACTGCTTCCACCGGTTACCGAGGGTCCGGAGCGAGTCGATCTCAGCGTCCGACGCGTCGGGGAAGAGCTGGCCGTAGACACAAGAGTTGAGCAGCCTGTAGATTAGCGCTGACCCATCTATGTGAGGCGCAGAACTTACCAGTTCCAGTCAAACTTGGTGACGTCCGAGACGAACCAGGGGATCTTCTTCCCGTGGAAGATGACCTCGGAACAGATACCGGACTGGATGAGCCAGTCGGCGTAGACGAGATCGCAGTACAGCTCGAAACCTGGCTGGTAAGCTTCTGCTGTACGGTCTCCATGTCTAGATCAGACCAACTCACCGGCGTTGTCGAGGACAAAGTCAATCCGGCCACCCTTGATGTCGGTAACGTAGTCGGCAAGAGCACGGAGGTCGTTTCCGAGAATGTTCTTCTCGGTCGCGGCGAGGTGGTCACCACCGGTCGACTGGAGCTTCCGGATGTCCTCCTCGGTCATATCGATGAGGAGCGACAGATCGGTGGAGTTACCCCAGAGACAGACTGCCATGTCAGCTATCGCTCATTTTGACTCCCAGCAAGCGCAAAGCTTACCCTGGGTCAACTCGTGGAAGACCAGCTTGAGCTTCTCCTTCTTCTCCTCGGGACCCAGGCTCGCAAGGAGGTCATGAGGTTGCGAGAATCGCTGAGACAGCTCGAAGACGGCCTGGTTGGACCGGGAGAAGGTGTCGCACTTCTGCCTGAAGAAGACGTCTGCCCTGTCAGTTTGGCACGTGTTTGACGCAAAGGAAGCTCACCGTAATCGACCCAGTACTTGGAAAGCGAGAAGCACTCCCTCAGCCTGCGGTACTTGTACGCCTCGGCGAACAACCACGGAGCATTCATAAAGTCCTTTCCGCGGAAGAACTTGGCAATCTCCTTATTCCAGAGCGCGATGTCTCCGGCACCGTCGTCGACGATCGGGCGCAGCTTGCTGTTGCCCTGGAGATCGCCCATGAGGTCCTCGAGACGGTGGATACAGTTGATGAGGTCGACAATGCGCTCCTCCTCGGTCTCCTGGTTGAGCGTCTTCCAGACATCGTCGATGGCCTTGCCGAGGATGGTAGGGAGACGGACACCCATAGTAGCCTGACTGTCAGCAATGCCAGACATTTAGGAGCGGCAAGACGTACGTGAGCGAAAGAGTACTCGTGGTATCCACGGTACGCGGGCCATGGCGGCTGGTCTGCTCCTGTCAGTACAATTCCCCAGCTCGAGCCAACTGCGATACTTACTAGGGTTGACGCGCGAGGGCGTACGGGGGTAAGACTGCCATGTCAGCTAGGCACAATTTCGGAGATAGCACTAAACTCACAGCAGCAGCTGTCTTGAGCTCCGACGCCTTCATCTTGGGAGGCAAGTTGCCCAAGTTGAGCTATGAGATCAGCATATGCACCTGGACCGAGCTTGGTTCTCCCCACCCCTTATCGCACTCGGGGCCAAATTCCTGCAAACTCACGACGGTCTTGGACGGCGCCTTGGCCGAAGCCTGCTTGTTGGGGTGGTTGTCTGTCCCGCTCATGATCGTGTACGCTGAGCGCTAACAGAGTAAGTATCTACGCTGTGTATTGACAGACGAGGAAGAGGAGATGGGGGATAAGGGGGAGGTTGAGGGAAAAGTTCGATTTCCAGCGGAGGCAGCGGACCGGAGAAATTTCCGCTGGAAGGGCTTGGTGCTGATTCCAGCAACCCCGATGAGGAAGAATGAGGATAAGATCGAGGGCAGACGTCATGCTGCCCCTGAAGCTGACGTTGATAACGTTGTTAGAGCTTCCACCTTCTCCCGCCTGAACGGAGATCTACCTGTGCCTTGGCAAAGGAGATAAGTATAACCTGACCGCCACTGACGATGTGAAGGTCGCACACGTTGACCACGTTTGACACGGGTGCTGAGCGCTGAAGAGGAAGAAGGGTGATGTGGGGTAAAGATGGGTGATAATGGGAAGCGGAGGCCATCTACTCACCTTCACTGATATCGAAGGGCCGGATGATGGAGTGAAGGGAGAATTGACGAAGAGGAGCTTCTTACGAATGAGAGGAGGGAAAAAGAAGAGCAAGGGGCGGAGGAAGGAGAAAGGAGTTGAGCGTGCTTTGTGTACTCGACTAATGACGTCTGACCCGGGACGAACGGGATTGATTGACCGAACGGGTGGGGAGAGTGGTGTGGGCTGACTGGTCCTCCCTTTGTTCTTTGCACAGCTGACGCGGCGTGGGGTCCGAGCGCAGATGTGGGGATGCGGGGTGTGTGTGTGTGTGCGTGTGGGGACGTTTCAGCGCACTACTGTATCTCGACACGTGTGGCGGCTGTATCAGGGATCACGTTCGAACTCCTGGCTGACAGTGCTGTTGGACTATCTATTGCCTGGTCTTTCGGCCGCAGTCACATAGCTCACTGGTGAAACACCAAGTAGCAACAGTCCCACGTTCTCCTTTCATAATCTCGGAGGATCGCTGATCTACGTGACCTGAATTGCTGCTGGCGTTGTGACTTACTCAGACCCGACGGAATAGCCGGGTTACACAACTTGGAAGTCGATAGGACAAAGGAGGCGCAAATAGAGGCCCTCTCGACAGTACCTTTCTCGTCGCACTCCTTTCCTGCTGTGCTGCCCCTCGAGCTCTTGCTCGGCAGAGTGGTGGCTCCTGCGAGTGGTGGGAGTAGCTCCTTTCACCTTTGAGCGCCTTTCGAACAGCACATGATATGGTCGACAGTCAGGGTCTTGCCTTTCTTGTCGATCTGTTTACGTGTCACTGACTCTCATCTTTCTCAACTCGCCACTATCACTTTGCGCTCTTGTACATGATCCGCCCTGCAATCTATTCATTGATCTCACCTCTACGTCACGTCGGGCACAGCTCGCAGTAGCAGCTTGGTCCTGCTCACTTTGGGATCCGAACAACTCGGAAAGTCGGCGGGCACCGAAACCTGACACACTAAAACAGTCTTGACCGGGGCAGAGGTACGTCTCTCATCTCACGCCTTCACGTCCCTCTTATCTGACGTTCCTTTCATACTGCTTCCGGTGACGAATTCGAAGCCCATCCTGATCCCCGCTGACGTGCTCTAGATCCCCCGTCCTATCTCCCCTTCCTCCGCTCGCTGTCCTCCCCAGCTCCTGTATAAATACGCGCCCGCCACTTTGAATCCCTTTAAACGTGTCAAATTTGTCGATCGCAACGTCTCAACTCTGCCATCATATATTGCGCGCAGATCCAAACTCGCAGCTATCTCCCCATAAAGCCCAACAGAATTCCATCTCCCGATACTCGCACCCCCGCCAAGAACCAGCTACCTCGCCACTCTAGCACTCAACATGCCGCACAGCTACCCCCGTCCGAATCCTCCATCACCTTACATCCCCCGTGCCTCTCAACGGCCCAGTCTTTCCTCTATTGCCTCTTCGTCCGTCTACCTTACCCCGGTACAGGAACAGCGTATCCTCTCTTGGCGCGTCCACGCTGCTCCCCCTTCCCCGCTCAGCTCGTCTGCCCTCGCGCCCACACCCGCCCTCACCGCTTCCGCCTCACCCACGACCGGGACAGGCTCCCACTCTTCCGGCGCCATGCAAGCCCCACCACCCCCTGATACCCCTCAGCCAACTGTTCCTCGGAACAAGGTCAAGTCGGCCCCCGCGTCCCTCCTCACTCCGTCGGGCGGGAGCCAGTGCAAAGCGTGCGGCGGGAGTTGCCGCGGCTGCAGCACCGTCTCGCGAGCCACACACCCACCTCACATGCCTCCGATCAGTAACCAGAGTCGACCTATGATTCATCCTCTCCCTCCTCATCATATCAGCTCAATGGTCGACGCCAACCCTCCATCATCCGGCTCTGGCACCGGCCAGTCCCGCCAGCGAAGCTACTATAGCACCAAGAAGTATCGGCAGGCGCGAGCGATGGCGCTGAGGGAGCAGAGCGGGTATGGGAGTGGGACGGGTATGACATCAGGCTCTGGTTCCGGATCCGGGTCGGGGTTGAACGGCGGTGGCGGGCAGGATCCGCGCGGGATGGGGAGGGAGGGAATGCCTTATGCGGCTGCTCAGAACGAACCGGTTAGTCGGCAATAATGAATCAAATCCTGGTGGTATTGGAGTACATTATCCTTCCCGTCAACACATCTGGTACTGATCACTATTCGCAGACTGTCAGAATGTAGGCTCACACTGTAGGCCAACCAACTTCCCCCAGAATCGCAGCCAGAATGGGGAGGGCCGGACGGAGAAACAAGCCAGCGAGAACCGCCGCGCGTCTTCGTGCAGGCTGATCCAGTCATCAATCCCACACCAAGGATCGGAGGAGCAAGAGATCCAGTGACCCAGCAATAGTAAGTCATTCGTCACTCGTCCAGTGACGACTGCTGACTCGTCAGCTGGCGTATCATGTTCCCTCCCGCTGGGGGGCCCAAGGGCATCAATTCTGTGAGTTCCCTACTCGGCCAGCGACAATTGCTTCACACATGCTGAGTGAGTGAAAGGGCCTTCCGATACCAATGATGGGGATGGGGATGTATGTAAGCTGCATTTCTGAATCTGTGCCCCTACCCAGCCTACCGCAGCTGACGATCACAGCCAACTCCTGTGTTTGGCATGCCCGGTATGATGCCGTTCCACTAGTCTCACCAACTCCAATACAAGCTAAGGTTCATCAGTAGTAAGATGTTTGTGTATATCGGCCTTGGCATTCAGTAAATATGTAATCAATCCGAACTCGCTTGAGCTGCCACCGCGCGCAGATGACCGCCGACCGTGACACGCTCAATGAATAGCCGTCGACGCAATCCTATCATCCACCGAACAAGGCTCCGCCGAATAGAATGTACATTGTGGTAGATGATACAAGATGTAGGGCGTCGCGTGTCGTTACGTCGAGATGATACAAGAAGGATGTGGGAAGATCAGGTCCGAGCGAGACGAATGAGGTCACAGGTGGCATAGGGGCGTCCCTAGAGAACATACGCCAATCCTGCGCCGTCAGCTCAGTACCCTTCACATGGAAAGACCACCGGAAAACAAGCGTCACTCACATACGCTTCCCCGCCTAGGGTCAACTGACGACTCCCACTCTGGCGCAAGGCGAATCACGAAACCAGCAGCGAGGTGATTGTCTGCTTTCCGCTCGCCGCTCATGATTGCCCGGATAGACTGTAGGGTCAGATCCCGTCCTCCACCGATGACAGATGGATGCTCACCTCGAGGTCCACAGCTGAGATGGAGGGGGAAGATGATGCCGAGATGGACGAGGATGAGGAGGAGTTGCTGTCGAGCGAGAGTTTGCGTGATTGGGTGGTGGAAGCGTTGTCCTCTGGGATGAAGGAGGACATGTCTATCGTGGAGCGCTGGCAGTCGTTGACGATGATGAGATGATGTCTGGCTATCTGTTGTACTGGAGGAAGGATAAAATCAACGATGAGTTGTACAGTCCGCGAAGTGGTAAGCAGTAAATAGACTTTGGGCCGAATAGCGGTCGAGCACGAACGTGTGTCTCGCCGAAGCATCTAGACCAAACACTCCCAAAGCACGCCATTCGCGTGGACTCGTATGTATGACCGTCGTCAGATCTCTGCTGTACCCATAACATGTGTCAAAAGCGCAATGAAGGTGAGGCAAAGTACAAACGAGTGAGACAAAACAATTCGGGATGTCTATTTGGCTTTGCAAAGTTTGGACGAAGTCGGAGGCCGCCGAACCATTACCTGCAAGCACGTCCTCGCTGTAGCCCATCTGCTACCTGTAGGTAGATACATGCGCCTCTACAATATACCCTGCCCTACGTCTGCCTCTGAATGGACGTATTCATGAGCTCCCTAAACTGGCTCACAATCATCCCCTCCCGCTTAATCTTCTCCTCCCGCTGAAGATTCAAGATCGCCCGCTTCTCTTCCGCATTGATCACCTGGTTCTCCTTGCGCAGCCGCATGGCATTCATCTTCTTGTGTCGCGCCCCAGACATCACGTAGCCTGCGTCTTCGAGGTTCTCGATGCGCTTGGTGTCGATACCGATCTCGCCGCGCCGGGGGATACGGAGACCGTTCGAGGCGTAGAGAGCCATAGCTTCGCCTTCGCCAGGCATCATGTGCTCGAAGCTGGATGTCAGCTAGATTCTCGATCAAAGGCGGGAGAAGATAGCTTACCGTTGCCTCTGCTGGACTGCGCTGCCGCTGGGCAACGCCGGCCCAATTTCTTCTTCTGCCTCCTTCCGCAGCCGCTGCATCCTCGCCAGATCCTCCAGCGAGAGTGGCCTCTCCTCCTGCTCCTTCTCCGCCCACCCATCTTCATCCTCCGACCTCGTGCTCCTCGCCCGCGACTTGGTCTTCGACCTAGACTTCTTGGTCCTTCGCCGCCGCTCCTCCTCTTCTGCCTCGCTGTCTGCTGTCGAGGCCCGTCGCCTCGCCCTCGCCTTGGCCTCGACCTCAGAGCCAGAGTCAGAGTCAGACGACGCGTATTTCCGCCGCTTCTCCCTTCTTTTCCGTCTAGCGCGTCCATCGTCCTCCGACTCGGACTCTGATGAGCTGGCCGAGGAGTAGCGGGAGCGGCGCTTGCTCTTCTTTGATTTGGATTTGGCCTTGCTGGCTTTGCCTGCGGCTCGACGATCTGCTTCTATCTCCCTGCGATGTATCAGCGATGTCACCCAGGAAGGGACGGGCTACACGTACTCTTCATCTCTGCATGGGCGCTCTGGCGATGCAGGCCACACAACCAGAGTATTTTTCTCTCTTTGCAGCCGACGCCTGCACAATTCAGCTGCGCGCATAGATAGGCGAGATAGAATGCTGCTCATCACTCACTGCTCAAAGTCCACCGGCCCATTAAATCGCCTGGGCGGGTTCTGCCAACCACCTCCTCGTCCTCCTTGTCCTCCTTGTCCTCCTTGTCCTCCTTGTATACCGCCTTGACCCGCTGGTCCGCCTCCACTGAGATCCCTCCGACCAGGTCCATATCCATATCCCCCTGCTCCAGGACCTCCACCACCCCTCCCTGCTTGCCCATTCCCTCCCGTCGCCAGATGCGGCGGCCGATCATGAGGCTGGTATGACGGGGACGGCCGTCTCTCCCTCGGATTTAGTTCGCGCATAGCCTCTGCTAAGACTGGTGGGGGCCGAGCAGGTAGACCGTTCCGAGGAGGAAAGGGGGGGAAAGCGTGTCCTTGCCGCATTGCCAGGCGTTCGGGATTGTCGAATGTCCGCCGAGGAGGAGGGGGTGGTGAGCGATCACGAACTGGCCGTCCAGGGCTGCCGCGGGTAGACGAGTCCCGGTCTGATCGATGTGATTGGCGGAGAGGAGGCGTGTCTCCATGGTTTCGACGTTGAGGAGAGGGGGCGCGGTGAGGAGGAGGAGGAGGGGATAACGATGTTGATCGGTTCGGGCGATACGTGTCCGGACTCCGTTTTGAATGCCTGCCACCCCGCGAGTCCCGCTCATCCCATCTTGACCGACGAGGCGACCTGTCTCGCTCTGGAGAACGCGGGTACGCCAGATCCAACTCCTCTTCTTCCTCGTCCACCGAACCTCGCTGAACAGGCACGATCAAGATTTCGTCCTTCTCGGGTACCTCATCCCACGCCCTCATTCCGCCTATCTTTTGCGGCTGCTCGACCACTTTCCCCTTTCCCTTGATACTAATCCCGACGCCAATGCTGCTCGATGCCGGTGCGGGAGGCGCTGCAGGCTGTTTTACAGCTGCTTTTCGCCGCTCAAGGAGTTGACGGCGAAGCGTCTCCTCGCGCGTCTCCCTTTGCGGCTTGTCCGGTAGCGACGCAGGCCCCCGACTTGAAGGTGATCCAAGGGAGCTCTCCGGTCGGGCGGCATGAGGGGAAGTCATGGTCATCTAGATTCTGAGAGGATAGAAGGAAGGAGATTCGTTGACGGTAAGAAATCTTGTTTTGGGAGAGAAAGAGGCAGCTGAGGCATGCCCGTGCGCATGTTTCAGATCCTGTCTGCTGTCTTATGCTGTAGAGTCTTGTGGACTTGTAGAGTGCGTAAAGAGTACGCCCCTTGGCGATCAGATGGCGGGAGGGCCTGTGGGAACCTGCGAGATTATACATCTATGTATGAGAAAGAGTTGGGAGAAAAGCATCTACCACCTCAGCCCCTCGACACGCAGAGCAGCCCAATCTGCAACTACCGCTACTGCAGCTCCCTGCACCTCAGCCCTTCGACATGGAGTCCAGCCCCACGTACAGCTACCGTTACTGCTGTAACTCCTTGTACTCCGGTACCCTGACCTTATCCGTCCCGAAGCCCTGCCTGTTGACAAAGTCCACTGCGACTTGCGGGTAGGGCAAGTTCCATACCCATCCCACTACCGTCACCAGTCCCCGTAGTATCGCCACGCCCCACCAGGACTCTGGATGCGCCGCCCCAGGGATGAAGCCCGGCAAGTTCTGAGCCTTCTCCGCGATAGGCCGCATGACTTTGTCGTACCGCTCGAATGCGACCTGATGGTTGTCGGGCGATTTTGCGAGTTCCGCTGCCAGGATGTATGCGCTGGATAGGGAGAGGGTGGTTCCTTGTCCCGAAACGGGTGTAGCGCAGAAAGCGGCGTCGCCTAGCATGGTGACTCGTCCCGAGGAGTAGCGAGGCGCCTTGACCTGCATGAGATCCTCGCAGTACAGGTCGTCGAGCTGGTCGAGTTGGGAGGTGATACGTTCAGCCTCCCAACCCGCTCCGGCGAATTTGCGGCGAAGGATATCGATCCGTTCTTGTTGGTCGTGCTGCATGTAGTCGACGGGTGTCATAAAACTGAGGCAGACCCGGGTGCTGTTGTAGGGATCGGGGCGGGTGGATATGGAGCGCCGGCCGGGAGGAGTGAACCATTTGGCCCAGCGGTCGTCGCTGGCGATACGAGGTATGGTGGCGTAGGCGACAGCTGATGGTCAGCGATACGCCGTAAGTAGGTCACCGGCAGGTGGGACAGAGGGGATGGGGCGAGCACTCACACATGCCTAACCTCTTGAACTTGACTTCATCCCCAAAGACCAACTTCCTTGTTCTCGACCTCACCCCATCCGCAATGATGACAACGTCAAACTCCTCTTTCCGCCCGCTCTTGAACGTGACCTCAGCCTTGCCCTGTTTGCTCGCCTGTCTCATCAGCGTGACCCCCGCAGAAGAACAGGATGGCTGACGTACCGTTCCGTTCTCCTCATCGTCGATAGCCACAATACAATCCCCGAAGATATATCTGGTGCCCTCCTTCGTCGCATCATATAGCACCTCCGCAAAGTCCCCTCGGAGGATCTCGAGCTCGGCCGTGGGGCCGTTCGCCGAGGCGGGGATGGCGGCGATACTTGAGCCGTCCTCGCGGATGAACTGAAGGCCTTCTTCAGTAGTATTCCGAGCCTTGACCGCGTCGAATAGTCCCATCTTGGTGATAATATCGCGCTTATATGTCAGCGTCATTCCACTAGGTAGAGGTGCACTTGGATACAGGAAGGCCACCCATAGCGCTCGGACGCTAATTGAACGCATCAGCGGTATCAGGTCAAGCACTCACTCCGACCCCTCGCACGTCTATATTCTGCCCACCGCCCCTTAGCTCATGCCATCTCTCGACGATGGTCGTCTCGAAGCCATACTTGTGAAGCCACCAAGCAATGGCAGGTCCGGCAATACTACCTCCAGAAATGAGGACCGACTTGCCCTTGCCGGGGAGCGGTGATGAGGTCGAGGTGGTAGTAGCAGTGACCATGGTATGATGCTTGAACTTTGCGAGTGTGTGTGTGGTGGAGAAGAGTAGAAGCGAGGGTCACTCATCCACCGGATCTCATATATGATGCACGAAAAAGAGATCAATTCTGCTGTTGTGACGTCAAAGCGTGCCGGTGGCCGCGTACCTCCGTCCTCCGCGGACCCCCGCGGGCCGACGGATGCACGATATACGCCCTATCTGCATGCGGAGTGACTGCATTCTGCCGGTCCTGTCGTATCGCGCTCAGTGCCTCTTGCAGCTCAGCTCTACTTCAGCCGTTTGCGCCCGAGTTCTAACGACGATGCGATAGTCAGGCCTCAGGCACAGTGCTGCGAAAAAGCATCCGAAGCGCTCAAGCTCACTCTGTAAGCTCCGCATTCCTCATGCCGTCAGCCAAGGTACTCTAACTGTGAGGTCACCGGTCGTTGCAAGTCGAGACCGGCGATGCTGTAGGACGAGCAGGTCGTCCGGACAGCATTACAATCTAGACATATACATACAGATTCTAGATAGGTCGACCTCGCGATCTCTCACGTGTTCGTGACTACGAGCTCGACACCCTATCTTCCCCGTTCAACCGCCAGATCGCTGCCTCCGCTCCGTCCCATCGCTTCCGTCCGCCCTCCCTGCCCTCAAACAGTCGATACACGTGAGGTGTATTGATCCTATCCATCAACAGCCGGTATAGCTTCCGATGTCCCCACCAGAACTTCCACCCTTTCCATCCCCAGCTGAGATTCTCCGCCATCCCCGTCCCGGCTGCCTTGGATAGCCATCCCTCCAGTTTGTACGCGTCCATCCCCGCCTGGCCCGACCCTTGACCTTTGGTGAGTTTCTGGCGAAACGCATAGCTCCGCTCGCACCACCCCTCCATCGCCTTCTTATCCGGCAATACCACATTCCCCTTCCAAATCTGCGCAACTGCCTGAGCAGTAAGGTCCGCGTTGAGCATAGCGGTGATCGAGAAGCCCTTGTATGGACCTACAATGGCGAGGCTATCGGGGTGATTGATCGACATAACAGATTGATATAGCATAGGATAGGGATGTGGGGAGTCGGGCGGAGAGGGGTTGGCGTTACCTGCGAGGAAGGAGTAGTCGAACCGCGATCCGGTGGCGAAAATGATGACGTCGACGTCTGTCACGGTGGGTGCTGAACCAGCTGGCGGGGCCTGGTTCGAGCCTGGTATGGGGGAAAGTCGAGGGACAGGCGAGGACTAGTCCGGGGATGATGATAGCTAGACTAGCTGCCAGCGGGTTCAGCTGCGAGGAGGCGAAGCCGAGGTGGTGTGTTCGAGGCTAACAAAGATGCAAGGTATATCTAGGCTAGGTGCGAGGTAACAACAATACGAGAGCTACAAGGGAACGAGGCCTAGCAACGAGAGTCCGATATATACCCAACTAGTCCTGATCCCTCTTCTCCACCGCCTGATCCCTGTACGCCGCCAAGACCGAGTCATGCCCGTGAGGGCGGTGCGTGGATAAGGGTGAGAATGTGGGGAGGACCGGAAGGTACGACCGAGCGAGGCGCGAGACGAGAGGGTAGATAAGGTAGGGCTTGGCCGAGAGCGGGGGAGGTGCCGCGTGGGGCGCGCGTGGAACCGAGAGTGGAGATAGTGCTGCGCGAGGCACGGGGTAATGAGCGCGGAGTCGGAGGTATGAGGAGCTTGAAGGTTTGGGTGGCAATGCCGAGAGCTGCCGAACCGGCGGGTCCGGATAGGATCATGACAACGTCAAAGGCGCCTTCCGCGGTCACGACCCCGGATGGGGTGACTCTCTGGACGGCGGTGAGGGGCCGGATGGCGCCGGTCGAGAAGTGTTTCAGAAGGACGTCTGATATGGTAGCGGGAGAGGAGTGGAAGGGGGGTGCAGGCAGTAGTTTCCAGGCGGGATCGATGTGGATAGAGGGGTCGGCCGAGATTGCCGTTCTATAGTACCTCTTGACGATCTTTTCGAGAGCTTTATCGGCGAGATAAGCCATGACGGTCGGCATGAGCGAGTTGGTCCAGCCACCAAGCCAGAAGATCCGACGTGTCGCCGTTTGGTCTGATGGTTTTGCCTTTCATATAGCGCGGTAGCTGGACCAGTCAGCTTCGTCTTCGGCTAAGTAGGCCTGCTATTACTCACTATCCGCCCGCCTCGATGATGTGAGAGATACACGCTCTCCGCCGTACCCATTAAGGAGGAGGCGGTATCAGACCCGGTGTTGCCCATCCCGACCACCAGTACTCGCTTGCCCTTGAATGGTTCAGGTCTGACGCGTTAGCTACGCTTCGCAGCAGATCCGCTGCGCCTACTCACCCCTTATAAGCTCTAGTATGAAGCTGCTTCCCCTCAAAGACCTCCAGCCCTGGCAACTTCGGCATGACAGGAGCGCCTAACGCCCCAGACGCCACATACACCCGGTCGTACACGCCAACCTCGACTTTGTTCTCCCCAGCAACCGCGCCCTCTGGAACCGCCCGCGTATAGGAGACTTCCCATTTGTCTCCTGTGAGAGACCGCTGGACCCGCTTGACAGCAGTACCCAGGTGAAAGCCCCGGCGCAGAGCGAAATGGTCGGCGTAGGACTCGAGGTAGTCTGCTATTTGATCGGCGGAGGGAAAGTCGGGAGTGCCTGGAAAATTAGTACCTCTATTCAGTCGCAAGACGGCCACAGACATCTGCAACAGGGACATACCAGGTGGGAAGGGGAAGTCGGTGTATGCATTCTGTCCAGCTGTTAGCCAGGTACTGCCTCGAACGAAAAGGTCGAATATCGCTTACGCTATGATGCGAGGTATTGGACATAGTAGCTGTAGTCTGAGCGACAGCCCTGAACGAGGGTACGTGGTTCCGGAGACACATGTCACTCACTCTTGAGAACAGAGAGCAGGTTCTTATCCTCGTTATACCTCCACAAACCGCCAATATGCTGACTCCGCTCGAGCGCCTCCACTTCAAACCCCTGCTCGACGAGATTCTTGACTGCTGCCAGGCCAGTCACACCTGTTGTATCAGCTCGCTCAGTCTTTGAGAACTCATAATAGGAAGCGTGTATATATATTGCCTCGCAACTCACCAAGACCTATAACAGCGACCTTTGTCCGCTCGTTACAGGCGCGTACAGCGGGATTGAGTTCCGACATCGTATTAACGGCGTGCGCTGTGAGAGGAGCTTGCAGGCTTGCAAGTGGATATGAAGCGCGTTATGCAGTTAGTGCCGCTTGGACGTGCTACATAGGGCTATGGTAGTGACCGTTAGTGAGGTCGGCAGATAAGAAGGTTGTACAGCGGTGCGCTAGTCGCGCATGGCACGCGGAGCATGTGGAGCTTGGCGGCTTAACTTTAGACCGAAGTCCGAAACTCCGAAGCACGCCGACGCCGAAGCCGAGGACCAGTGATACCACTATATCTTCTTGCATAGTTGGCGAGACAGCTATATCGTGTCAAATACCTGCCAGCTAGCTGTGCATTACACGTTGTAGTGGGAGATCAGCGGGTCGCTTCCCACCCACTACAACGTCATAAGAAGAAGTACAACCAGCTTCATCTAGACCTGAGACGCCCAAACCCCGTGCAACTCCCTGTACTCCGGCACCTTGATGTTGTCCGTTCCAAAGTCCTGCTTGTGAAACAAGTCCACCACCAGCTGCGGGTACGGCAGGTTCCAAAGTGTCCCCACTATCGCCGCCAAGCCCCGCAGAATCGCCACGCCCCAACGCGTCCTGGGGTGCGCCGCGACAGGGATGAAGCCTGGGAGATGCTGAGCCTTTTCCGCAATGGGTCGCATGATCCGTTCGTACCGCTCGAAAGCGACTTGATGATCGAGAGTTGTGCCCATGCCCGAGATGGGAGTAGCTGAGGCGGCCGCGTCACCGATCATGACGACTCGACCGGAAGAGTAGCGAGGCGCCTTGACCTGTACTAGATCTTCGCAGTAGAGGTCATCGAGCTGGTCGAGCTGCGAGAGGATACGCTCGGCCTCCCAGCCCGCCCCGTTGAATTGGGTGCGCAGGATTTCGATCCGTTCCTGTTGGCTGTGCTGCATGTAGTCGACCGGAGTCACGAAGATGAGACAGACCCGAGTGGTACCGTAGGGATCGGGACGAGTGGATATGGAGCGCCGGCCAGGAGGCGTGTACCACTTGGCCCAGCGGTCGTCGGTCTCGATACGGGGGACAGTAGCGTATGCGATAGCTGAAAGTCAGCGGGGCACGGAGATGACAGGGCTATGATGACGAGACATCGTATGGTGCTCGGATGAGGACACAAGAGGAGGAAGAGCTTTGACTCAAACACTCACACATTGTTAGGAATCTGAGATTCTAGGCTCTCTGAAGCGGGAAGCGAATAGGTAGCGAGGAGGCACCCCTGTTCGGAGGCGAGCTCGGTAGCGAGTAGGAACTCCTATGTCGAGTAGGAGATCCAGAGAGTGCGACGCCTGAGTAGGCGAAATCCCATGCCGTACTGCTTAGGGCAGTGGCGGCAGGTCAATGTGGCGCGCTGAGGGCGTCGAAGCCATGGACCAAGTAGGCTGTGTATGGACTATAGGAAGTCCTAGCACAGTAGGAGTTCCTATGGCGTGTAGGAACTCGTAGGGACTTGTAGGAAGATCTCAGGGATTAGTAGGAAGATCTGTAGGAACTCGTAGGAACTCGTAGGAACTCGTAGGAACTCGTAGGAACTCGTAGGAACTCGTAGGAACTCGTAGGAACTCGTAGGAACTTCCTACACTCTGTAGGAAGTTGTCAGGCTGGAATATACAAGGAGGTCATTTCGAGTCCAATGCATCCTCACTCTGCAGTCGGAAAAGTGTCTTGCCCATCCTGGTCCCTGGAAAAGTTAACACACATCCCCAACCTCTTGAGTTCGACTTCGTCCCCAAATACCAGTCTCCTCGTCCTGGACCTGACTCCGTCCGCCACGACGACAATATCGAAGTCCTCTACCCGGCCACTCTGGAAAGTCACTGAGGCCTTGCCCTGCTTGTCACCCTGTCTCGTCAGCGAGAATTCCCCCAGGAGAATAGAGCAACATACCGTTCCATTCTCCTCATCATCGATCCCGACAATGCAGTCTCCAAACAGGTATCGGGTGCTCTCCTTCGTGGCATTATACAGCACCTGCGCGAAGTCTCCTCGCAGTATCTCGAGCTCAGTAAAAGGGCCATTGGCCGAGGTAGGGAAAGCGGCAATCTTCGAGCCGTCTTCGCGGACGATCTGTAGACCTTTCGCGGTGGTGTTCCGGGACTTGACCGCGTCCAATAGGCCCATCTTGGTAATGATCTCGCGCTGACCAGTCAGCACTTACGCGTCAGGAGTAGTGTACGAGATACGGCAGAGAGCATGGTACTCACGCCGACTCCCCGCACGTCGATATTCTGTCCACCGCCCCGAGGCTCATGCCACCGCTCGACAATGGTCGTCTCGAAGCCGTACCTGTTGAGCCACCACGCGGTGGAGGGACCGGATATACTGCCCCCGGAGATGAGAACCGATTTGCCTTTACCGAAGGACAGCGGAGGGCTAGGAAGGGTCATAGCGCGAGATATTGTTGTGAGCGCGGATGAGGTGAACGAGTAGGTTGCGCGAGGGCGCTGAATGGTATCAGGAAGGAGGTCAGGGATAGTCGTAGCAGATTATATGCGTGAGAAGTACTGAAATATCATGCGCGATGCTGTGCAGCTGTGCTGGCAATGATGACTGAGGGGACACGGACACACGGACAGCATCTCAGCGGCGCTCTCCGCTTCCCCAGCTGTAGTGTCAGCATGCAGCATTGTCCCCCCAGCCTCAGTCACTGCGGCCTCATCGCATCGACTCTGGCGGCCTTACTCACAGTCACATCACAGTATCAGACATCATAAGATACTTCGAGAGGGGAGAAGAGGGAGCTTCTAATTAGATTGCTAGGGTCCCATGCCCCTGCTCCGCATTCCGCATTCCTCATACCGTAAAGCTCCTTAGCTAGGTCCTCGACGTTGAGTCGACAGGACCTGGTGTCAGGAGAGAGGAACAACGGGATTACTCGTGACGTTCGTAAATCTACGTATAGCGACAGATATGCCCTTCGGTCCTCACTCCGCCCATCCTGAGGACCCTCAACTTCTTCCCTCGCCATTACCACCAGTACCAGTAGCCGTACCCCTCCCCTCCCCAAACGTCAAGTCCAACGACGCCCCCATTTCCTGTAATTCCACCCTAGGCGGCCCGACCTCCCTCGAAGAAGAGCTCTTCTTGACCATCAGATCCGACATGGTCCCCCACCTCTCTCGTCCCTGGGCTCTTTCATCCCCCGTACTCGAACTCCCTTCCGAGCTCTGCGTTCCCGTCCGTTCTGCCCGCTTGCTGTACTTCCTGCTAATCTTCCGCTCAAACCATCCAGATTCGGTATGCCGCCTAGGTGCCTCGGGACGCGGACGCTCGGGCCAATTGAGTCCCGGAGATGGTTTCCGGCTCCCGGCACTGGCGCTGGGGCCCGCACCCGCACTGACGCTAGTCATAATCCCGACGCTGACGCTACCGGTAGACGGAGAGGGCGATAAAGATCCGGCCGTACCCCTCTGAGCTGGCATATCCGGTTGAATCTCCGAGTTTCGCCTGCTCCGAAGCAGAGGGAACGCCTTCAGCTTGCCCAGCGCCTTCTTGGTCCCGCCAAACATAAGCAAACGGGTGCTCAGCCCCTTCGTAGGCGAGCTCTCGCGGGATGACGAGTCGGACGTACTCCGTGTCGCTTGGGCCTGGCGGCGCAGCCCAGATGTCATGATCGTACTAGGCCGCCTCCTCAGCCGGGTAAAGAAGCTCGAGGGGGGCACGCTTGGCCCATACCCGTTTGGCGCACTGGGTATGTCCGCGTCCCCCTCGAGAGCCTCCCAGTCATCCTCCCCGAGCTGGGTGATCGTCCCGTGCAGGTCGACCGAGAGGCGTGAGGCAGGGACAGAGTCGACGCTCTGCAGGTGCGGATGACGCCGGATGAGCCTGGGCGCGGCGTCGAGGGTAGGGGAGGGGATGGAGATGACGTCCGATACGGATAGGCCGGACGCCGGGAGGCCCGAGGGTAGACGAGTGGGTTGAGTGTCGGGCTTGGGGCGGAGGATGGGGATGGGAATGGGTTTGTGCGTGGTGGTGGCTGGTCGAGAGGCGATGGGAGCGCCGAGTGGAGCGGGACAAACCGACTCCGATGATGCAGTATTTGCTGATGGCGCCTTCTCGGTCTCGGCCTTTGCAGGTTTGACCGTTTCCAGAGCGCGCAGGAGGTCCACTTTGGCCGGGGACGAATCCGCTCCTGAGTGATTCTCGATCCGGAGGGGGATCTCCTGCGTAGACGCGTGGGGCGTGATGAGCCGTTCTGGTGAGGTAGCGGGCGAGCTGAGTTGCATGGACGACATAGCTCCGCTCAGAGGTACCGGTATGAGCTTGGGCGTATCTGTCTGAGGTGGTAACTGTGCCGACGCTTCCGAGACGATTTCGGCCGTTGATTCCGGCACGGATCCTGGCGTAACGGTCCGTGGTGGTGGCTGTACCACCCCTTCCGGGTTGATCTTGACCGTCGGCTCCTCCACACCCATGCCAGTCTCCTCACCCACCTGGACCACAGGTACCGCCTCATCCACCTCCATCGAAACGATACTGCCCACATCGTCTCCGCCCATCTCTCCTTCTGGCTCTGCGAGCGACATGCTCGACCCCGATCCTGATCCCGATCCCGAATCAGTGATCTCCGACCCTTCTCTGATCACCATCCCGGCCCCAGCCGCATGCGCCGCCTCCTCCGCTTCCGCCTCTTCCAGCTCTTCAAGCTCCATCAACCATTCCTCCCTACTCCAGTAGAACCCTTCCAGCTCCTTCCGACACTTGGCCTGCTCAAACTTGTACGTATTCTCATCATTGAGCGCCGTCAGTCGCCGCCCGAAATCCGTCTCGGCGCTCTGGTCGGATTCTTCCCGATTATGCGTCGACATGTCGACGTTGGGGTCCTGCTCGAGGCAGAGTTTGGGGAAGTAGCGGGTATTGTATTCTGCCAAGGGGTGGAGGTGGAGTTCGTGGGGATCGACATAGTCGCCTGAGCGGACATTATCCCAGTCGCTGGTCGTCAGCTTGGGTCGGAGTGACGGGCTCGGATAGCTCACATCTGCGAGAAGTAGAAATGGTCTCGTACGCATGGCTCAGTCAAGCGACGCATTGGGTCTTTCTGCAATAGCTAAATAGTCAGCTCATGATCCCTTTGCCTTGACTTCGGTACGGGCCCTCAAGCTCACCCCATCCAAGAACCCCTCAGTGACCGCGTCCAGCCCCATCTCGACCCTCGTCTTGCGCTTGTGCCTCGGTTCCTCAAACATGTGATCCCACGATTCAAAGAGGATCCGGTTGTACAGCACTTGCTATATGTATCAGCTATAGGATCCTCGTGTTGGCTATCTTAGCTTACAGGTGGCTCATCATCGTCTTTCCTGAACGGCACCCTACCCAGCAGACATTCAAAGAGGATACACCCCAACCCCCACCAATCCACCGCATAGCTATACTCATGGCCTCTGACAACTTCCGGCGCCTTCCGATCAGCTCCCGTTCCCCTTCATCCCGTCCAGCCAGCCAGTCGGCGCACTCACAAGGTACTCTGTCGTCCCGACAAAACTCCACGCCCTGTCCATGACAATCCGTTTCTTTCCCGCTGGACTCAATCTCAGACTCCCCGCACCTGCGCCGGCCCAATGTGGGAGTACCATCTCTCCCTGATACAGCGGGACATGGAGGGGCTGGGGTTCGCCCCGATAGTCGAACTCCTTGGAGAGACCGAAATCGGCAATGACGCAGTGGCCCGAGGCGTTCAAGAGGATGTTTTCGGGTTTGAGATCTCGTAGTATCACGCCGTGTCGATGTCTGAAAGTCAGCTTTGATCCTTGCGGCAGCAAGCACAGAGACACCCAGCTCACAGATCCTCCAAACCTAGAACCAGATCCGCCGCATAAAACCTCGTCCGCACATGCCCCAACGTCCCAAACATTTCCAACTGCGTCGCCAGATCCCCACCGGGATAGAAATCCATGACAAAGTAGAAGTTCTCGCGGTCGGTGAAGGAGTAATTGAGGCGGGTGACAAAGTCGTTATGGGGTTCGTAGATGGCGAAGCGCTTGAGGATGGAAAGTTCAGTGAGGATGTGTGGGAGCTCGTCCGAGGCGAGGACGGAGCGCTTGGAGATGGCCTTCATGGCGTGGACGGTGTTTTGGCGGGAGTGACGGACGAGCAGGACCTGAGAGTCAGCTACTTCTTACCGGGTGAAGGTGGGGCTCAGCTTACCCGGCCAGCACACCCCTTGCCGAGGACACGGATCAACTCGAAATCCTCCAGCTGGACTTTACTTCTCCCTCTGTCCTTGGTAGGACTGACAGACCCCCGCCCGCTCGGCCCGCTAGAGTGACGCCTGGACTGATCTGCGTCTCCCGACGTCAAAGTCGACCTCGTCATCGTAGAGTTGGACGGAGAGGCACTGGCCTGGCTTGTCCGAGCCGGAGTCTCGACGATGGGTTGCGGAGGAGGCGAAGACGGTTGTGGGGTCGGCTCTCTGGACTCGTGCGGTGGTGACGGGGCCAAGAGGGGAGAGTACCGCTGGGAGGTGATGGCCATGGTGAATGAGGGAAGCTCGAGCTGGGGAAGGCGAGTACTGTATGATCAGAAGGCGAGCATGGACAAAGTTGAGGTACAGTACAAGGCAGTGATGTGGGAGGATCACTAGTTCGAAGCCATGGAGATATACTCACATTGTGCTCTGCTCAAGCCCGGCGCTCAGTCCGGCGGGTGATGAGGCCCACTTCTCAACTCCGCTCAAGCACGTCTGGGCTGCACGACGCCCTCGCGATCCTTTGACAATGACGTGCGGCCGGAGCGCGTCTTATCTGACGTGTATGGAACTTGGCTTCTATTGGCGTTTGGACCGATCGGCGAGGCTTCCGGTCGAAGAAGCTGGAGCGTGGGTCTGTTGTACCAGATAAGCGAGTGGGTTCTGGAAGGGTCGATTGGGAATTTTGGTGATGATGGTGATCACCCTCAAAGGATGGGCGATGCGTCGTGATGATGTCGTTCCTTGGTCGTTGCACTAGTCGTAAAGGGGTCGTAGCGCTGTATCTAGGTCGTACTGGGTAGCTAGGTGGCTGCCGGTCCTGAGGCTTGAGTAAGGGCGATTATCGGTAACTGAATTATAAGTCGCGTCCAGAGTGAAAGATAGGGTATAGGAAGGCTTGAAGAAAAGCAGAATGAGAAGAGAGGGATGAGGATAAGCGGACAGGGAAAGGGGAGGTCCGGGTGTCGACTTGAAACAAGGCACAAGGGGGTCAACTCGGACAGAGCACAGCCTGTCTTTGGTGTGTACTCTACTCGCAAGGCAGCGAGGGTATAGCGACGTGAACAGGCACTCACCTCATTATTCCTGGCTCTTATGACAATCGTCACAAGAGGATGAAATGAAGTGGCCATCTCACGCGCCATTCAAGGTTTGACAGAGTGGAGCACAGGGACACCCTCGTCAGCGGTAGAGGTCCGAGCGCGATTCTTCCCCATCACCCCTTCAGCTCCGCTCCTCCCGGTACCCAGTCCATATCTTCTAGCAAGATCGGGCTGATTCCGAGCGGTCTTCCAGCTAGTCGAGCGCGTCGAGACGAGAGGTGTGCGACAAACAGCATGGCGAGGCGAGGTACTCTACAGCGGATGAAACAAGGTGGTGCAAGCGGGAAAATGTTTCAGATTTCCGGACTCAACTGGACCATCTCGTCACCATCACCTCCACCGTTCATACATCCATCACCTCAAGCTCAACTCAGGATGGAAGACCTCAGCAGTATCTCACAGGCCATACAGGAAGCCCTTGATCCCAGTACGCTGCTCTGTGCTAAAAAGACTTGATGAGTACCGCACGCTGACGCGTCAGAACCGGGACAAGAAGAACCCTTCACCCTTCTCGAGATCGTCCAGGGGTACCTGGGTTCCAAGGACCCCAATGTCCGGCACTTGGTTCTCGAAGTTCTCAATGAGATCATCACGGATGGTTCTGAAGATCAGATACGGACACGTAAAGTAAGCTCCCCAACGCTCACGTGCGCTGAATACAGCTGATCAGGCAGGAATTCATATTTGGCGATACAGTCCTCAGCTACTTGCCTCTGCTCTTGCCGCTCCATTCGGACGCGCCGGGACTGGTAGAGACGCTCGTGGAGGCCTGTGTGGAGGTCTGCTCCCCTCGCGAGGCTATTCTGGCGTTGAACGAGTCGTGCCAGTTGTTGGAGGAACGGGCGGAGCGGTGCGATGTCAGTAAGGATGGAATGGACACCGATGGGGACGACGACGAAGATGAGGACGAGCCTGTACATGAGGCAGATCCGGAAGATCTGGTCGATGAGTTCGTCGTCGTAGTTGATTCTTACAGCAAAGGTAAGCTGCAAGATCATGAACCTGGCGGTCTCCAGCTGACAAGCAGTCTTTGCCCGGATGCCGCGCATCAAGTCCACTCCGACACTGATGACCACCTTCGACGCCATCTCCTCCACATTACGATGTCTCCTACCCGGATGTACCTCCTCACAAGCTTCGACGTTAGCGCGGGGGATGGCTAGTCTGATTCAAGCGGCCTACGCATGGGTCGGACGGAGCACAGATACCGGTGGAGAGCAACGTGTACGTCCTCGACTTCTTTCCCCTCCTCTCCCGTAGACGATACGATTTGCACATCCCGGGTAATCAGCAATTCTCATTGAGCTGACCCTACAGGCGATCCTCACTCAACTGCTCCACATGTCCATCGCCCTCCTCATCCCACGTACCCGCCCCCAAACCCTCCAAGCCTGGTTCCTCGCCCATTTCCCCCAATACGCGCTCCTCCACCCCTCATCCTCCCAATCCTCTTCACCCAATACCGGATCAACCCCGCTGGCCGCCCTCCATACCGCGTCCCAGACCCTCTGTATCGGCCTTCCCGACTTGATCGACCTCATCTCTCAGCACTCCTCCATGTCCCGGGTATCCCCATATGCGCCCCTCTCGGCGCTTACACTCATCGCGCATCGACTGGCCCTTCCGACACCGATATCCCCGGACGCAGAGAGCGAGAAGATAGATCTACCGGGAGTAGATGATCTTCTCGTTCTTCTCTCATCGGGACTGAGCAGCTCCGCTGTAGATGCAGCAGGCACAGTAGCGTGGGAGGCGGTCCACCGTGCTCAAGTAGGGGAGATCGACTCTGCATCCCCACTCGTCGAGGTGAGCTCTACTATACGGTGGTCTCTGGTTTTTCGGACTCAGTTGATATCATATTCAGATCCTCATGCCTCTGGTCACGTCCGACCCGGACCCGCTGAATCGGCTCGCATGGTTCAAGCTCAGCCAAGCCCTCGTTGAGAAGGCTCCTCCGGGACTAGACCAGATCTTACTCCTTGAACAAGTCAGCTTCAATTTCCATATCCACCTCAAGGGACAAGCTGATCTATACAGATGCTAGAGCCTGCGAACCCATACGATACTCTCCGGCCCCAAGCGCTCTCCCTCCTCCGGGACCTGCTTGGCCGCCCTCCCTCTTCCTCCACCTCTTCCTCCCCGTCGTCGTCAGTCCTTCAATCGGGACTCCTAGACCGCCTCCCCCTCCTCCCCTGGACGGAGCACCTCGAACTCTCCACCTCAGAATTCATCGAAGGTCCGAACGGCGCGTTCGTGACTGATCAGCTATTGACCCTGAGGTTATTGTATGAGCTGGATAAGGGGGATGTGACGGGCGTGAGGAGTGAGCCGTGGATGGGGAGGATAAGGAAGAGCCTGGAGCGAGTGGAGAGGAAGGTGAAGGAGATGCGGGGCGGGCTGGAAGAGGCTGGCGCTGGCAATGAGGAAGGGATGCGGGTGATGGAGGAGTTCTTCTGGGCGAGGCTGGAAGAGGCGGCGCAGAGGCTGAAGGAGCGGATCGGGCAGGCGTAGACCGGTCGGAAACCATATAGACTAGACAGTAGAACGTAGATGCTATGTCGACCGGAGTCCTTCCAAAGCCGCACTGGTACCCGACTCTGTCTCGCCAGTCGTCAGACAAAGTGCCACGGTTCAACAACCTGGGCGGGCGCCTGGGCGTCAGTATTGGTACTTGAGTATTCAAAGTCAGAACAAGACCAGTCCGTATCACTTCTGTGCATCTCTTCTTTCTTCTCTACCTACCCCCACGAGCATGATGAGTCTTCCAGATGACTGAAACTGATGAGTTTTATGGCAAATAACTAAAGACTTTTGAAAGGGGAAGGGGAAAGGGGGAAAGGGGGAAAACTAGACTAGACTACAAACTGACGAATTATATACCCAAAGATAGAGACCACGCATGAAAGAAAGACGAGAGGAGAAAGAAGCCCAAAGATGATGGTGTTGGTAGAAGAGAAGGTGATGATGGTAGAATGGGATGGAAAGAGAAGAAAAAGATTTTGATGGCGCTGAAATCGCCTTCCGCCCACGTCGCTCGCCGTAACCGCCTGCCAGTGTTCCGCAGGTCCGCCCGTCTCGCCCGCCGTTTTCGCTGGTTTTTCCTCGAGATTTTGCTTTTCGCTTCCTTCCCATTCGTACCCCGACCTCCCTTCTCCCTCCGCCCTCAACTTGGATCCCCCCCCCTACTCATCTGACCCCACACGCGACTCCCGCCTCAGGTATACACCGCCAGCGACGAGTCCAGCTGCTTAAGCAGCAGGGGGAGCCGAGGCGCCAGTAGGGCACGCCGACGAGATGTGGCCGACCTGACCACAGTTGTAGCACTGGATGTCAGCTTGACTCAGAAAGCGGCGGCGATCGAGTTAGCTTACGGTGCGGCCCTGCTCCTGGGGGCACTCGCGGGAAATGTGGCCGTTCTGGCCGCAGTTCTGCCAAGTCAGCTACTAACCCGCCACGAAGGACGTCGTAACTCACGTAGCACCTCTGGCCACCGGCCGGGGCACCACCACCGAAGCCGCCGCCGAAGCCGCGTCCGCCACCGGATCCACCGCCGGCCGAGGGACACTCGCGCGAGATGTGGCCGACACCACCGCAGGTCTGACTATCAGCTACTGCCTCCAATGTTTGAGACATGTACAACTCACGTAGCAGGACTTGCTGCCACCACCGTAGCCACCGCCACCACCGTAGCCGCCAGCACCGCCAGCAAAGCCACCGCCGAATCCGCCAGCCTGGCCACCAGCCTCGGGGCAAGCGCGGGCCTGAATGTCAGCTTCATTCTTCTACTCCTTCGAAGCCCTGTACAGGAAAACTTACAATGTGCCCGGGCTTACCGCAGCGGTAGCAGTCACCGGCACCACCGCCGCCAGCACCGCCCTGAGCGGGACCGGTGGGGCAAGCGGAGGAAAGGTGTCCCTCCTGGCCGCAAGAGTAGCACGCCTTGGGCTTGGGGGTGGGGCACTGAGGGTCAGCCAAAGCGATAGCCAAAGAAGAAAAGGACTAGGACGCACGTCACGAGACAAGTGTCCGGGCTGGCCACAACCGTAGCAGGCAGCAACGCCGGGAGTGGGGCAAGCGGAGGCAACGTGGCCAGCTGACGATATCAGTTTCAAGTTCTCCCTAAAAACAAAACAAATGTGGACGGGGGTCAGTAGGTGCTTTTGGTTCTGGTGTGGCTGTGTGTGCTATGAGACGACGACGGAAAGAATTGGTAAGGGAAGGAATATCATATGGAGCAGGATGTCTAATGAGCTTCTCCCGTCTCTCCCTGGCCAATAGCGAAACTCAGGAAGGACAGAGTAAGGTGCCATAGCCCTCCGAGGGAGACTCGACCAGACTCTGCCCTTACTTGAGTTATGCTATCGCCACCCGCCGACACCACCGCCCATCCCTTCCTTCCTCACATCCCCACGACCAGAAAGACCACAACCAGCACACACAGCCCCACACCAGAGAAACACCCACTACCTTCCGTTCCACAGCCTCCTTCGTCCACATCGAAATGGGCAAAACTAACGCTGGCCGCAGTTGAAGCAGTTTCCTGATCGAGCGCCGAACATTTTATTATCTGATTTTTGGTTTTGGTTGGTACGAGGAGAGTTTGAAGGCTGACGAGTCAGTGAGCCGGATCGTAGACCAAAAGCGCGAGTAGGGGCGGTGAGGGATATACGGCGGATGAGGGTGGTGTACATGTGCAATGGAAGAGTAGGGGAAAAGACTTACAGAGAATGATATGAGAGGAGGAGGAGCTTGGGCGGCGGCGAGGCGGGAAGGGGAACAGGCAGGAAAAATCTTCGCAGGGGCGGGAGACACGTGGTCGGCGTTATGGGGCGGATATAGCCGTGTGGCGCCTTTCGGCGAGGAATGTGGATCTAGGTGAGAGGCAGGCAAGCGGGGGTCGTTAAAGTCCATATGCATGCGCGCTCGGAACATTGTGGGGTCTGAGATGAGAGCATGCGACACGAAGTAGACAGCAAGCATAGCGCAGGTGCATTAAGAAGACACAGGATCGGAGGCGAGGATCTAAAGGAAGTACCTGGAAATCAGCGCTATACCAGCAAGAGAGCTCACCTGTCCCCAAAGTCTCCCAGACCAGGAACGATATATCGATGGCCATCCAAACCTTCGTCGACCCAAGCAGTGATCTGTGATGTCAGATGTACTCCAGCGACATCTTCTACCCCGACGACTCACCATCCGAAGCTTGGGGAAGAGGTTGCAGACGTTGTTGATACCCTCGGGAGAAGCGATCTGCGGCGGTCAGCTCTACCCTGCGATACACAAATCACAGCGATGATAGCTGACCAAGTTGAGAAACAAGATCCGGTCTTCCCGTACACCGTGAGACATGAGGACCTCGATGGCTTTGATACATGATCCGCCGGTGGCTAGGGGTCAGCTTAACGTCCCGCTCGCACGGAGGAGACATAGACAGCTCACCAAGCATAGGGTCAAGAAGGAGCACATAACGTTCGGCGATGTCTTCCGGGAGCTTGGCGTACTAGGTCGATCAGCAGGATGTCGATGAAGCTTCTTTGGAAGATCGCGAACCCACGAAGAGCTTTGGCAATGCGGTTTCTTCGTCACGTTGAATCAGGATCTGTCTGCGTCAGCTCCACCGAAGCAATACAGCACAGATACAAGCGAACCTTCCCTATCCGCACTGTAGGGTCAGCTTGGCATTACATCCCCGGATACACCGGTGAAGGTGCAGCTCACCAGACCGACAGCAATCTCGCAGACCAGCCTCCATAGCCTGAGTTGTATCAGCCATCATGAGCTCTCGACATTTCAGTGAAAGTATAGCTGACCTCTCCAGCTGCAGGTATTAGCTTCGCGTTCGTGAATCACCATACATCTCCATTCCAAGCTCAGCTCACCTCGCATGATCGATACTCCGCATATTCTCCCTTGGAACGAAACACCGTCAAAGTCCATCCCGACCGGTGTCCGTACTGTCTTGGGCACAACAGGTAAATGATTCAGTCCTTCTTCCACCAGAAGTCGGATGATGCGGTCAGACGTGCTTTCTTATCAGCTGTAGCCCCGTCGCTCGCGAACTCCCAGCTGATCAGTCACATACAAGACGAAATCACCACTGCCTTATCAGCTATCTGCACTAGGGAGCATAAGTGCATGGCAGCTGAGACCTACCGCTGTGTCTTCTCATCCCTGATGATCGTCAACAGCGCCTGCAGCTGATGCGTTGGTGGCAGAATCAGAGCGTTGTCAGGCAGCTCCGCCTGGTTCACGTTGCAACCTGAAGCGGGGAGCGAGATGGTCGCTGTGTTGGGTGATGGGCGTGTTGAGCTCATGACGGATGACGCTGGGCGCGATGAAGCTCTGACTGTGAGGTGTACAAGTCAAGTGCTGCTAACGGCTGACGAAGGCTGGAGTTGAGAAGCTTCAGCTTGAGCCGAAGCCAAGCTGCAAGCTGAAGCGACCCATTCCTCAGTTGTTTGATAGGCAAGTTCGGCATGACGTGTCCGCTTAATGACGGCAACCCCATCTGAAACACGTGAAACCCGACACGGGTATATCCGAAGCCCCGCGTTTGCGGGCCCCTTTGCTCCGAAATCTTCGCCCGCCAGATTGAGATTGCCAGAGGTTAATTCGGTCCGATCATAATGACTCGATGTATGTACCACATCTCTCGCTCTTTGTACATATTGCGCCCCACTCCCTCAGCGCACTCGCTGTGGAGATCTAAAGAGAGATGGGCGAGCCGATGAACGCCGCGCGAGGGTTGGAGCCCGACCCGATCCCTTCAGACGTACCCGCGACCGCGCCAGTTCGGGGGGATATCGAGCGGGGATATAATCGGCCTGATGGTGTAGAGACGCCTGGTTCGGATGTGACTGTACACAGAGATAGAAAGGGGAGTGCTGCGCCTAGTGAACGAGGAGAGAAGTCGAGGACGCGCGGAAAGGGCTTGACGGAGGGAGATGCGGGTACGTCAACTTTGCCCCGAATGGGGGTCGAGGCTAGAGCTGACATGGGACAGATATGGAGGATATACCTAAGAACAACATGGCGCTTGTAATGCCTTCGTACGTCTGCTCTCACCACCGACCGGCTATCATGCGTTACTATACACCGCTGATATTTCAGAATAGGTCTTGTGCTGTTCCTCGCGGCGCTGGATCAGACCGTACGTCCAGAAGGGTCCCTCTACATTGAACCTCGCGAGCTGACATTATAGATTGTTGCAACTGCGCTTCCCACAATAGCGGAAGAGCTGAATACCACGCCCTCCGAGTATCAATGGGTCGGCACTGTACGTCTCCCCTCCGATTTGCTAATCACCGCTGACTGCCAGTCTTACCTTCTCGCTGCGCTTCTTCAAGGACCCATGAACGGCCGAGTGAGCGATATAGTGGGGCGGAAGCCAATGCTCTAGTGGGTCCGATTTCAGCAGGTTGCGTCAGGGATTCTCTCTGACCGCCAGCGCCGCGATCGTCATCTTCACGGTATCATCAGCGCTCTGCGGCGCTGCCAAGACCGCATCTTGGTAAGCCCTACTCCCCTACTCCACGATGACGGACCTCAGGCTGACATGACAGGCTCATCATCGCTCGAGCATTCCAAGGTCTAGGTGGGGGGGCTATCATTGGTCTGACGTGAGTCTTATGCTTTGTATTGTAGGGCCGAGCTACGCTGATTTCCGTTAAGAAGTATCGTCACTTGTAGGTGGTTCACGGTTCTCTCATCTAAATATAAGCTGACTCTGCAGCTGATATCACCCCTTTACACAAGCGAGGATGGTACCAAGGTCTCCTTGGACTAGCTTGGAGCGTCGCCTCGGTACTCGGACCCATCTTGGGCGGTATCTTGACCCAAAAAGCAAACTGGAGATGGTGCTTCTGTCAGTATTGTTATCATCATGGTGAAGTGTGCTGGTACAATAGCTCATACACTCAGATATCAACCTCCCAACATGCGCTATAGCCCTCGTCGGCCTGTTCTTCACCCTCAAACTAAACAAAACGAAAGCCTCGACGTTCCGTCAGCTTCTGCAGACGTTCGACTTTTTGGGATTGCGAGTTACACCTCCTATATCACATGGACTGCGCTGACATCTCAGAGCGCTGGTCATGGCAGGAGGAGCACTCCTCGTCGTCGGCTTTGCATTTGCGGCGGACCATGGTTTCTCCGAGCCTTCATCTTATGGCTGTATCGCGGCTGGATGCGGGGTTATGGTACTTGCTATCTTGAACTGCTTATTTACGAAGCGGAACGCCATCATTCCTGCTGTAAGTTGGACCAGTCGGTCTTGCAATACGCTCAGCTGATGTATTTAGCGTATGTTCTCGAACCGCACGACATTGTTCTTCCTTATCGGCTCGCTACTCCAAGCTACCGCCTTCATACCGATCAACTTCATCCTTCCGCAACTCTTCCAGGGCGTCACTGGCGCCGATACGCTCACGTCCGGTCTCATGCTGTTGCCTTTTGCATTGAGCGTCTCCGTCTGCTCCACTATTGGTGAGCTGTACCCATTTTCAAACGGTGGACTGTGACTCACGCTTTCAGGCGGCTTTGTCAACTCGAAATTCCGAATCGTCCGGCCCGTCGCATGGTTCGGCTACGCATTCGGCGGACTAGGCTACGCCCTCTTCTACGCCTTCTTCACCTACCCTATTCCTCTCGCTACGCAAGAAGGCCTGCAAGTCATAACGGGCGTGGGAATCGGCTTTTCCATCGTCGTCCCCTTGATCGTACTGCAGTCGGCGATGCCACTGAAGGAGATGGCGGCTACGACGGGAGCGTGGAGCGTCACGCGAACGATTGGGGGATCAGTCGGTATGTCCATCTCCGCCTGGCTGGAGAGTTCCGAGATGAGAGGGAAGCTGGCGCTGATCAGTCAGGTCTGGCAGTGTTTACTGCTATTCTCAATACAGGCATCCGGACACGATTCGAAGGGATCCCGGGATACGGGACGGACTTTGTCCTGCCTCAGTCGGTGGAGGGGTATGCGCAGCTGCATAATCTACCAGAGGGGCCAGTGAAGGAGGCGGTCTTGACTGCGTTTGCGGATTCTTTGCGGGTGAGTCTGAAGTTGAGCTGGAGTATAGTACACCAGAGCTCATATTTGTCAGACATGCTGGATCGCGGCTGCAGCCATGATGTTCGCCGCGCTGCTTATCACGCTTCCGACTAGGTCATACTCCACGTCTCGGACGGGCGGGACAGGCGGGGTCAAGCCGGAAAAAACGGCCGATGAGAAGGCGGCAGAGGGGATAGAGGAACATGATGAGAAGGTCATACTGGGCGATGATGACGAGGCAGAGAGGGAGAGAGGGAGAAGTAGGGGTATGGGGCAAGGAGAGAAGGGGTTGGGGACACAATCGAGTACTCCGAGCGATAGGACGGTGGTGGGTAAAGCCGAGGTGCTGGGGGGTCCGGATAAGGAATGAGGGGAATCGGAAGTCTGCTATTCATTCAACTGTGTATAGTATAAGATATCATAGAGCATGTAATAGAGCTCAGCATCGATATCGCGGCTGATACAGAGATGAAGCGTTGTGATAAGGTGAAGAGCCGAGTGATGATTTCGACATCATGGATAAGGGAACTCGGTTGGATTTGATCGGCGTCAGCACCGGATACTTGTTCGCTCCCACTTTCTGGTATGCTTTGTGAGTGAAAAGCGTATGCGAGTGGCGAGCGTGACACAGGCTCAGAAGTCTGCGGAGATACTGTAATCCCGATGAGAGATCATTTGGTCAGCGTCATAGGTGAGTGACGATTAGGGTATGTCACGCTGGTAAAGCTTGCTGAGGATCGTCGTTGCCAGGCACAGTGCCTGGGCGTTCTGGAATCGGATCCCATGGTTCGACAGCGAGATCAGCTTACTTTTGCGGGCGAAAGTCGAGGCCGAGGCTGGTCGGGGATCCCAGCGCCTCACAGCGCCCGCTCCGTCCGGTCTTTATCGCATGACCGTGACCGGCACCACTCCGGCACCTCAGCGGCACGTTTTACAGTGCATTATTCTATGAGGACGCGACAAAGCTTGTGAAGATCTAGGTTGGGTGCATACCGCAGATCTCGAACTCTCCACTCCACCTCCACTGATCGCCCGTTTAATTAGAGGTGCTTATGCACGCCTATGACGTCAGTATGCACGCATTCGGTGTCCCCCGTCGCGTCTGAAAAAGTTGTCTCGGACAGCTTCTCGGACTGATGAAGGTATTGGCCGTATTGGACCACATTCTCGACTTGTGTAGCTCCTTGGGCCTCCATACAATTTGAATCCACTCGTTATCTCATCGCTTTCAAGCGCTCTCTTGCTCACCGCACCCCTTCACGCCAAAAGACCAAAAACTTGACCGCCACGATGTTCACCAAGTGGTTCCACTTTGAAAATGAGGCGAAGACAGATCGTGAGTGAGGGAGCCGTTGCGTCGATAGTTCAGATATGATAATACTCGAGTACGGCTGCTGAGATGATCAGACAAGTACTTCGGAGATTGGAAGAATGATTGTATAGCAGCCATGGTGAGTCTAAGTTGCTCTTCGTGATCGAGGTGGAGGGCTCCAGAAAAGACAGCTGACAACTGTAGGGAGAGTTTGTAGGAACCGTACGTTCATTACCGTAACCTCGGATAGGTGTGACGAACTGTGTACTAACACTGCCAGGTGCTCTTCCTGCTGTTCTCATTAGGAGCAGTACAGAGTGTGTCCACCAACTTGCGGCAAACTGGAAATACGACTGTGGGGGGTATTTCGCAGCCTACTGGTGATGCTGCAACACGGTTGATTGTACGTCTCCTGCTTTGTCCTTGCCCACTGATCGGATGCTGATGACTAGGGCTACTTCTACATGTCAGCAGCATTTGGGATCGCGCTCTTCGCTATGGCATCCATCTTTTACCGATTCACTGGCTCAATCTTCAACCCATCTGTCGGACTCGCGCTGTTCCTGTGCGGTGTCATCAAGCCCGTCCGCTTTATCTGTATGTACCTCGCTCTTGTCCAATCGCTATTGACAGGTACTGACGCTGGTAGTGGTATCTCTGGCCCAATTCCTCGCCTCCATCGTTGCAGCTGCCATTCTCGACGGACTCACTCCTGGCCAATTGTCCGTTGGTGTGGCGCTTGGTCAAGGAACAAGTGTCGCCCAGGGTCTATTTATCGAGATGTTCACCACTGCCGCTTTGACCATGAGCGTGCTAATGTTGGCGGCTGGTAAGCCTTTCTCCTGCGCCTATGCGGCGGTCCGCTGAAGACTTCAGAAAAGCACCTGATGACACCACAAGCGCCGCTCGGATTCGGTCTGACGCTTTGGGTCGTCATGCTGTTCTCAATCCAATTCACCGGTGGTGCTGTCAAGTGAGTCCAATATGCGCTCAATGCTGGTTCAGGACTGACAAAGGCAGCACCGCACGAGCCTTCGGACCTGCGGTGATTATCGGATTCGAAAACTATCACTGGATCTACTGTGCGTATAACCCCTCCCTCTTCTACGTTATATGGCCAAATCTTGGATTGACTGACTTATCCTTTAGGGCTCGGCCCATGTCTCGGCAGTATTCTCGCCGCCATCTTCTACGCGCTGCTCAAGCACCTGCACTACTGGCGTGTCAACCCAGGACAGGATTCGACCGACGTCCGTAAGTGACATTCTTCGAACATCCACGCCGCAATCTCCTGCAGTTCGGAATTTTGCAGATCGCTGACAGTTCAGGTGACTCCAGCATGGCTCACGTCGTTTAATCTACGCAAGCTCGATCAGCGACCCCAAAACCGATCCGCCATTCGGCCATCCGCGACCGCGTCTCTCCCTAATCATCTGTACATAGATAGCCCGCATGTTGAGTCACTCTCCCAATAGAACCCATTTAACAAAATGCATATAGATCTCCTCATTCTACGGTCAGCGCATCGGGCTCTCATCCGCTCTGCTTAGATCAGTCTCTCGTGACCGACCGCTGCGAACGCATCAGGCGACTAATTAAGATGTTGGCAGACGGAGATCCTCCGGTACCCGAAATGAGGAATGTGTAGCTAGAGCCGGCCGGCCGGAACTTGGCACAGCCGGGACCGGGACCGCCGCTGACTTCACGTTCACGCGTCCATGTGCTTGAGATCGATCCACCATACTAGCTTGTTTGAAGGGAGCGGAGTGCCACATTCATCGCTTTCCTATCGATCTGGGCCAGTCATGATCTCTCGAGCTGCCGCGTCTCGGCTAGCGACCTCCACCTTGCGCTCCGCCCTCCCAAGAACGTCCATCTCATCCACTATCCGCCGTGGTCTGGTAAGCTGCCTCACCTCGTTACGCATCAAGACACAGAACGTAGCACAGCTGATACCGCAGATAACAGGTCCACCCGCCAAAACACCCCGCTCCCGCTCTCGTTCCGAAACACCCACCTCCGCCCCTCTCCCCTCTCCTACCCCCTTACCCGAGTTCGCTATCCCCTCTTACTCGCCGTACCCACCCACCGATGGATCAGTGCCCGATGCGGACGGAAAGCCGCTCTATGTATCTGGGAGCGCAGCGGAGCGGCAGGCCAAGTTGAGCCGGATGAGCAGTCCGCTTAGGAGGGGGACTTATGAGAGTTGGTGGACTGGGGAAATGGGGTGGTTCAATGCGGTGTCGAAGGTACGTGCACCTCACTATGATGCAGGGACGGAAGAGGAGAGAAGAGAGTCAAGATGGAGAGGATGGAGCTGATGGAGGTAGACAATCCCGACGTATCGCGTCCTAGATGAGGAAGGGATCCCGGTCAAGAACGCCAAAGTGCCCGACGTAGGTCACGCAAAGAACAGTCCGGGCTTGTGGATCAAGCTGATGTGATAGCTCGACAAAGCAGAAGCACTCAAGATGTACCATACCATGGCGCTCATGCCGATCGTCGATAATATCCTATATCAATCCCAGCGCCAAGGGCGGATCAGCTTTTACATGCAGTGTTCGGGTGAAGAGGCGACGGTCGTGGGCAGTGCGGCGGCGCTGAGGGAGGGGGACGAGATATTTGGGCAATACGTGAGTCAAGCATCTCGGTGCTCGGTGCAGCTTAGAGTGCAGGAGAGTGGGTGAAAGCTGACCGACAGCGCGAATCAGGTGCACTGCTGTACCGCGGCTTCACACTCAAATCACTCATGGCTCAATGTTTTGGCAATGTGGAGGATGTCGGGACGAAGGGTCGGCAGATGCCTATTCATTATAGCGCGCCGGAACTTGGTTTCCACACTATCACGAGTCCGCTTGCTACTCAGTGAGTGCATCTCACTCTGTGACTGGACGTGGGCTAACGAGTAGAATGCCCCAGGCCGCGGGAGCTGCGTACGCGCTCAAGCTGGACAAGGACCGTCAAGGAGATTGTGTGATCTGCTACTTCGGCGATGGAGCTGGTATGTCCTCCTTTCAGCCGGGCAGCAAGAGCGAGAGTTAATGATCAGCGAGTGAAGGCGACTTCCACGCGGCGCTAGGGATGAACTCGGTGCTCGGTGGGCCGGTAGTCTGGCTCTGCCGGAACAACGGGTCAGTCCGCTCGACCCCGATCAGGCTGGCACAGTTGAGCTGATAGTCCAGTTTCGCTATCTCGACCCCAATCATCGATCAATACGCCGGAGACGGTATAGCTTCGCGCGGACCGGCTTATGGGCTGGACACAATTCGTGTCGACGGTAACGATACAGTCGCTGTCCTAGCCACGGTACGCGAAGCTCGTCGTCGTGCGGTCGAGGGCAAGAAGGGCGTCTTGGTCGAGTGTATGACGTATAGGGTAGGACACCATAGTACGAGTGACGATTCCTACAAGTACCGCGCGGTTGAAGAGGTGCAGGAATGGAATGTCGTCGGTGAGTCCTCGTCATCAGCTAGTAGTACATTCGGTACAGGAAGGCAGCTGATACTCCAGACAACCCGCTGCATCGGTTCCGAGCCTACCTCGTCTCCAAGGGGTGGTGGACTGAGGCAGACGAAAAGGCCCTCCTCGCCAAACACAAAAAGGACGTCATGCACGCGTTCGCGAGGGCCGAGAAGCTTCCGAAACCCAAGCTCGGGGAGATGTTTACGGATGTTTGGGCGGTCAAGAAGGGAGAACAGGTGCCTGCTGTCATTGTGAGTGATGTCAGCTTTGGCGAGAGATGGGATGTAGAGTATGGCTGATCAGTCAGAGTGAGCAGAGGGCGGAGCTGGGGAGGTTGTTGAAGAAGTATGGAGAGGCTTGGAAGCCGTGGAAAGAGGGGTTGAAGAAGTTTGCGGAGCAGGGAGAGGACGTTATGGATACGGATGGGCGGGGGGCTTGATGCGACCGGGGAGAGGGTGAGCTGGGAAGCTGGGAAGGGTTGTATACTAGTTGCATTCGTTGTGCTTCTTGCGCTTCTTGTTCTGCGCCATCCTGTGCGACACCTAGGGGCTGAGTAAAGGAGATGGGAGTTTACGTGATGGTGGGGAGGTTGTCCATGCCCTTCTTCTCCATCTAGAGCTTCAGCTTTCCGCCTGCATGCCTGCAAACCGCAGTAGCAATATAACTGACCTTGTCGTTCTGCTCGACCGCATCAGGCTCAGCCTCCTTTGCCTCCTTGGTGATCTCCTCGGAGGGAACGACCTGAGCTTCTGCACCATCAGCACCAGCACAAACGGGGCCGTCTTCTCATCGCGAAGAAAGTACAAGGACGTACCGCTCGACTTGGTGTCTTCCTGGGGCGCCATCCTGGAAATGCTAGTGCTGATAGTCCGAGTAGAGAGGGATGCGGCGGTAGAGCTGAGTAGGGTGGTTGATCGTTTAATGAGCATATGGAGAGAGTTGAGAGAAACGATTCGACTGGTGTTGGGCGAATCGACGGGAGAAGGGGAGAGGGGATGACGTCAGACTTTGGTGCGTCGGGGGTTTAGCAGATTAGCAGAAGTAGTCGACGCGACTGTCCGCTCAGCTTCCTGACCCAGCTTGGGCGTTGTACTTGACCTACAAGATGCCATAGTATACAGGATGAGTGTCCTGATCGCCTCGCAGGCACTGGAGGGCACTGCTATACTGTCTTCCCAAGCGCCGGACTCGTCGGGACCAGTCAAACACAAGGCCCTCTCGGCGCACTACCCCTCGCTCGTCACACTACGCTCAACCCTCCACGCTTTCCCTACGACGGCACTCGAACGACCCGACGACCCCGGCGGCTACACAGATCTGCTGGAGGAATGTCTCCTTGCCTCTCGGGCTGAGGGGTTATGGGACCCTCGCCCTAGCGGGGAAGCGGCAGCGACGAGCGGGTCTCAGCAGGAGGCGATTGACAGGATTTTGATAGAGGTGTCGAGGAGGGACGCAGGGAACAATGTCTTACTGTTCGGCCTGAAGGTCAGCTATCAAGTTCGGATCTCAGCGACAGGATCATAGGAGGAGCTGACCATTTAGGCATCGTTTGCCCATGCGGATATCCCGATCAATACCACTCGACCCGCGTTTGAGAACCGGCACGCCAACAGTCCGAGCGCGGTCCTGAGGGGTTTGGCGTGGAAGATCCTTCGCTCAAGGTCAGCTGCTCCTAACTCACTTGCCCTGGCGACAAGTGGATAAAAGCTGACCCAAGCAGGATAGGCGATGTAGCATTCAAAGACCTCCTCGTCCTCCACTCGCTCTTCCTACCTATCGGCAACAACTGCTATACCCAGCTTACAGGTACACCCATCAGTGACCTGCCCTACCTCTCTGCGCCCTCTGCACCCATCATCGAGCATCCAGACAGCCCGAAGCGCAAGCGAACACAAGTCGAGTCTGGTCGACAGGCGCGGAAACGGCAAAGAAGGGCAAAAGTTGCGTCAGCCAGCTTACCGGTCGCGCCTGTCCCAGAACCTGGTGTCCGGCCTCCTAGGGCCAGCACGGCGGATAGGATGATATGGCGTGGGAAGATCTTCTATGGCGCGCCTAAGCGGGACAAACATGGTCGCATAACCCCCGGTTTACCATTACACCGTTAGTCCCCCTTCTCTGTACTGCTCACGAAACCCACCTGACGCTTTAGACATACTGAACAAATCTCATCCTTCATCCCGACTCGGCCTACCCCCATCCGACAGCGCCTGCCTGCATCTCCTCCAGCAGATCTTCCCGTCGCTCTTCGCCGAGACCTCGCCTACGGCGCAGAAAGGCGGACCGGTCATTCGCGGCTCTCGGACCAGAATACCTAGGATGACCGGTATGATCCGGGAGTTGTACGCTCGGCATGCGGAGGTGGACTATGTCGCGCTATTACAGCGGTGTAAGGCGCGCAAGGTGACTAGAGAGGGAGGCGGACTGGAGGTCGTTACTCAGCGATCGGTTTTCCGGTTTGTAGCGGCGGTAGTCAGGGGTCTCTTTCCGCCAACAATTATCGGGAGCGAACATAATCAGGGGGTGCTACTTCGACGTAAGCTGATTGACGCTCAGCCCACCGTGGCAGGCACAGCTGATCTGGTAGACATGGGCCATTTCATCGAGATGCGGCAACATGAAGTCCTGGGTCTACATACGCTCATGCAGGACATCCGGATAGAGGATATCCCTTGGCTCTTGTCCACGTCGGATGAGCGGGTCTCGCCAGCGGAAACGAGGAAGAAGCGGCAGCTAGTAGAAGATCTGGTCTATTGGATCTTTTCGGATCTGCTCATTCCGCTAGTGAAGGTCAGCTGCCCTCATGTGCCTGAACGCGAGCTGGAGCTGATAAGATAGAACACGTTCTACGTCACCGAGACGGCGGCGACGCGATACGAGACGGTATATTACCTCCAGGAAGATTGGGAAAGAGAGACGAAGCCTCATCTGCGGAAGCTCGAGTCGGAGCTCTTGGAGGAGTTGACAACGGTGAGTACCCTTGTTTGCGCGTAGACGGAAGGAGCCGATGGGCAGGATCAAGCGCAGTTGGCGAAATACAGCGCCCCCCTCGGCGTCAGCGCGGTACGGCTCGTTCCCAAGCCGAATGGGTTCAGGCCGATTATCAACCTCGGGAAGCGCCTCGTGAGCTGTTCCTTGTCTGTGCTCTGACGTATGAGGGAGAGGACTTCAGCTGATATGTGTAGAATACAAAGGTGCTCAACTCGATGTTGCCTGCTTTTGCGGCGTACAAGTCGACAACGACGAACCAGGTCTTGCGGGGTGTACATCAGGTACTGACGCTCGAAAAGGTGAGCTCAGATGACCCCTCCTCAGCGGTGCAGGTGGACGAGCTGATATGTGCAGGATCGGCACCGTGGCGAGATGGGTTGTACCCTGTTTGGAACGAATGAGGTGTTTCCCCCGCTGCAGAGTCTTAAGCGGGAGCTACTGGCCAAGTACAATGGCGCTATGTAAGCTATGACATGAGGCTCATTGTGTTGGGCCAAAAGCTGACCACCAGGCCCAGGCTGTACTTTGTCAAGATGGACATCAAGTCTGCGTTTGATACGATCAAGCAGGACAAGATGCTCGAGATTATTGAGAACCTCTTGGATCAGGTCAGTGAGGCTGCTCAGCACGAAGAGCCCAAAGCTGATATTTAGGATAACGACTATTGCTTGGTTCTATATCGACTGCTCCTTCCTCCGCCTAGTCAGAACGGTGACGGCCGGGCGAGACGATGGTGGAAGTACAGAGCGGTAGTGAATGGTATGTCCCTTAGATTAGCTGAAAGGATCTGTCCGTAGCTGATGCCTCCAGACGGCCAGTCCTCAGCCTTCAGCGAGCACGCCAAAGACTACGCCAAGTCCCTCCGGAATGCCGTATTGGTGGATATGATGCGCAAGAAGCACATCACCAAGGAAGACTGTATGGCGTTGCTCCGGATTCATATCCAGAACAATCTGTGGGAGGTGAGCTTGCTATCGCGATGATTATCAGAAGACCCGAGCTGATATTCTAGGTGGAAGGCAAGATGTTCCGCCAAAAGACGGGGATCCCACAAGGGTCCAAAATCAGCTCGTTGCTGTGTTCCTTCTTCTACGCTGTGCTGGAGAAGGATCATCTTGGATTTGTCAATGAGGCCTGTACCGTGAGCTGCACCGCCCCCCGCGAAGTGGAGGAGTGCCCAGCTGACACCTTAGCGCCTGCTTCGATATATCGATGATTTCCTACTCATCACGGACGACCTGGCCCTCGCTCGTCGATTTGTCAGGCGGATGCAAGCTGGCTTTCCGGAGTTTGGGGCGCACATCTCGCCTAGCAAGACGTTGCTTTCGTTTGAGTTTGCTTCGGGGAGTCAGGTGGCGCCGGTCTGCGTGGGGAGTGATGGGAAATCATGTGAGCTATCCAGGCTATCCAGTTGCCCGAAAGTCGCAGGTTGGCAAGAGCTCACGGGGCAGACTTTCCCTATTGCGGTTTCTTGATCGATACGGTCACGCTGGACATGAGCATGGACTACGCCCGCACGATGGATACGCGTGAGTTTGACATTGCTGTATGTACATGAATGAAGCTGACGACCGGATACAGATATGAAGCAGTCATTTGCGATTCGAAATCATCGCCGGAAATTCTCATCTTTTGTTGGATGGTTCAGCCGTCAACTCGAGAATCGGAATCATGTCGCCTATGTCAGCTCGCCCTTTGGTTGACATGTTGTCGAAGAGCCATAAACTGACCTGGTGTAGCTTGACTCGAAGCATAATACCCTACATACGGTCCGCGTCAATGTCTTCCTCAACTTTGCCCTGACGACGATGAAGGTTCCGCATTACTTTGGACTGCGACCAGGGGAGATGATCAGTCAGAAGCGGGCCAAGGCTATCGCGGGTGAGTCGAATCATTACAACAGATGGGAGGTGGGTGCTGAGCTGGTAGACTCGTTGGTCTCTTCAGCGCTGTACAGCTTCAAAGCTGGACAAGCGAGAGTCCGGTTTGCGTCGAGATTGGATGTTGGGGGTGCGCATGGGTCGATCAAGCAGCGCGATTTCATGCGGTGAGTGTCGGATCAGCTGGCCGCTGTGAACGGACTAGAAGGCGAGCTGATTCCTCAGTATCGCCCAGACCGCCATGATCAAGGTCCTCTCCCGGAACGCGTCGCAGTATAAGAGGATTGTCAATGAGCTGTCTGAGCGATTTGGCGGTACGCCAAGCAAGAGGGCGGAAGAGGACGATCCGCTCGAAGCGGCGGTAGAGGAGGGTTGGGCTGCTGTGCGGGATGTCAGGTATTGAACCCTTGCTCAGCCGGATGCAGTCTGTCCGCATTCCCAAATTCCAATCTGCAAAAGGTGTTTCCAGCTCGATGCATCGTACAAACGCCCTAAACCCAACGTCTGCTCTAGATGGTGGTCTCGTCTGTAACGTCAGCTCTGCGCACATCATTTCACACGCGGACCAAAACTCACAAGGCAGAGCAGTCAAAGTCTGGGGAACGTTGCCCTTGATGGACACCTGGCGGGACTCGCGGGGCTGCGCTGGCAGACGCTTGAGCGAAATGTGCTCCCCGGTCGCCTTTGCCTCCTTCTTCTTCTCGGCGTTGGACTTGACACGGTCCAGGAACTCTTTCCGGCACTTGGAGTGCTTGACGTGCTCGACCCGGATGTTGACGCGCTTCTCGAGGTATCGGCCGTTGACGACCTTGTAGCAGATGACACCGACGGCCCGGGCGGTCACGTTGTAGACGATACCGGTCTTGCCGTGGTAGACTGGGTGTCAGTCAAGGGACCGAACGGGAAAGACTAGGGGAAAACGAAAACGCAAAACTCACATTTGTGGGGCATACCCTTCTGCTGAGACGAGTTGGCCTTGATGTCGACAATGTCACCGACACGGTAGTCGACCATGAAGGTGGAGAGGTTCGGGCTTCCGTGGTCTGTTTCCGCCAATCCGCCATAGAGAGAAAATCCAGCATAATTCCAGTTCCATCAGTTCCATCGAATGAATGACGCAGAGAGAGCGGGCGGCGAGTTCGTGTAGGTGTGAGGAGATGGCAGTGGGGTAGCGAAAATGCGTAGGGGTAGTATAGAGTCGTAAGAGAAGAATCTAGATCAGCTCCTGTTCCCTCCCTATTCCCCTCCTAGCAGGCCGACGCACCCTTGAACCCCTTCCTGAACATGTGGCGCGTGCGCGCGCGCATACCGAATGAGTGAGGCATTTTTGGCGATCTGTTGAGAAGGAGCGGGTCTCAATAGTCGATTGTCCAGTAAGGGACGATAGGTCAATTGACGAGAATTGCGGATAGGGCAAGAATGCGATAGGTAGAGTAGCGAGCAGCGATCCCGGCGAGGGCTTCGAATAGGTACAGGGACGATAGACGAGTCGCAGGGAGTAGTATAGGTGTAGTTGACGATTAGGACGAGCAGATGCGGATTGCGCAGATAGGTTGAAGGAAAAGATTTCGAGCAGCAATTCGTTATAGGTTTAGAGCAGTCGGTACGGGAGGAAGGAGGTCGTATCAGCGCTTGTTCCCTTCTTTCACGGTCGCAGACGCAGCAGCAACTCACGAGGTATATACCTTTAATGTATAGACTAGAGTGACTTGGTCGTTCACCTACCTCTCGAGATCGTCGACTTGCACGAGCCGAGAAGACAGCGGGGGCACGGACCCAAATTTGCGTCAGAACTTATCGCCGACGCTAAACGCCACACTCGAATTAACGGCGATAACGCCTTCGACTCCTTTATTTCCGGGCGGGGGCGGCGATGGCCGGCCGGATCTTGTGCTGCTTGTTCCTTGACCTCTTTGCAGCCAGTGCGAGCTGTAGGATCTCTTTCTCCATCAGTCTAAAATGGTTTGCGCACCCCGGAAGCAGTCCAAGACCTACAAGGTCCCCAAGCGACCCTACGAGGCCGCCCGTCTTGACGCCGAGCTCAAGGTGGGTTTTGGGATTGTGCGCGGAGCATGGGAAAGGATTGGATGAGAGGGAACGAGTGGGCGTGGAGGGAGATGGCGGTTGGAGGGAATCGGTGGAAGGGATATGAATGGGGAAGGCAGCATGGACGATGGGCGTTGGCGGGGTACAAAGAGAATGGGGAGGCGTAAATCTCTGAGATCATTACTGACCCCTCAGCTCGCCGGCGAGTACGGTCTCCGTAACAAGCGCGAAATCTGGCGTATTCAGCTTACGCTGTCCAAGGTGGGTCTTACTTCCACCTCTACTGTCAATGCCGGAAGGCTTGTTGATCCCCAGATCCGTCGTGCTGCCCGTGAGCTGCTCAAGCTCGAGGACAAGGACCCCAAGCGTCTCTTTGAGGGTAACGCCCTTATCCGCCGTCTGGTCCGGATCGGTGTGCTCGACGATGCCCGCATGAGGCTGGATTACGTGTTGGCGCTGAAGACGGAGGACTTCTTGGAGAGGAGGCTGCAGACTCAGGTGTTCAAGCTTGGGTATGTCCTGTGTTTTCATTCTTCCATCATCTGGTGTCGCCCCATCAGCGGTTTCCCTTCGCACATCAGGACCAACACCCGGACCAAAGCTGACATCCCAGACTCGCCAAGTCGGTCCACCACGCCCGTGTCCTCATCCGCCAGAGGCACATCCGCGTCGGCAAGCAAATCGTCAACGTTCCATCCTTTGTCGTGCGTCTCGGATCCCAGAAGCACATTGACTACGCCCTCAACTCGCCCTACGGCGGTGGCCGTCCCGGTCGGACGAAGCGGAAGAGGGCCAAGGCGGCCGCTGCTGGCGAGGCTGGCGGGGATGCCGAGGAGGAGGACGACGAGTAGGCGTAGAGGAGATGGAGATGTCTGGGATTGGGGCATGCATAGGCTACGACAATCATGGGGTGGTGGTTGCGGTTGGGTCGAGGTTACGCTCACGGGTTTGGCTCACTGATCGTTTGATGGACAAGGGGTCGGTCTTTGCGGACTGATGGTAATGGAGCTGTCGCTGCTAATTCGATACTGACCATTCCCTTCCCATGACCGGGCATGGGTACTAACCCCTCTCCGAATCAGAAGTGAGCGCTGAGCTGCTGGATTCGCAGAATGTGTATAAAATGCATGGCTACGGAATATCTACTGAAGTCGGTCGAGCAATACTGCGCATCAGCAACGTGATCATTGATCGATAGCCCGGTGTAGCTCACTCTTGCGATCATCTAGATGGCGTAGTGAAAGAAGCTGATCCATGAAGCTACATTAGCCGGGTACTTGTGACCCCTCCATGCGGTTCCATTGCCCTTGGCCATGAACAGACCTCCGATCCCATATGCCCTTGTGGTAACGTTCATCCCTCGATCCGCTGTAACCACCACCAGGTCCTCCACGGAGAGACCCAGCCGGGCCACCATATCCGCCAACTCCCACCTGATTCTACCGTCGCCAAAAACAGAAGAAGGGGGTACTGACGGAGATTGGACACTGATGGACGAGCCGTTGGTTGTCACCGGGGGAATAGCGCTCCGCATGTCGATGGTGTTAGGAAACTCGCCTCGATGTACCTTTTCAGCCCACAGCAAGACCGAAGCATCCTGTCTACCGTTCTTGAACTCACTCAACACTTGGGCTGGTACGACCACAGCCCAACCGAGGCTTTTCGCTGCTGAGTAGATGTCTTTGGCGTAGAAGGGAGCTCCGTTTCGGCACGAGTCGGATAAAATGTTCGTGTCGAGGCACAAAATTCTGAAATTCAGCTGAGCGCGTGGAGACATACTCGGAACCCCTTGCGTGAAGACGCCCGGAACCCTGGGGGCTCTGAACCTGTTCGTCAGTCCCACGCCCAGACCCAGACTCCGCGATTTCATGTCGATGTAGTTGCTGAACCGCGGAGCGAGCTGAAGTTTGGGCGTCGACGGGGAAACCGAGGTGAGGACGAGAAGTTCGGAATAAAGATCAGGCGAATGAGCCCAAATCTCGACATTGTAAGTGGGGTGTTCCGTGAGGATCGATCGCGCCAATCCCAACATCTTCTCAGCCTCCGAAACGCGCAGATCCTTAAGACCCGCAATCTGAGCAGGATCAGTGAAAGTCGGTAAGTCGTTCAGTAGCGCGAGTCTCATGAGCGCCTGAGGATCGACGAGCTCGTTACAACCTTGGACTTTTTCCATAAAGCCCGACTGGGGAACCTGCCGATCATCAGCGGTGCCTGCCAATTGATCAAAGCTCATGACATTGTTCTGGATCAGCCTCAGGGCTTTAGCAGCTCTCATGCTCTGCTTGGGATACAGCGCTTTGGGAAGATGAGATACGTGATCAATGGACAAAAGGCAGCCAAAAGTCACGGCGATTTGCAAGCGGCTGAGGGGTTCCGCGGATGTCATTTCACCGCCGTCCTGGTGAAGATCGGCCAAGAGATCAGGGCCGAAGGTCACCAGGGCAGCGGGATCAATCACAGCGGCAGAAGGGGTAGGAGGGGGAGGAGGAAAGATAGGTAACTGAGGGATTTGAGGCAGGGATCGAACAATAGGCGAAATCAGAGGCATGGGAGTAGGTGGAGAAAGTGGGTAAGGGGTCAAGCGAGAGTCAAGATTCTGAGGGGAGAGAATGAAACTCATCGCGTTTGGTGCCAGGTCTAGCGGATGGTAAGCTGAATATTTCCTTTCTTTGAGAGCAAGAGCGTATGTAGGACAATGTAGAGAAGTAAAGAGGCAAGTTGGATGACCTGGCTCCATAGGCTTAGCCACCAATCCCGTTTTAGCGCCAAAGGGAGTTGAAGCATCTTCTACGCTGTGGAGCACGGCACACACCATACGTCATGGCATCCTTTACACGACAAAGCTATGTTCACTGGATAACTCTACCGTACCCATCCAAGTTTTCACTAAACCGATAATCTTCCTCACTCTCGTCAGAGTCCTCGAAAAAATTGAGCACGTCTCGATGGTACACATACAACGCCTCGTCCGCTTCCTTGTCTAAGCCCTGCTGTGTCAGCTATCAAAATCTGTTCTCTCATACCTAAGTGTACTGACCTTGTTGCGATATGGGAAGGCGAAGCAGTCTAATCTCAACTCGCAATCCCTGGATGCAAGGACCAATTTCTCATTGTTGTCTTTGTTGATATCCCTGTTATTGCACAGGATATGTACCGGGTGAGCATCTCCGTAGCAGACCTGGACCATTTCCGTCCAAGCCGGACGATCGCTCGGTACGCATGGACTGGGAAGAGGGACGATAGCATTGGACTGAGAGTCAGCATTGGCTTTCTGGTGATGGAAACTGGTATGTAGACAGATCACTCACCAGGCACATCCTGTACGACTGCCGAACATACGGACTTTTGATCCATGCAGACTTAGGAAGATCCGTATATGCTGGCTCCAGGTTTGTTGGGAACTCGAGCTGATCCGAAATGCAGTCTGGGTCTACGTTGAAAATGTAGGGCATGGATGGGCATGTCTGGACGGCGAGTGGTGTAATGTCTTTTGGATCGAAGAAGACGCTGAAGATGGATCAGTCTGCGTCAAGATTCCGATTAAGAACCACTCACCCTCGACGCTTGCCTCCTGGACGTGGCCATCTCGCACGCTTCAAAGCTAACCACCCTCCCGCGAGCTCGGCATCCGCCAATTTTTGCGCTGGTACTGACGGCTTCAACGCCTCGAGAGCCTCGGTATGGCCCAGCAGCCTCAGATAGACTTGTACCGATGGATCGAACCTAGGCTGTAAGCATAGAACGAACTTTCACATTGATGACAACACCCACCTGCGAAGATCGGGTTGACCCTCAATATCGATGAGATACTTGTATGGATCCGGCTGTACGTCCGCCTCGGTGGGAATGACGATATCGTGCACGTCGGATTGTTGCTGGAAGTGGAGCTCAGCGTCTTCTCCAAGGACAAGATAGGCAGTCGACCCTTGAGAGACATTGGAAAGTCTATGTAAATCAGCTCGATGTGACTGGCGATAGCAAGCCTCGCAGCGGCTCACGTGCTGTCGCTACTGATTTCCCTCAGACGAACAGGGACACCGCTCTTAACCGCAGCGTTTGGCTTGAGATGTCTGGAGAGTTCACCGGGCGCATGATCCAGCATTTTCGGAAGTGAGGTAGGTGATCCGACCCTAGAGGAGATCAGCTCTACTCCACCTCATTAAAAGGGGGCACAACAGTGGTTCACTTCGTATTTGAGCTGCTCCCTCTGCTGTGAGTCTCATAATGGACCGAAGCGCCGCTATGAGCTCGATTTGGGATATGCGCCTGCTTTGCGTCCAAGCTGCTGGTGTTGATGGCGGGACGTGACGGCTTGCTGACGCGCAGGTCAATCTCGGTGGACTTGGCCGCTGGACGTGACATATCGATGGTGTGTTCCAAGCTGTTGATGCGTGTAATGAGGTGGCAGCAGATGATAGCCAGGTTGTAGGATAGGAAGGATGGTGGCGAGTGTGAAGTATAGATGACGAAAGCGATGAATGGGTAAACGACTCGAATCTGAAACACGTCACATTAGCTCGGAAGGGAAGGTGGCGGAAGGTATGACGGCATCAGAAATCTCCCAATGAGGCGATTCCCGTCGCGTCGCGTACTCCAGGCTCTGCTCAAGATCCTCATTCCTCCATCACCCATCTACCCTCAAGCTGGCAGCAGCTACCCTAGCTTTGCTGGATAATCGCACACCCATGCCGCCTCCCCATCCTCTCCGCCGCGTCTCGACTGGCTCCCTTTCCGCCCTCGCCCGCTCGCAAGATCGCGCCCCGCATCTCTCCCCATCGGGACTCGATTTCCTCGCGCCCGCCTTGACCGAGCTGGCCGACGAGGCCGCTACGCTCGCCGCGAACACGCAGAAGCTGAATGAGCTGCATGATGCGCTGGGGACTTTCAATGAAGCGTTTGCTGGGTGGTTGTATGCGCTCAAGATGAACGCTTTTTGCGTGGAGTGGCCGGAGGTGAGTAGAGTATCCTCCCGCGAACGAGACACGAGGTGGGGGTAAAGTCGACGGCAATGATAGTAGCATACGTGCAGGATGATAGAACGGTGGATGGATGACAAGAGAGAACGAGCTGATCCTACAGGCTCCCGATGCCAACTCATTCACCCGAATGGCTCACCTCGACACTCTCCTCCAGCAACAACAACAGCAGACGTCCGCTTTACTCGCTCAACATCCCAATCCCTCCGTCTCTGTCGATAGCCAGCAATCATCCCATTCGATACTGGAGCAGCAACAACAACAACACGAAGCGGATATGACATACGCTACTGCGTCATCATTCGACGATCCGCCGCCTAAGGCGCCTCCGAAATCCGCCATGAAGAAGCCGTCGGGGATGGGCGTGGGGACGGTGAAGAAGGCTACGGCAGGGACGGCGGCGATGCGCAAGAAGAGGGAGCTGGAGATTGCGGGATATATCGAGACGCTGCCCTTGGAGTATAGAGGGAGGGAACCCGTGAGTCACCGGTACCCCGCCTGCCCGCTGGAGTGCCTGTCGAGGCTAGTCAGGCTATGCTCGCGCAAACTCCAATCGAACCTCGGAGATGTCGTCCGGCAAAGCTGACAGTGTACTAGGCCATGCGTCTCGGTATGGAGAAGGTGATAGGCGCTCTGATGGCTAATCCTGCTGGACTACCAAGTAAGCCTTCGCCGCGCGCAATCACCCGAACTCACATTGACGCCCGTAGTGAAAGACATCATCAGCCCGCCTGAACTACCACAGACCAAAGCAAATAAGCACCTCATCGCCCTGGTCGCCAAAAAGCTCGTCCAAAAGGTGGTTGCGAATGTAAGTACTGTCATCTTGTTACACCCGGGCCCAGGCTGATGATCAGGGCCAAACAGTGTATAGATGGATAGGAGCCTGAGTCCGAGAATAACAGATCTTAGATTTTACATCTTGTTGTATGGATAAAGAGTCATATCAACCTTTGGAGTATATAGCCTACATATATCCGACTCCACCCAGGGATGTTTAGTATAAGAGCCAGTACATCGAAGATGCAGGTGCGAGTCCTGCAATATCCGTGTCTCCTTTTAGTCGCATGCGTTCGATTTCCCAAGTCAACATGCTGCTGCTTCTCTGGCTAATGACAAGTCATCGCCTCTTTGCCCCGTCCAGCGTCCGCCAGAAGTCCGCGACCACTTGCCGGTCCGTATGCCGCTTCAGGCGATCTATCTGCGGGATATCAGCATTGACCATCCACACAAACAGTCTCGAGTTCTCGATCAGACTTACCCTCATCTCGGTAATATTCCAGTCCTTGACGGCCGGGTTGGACTGTTCATTGTTCCACTGGAAGTAGAATCCTTTTACTGTGTTCTTCAGCTGGACTGCCAGCCGTCTTTGAGCAGGACGGGACAAGATAGCTCACCATGCCGAAAAAGCGTTTTTGGATCTTGCCATTTATACATCTTGAACTGCCACGCTTGGCCGGTCGTTACAACGCATACAACTCGGTCCCTGTCGGGTCAACTGAGCTCTTCTCGGTATATGTAGACTCACCAGGCATCCTGTCCGAACTTCTGCAACGCCTCGACACCATCGACAATATAGTACTTCTGCGATATATCGCCTGCCAATTAGCTTGGCACAAGAGGTCCTAGAAGGAGGGAGACATACCGCTAGGTCCAGTCCGTTTCCGTATGATAGGTATCATATCCTCCGCCTTGAAGTTTTTCTTTTCGGCTTCGGCTTGACGGGCCGTTTCTGACGGCTCGAAACTACAAGGGGTCAGCTCGTGCCGCCCTGCAATCTGGAATTTTCATGAACTCACACCCCCTGTTCCAGGAATTTCCGCACATTCCACATGGTGATGAGGGCGGTGGGCGATGAGGAGATGACGATGATGGGATGGGAGGATTTGGCCTTCTTGGCCCCGCGATTTGGGTCCGAGCGGTCAGCCCACGTCGATGCGAAGCCGAGGCGTCCAGCTTGACATACCATATGCTACTTGGACAGGCTGCTGTGCTGATCTATCGCCCCCGCTTGACATGGATTGTCTCAGAGCGCGGATCTTCTCGCTCATGACCGTTTTCAGGAAAGGAGTAAAGTCCTAAACACGTCAGCTTGCTGCTCAGCATTTGTGTACAACAGCTAGCTCACATTGATCTTGCCGCCATTGCTACTTCTCAATATACTGTTCCTATCTCTCAACTCGATCTCCTGTGCTCGCAGCTACTCTCTTCAGCTGGAACTCAACGTGTTTGCTCTGCGGGAGTTGACATACCTTCTTGCAGAACTCCCGATCTTCAACGTCCACCTCATACTTCCGCTTCGCCGGCTGAGTCTTTGATGGCCCCGCCTCCCCTGACTCGGCAGTAGCAGCCGCAGCGCCGGTCAGACCGTCCGATACTGGAACATTCGCCGAGTCTGCATCATATCAGTCCCATCCTTCAATGCATACCTGAGTAACGCACCATTTGCTTCCCTCTTGCTCACTACTCTCCCTCCGCCCTCTGACTTCCCCTCCAGATAATCAATCACCGCCCTCCTGTCCGCAATACCGACATATCCCCCTCCGCCAGCCTCCTGCCCTTTCATGAGGTACTCCCTCACCCCCGTCTCTCGTTCCGTCCAGGCGAGCCATAATTGCCCGACCGTATAGAGGTCTGTCCGCGAGTCTGAGCGCGAAGTATACCGCGTCGGCGCGTCCTTCGCGATGAGGATGGGGGAGTCGGGGGCGGACGGGTCGAGGAAGGAGATGTAAGTTGCGGACGGGAGGGATTGGGTCGGCTCGGACGCGGCCGTGAGCAGGACGATCGGCTCGGAGGCGGCTATGGACTTGAGCAGTAGCTCTAAAGGGTCGGGGCTGGACATGCTGTGGTGTGGTGTGTGAGTAATGGGAGCATATATACGGTGGCTTTGAGCGCTGAGCTCTTTGAGCTTCACCAAGGGGCTGTTGCGACCTCCCTACTCGGCGATCGCCGGTTACGGCCATCTCGGCTGGTCCGTGCGATCGATTTGGCTCACGTTTCAAATTGTTTCACTCACAACGCCTCTTTCCTTAGATCCGCTTGATTGCCCTCGACTCCTCGAGACGTAGCCTTGGTCTGAGTAGTGTCATATATCCTTTGATGGCAGATACATCTAGGAAGGAGCAATCGGCTCCCAACCCCTGAACAACGCGTCATGGCTCTAAACCTGTCAGACGTGAACCCTTTGAGCTGATCCATTCTCTTACTCCTACAGGAGCAAAAGGTACTACGCGTCCGAACCGTGACGACAGGAGATCGATCCATTGGCTCTCCTCAATCTAGGTCATATGATAGGGTCTGGTGATCTCTGGGGCCTGTATATCTAGCGGACGATCTCTTCTACGATCTCCCACTTATCAATCGTACGGCGTCCACGCAAGTAGTAACCCCTCGATATTGCCTCGGTAGCTCATTGATCCGCGATCAAGTATCCAGAGTGCTTATTCGACAACGACTCCGTCTTCGACATGATGTTCGACCTCTCAATCGTTCTCGACATCCTCTTCCTCCTCCTCGCCATTTACTTCTTTCCTGGCGTGCCCGGTTCTACTACCAACACAGCTCCGCATACACCCAGGACCACTGCTCAAGCGAACTTCAAGGAAGTCGATACCCCTCATCCATCCCCCCTTCCCGCGCACCTCCGCACTACCACTCCCGCCGCTGGCACCCCCTCCGCTGCCGTCCCGCGGATCATCCTTCATCCTTCCCACACCTGCGCAAACCTCCATGCCGGTCTCACTATCCCTGTGGAGCGGCCAAACCACAAACGCAAGTCCGTATCATTCTCCATCTCGTCGATGAAAGACCTCCTCCCCGCTGGCTCTTCCCCTTCCAAGGAGTACGCCAAGCAGCACAGGCCCGCGACACCGTGGATGAAGGGTCCTGCGAGCCCGAGCGAGCTTCTAGGCTCGCTCTCTGAATCAGAGGGTAGCAGCCCTATGCCCAGCCCAGTCCCGCCAATGCCGTCCGCCTTGGAGAGTCAGGGTGGAAACGGTCAAAGGATGTTCGGTGCGCAAGGGCGTCTGGGTGTGACGGTCGCCGACCCGGATGCCGAGGATTTCGGGGAGCCTATCATAAGCCCTAAGATCTGTAGCAGGGACGTGGTGGATACCATGGGTATCAAGAAGTCCTGGCTTATGTCGTGAGCGGCCGCGAAGGAGGAGTGGCACAAGAAGGAGGCGGAAATAACACGCTCTTTATAACATAACACACTCATTTAGTACGATGTATCACTTAGGTTGTATCGCTCGAGGTCCGTCCGCCCAATCTGCATGTGAGGTCGAGGACAGATGCCCCGACTTTAGGTCCCCATATTCTCCCGCGTCCCCCTCGGCCCGCGCCACACCCACGATCACCAGCTCCACATTCCTCAAAGATCCACGATGACGGCATGGCATCCGGGCAGCTTTGAGAGTCACGAGCTTTTGCCCTAATGCTTTATCTCCATGCCATCTCACCCGTCCAGGTCTAGGTATTGCACCCAGTGGTCGCGACATGGCTCCTGTATTGGCGCCCGAGAAGCACGGAGAACTTTCCGCCCGCGAAGCTTCTGGTACAGCTAGACATGCGGAGGATAGCCAACTCCGTCGGCGACACTCCCCTGACCATTCATACAAGCGGCACGACAGCAGGGCTGACGATGGTCTCGCCACTCGCAAGAAGAGCAAGCACTCTCACAGATCCCGCGAACGATCTGAGGACGAGGAGGAGTTATTGGACCTGGAGAAGCTAGGAGTGGAGCCCATCACAGAGGAAGATCATTTGTGAGTTTGACCCTTCCTCGAGTTATCAATCGGCTGTGCTTGAAAGGGAGTACGATGCTTATGACACGCAAGGATAGTCTCCGATCCTCTGAATACCGCTACTGGCTGAAGAAAGAACGAGGGCGATTTCTCGATGAACTCACCAGCGATGACGCGCACAAGTATTTCAGGCGCTTCGTGAGGGTAAGTACCGATTATCCTTGGCTTCTCTAGTGCTATCTATGAGTTTGAAGCTGACGAGCCTAGCGGTGGAACGATGGAGCTCTGCAGGAGAGGTACTACTACCCTCCCCGAGAGACCGCCTCTACCAGACAGTACGCTTTTCACTGCACGACAGTTCTACGCCCATCGTTGCGGTAGCTGATAGTTTCAGTCAATGGTCTTTCTCCTCGAAAGTCGCGTCCAAGTCGGGTCCTTCTTCTGCGTACCCTCAAGACGAGGAACATCCTCGCATACGGCGCCCTTCATCTCCTCTGCCCGGACCTCCCGCGCCGAATCTTGGCTCGGATTCAGACGAGATAGGCCCGTCGCTGCCCTCCACAATCCCATCTACCACTACCTCTCGACCCCGCACTACCGCCGACCGTCAGCTCGAGCGTGAAGACGCCCACCTCGCCCGACAAGCGGAACGCAAGGCCGACCGCCTGCAGAGATATCAGCGCGCGAACGAGGCAGTACCTCGTTCTAGCGGGAAGGAGGGCAAGATGGAGGAGAAACGTGCTACGAATGCGTCGAACAAGGAGATGAGGGATAAGGACTCTACTGGCGCGGGGCTCGAGGTGGATGAGGGGACCTTGATGGGAGATCAAGGAGGATTTGCGGCTGCGTGAATTCAACTTTTCTCCCTGCACTGTGTCACCGATGCTGACAATGTGAGACTTCGAGCAAGGGACGGCGCGAAGAATCGGAAGGAAGAGGAGCGAGCGGCGATGCTGGAAGACAGACGAGCGGCGGAGCAAGATAGATTGGCTGAGCGGCGGCAGAAGGAGACTGATACGATGGCTATGTGAGCGCTCTCCGGGACGGGGATACGTCTGGGATATAATAGCTGACCGTACCGTAGGTTTAGGGCAATGGCCAAGGAGCGATTTGGTTGATATATGAGCGAAGAGGATGCAGCATGCGTGATAATGATTTCTCTCAGGCTACCTGGCATAAGCGGAGGCGTGCGATAGGTGAAACCGGATCTGAAGCTAAAATTAGGATGTTTCAGATTGCGGATTCCAGGTTCGAGTCGAATATTTGTCGACTCTCATCTCTACATATTATCGATCATTCTTTCGACCGCTCCTGACCCGTCACCCACGCCAGCCGTATTGCGCATATCTGAAAGACCACTCTGTGGAATTTTATAAAGGGTATAGAAAGTAAATTTGTGATCCTCCCTAATCCTCGGCCTCAGCATCTGTAAAATGCAGCTGAAGCATTCTAGAGTCGACCAGGCCCCCACACACCATAAGCCCTGACTTGCCCTGACACACTTGCCTCATTCGACGGCCCACCTGCCCGCCCCATCCTTCCAGCCCGGCGGACCTCATGAACTCCAGCTGTTCTGGAGCCGCAAGCGAGGCTGGGGCGCTGCAGGAGACGTTGCAGATGGAGACGAAGATACCGCCAGACCCATACAAGTACCTGATCGATATCGAGGGTCGACCAGATCTCCGCAAGTGAGTGATATGATCCAGCCGTGTGGTGGAATTCGGAATCTGATACTCTAGGCTCGACCCAGCGGTCCAGGTCTATCTTCGCATACTTGGTCACACGAAGTCACTGAGCGCCATCAAAGGGTCATTTTCGCCTGCGAAGCTCGCGGATGCCGAGCTTGCAGGAGGGTGGATAGTCTTGAAGCGCTCGAGATGGCCAGGTCCGGGAGAGCCGCGTCGAAGGTGAGCAGTCTCCCTTCGCCATGCGCGTGGCGCACGCTGATCCGCCCTCGCAGCGTATTCTTCGATCCAAAAAACATCACCGAACTGGCAGTCCAAACGTGTCCGTCCATGCCCTACCTCTTCAACGTCAACGAGGATACCATGTCCGATCAGTTCGACCTGCCGACGACGCTGGAGCCCATCGTTACGCACGTCCCCATAGCGGACTGGATCGGCCCGGTGGGCCACTGGCCAGATGACTTATATGTCCACGAGTCGTACGGGATGATCTTGGTTAGTCCACGATGCCGCTGTCGGTTCCGCGTCAGAGAACGACGAGCTGATTCATCTCAGTCAAACGCTATTGTTCCCCTTCCCAGTCCATGTGTCCCAAGACACCATCCCGCCTGGACGGAGATGGTCAAGAATTGCTGCGGCTACGCACACCCTATCAATCTCCTGGGCGACGGCTTTGATATCAACCAAGACAACGATGATAGATTGATCATCTCGGTCAGGAACACCAAGCTTAGGACGGACTACTTTGCATTTCCCAATCGAAACCAGGTGAGCATCTATCTTACTCAGAGACAGCACGACTGACTCACGCGATAGGGTGTGAACGAGGCGGCAGACAAGGCGCTGTATGAGTACGAGAGGGATGTGCTGAACTTGTACTCTGATCTTGATGAGGTTGAGTACGATGGCCGGCATGATGCGCATTTGGACAAGGAGGGCATCTATATGTGGACTACATAGTATGGATAGGACACAATTCTAGGATCGATAGTCGGTGATGTTGTGAGGCCAGCACAGCAGAAGAATCCCACAATCTCGCGACAGCCTTAGTTTTCTGCCAGTTGCGCACTATTAATCTTGCCCTCCGTGTGCCCAGCCCGCTCTTAGGGCTTGACAACGCTGACCGCTTCCTGGCAGACCCTCTGTGTGGTACTCGACGCATCTCATCGGAGCCTAAGTGGCCCGTACTCAATCTCTCGCCGGACAGTCGGTGCGTGAGGGGTCACCCCGGCCCTGTAGTGGTGTAAAGGCGTGAGATCTCAGATCGCGATGGCCTACCACGACAACCTTCTCATACAGTTCAAAAGTAAAAGCGCAAATAAGAAGTCCTTCTCTGAGACGATCATATCGGATACGGCGCGGTTGACCCAGTGGCATCCAAGACCATGTCGTAGGTGCCATCATGGCTGACAGACAGGGGTGCCACACCCCTCATAGCCCTCGCCCACCTGAAACGCGTCTCAAACCGGTTACGTAATCTGTCTGTTGACGCAGCTGCTTTCGCGTCAAAAGCTCGACCGGCCGCGACCATAGAGAAGCTGTCTTTCGTCAGTCTATCTTGCCCTTCTGACCATACTTGTGTATAGCGGCTATCTGTCATGTCTGGTATCTGCTCTCATCTCGCCTTATAATCCGTGGTCATTCGCTTTCTTGGGTTTCAAGGGAGCTGGTCTTCCCCTCCCTTCTTTCCTCCGCCATGTCCGACATTACATTCGAACAGTACGTCCCTCCCGTCTTTTCAGACCAGCCCGCCTTGGGGTCGTCGCTGATTCGTCCAGCTTTTGCTCCTTGGTATACCGTCTAGGCCATCCACCCAAGCCCAGGGGCACTTCTAAATTCTCCGCTTCCCGAGACCGGGCCCACTTCGCACCTCATCAGATATTTGCTTCATGGCTAAACTCCTCGCCTACGCCATACGCCCTGGGTACAGGCAAGCAGATCTTCCGGCTACTCTATCCCTATGAGGGCTCAAGGAGGCGGTACGGGCTGAAAGAGACAAGGCTCGCGCGAGAGCTGGGGAAGATATTATGCTTGCAGGGACTGGAGAGGTGGGATAGCGTGCGGTGGGATGGCGGAGGGGAAGGCGGAACGGGATGTCTAGGGAGGGAGGTCGAGTTGATGATGAAGGCAAGAGTGAGTCGGAGCGTGCCGACCGAGTATGGCTGGGGACTTGGCTCATGTTCAGATACCAAGCGGTACGCGCTCGTCTTTTACCATCCGAGAGCTTGACGCCCTCCTCGACATGCTCGCCGCGCCCTCCGCTTGGTCTCAGCTCTCACAGCAGCCTTCATCCGACCTCAGTCCATCTCAAATCCTCATCAAGCTGTACCGAGACGCCGGACTCTCGTCATTCGCCATGTCTGTCCTCACCCAGATCATCCTCCAGGACCTACGCCCCCTGCTCAATCCGCTTCCCGCACTGACCATCCGGAATCCAACAGCCATGCTTGCCATCACGTCTACTTCAGGGCCAGGGCAACTGGAGCTGTTATCGGCTATGCGGACGTGGGATGGGAAGATGGCGGAGCTGTACCGAGGGGGCAAGGGCAGTGTCGACTGGTGTGCTGATATGGTGGATACGCTCGGTGGAGGGCCTGGTGGAGTGTGTAGAGCGGAAGTGGTACCGGCTGGACCGGTGGTTGGTGTCAATGTGCAGGTCAGTTTGGACGCGCCTTCAGCCCGAGGCGGACGTGAGGATTGAGCTGACCAAGGCAGATTCCAAAGTGCGAAAAGGGCCGATCTGTCGAAAGTGCTCTCAATGAGTTCTGCGGGAATCATTATGCTCCAGCAGCATCTGTCGTATGGGCAGAGACGAAATATGACGGCTACCGGTAAGCTTTCAAAGGCACAATGACGACCGAGAGCTCACAGCTGACTGCTCAGGATGCAGATCCACGTCGAGATCCAGAACGGACAGCCTATAATCACCATCTTCAGCAAATCTAAGCGGAATGCTACGATCGACAGAGGGAACGCCCACTCGTGAGTCTTGCTCTCGCCCAGTACTGCTGTTCGCGAGCTGACATGACAGTATAATACTCGCATCTTTAGGACTTCCTGCCAAATCTGGATTACCGCGCCATCCCGCTCTGGCGGAGCGAGCGCAGACCGAGGGACCTGAAATGCAGCGTAGCGTCATTCTGGAGGCGGAGGTCATCCCTTACAATGAGAGCGAACGGGACGGCGAGCGCGGGCCGGGAATAGAGGAGTTCTGGTGGCTTGATAATGCTGGGATTGTCGCAGAGGATGCGCCTGGTTTCAGGTGAGTTGGCTCCCTCTCGTTGCGGTATATCACAAGCAGCATCTGACAAGCCAGATTCAGTCCGACCCGAAAAGCAGACTCTCACCGCCATCTCTGCATTGCCTACTTTGACATCCTTCATCTGAACGGCACCAGCCTGCTCAAAACCCCCCATGGCCAGCGCCGAACCCTGCTTGAATCCGTCATCCGCCCTATCGACGGCTTTTCGCTCCTCGCTCGCCGTACACCTATCCCGCTCCACCTCGGCCGCGCATCCGCCCTCTCCATCCTCCGAAAAGCCTTCTCGGACGCTTGCGCCCGCGGCGAAGAGGGTCTCGTCCTCAAGTCCGCCGAAAGCATCTACAATGGCAGCTCGACGCACCGCTGGGTCAAGCTCAAAAAAGACTACATCCCCAATCTCGGCGACTGTATCGACCTGGTCCTCCTCGGTGCCGGATGGGATGTCGACCGCGCCCGCGAGCTCAGGGTGGACACCTCGGTGTATACGACGTGGTACATGGGCGTTCTGGTCAACGGGGACAAGGTGCGCAAGAGGCAAGAGGGACCGCACTTCGAGGTGACTACGCGAGTGTCGTATGGGAGTAGCCGGCAGGAGCTGGAAGGTTGGAATAGCAACATCAGGCTGGGACGGTGGGGTACGAAACCGTTCGATAAGGATGATCCGTACAAGAAGGTGAGCTGTTGCGCTCTGGATCGCGGTCCTGGGAGAAGCTGACAGGAAAGCGATTGCTGGGTCTGAGCTGGACGTACTTTATGCCCAAGAGCATGATACCGCCGTCTGTGCTTTTTGAGCAGCCAATGTGCGCGGAGGTCATGGGCGGAGGTTTCCAGAAGCTGCTCGGGTCAAATGTGGGTTGTCTTCTTGATCCCTGTCATCCGAGATTCCAGCTGACTGGACAGATGTACGAGGTCCGATGGCCTCGTCTGCAAAAAATCTACGATACGAGGGAGAGACCTTGGTCAGAAGGTACGCTCATCAGATGAATACGCAGCTCGATGTGACCAACAAGCTGACTATCTAGCGCTCGACGCTGCTTCCCTCATCCAGACCGCCCACACTTCCCTCGGCTATCTCCCCTCAACCTCTCAATCGCGCCCTACGCAGCCCACAAGCTCTCCAGAAGACTCCCTCTCCGTCCTATGGCGCACGGCCTCCTCGAACGCCATCGACGTCATCCCAGACACTCCATCACCTGCCAAATCGCCCAATCGGCCAAGGACAGTCAAGCGTGTCAAGTCTGCTCCTGATCTAGGCGAGATTCTCAAGTTTTCGCCGCCGACGCCAAGACATGTCCGCCGAGATGGGCAGGTAGTGGGTGTATCCCCACTCCGAACGTCGGCTTCTCCCGGTCAGGGGCAGAACCGAACGGACCAGGCGCCGGGACAGCGGATGCGGGATGCGCTGGCCGGGCATGAAGCAGCTGGAACCTCCAGGCCAGGCAGAACAGGCGGAACAGGCGGTCGGGAGGGCCTAGGCGAACCGCTCCTCCTCCCTACCCCCCTCTCGAGCCCGGCCAAACGACTCGGAGCGCCACTCTTTACACCTTCACCCGAGAAACGGCGGAACCGCTCTAGAACCCCTACTCGGCACTACGGCAACCTCATGCAGATGTCGCAGTACCTCCAGACGCCGCCACCCACCTCGCCGGTCCTGTCAAGTCTGGAGATGAACGGCCGTATTCCCGGAATACCACTGGATCGAGACCTGGCTGTGGCTGAGGTATTGGACGAGAAGGACATGTCAAAGGAGGACAAGGGGGCGGCGGCGGAGGTGGGACAGGTGCCGGTACTGGCTTCGAGTCCCAAGGGGAAGGATAAGGAGGGGAAGATGAAATGGAGGAAAGGGAAAGCCATGAGTCTGCGGTCGAGGATCAAGATGGCGTTCCGGGGGTTCATGTGAGCGGTCGAAAGCTACCATCTTGGTGTTGCATCTATTTGTAATTTTGAACTGTTGTAAATTCATAGCCGTTGTATACCGTGCATGATATGCTGGCTTATATGATATAGATGGAGCTCTTCGTCCGTACAACCCTCCCAGCATAGTCCGACGGTACCCCTGCAGAATACCGACATTCTCCCGGTAATACTGCCCGTTATTCCCAGCTACATTCCCGGGCTTCCTGTACTCGCCTAGATTATCAGCGACGACTCGGTCTATCCCGCCGTGAAGTATAGGTCACTGAGAGAGGGGCGGACACTCACAGACAACGTAGCTGGTGGGCTGACCCGCCGTATCCGCGAAGATCGTCCCCTCGCCGCACTGCGCCACAGCGCATCCCACCTCGGTCGTCTCTTCCCAAACGAGCTGGGTAAAGTGACTGGCGGCGCTGGTATAGCCTGGCGAGTTGTAGTCGTATTTGGCTGACATATCAGCTTGAATCTTGCGGCCGGAGTCAAGGGCGAAGGAGGAGGCCAGAGTGAGGGGTGACTTACAGGCTTCATCGGCCCATCGGTTGAATGCTGAGGTGGAGGTGTAGCCTTCGCCGTAACCTGCAGCCCTGAGATATCAGCTGGGTGTACTATACGACGTGGAAGGTGCATGAATGCGGAACATACAGGTTCTCGCCGTACGGTCCACTGGAGTGCGCAAAGTCGCACCCGCCGGCATAGTTGGCTGCGAATGTAGCGAGCTCGGAGCTCCATCTCAACGCGTTCGCTCCTACGGACGTAAGCTGCTGACCTTGAAGACAGACGTAGAGGAGGAAGCACTCACCATATTTGGCTCTAAATGTATTATGGAGATCGAGTAGTGTAGTCGCCTCGCCAGCTGGAGCACCACCTGAAGGTGGGGGAGTCGATCCGGCAGCGGCTGCGGTAGTGGTGGTGGTTGGCTCGATGGTCACTGTGATGTCGCGCCAGATGGTGGTGTATGGCTGTCCGGCCGAAGCTAGTACCTGAGCCGTCGAGGTGGTCGTCACTTCTCGGCGTGCGTGGCGAGGCGGTCCTCGTGCTGGGCGAGCGAGAGCTGGACTCAGAATGGCGAGGATAGGGAGGATAGTGGAGAAGAGCATGGCTGATGGTGCTGGTGTAGGTGTGGAATGGAGGGGGTGGAGGGTGAGCTAGGTATGAGGAGTAGCAAGTAATCTTGAGGTCGGGTGTGGGGGAAGAGGGAAGAGGGCCGGGCGTCGATCATTATATACCAGCAGCGCTTGGATCTTGACGAAAACTGAGTGAGCAGTGAGAAATTTCCAGTGACATGCAGACGTCCGTTCCATGCCCTGCGCGTCCACGCCCCCTCGCCGAGAAGGATGTGTAAAATAGCGGGTAAAAGCCCCGGCCGCAGATCAGATGTGTCAGCGCGGGAGAGCGACAGGCGCCGAGAAAGCGCTCAAAGAGGAGGTATTTTGTATCTTCGTCGTCACTGGTCCGTTCTTCGATCTTCGGCGTTCCAGACCACCGAGGCGAGGCATGGAAGAGACGGCAGATGGAGAGCAGGATGAAACGCAGTGGAGGGACGTGGGTGCGAAGGGGGTAGAGGTCTGTGTGACAAAGTGTTTCGCAAAATTACAGGAGGATGGACTTCAGGGAAATCATGTGGGTCTGTGCCGCCGTGCCTGTCGATCATTCCGCATGCCGAGCTCGGCTTGTCTCCTCTGAGATCCTCTGAGTCATCTTTCCTCCGAAGCTTGAGTCTTGGCTGCCTCGCGTTTGAAGTATTGTACCCGCGTCAAGCGGTCCCATTGCATGCGTATAAAATGCTATCCCAGGGTGCCCTGCACCAGTGCACCATACTTGAAACCTACTGCCAAAGATACCTTTTTTACACACATATTCCCCTCCAACCATGACCACGCCGGACGCTTAGCTCTGCTTCGTCCCGACGTTGTCCGTGAAGTACTGGTTGTTGTTGCCGACCACATTGCCCGGCTTCCTGTACTCGCCTGAGACTGTCAGCTATGTTTTTGGTCACCTCGAGTATGGGGCTACTTACAAATCACATAGCTCGTCTTCTGCCCCTGTGTCCCCGAGAAGATCGTCCCGTCCGCACACGAAACGACGCCGCATCCAACCTCGGTGGTAGCTTTCCAGACGACCTGAGTGAAGTGGCCGGTGGCAGAGCTGAAGCCGGGCGCGTTCCAGTCGTACTTGGCTGATATGTCAGCTAGGTTCAGGAAGAGTGGAGTGAGGAAAACTCACCAGCTTCATTAGCCCAGGAGTTGAAGGCCGAGGTGACCGAGTAGCCGCCACCGTATCCAGCAGCCCTGACATGTCAGCTTCGAAACCGGAGTAAAGATCGGAAGAAGAAGCGACCTACAGGTTCTCGCCGTAAGGTCCCTTGGAGTGCGCAAACTTGCACCCGCCAGCGTAGTTGGTAGCATAGGTGGCGAGCTCGGAACTCCAGGTCAAAGCTTTGGCCCCTATAGCTATCAGCTATGCTCATGTCGTCGGTTGGATTCAGAACCGCTCACCATACTGAGCGCGGAAGCTGTTGTGAAGGTTGAGCAGGGTGGTCGCATCGCCAGCCGGTGCGCCACCGGTCGCTGCAAGGTTACTGGTCTGAAGACTCGGCACCGGGCTGGCAGATGCAGCGACCGATGTCGAGGTGCTGGACGGAGCATTACGGATGACCGTGCGGTATGCTTTGCCAGGGCAAGCCTTGGCGGATGGGACGACCTGGTCCGCAGAGGCTGGTGCACAGAACGCGGGGATCGCGAAGACAGCGAGGAAAGGGAGGACCGTGGTGAAAAGCATGTTGACTGGGTTGACGGGCTGTGTTGCGGGGTAATTGGTGAGTGCGAAGGGGACAAGGAGCGTGTAGAAAAGAGCGTGGGTTCGATCGATAGTGACCAGCACCGGCGTTCGATTTGGGTCTAGCGGTGGATGCGGGTAAAAGGGCGAAGCAAGAGTGAAGCGGGGAGGGGTTGACAATGACGATGTATATACTCCGTACCCTTCGTCACGGGATCCAGGCTTGTCGTGAAGGAGAGTGGAGGATCGAGGAAAGGAGGGGAGGGGGCGGGTCAAGATGAAACGAGGTGGGGAGGTGGAGGTTGGGATGAGTGTTTGTTTTGATATTTCGAGGGGGACGCGCCGTGTGCCTGTAACAAACCTTGTGACATCCCTTGGCTCCGAGATCGAAAAGTGAGGTCACCGGATGTATTTGCATGTCTCACTTTCACCCGGTGCCCGGACAGTGACTAGCAGCTTGTGACAGCTGCTCTTTGCCATGTACGCCAACCCGCCGCTGCTTTGCTTGGCCTTGATGCCCTCTTCCTCCCCCAAGCGCCGTGCCATCTTCACAATACTCCCTCTCATGGTTAGCGTGAAAAACGCGTCCGATTGCCGCTTGCGTAACCCCGTTTCACCTTCAATGTTTCAGATGTCACGTGGACCTTTCGACGCGTCCTGCCGGCATGCCCCTGAAGTTGACGCGACTGATCCGCATTCCTCGTCACGACATCTCGTTAGCCAAAAGATTCAGATTAGATAGCTGGCCTGATTTACATATCCCCATAGTCTGAAAAGATGACACTCTCTCAAGACTCTCCACAGCAGGAAGACAACTCTCCCGGTCCTAGCTCCAGGAAACGTACGATCGGCACCGCCCAACCCAAATCGAGCCCGAGTCCGCCGTCAAGCCCGAAGCCCCCGAAAGGTCCATGGTGGACCGGTGTTGAGGATGTAATAAGGGACGCCGGGACCGGAAAGGAGAAGCAGCGCTGTCCATATGAGCTCAAGACTATTCTCAAGGTACGCTCGCACGACTCCGTTCTCGGCTTTGGCTGACGAGATAGCAAACAGATGGGCAGATCCCCATTGCCCTGCATTGCGTCGAGTTCTTCCCCTTCGTGGGACCTCGACGGCCCAAGCAGACTTTGACGGACCGAAGTTGGGATAAGTGGGAGGGAGCTGCAGCATACTGCGGGGGAACGAAGGTGTGTAGCTCGTGATCCTACCAGTCAACAGGGGCAACGAGCTGATGGTTAGGTGTGGATCGGGCGGTGCAAAGATAGTCGGGAAGGGTCCTGCTGGGAGCCTATCTGGCAGGTATCTGTCGACCGAGTAAGCCATTTCTTGATATACATCACGAGAATCCAGCTGATCAGAATAGCCTGCCGGTCAGAATGCGGACGAGCTGTACCATGTCACATGGACGGTCAACCCGTTCAATCTTCACCCCGTCGTTATCGTCGGCGGCAAGCTCGGTCTGATCTACGTCCTGGACCCGGTATCGAAGCGTCTCGTACGCACCCTCAAAGGTCATGGCGACGTAAGTGGAGACATCAGCGGAGACGACTTGGTGCGGCGCTGACAGCACAGGAGGTACAGGCCGTCGCCATTTGTCCCAAATTTCCCCATATCATTGCCTCGGCATCCCGCGATCACACCATACGGATCTGGAATCTCTACGGCTATGATGTCGAGCTCCAGGGTCCGACCGATCTGCCGAATCAGAACTACCCTATGGGCGATGCGGACGAGGGAAATCACGTCGTGGCGATCCTTGCGGGAAATTGGCCCGGCGGACACAGGGACGACGTTTGCACCCTAGTAAGCCGGCGTGCCGCTCTCCAAGAGATCTGGAGCTGACCAGCTAGGCGTGGCACCCAGTTCACAGAGCTATCGCATCCGCCAGCCGAGATCATAGCATCAAAATCTGGGCTCTTCCCGCCCTTCCTTCTCCAGTCATCGCTAAGCCTGCGCGGAGCTATAGGCCGGTAATGGTCTCCTCGCCCATATTCTCAACAAATCAAGTCGAACCAGCGGACTCGCTATTCTGGTGAGTCCACGGTCTGAAGTCTGCCGGGATTGGGACTAGGAACGAAGCCGACGATCAGGCTCAATCATGACATCCTCGTATCCCGCAACGTCATGTCTATTATTACGTTTCAATGGCTGAGCTATCGGCGGTACTTCGAACCAGGTACATTTGAGCCACTTGGCGATACGGTGATGCCAGTGGCGGATCCGGCTCACTGGCATGATATCGAAGATTCCCGTAGGTGCCCCTTCCCCCCCTACTCCAACCAAGCTCATACTTCAGGTTCTTTGTCTGTCATCTCGACCGAGGAAGTGAACGGCCGGTATTGCTACTTCCGAGCCGGATTTCATGCTGCTTATACACCAACTCCCGCCGAAGAGGCCGAGCACGCTCGGAACCCCAATCTCGTCCAGGACTTCCTCGTCGCAGCGCCGTCGGGTTCCCCATTACCCGAGATCATCCTGTATGCTCCGGCAATCGCTGAGCCGGACGCCGAGCCGGAGCTGGTGATTAAGCCTCGAATGGACATAATGGACTTCGACGAGTTCGACAGCGACTCGGAGGGGGAAGTGGTTGGCGCTGGTGATGGGGCGGGACCGAGCAAGGCTGCGACTCCCAAGCGGGATAAGGGAGAGGGGACGACAGCGGGGTCTACGTCCGCCAGGCGGTCAGGCAACAGGGGAGCGGGGAGAACGACCCAGTCTTCCGCCCGATCCAGTACCCGTACGCCAGGGAAGCTGAATCACGCTCACATCGATGCCGGCTCGGACCATCTCCCCAACTCCGATCGCAAGGACCCGTCCTCCCCCGCCCTATTATTCGAGCACAAACCCTCCTCGGCGCCTGCACCCGTACCCGCGCTTCCTCCGCCTATCGAGATACCCACCCGCCCTCAGGCGGACGTCTATCGATGGAGTCTGCAGGCGAGGGGATGGAAGCGGGTGGTCGCGAATCATCAAAGGACCGGCACGTATCACCTGCAGCTGCCGGATCCGAGCGGGGAGACGTCGGTGATTGCGTGTTGTGCGATCTCGCCCAGGGGTGCAAAGTGGGTCTTGGGGGTAGGACAGGCCGAGAGTCTGTTTGTGTGGCGGTTGAGGGATGCGCAGAGGGGATTGAAGGATGAGGAAGGTGTTTTGGGGAGAGGGGAGATATAGATTGCGAGAAGAGGGGAGATGGGAACGGGGAAAGGGGGAAGGAGGGGGGATGGGGCGAGGGGAGGGGGGAAGGGGGCCGGAGAAGGAGGATGGCGGATCTTATCTGACAGGACCAATCATTGTTGTATATACCGTATAATATCAACCACTGTAGCACCATGTCAACCGAATCTCTTCCTCCACGGGACATTTCCACTCCTCTCTACGCCCCCCCCCCCCCCTCCCCCCCCCTGCGCCGTCCACATAACCTCGGCATGACCCTCTAGGCTACCTTCACCCGCCGAGGAGCGGCGCGGGTAACAAGATGGAGAGAGGAGAAGGTGGGGAGTAGGAAGTAGATGGAGGAAAAGCGGAGAGGAGGGACAAGAAAGCACGATTACAGCTTGATCATAGTGGGGTCTGTACATCATAATTGTCATATCTAGCTATATACCTATATCATCCGAAAAAGCTACATACAGATAATCGATTTCCCCTCCGCGTCCTCATCTCATCCTTCCCCCTAGACTCGCTAGCAGCCCATCCAGCTCGGCATCCCATGCGTCCAGCCTCGATTGGGCCCTCCCCAGACACGACCTGATCTCAGGAGCCATCTCCTCCGTCTCCTCCCTCCCCATCTTCTCGCCCCATAACAGCCTGGTCACCTCCTCCTCTGGCCCCGCTGCCGCGCCCACCGCCTTCCTCTCCTTTTTGGCTTTGGGTCGCATCTCCCTCGCGCGGGCCTCGACGAGACCCATGAGCGTCTTCATCCCAAAGTCATCCGTGTATCGCACGGGTTGCCTAGGCGTGGGACTCGTCGAGTTGACCGCGCGCATGAAAATGGAGGTCCCGAGGGGTGGAGTGGGATGGGAAGATGAAGTGGCGGTTGCGGGGGTGGTGTTGCCATCTCTGTCCCTATCTCGGTCCCTTCCTTCCCCATCATCCTCGCCGTGCTCATTGGCGCCAGGTCCAGAGATGTCCGACATGATACTAGCAATAGACGGTTGTTGGCGATGCCGCGAGATAATCCGGTTGACACTCGCTGCGGTGTTTTGCAGACTGCCTGAGCCTTGCCGAGAATTACTGCGCGAGTTGACGCTGGACGGACTCGCCGACTGCTGCCCTTCCAGTAAAGGAGAGAGGGCGCGGCTCGATACGTGGGCGGAGCCGGGCGCAGAGCTGGAAGGGGTAGTCCGCCCGCTCGGGATAGGGGACGATTGCGTGATAGCGATAGGGACGGGCGGTCCGGGGGTGGTCGGGATAGCCTTGGTGGTCTTCACCTTCTCAATCACCCTCGCTATCTTTTCTTCTAGCTTCTCCTCCGGCTTCCCAGCCGACCGCTCTACCACCCCGCGGAGGATATCCGTACTCCCGCTCCCTCGCCGATCGAGCGGTGGGCGAGCAGGCACCCCAATCTGCCGAGACATACCCGGCTCGGGCGTACTTGGCGCAGTGACGTAGACGCTCTGGTCCGTTCCTTGCCTGTACGGTCCAGGAGGCCGGAGAGAGTTGCCCATTGGCGCCGGTGCCGCTTGCGGGATGTGCGGCGAGCTCTGCGTCCCGTCTACTCCCCACTCCTCCTCCAGGAGCTCCGAGATATCGTACGTCTCCCCATCATCGTCAATGAAGCTATAGCGGACCACCTCGTCCCCCGTCGGCTCGAGCAACCTGCTCGACCGTAATGTCCCTCGGTTGGGAAGGACAACGTCGATCCCTTCCGACTTATTGGTGTGCGCCGAGATGAGCGCTTTTTGGGTCGCCCGTGATGCCGCACGCTGAGCAGCAATGATTTCTTGGGGCGACATGGCGCCGTTCCGGAGATCGGGACGGGTCGAGGAAGACGCGATCGAGTTCCCCTCAATACCGAGGGACTGTTGTTGCTGTTGCTGCAGGATGGCGCGGGAGGAGTCTTTGGAGGGATGTCGACTGCCTGAACGGCGGAGGATGAAGATGGGGTCGGAAGGGAGGATATCGGACGCTTGGCCGGCGTTGTAGCTCCATTCGCGAGACCGACGTCGTTGCTCGGGAGTTGTGCGCTCGACAGGCTTGAGTGTCGGTGGGACAGAGTAGGAGTCGAGGAGTTTGCTGGAAGGCGGAAGTTCCCGCTCTGCAAAAGTCAGTTCTGGTCCTGGTCGAAGAATGGCAGGCATGTGAAAACTCACCTTGTCCCCTTGTTACAGCTACCAGACTGTATCGGAACTTGATTCCCGACCTCTTCCCTCCTCGCTCCTCCACATCATCTCCCCCATCTACCACTCCTCCCTGTATCCCAAAGCGCTCCAACCCCTGCTCAATCGCTTCCACGACCGTCGCATTCCTCGGAAGCATGAACAGTCTCCTCCGCTTATCTTGCGGCAGATCCCTGGACCCCTGGCTCGGATGCCCCGCCTGGAGTCTATCCCGCAGTACCGAGCGCGAGATGATCGCGTCATTGACAGGATCGAACACCGACCCGTCCGGGAGATCCGAGGGGTGAAGAAGAATCTGTACGGTGAAGCGGGCAGAGGGGGATGAGAACCGTTCTGGCGACGCCTCTGTTTTGGTATTGATCGTCAGAGAGGGATTGTACCGCATAGATTGGGATGGAGGGGAGGGAGGGAGATGGCCGGCATGCGAGTCGTCATTCGACCAGACGCCCGAACGGCGATTCGAGCCGGGCGAGCTTTCCAGTACCGTCGAGAGCTGACTGGAATAGCTTCCCAGCTCGCTAGACCCGTCTGCCAGTCCTTTGCCAGCTTGGACACTGCCCGGTCTCCGCCGATTGAGGTAGATCTTGACCACCGAGTCGTCGGAAAAGTCGTTCATCCCCAGTTTGGCAATGGCGGGATGGGACGACAAGCTCATGATGCTTGATATGCTCGATATGCTGGAGCGCTTAACGGTAGGGGTGATGGCGCGAGTCAGGAGCGAGCCGTCCTCTTCCGTACACCGCTGAACCGTGTCCAGGAAGATCTGGAGTGGCTTCTCCGTCCCCTCCAGCTCCATCTCCTCCCCGTTGACATCCTTGACCGTGAGGTAGAACCCTTTATCCGCGCCGGGAGGGGTCGACGTGTGTATCCGGAAGCGCTGCATCGCCTGCCGGATGAGGTCGGCCGACGTGGTGGTGTCATTCAAGAGCACGGTCTTAAAGCTGGCGTCGGACTTGACGTGCTCGCCCGCGAATATCCGCATGACATTGAGGAGAGGAGCCGCCGGGTTGGGGGAGACGATGATACTGCTTGGCCGTTTGGAGGCGCCGTTCATGCTCGCCGAAAGACGCATGGCCGCCGCGCTCTGAGCGACCGCCGCCGCCGCTTCGGAAGCGGTAGGTGCCCGGACGTCGGAAGAGGGCGACAGCTTGAGGTACTTGCTGGAGTACGCCTGCATCGTCGCCTGATCCTGCTGCTGCAGGCGCAGGCTGTGCGGTGGTTGCGCGCCTGACGTATCCTGGGACCGCTCGGCGGGTGTCGGCGCGCGGACGGTATTCCCACTCTCCTCCGACCGGCGATGTACGCTCCCCGGCGACCCCTCAATCGCGCCAGAGACGATACTGTCCTCCGACCCGCGAGGATCAGAGGACGAGATTCCCTTCTTGTCCTTGTCCTTGCTCTTGCGTGAGAACAGTCCACCAAGCATACCCCGCTTCTTCTCCTTCTTATCGCCCCGCTCGCTTCCACTCAGCGAGTCCTGCGAGCTGCTCTTGCGCATCTTGCGCAGCTTCTTATCGTCGGGACTCGTCGGATCCGAAGAGGATGCGGTGGTGGACGCGTTGGACATGACCGAGGTACCGGACTGCGCCGAGACGTTGCGCTGACCATTGGCGACGACTGCGCTAGGGAGGAGGACGTTGGATTGGCCGCTTTGCGCGAGAGCGGGAGTGGCGGTGATCCGCCTAGTCTCGCCTGTAGCCTGTGCGGGGTCGAGAGCGGCACGCTGCTCTGTCTGGACAAGGGGCTCCGATGAACGAGGTGCGAACGGATTGTTGCTTTTTGCCTGGACCGGCTGGGCTGCAGACTGCGGCCGAGCTTGCTGCGCTTGATTGGTCTCCATGACTCGCCGTTGGGCGTCCTGGCCGGCTCCGTCCGCCCACTCTACCCCATCATCCGGTTCCATATCCGCCATCTTCCCCTGACGATTTGGCTCCACTATATCCACCACCTCCTCTTCCTCTTCGTCATCATCCTCGTCCTCATCATCCCCACTTTCACCCTCCTCGTCCGAGCTCCATGTACGGATAGAGGGCTCGACGTACGTCGGAGGAGCAAAAATGACCCTCCTTGGTCCATCACTTCCGCTTGATCCGGACCGATCCGACTTGCCTCCCTTCTTCATCAACGCCGCAGCTGCCAGACCGGCCTTCATCCTCTCACGCCCTTGTGCCTCGCCTTCCGCCTTCTCCAGCATAGTGGGGTGGGCGAGATCGACATTCCGATGTTTGTTGAGCCGAGCGAGACGTTCGTAGGGAGTTTCGATGTTCTCCGCGGGGATGTATCCGACGTCCTCGGTCTTCAAGACGCGGACGAGCCACCAGTACGCGTTGGTATCGTCGAGTAACAGCAATGAGTCGCCCTTGACCACCGATGCCTGTCCTTCCACCGTAGCAAGGAAGGTATGCCTACCCATCAGCTTTGTCCAACCCTTTTTCTCGATACGATCTGGACTTACAGAGCATAAGTCAACCCAGGATCTATATTCTCATCCGGTATACTAGCCGCTGAGCTCTCGTCGTCCGAGTACATATCCTCATCGTCCGTATCCTCCCCTCTTGTGCTCCCGCGCTTACTTCCCGGCGTCCCTTGCCCCAGTATAGGCCCACCCCCATTCGCCTGCTGGTGTTGCAGGTATATCTGGCTCTGCCGCTGCTGCTGCTCATAGAACCGCTGCTGCTCCGGCGTCACCTCTCCCTCCATCTCCTCGTCGTCCCCCGAGTCTGACGCCAAGTCCTCATCCGACAAGTCCTCCATTACCGAGTGATTCTGCGACGGGCTGGGATAAGTGTAGGACGATTGTTGCTGCTGCTGCTGTTGCTGGTGATGTTGTTGTTGGCCGTAGTTGGTCGAAGAGGGTCCCGGACCAGAGTAGCCCAGTTGCTGAGGAGGAGCGTGAGAGATAGCCGTCATTGTTGTCGTGGATGAGATGGAGAAGATGAAGGAACGGGGATGCCTTTAGAGCAGGGCTTGATTGTTGACAGGAAAGGAGGATCGATCCGAGGTGAATTTTGGGCGGAATGCGTTGATGTAAAAGCGAGATTTGGTCGTTAGGTGGGCGTATGGGTCGTTGAGAGTCCCTCAAGGGGTAGGAGCGTAGCGCTCTACTATGAATGTCGCGTGAGATGTTGGAGGTAGAGATGAGCGATATGGACGCGCTCGGTCGCGGTTGTCGTCAACCTAAACAGCGTTACGTAACGCGTTTCAACCGCCCAAAGAGGCGAAAAAAGGCTAATGAGGGAGGAGCCGCTCTCCAAGCTCCAAGCTCCACTGAGCTCCACTGCCCCTGCGTGCTCTCCAGCATGCTGAACTGACACCTTCAGCGTATCGACAAAGCAATTGTTCGTGGAGTGAGAAGACGCTTCTCTGGTGAGCATGCGAGGCGTCAAAGCCAAGATTGGGGAATGACGTTCGAAATCGATCTTCTGATGCCTGGGACCTCACTTCCAGCTGCACTGGTTCCATCCCACGCGTTCCCACCTCGAATCACGGCTAGAATCATCCGCTGACTAATGGCTGCTGATGATGATCAGGATCGGACGATGATCCAATCGACACTACAGCCGCTGACTCGCTTCTAGATGGAAGCAAGCAGCGAGCGGATGCCGGGCCGATTCGATCCGAGGTCGACACGCCTATCACTGACTAAAGCAGGCTGTGTGCATCATAAGGAACACCTGAGCGCCAGATGCGATGTTCTCCGAAGTCTAATAGCACAGGTGATTGAAGTCAGGTGACCTTATGACTACCATCAGTAGATCTGGCGATCACCATCAGCACACACGACACCGACACACACAGCCGCACAGGTCACAGGTTCCCCCGCTACTCCGTGCCTGCGCCCTGTCCTCCTCTGTCCTCTTTGAAGAAGCTGATAAGCTCATATCCCGACACTTCCTCTGCTTCTTTGAGGAGTGACTACCTGCAAGTGACCCCCTTATCTCGCCTGCCAACCCTCCAATCACCTCTTTCTAGAAACGCCTCTACCGTCAAGGGCGCTCTTCATCGCACAGATTGGACGGTACTACCCCTCCCTTTCCACACGCCAGGGCGCTCCTCTACATGCCTTTCGTGTCCGCTTAACAACCCAAATGAAGGGGCGACACGCCTTCTTCTATCGGACCGATTCGGACTCATCGACTCATCGGGTGACTGACTCGCCTCACCCCGATGCTGACGCTCTCGATCGGGCTTGAGCTTTGTCATTTGTTGACAACACGAGGTATGGCGGTGCGGCGAGACGCCGAATCGGAGGCTGAGGTCGACACCCTCAAAGTATAGTCCGGCGGCGGATAAGGCGATGATGGAGGTATAAGAGGGGCCCGAGGGAGAAGAGGTCAGGCTGATCCCCACTCGCTCCCTCACGCTCTTGCTCTCTTGCTCATCGCTCTCGTCGCTTCCCACCTCACAGCTCCCCGACACACCGTCACTCGCTTCACAACTCTTGCACGATCATACTCTCCACCCATCGCTCCGGATCTTCAGCAGCGCCATGCCATACACCACCACTCAGTCTCCCTGGCTCCCCGGCTGGATCTCCGACTCGTTCGTCACAGGCGGTCCGTACCTCTCCTCAATCTTCTCCGCCGCCTCATAAGCTGATCATGCAGAGTTCATGTACCCACTTGAGCAGGCCAATAGTCATCCGTGAGTCCATTGGTCAAACATCGGCTATTGGAAGAACAAGAGCTGATCAGTCCAGGATGCACATCAAGGATGAGATCGACCGCCGAATCAGAGCTGTAAGTTTGCTTTCGCCCGGAGCGCAGTAAGGCGAGTACGCGGCGGACTTGGGCTGACGTACTTGAGGAGATTGATGATCAGCACCGCATGTAAGCCTCAGAAACTCAACTCCAAAGACCTCCCCATACTCCCTGAGGGCCGACTGCAGATGATCAACCTGCTGATCAAGTAGCATGAACGCGGTCAACTATCCAGGCCACGGTAAGCTCGAATGGCACCACGAGATGTTCCATCGCACCTCCTACGTGAGTCCTCTACTCGTTGTTTTTGGACATTCAGTGGAACCGAGCTGATGTCTCCCCAGGAGTTCTGCTTCTGGTATGACCGAGTGAGTCTTCTTCTTCCTCTAGAGTGGCAGTACTGGGTGGTGCAGAGCTTGGGCTGATCCGTGCAGGAAGCTACCTCCGCATCTACCGACGATGCGATGCTGCATACCGTCGGCCTCCTACTTCACGCATACCACTACCAGATCGTAAGTCCCCTTAAGTCATCCCGGACTATCAAGATCGCCACAAGCTGATGTAGCAGAAAGACCCCCAGGGCAACTTCTTCCCGTGTACATGGCTCATCCCCTGCGCTCGGGCTATCCGAGAGGTGAGTTCAGTCGTTGCACTTGTCCTCCTGAGTAGATAGCTGACAATGTTAGCGAGTGTACGGCGAGATCGGTCGGGCATGGGACGACGAGTACCCCTGACCCCCTCTTCGGTCTACTACATACGTTCGGATTCCGGATCGGTGATGTTGCTTCTGGCGCTGTAGGAGCTTGTATCAGTATCCATACGATCAACTTACTAGCATACCTTTCTGGATGAATCATGGAGTGAGCAAGCAGCATGTAATTCTCGCCTCTCTAGCATGCATGACGCAAGCTTGATATGACGCGTCATCATGCGTCACGCGAGCATTGTCCAGGCAGGAATGTTTCAAGTGATCGGGTAAACAAGGATTTGGTCCGCTCGCCCGAAATTTGCCGCCCTGCTATTGTACTTTTCCCCTGTACTCTCCGTAATCAAGTGAAAGTGGGGAAGTCTCGAGTAGATACTGGAACCAGTGTCTTGGGCAGTTGTGCGTCATAGGGAAGAAGGGGAAGGAGTGCTCGGTGGGGACTGGGTATTGTTTGCGTTGAAAACATCCCCGGGCGGATGGCGAGTCCTCAGGTTACCCAGCTGCAGAGTCCCATTTGGAACTTGGAATTTGCATGTTCGACGCCTTGCACATGCCAAAGAGGTTTTGCAAAGCCGCAATACCAAAGACAATTGTGCATCTACTAGTACTCTAGCGCGCCTTAGCCCCCTGTTCAATACCAAAGAACGGCGACCCACACGCCTTCCCACGTTCATCCCTCTCTCATTTAGGATCTCTCCGGTTTCACCTCCCCCTTCCCCGCTTCCCCACCACTCTCCTCGCCCTCGGCAGGATCTCTGAATCAACTCCCTATCTTCGTGCTCATAAGACGGATCCGAAGTCTAGCTCGCTTTAAGCGAGCATCCAGCGTCCAGCATCCAGCCACTGTACCTTGCCAGCGCGATGACCTACCCGTCCCGCCTCCTTGTTGCGTATATAAGTCGAGTCCGCGAGAGATGTAGCTTCTGTGTCTGTCAGCTCCAATTCCCATCTTCTGCACTCCCGCACTCCTGCACTAAGCAGCACACCTCCCTTTCTCTCTGCCCTCTGAACAGACCAAGCAGCTCAGCTGCACGTAGCTTGACCCTCTTGCCACCTGCCCCTTGCCCCGTCCCCACCCCACCTGCAACCCTCATCTCCTCACCAGCATGACCGCCCCACCTGTCACTGCTTCTCCGCCCGCCATCACCGTCTCTGCCCCCTCCGCCACCGCTATAGCACCCAGAAACCGCGGTCCTCTCCCGTTCCACCAGAACAGCACCTTGCTGCCCTGCGCACATCGGCCCATGCCCAAGGTCACGGTCACCCTTTCCTCTCCCTCCGCCCAAGACCTCCTCGCTCTTCCCTTTCCCGACGGATTCTCGACCCGCCCCCCGTCCCCAACTCCCAGCCGGCGCGGAGAGTCGAAGGACTCGCAGAAGACGCTCGTGGACCCGGCCCCGGTCGATGAGCGTCCGCGGCGATGTTCCGAGAAGGGCCTCCTCCCCGAGTGGGAGGTGCCCTTCTTGGGTCCCGGCTATCATCGATACTGCTCCCTCGAGTCGCCCCAAGAGTACCATCGAGAGGACCCGACCCTTCGGTTCGCGCTTCTGGGTCAGGCGCCCAATCCGTACCTCACTCCTTCCCGTCCCGCGCTCGCCCAAGACGCCCTCCCGACCCTTTTTGTCGCCGACCGCGTCCCGACGCTCGCCCAAGCTCCCGGCTCCGCCCGATGGGGCACGCACGACCGAGCGATCCCGGACGGTCCCCGCCTGGCCGGCCCGGTACGGACGTACGTCCACCGGCAGCGCGAGGCGGTCCGGATACTCGTGAAGGATGGCGTTTGGGCGGCGAGTGATGGGCTGAGAGGGCTGAGCTGGGAGCTGAAGGACCTGAGCTGGAAAGTCCGGAGGTGGCGCCAGAAGAGGGATGAGAGGGCGGAGGCCAAGATGATCTGGAAGGTGGCTGGACGGGCGGGCAGGTGTTGGGAAGGCAGGGAAAAGCAGGATTGGGAGGCGGTCTGGGCGATGCGGGAGGCGGCGAGGGATGCGGCGAGGCTGGCGAAGAAGATGGGGCTGGGCGATGAGGACGAGGAGGAGAGCGAGGATGGTGAGAAGGCGGGGGAGTGAGCAGACGAGAAGGGAGTGGTAGTAAGAAGAAGACGAAGAAGAAAAGCTTGTAGTCTAGCCGTAGCGTAGTGTAGAGTAGTAGTGTCTGTGCTGTGCTTTTGGGTCCTTTAGGTATGGAGAGTTAGCTTGTAGCGTGTGTGCGTGTGTGTATCCGTTAACCTTGGTACCCCTGGCCACTCGGACCTCATCTGAGGGGGCTTACACAGGTTGGCGCTCTCTTCCAGCCAGACATGTCTATACTGAGCTATCTCAATGCATCGGCATCAGTGTAAAGGCCATTCGTTATCCAACAACTACATCTTGGACGCCTCTTTCTCCGCGCCCAGCTGACCCTCCGCAACAACCTTACCATCCAGCTCCTTGACGACCTGATGATCAGCTCTGGGAACCTTCTGAGCGATGGCTACTGCTTACGTCCTGTCCCAGCTCCCGTATTCTCTCGATATCATGCCCGATCAGACTGACGTGCACGCCCTTGAAGAGGAATGGGTCTGTTGATCAGCACCAGCCACCTCCCCTGACTCGCAGCTCGGAGGGATGATACGTACATGACCCGACCCTGATTCCCTCCTTCTTCACCTTGGCTTGCAGCTCGGTGAGGTATGGAGCGATGGCTGATTCGGCTTTACTACGCTCTGTCAGCTATACACTTCCATCGGTTGCAGGTGTTGACAGAGAGAACGTCTTAGCTCACTCGGTGAAGATCAGGTGGCGGAAAGGCTTTGCCGAGGCTGGGGGTAGTGGTAAGTAAGGGGTGAGGCCGTGGAGGAGCTGTTGGAACAGCTTGGGGATGCCGGGGAAGACGCAGAGCTTCTGAATCAGCATGTCCTTATGGTGAAGTCATTTGCGGGTGTCCATCTCCCCTGCTTTCCCTCTCCCTCTCCCCTCGTTTTCCCCCCCCCCTCGCCTGACCCGGTCGAAAGGTCCATTCCTCTCCCTCATCTGTCCATCCTTTCCCGGCATATAGCTCCTCGCCAAGTCCCGACGTCGATGACTCACCTTCCCTCCCAGCCGAACAACAGGCACCCACATCTCCTCCTTCACAAACAACACCTCGCTCTTCTCCGCCCCACTCTTCCCTTCCTCGGCAGTAGGGAACAGTGCCATACGATTCCGTGCCTCCTTCTCCCCTTCCGGCGCATTTGACATGAGTTCACGTTTCTCAGCAGACGCGAGTGTCCACATTCGCTTCATGGTTTCTTGGTGGTGGACTAGCGGAAGGTTGAACGCTGCGCCGAGGGAGGAGTAGGTGATATCTGCATACATGAATTGGGCGTCACTGGAGGCGGAGCAGACAGCTCACCGTCATGCGTGGGACCGATACCGCCCGAGGTGATCACAAAGTCGTAGTTCTTGGTGAACCGTCGCGCAGCCTCAACACTGAAGTGTCAGCTTGTAGGCCCGATTCCACCAACGGTCCAGATCACGCAGCTCACATCTCATCTTCATCATCCGCAATGACCTCGATACGCTTCCTATCATATCAGCCAATGCTCCCGGCGGGTTGGAGTAGGAGTCAGTAGAGACGATCAGTACGCACAATTCGATACCCAAGTCAAAGCAGTACTGGGCGAAGAAGCTAGCCAGTCAGCTGGTGTCCCGCCCATCGCGACCTCGTTTGGTAAGCTCACTTGCTGTTTGTGTCCTTCGTCTTTCCATTCAGCACCTCATCTCTGAGGTGTCAGCTTGTCCAGTGATCCTCGAACACTCGTATCCAGAAGCTCACCCAATAATGATACAGCCCGCTGTCCTGGATGTGTCAGCTAGTGTCCCGGTCCGAACGTGGAAACGATGGGGCGAGCTCACTTGATATAATTACCCTCCCCCAATGGGTTAGGTACCGAAGCCGGATCGGTATTCTTGAGCTCTACCTCCTGCTGATGGGACATGGCGCCTAGATGTCTGAATCGAATCGAGCTGCGTTGGGGCTGACGACAAGCGGTAAATCTGTGAGAAGGACGATGTACAAAGCTACGAAGAAGAGAGCGGGGGATGATGCTCATGTCCTTCTAATATATGAGCTGAGAAGAGGCAAGAGACGATCAGAAGCATGAGCTCGAGAGCATAGAGCATGGACCCCCCACCCCGCTATGACGCTATCGATCGCGCGCGGTGGAGGCGGGGACAGCGGCACTCTTGGTGCACTCCCCCCCTTTATCAGTGTGGCGTGCCTTATCCGAGCGGCGCCACTTGCTTTGCCACTCTCGGAATCAGATTTTGTGCCCCTTCTGCTTCGCTCAATAACAAAGCCAGCGCGTCCATATCCTTCTTGCCTATACAGCAGCACCTAGTCATTGTCCAGAGCATCCCATATCGACGGCGTACAGCAACAGCTCTCGGCTGCGCACAGAACGATACCCTTTTCGACTATATCCCACCGAAATCGGCGTTAGCTTATGAGCGATTCTCACGGTTCCGCGCCAGGCGCGGTCCACCCTCCTCCACCCGGTATGCCACCGGCCCCGTTACCGCCGTCGACCGTTAATGCCCCCTCTACCACACAAGCAGGGCCAAATTCCATCACCCTTCCCACGAATGGGTCAACTCACCCCAACATCGCTCTCGGGGAAGTGTCTATCCACCTGGAGCAACCCGCTACCGAGTCTCATACACAGGCAGTAGCCTCGACCGGGGACAGTAACGCGACTAGTACCGGTGCTGGGACGGAGATGATCGATCCGGTCCTGCTCGCGGCGGACCAAGCGGCGGCGCAGGAGGCTCTCCAGGATATGGATGCGGAAGGGGAGCCAGACGAAGAGGGGTTTGACCCCGCGACGCTAGCAAACCTCGCGGCGCTCTCGCGTATCGCGCATGAGGAGGAGGACGATACGGGGCTAGATCTTGACGTGGACGACGGAGCGGACGCGGAGGGGGCGGAGGCCGATGGGGAGCCGCAAGCCTCAGGATCTGGCGAGCAGGATTCGGTCCACGCGCATGATCTGGCCCAGGATCAAGGGATGGAGCCGGGGTCGCAACAGGGACAAGGGCAGGGGCAGGGACAGGGGTTGTCGGGGGACCAAGTGGATGCCGTGGTGCAGGGACTACAAGGCGCCAACAAGGCCAAGCGCAAGAGGGATCCCAAGAAGAAGGAGCGAAGTGTTAGTCAGCCGAGGTCAAGGGGGAGCGTAGGCGACAAGGAGGAAGGCGAGTATTCGGACGACGATGATTCGTTGAGGGATAAAGAGGAGGATTCGGACATGGAGGGGAAAGACGATAAGGATGGAAAGTATTATTATGATAATGGAAAGTTGAAGCGGAAGAGGAATAGGACGGTTTTGTGAGTGGTTTGCGTACTGAGGGTTGACGAGGGTGAGCTGATGGAGACAGGAGCTGTACCGGTATGTGTGTGCTTATTCGGGAATCCTGGGACTGAGCTAATAGACTCTACAGAATGTCATCGCAGAGTAAGCTCTCTGATCATTGTTTAACTTGATGCAACACGAGCTGACCACGCAGAAACGTGAGCTGCTCATACTTCTCACGCCTTTGATCTACTGACGCATGGTCGCTGAGCCTCACAGAACATGTAAGCTACACCTCCGTCTCTTTCAACTGATAGACGAGCTGATAAGTCCTAGTGTGATCGTAACATCCCTTGCAAAAGATGGTACGCCTCTACGTCCCCCCTGTACCAATAACACCAGCTGACCAGGCAGTATTCGCCGCGGGGTGGCCAGTATGTGCCGCATGGAAGCGCCCGTCATGCCTGAACGGAAGCGTCGAAAGTGTGTCATCTTTTCTCCTTCTCTTCCTCTTCTAGCCATTCTGCATTGATTGCGGCTGCAACTGCCTGCCCGTGCTGACACCCAGACCCCTGGAAGAGTCCCCCGTCAACTACGAGCTCGGCCTCCGCGTCCAAGCCCTCGAGACCCTCATCCGCGCCGGCACCTCCATGGACGCCGATACTGCCAACTCCGCCGCGATGGACACGATCCTACAAGCTACCAAAGCGGCGGGCAAGGGGAATGTCATCGCGGGCAATGCGCTGGCTAATCTCAGTACGGCGGCGGGGATGGATCTGGAGGGGCTGGAGAGTGGGGAGAGGGCGGGGCTGTTGATGGAGGTGTTGCAGCAGGTGGGTCTTTATACCCAGTGTAACGGGATGGGGAAGGGGACCAAGCTAATGCAGTAGTTGTCGGACGCGAGTATGCCACCGAAAGTTCGGGCAGAGCCGGAGGTGCCCCTGGACCCGACGGATGATCCTTGGTCGACTATCCCGAAAGCGCGATCTACTCTGTGAGCTACGTGCAGAACGACTTCGTAGCATTGCAAGCATAGCTAACCCCCAAGCCAAACATATCAACCCCCAAATCCTCCAAATACCAATCCTAATACCGAATCTCAGTCCCAGAACCAGACACAGACCCAGTCTCAACCCCCCTCCGACCCCGATGCCCCATACCCCAAGCTTGACCTCACCTTGCAAGGTTTCAGAGAAGACAATGGCCGGATCTTTATCCCCCCAACGGTGCGATATGTCGAAAAGACGATGCGGGCGGATAAGGAGAGTGTACTAGCGCGAGACGCGTTGCCTATCCAGGGGGATGAGCAGTTTTTCAAGGAAGGGACGAGGTTAATTTATGGTGCGGAAAGTACGGTGTGGAAGAGGGGTTTGGTTAGTCATTCATCTGCCTCCCCGAGAGATCAGCAGGGAGGAGAGGGGATGGGAAGGGCTGACGGTCATTACAGGTCTCCGCTGTACAAGCACACACGATCACGGGCGCCCTCCGGATCGCCGCGTCCTTTCTCTCTCGATTTCCTCCGGGCCCAATACCGGGCGCTCCAAAAGCGGTCTACTGCCCCACTCCTACGACGCCAGAGGACGAGCTGGCGATGAAAGAGTCGGGGCTGGACGTGAGGCGGTTTAGGTTTCTGGACCAAGAGAGCGGGGCGGTAGACTGGGCGGGGATCCGAGAGGATTTACAGGTGAGCTATCACTCTCTGAGCCACCTTAGGCGGCAAAGAGAGCAACAGCTGATGAGTGTAGGAAGCAACGCCGAGATCAGTCGTTTTGCTGTATGTGAGCGGGACGGTACCTACCGGAGTGGAGATCAATGCGTCGCAATGGCGGATCCTGACCACGTTACTGGCGGTACGTCCCCCCTTTAGGTCTGCGAGGTGCACGGAAAAGTGAGCTGACGAGGGTAGGAACGTCAACTCGTTCCTCTTTGCGTACTCCCTTTTCAGGGTTTGTCGAGCGGGGACGTAGACCGGGACGCCCAGCCTGTCAAGTTTATGGTACATGAGGGTCTCCCCGTTGTTGTCGTCCAGTCTTTCGATGCGGTATGTCTGTCTCCCTCGGGATATACAGAGGCTATGAGGGCTGCGGCTGATGCGATCAGGGAATGGGCATCTACGCCGACTCGCCCTCCATCATATCCGTAGCGACTCAATCTACCGAGACGAAGGACCGGGTCGATTCCCAGCTCCGAGCGGCGGCGCGTGCGTACCACTCGCATCCTGCCCCGTGGGGTGCTCATATCGTGTGGTCGATCCTGTCAGACTCGAAGCTGTATCCCGCATGGTGAGCTGAGCTTCACTTGGTCTGTGGCAAGCATGACGATACAGAGCTGACACGGCAGGATGAACGAGATCAAGGCGATGTCGGGGCGATTGCGCTCTGTGCGGGAGAAGCTGTATGACGTGCTCACGAACAAGCTCAAGACGCCTGGGAGCTGGTTACATATCAAGCGGTCGAGCGGGATGTTATGGTAAGTTTGCCCCCTGGCGGACGAGGCTTCGGGGAAAGCAGGAAGTGGTGGCGCTGATGAGCAAGCACGGCCCTTCTCCCTCCTTCCCAAGTCTCCTCCCTCGCCCAATCCCGCAACATCCATCTCAACATGGACGGCTCCTTCTCCCTCGGCGCGCTCAACGCGCCGCGCATCGAAGTGCTCGCCAAAGGAATAGATTACGTCGTCCGCCAGTCTATCCGGGAACAAGAGGAAGCGCAGGCGCAAGCGATCGCGATGGAGTTGGCACTCGCCGCGGCGCGCGAACAGGCAGCCAAGGAAGAAGCCGAGGCGGCCGAGCGGGCCGCGCGGGATGCAGAGGAGAAGGCGAGGGAGGAGGATACGTTGCTGATGGAGGCGAGTATTGCGGATGCGATGGAGATGCAACGGAGGGAGGAGGAGGAGGAGAAGCGGAGGGAAGAGGAGAGAAGGGAGATGGATGAGGCGATTCGAAAGGCGGCGGAACGGGCCGATATGCAGAGAAGGGCAGAGGAGATTTTGGCTAGTATTGGGGCGATGAACTGAGCCGGGGGCTAATGAGGGAGGAGAGACTTTGGTTGTATTGGATCTTGTTGTCGTTGTCGTCAGGAGGATGTACCCACCACATTTGGCTCAGTAGGAAAAGGCAGCAACAGCGTTCATAATCTGTCTCATTCTCTCGATGTCGGCCTCATGACGATCCCCCTTCGAGTGCTTCCTCCACCTCTACTTTCAGCCCTTCCATCTTCCTCATGAGCCGCCCTATCTCGTCCATCTTCTGATACAAGGCGCTCTCGATCGGCCGGATCTGCTTAGCGCCCGTCCGCTTCGTTCGCGCAGGCTGCGACTGGAGCTCCGCATTGGCTGCCTCAATCGACGGCTTGATCTCTTCGAGCTGATCTTCCAACTAACCGAGATCAGCTCATATCCTCATCATCCAATACCCCAACACTCACATCGTCCACTTGCGCCTGCATCCCTCCACCCCTATTCAGCCCAAACCCCTTTCCACCCTGTACCCTCCCCTTGACAGCCTCCAACTCCTCAAACCACCTCTTCTCCACCTCGGCCACGGGCGGCCTATAGAGACCCATCAAACCCCCCAACACCCCGTCCATCCGCCCTACCAGCTTTTCTTGGGTCCTCATCATGCCATCGGCGCGCTCGATGGCCTGATGGCCCTTGACGTCCGCCAGCAACTTGCCCGTCGTCTGGAGAAGCTGGACCTGGCGTTGAAACTCCGAGACCTGGAGGTCGAGGTGTCGTTCCACGGCGGCGGAGGCGGAACGGACGGCCTCGATCCGGATTTGAAGGGCGGCGATGAGTGAGACGAGGGAACGGAGGTGCTCGTGGCTTACGGTCTCGAGGGGTATGCGCGCGGTAGAGAGCTTGTCGAGGGCGGAACGGGCGGTTAGGAGGGAGGGGGAGGGAAGGGTGGAGCGGAGGAGGTGGTCGATGTCGATAGGGTGGGAAAGGAGGAGGGAGGCGGTGTCTGCGGCGTGACCGCTACCTGCGCTGGATTCGGCGGATTTCGGGTCAGATTTGGAGGGAATGGCGGCGTCCCCACCGTCCGAACTGCGGTAGTCGAGCTCAATCCCCGCCAGACGGTTTGACGAGGACAGAGCGAGGACGCCGTACCCCAGGCTGAAATTATAGCACGTCGCGAGGCCTTCGATCTGCTGGGATTTATTACTAGCTCGTTAGCTACACCTCGACCAAAATACTGGAATGGCTAGCTCACCCGCTGCTTGAGACGAGCTGAGCGACGCTACAGCCTGAGATCTCCCCCTTCTCCGCTAGAAGAGTCGTCACGAGGTCCTGTACGGAGATGGCATCGACGCCAGCGATGTGCTGTACGTAGAAGGTATCTGGATGGAGCGGGTCCGAAGTGAATAGGGGCGCGTTGTCGGGTGCTAGATGGATAGGAAGGTCCAGCTGGATAGACTCGACGATAGGGATCTTCGAAATAGCTTGAGGCTAAAATATCAGCTCATAGCCCATCATGGATCACACACCAGCAGCTCACCTTTGACCGACTCGACCCCGCCCATCTTCCCTGTACTTTCCCAACTTCAACACCCACATCCACCCTTGCCGCACACCAACACACCCCAATGACCCTCACGCCCTCCTTCTCCTTCCCGTCTCCTCCCGCGCCAACGGCGACGACCATCAAATCACTGGCTACATCCTCCTCATCCCCCTCTGGACCCGCCGGATCAAACACCGCCGGTCCCTGCCTTTCCAACTCCATATGCAGACCAGGCGCCGGTCCGCCCGATTTGGTCAAATGGGGCGGATGGAGTTGAACAAGCTGATCCCCATTCACTTCCTCCTCCTCCTTCTTCTCCGCCTGTTCCTTCCGGGTGGATCGACCGAGGATAGACACCCGGACGCTCGGACTACCAGGCGACGAAGCCGCTCCCGACGACTCGATATGCACCTGCCGAGAGAGCATATCGAGCCAATAACGTTCCTCCTCGCTTCCCGTCTCCTGAACGTACGCCCTCAGTCGCTGAATCCACTTGAGAGACACTTCGCATCGGAATGGAAGGACGGGGCAGAGGGTGTACACGTCCCCGTTGGCCAGTAGGCCGTAGATGATCAGTTCGCCCCATCCTGGGCCTGAGCCAGAGCCGGAACCAGAGCTGCCGGTGGGTGGCCCGAATGTGAAGGACGTGGCGATCCGGGAGAGGGGGTCCGCTGCGGAGAAGCGAGAGGAAGAGGCAGGGGAGGGAGGTAAGAAGGAGAAGGTCTGGATGGGATCGTGTGGGGACTGAATATCGTATTCCCTGATTGTATCAGCTTGATTAGAAGGATAAGGGAGCGAGAGGGGGAAGGGATGTACCGTAGTTGACCGTCAGAAGACAAGATCCAGAGACTCTCCCCGTTCTGCCCCAAAGGGTGCCATCGGACTTTAGCGATTGCGGAGGCGCTCGAAGCGGCATACTGCGGAGCGTCGATAGTTATTGACCGACAGGCGACTTGGCCTCTTGTGGCGCTGCCTGAACGGGGGAGGACGAGCACGACGATTTGGGATCGGCCCACGACGGCAAGGAGACGTCCAGTTGGGTTTAGGGCGACAGAGAGGATGTCGAAGGTCAGGGCTGCGGAGGACAAGGTCTGTAGGATCAGCTTGAGAGCCCTTCTCTGGACAGGAGACGGCTCCGGAAACTGACGCTGTATTTCCCGACATTCCCATTTCGCATTTCGAACCCTTCGCCCGAAAGACTCGCCAGCCGCACTTCTTTGCCTGTGGCCAATATCACCTCCTTCTCCCGCGTGACGACCCGCCCTTTCTTGGCGGGGACGAGGTCATCCTCCGCGCCTGAAGGGTTCGGGGGAGAGACGAGCTCCCATTCCGATTCGCTGGACGCTGTGGGCTGGAATATGGAGTGCCGGTGGAGGGTGCGGAACGAGCATGGAACGGTTTCGGCCATGACTCGGGGGAGGGACAGTTTCAGGTGCAGGCCTGGCAAGTGGTGAGGAAGAGAGGCAAGAGACATTTGGCTTTATTTGGCTGGCCTGGCAGACTTAAGGAGGAATGAGGCGGTCCGTGCGTCAATCAGCTTCTGATCTCTGTTCGTCTGCAGAGCGCTGCAGGTACGGAGCACCTTGAGCTTGTGCTTGTATACCATCTAAAGACGATATGGACACCCGCTCAACTACCCGGTCCAGCCTGAATATCCCCCCGGAGATAAAGCTCAGAATAGCGGGATATCTCGACCTACCATCTGCTTCTACGTTAGCTCGGACATGCAAGGCTTTTCGGGACATAGGCGAAGCGAGGATATGGCAGAATCTTGACCTCCCAAGCGGATGGAATTGTGAGCAGAAGATGAGGGAGGACATACCGTCACTAACCATCAGCTGGTGATCCTGTTCATCTAAGACTCAGTATTCCTGTATCCGAATACCGAGCGCGGGCCAGGTCTGCAGTCGGCAGATTGGCCAATACTCGGCAGGCGCTCGCGGCCTACCCGTCTCGACTGCAGCACATCACGAGCTGCCGCGTTTAGCCGTATGACGGCGATGGACTGAGTCTACAGCTCGTCGCACTCCTCGTTCGCGTCGCTCCCCGCCTCCTCCACCTGGTCATCATCCCCCTTCCCACTGCGCACCGCTGGAGCCCGTCCGAGTCTCGCGAGCTCGGTCACAGCGCCTTTTTCGATGCGTTCGACGCGGAACGGATCCAGTTCCCGGTACTCCATCACGTCAAGTACGCGTTCGCGCAGAACGCCCGCGGACCCCTCGGGGGATGGATGGAGGGGATGACGTCCATCCAGGAATTAGAAGCGTGTACTATCGAGCTGTCCAAGGAAACCGACATTCACGACCCCAAGCCCGGATTCTCGTTCCCCAACCTCCGCCGTCTCGCCATGACGCGCCTGGATGCCGACCGGGACTCGCGCAGTCTCGATATGATGGCTATCCTACTGGATAGCTCACCCAATGTCGAGACGCTGCGGATCGACGGGACGTGGCGGCCACGCCTGACCGGCGTGGGGCAGCTCAAGGCGATCGGCAGGGCCAAGGCGCTGAATACGATTGCGGTATCGCGGGAAGAGGAGGACGATGGGGAGCTGGGCGGGATTGCCTTTAGGCAGTTCGACCAGGTGCCATTGGGAATGGAGCAGGCGGCGGTCGAGGTGGCGATAGACGAGGCGAATGAGCTGGATCTGGACGTGGGTGGGAAAGGTAACGACGAGCGGCGCTGATTTGCAGTACATCAACATGCCCCACATGTCCCGCCTTGTCAACCTGACCATCCTCACTCCGCCGCGACGGACCTCCCTCGAGTACACTCGCATGCCCATCGGGACCGCCCTCGGTCCCTCCAGCGCCATCTCGTCCCGCCTTGTGTCCCATCTCGCCCGTACCCCACTCCTCACCGTCATCCTCTTTCGCTTCCTGGAGGACGCCTTTCCCTGCGTATACGATCCAGACTTTATCACACTCCAGTATGCGGTCCCTCCCTGTCTTTGGGAGTAATCCCGGCCACCGCGGGATGATTATACGACAGTATACAAATCCCAGTACAGGGGAGGAGCTTTGGCACATGCGCGCGCTGAGCCGAGTGGTGGTGCACAAGTCGGGGCGAGTCTATATCGGGGTAGAGCGGAGCTGGCGGGACTTGACGAGGTTTGAGGGGGAGACGGTACCAAGGGAGGTGCTGGAGACGGCGGATGCGGAGATGGGGTTTCTGGAAGGCGGGAGGGGGCTGGAATTGGACCCGGAGGTATGGACGGCATTGAGAGCGTGGAGGGGCGGGGTGGCTACTAGAGTCTATGGTGAGCCAGAGGGATGTGAGCGGCGGTCAAAGATGTCAGGTCATAATAAGGTTCGATCTGCAACTTTTTCTCCCGCGTAAATTCTGGGACGCATCCGCCTCGCCAACAGCAAGCGATACAATACATGCCAAAAGACTTGGAAACAATCTTCAGCCCCGCTCCCCAGTGCCCAGCCCTTAACATCCCCCTCCGCCTAGATCTTGACCTCGGTGTCGAGCTTCGAGACCTCCTTCATACATTCCTCGAGCGCCTCTTTGAGGTCCGCTAGATCCTCTGCTGATGGTGCAGCGCGTGTAGGCGCAGCTCCGTCTTTTGGTGTCGCGCGCTTGGCGGGGTTAGGTCTGCTGGGTATATGAGCTTCTGTAGCGCACCAAAGGCGACGCCGATCCAAATAGCTCACGATATCAAGACGCAAGATGTCGCTCGCTTCGTTCCTGACGCAGCCCCAAGCTCCTCCCTATCCAGTCAGATCTTGTCCACGTTGCAGAGCTTCATAGATTCCGGAACTCACTTGCTCAACACCCAGCAATACTCCACACCCGCCGCCTCCTCCGCCATGAGCGGCATATGGCTAATCACGTCCACGGGTGTGATGTTGCTCGCGAGCAACAACAGCCCCTTCTCCCCCTTCCTGAGTGCCTTGACGACCTCCTTGACGCCCCGCTTGAGCTGGCGGGCCTTGGAGGCCTTTTTCACTGTCCTGAAGAGCTTCTTTTGGAGTTTGCGGGGGGCGAGGGGGTGGGCGATAGGGGAGATGGCGTCTGCTGGGACGTAGAATTCGGGCTGGGAGTCAGCAAGTGTCCACATGTGTTGTTAGACGCTGAGGCCGTTCTCTTCTCATCACCTTCCACTACCCGACCCTTCTCTTTCACGACTTCACAAATATCGCTGAACATCTTGGACCTACCTTTTCATCCCCTTCCGCCGCCTCACCGCCAACGCTCTTCCTCGACTTGTCCTTCTTCTCCTTCTTGGCCTTCTTTGCTGTCGTCTCCTCCCCATCCACCTCCATCGCTACCGCCTCCGCGCTCGCCGAACCCGCGGGCGGGGCTACGGCAATTGGCGCAACCGCTTCGTCTCCTGCGGCCGCAAGGGACTTTCTCTTCTTGTCCTTCTTCTCCTTTTTGGGTGTGTCGGCGGCTGACATTGTGCTGTGGGTGTGCTGTATGGAGCGGGCTAGGTGGATATAGTATAGTATGGCTGCTCCTGTACTTGGTATGGTCTTTGTAGTCCAGAATTGAAATGTCTGGATAAATTACTCATTAGTCTTGACCTGAAAATAATAGTGGGACCTCCACCAGGAATGCTGCAGCCGCTCACAGCTTGATAACGATTTGGCCACTTTCAACTATCTATACCTCTACCCGCCATGTCCAACGTCAACATCCAGACCACCATCTCCCCGTACACCCAGCAGCCGGTATGCACAAGGCCGCTCCTGTCCGAAAAGCAGCTCGATACGGTCATTGCCGAGGCTGTCAAGGCGCAGAAGAGCTGGAAGAAGGTGCCGCTCGAAGATAGGATCGCTATTGCTGAGAAGTGGCTGGTGAGCTCATATTCTCTCCATTTCATCATGGAGAGCAGTAGCTGATATGGTAGGTCGAGTATGAGAAGATTGGGGATCTTATTGCTGAGGATATCTCGACCCAAATGGGACGGTAAGCTAGCTCCTGTAGCCTCAAGTGGTACCTAGCTGACTCAACTCAGGCCCATCGGCAGCTCCAAAGGCGAGGTCAACGGGACGCTATACCGTGCCAGACATCTCATCAAGGTGGCCAAGGAGTGTCTTGCGCCTATCCCGCAGACCGAGTCCAGCTCGGACGCTATGAAGTTGACCCTTATCAAGCAGCCTCTCGGTGTCGTTGCGTGAGCTTTTGCGAGCTGAGGCATGTATCGTAGCAAAAGCTCACACTGTAGCGTTCTGACACCCTGGAACTTCCCCCACATGTGCACCGTCAACTCTGTCATCCCCGCCATTCTCTCAGGCAACGCCGTCCTCCTCAAGCCCGCGCCGCAAACCCCTTCCTCGGCCGAACGGTTCCTCGAAACCTTCACATCCGCCGGTCTGCCCGACAAGGTTCTTCAAGTCCTGCATCTCACACAGGACCTCACCCTTTCCCACCTCGCCACCGACACCCGGATTGACTTTATCAACTTTACCGGGTCCGTAGCGGGCGGGCGGGCCGTCGCGCGCGCCGCAGCGGGCGGGGACGGCTTCAAGGGCGTCGGGCTGGAACTGGGCGGCAAGGACCCAGCGTACGTCCGTGAGGATGCGGATGTGGGGTACAGCGCCGAGAACCTCGTGGACGGGGCCATGTTCAATTCGGGGCAGAGTTGTTGTTCCATCGAGAGGATATATTGCCATGCGGCGATATATGATGAGTTTGTCAAGAAGTTTGCAGAGATTGCGGGGGGCTACAAGCTGGGCGATCCGAGTAGGAAGGAAACGACGTTGGGGCCGGTGGTTAGTGTGGCGAGTGCGGCGAGGATAAGGAAGCAGATCAAGGATGCGGGTGAGTTCCGGGTCCCGTTTGGTCCGGCGGAGCTGACATGTTAGTATCGGCTGGTGCAAAGGCAGTCGTGGACGAGTCAGCTTTCCCCGAGGCGAAAGAGGGGACTGCGCTGGTGGGACCGACTGTTCTCGTTAACGTTGACCACAGTGAGCTAGCTCGCCTCTATCGCGCATTCTGAAACACGTCCAGCTGACATGCAGAAATGGAGGTCATGATGGAAGAGACCTTCGGCCCGGTCGTAGGCATCATGAAGGTGGAGAGCGACGAGGAGGCTCTGAGCTTGATGAATGACTCGCCATATGGTCTGGTGCGTCCTTCTCTCCTCCTCTCTTCTGTCACGATAGCGTTAGCGCCATCCAGGACTTGAACTGAGGCTGGGACTGATCTTACAGACCGCGTCAATCTGGACAGACCCCAAGAACCCCTCATCCATCGCCGCCTTCCAGCATTTCACCGAGGAGCTCGAGTGCGGAACGGTGTATATGAACCGGGCGGACGCGCTGGAACCGTCTTTGCCTTGGTCGGGGTGGAAGGACTCGGGTCGGGGGATCAGTCTGAGTGCGCTGGGGTATGATCAGGTCACAAGGACGAAGGGGGTGATGATGCGTATGGAGCTCTAGGCTGAGCTCGCTGCGTATATGCATCTGTATCCGTCCCCGCTCGCCACGCGTCGCAAGTGGATTGAGCTGTCAGCAGTCGAGACTCGTGCGTGAGAAGGCAGCATGCGGCCTCATGCCTCATGCGGCGCGGAGGGAGCGAGTTTACGGCATGGGTGTTTCACTTGTCGCGCGAAGCTCGCGCGAAGATGTGAGCTGCCATGTCTCCCCTTGAGTCAAGCCGACGAGTAGGTACAACCAGCATCAGGCGAACGGTCGACGTGCTCTGGCGCGATGCTCGCAGAAGTACTTCTGGTCCTATCAGGCCACCCGTCGGCCTTCTTCGTCCCGGTCCCGTCCTCCTCCCCAAACACCCTTCACCTCGCCCCTTCGCTCGCCGAATACCTCCATCCAGGAGAGGTCGCCTCACTCAACTCGCTCGGCCAGCTAGCTCATCGGTATCAGCACATCCGCAAATGGGCGCTGGATGTCCAAGAGCGGTCCAGGTTGGCGGTCCTGCTGGAGAACACGTCGAGGAAGGGGAAAGAGCGCGCCGACCTTAACTCGGTGGACGCGCAGACGCGGAGCGAGGGTGTGTACTTTGCTACACTCGCGGCGGGGATATTGGAGGTGTTGAGGGAGTATGAGCTCCTCGTTGTTGAGACGGAAGCTAGGGTCTTGGCGGTAGATCCAGGTCTGGTCCAGGACGGGAAAAACCACGTCCCCCTCTCGACCCTCGTCGCCACGTTTGACGGGTGGCAGCCGGTCCTCGCATCCCTCTCCCAGCTACTCGGCACCTTATCTTCCTCTCCATCGCCCAGTCCGACTTGGACCCCCGGCCTGCTCATCCGTCTCATCGCCGAATCGTGCGATACGGGCAACCCACGCCTTCGGTCCATCTACCTGGCCCTTCTCTCCGGCCTTCGGACCCTCTTCCTCACCCACCTGACCGCTTTCCTTCTATTCGGCTTCGCGCCCTCCGTAGCCACCCCCGCCTCGCCTTCAATCGGTATTGACGCCGGCCCGGACCCGCTCAGCCCGCAACATAGGGTCTATCGCCTGAATGCGGATCTCGTTCCCCCGGGTATAGGGCACCGGACGAGGGAGAGTATACTGTATGTGGGGAGAGTGGCGGCTACGCTCCAGAGGGAAGGGAGGGCGCTGCCTGTGGGGCTGGCAGCGGGGCTGAGGGAGGAGATTATGGGAGTCGAGGATCTGGAGGAGGGTGGGGAGTTGGATCGGGCGGTATCGAGGGTACGAGCAGAAGTTGGCGAGTGAGTCGTGCTGGTTTTGGACTTGTGATTGGAAAAGCATGACTGACTGGTACAGATGGCTTTGGAAGAATGTACTGACGGGACCTCAAGTCGCCGAGGCTATCGAGAGTTTGTGAGCTGCTCTTTCCCATTCTGTCCAAATCCCACACCTTTCGGAGTCACAGCTGACCCCCCTCAGCGGCAACTACTTCCTCCTCCGCAAAGCCGACTTCTCCCTCTCGCTCATCCGCGAAATCCACCGTCTATCACGCACCAAGCTCCTCACTTCTAATCCCCGCTCCTCCACCTCCGTCATCCGCGATTCGGACCTCAACAACGCCCTCCTCCGCGCCAGTCTCGGCACATCAGCCGAGACCGACTCGAACCTCGACAAGCTCAGCTTCAAGCTGGAGCACGGTCCTCTTCGGCCTATCATGCCTTCTCTTCAGGCTCGGAAACGGCCAGTCGTCGAGAGCCAAGCGCAAGCGGTACCACAGGGAGGAAGCCCAACTCGGGACCTCTTCTCTTCGGTCGTACTAGGCGCCCCGGTCGAATTGCGGTATCGTATCGGATGGCCGCTTGACCTGTTCATGACGCCCTCGTCTATCGCCGCGTATTCGGATATACACGCCTACCTTTTCGCTCTGCGGGATACGCATACTAGGCTCGTCGATGCCTGGGCGAGGCTGTCAGCGGCTCATCGGCAAAGATGTAAACGGGGCGAAAGGGTGGAAGAGGCTGGACGGGGCCTGAGTAAGGCCGTCTGGAATACAGCCCGCACGATGCTGTTCTTCCTAGATCAGCTCCTGGGCCACTTCATGATCGACATCATCGACGTACAGCATCAGCGGCTGCTGAATGATCTGGACGTCGTCGGACTCGCCGGGGCGGGCGATCTGGCCAAATCGCGCTCGGACGCTGGGACTTCGCCGGCCGCTTCGACGCGGAAAGGGCAGTCGGTCCGTCCAAGGTCGTCTATACCGCGCTTCGACTCGGTCTCAAAGTCATTGGCGGCTTCTGCACGGAGCGAAGCGGGCTCGTCGACTAGTGATGGATTCGACGCACAATCGGTTAGGTCTAAAGCGCGCCCCCCAACCCCTCGACAGACACAAGCTACCTTCTTGGACTTTCTTTCCCTCAGGTGCGTCAATGCAAGCTCCCTCGGGTACGAGTTACGAGGTCTGACAACACTAGGCAGATGCACACTCGTCATCTGGCATTCCTGCGCGATGGCCTCCTCCTCACCGACCCAGACCTCGCGGTATCTGTCCAAGATATCATCGATACCTGCAAGCGCTTCGCCGTTCTTGTCGATCGATGGGGCGGAGATGGGGTCCCGGAAGCGCTCGCGAGCGAAGGTGAAGAGTTGACGGTCGAAAGGACAAAGCAGATGGTTGAGCTTGGGCAGGCAAGTCGACAATCAGGAGTTGTGTGTTGAAAATCAGCTGACATCACCTAGACATTCAATGAGCAGCTATCCGACTTCTTCCGCGCCCTTCTCGAGACTCAAAACCCCACGATATCGAAGGATGACGCTTCATCTACCGGGACAGCCGGGACATCCTTTTCCAAAACCGCTCGGACGGTCCAGATGTCCCGCTTGATATCAAGGCAACAGACCGGCTTTTCCATGTCCGCTGCTCGTCGACCAGGAGCTAGCGGAGCTGGGGTCGGACATCCGAAGTCCAAGGCTGAGGTCGAGAGGGAAGAGAAGGGGATGGAGGCGGAAGCGGCGATGAGTCGGCATATCGAGCAGTGTACGTCTGAGCTTGTGGAGCTGTCTGTGTGGCAGTCGAGCTGCAGCTGATGATACTAGTACTCCTCCGGCTGGACCTCAATGGTGTTATGACGGGCTGGATGGCGAAGGAGGATGAGGGGGTTAGGACGCAGAATGTGCTGGTGGAGGGCGGACTCTGAGCTGAGATGTGCGGTGGGGAGCGTGTGACCAGCTCAACGGGCGTGATAGGCGTAGATCACTCCCCTCATTCGTTGCAGTCGGCGCCCCTCGTATGATGAAGTGAGGGGCTTGGACCGAGCCTAGATCACTCCAGGCTTGAAACCAGAGCAAGATTTGGAAGGGCCAGATCAAATATCAGGTCGCGTCGGCGCGTCGGATTTCTAAATTGACTTTGATCTTTATTTGATATCTACCTTGTTCATCTTGCCTCTGTTGTTCTCGATCATGCATCATGCCTCGCGGTCTTGGTAATGGGTCTGACTTTGAGGTGAGAACACTGCTCTGCCGAGGCCGGCAGGCGGATGGCGAGGAAGCTGACTTTTCCAGGTGCAGCTGCAGTTCAACGACGGCACGATACTCAGTGGGCTCAACCACGCGCCGAAGTCTTCCTTGGCTGTGCTGATGCAACCTAGACGAGTACAAAGTCGAGCATCATGTCTCTCCAACTGGTGTGCGGGAGTGGACGGACGTCTGGGTCGAGTCCAAGCCATCACGGGCAAGTCATCCCCTCTGCAGCTCACCCAATTCCGAAGCTGAAGATGGCATCGCTGATCCTCGTAGAGATATACCATCCTCGTCCAGGATTTATGCCGAGGCAAGCGATCAGGCGATCAAAAGGTCATGGCGGTCATTCTCTTTGACGGCAAGGTCGTCGAACGTCTGGCCTTTGGGTTGTGGACGGGCGTTCATATCGTGAACACGATGAACGAGCGACACGGGAAGGAAGTGTGGTCTTGCCCTCTAGCGTTTCCAGCCAAGGTATGTGGGTCTCAACGTCTTATTGGAAAGCCCTCTGACCAGTTCAGGGTGATGTTGGGCCCGGCAAGAAGGGGATCGGCCTCATCACGGTTAAATTGTACTACGGGTCTCTGACCCCTGATCCAGAGCGTGTCGAGGCGGCTCGGGCGGTATCAGCATCTGGGACGGTCTTGGATAAGCGGAAACGGTGCGCTGCAACCGACCTCTGTACTGCAGCTCCCGCTGATCGCTCTAGGAAGTCGACCAGTCACGATTCCTCGTTGGCCGGTGCAGGCCCCAGTCTGCCGGTCCGCGACACCGTCTCGGTGTTCGAATATCGTGACTCGGCGACAAGGCATTTCCACGAGTTTAGCATCAGAGTATGTCTAGCGTGAGGCCGACCGCTGGGGCTATATGCTGATCTGCAGTACTGCAATCGTGATGTTCTGGATAGGGAGCTTGCCAAAGGTCAGCTGGCTCGTGGAATTAGGCAATACCGAGCTGATGAGCAGACGATGCGGCACAAGCGACCAAGGCCACCTCTTCATCCGCTCTTCGAACGGTCGCCGGAGCTCCTGCTCGTCCTCCAAGAGTCAGAGCAAAGAGCCGGCGATCGAACACCAACGCAAAGCCTCGCACGCCAAAAGCACAAGTATCACCGAAATTAGATCCCTTACGTCCACGTTCACCTCCACCTGTTCCCGAGCCGGTACTCAGACCCACACCTTCACCCGAACCTGGACCCGCATCTCTCCCAGCCTCGCCAGCTGTGCCTTCACGCGCAGAGCAATCGCCTTCACCATCTCTGTCACCTTATCCCACCCCCGCTGGTTCCCCTGCTCCGCCCCTTCACGAAACGATGAACCCCGTCTCTCAGGATGTAAAATTCACTGTCGGTAGGTGCTTACACTGCTTACACATGGCGAAGCGGTGCTGACTAGCTGCTCAGATATGTCGATCCCCGATCACGAGCCGGCAAATGCTGCATCTGGCTCATCAGTGCCCAATCCGCCCTCGTCCGCTTCGCGTAAGCGTCCGCGCCGAAGCTCGTCCGCCCGGTCCGATTTGTCCTCCAGCTCTTCCTCATCTTCGTCATTCGAATCGGACGCTGGTCCTCCAGGCGGTATGTTTGAGCTTTTTAAGGCGTACATACAGGTACGTCCAGCTACATACCACCGCTCTCCGTTGTCGATACCTTCGACACCGCCTTGGAGCGCCTCAAGACCCGGTGAGTGATCGGCGACGTTGACACCGGACCCAGTACCAGTAAGAGACCATGTGGCGTATTGCGAGGTTGGGCGGTGAACGAGGAAGGACTGGAGGAGCTTGAGACCCAAGACGAATTGCTGATGATATTAGCTTGTGCCCAAGACCACAGTATCACAGATCGACAAGACCTACAGCGGCCTCTCCATCCTCCATGACCATTCCGAAGCCGTACCCCGGCCCCTTACCCGCCTTCTCGAAGCTCAAGGACCGGGCACCCATGTTGGCTGGGTGGAGGGGACTGGCACGGACGGTCTGCATAAGACTGAAGGTCAGCATGTGTATAATGGACTACAATTGAGTGGGACTTACTGGCTGATCTGGGCTACGTCGGCGGGGATGGGTATGCCTCCGACGGCGGGGCTGGCACCTTGACTGGCATGACCGAGGAACAAACCCGAGTTGCTGGTGGGGGAAGTAATGACTGCGGCGGTCTGGAGGGCGGGAGGGGTTGCAATTGAGGCGTTCCCGGGGCCGGTACCGTTGGCGGTGGACGAAGGAGCAGTAGCTGGAGCAGCTGCAGCGGGAGGAGATGAGGTGGGGGCATCAGCGGCGAGAGCGGCGGCGGCGACCTCGGAGGCGTTGATGTCGGCGTCGATGGCCGCATCAGTGGAGACGTCCTCGATGCCCTCGAAGGAGGTCGCGGAGAAGGCGAGCGACGGCGCGGGGGAGGCAGCGCGTTTCTGGGGGATGGTCTTTGCGGTGGATTTGGGCTTGGCCATCTTGAGCAAGGAGGTGTTGGATGTGGATGTGGGAGGTGTGGTGGGTGTGGTGGGTGTGGAGAGTGAGATGAGAGAGAAGGGGAAAAGTTGAACGCTTCTTGCCCCACCTCATATCTTTTTCTCATGAGTCTTGGTATCTGAGGACATACCCTTGAAAAACTCACTCCCTGACGGATCCCGCAAACGGGACGAGTACTAAGCTTGTAGCACAATCCCCGTCCACCCCAAATGACCGATCCCCCTGACAATTGCTAAGACAGGTTGACCTTCTGACCCAATTCGGCAGATCAAAATGACGACTTCCACGTATAATGTCAACCTGACGGTAGGCGGGAATACCTTGTCATCTCGGGGAGGGCAGGAAGAGGGTGTTGCCTTCAAACCTCCACACATCCTCTTCTTGATCGTGATATCGGGGTGCTGGCACCCACTTTCAAGATCTCAGTACTCGTTGGCGCAACCACACGCCGGGCTGACTACCTCCACTGATGATTTCAATCTAACGGTACGCGGGAGTACTATGCCCACTCGGGGAGGGGAGAAAGAGGGCGCTGCCGTCAAGCCTCCGTCCATCCCCCTCTTAATCGGGATATCGCGGTGCTGGCATCCACTTTGGAGATCTTCGCAAGTACACGCCGGTCGGGAGTTGACGCCCGCCTTACGCAGATTTATCCCGAACGAGGTATTATTAACTGGCAGAAGGCGACTTTGATGTCATCCAAAGTCACATCATCGGCACGCCGGGCGCTCCCGACATATCCGGTCCGGCGTGGCAAAAGGCCATGATCATCGTCCGTCGACACCCCATCCGTCGGATCATCAACGAAATCAGCGCTCTGCGGGCTGCATCAGAAGCAGTTCAACCATGCTATCACTGGCACGCCGCGTACTTTAAGGGATCGCGATCGGTCACGGACGAGCAGAGGAACATCCTTCGCAAGCTCGCCCCGCAAAATCACGACTCAACTGATCCCGAGATCTACGTGACCTAGGATACATCAGGATGGGGAGGAGTTTCACATGTGTCGTCTTGGGTGCCGCAAAAAGTTGTATAATCGGGACTGCGAATGTAGGATCAACTGTTTGTTCGACCATATCCTGCACTGCCTGCATTACAGCTACTAGGACAATGCCACAGGCGGCCGGTCTCCAAAACTTTCCAGCAGCTATACCTATCAGCTTGTCTGCACCTTTTACGATGTCAAAGCCAGAAGCAGGCTTACATTCGTGCCGTTGATGATCCCCGTCGTCGCAATCAAGAACTTCCTTCCCTTGGTCTGCTTCGACATCCACCTCAACGCCGCAATTTCCGTGAACGTACACCCACCCAAGAAGAACACCACAGTCGTCGTCGACCCCTCTGCCTTGTCCCTCCCATCCACCGCGACCCCAGCGCCGCCTTCGGCCTTCTGCCGAATATCGACCGTCGCGCCCGGTATACTCGCTAGTACATCCTCAAACCCTCTCCACCCCGCTATCGGATGCGCCTGGGGCAGGGCCGACTTGCCTGTCCGTTGAGCGGGATCATCGGTTGTGCCAGGTCCGGCGGAGAGGATCGAGTTCTTTTGCGTGACGCATTGGACGAGACGGACACTGAGCGGTGCGTACCCCGAGTAGACGTACGAGATGTCGTTCGGAACGGCATCGTTCGTATCGTCCACTACTAAACGTAGGGACTTGCGTAGCGAGGGGGAGGGGTGCGGTAGGGTCGAGGGGGACTTGACGAGGAGGCCAAGGGTCTGGAGGTGGATGAGGAGAGGGAGGTGGTGATAGCCGTAGACCTGGTGGTCAGCTTTTGGCCGAACCGAGGTGCCAAGCTAACTGACCTGAAGGAAGTCCCGCTTGTACGCTTCCAGGTTCTTCACCTTGATCCCGCCATTCGTCAGACTCATCAATACCGCCCCTCTCAGCACTCCACTCCATGCCGACTGCTGGAACATCATCTCCTCGATCGTAGATAGCTGCGCCATGGCATCATACCCAGCGACGAGGTTCTGCTGTGCCTCGAGCATCTTGTTGAACTCGTCTGTGCGCGTGATCGGCATTAGCTGCTCGGTGAGGCCGGTATCTGTAATGTGAGCTGTGTTGACCGTACTTTATATATTTGTATATATGCGGTCATGAGCTTACGAAGACGCAGATTCTGCTGTTCCCCCTGCAATCCCCCGATCTTGCCCACAAACTCCTTCATCTCCCTCACATTCTTCAAATTCTTCGCACCCCCATAATCACCCTCCAACCTTCTCGCAACCCGGCTCAACCGACTCCCCACGACCGCGAAGTTGAGATCCCGAATCTCGGCGTACAGCCGATCCTTACTGGATGATAATTGATGTTTCCGTTTCTTTACGACCGGGGTTGTAGGGAGGGCGGAAGTTGATGTAGGTGCAGGAGTGGGTGCGGGCGGGTCGATGAGGGCGGGATCTATCTCTATTGACCCTGACTCGTCAGCTGGTAGTTACCTTCGAAGAGGCGACCTTCAGCTGACCGTTGTTGATGCCAATATACTCGTCCAGCATCCCATCATACGTCAGTTGGGTGCACATGGGCGTAACCCAATCGACGGACCGGTCGATGATGATGAGCCCATCGACCTGGTCTGACGATTCAAAGTCTCTATACTCTGGCAGACCGGAGGACTGATGTCGCCACATGAGGTCTGCTAGTCTCTGCAATCGTCAGCTCATGTATTTCGGTTGCCGGCAAGAGAGCAACTGACCTTTGCTGCGTCTCCTTTGCCTAGTATCCGCGGGAAGAGGCCGTATGCCCGCTGGAAAGTCATGAGCGCCAGCGAAGAGTAGTAGATAGGGGTATCGTCTCCATTCTGCGAATCAGCTTCGCGTCATCGCATATTGGGGTGCCTGCAAGCTCACGAGGTAGATGTCTCGAGCCACATCGTCCATTTCCAATGACAGCAGATCCTCTTCCATGGGGATGAACTCCAGCTTGTACTGAGTTATGTCAGCTGTTGTCCACCGTCAGTGCAGGGTCTTTAGCTGACCTCTTGTATGTTCAAATCACCCGCTACACCCTCATCTTCCAATACCTTCCGGCACAGCTCCGTCGCCCTCGGTACGAGCAGCAAGGTGAAGACGACCGGCCCACTCGAAGAAGCGCGGGCTTGCTCTTGCCTCACTTGCTCTGATGCGTCAGCTTATTCTACTATACGATTCCTTCGATAACATCGAGCAAGCTGGCGTACCTGCTATAGTCCGCATAAGCGATAATTTTGGCCGACAGAGCCACACGATATTCCTCGTTGCAACATTTAACGGTCCAGATTCCAACCAGAAGATCTTATCGACCGCTTGATTCTGGCGGTCAGCTGTGTCGCAGTCAGCTCGTGCGCCTCAGCTCACCTTGAGCAGCGCAATATCAGTGACCAGCCCCAAAGGCCCAGCGAGCGACTTGTCGAGTATCAGCGTTTTTTGGCCCTGGATCTGTTGGTATCAGCTTCTGTTCAGGATGACTTCCCACTATACAAAGCGTACATCGTTGAGCTTCTCTATCAATGCCGACCGCGCTAGCTCTTTCAGTATCCCCGTGTCTATTCCGCGGTCGGGCGGAGGGAGGGCGGTGGACTCGCTATCGCCCGAAGTAGACGGTGCGGTCGGTGCTTGCCCCGCTGACAGGTGCGGAAGCCGCGAGGGACCGGCGGTGCTGCTTGGAGTAGCGGAGGAGGACATCGTGGAATCTCTGAGATCTCGGAGAAGTCTGAGATAGGTGAAAGAGAAGGATGGAGTGCAATCGAGAAGAGAAGAGGCCTGGGGGGTCGTGGGTCGGTTCTTTCGTTCGGAAGCAGGCCCTTGCGCGTCATTCATTATTTTGAGCAAGGAATGCGGTGCACTCATCGAGCCTCGGATGATGAAGTGATGATGCCTTGGGGGAAAGCGGAGCGAGGCGAGAGATGGCCTTTCTAGGGGTACATACAGGCAGACATCCCGCCGAGGATAAACACTCTAGACTTCTACTGCACAGATCCGCTTCTAGCTTCACCCCTCACTCCTCCCCTTCCCACAACAAGATCCCAAAGCCTATACAGATCATTCCCACTCCTATCAGCGTCTGCAGTGTCGGTAAGAGGCCCATAAGGACGGCATCTATGACCGCCACCAGCCCAATCGTCAAGAGGTTGGCGACGGAGCTGGTTGTTGGACCCCAGATGCCAATGAGGACCATCAATCCCGCATTCTGACAAATCAGCTCATGCTCCTCATCACGTGAATGAGGTACTGCGAGCTCACGTAGAATGCCCCCGCCCATGCCACTACCGCCAATCCCGCCCATACTGTCCCCGAACTGACGCCTTCTCCTGCCGGCCACCGAAACACCTCCCATCCCGTCCAATGCAGCGCGATGAGCGGCGGCCACATCAGTACGAACGTCGCGAAGCCAATACACGACGTTAATAAGTTGGCGTGCAAAGCTGGAGGTAGGACGACGGGCGGATGTACGGGAGAGTGTATTGGTGGGTCCAGGAGCGGCGTGCGGGAGAGGGAGCGATCGAGTGGTGTTGGTGTTTTGGTGCTGGGCTGGTTGGTGGAGAGTTTGGGAGAGAGGGGAATGCTTTGCGAGGGATGCCGGGGAGACGGATAGATAGGGTGAGCGCCGGAAAAGGGAGGTGCATGGGGAGGGGGTATTGGCGTGGATGAGCCGGATATCGGAGGGGTAGGCGCGAAGGTGTATTCGTCGTCGGTCGCGTTCTGGTTGAGTGGGGCGTAGGTCGTCCGGTCTGATGATGGGAGGGTATCGACACCGCCCTGACCTTCGGGTAGTACCATTTTGTAGACGACTTCGTACAGGCCCAAGATGATAGCACCTGTGGCGTCAGCTCAACCGCACATGCGCTCGTAGGTGATCGTAAGCTCACCGAACATCATCACCAAGTCCCCAAACGCCCTCCCCCGCTGCCCTGACTCCTCACCCCCGTCCCCCGCCTCACCCTTATCACCTGTCCCCTCCCCCATCCCATCCATACTCAACAGCACCACCCCGGCAAACGCCAGTCCTATACTCCCCACCGTCACCCGACTCAGCGGCTGCCGCAGCAACACCATCGAGAAGAAATACGCCCAGAACGCCGACGTGGCGTATATAGCCGTAATATCAATCGCTGGGCTATACAGCATGGCCACGAACCAGCTCAGCGCGGGTACCGAGATCAAGAGCGTCAACCACGTGATTTTGGCGCTCCATCCTCTGGCGATCCGGGCCCAGGGGGCGGAGTGCGTATGGCCCAATTGGACAGCGATGACGGACCGGACAGAGTCGATGTGCGTCCGCCAAGGTGTAGAGGAGGTGCACCGGAGGAAGAGGAGGTGGAGGGGGAATATAAAGGAGAAGGTTATATGCGTGAGGAAGAAGGTGAAGTAGGGTTGGTTGTAGCCTAGTTTGGAGGTCAAGGTGTGGGCGACCTCGGTCTGTGCGCCAGAAGCGAGGACGATCAGGCCGAGGGTCAGGAAGGGGAAGAGAGGGGGTCGGGAGGATAAGGTGGAGGGAGGGAGGAGGGAGCGGAGGCGGTCCATCCTGCCGCCGGGCCACTGGGCGAAAGGCTATCGGAATGGGGCACGCGAGATCACTGAGAGCGCATCTCCCTTGCGGCTGTATCCGCTGCGCTCGTGCAAAAGGGCGAGAGGTGAGAGTAGAGCGAAATGTAAAGGGACAAGCTGAGTTTGAGGGTGGACCTGTGTTTTGACGCACGGGCTGCTCTGCTCGTTGTAGGCGAGCTGGCGCTGGACGCTGGCGCGCTGGACGATCACATCGATGAGGCAATCGAAGCGGAGCGGTACATAGCTTGGTAGGGGCCGATAGCGGTGGCCAGGATCGAAACATCAAGAGCTGCATACAATATTCTTCTTCATAAAGCTGACCGACACCTTTTCAGCACAAACCCCTTCCCACCACACTCAGCCTAATCACCACCTCCACCGTCGTCACCTCCGAAGTCATCGCCTCCACCTCCATCCTGGTAGCCATCGGCATACGACCCGTCATCGTTGTCATTCTATCCCGTCAGCTTAGCCTCTCGCACAGACAACCCTGATCAGAGACTCACCATCATGTTGCCAATCATCATTCCGCCCAAGAGACCACCACCCAACCCTAGCGCCGCACCCCTCCGGCACCCATCCCTTGTCTTCTGGGCGGACCGTACCCTCCCCCGCCCATCATCCCGCCGCCCATCGGCCGACCCATCATACCGCCACCCATCATGCCCCCGCCCATCGGCTGCTGCCCGTACATGCCCCCCTGCTGGGGATAGCCGCCGTACTGCTGTTGCTGGCCGTACCCGCCATACTGCTGGCGAGGGGGTGCAGCCGCCTTCTGCTTGAGCTTGTCGAGGAAGCCGCCGAGACCCTTCTTTTGAGGCTGTTGCTGCATCTGCGGAACGGAGGCGCCCGAGTCGTACTGATTGTATGAGGGCTGGACGGGCGGCTGCGATTGATACTGGTTGTCCGACCGGGCTTGGTCATACTCCGAGTACTGCTGGGTCTGGGGTGTGCTGGAGTAGGAAGCCTTCTCGCCACCGTAGCCGGATGCTGGGGGCGCACCGGACGGTGGGGCGTATGATGGCATAGCCGGCTTGTCGTCCGCTGGACTGAAGGGTCAGTATGGGCAATCTTTCGACCACGTCCTGACCGCAAGTGCTTCGAATGTCCTCGAGGAGCTTGCCATGGCCCCGTCAAATAGACAGGAACACACCGAGACTCCAAGGGGAAATGGAGAATTATTGCCGCCCGCGGTCCTTTGGACAGACATAGGAGACTCACTGTGTCCACTGGCTGGCGGGACCTCCTGGCGCCTTGGTATTGATATAGAACCACACCTTGTGCTCGTCATTGAACCTGTATTCGTCAGTACCGAGCTCCAGGCCTGCGAATATGGGGACATACTGTGTGACCCAGCCGTCGGGCAGCGTCCTAGAATCGGGATTCGACATGTCCCGCTGATTCAATCTCGGTCGTTCTTTCTGAAAGGTGTACCTCTGTGTCCTGTTCGCGGCAAGATGTATTTCCTATGTCTGGAAGACTTGTATACACAGTAGAGAACGATGTAGATGAAGTATGGAAGGAGCCTAGATACAGCTGCTGATCGCTTGTTATCCGGTCCGGCGCATTCCCGCCGAGCGATGGCGTACGATGCCCCCCTTGGCGCTCACGTGGCGGACCGAAGGCGTCGGCGATCGCCGCTCCGCCCTCCCGTCCTTTGCCTCCGTGCGCCGTGACTGCAACAAGAAGGGCGATCTCGTCCAGCTCATCTATCAATAGCAAAGCACACCACTAGCTCTCTTATACACCGTTGAACGGCATACACGGATCCCATAACCAGAGGCATAGCCCACTGCTCGACAATCTGCGCGAAAAATTCAACTCGAATCGATAAAAAACACGGGAGTTTGACTGAAGTCATCACGCGAATCAAGCCCGTCCCCCGCTCTGCGGGAATTTCCCGCCAGTCCTCCGGCGTCACAGCGGGGTCCAATACCTCAGAAGCTCCGTCTACTCGTGCATATCGAGAGAATACTATACAGGCCAGCGGATAAGCGGCTGAAGCGCAATGGCGATGGTCCAATCCGCCATGGGCGGGTATGCTGCCGCCAGCGCCGAGGACAAGGATTCGGGAAACGGCTTCGAGGTGAGTCCTTGTCCGCAGGTATAAAGAGCTGGGGAATATGGCTGACAATCAGTTCACGCGTCGAAAGAAATGGCCCCAGATCCTCTTACAAGAGCTTATGGGCGGTGCGCTCTTTTGCCTCAAGCCCTACCCGCTCGAGCGGAGCAGTATGGATGCCTCGGGCCGGACCAACAATACAACCGGATGGAAGGTGAGCTCGTCCGCGACCTTTACTCGTGCTGCCGACTAAGCTGACGTGTTAGATCATCTACATATCGCCTTGTGGAGGAGATATGATTGGCCAAAAATCTACCGAACTGGAGAACCGGGACTTCCTCGACCTTGTCTATCCCGCCGACCAACCGCTTCTTCATACCCTTTTCTCCTCCCTCATTCACCCTCAGACAGGCGGAGGCGGTCCTTCCGGCGCCTCATCCAATTCCACTCCATCCTCATCAGGCGGCTCATCCTCCTCCGGCACCGGGAAATCGCACACGACCTACGCCCGGATCCTGTCGAGCGATCCGGCCGATATTTCTCGGTCAGGACCGGTAGCGTGGGAATTGCGTGCGCATGCGACGGGCTTAGATGGTGTCGGGGCGACTTTGGCGGGTGCGGGCGGATATAGGCTGGACGGGACGGTGATACAGCGGGGAAGTGCGGATGAGGGGACGTTGAAGGGCAAGGCGGTCTGGGTCATGGGGAGAAGAATAGGGAGTGGGAGTGCGGACGAGGCACAGTCGTACGTCTTTCTGCCCTGTAACGAGGATCGTGCTGATATAGCGGTATCAGATTAGACGCGTTTCTTGAGCTCAAATTGGAGAATGAGAAGCTCCGGGAAGAGCTCCGAGAGCTCCAATATGAGATAGACGAGGAGGACTTCCAAGCTGGTATGTCGTCCACCCCTATTCCTCAAGCACAGCCCTAACTCAGGCAGCTTCTTCGCTCCTGCACCTCGATACTCCCGGTGCGCCCCGCTCACATCCAGCTCGGTCCTATATGAACCCTATCCCTCTCGACCTACCATCCCCTACATCCTCCTCACCGACGCCGTCGTCCGCCTCGGGATCGTCCTCATCGTCCTCGCCGCGGAAAGGGAAGGAGAAGGCCAAGGAGAAGGAGAAGGAAAAGAAGAAGCCGGCTCGGCCGATCAAGGACAAGGAACCACGGGAGAAGAAGAGGGCAAAGAAAGCGAGTACATTGCAGGGTGCGCCAGGGGCGAATGGGGCGCTGGGGAGCCTGGGGGCGACAGGTGGAAGTGGGGCAGGAGGTACGAAGGATGGTGGGGAGGGCGGAATGCACGTTTGTGTCACGTGTGGGAGGACAGATAGTCCCGAGTGGAGAAAGGGACCTTTGGGGCCAAAGACGCTGTGTAATGTGAGTAAGGGACTGAAAGCTGGGAGAGGTTGGGCTGGACTGGAGCTGATATCCAGGCGTGTGGACTGAGATGGGCGAAGCGGAACTCGACGGCCCCGAGTCGGAAAGAACGGAAAGCGGCTGAAGCGGCGGCGGCTGCTGCGGCTGCTGCGAAGCGGTGATCTTCAGAGTTGAGGGTCATTCATTCCAGGCCGATTTGTACAATATAGGGCATAGGAGAATCGTCATTTGTAACAGGTCAAGGGGCATATGCAAACGATAGCGAACGATGATGTAGCGCAGGTCCGGCACAATAGCTATTAGTTTGCATATACAAGATTCCACAAGAAAGATCTATGGACTGGATGACTTTTACTCGCTCCATCGCCGCCTATGCCCCTCTGACTCCTGCACTTCTACGACGAGCACACTCCATACTCGAGGAACTCGCTCAAGCGGCCTTTGTCCGCGACTGACAGAGCACCTTGTGCCGGGCTACCCAGTCGGCCTTTTGGCACGAGGCCGTGCAGTACACCGGGGCTTGACACGCTGAGCAGCGCTTCAAGGCGGAGTAGGCGAATGTTTCGCCGGGACACTGTCAGGTCAGCTGAGGCTTTTGGCTACGCAAACTTTCGAACAGGCAGTTCAGTCCAAGGGTCAAGCACTAAAATGATTGAGACGAAATAGACGCTCACATTCTCATTCGAGCAGGTGACATGATCACCCCCACCCTCCCTAATCGCTTTCGCACCCTTCCAATCCCCCTTCTTCTCATACACCCTCCCCAAATTCTCCCTCGTCACTGCCGCATCAAATTCCTGTCCACTCGCCGCCTCCCTAATCTTCTTTGCGAGCTTCAATGCCGCCTCGGCATCCCTCAACTCGCCCACCGCGAGATACTCCTCTCCGAGGGCATTGAATGTCAAGGCAGCCTGGATCGAGTCGATCCCGTGCGCCCGGACCTTGATCTCCAGGGCGCGCTGATGGAGTCGGATAGCGCCGCGGTGGTCCCCCGAGACGGAGAGGTTGCGGGCTTGGTTGGAGAGCGGGATGGCGGTCGTCATCATTTGCATGAGCGCCGCTTGGCGCTCGGCGGGGGTCCCGCGGTGGATGGTGTTGATGTGGGCTGTGAAGCCTTGGTTGGACATTGTGGATGAAGGATGCTAGTAGGCAAATGGGCTTCCTTGTATATCTGTATAGATTACCAAGACAAGGTGATTAGTGAGCAGCAGGTAAACCGAAATCGTTCTCGAAGCTTCTATCGCACATGCTACAACATTCCTCGCGATTCGGATATGGAGATGCAGCATTCCTCGTCCTCGGGCGGCCCGGTAATCTCCATCTCGACACCAGACACAGTCCAAAGTCCAGACCTCCAGATACTTCCAGAGGTCGCTCAGAAAAGGACGAGGCATCACTGAGTCCCAAAGAGCAAATTATTCCCGCCAGGTGGGTCGGAGTATCTGTCTGAGATGAAGATCAGCTGTCGAGATCAGCGGTCGGCTGCCATTACATCGTCTCGGGGAGTGGCGAATCGACCGAGAGGACTCCACCCAGCCTCTGTCCGACCTCCGTCTATCTTCGCCGTGTTGGCTAGGCTCGCTGTGTCGAGGTTGAAAGTCATATCCGCCAGAGTGCCCCGAAGCCTTCTTATAAAATGCATGCCAACTGCGCAAAGCTATGTATAGACAATATCATCCCGCCTTCAGCTACGACGGCTCGCCTTCGTAAACCGTCAGATGAAAAGTAAGGTCACTCCTACTCCGAGTCTTCGTCGTCTAGGCCGTCTCCACTATCTGCGCCGGAGTCCTGGATCCACTGGTTGCGAGCTCTCCAAACAGGTTCCTCCTCGATGAACAGCTTGCCAGACCGTCGAGCCTCCGACACCTCTTCTTCGGTTGCAATGGAGATCGTCCCATCATCCTGCACGATGAGATGATCGCGTCGATGCGTGTCAGCCACAAGCCCCGGACTGTCTTTCCACTGTGCCGGAACCTCCCCCTTCGCCGTGCTGAACGTGGTAGGGTGTTGCGCACCTGTCGAACCACCCTCAAAGCCAATGGAGACTTTGCTCGTCCAACCTGGGGCGTATCGAGAGGCGGTCGCAGATGCCGATACTACGGCTCGATCCACCGTGAACGAGCCAAGAAGCGTGCCATCTCTTTCGTTCCTCATCTTCGCCATTGCCGGAATGGGAAACCTTTCCCCACTTGCAGACACGACAACCGTCTCCTGATCGCCGGCCCCCGTCATGATCTGCACCACCAAGGGAAAGCACTCTGGCTTCTCAAGATACTTGGGAGCGACCTGGGTAAACTCGGACATGTCGTGTGATGGTGAACAGAGAGGTGGGTGTGGGCGGTAGATAGTGCACGGTTTCAGGTGCTAGGTAGTATAGGTTGTCAGTGGAGGGCGTCGCGATGTTGAGAAGGATGATGTATGAAGGAGGAGATAAGCGGGGTGAGGTCCGCCTTATATATCGCTGAACCAAGGCATTGACCTGGCCTTTGCAGCTCGCCACCCAAAGGAAGACCGATACAAAGGGCTACGCGATCTCGAGCTGATCAAAGGTGCGCACCGCCTAGAGTGTTCCACGGCGGAAGATGCACACCGGCGAGCTTGCCGAGATCTGCATTTAGAGATAAGGATCTGAGATTTGATCATTACATTTTCGCGAAGCATTGCTGCGCGCACTGTCATTAGATTGAAACGCGTAGATCTGAACAACGAGCGCGCGCGCTTGAGGGGTATGGCTTGAAGGGATGGCATGATGAAGGGCACAGCTGTGAGGGCCGATCGTCAAAGTGGCAAATCGCAATGAATACGCGATCGTGCGCGGGAGCACATGTCACCACGTCACTGGTCAATGGTCAGTCTGTAAGGAGAACGTAAGGAGCGCAAGTGCCCGATGTCAGTACAGCCTTCACCTTTTCCCTTGATGCGCTAGACGTCATAAAGACCAACTGTCAGTGTCGAGGCGTGTCTAGAGGTACATGTACTCGTATAGACCAAACCGACCTATTGTACATACCAGGTGGTTACAACTTTCAGACCCCAATCGTTCCACATGACGACCATCACTCCGCCTTAGCTCTCTCCTCACCTTGACCTCCCCATCCAAACCAGCTCGACCCCCTTCGGGGACCCCCTGGCCGCAGCGCCTCCGGCACAGTCTCCCCTACTGCATCCACCGCATCCTCCCTATTGATAGTCTCGTACCCCGACATCTCGCCGTACGCTCCCGCGAGAGAAGAGCGGGATGATCGATTCGAGCCCATCGTATTCCGCGATTCATCCGAGTTGCGGTGTATGACTTGTGGGGGCATCTGGGGATTGGACGCAGACCTCGGATGGGCATTGAGGAACTGGTCGGACGTATGGCGCATACGAGCGAAGCTCTCGGTGGACGCGTACTGCGATGTCCGGGATAGACGGCGGGGATCCGAATTGTTGATGGAAGGAATAGGCATAGACATGGCTTCGGTGACCATCTGAGCTTCACGCTGAGCTTGAGCGGCCGGGATGGTACGTGCTGTAGCTGCGTTCGTGGCTGCTTGGATGGCGGTAATAGCTGCTGGGAGGTATCTGAGGCATCAGCTTCGATGATAAGTACAGCATGGTCTCGACGGCTTACTGTATAGCGTATCTATTGAATAGTCCGTACATCTGCTGCATAGCCCCTCCAGCCGGATCCTGGAAGGACGGCGGCGGCATTTGTGGGGCAGCGACCTGTTCGTGACCTTGGGCATATTCGGGGTACGCTGGAGCGGCGATCTGTACGATCAGCAACTTCCACATCTCGCGAGCTTCAAGGGATGGTGATATCTGAGGAAAACTCACGTTGAGCTGTTGCCGGACTTTCTCCCATATCATTCCCAAAGCACCAGTAATCGTCTCCGTAGCTCTCGATCGCAGGCCATTCAGTGCGGCGTCTATGTCCTCCTCATGCTGATAGAACAGCGGAGCGAGATGTGCGCGATAGACATAAGTGGAGCCCTGAGCGATCAGCTTCACCGTAATATCGCTTGTCGACAATAGGTGCAGGTAGGCAAAGTAGCTCACCTCAGTCTGCGGGAGTGATAAGTACAGGAAGAACACGGTCTTGAAAAGCGAGTAGAATGGTAGCCTAGCTGTCAGCATTGTCGTCTGACAGGACAAGTAGCGCTGTATGCGTGGTCCACCTGGGACTTGCGCGAACAAAGGACCTGTACGCACCATGTGAACAACCAGCCTGCCAGAGCCTCGACGCCCGTCCACGTGCCCACCACCGCCCAGTACATCAGCCATCGCTCAATAAGAATGTCTCCAGCTGGATCGATCGAAGGCGTCGACAGAGCCTTGTACGACGCGTATGCGGGGTAGAGAAAGCAAAAGATATTGCTGGGAAGAGTTAGCTGGGCGGCGAATACACTAGACCTCGCATCCAGCGTGTAAGGATAGCTCACCATGCGAAGCGCGAGAGGATGCCTATGATCATGGCGAGAGAGCTGCTGCGCGCCGTGGTCACTCTGAGGCGTATCGATCTGCTAGTGAAAGACGGAGAGATAAAGGCGAAAGGCAGCGACGATTGCAGTGCGCGGACCAGCTGCAACGGCGGCGACGGAGAAGACCGACCTCGGCCATGTCTCATGATCTGTTGTCATGGCCAAGACCCGCCCGAAAGTGTGTGCATTCAGGTGTCTACCGGTCTATAGAGTCCTGATCCTGGGTCCCTAAGTGAATATGCGTAGAGATAAGTGTACAAGATTTCGAATAGCGAAGATGCGACCGAACCCGTTTGTCGGCACACCCGCTGAACTGTTCTGAGCGCGACCTGTCCCATCAGCGACGTCTCTTGCAGAACCACGGCCCATCTGGACATACGTGATAATGTGGGCCTCTTATCCTATACTCCTCCTGCTCGCCAGTAGAGCTAATCGATCCCCGAGCCGATCACAACGTCGAGTACCGGACTAAATCGTCAGCTGGAGCTCTACCCAGACCCCGTACGTCGCCCAGGTCAGACTCACCTAACAATGAAGTCCACATCGTCTCCTACGCCTGTCACGCGCAGCTTCTCTATCCGATGTACACCATCCCTGAGAGCCATGAAGCGTATTCTTGAGCTCATGCTCGCGCCCGGAAGTAGCGGACCGCAGCGAATATCGTTCTCGAGGGGTATGACGCCCGGCGCGGACTTCCCGCGTCCCTCTTGCCGGCCCGGTACAGACAATCTGAAGCGCCTGACCTCTTCCGTCCGGTTTTGGACATACACCTCGACGCTGAACTCCTCTAGCGGCTTGATGGTCCCGGTCTCCCCCTCCGTCCGATCCAGTAGGCGGACACTGACCATCAAGCCCGGCTTCTCCTCCTTTTCCCCTACGGTGCGGAGAGAGGATAAGCGGTTCTGCCCCTGCGCCTGATTGGCGAGTTGGCTCGGCATGAGTGGCCTACCCGAGACGAGCCGTTTTGGAGGAGGCAGTGAGGGGGGCCGACCGATCGGTTCGCGAGGCGTCGCTGCCTCGTCGTTGTCGCCCGCAAGGAGTGTGGCGAGCGAGTACCGCTTGTCCCCGACGATGGCGTTTGCGGGCGGCAAAGACACCGGCTTGGACGTGCGCTGCCGACTGGGTCCAGCGGCCATCGGAGGCGGAGCGCCCGAGGCCAAGCTAGCATAGTACGCCGACAAGTCGAGGTTGCAATTCCAGCGCGAGCTGAACTCCCTTGTAGGATACACTACCCCCTCAGTCGTGGAAGGAGCATAGTATGGCCGCCCGATGACCATGATGCTGACCGGACGGTTAACCTCGCCCGTCCCGAGGTTCCTCAGAACCGCTCTCGCAGCTTGATCATCCTCCCATCCGCCTTCTTCCGAGGTAGATGCGACCGTCACCCCGTAGAGCAGATTGTACTGCTCCACAGGCTGGAGCCGTAACGGGAAGACGTCATCCGAGCTGGTAGGCTGGCAGGTCAGAGCCGCGGTGGCCTTGCCGCCCTTTCCGCCGATCTCCACTTCCACGCGGGATACGACGAATGCGATTGGGGGCGTGTTGCCATCCGGAGCATTCTCGATCTCAACGCAGAGGACGACCTTGTTCTCACCATCGTCGTTGTCGAAGTCGTCCGCATGTGTTCCGGAGGGCGGTATGAGCTGGGGCAGGACGAGGTTCCGCATCCTGACCCTAAGACCGGGGGATAGTGATAGGACGCGCCGGAATGACTTGCGCATGGTGGAACCGGAGGGTAGGAGGTGAGAGGGCAAATCTCCGGCCGACCGGTGAGGACCGGGGCTAGCAGTGGGAGGCGCGGAGTGGTGAGGAGCGGTAACGGGAGTAACGGCGGACAGCGGTGTCGGTCTTACCGACGTAGAGTCCGAGATAGAGAGGTCCTGGCGTGCAGATGGACCGAGCCTTGTTGCAGGTACGAGGTCCGAAGCTGTGATAGTCAGCAAAAGGGAGTCAACGCCAACGGTCACTTCGTGGACAATAGTTGTTGTGATCCGGGCATCAAAGTGGATGGTCTGACTCACTGCCAGCTAGTCCGCCCAAGAGATCGATATCCATCATCCATGCTTCCTCTTCTTCATCGCTTGCCGCACCGCCTTCCTCCTCCTCTCCGTCACTCAGTACCGACCCCTCCAGTGTCGCGACGCTCCCGTGCGAGCGGTGACCCGAGCGCGTCAGAGCGTCTGGCCGAAGAGTGATGGATGCTGTGAGAGCCAAAAGCGGGTTCTGGATCTGAGTCCGAACATAAGCTGTCCATGTCAGCTTCTACCCATGCCTATAGTTCGCAGTTGGGGACTAACTTACCGACGGGCACCTCCCCCTCCCAAATTACTTCATATCCACCCTCTACCCTTCTGACGACCGACCTCGCTTCCACCTTCTCTCCGGTTCCCTTCTTCCCACCCGATCCAGCCTCTGGAGTGGACACCATCCCTACGTCCCCCTCCCAGACCGTCACACCCTCGACGTCCGCATACTCCTCCTCGCCTCCTCGCATCGCTGGAAACGGGTTTGGCGTAGCGGGATCTGGCACACCTGCTGTGCCTGGAGTCAGGGGTGTTTCGGGAAGCGTAGGTATACCAAGCGAAGGAGCAGTGGGGTCGGTATTGTATCGGCTGTGCGGAGCGTGGTTGCGGGGAGGGGTAGGAGGGAGAAAGGACGATGTCATCGTTCGCTACTTGGTCAGCCGAAGTCTGTGCATACTGCCCATGCCGGATCTTCCTGGCATATGATACCTACCTGGATACGCTTGACCAGGCCAAGCACCGCCTGTTCCCCTTCGCCATCCATGTATTCCAACGCCTCTCCAGGCACGAAAAGCGCAAGGAAGTAGATCAGTTTCTCATCTGTTACGATCAGTCAATGCCCTCATATCATGCTTGAAAGAGGTTTTGGAGGTGGGCCTACCGAAGAAAGCCACGTCCCGTTCGGCTCCAGCTTTCGCCTGCTCCCAGTCCGCCCGAACATCGCCCTCGGAGCGCGTCGAATCGAACAAAGTGTCCGGTAATGCCGACGCTTCCTGTACGTAGACTTTCAGCGAGCAGGCATTGAAGGCAGCCTCCATTACGCCCGTTGGATTGGTCTGGCAAGGCGGCAGATATGGAGGAGAGCTGAAGGTAAAAGGTCGAGTTGGCAAAACGCGTTAACTGTCGGTATGGTGAGGCAGGTCCGTGCGCTGCGTTTCATGTTTTCAGACCCAGAGGAGCGTTCACTCGTGCATTTAGTGTTACAGATCTGGACTGACAGGTACAGAGAGTAGGGACATAACCTGCGCGCGGCCGCTGTTAGAGATGGTACTCGGAGCCACTATACATTGCAAAAATCCGTCTAGATCCGGTTCCCCCACCACCCTTTTCCCAACTCCTCATTCCTCGTCATCCTCTTCGTCATCCCCTTCTTCCTGCTTGACGTTCGCCCCCACCCACTCCTTCGCCCTCTCCTTGGCCTTCTCTTGACCTGCGGCATCGCCTATCCGCCCCTCAAGCGCCAACCATTTCTTGAAGAGGAACTTGGCCTTCTTGGCGGTGAGTTTCCGGTCCAGCGCGCGGTCAAAGAGGGCCCTATCAAATCAGCTGCTATCCCGCGGGAAGGAAGAGCTTGATGGCTCGCCTGACACCCTGGATATCACCGGTCCGGGCCATTTGGTCGATGTACACACTCCACAGGTCCAGCTTCTTCCCTGACCGCTCGAGCAGACCTTCGAAGAGCGTCTTACCCCGCTCTGCCTCGCCGTGCTTGAACTCCAAGATCGCCATCTTCTCAATCATCTCGCGGTCTATCTGATCAGCCTGAGCCGTCCCCGAGATGTAAAATAGCTTACGGTTCTGCTTCTCCAGACTTTTCAGACTCCTCGGAAGGAGCGCCCGCGCAGACTCCATATCTCCCTTCTTGAGGTAATACGTCGCCGCGCTGAGCCAGGACTCGGGATATGCTGAGAACTTCTTGACAATCTTCTTGAATGTCTCTTCCGCCAACTACTCCATCAACTCAGCCCTCTATCACTCGAAAAGAAGGACTCACCTCGTCCTTGCCCGCGACTTGCAGCGCCTCAGCATACCTACCGTATACCGTCCGCGCATCATTATACTGACTCGCCTCCTTGAAGACTTTCTCTCCACTCTCGGCAGTCCCGAACCCCAACTCCAGATTAACGAGCGCCATCCACACATTCAACTTCTCCTCCTCTTCTCTGTACCCGATCTTCTCGAGAGCTTGCCGGCCGATCCGACGCGCCTTGTCGACCTCGTGAAGCTGGAGGAGGAAAGACATGTATTGAATCCAGAGGAAGGAGGAGTTGGGGGAGGCGAGGAGGGCACGCTCGAACTCGGCGGTAGATTCTGGTCGGGCATCAGGAGCGGTAGCGGTGAGGTCGAGAGGGGCGGCGCGGGATTTGCCTTTGCCCTTAGTGGTGGCAGGAGCGGATGTAGAGGTGGGCATCTCGGCGTCGTCCTCGGCGTCAGAATCGTCATCCGAGGAGTCGTCCTCAACGCCCGGAGCAGCACCGGACCAGTCGAAGCCGCCAGCTACATCGAGCGCGACAGCGTTGGCTTTGGACTTGGGCTTGGTGGCGGTGGCAGTGGTACCGGGTTGATCAACTTGAAGCTAACTTATCAGCTTTTGCGAAGCGATGAATACCGGGACACTTACAGTGATACCCTCTTCATCAGAGTCCTCCGCCTCCTGTTCATCCCCGCTTTCTTCCTCATCTTCATCATCCCCTTGCTCATCTCCATCTTCCTCTTCGTCCTCGTCTTCTTCGTCTCCCTCATCCTCGTCTACCTCTTCGTCCCCGTCGACATCTTCATCTCCCTCTCCGTCCTCCATCTCCTCATCTTCCTCTACAGCCGCAGCCCCGTCATCGAAATAACTAGCCTTCAAACCGAAAGCTACCCTGCCCTTCTCCTTGTCGATAGTGATGATATGGGCCTTGACTTGATCGCCCTCTCGGAAGCCCTTGAGAGCGCTCGAGACGTCGGCCTTCTTGTTGTCGGCAAGCTAACATCGTTAGCTCGGGATGTCGGCCCAAGGAATAACCAAAAACTCACCTCAGACTTGTGGCACAGTCCCGAAACATTACTTCCTTCAATTCTCAAGAAGATCCCATACTCCTCCACCTTCTTCACGACTGCGACAACATTCTGGCCCTCCTTGAAGTCGGACAAGCCGAGCTGCGCGACCTTCTTGCTGGACGCAGCAGCCTTGGTACGGAACGTCATTTCGACGAGGTTGTTGGCGGTGTCCACCCTACTGGGTCAGCTTTGCCCTCAGAGACAGAAGAAAAGTAAGCCTACTTGAGGATCTTGCCTGATACGAGCTGACCGACGGAGAACTTCGGCTGCCACTCCTTGACGTACTAAGTTATCAGCTCTGATTCCCGGATGAGAGAGTCCTTGAACTTACATCGTCAAACAGCTCCTTGATCATCACCCTCGCCGTTACTCCAGTCCCCAGCGCCACAAAAACCCCACCAGCCGCTACGTTCTTGACGAACCCTCGAACCTTCTTGCCCACCTCAAGATCCGCCACCGAGTTCACCTCCGCATCCTTCACCTCTCCGCCCGTCGACTTGACCCTCGACGCCCTACTCGACAGCTCCAAAAGCTTCGCAGCTGGGTTGACCTTGAGTACAGTGCAGTAGACGGTATCGCCAATGCTGCCAGGTCCGTCCGGCTGAGGGAAAGAGACTTGGTCATAGTCGTCCGCGATATTTGTGGCGTGCAGCCGGCCCCGAAGTCCCTTGATCTGGATTCCGGCCGAGAGAGTCGAGTGGGAGACGACCTTTCCGGTAATGGCCTGTCCGACCTGGACTGTCCGCCATGAGATCCCTTCCTTGTCGTTCCCCGTTGCGCCTGCTGTCGTTGCGTTGGTCGCAGCAGCCGGATTTTTGGGGTACGATACGATGAACAGCCCACTTTGAGCGTTCTTCGAGACGATCACCAGACCGTCCATCTTCTCTCCGACTTTGAGACTTGACCGCATCTCGTCGATGGTCATGTGGCGATGGTTTGAGAGGTTGCTGAGGGAGAGAAGGGCGGTAGATTGAGAGGGTTGGAGGGTGATGACGACTTGCTCGGCGTGGATCTGGGTGATTTGCCCAGAAACGCTGTGTCCGATGTCGAGCTGCTCGGCAGCGAGGGCGGAAGGTAGGGCTTGGCGAATTGAGCCCACGAGCCGGTGCACGGCGGGTTGGAGCTCAATGATTCGGAGCTTGGTGGGCTGGCCGACGTAGAAGATCTCGGACAGGTTGGACGAGGGATTTTGACTGATGTGGGTAAGCATTTCCCTTGCGAAAGCGGGTGCAGGTGAATGTGGAAGGGGATGTAGAGGTTTGAGATCTGGATGAGGGGAAACAGAGATTGGTAACGACGGCGAGACAGGAAGAAGATAAGTAGATCAAGTGGGATGAGTGCTGATGGGTACTCTCTCTCTAGGCAAGAAAGCGTGAATTAGCTTACCTGGCTTCGCTTTGCGGAACGAACGCCTTCTGTCCCCCAAATAGCTCCACGACCAGTCCCTTGTCCAACAACTTGACCACCGTCCCCGCTACGGCCACGCCCTGGCTATACTCCGCAAAAGAAGCCAGGACGGGCAGATCGCTCTCGACCAAGCTCTTCTTCAAAGTCAAGACGACCCGGCTTCGTGCCGCCTCCAATTCGATCACTCGGGCCTTGACGGTAGAGCCGACCTTGAAACGCCGTTCTGGATGCTTCAGGCGGATATCCGCATAGTGGAGAGGGTGAACAATACCGTCCACCGATCCCGAGATGTCGACGAAGAGCATCTTGTCGGTCAGGCGGCGGATAGTGCCTTTCAGCACTTGGCCAACAGACAGCTCCGAGACGGCCATGAAGACCTGATCGATGACTTTCTGCTCCAGACTGAGGAGGATGACGCCATCGAGGGGAGAGTGGCCGATAACGCGGGCGCGGTGCATCGTTCCGGGCGCGTAAGGGCCGGCGGAGGACGAAAGGGAAGGAAGACGCTCGTCAGAGATGTGGCTGATCTACACTGTCAGCTGAGCTCTTCGTGGCTGGCTTGGTAGCTTACATGAACGAAAGCGTCCAATCCATCGTCGGTGCGGCAAACGAGACCCCACTCAGAAATGACCTTCTGGACCGTCACCGCGCTAATCATCTTCCCGATCGGGATGGCCTGCTCTAAGGGCGTAACCTTGTCGGCAGCAAGCGGAGACTCCAAATCGAGGATATGCGGGAGGGCGGAGAGACCGAACCGGCGAGGAGTAACGGTCTGGTTATCGTATAGGACTCGAGCGCGGATCTGGCTGTCAGCAATTACCCTCTTACTGCCCTATCTGGAGTATTTGGAGATGAACATACCTTCTTCCCGACCTTATACCTGTCCTCGATCTCCGCATCCCCCAAAGCCAAATGCGTCAGGTCGATCGTCCCATCGAAGAAACCCCCAATCTTGACGTTCAGCCCGCTCGGCATGACGGCGGTAATGAGCGTCGAGACGAGATGACCGGGGAGGATGGAGCTGACGCTGGACACCTCGTTTAATTGACCCTTGACCGCAGTCTGAGGGTTTAGGGACAGCTGCAGGACGCGGCCGGAGGCGGTTACGGAGGAGATGGAGGCTCGGACGAGCTGGCCGGGGATCAGGGTTCCGGCTGGGATGTCAGCTAAGTATTGTAGGGTCGTGACTCGAGGAGGCTTCTTCCCGCCAATCACACCCTTTTCCCCCTCATACCTTTCACACCCAGCACTCCCAGTCATTTCTCGACTAGCAGTCTCCTCTTCTAACCCATCACACGCTTCGCACCCATTACTCCCTATCATCTCCCAACTCAGCTGTTCCCTCTTTCCCTCCCGTCTTTCAGGTCCCCTCGTAACCCATCTCCGTGTCGTTCGGTCTATCCGCAACCTCATACACCCGCGAGCGCGCTTGGCGGGAAAGATGTGGTTTGGTCGACTTACACGTTACGTTCTTCGTCACCTGCTCCTTCCCTATCCACCCCCCTACCCCACTCCCTCCGCCTTCATCACCCAACCCCAGCCCGACCCTCCATCCCTTATCTTCCTCCTCTTTCACCTCCCCAACAAGTACGAACCCCTTGTCCAGATCCGCCTTGGCAATCTCGCTATTCACCTTCTCCGGCATCAACGTCATTTCCACCCTCGCCGCCAGCTTGGTCGTCTCCGACATCGGGTACTGAGAAACGAAGGCCTGGCTCGCCGTGGGATAGGTAGCGACCACACGAGCGGGAAAGTACTGGCCTGGTACGAAGAGCTGGGATAGCTCAGGCGCCGCGGACTTGGCGGGCGAGTCGTCTTCATCTTCGTCGTCCTCGTCTTCTGAGATAGACATGGCGGCCTCTTCGGCGGAGAGGAGGGCGGTGAGAGTCGAGGAGATCTCGGTGATGGGTACATGGGCGAGGAGGTTGTTGGGGAGCGAGATGACCAGGTGTAAGGGCAGGATAGTGTGGATCCGGGCGAGAACGCGGGTCCCGATGGTCAGACGCTTGTAGTTCAGGTGTTCGGCGCCTGGCCCATCAGCTCAGTCCAGCTCCACAGAAGGTTTGTGATACATACGGATCTGATCTTTGTCAAAGTCGTTGTCTGGCTTGACCTCGTTCTTCTTCAGACGCCGCGCCTCGCGCTCGCTGACTTGGCGCTTCGATTTCTTAGCCGGTCGCGCGCCAGACTGAAGCGATCAGTCCTAGTCCCAGATCTTGCCTGCACGACTCGGTGGGATCGACCTACCTCTGCGGCTATCTCTGCTTCTGCCTCTCGCCTTCCTTCCTCCCTGACCTGCTTAAGCTCGAAAGCGGACAGAGTGGTCCCTCCGCCTCGTGGAAAGTCGCCTTCATCTGCCTTGAGCGCGGATGTGAACGCTGGAGCGGGCCGTGGGGCTTTGCTAGGCCCAGCAGCGGCGTTGGAATCGCCATGCGAGCGCTTCTTTGATTCGAGCGCCATTGTAGATGCAGATACTAGCTGTCTGTCTGCGTTATGATTCAGCGTATGAGAGCGATGAATCGATGAAAGCTTGCAATGGACCTGCTCGCTGAAATTCTGCCAACCGTGCCTGAATCCATCGGCTGTGCGAACGGAGATGGAGAACACCTCCGAATAGCTCATCGCAGTATTCCCGCGTATTCCCGGCTGGGCGCCATCGTATACGACGGTGAATCTCGGTCTGAGCTTCTGCGTGCCCGTCACGGAGATTGACGGCAATAGCGTCCGGCAAGGCCGAATTCTGAAACAAGGGTGGGGGGAAGGGGGAGGAGGGGTTCCGCATGGTGCGCCTCCTCCGTCTCCGTCTCGAGCACAGCATGCGTCCCTCACTTCAGTCAACTCGGACCTTACGCGCCCTTACGGATGGGAATATACTGTATAAAAGCGACCTTCAAGCTTCACTACCGCTCATCACCTTCGCATCTGTCCCAGAGTCTCTGAGCTAGCCCAGGCTCGGCTTGAATCATGAGCTCCACCCCCGACCCGGTCTTCCTCCGGCGGTTCATCAATCAGCATGGCGGCGCCCGACCTATCGCCGATAGTGACTGGTACGGCCTCGTCGCGGCCATAGTTGGTTCATGCGCTCTCATCGCCCTCACCCCGCCTACACGCGGTTGGAAGCTCGTCCGCGCGTCCATCCTCCCGTTGATGATGAGCTATCAGGCGTACTTCTTCCTCTTTCCTCTCGAGCACGACTGGGAGACACACTGGGGAAACACGACGGGTCATCTATGGCATCTCGAGAAGGCGCTCGAGCTGCTTCTCCTCTATCCCGCAGAGGAGTACTGGTACCGGCTGCGCCCGGCTCCGGTTATGGCCGAGCTCGGTAACAGCGCGGACAAGGAAGGCGAAGGGAAGAAGGGGGATATGGTGGCTGAGCCTGTACCCCCTCCCAGGACGCGGGCCAAGCTCTACTGGGTGCTGGGCGCCTGGTTCTCGCAGAGAGGGATCGGGTGGAACTACACCGCCCCGTTACCCGCAAGCTCCAGACGACACCCCTTCACTCGGCAATCCGGTCGGATAGCCTTCCTCCTTAATCGGCTGCGCTATCTGACGGCGGGATATCTATGCTATGATCTCGCACGGGCATACATGACCTGTGAGTTCCTCTCTCCTGCTTATGGCCGAGTGAGTCTGGGCTGATCCCTCAGTCGGTCCCGGCGCAGCCTTCTTCCGCGGTATACCCGGAATCGCCCCCTCACACGAAACGCTCACCATCCCCCAACGAGCCCTCTACTCCGTCCCCATCGCCCTCCGCGTCTTCTGGTCCATCGAGGAATGGTACACCCCCATCTCAATCATCGCGGTCGCGCTCGGCGGTGTGCTGGGATGGGAGGGGGAGTGGTGGAGCCCGTGGGGGTGGCCGCCGCTTTTTGGGACTATCAGGGATCTGTGGATACATCCGGGACTGGGGCATATGTGGTCAAAGGTAAGTCTTCATGGAAGGACAGGATCAGTTTCAGGGAGAAGTCCGTGAGAAGACAGGGTGTAGTAAGAGGGCTTGGAGGATCGAGCTGGAGGTGATAATGATGATTGTTTGGTGTTTGCCAGATGGATAGGGGGATCTTGCGGAGCTGGAGTTGTGGGGGATGATGGGAAGAGCGGGAGATACAGTGGGCCCATGAGATCAATGCTGATATCGCAGACCTGGCACCAATACTTTCATCACTGGCTCATCCTATTCGGATGGATCGGTATCGGAGAGAACATCCTGGGTCTCCCTGCGTCCGGAATCTCCGTCCGACCTCGCCTAGCAGCTTCTTCTTTTCAGTCCGCGCCTCCATCCGAAACCTCGTCACCCTCCACCCGCTCCGCCTCTCCTTCTCATCCGCTCCCTACCGCCCCGACTACCTCCAAACGGCGTACAAGCACCAAGATCATGCTCTCCAACTTCCTCAAATCCCTCATCGTCTTCGCCCTCACCGGTCTCCACCACGACATCCCCTCCTACTTCCTCCAACTACACACCGCGCCCGCCGGCGAGCCCATCACCCTCGCTCAGACCTTCTCCACGACCACCTTCTTCCTCCTTCAGCCTCTCGCGCTCGCGGCCGAGGCGTTCGTGAAGCGGAACTGGCGGTCCTGGAAGGACCGGGCACATCCTGAGTGGGCCAAAGGCGAAAAGGAGCCAAAGTGGCTGGTCACGGTCGAACGTACGATTGGGTTCGTGTGGACATGGTGGTGGCTGGGACATACGGCGCGGTATTTCGTGGTCGGGCTGACCAAGGCGGGGATGTATCGGCACAAGCCGGGGCAGAGGGAGAAGTTTAGCCCGGTCGGAGGGTTTATTTACGGACAATGGTGGTACTAGACCATAATCTTTTCTGCTTATATCTTGATCTTCCACGTCATGATACTGTATATAGATTGTAGCAGATATAATTCGCAGCGTAGATGTATGCGCATCAAAGCATCAGCAAGACATAGCCAGAGCTCCGCCACATTCCTCGCCTCCCTTTACCGCGCCTATCGGAGAGACCCGGAAAGGGAAACCGCCAAAAATGCTCCCGCTCCTCTCAACCAATGATGGCTGCCTCAAAGTCGATCCACAACCCATATACCATACACCACTCTCACTAAAACAGCTCCTAGTACAATGGCGATGCTCACATCCCGCATCAACCTCCTGCCGACCTCGAGGGCACTCGCGAGCGGCGTACCCCTCGCGCCCAAGATTTCGTTTGCGGTCCCCTCGGCGGGTCATGAGCACGGTGGACGGGCGGATGCGATCCCCAAGTTTGCTGGGAGGAGTACTGGCGTTCTAAGCTTGAGCCGCGTCAACGGTAAGTATTCGATTGCTGGCCGTTAGGAGACGGAGGAAAGGCGGAGCTGCAGAAGAAGGTGCAAGGGACCGGAATGAAGAAAATGGACAAGGAAGGATTGCCGATGCCTTTTTGGTGTGGATATTTGAAAGCGCGACTGCCCCCAACAATTGAACCTGGCTGACTGTACCAGCCCTCCCCACATCACCTTCCTCCCCACGGTACATCCACACCTCCCCCCGCACTCCCGCATCCGCCACCAACGCCAACGGCGTCCCCGATTTCTCCCCGTACCGCGCGAAGGGTCAGGGCGAGACCAACAAGACCTTGTCGTATTTCATGGTCGGATCGCTCGGTGTGCTCGCTGCCAGCGGAGCCAAGAGCACCGTCGCGGATATCCTGAGTAACATGGCGGCGTCGGCGGATGTGTTGGCTTTGGCCAAGATTGAGGTCGAGATGAAGTCTATTCCGGAGGGTGAGTCACGTCCCAACTTCATGGGGTTTCGCAGGGAATGGACGGGAAAGAGCAGTTGGATGGGTAGTCGAGATGGGCTTGATTGTCGTACTGGAACGCCGGGAATCAGGGGAAGGGAAAGTGACCGAGAAGGGTAGGAGGCAAGAGGGCTTTACTGTACCCGTCCCCCATTTCCGAAACTCTGTACCCCGTCGGGGCCTCTGTCAACGAGGGAGCTGGCTGCAGGAGAGGAAGCGGCATTATCGAGCAGAACATACATTCCCTTTCTGTCCAGCTGGCTGACCCCTGCAGGCAAGAACCTCATCGTCAAGTGGCGAGGAAAGCCCGTCTTCATCCGTCACCGGACGGCGGACGAGATTGACGAGGCCAACCAGGTCGACGTCAAGACATTGCGGGACCCCCAGGCGGACGATGATCGTGTTCAGCGGCCAGAGTGGTAAGTTTCGCCCCTCTTACCTGCTCTGTATCGAGATCCCATAGCTGATTCTTCAGGCTGGTCATGTTGGGTGTCTGCACACATCTCGGTTGTGTCCCCATCGGTGAGTTGATGTGATTCTCGCGTTGAGTAAGTACCAGAGCTGACTCTTCAGGCGAGGCAGGTGACTACGGAGGATGGTTCTGCCCTTGCCACGGTTCCCACTACGATATCTCGGGCCGTATCCGTCGTGGACCGGCACCGCTCAACCTCGAAATCCCAGAATATCAGTTCAACGATGATGAGGAGAAGCTTGTCATTGGTTAGAGCGGATAGAGCCGCTTGAGACGTCGAGTAGATTGGGAGGCTTCGGTGGGATATGCTGCGGTCAGCATGCACACGTTCTGTCTGGAGTACATTGACCGTGGCCGAGTTCTGGAAAGGTTGCGAGCTGAGCTATTGCAGCCTTACCTGCAGGCTGTGACTGACTTGTTACTGGCTAAGGCGATGACGCTGTTCGCTCTGTGTACGCAAATCACGATGTGATGATATCTCCTGCATGCAAGATACACTGACCGACCCCTTGCTCACATTCCATGATCAAACCCAATCGACTCCGCCCCCTCAAGCTACTCCCTCTCCTTCGTTCGTCTCCACGGTCTTCTCCAGCTCAGTAGCTTGCGATGCTCGAGCCGTCTCGATCCATTTGCGCCAAGACTCAAGCTGGGGCCCGTAGTAGTCAAGCTGCGCCCAGTAGTCCCTGTATTCCTGTTGCTGAACAGAGCGGATCGCCGGAATGTACCGATACATGTCGCCTCCGAGTGTCGAGAAGATGGTGTAACTGTAGAGCTTGAAAATGGCATCGCTCATCTCTTTGTCGGTCAGATGGAGCACGCGCTCCCCTTCGATGCGGGTCGCACCAAAGGGTCTCTCAGATGCTCCTGCGGCTGGACCGCCCTTCGCTTTGCCTCGGCGTCCGAGCTTGACGAAAGTGGCATAGTCGCTGACTTTTTGCAGACTCTGCGCCATATGCGCACAGTAGGTACCAAGAGTGGCGCAACTCTCGGCCAACTTCTGCAAGCGCTGTTCGGCTTCGTGCTTGTCCAGTACCCCACTCGAAAGAGCGCCGGAGATCGTGTCCATGATTTGACCTCTCTTCGTCTGCGCTTGAGCCTTCTCGATCTCAGTGGTAGCCTGCCAGGACATCGAGTCGAGGGATTTGTCGATCCACGCCAGAGCCGACACCGCACTCTCGTTGTCAGAGGCAGGACCCGTCTCGTTCGAGAACTTTGATGAGGTAGACGGTAGGATGTCCTCACGGACCATCCAATGCACCAACTTCTGCATTCTCTTCAGTGTCTCACCCCTGTCGTACAGCATCTTGGTAAAGACCGGGTCCTCCTTGGACACGCCGTTTGCGTAGTCTGCACACTGCTGCCATAGCGCACTCTCAGCGGTGACTGTCCTCTCAATCACGCCAAGCGCAGCTTCGAGCGATGTCATGCCGTCGGGGAAGGAAAACATGTTGATCGTGATTGGATGAAGAGCAGTTGTAGCGGCGAGGTGGTGTCCAGTGAGACCAACGATATATCGGGGACAATGAGACGATACCACAAACAGTGAAGCGATCCTGAGCGATAAAGTCGCCACTTGGTCAGGGGCAGGTGGCACCTGGACGGAGTGATCCGCTTGAAAGGTGGCCATGTAGAAAGGATGTGATTCTTCTGTGATATACTAGAATCCTGGATCGCACTACGCTCGAGGGTCCCGATCTACGCGTAGGTCATGCATCAGACTCAAAATATACACAAGGCTGATAAATGCCATCGCCGCGCAAGCTTTCGGGCATTATCAGGTCAATATTCGAGTCAGGTCTGGGTGGTACCAGTAGCGGCGGATGGCGCGCGGAGTCTGGCGAGGGCAGGAACGGTCTGGACGAGAGTGCTGAGATTGTCGAGTCGAGTGAGCGCCCGGATGAGTGTGCGTGCATCGTCCTCGAACGCCTCGTCAGTGTAAGCCGTTGTGGATCTGGTAGACTTCCCTCGACTTGCGTATTCGTCTGCCGCAATGATCCCAGCGTTGACGAGCAGAGATTTGGTACGGAAGGCCGAGCCGAGCTGGACTGGGTCCAAGGGACCCGTAGCCTGGAGTTTCACGTCTCGTCCGGTCGTCCCCATCGACTCGAACATCGCGACTGATGCGTTGTAGGCTTCGCGCAAGCTCTTTTCCAAGCCTTCAGCCCACCGGTCGACGGTCGCCGTGTACTTGATCAGGCGAGTCGCCTCCATCTTCACTTCTTTGGCGCTCACAAGCCCTTGGCCCATCCACCCCCGATAAGTCTCCTTGAACTCAAGAGCGCTCCGACCAAAGTCATTCGACAGCCGTTCGAAGCTCTCGAGCAAGAGCGTATCGTCCGCCGACTCCTTGGGGTGAGGCAGGTCACGCATCTGGAAAGGGAGTGGCTCGGAACTGGGGACCACCGTGCGCCGGAGTCTCGGAGGTCTCTCCGTCTTGTCGAGGAGGCCGATCAGGACATCGCCTGCTGCCTTGGTGGATGCTCGAAGGCGGGTGCTCGAGGCGCGGGCGGTCACCTTGTCCGCTTCGATAGGCGCTGTAGTGGAAGACTTCCATTGCCCCCGCTCTTCTTTCAGCCGGACCTTGATATCTCGGAGAGCTTTTGCCAAGGCCTGCTTCTCATCTGGCTTCATGGAGCGATGATGGGACGACTCGGTTGGCACTGTTGTCACTCCAGACAATGTCCACTCTGAGGCCTTAGCCGACGCCGGCACGATCGTGGCGGCTGTCTTGCCCTTCCTGGCAGCGTCCACCTGTCTTTCTCTTTCGGCTTCCTCCTGGTCGTGAGACGCCGGGGCGAGATCGTCGGGCCGCTGCGCTTGAGTGGTCGTGTCATCTTCGTCATCGGATGATAATCCTTCGTATAGGAGCCGTGGCATGGTATCACTGTCGCCTCCATCTTCCGCACCTTCCTCGATGAATGTGTCGCGCTCCTGAGGGATGTTTCCCGATCGAGCAACAGGTCCAGAGCTCGATCCGGGCGGGATGGTATGGCTCTCGCCTTCTGAAGGCACCTCGGGGAGAGCGGCAAGGAACGCAGCGAATTCCCCCTTGGTCCAATCTACTGAGTTGCGGCTTGACATGCTTGCAGATTCTTCTTTGGGGATTGGAGCGAGAGATATGAGTATGAAGGAAGACGTCACGCTTAGTGGCGAGGGGGCTTTGAAAGAGGACCGCTCGCCCGTTGTGGGTGCCTTTCCCTGACTCTTTGGGCCCCAACAAAAAGGAAGTCAAGACACTGGTGCTTTCCATCACCCACATCTTATAGTCGCAAGGGTCGGAGGCGGGGGTTCAGGTGAGAAAGGATGTCGCAGTGACGTGGACTTCGAGCGCTAGTTGCAGGGGTCGATCTGACCCGTGCGACCGAAATCTAAGGTGAGGTTGTAACGTGAAGCAACGGGTGATGGTTAGCCCAAGCACCCTCTATGCCCCAAGCTATCAGTAACGGTCAGTCTCCACTACAACTCCCAACCCGAGGGTTCGGTATTCAGTATATCCCCTACCCTTCTGATTGCTCATTCCATTTCATCATGATATGTCCCCGACCACCCCACCCCCAGCTTCCCTCTCCACCTGCGCGCGCATCACTTCTGCTCTTTCCAGCAACACTGGATCCCGCAATTGCTCGCTGAGATGTGGAAGGAGGTGGAGGTGGAAAGCGCGATGTGCTGCCGCTGAGCCGAACTCGGAGAATACGCCGCCGAGAATGGATTCGACTGTCAAGCCCCGGATCTTGAGGCCCGCATTTGGTATGCCGGCCTGAAACGTCAGCCAGAGCTCGGCCACTCTAGGCTGAAGACCCAGCACTCACCTCATTCCGATCCCACCGCATCACATCCCCTACGCCCCATTGTCCCCCAACATCCCTCCCCAGATTATTGACATGTGTCATCGCCTTCATCTTCTCATCCAATCCCTTCCCTCTCAAGAAATCCACCTCTCTCAACCCCCTATCCGTCCTCAGATGGCTATGCAGGAACAGCGCCAGATATGTGTTGAGCGCCCTCCGCCCGAGGAACGATAGCCTCGCATTGTGCGATACAGACGATGGTCCCTCCGTTTCTTCCCCTTGTGCTGCTTGCACTCCGAAGTCCCGCCGTGGTTCCCGTTCATATCGATCTCGCGAGCGGGGGTGATTATGCCGGATGAGGTGGGCGTAGCGATATGATTTATGTGTGAGGATTTGGAGGGCGAGGTCAGGGGAGAAGGCGCGGGAGGGAGGGAGATGGAGAAGGTCGGAGAGATAGGATTGGGCGGATGCGGCGGTGGTAGGTGGTGGAACGGGGGCGCGGGAGGGAGGAGGGGAGTGAGAGTAGGAGGGAGAGATGTGCTCTAGCGGCTCGACCGATTCGCGTTGAGCAGCTGCGGCGAAAGATCGAGCTAAGGCGTCAGTACAATCCCTCAATCTGGAATGGAACCCCAGGTCTGATGTCCGAATCGTCCGAAGCTTTGATAGGGATGACGCGGAGACCCGCCAGCTCGACTTACAGGCATGAACTTCGGCTTGAACACGGCTTGAACTCCTCGTTACACCTTGAGTGACTAAACGAGGGCGCATGACGCTCCGCAGAGCCGACGAGGAAGCTGCCGATGAAGATGCCATCGTGAAGATGATGGCGCAAGGAGCGGTCGATTTCGGGCAGAAGAGCTCGGTTCCAGCTCAGTCGAACGAGCTTGATATGTCCGCACGACAGCGATTGACGCTGCTACGAGATGATGTGGGTAAGGGCGGAGTAGATGCTGTATGTATGGGTGTCACAATAGGTGCTCTAGCATAGGAGAAAGTCGAATCAAGTGGCTCGCCCGACCTCTAGCGGGATTAAAAAAGTTGGCGGCGTTACGACCAAGAGGCGCCAGTCCGCCCTGCTCCGAGCCGCCACTTTCAGCCTATGCGGTGCCAGATGGCATGCTGACTCATGGGTGAGTGATCCCAGCACAGCTGACCAGTTACCCAGGCGCTTGGACATAGTAGACTAACAGGAATCTGCCAAGACATTGACATGCACAACAGGAGAACAAATTTTGGGCCAGAAGCCAGACAAGGTCTAGGCGCGGTCCAAGCCTCTCGATCGACTTCGGCCCCCCTCGTGAAATGAAGTGAGGGGCTTGGACCGAGCCTAGACAAGGTCGACTTGCGATGAATCAGCTCGATCTACCTTGACTTGACTTCATCGCTGATCAGATACGAGAGTACAATGTCGCCGGCCCATCTGACCCATCCACCATCCAGCTCATACCGCTCACTTTGATCTCCTCTGCGCCCTGTGCACCAGAACGGACCACTTCCACACTGAACGGGTAGCCGTACTGCTCTCCCCAGCACTGCTCTTGACCCTCGCCTGGCGTCCACCCCAGACATCCCTCAAACTTGCTTCCGCCCATACTTGTGATCAGTTGCCGGACTTGACCGTACATGTGGGGCAGCCAGGGTATGTTCCTCCTCCGCCCCGATGGCCGCGTTGGGACATTACAGTCGTCGGTGAATTCCAGAATCCCGAAAGAGCTGGAATGGAACGTCCCGACGAGCTGCTCGTTTCCGGTACCTGTGACAGCTGAACACTCTTGGACTGCCAGCTTGTGGGTAGTCGCGTGCCCGCTTTCAATCCTGATCATCAGCACAGATGGAGCGGATGCGTACCTCGTAAGAGCCCTTTCCAGTACTTCCTCTCTCTTACCCGTGAGAGAGCCGACGATCCACGCCTCGATCCACGCCGCCACGTGCATCCCCTCGGTAGAGTTGGTGAGTATCCCGAGCCCGAGCTTGAGCGATGTAAAGTAAAACATGTGGGCGCGGAAACCGGCGCAAGACCCATCGTGACCGGACATGAGGTGTCCGTCAATGAGGGACGAGACCGTTCCTGCGCCGAGAACACTGCGGCCCTCAGTCCATGTCTGAGAATCCGGGATCGGGATCGACATCTCGGCGAAGTGAGGATTTCTGGATAGGTACGCCAAGAGCTTTGCCTATCCACATCAGCAAAGCCTCCCTTAGAGTTGAGAAGGACTTGCAGTGTCCTCGATCGTGGTGATCATCCTCGTACTGGCCACACAGCTGACCAAGCGGAGCCCATCCAGACCATGCTTCAACGCCATCGGTCGGTCTTCCAGCCCCTCCTCACCGTACCGCACTTGATACCCCACAGCGAGGTCGTCTCCCGCTTCTTTGGCAGAGTAGCCAGTGGCGCTCATGCCCAGCGGGTCAAAGATGGCTTCCTTGACGTACGCACGATACGACTGACCCGTAAGATGCTCGATGAGGGGATAGGTCAGTTGCTGGACGATACTGCTGTACAGTTGCGGTCCTTCCCGGAGGGGACGGAGCATTGGAAGATCCGCGACCAGGCTCGACTGCGAGTCAGCGATAGACTTGCTAATCTGGTCTACGTATACAACGTACGGAGTCGACGCCATACTCGAACGGCCGAGAAAGCTGGAAGTCGTAAGGCGAGATGTTGCACCGATGGGCGAGAATGTCACGGATAGTGCACTTTGCCGTAGCGTCTGGGTCTGAAAGCTTGAAAGCGGGGAGGATCATCTTGACGAGCACGTCGAGCGGTGCGTCGTAGCCTGCGGTCTTGAGCGCCTTGAGGAGTGCGAGCGCAGAGACGAGCTTGCTGCATGATGCCACTGGGAAGCGGGTCTGTTTGTCAGCGTTGATACATCGATACACTTACCTTGGCATCGACGGGCCGTCCGGGAGACATCTCGCCGTATGTCAGGATGATCGGCTCTCCATCGAGCGGGACGACGGCAAGCGCGCACCCGGGTACCTTCCACTTCACCATCATCTCCGCGACGCGGAGGTCGAACTCGGGACCGAGCTGTATCTTTTCAGGCAACATGATCAGTGCTGGCGGTGCTGGCGTTACAGAGAGTGAAGTGAACAGTATATGGCTCTGGAGACCGTCCGCCCGACGACGCCTGAACTCCTTTGTTATAGCTAAAAGGCAAGCAGGTACCACGAAGAAAGGAACGCCCGAGATCAGTCAGCAGTCAATGACGACTGTCGATGGGAGCCAAAGGCAGCCATGACGCCATGACGCACCCACAAAGGTCAGCGATAGCGCTCGCGTCAGAGAAGGTCAGTGATAGTTGGTCCATGCACAATCAGGTGTCAGCAGCGGCAGGCGTACTGGATGACCGGCCGTAGCTACGGACCAGCGTGAGAGTACTCAATGTATGGGGATTGCCTATGAAGTATGTGATGTGCAGGGTAAAGGTAGTTCTAGATGAGCAAGGAGAAGACAGCGATCTACAGTGCACGTCCGGTCGGCGGCCCCGTTCCGTCTCGCCCGTCCCCGGAGGACTGGCTCGATGTCGATGTGGAAGGAGGGGAGAGGCTAGGCATCCAATAGGGCTGCGACCCATTTTGCCATATTCACCTTTTTCGCCTCGCTCGTGAGGATGAATGGGTGCGACAGCAATTCTCGAGGTGATGGTCGTTCTGTCCCGCTCCTTATCAGACTACAGTGTCAGCCCGTACCCTCCGGGAACCTACAGCGGTGGGATATACTCACCAAAGCCCCATGAAGCTCTTGATACCCTCGCTCCATACCCTCCCGATACTCTCATCATCAATCATGACAGGTACCAGCGCCGTCACGATATAGCTGAGCAGCTCGATAGGCGCGACATACTCGCTCTCACCCTCTGGTGGGAAGGGAAAGCGGAGGTGCGCAATTTCGTGTAGCGTGAGACCGAGGGACCAGACGTCTGCGCGGATCGAGTATGGTTTGCCCTGTATCCGTTCAGGCTAGACAGTCAGCATGAACCCACTGTTGGAGATTGGCATGAGCGGGCTGAACTTACAGCCATATAGTACGAGGTCCCCGTAAACGTCCCCGCGACCGAGTCTATCAATTCGCCCGATACTCCAAAATCGCACAGCTTGCACTGCCCCGACTTGGTAACGAGTATATTTGACGGCTTGATATCGCGATGTATGATCCGGCGTTCATGCAGGTAGTCCAGACCTCTTAGGACCTGTTGATCAGCTCGGTCCCCCAATACCCTCCCCTGATAGAGCCTTACCACCGCCCTCACCAAAGAGCAGAACTTACAGAAGAAGCGATCCTCCCCAGTACATGCTCCGAACACCGCATCCCCGTCTCCTTCATCCTCCGTAACAGACTATCCAGACTCCCGCCCTCGCAGTACTCCATCAGGATCCCGACCTGGGAGTCGTGGTCCGCCAAGAACGAGCCGTAGTGATCCACGATATAAGGCGAGGAGCACGCATCGAGGAATTCCAGCTCGCGTAGGAGTTGCCGGTGCATAGCTGGATTGGCTGTGCGGGCTATCACCTGATCTATCAGCTCCATCACGTCTGATCAGGAGGAGGAAGGCATACCTTCTTGGCTAGTAATCTCCCCGTTCCTGGATCCCTGACCAACTCGACCGCACCGCCACTCCCCTCTCCTAGTCTCCGCACCACGACGAGCTTGCTCGGATCGAATACCGGACTGAGCTCCGGGCGATCGTCCTCCATACTCCTCCGTACAGGTGTAGACCGTCCCGACCCCCTTCCGATACTGTCCACATCGATACTCCCCCGCCGCTCGCCCAGACTCATAGACGCCATATCCGGCATCCCCGTCTCCCTTCCAGCGCCATTCCGATGCCTCGAACTAGCTCTGGAGCTGGACGGGGACGCATGTCCACTTCTATCCACCAGCGCCGACCCCACACCCGAGTACACGTCCCCGTTCAGGATTCCCGCCCGGCTACTCGTCGCCGAATTGAAGCTATCGAAGCGGGATCGACTGAGCGCCTGACGGATGTCCGCCGTCATGCTGCTCATAGCGTCCCCGCCGCCCTGCGTTCCCAGCCCGTTGTTCAGCCGACCGCACCCATATGAGCTCTCCTCATCCCCGTCATAGTCCTTGTTCCGGGGCACGAGGGTTGGGTTCCGATCTTCCGAGCCAAAGCCAGAGTACGCGGACGTGGCCGTCGGGGTATTGAGACCGTACTCATCCCCATCCGCCCCGGCTGATCCCGAGCCAGAGGGGTACGCGGAGCCAGCAGGAGCACCGGGGCTGGGACCAGGTGCGAGGGAGGGGATGGCGAGGCGTAGAGAGGGGGAAGCGCGGTTTCGAGATGTGAGTGATGCGGACGGGGCATTGAGAAGTCCGGGCCGGTTCAGGGCGAGGGGAGCGGGCAGGGGAGGAGGTGCCGGTGCGGTAGCAGGTATGAGGAGAGGACTCAATCCCGCAGAAGGAGTGGAGAAGCCCGATAAGGATAGCTTTGGGCGAGTGGACGGACCAGGGGAGGAGCGAGCCATGGGTTTGTACGCGAGCGAAGGCAAGCCCGAGATGGGTGGTAGACCATCGGGAGGATGTTGCCAGCCGTTCTCGCCGTTCTGGTCGACATTGGATCCGGCTATCCTATCAGCTCGAGCAGATGTAACGCTGACTGGCCAGCCAACTTACGGACGTTGCCCTCGGGGATATGAATCTGCGGAGGGATGATCCTCGACGTGGAGGGGTTCGGCCGAGCACCTCCCGGGCGCCTGAGCGGAGGAGGGGTCGTCATGATGTACACCAGCGAGATTCTAGTACCTCGACCGCCTGCGAGAGAGAAGGTATGGAGGTAGGAAGACGCTCTGCGTCAAGCTTCAACCCCCGAGCTTCTAGCTTCGATTTTGGGTTCTAATGGCGTTTAGCTTGGGCCGCGGATATGCGGAGTCGAGTGTTTCGAGCGGGCCTGCGATTTGTTGGGTGCCCCCTCCGGTTGATGCAGGTCTGATGGGCTATATTGATGTGGCTGCCCTCTCAACGACTGCTGTACCAGATAGATGAAGTTGCTTGGTGAAGGTGGTTGACTGCTATGACGCGCCCCGCCAAAACGCTACAGCTGCACCAAAGGCATGCCCGTGCGTCGTTTCCTACCATCTTTCGCGCTCCGGGTCCATCTTGACATCGCCTATATACAAGTCCTATCATGCAGTCCATACGATCTCTGCCGGTCCCGCGGGCGTGCCGCTGTGTGCGACCAGCACCTGCTCCTCGCTTTCCTGGAGGTCGGTCCCTGCCGATAGCGCTCGGGAGACTGAGAGACCTTCATACCTCTCCACCTCGATCGAGCCATGAGAACCCCCTCGTAAGCTCGCCCTCCCTCAACCAAGGTTGTCCGCTGAGCTGACCTATCAGGGACTTCCTCGTCGGAATGCTAATCCTCCACCGACTATGCCTCGCCGAGGTGCCCCACCCCAAAAGTCCCGTATAAAAGGCGTGGAGAAGATCATTGTCGTCGCTTCGGGGAAAGGCGGCGTAGGGAAGTCTACCGTGGCCGGTACGTCTCGTCTATCCTCTCGAGGGGATCAGGGATAATGAAGAGGTGGCTGAGGCTCAGCTTAGACGAATAGCCAACCTCGCACTATCGCTCCTGCACTCCCCGCCTGCTTCGATGGGTCGAACTCCGAGGATAGGGCTGCTGGATCTGGATATCTTTGGGCCGAGCGTACCGAAGTTGATGGGCCTGGAGGATGCGGGCGCGCCCGAGCTGGGACCAGGTCAGCTTAATTGATTATGCTCCCCAGGAGGCGCAGCTGATAAACAAGGGAACAAGCTCATTCCGCTACAGAATCACGGAGTGAAGACCATGTCTATCGGGTACCTCCTGCGTGGGTCTCTCCTCTCATAGCTGAAAGGGAAGAACTCTGTCCTGATGACTCAGCTCCGAATCCCGCACATGACACCCCAGTAGCTTGGCGCGGAATGATGGTCATGAAAGCCGTCCAGCAACTTCTATTCGATGTCGACTGGACCTCCTCGAATGGAGAAGCACCGCTCGATGCGCTGGTCATTGACATGCCGCCTGGGACTGGGGATATCCAGATCAGTCTGGGCCAGCTCGTTTCCGTTGACGGTATGTCCCTGCCTTCTTCCCCATGGTTCATCGAATCTGCAGAACGCAAGCTTATGGCTCTAGGCGCTGTAATTGTCTCCACGCCACAGGATGTTGCGCTGGTCGATGCCAGAAAGGGAGTAGCAATGTTCGAGAAGGTTGATATCCCGGTATGTGATCTCTCAAACAGGGGCTACTCCAGAGCTGAGGCTGCTCAGATTATTGGTCTCCTCCTCAACATGTCCCACTACACCTGCACCTCCTGTTCCGTCCCCCACGAGCTCTTCGGCAGTTCCGCGAGCTTCGAGCGCGCAGCCTCTGATCTACAATTAGATGTTCTGGGCAAGATCCCACTCGTCACTCAGGTGAGCGATGGCGGAGACGCAGGACGACCCGTCATGGTTCAAAGCGGAAAGGAAGGCGGAGAGGTTCGTGAGACGATGAAGAGTGTGGGAGAGGGCGTTTGGGAGTGGTTGGGCAGTAGAAAGACCGATAGTGGACAAGTGGTAGGTACTAGGGGATGATACTGTATGTCTTGCGGTTGAAGAAGTGCGAAAGCGGGCGGTGGACCAGGCAAAGCAGGAGCTGGGATGGAATGGGCACACTTCCTCAAAGCTTCTCACTCGATGGCCTCGACCCTTCTCACCTACCATCGACATGAGAAGGTTGGCGGGGCAAGGGGAGTTGGTTGTCGCCCGCGGAGAGGGGCGGCGTCAGAAGCGGACAAGGTTTAGGGATGTGTGCAATAGTACCCTCTCCAGCGCTTTTCCAAACAACCAACTCCTCCGCACTTCACACAACATCCTGAACCGCCGCACCTTACACAAACATCCTGTCTTTCTTTGTACTTTTTGGCTGCTTTGTACTTCTTGATTGGAGAGGACAAAGGGATTTGGTTGCCCCTCCTCCCGAACTCCATCTCAATCAGTATCTGAAGTAGTGCCTTCCAGACTCCCTCCAACAACCTCTCCAGCTTCTCCTAGAATCCATCAGTAAATTAGTAATTTCCCATCTCACTTCCCCCTTATAGTCTTGGATCCCAGCTATACATCCCCAAAACCCATCACACCCTAAGTCTAGTCCTTAGCGGCGATAGCCCGTGTGTAAACCAGCTGGCCGTGGTGGTGCACGACCCGCTTGATGAGGCCTTCCTTCTCGAGGTGGGCGATGGCGCGGCGGGCGAGGGAGCCGTTGACCTTCATTCGGTCGATGAGAGTGGATTGGGAGATGACTTTGTAGGTGGGGACCTCCTTGATGATACGCTCGCTGGGGGATCAGCATATTGAAAGCAGAAAGGCAGAAAGGGGCTAGCAAATAAATTTGAGCGAATCTGTGTCAGGCTAAGAAGGACTGTGGAAGGGGAGGCAGGGGTCTAAGAGGAAGACAGATATGGGAGTTCCGTCTGTCGCTCGCCTCCATAGTCGACGCCAACGCGGCCACGTACAGCTTCACCAAACCCAACCCGTCCCATGCCAAGATTCCCACGATAAATGATGGAAAGAGTGTTGGTAGTTACGAGACTCACTATGTTGGCTTGTCGAGCACAACGGCGTTCTGCGCCTTGTCCTTAACCTTCCCCTTGGACCACTTCTTCTTCTTGCTACGTAGAATCAGCAACTGTCACACGGATAATGAAGATGTCGCCCTCCCACTCCGTCCTATCGAAACATGAGACCGAAAGCCCAGCGCGCCTTCATTTGTCCTTCTTCAATTAACTGTCCACCAGCCCGAGACGACCCCCTGCCCGCCCATGACACAGACGAGCCTCCTCACCCTGCATGCCCACCGCCCACATCCAGAGGCTACAGTCTCGCCGCCCATGTCGAACCGATGAATCCCACCCCACTACTTCATCCGCTCTCTAGACCCCACCTTCCGTTTCGCCGGCAAATCAAAGAGGTAAAGACTCACCCAGCTCGCGAACCAGCCATGGCGGCCGCGGCCTTTTGGGCCTTTGACTTTACTTGAGGGGGCATCTGGATAATCAGCACCTCTCATTTTGCGGGTTTCGCAATCCGCTTCTCTCCCTCTCCTTCCTCCCAGTCCCTTTTCTCGGGGACTGCTCTTCCTGAGCGAGGACCGGGAGAGCGAGGATCGAGGGGCGAGCGTGCAGAGCGTGCCGCAAGTAGGCTGTAACTCACGTTGGTTGATGGCTGAAAGACACCCTTGACGCTCCGATTTCGATGGGTCAAGCAGGAGCGCGGGAGCGGGCGGAAGGGTGGCGGCACCGGCGGTCGCCGCCTCGCCGGCTTTTCGAAAACGCCGCGTTTCGTGAGACACCGAGTGGCATTATTCGAGGGAGTAAGCCACGTGTCTCGGCGATCTCCGAGGGAATGACGCAATGGCGCACGGACATGGTCCATTTGGGTGGCGGAGAATCAGATCGGTGTGTCCACAGCTCACAACCCACCCACTCATTCATGGATTTACACCTGTTACCTGTACATATACCTCACGTACATATACCTCACAGGCCCCATAGACCGGAGGCAGCAGGATGAAGCGGCCGCGCACAACAGGAGACATCGTCCTGGCCGCGCTTCCGAGAGAAGCAAGCAGCAGGATGGACACCCTCACCACGGAGCTCTTTCTCCGTATCCTCTCCTTTCTCGATGCCCACGCCCTTGCAGGTGTGCAGGGCGTCAACAGCTACTGGGCTAGGATGTCGCTAGATCCTCAGGTGAGCACTGCATTTCATATGGCTGGGCTGCGCCAATATACGCAGTGATGCTGAACGCTGCCCCCTCCTAATATAGCTCTGGAAACGACTGTACCTCGGTGAGTAATCTGTTGGATTGAAAGGGGGTTGTACTGAAGATAAGCTCGGTATCCTCATCCGCATCACTTGAAGTTGGTCTATCAAAGCACCACGCCCAGTCGGAGCTCCTATCAAAGCACCACGCCCAGTCGGAGCTCCCACAGCCCTGCTACTCCGAGGTCTCTCAGACCGATTGCGCGTCTCCCATCTCGGGCGTTTCCACCTCCTTCGCCTAGCCGTTCCCCTTCGCTCAGAGCTCCGGTTCCGGTTCCTGTTTCATACTCGAATGGAACACATGCCGGTCCATCAGCGGGTGCGGGACAGGCGATCCCGTTCTCCAGGAGAGAGCTGGCGGAAGTCATAGATGGGGAGGCTGAGGTGGGGACCGGAGTGAGGAACGACGGGGTTGATTGGAAGTTGATGTTGAGGTTGGGGACGAATTGGTAAATCACCTGCAAAGACGTGAGAGGAATCCTTAGGAAAGTCAGCTGATCCTCAGGTCAAGAGGAAACGCTTCTTCCCAAACAAGCATCACCCTTCCACCTTCTCCTTCACCTTCGATAGCCTCGACCGATCTGCCTCTCACGACCCCCGGCAGAACTTCCCGGGAAGCCGATGCTAGCGCGACAGAGCAGCATATCGCCCTCTCACCCTCCTTCATCTTCACCTCCAATCCCACCTCCCCGCTGGTCCACGTCCATTCCGCCTCCTCCTCGTCTGTCCGGCTCGGTATCATTCCTCCCCCTCCAGGCTGGTCCTCCCCCTCTCGTCCGGATAATGTCACTGCGATCGCCGCAGACCAGTCTGCCGCCGCCGATGTCCATGAGCTCGGTAACACCGAGTCTGGGCGGAAACGGGACCTACCTGCTCGACTGGCTGTCTTCTACCAGAGCGGCGGATACGTGATACTCTCGATCAGGACGACCGATACGGCAGGCTCCAGACGCATGTCATGGAGCAGGGAAGCCGTCTCTCCTCCTACTCAGCGGCCAAGGAGGAGAAGTACGTCCTACGCGCCAAGGATGGGCGACCCGGTCGTCCTCGCCACTCTGCATCACCCGGTGTTAGTAGCATGTACCCTCGGCTTTCACGTCTCGGTCTACTCCTTCTCCTCAACTGCGACCAGCTCGACGTCCTCCACCCCAGTCACGCCTCGGCATCTATCAACCCTACACTCGGACGTATCATACCACCCCGCCGCCCTTTCCCTCTTCCCCGCCCCTTCCTCTTCGCCCACCCCACCCTCATTCCGCGCCAGTCTGACCTACTGCACTCCCGTCTACCCATCCTCATGGACTGTCGCCGCGCAAGAATTCGATATTTCCCTCGCTTCGTATACCGTCGACCGGGCGGAATGTTACCATGTCGGCCCGAACCCCGGGTCCGAGCTGGACTCGGACGAGGAGATTGTATGGCCACGTCGGATACAGCCCGTCATCGGCGTCAAGGGAGAGCGGGCGATGGGGATCGGGACGGATGGGAGGTGGTGTATCCTGTCTGGGGGCGATAATCAGATCCAAGTGTATGCTTTGCCAGGCGTACAGGATCTCACGCCCCCGCCGTCCCCTTCTCCCCTGGCTCTCCCGCATGGATCGTCGGGAGAAGCCCGGAAGAGGGGAAGAGAAGGTGATGGCGTCATTACCCATTCTCAGACCCTATTGGCGCACTCGGCCAATGTGACTTCTGTCTCATTATCCGCGGGGAAATGCGTCTCGGGCGGGAACGACGGAAGGGTCCTCGTGTGGGATCTCGACGAAGAGGAGGGTGGGGTGGGGCGGACGGTGGGGTATGTGGAGGTCCGGACGGGGGATGAGAGGGTATGGAGGGGCGCGGCGGGTCCTAGAGCTCAGCCTCGACCGGAGTCGCCGGCCGAGATGGGCGAGGACAGTGAGGGACCCGGAGAAGACGAGGTATTGGAGCTGCCGCACCCCCAGGCGATCTCTTCCGCTGCGAGATCGTTCTTTCTCCCTCGGCCGCCGGTGGAGATGGAGACCATGCGGACGGGGAGGAGCAAGCCGGCGATCAGGCAATTGGCGTTCGACGAGGAGAAGATCGTGGGGCTTGTACGGGGTGGGGAAGGGAGTGGGTGGCAAGGGGAGGGGGAGGTGATGAAGGTCTGGAGCTTCGGGTGATGACGGGAGGCCGAAATTTGTCGTACTTGCCTCAGAGCGTCGAGAGGACTTATGGTGGCATGAGGTGGGCATTGTGGGTATGCATGCAGTCCGCAGATCTCGAATTCATGAGGTTGACCCCGGAACTGATGCATCAGTGCGCGAAGCTCAAACGCTCCTCGTGCCCGTGCCTGTTTCAGGCGCCCAAAGGGGTGATTTAGACCCGTTTCGTACAAGACGCCCATGCCGAAGCGAGGCACGGAAAACACACACGGCTCGGATCAATTTTTGCAAGACATGCCTCAACCCGATCCTCCTTCTCCGCCTTATTATAGATGGTGCCTGAATGTGAATAGCCCATGAGGGGCTAGCGTCAAACGCCCCAGAGGGGCGGCATGTTGTGTGTCGGCGGGGCCTGGAATCCAGCGGAGAGGAGGGGAAATGGAGGTCCGAGTTTGCCCTCGCTTGCTCTCGTGTCGGCTTGACCACCAGGACGTGGTTCGATCTCCATCTATTACCTTATCCTCTGCCTTCTGTTCACTCTCGCGTCCGTGATGGATACTCTTAGGTCCCTGCCTCTGGACGGAGAGCTGCCCTCGCCGTTCCTGGTGGTATGTCGACCCTTCTCCCCGCTTGCGATAGAGCTAATTAATGAGCAGTGGGGTCCGATTACCATCGGTATCCTCCTCAGTGTTTTCGGGATGGGTATCTTCCTCGTACGTCACTCGCTCAGGTCTAACCCGGACGAGTGCTCATTCTTTCTAGATGCAGACCATCGCATACTTTGATGATACCGCGTCAACCGACTCCATATCACTCAAGAGCGTCATCCTTCTCATTCTTGCCCTTAACATCGGACAGACCATAACGGACTGCTCGAGGCTCATAAAGATAGACGTCTGGCATGCGGGTGACATTCTCTATGTGAGTCCTTCACCAACCCTTCCCGGTAGAGATCGCTCATGCCCAGCTCTCCAACGTCCGCGCCCGCCCTGAAGAGGTCATCTCCCCCGGCATCTCCCTCGCGATCTGTACCATCGCTCAGATCTTCCTCTTACGCCGCTGTGTCAAGTTTGCCAGACTGGCTACGCACACCTTCCAGAACCGCGGTGGGTGGGTGCAGTACTCGAGGGTGGTCTGGCGCGTGGTGCTTTTTCTCGGAATCGTATTCTCGGTGGTATGTGGTGTGATTTCGATCAACGCTCTAGGAGTGAGTCAGCATCTCTTGAGCTATACGTGAGGATGTAGCTGATGTGTGCAGCACCTCAACAGTCTGTATGTCATCGCAGAGTGTGTAACAAGGAGAGAGCTGATTGGAAAGGATCGAAGCGGATAGGAAGAAGTACCCTGGTACGACGCTTGCCCGATGGAGTACCGCCTGGCTTAGTCTTACCTCGGTGAGCCATCACATCGCCTTACCTTTCAGGGGGATCAAGAGCTGATGTATACAGGCGACCGATATCGCATTGTCTGCTACGCTTTTATGGGAACTGCACGATGCTCGGGTATGTCTCCATTTAGTGTTGCTCGCAGACTCATGAATCGACAGAAGGAACATAGCTGACTTGTTAGAAGAATGAAGACACCTCATACAAGGGCAAGCGGGCTCTCCGAGCCATGATCCGCGTGGCTTGGAGTAACGGTGTCCTCGTTGGTGCCCTCCAGCTCGTGTCGCTCCTCTTCCTCGAACTCGAGTGAGCCCCTCTCCCTTCGCCTCTGCTGCGACCAAGCTGATATCAGATCATCCTCATGGGCCGACTTTCCCCAAATCTTCATCTCCAAAGTCTACTCCATCACCCTCCTCATGAGCATCACATCCCCCATCTCGGCCTTACGATCCGGCAGACCCCCTCCTCTTCCCACACCTGCGACAGCCGGCCGACACGTCACGCCGCTCACGCCCAACCCGCTCCCCGTGCTCTTCATGCACAAGAACCCGAGCAGAGAGTGGTCTCCCTATTCCGAGGAGATGGCGACTCCGCATGGACACGGACTGCAGCCTTTCCCGCTCCGGAATGCGGACTGTCATAGCGCGGAACACGCGCGCGGGGATGGTCGAGCGAGGATTGCGAGTCTTACGTCCACGTCGGATTGGGAGGCGGAAGCGATGGCGGAGGCGATGGGTGAGGAGGATGGGTATGGGAAGGGGAAAGGCTTGTGGATGGGGGAGGGAAAAAGTGAGGAGATGGAGTCGACGAGTGTGTGGGAGCCAGAGGAGCCCGAGAAGAAGCCTAAGCGGGTCCCGGAGCACTTGAAGGGGAAGGACGATGTACGAAGCAATAAGACGGGTAAATCGCTCATGGGTGCTCTTGGTATCAAGCTGCCGAAGACCAAGAAGGAAGATAGGCGCTTGAGCAGAGTGAGGGAGGAGGAGTTCAGTATGGACGTCAGAAGTGCGGGTGAGGCGGTTGGGGCGGGTGGAGGTGGGGTGGGGGGATTGGGGATGAATACGTTTGGGTCGGTAGGGGGAGAAGGAGGGTATGGGATGGGAAGTAGGACGTTTGGGTCGGTCGGCGACGAGGGGGAGTATCGTTTTCCGTGAGGCCCTCGGTGGTGCAGCTCTGCTGAGTGGAGCTGACATCGCTTGAGGTGTATGACGGACATGCTTAGTGTAGCTTGATAGTTCTGGGTAGTCGCTAGCGTATGATTTTTGTACTTCTGAGATTGCCGGGTAGCTAGTAGTATGGTACCTACGGTATACACCGATCAATCATCAGCATGACACACGACTAGAGCCAAGGTCAGGAAAGCGGAAATCTAAGTGGCATACGCGGTCACGCTACAACGTCTATATGGTGTCTATCACGAGTCTATCCCTCTATCTTATATCTCCCTCTCTATGACGAGTACACCCTCTCACCTCGGCCTCCGTCCCCGTGCCTAGATATCCTTCCGCCCCTCATCCACATACGTCCTATCACTATCGCTCGCGCCCTCCTCTTCCCTCCGTCTCCTCCCCCACCCCATCTGCCTCTGACCCTTCCCCGCAATCCCTTCCCATCCACCCACACTCCCCGTCCCCGCAAACGCCACCACCCTATCCCCACTCATCCCGCTCAATCCATCCCCATGATTCCCCTTTTCATCCCACCACAACCCACCGCCCACCTTCACGTCGTGATTCTCGAAATACCGCCGGACGCGCTTGGCATCGACGATGATGTCTTTGGCGCCGAGGAAGATTTGGCAGAGTGCCGGATCGGAGAGATGGGGGATTTCGTCTAGGAACAGGGCGTTGTCGGCCCAGTCAAAGTGGCGCTGGATGTAATTGGAGATGCCGAGCTCGGTTGCTATGAAGTAGTAGAGGAGGAGTTCAAGGGCCTGAGGTCTCAGCGGGACTCCACGTGGATGTGCGAGGAGTCTGAGACATGGCTACAATGGGGAAGAGGAAGAGGGAAGTAGGGGAGGAAGCAGGCCGGATATAAGGGCTAGGGACGAGGTCGGAATGCAGGAGAGGGGAGAACGAGAAGGGGGGGCAGGGTTCGAGACTGACGGCGAAATAGAGAAAGGGGCAGGACATACGGTATTGGGTTTGCGGTAGATGAAGGAATGGCACACATCGCCTTCCCAAAGGCAGAACACGACAGGATCGACAAATGTACTTCGCCGAACCATACTAGGGCAATCCTTGAGCACTGTCGAGTCAGCTCATCCTCCCAACTATCAGAGAACGGGGAGACAATTTACTCCACCCATGCGCCACACTCCCATTACTATGGCTCAAGACGCTCAACCCTCCCCACGTTCCCGCCCCAGTGCCGCCTTGACCCTCCTGCGGCTCCTCCCAAAAGCCCCACCTCTCACTGATCGCCTTGATACACCGGATAAACTCCGTCCTCGACCACGGCCGCAGATGCCTTTTGTTGAAGAAGGACATGGAAGTATGATGCGGGATAGGAACGACGAGGGGGTGCGTCGGTAGCTTCTTGAGTAGATTCTGGATGAGCAGGGTATTCTGGAGAAGACCGAAACCCAACCCGTAGAGGTAAAGCACAGGCATCGCCTTGGGGTCCGACCGACCTTTCTCGGGCGTCCATCCGGGCGGGATCCGGATGAGGTAGTCTACCCCGTCGTGCGAGTATCGGCCCATCCCGAGATAGGATAGCCGGATGTCGGTGATCATCCAGTTAATGGTGTTGCTCAGGGCGTAGAGAATGAGAGGACGGGATTTGGCATTGACGGGGTCGAGAGAGAAGCGGATAGTTCGGATTGAGGGGTTATGGCCAGGGGGGAAGGTGGTACCGGTCCGAGCTTCGACGACGGAGTATGTCCAGTATAGAAACTCTCCGTGCTCGGGGTTCTGAAGCGCGGTCTCGAGGGGCAGGGTGAAGCAGATCCAGGAGACCCAGATGAGGATGTTGTCTCGCTTGAGCGAGTCCCAGGGGGCGTGGTCGAACCTGAGCGTCAGCTGTTTCACGGTACACATGTATAAACTGAACTCACCATGTCCTCAGCCTTTCCCTAAACTCCACAGCCCGCCTATCCCACGGGTGCAGCCTGACCACCTTCCCGTCTGCATCAAACACGCCCTCCATATCGACCTCCCACCCCTTCCCTACATTCCCCTCGACCTCCTCTCTCAGGCTCCGCTCCCTATCCCCCTCCTTTTCCTCCACAAACGCGTTGATGACCCCCTTCTCCCCCTGACTCATCTTCGCGACCCTCCCTTGCTCTTGGATGCCCAGACTCTTCTCGTACTCCTCGTCGAGCAGGTGGTGGTATTGCGCCTTACTGATTATCCCGGCGGTATACCGCGCGTAAAGCTCCTGCTTCATAGGGAAGAGAGGGTCGGGGTCCTCGACGTTGGCGAGAGGTGCGGAGGGTTCGGGGTAGATAAGACCGGCCTGGAGGACCTTGATGACGAGTTGGTGCCGCTCGGAAAGGGGAAGGGTGGACGGTGCGCACGGCACCTGGATAAGGTGGATGAGGTAGTGTTGGTGTATTGAGAAGAACACTTCCGTGATGGCGTAGGCGGCGAAGATTGTGCCGGTAAGGCCGACGGAGGGAGCGAAGATGGCGTACCAGACGAGATATGCGCTGCAGAAGTCAGCATGTGTTCTGCAGCATGGGTTTGGGGTGTGGGAGTTGGAAGGGAGCGGGGGGGTTGGGGATAGCGGGGGGCTTCCACGGTCATATTGACTCCAAATGCCTGACATGCCGAGGAAGAGAAAGGTAGCAAGCGAGAAGTCTTGAAGAGTTGGGATGAGGGTATAAGAGGGGGATGCTCGTCCATTTGCTTTTGTCCCTTCCTCGCAACCTGCCCTGATGCCACTTCCCCATCTCCACGACGGCCCACACTACTTCCCAGACAGTATCTGCAGACTCACCAACTGAGAGGAGTGATCATCCACACGCTCATCACCAATCCCATGGCAATGTAATATCCCTTGTCTGGTCCCGCTCGGTCGATAGACCTTGGATACTTCTCGTCGGGCATCGCGCTAAGCCCCATCTCCGTCTTGAGACCCGTCAAGACGTCGAGGTGGAAGTCTACACCGCCATCTGCCTTGTGATGGGACGACATTGTGCTGTAAAAGCTCGGTGGGAAACCGGAGCGGGCGTGTGGGCGACGGCAAAACTTGCGCGTTCACCGGGTCGACATGACCTTTTAGACACGAATTTGGTCCGCGCTTGTATGTTGCTGAATGAAGGAGGGCCTAAAAGTGTAGTACTGTATGAACAAAGGATGAGGGGTGGCCACGCCAAAATATAAGCAACTTCGTGTTTTCATCTGGACTTTGGGTGGGTCTGGCCCACTTGGAGCCCCACGTTAGCCGTCACGTCATCCCCATGACTACAATCTGAAACACCTCATGACGTCACGTCACCGCCCACAACCAATTCTTCAAAGACGCATCCCAAAGCCAGTCGGAGCCCAGAACGAAGCATACTCTATATACAACATGCTGTCCGTCTTCTCTAAGAGTCCGGAAGAAGAAAGACTCAAGGAGGTACTCGGCGTGATCTATTACGGCTACGGGCTACCTTTCATCCGGGCGAATGGCGAGAAATGCGATATGACACAACCGCCTCTCAATGCGGGAGCCTATCGGTATTGGGGATGGCAGGACTGGAAGTGGAGCCGGAACATCTTCATGACAAGCTTTATATATACAATAGATGGGACGATGACAGAGGTAAACGAAAGACTGGAAGATGAGCTGACGACAAGGTATCCAGGGAGTCTGTTGTTGACACCTGGATCAGGGCCGCGATTCTCGAATATCGGATCATGGCGATCCAGCGCGACATGAGAGCCAAATGTCAGAGGGCAGCCGGCGGAGATCCGCTAGATCCACAGGAACGCAAGCATGCCGATGAGCTGGCTGCATTCCGGAGTGAGGTGAGCTTGGATACAGCACCCTAGATGTATCACGCTGACGACCCGCAGCTGATAATGCTTTGCAGTAAGGTCCCTTCGACGTCGACGGGGCTATCGGAGCGCGACCAGGAGCTGAAGCTGATGCCATGACAGTTGATATTACCCTGTTCTTGAGTGATCTGGCAGTCATCGAGTCGTCCGGAATCATCCATTTGACATGGCCCGATCGACGCATCGCCGCGGACCTAGACCTCTACATACGAAAACACCCAAAGAGGCGCCGCATGATGGAGCTTGGGCTTTCCAGGCAGTCGGGCTACTTAGGCGACTCCTGGATGGGTCGAAGGTGGTGACTGATGCGGAGGCCTATATGCAGGAGATGTATCACGTACGTCCTTACCGCGATCTCATGGACATAGAGCCTAGGGTATGGGCGCAAAACCTCCGACTGATCGAGAGAGCTGTACGTCTTCTCACTGCGTGCTAGGACAGCGCTGATGTCTGCTCAGGCCTCAAATCCCGCACCAACAGCCCTCGTCGTGAATGAGGATCAGACCGCACGGAAAGGCGATACGTCCCAACTTTCGACGAGGCGCGTGCACGACCATAGTGACGAACCGTGACAAGATGACCGGGCAAGGAGATTTAGGGCAGGATTGGAACGGGTGGGAGATCGCGAGTCATTGGCGGTAGGTAGCATGTAAGATAGGAGGTATCCAATCCGAGTTGTACATGATTACAACATAGCGATGTATACCCCAGCAACGCTGACGATTCCCTCGCTGTTCCCAAGCAGGTCGGCATCCCTCCGTGCTACACTCCGATTCCCCTCGTACCCGCCTCTGCCCCCATATTTCCCGCTTTCTGCGAGGCCGGCCAGCCGCTCGGCAGTCCTCACGACCCAGTCAATCATCCCTCCACGCCACTTCCCCTCGGGACCACCTCTCCGCCCATATCGCCCGCTTATGATACGTCTTGCGCGCCGCCTTGAACTCGGCAATGAAGTCATCTACCGCCCGGCCCGTACTGCCACCTGACGCCGGTGTGTAGGCGGAAGCGGATCCGCCAAAAGCGGGCGAATCCGTTCTCGATCCAGAGGTGGATTCGGCGCTGGCGCTGGTATTGGAGGGAAGAGGTAAGGGACGGCCATCGATGAATGCCAAGGCGAGCTTCTCGGTCAGGTCGTCTTGGGCTGTAAGGGAGTGACGCAGGCGGAGGTGGAGGAAGGATGGGCGGTGGCGCTGCGGATGTCAGCTGGAGCCCTTCTCCGTGCTAGACAGGCATCATCATGTCCTCTAGCTTCTCCTTGTTCTGCATGTCCTGACAACCCCTAGTCAGGACTGGACCGAGTCCCAGTATAAGCAAGTCCCTCCCACCCGTCACGGACCCGGCCCCCAGACCTCCCACGAACTCTACGCCTCCAATTCGACGCCTCCATAGCTGGAGTGACACTCACTTGATACAGCTGCGCCTGAGCCTTATCTATCTCTTGCCATTGCGCCTTGAACGCCTCGGCGTGACCATACGCCTGTGCCGTGTTCTCTCTGAGAGCGAGCAGCTCATCCCGGAGCTCCATATTCCGGCCTAATTGTATCAGCAAAAAGCACTCCTCCGTCCCCTCCCCCCATACCTGGATTCATAACTTACGCGCCATCTCCTCATTCTCCTTCCCTAACTGCTCTACCTCCGCTGCGAGCTGCTGTAACTCAGGCAAGCTGAAGAGGAATGCCTCAGTAAGGGCCGGCGAGGACAGGAGGTCTTTGAGGAATGCGGGCGGGTACGCCGCAAGCGAGGGGAATTGCTGCAGCAGAGGGGTCGCCATGGTGCTTTCAAGCGGGCTCGCTGGACAGCTGTCGATCGAGGAGAACGTTGGAGACCTGAGTTAGAGCTCTTATCCAAATAGGAACGCTTGAAGCTGAAGTAGGATAGATGTATGATGCCAAGTGAGTGATAGTGACGTCGTCGGTGACACCCGGAACCATGTCGACGATGCAACTCGGATGTTTGGCGGCCAGCCTCATTCACTTGTCCTTTATCACTTGTCCTATCAACATTATATCTACCTACATATCATACTGCAACATCATCCGTCAAGGAATCTCACGGGAATCATAGCTCCAGCCGAGCAAACAATCCAGGAAGAGCGCACATCTCCTTCCCCACCGAGCTGTAAACGTAGGCGGCGACTAGAACGTGCCCATGGCTCCTTCGAGCACGGCAGGGCACGACCCCTGGAACGTCAATTATATCAACGAAGAGTGAGCTGGAAGCTACCCTGCCCTTCTGTGGAGGAGGTTAAGCTTATATCCAGGCATGTCCAGGCGTTCACCCGCGCACTGGACTTCAACGATGCTGGACCACACGATCTCGGAGACGTCTCGCCACATTCCCCTCGCTCGCCCCCAGCCCCCCTCAGCCCGGTAGACGGGCCAGGAGATAGAAATAAGCTCCAGGTGCCTGAAACGTGGAGATATGGGCCGGATAATGGGGTGTTAGCTTCTTCGTCGGGGAGTATGAGGGAGAAGGAGGGGGTGGAGCGGGTTGAGAAGCTCACGGCTACGAGTGACTTTGCGGTGAGCTAGCTCATGCCCTCAACAGAAATAAAAATAGAGCAACGCTGATGGTGTAGCCTATACATCAGCGCGTGTCGCGGAGAAAGACAGTAACTTCCCAAGGATGGACATATCACCTCATCAGGTGGCCTTTACTCGTTAGTCCAGCCCCTCCGCTCTCTTCCCCTCTTACCGTGGCAGGGGCTGACAACCAGATTGTCCTCTTCACCATCATCTCATTCGAGTTCAACGCCTACGTCTTCACCCGCCAAATCGTCAACGTCTTTGAGTACATCGTGGCCTGGCGAGGCAAGAAGGGGAAGCTGCGGCAAGATCTCCGCCAGGCAAAGACGTACGATGAGTGGAAGGCGGCCGCCAGGAGGATGGATAAGATGTTGGGGTTCGAGGAGTGGAAGGAGACTGAGGATGATGGGTACTATGACTACTTCCTCGTAAGTTCTGCCTCGGGCCAATGGGTCATGGGAAGGGAAGACCGAAACTGATGGTGTAGGTCAAGCGGGTACGGCGGACTCTTACGAAGCTTCGGGCTACAAACGATACGAGGGGTCTGATGGACGCCTTGGCGGTCTGCGTGAGGCCGAACTTTGCTGGGACCGAGGGCGTCAAAATGTACAGCGAGGTACGCTGGTTCTTAAAGCAAACAGACATAGGCTGACCCCGCCAGACCTTCTTTGGTACCAAGAAGCTCGTCGAAGCGCACATTGACGAAGTCGTCGCGTCCATCGACTACGTCCGCCAAGCTACCAATGTCACAATGGAGGAAAAACGGGTCTTCTTTCGAGGGATCAACAAGAACTACGGCTCCTCTGCGCTCTGCCTCTCCGGAGGCGCAAGTTTCGGGTACTACCAGTAAGCTTGCATCTCTGGACCTTCGTCGCATCGGAGCTGACTTTCAGCTTTGGCGTAATCAAAGCCTTCCTCGAGGCTGACCTTCTCCCTCGGGTCGTCACCGGTACATCCGCCGGTGGTCTTGTCGCCGCTCTACTCTGTACGCGGACAAACGAAGAGCTGAAGGTGCTCCTCGTCCCTGAGCTGGCGGATAAGATTACGGCGTGTGAGGATTCGATGCCAGTCTGGGTGCAGAGGTGGTGGAAGACCGGAGCGAGATTCTCGGCGGTCAACTGGGTTAGCAAGGTATGTCCATGATCCCCTCCTTAAGGGAGCTAAAGGCTGATCTCCAGGCGATGTTCTTCACGATGGGCTCTTTGACTTTCAAGGAGGCATACGAGCGGACTGGGCGAGCTCTGAATGTGACGGTAGTCCCATCTGATCGTCACTCGTAAGCTAAGAGATGCCCACACAGGTCGGCATACAGCTGACAACCCAGACCTACAATCTTGCTAAACCACCTCACTGCCCCAAATTGTATCATCTGGTCTGCTATCATCGCGTCCGCTGCTGTACCTGGTATCTTGAACCCCGTGGTGCTTATGGCCAAAGACCGAAATGGGCAGGTCAAGCCGCATAATCTCGGTGGATCTCGATTCAAGGATGGTAGTCTGCGGTGAGCTTCACCTCCGGCGCAGTCCCACAAGGTCCTTGAAAATAAAAGCTGACAGAGGCAGAGAAGACATCCCTCTGGGCAGTCTTCACACCCAGTTCAACTGTAATTTCTCGATCGTATCGCAAACCAATCCGCATATCCACCTCTTCTTCTTCGCGCCCCGGGGATCAGTCGGTACGTCGCCTTCCTTGGGTCACTCAAAGTCAAGCTGATATCACAGGCCGACCCGTCGCGCATCGTAAAGGCAAAGGCTGGCGAGGCGGCTTCATCCTCTCCGCCCTCGAATCGTACATCAAGCTGGACCTCAACAAGCATTTCAAGGTTATCCGAGACCTCGACCTTCTTCCTCAGATCCTGCAGAGTGATTGGAGTGGTGTATTCCTGCAGAGATTCTCGGGAGATCTGACTTTGACGCCGAGGAGCACTGCAGGTGTAAGTCTATTCTAGCGGTCAGAGGGAGAGAGCGGAAGCTGACATATTAGGATTGGTTCAGATTGCTGTCAGACCCTGATCGGACGCAGTTGCAGCGAATGCTGGAAGTAGGGGAGCGGGTCAGCTGGCCGTCTCTACACATGGTCAGGAACAGGATGGCAATCGAGGTGAGCTACTTCAGATCTGTGCTATCCCAGAAGAAGACATGCTGACAACCTAGCGAGCGGTCTTCCGCGGCCGATCCGAGATCCGCGCAGCTACCGCCCGGGAACGCACTACGAACGACGCCGCCCTTACCGCCTACAAGGAGCATGAGCACGATAATGCCCTGACCAATCAAGTCCCTATCGAATCCGACGCGGATGCGGGCTTTGCCCTTCGGTCTCGGCGGGTCAAAATGCACCGCTCTGTCCCTCCTGCCGCCGAGGCGTTCGGAAACCCACCTGCCGAAGGCAGCAACGGCGCAACTGCAGCCCGTCTCGGCTCAGCCGCTGCTCTGCGCCGCCGACGCGTCTTCCCGGGCGCAGGGACGGGGCAGAGCCATCGTCGGAGACCTAGCGAGGTCATATTTGACCGGCCGCTGCCGCAGCAGGGAGGAGGGGAGGAGGATAGTGGGGACGATAATGAGAATGAGGACGATGATGACTACCCTACGGAGACTGCGCGGACGTACCGCACGTCTGCATCCGCACCGCCCTCGGTCGCTCCGAGTCCGGCGACCAAACGGACTTTGGGCGATACGTTCCGGAACGTCAAGGCTACGGCTCTGTTTGCGCCATTCCGGTCCCGCCTCTCCAGCTCGAGTACTGGATCTACTACACCGACTGGGGCTGCCGGGTCGTCGTCGCAGGCACAGAGGGACATCCAAGGTCTTCCATCAGCGGCATCCGGGTCGAGTGCCGGGACCGGTATCAGTACAGGTGCGGGCCTGACTCCCAATCCACGTCGAAGCCAGTCGAGCATCAGCAGGTGGTTCGGCGCAGGGGAATACGACACGTCAGAGTCGGAAGATGAGGCTGGGATGGGGAGGGTCGATGAGGGCCTCGAAGGGTCAGCGAGGAGTCACAGTCCGGACGATTTCGGGGCGGGGGGTTTGAGGTCTGAGGGAAGCGGAAGTGGGGACGGGGAGGATAGTGGGGATGGTGTCGGGGTGATCGATACGGATCCGGAGGGAGAGGATCGGACGGAAACGAAGCGGTATAGCCCACCTCAGCAGGATCCGGGCCAAGCCCGGTGAGGACAAGCCAGCAGTAGCACTGGCGATATTAGGGGTCAGGGCTTGTACACATTGTGGATCTGAGGGAGAAGACCGCAGCCCGAAATGCATGTATTTTTCATTGAGCAGCAGACCTAGAATCGGAAAGCGGAAGGGGTACTGGTTACATAGCGGCGACGACTTATAGGACAGAATCGAAGCGGGAGGGAAGTCTATGGAAGTCTACAGATTAGGCGGGTTGGTCTCCCTTTCGAGCGCTTCCAGTCTGGCTATTTGCCTATCCCTGTCAGCTGCTGATCGCCCACACACGTTGTAGCGGTTCTTCAACTCACCCATCCCGTTTGGCCAACCTCCACCTACTCAATCTCGCCTCCTCATGCACCCTAAACCCATACATCCTCGGCTCATACTTCTCCGCTTTCATCGCGGCCGTCGCCGTACTTGCGCTCCCCACATCCGCGGGGCTTCCTTCGCCCATCGCCGTGATCCTCCCTCCCGGACCCGAGAAGCCTGCAGAGGACGGCCCATAGTTCAGATTCCCACTCCCACTGCCCATCCCCATGCCCATGCCCAGTCTCCCGCCCTCGCCGGCACTCTGCCCCTTGCTGGGAATCATTTGCGGGTAGACCATGAACAGCATATGGGGGAACGTGGTTCCAAAGTACGCGCCGTCGATCGAGCCGTGGCGATTGGATTTGGGCGAGTAGATGTCTTCGCAGCGGGGACAGTAGAGCTTGACGGCTTTGTGGTAGGGGATATCGGAGAGCCCGACAGGGAGGAGGGCTTGCTGGTAGCAGTATACGCGGGGACAGCGGCCAAAGTCTGCTTTGCGGAACTTCTCAAGCTGAAGTGTCAGCTTACTTCATGCCCGAATGCCTGCGGACGTGGGGAAAGCAGAAACTTACCATCTTGGCTAGTCCGCGCATGGTGATGATGTACCGCGCGTGAATCAGGCCGTAGAGAAACCGAGCGGATGACTCGATGGCTTCCCGGACATCCTCATCGAGACCTTCGTCATCTACATCGTGAGCTGGCTTCCTTCCTTCCGCTTCGAACGGAAACGCATCTTCCCCGAGCTCGCTTTTCTTCTTTACTCCGCCTTCACTACCCCGTCCCAGCCTTGTCTATACTCCATGAGGTCATCAGGAAATCTCACCTAGCGAGTCTGTGATCAAGTCCAGCGCCCTCGAGTACTCCTGTACTACCTCCCCGTTCAGCCCGGTCAGGTTGAATCGGTCCAGGATATAGTCTTCGTCGACCTCAGCAAAGTATTCCTATTCGCGTCAGCTGCTGCACCCCCGCGCCTGCCAGGCTCCATGGCGCGATCCCGATGGGTATACTCACATTGCCCTTTGTCGACAGGAACCAGGATACCCATCTAACCTATAAGCTCCCTATCCATCTCGTTCAAGCGCATAAGGATAGGTACTCACGTCGCGGCATAGTCGGACTCGGAACCGGAGGATAATTCTTCCATCGTTTTGCGGTCGGGCGGCCCTTGTATTGCGCGTGAGTGTACTCTGCGTGTAAGATCTATGGATGGGGCTGCGGCGGAGCAAGATGTGTGTAGAGTATCGCGGCAAGGTATATAGTGAGAGATACGGAAGGTAATCAATTGCAAAGGGGAGCAATGGAGAGAGGGAGGGAGGGTTTGGGCCTTGGGCATGGGCGGCGCAAAATGGGAGGATCGATTGATGTTTCAGATTGAGCTCGTCACAAGCTACAAGTCCCGGTGATCCACAACGCTCCGACTGACAAGATCATCACCTGCATCGAGAGCTCAGCGGTCTACTATCCAAATCAATTCTAAGCTTCTACCTCTATCAACTATCTCCTGCTCGCCCAGAGCTACACTCGCCGGCGCCTACGCTTCCTTCTTCTCCCCTCCCTTCTCCCTCCCAGCCTTCTTGGGAACGCGCGCCAACCAATAGATGCCGATAGTCGCAACAATGTTGAAGACAATGAAGGCCCACATCACCGAAAAGTCCCGCCAGACATTACCCGGGTCCATCTCCAGCGACGCCAAGAACTGGTTGGTGTTGTCCATTGGGCAAAGTCGGCAGGCCGAGGTGCTGCTCTCCGTTCCGGCCGCAAGATACCCGCCGGACGACGCGGTCCAGGGTCCGAGGTATTGGGCGCAGGTCTGGCCGGAGGGTGGGGCGACGTTGACAAAGTCTGAGTCGAGGCATACTATTGCCGTATCCTTTACCGCGGTCGATAGCATTCCCTCGGTCAGGTAGGTGAGGGGGGAGAGGCGGTACATGAAGATCCAGAAGCGAGGGAGTTGAGATCCGGGTATGAGCGCTCTGAGTCGTCAGCGAGGCACGAGTATAGAGGCAAATGGTGAACGTACCCGCAGAACAGCAGGCTGACCGTAAATAATAGATTCGCCGCCTCGCCCGCCATCTCTGCAGAGTGCATTCCAGCGATGATAACCGACGCGAAGGTGGACATGAACCACATGAAGACCGTGATGAACAGCCACATGGTGAAGCCCCGGATGGCGACCGAGTTGGTGGCGATGGCGTTGAGGTAGAAGCCGGTAGGGTAGTACCACGTAAAGTACAGAATGGTGGCCATGATTGCTAAAGATCAGCTGGAGCCCGACTGAATAGACTCACCGCCCCAAGGTAGCTCCACGATGATTTGCGATAGGACAAAGCACTGCCAGTGGTATGTCTTGCTTGGCCGTTCCCGCGCTTCGTACAGACTCCGCTGGACGACGATGTTTGGCATGATTTGACCCATCATCTGACCAAAGAGGAGGAAAAGCTGAGATTAGCCGAGCCCCAAGAGGAAACTCACCAGAAACAGGGACAGCATCTGGTTGGTCACACCTCGACTGGACGTCTCCATCTTGTAAAAGGCAGAGCCGACAAAGAGACCCGATACCGTGACCAAACCGGTCTTTGCCAAGATGTAGGACGGAGTACGCCAGTACTGCTGGAAGACCCTGTGCGTGACCGCGAGCAGTTGCTCGGAGAAGGGCGCAGCGAATTCCGAGAGGTTGGTGGACTGAGTGCTGGAGGTGTCCGAACCGCCGTTGACCTCCGAAGATTTGAGACGAGCGAGCTCGGCCCGCACTTCAGACCGCTCAGGACTGCTGAGCCAGGCCTGGTGCCAGTCGACATTGGTGCTGCTTCCCGGAGCAGCGCCGACAGCGGTGAACATCCACTCGGCAGGGTTCTCGCCCGCGGGGTACTTGACGGCGCCGTTGCGCTCAAAGTAGTCGATGAGGATCCGAGACCCCTTGCCGACCGGGCCAAAGTAGGTGGTCCGACCTCCCTTGGCGAGGAAGAGCAGGCGATCGAACTGCTCAAAGAGCGACGCGGAGGGTTGGTGGATCGTGCAGAGGATGGCTTGGCCGTGGGAGGTGAGTTTGCGCAGGAGGAGGAGGATGTTCCAGGAGGTCTGCGAGTCGAGACCGGAAGTGGGCTCGTCCAGGAAGAGAAGTAGCTCCGGCTTGGCAACGAGCTCGATACCGATTGTCAAGCGCTTCCGCTGCTCGACGTTGAGACCCTCGCCGGGGACACCGACGACCGCATCGGCGTACCGTTCCATCTCGAGGAGGACGAGGACGTGCTCGACGTAGTCGAGCTTCTCCTGCCTGGAGACGTGCCGCGGCTGGCGAAGGATGGCGGAGAATCGGAGGGCTTCGCGGACGGTGGAGGTAGCGAGGTGGAGGTCTTGCTGCTGGACGTATCCAGTCTTCCGCTGGAAACTGGCATCCCGCTGTTTGCCATCGACAAGCATTTCTCCGGTGACGACGCCCATGGTGACACGGGTAGCGAGAACGTCGAGGAGGGTGGTCTTTCCAGCACCAGAGACACCCTGACCATCAGCTATTGTCCCTTGTAATCAGGAAGGGATGCGACTTACCATAAGAGCGGTAAGAGTACCAGGCTTGACCCATCCATCGACGTGGTCCAAGATTCTCCTCGTCTCCTGCTTGATCTTGATGTCGTACACAACGTCCTTCCAGGAGAAGATGGCTGTTTGACGTTGGATGAGGGCTTCGGCAGCCGGCGCGACGGATGGAGAGTCAGTGATCCTGGCCTCCTCGTCGGCCGCCTTCAGTTCCGGGGGAATAGCACCGCGTGGGAAAACGAGCACCTCGCCCTTGGACTTTTGGGACATGACATATTCTGGACAATCAGCGACGAACTAGGGAATACGTGACCTTCTCCGCCGAGACTCACCGGCTGCGACAAAGTAGATGAGAGACATGGCGGCAAATAAAGCAAAGAGGATACCGAGGTTGCGCCACTTGTATGCCGGGTTGTACTCGAAAGCGGCGGAAAGGTAGGAGCCGCCCTGGACGATGAGACTACCTGGGGTGGCGCCATCGATCTGACAAGCCCGCTGCATGCCCGAGACGTCGTAAGATGGTCCGCGAGGGATGACGGTCGAGCAGTCGAACTCCCGCCCCGCAAACTCGTTGATCATGAGGGATTCGAAGGCGTAGCTCATCGGATTGACAAACTTCATCCACCGAGACCAGCCGCGCATGTAGCTTGGCGGCAAGGCGAAGCCTGTAAACATGACCAAGCCGAGGATGAGCACGGTAGCGGGTGCGAGCGCCTGCTGTAGGGTTCGGGAGACGGATGCGATGCTGCGGAAGAAGGAGGACATTGTGAGGAGGATGACGAAACCGAAGAGGAGGAAGAAGAAGTAGGCGCCCGCCTCGCGACGAAGGTTGGTCATGAGGTAGAGGGTGGTGTTGAAGAGGATGGCGTTTGTGATCTTGTATGGCAAGTCGGTGATGACCGAGGCGAGAGCTTCTGCCGATGGGTGGTAACTGCTGTCAGCGGCGGACTGCGGGTAGACTTACAAAGCGTATCGACTGTGCTTCTCGACGATCAAACGCTGGTCGTACAGAGTGTACATCTCGAGCGCTGATCCGAAAGCATTGAACAAAATTGCTAGGAAAATGACTACGCCTCTGAGGAAGAACGAGGAAGTGACAGGTTCTACATCAGCACTTTGCCCATATCATCAACTCACGAAGATTGTAGAACATGGACCCGATGATCAGAGCAACCACAAAGTTACCGACGAGCTGTGAAATGGTGAAGCCCGGGTCGGAGAATAGTCGCCAGAAGCCTCGGCGGAGACAGATCTGGACTTGCTGGGGGAAGGACAAGGTGTAAGGGGACTTGGGGCGACTGATATCAGCGTCGTCTTGACGTTTACTCACAGGAACTTGGACTGTTTGACACGACGGAGAGCAAGGAAATCATCGTATCGCTCGGTGGGATGATGAGCCGCGTTGAAGCCCCTTATCTCCTCCTTGAGCCGCTTGTACTCCTCACTTTGCCGCCAAGCCGAAGCAAACTCCCGAGGGGTAGTGGGGACTTTACACCCAGAACGCGCCCTGCGCTCCGAGGGAGAAGTGAGGGAGGTGAGGAAGTCCGGGGTGGTCTGCTGATCGGGGCACTCGAAGCCCATATTGACAAAGAACTGCTTGGCGGTGGATGTGGAGCCAAAGTAGATCTGCTCGCCCTGGTAGAGGACGGATACCTTGTCGAAGATGTCGTAGGCGGCCTGAGGAGCTTGGTAGATTGCTACGGCGGATGCGGTACCGAAAAAGTCCGAAGAGAGGCGAAGGTTCCGACAGAACTCAATGGCGTTGGCCGAGTCCAAACCGCGAGTAGAGTTGTCCCAGCACTGGAGCGGAGCATCAGAGAGAGCGACCTCGGAGATTGTGACTCTCTTCCGTCTGGCTCATCAGCACATGATGGTGTCTATGACTCACTCTCCTCCAGAGACTCCTCGGATAAAGTCGTTCCCGACCTTGGTGTTGACAGTGTGGGAGATACCAAAGATGGCCATCACCGTATCGCGCATGAGTCGAGCATATTCTGTCCGCGAGATACCATAGGGCGGTTCACGTGGAGCTCTGGCCTCGGCCGCGAATCTGGCAAGTCAGCCTCGGTCTACTTCCGACTTACTGTAGAGTCTGCCCGACGGTGAGCTTGGGGAAATGAACATCGACGTCGGCCGTGTAGACTGCTTCGCCCCGGAACTGGCCTTGCATTTGTTCGGAGGTGAGACCGCGATAGTTGATCTTGGTGTTTTCGTCGAGGTAGATACCGTTCATTTCGCCCGCAATGGTTTTGAGGTAAGTCGAACATCCACTGCTTGTCAGTGCGCTCGGGCGGGATCGACTCACCTTCCAGGGGGACCTAGCACCACCAGCATCTCGCCATCGTTCAATACACCATCTACTCCCTTGAGGATTTCCACCTTGTGCTTGCGGTTGCTCCCGATTAGGTCGCGGACGGCGCCGAGCCATTGAAGAGGTACATTGCCAACTGTCTTTTGGTAATCTACCCATCAGCGCTTATACAAATTGTGGAACTCACCGGCATCTGAGCCGAAGCCATGTACGCTGAGGTCCTCAAAGGATACTCCACTGAGAGGTTGAGGGCTCGTGCCGTTGTACGCGGCAATGAAGCTCTGCGCCCACTTGCGAGCGTTGAAAGCGGGCGAAGAAGGGTCGAGGGAGCTTCCTTTTTCGAACTCGTGGAAAGTCTCGTCCCGCACTTGAGAGAGCTGCGAGACCGCCCGAGCGAGGTGTCCTAGTGTCGACTCGCGTTCGGATGTAGTCTCAAATGGCTGCTCGACTTCAGGAGAGATGGGACGAGGATTGGGGTCGCCAGATTGGTCGTTTGTGCAAGATTTGAGCATCGCAACGGAATATCCGAGGCGAGAGAGTAGTGACTGTAGTGGGGCGTGATGTGGGCGAGCATGTTGGGTGGAGATATATACCTACATAGATGGAAGGAGATGACGGCTTGGCAATTGGAATGTGTAAGCTGAAGCGACTCAAGCGAGCGAGTGGACCAGTGAGCCAGTGATAGTGACAAGGTGAATTGCTTGGCGAGCTAGGCGAGATTGGCGATTCGCACACCTGAAACCGCGCGCCGAGGTTTGGCGAATTACGCGACACCAACGACAGGGGTGATGTGGTAAGCGATGCAAGCGACCGTCACTTCCTGGCTGATCGTCCGGATCTATGTCAGCCATTGCCCTGGGGGATGAGAGAGTGCGCTCGATATGGTACAGCTAGCAAGGGCTATCAGAGGCTATCAGCCACCACTTCGCCTCAGAGCCGCGGAATGACGGAGACTTGCTGCAAAATGCCGTCATTTCAGTTCGAGCACTCGGACGCGTCCAAAGGCTTAATAAGTCAACCCTTCATACTCCACTCAGACATCCATCAGCTCCATCAGTCATGGCGGCCTCCTCCTCTACAGCGGGCGCAGGGGAAGTCCAAGCGACGTATCTGACACCCACCAAGAAAGCCGCTTTTGCCAATGCAGAAGCGGGTCCAAGTCGAGCTCGGCCCGCGGGGGCCTCGCCCGCCTATGTGCGTTGGATCAACAAGCCTTCCATCCCCTCTTCATCCAGGCTGATCTTCCTAGAGCTCCCGAAGACACTCACTGTACGGGATCGAAGATCGTATAGTCATCGAGTAAGCCGGTATCAACTAAAAAGCAGACCAAAGCTGATCCCCTTAGGCCAGGGAGCAGGTGCTGGAAAGTCGGTCTCTCTGGCGAGGTAGATCCGAGGGCGGTCTTTGACGCGGGTGGGGATGGCTATGGGGATCGGGAGGGTATGGAGATATGGGATCTGGGGCTGGATCAAGTCGAAGCAGCTCGAGGGAGTAAGGCGGAGGCGAGGCGCCTAATTCGGGTCAGGGTATTGAAGCAGATCAGAGCAATTTATACCAAGTAAGTCAAGGGCAATTCAAGCAGTCAAGCGCTTACAGCTTATACTTAAGACATATCATGACGGACCCAAAAGCTCGCAAGGTCATTGTCGTAGAGAATACCTACCTGCCTTCCTACGTCAAGGATGAGATTGCTAAATCTCTCTTCGACAACCTGAAGGTAAGTTCCCGGTAGCTCGCTCATACACGATCACTGCTCAAGAGCTGATCCGTATAGGTACCCTCCGTCTCCTTCACTCCAGCCAGTGTCCTTGCTCTAGCTGCATGTGGGAGGATCACTGGTCTGGTTATGGACATCGGCTGGCTCGAGACAACGATCACCCCCGTTAGTTTCTGCAACTACCGCGGCCAGCGCTTGCAGCTGATTGCCTCAGGTTCACCACTCTAGACCTCTCTTCCATCTCGCTCGCTGTTCCCCTCTCGCTGGACGACGGCTCCATCGCCGATTCAAAGCCCTGTTCCGGCATCACGCTCGTTACTATCCCCCACCCACGTCCTTCTCCTATCTCACCCGGCAGGCTATCCAGCCCGTTCCGGCTGAGATCATCACGAACGATCTCGTCCAGCGAATCATGCAACAGGCCTGCTTCGTCTCTACCCCATCTGGTCCCGCGGCCGAGGTTGAGCGTACGGAGGATCAGCCCATGCCGGCGGATCTGGACGAGCTGGACGATGCCGACCTGATGGACCGCCTACGAGGTCGGTACGCCCCCGGAGCGGACGCGACAGACGTCCGGATCAGTACAACCCCTCTCCCGCACGAGACGCAGGGTATGGGTCCGGCAACGCTAGTCGTTCCTGGCTGGATCAGGGAGCGGGCGGCCGAGGTCCTGTTCGACGACGAAGAAGGGGAGGCGGTGAGCATACCGGAGCTGGTCCTACAGTGTATATCAAAGGTCAGTTGCAAAATCCAAGAGCTCCTTGATCTGGAGGGACGAAACTGACTTGCGCAGCTCCCAGTTGATCTTCGACCCATCATGATCTCCACCATTCTCGTTGTGGGCGGTACAGCCTCCCTACCCGGCTTCATCCCCCGCCTGCATACCTCCCTTCTCCGCTCCCTTCGCCCTCCCTCTTCCTCTCTACATGACAACGAGAACCCGGCGCCGCTACATACGCCTCAACACCGAACGGCGGAAACCCAGGCTTGGCGGAAACGACATCTCGAGCCATACAAAGAGCTCTATCCCCTCAGTCCCAAACTGGCTATCCTAAACGACCCATCCCCGCTCGATGGTGAGGGCGGGAGCAAGGGCGGGAGCGCGCCGAGGTGGAGACCGGGGCTGATGAGCTGGGTAGGCGGGAGTCTTGCTGGGTGAGCTCGTCCACGCGCAGGCTCCAGATGTGGGAAGAGCGACAAGCTGATAGTGTAGAGCATTAAAGACTGGGGGCCCAGAGATGTTGCGAGAAGAATACGACGCCCTCGTTCTGGCGCATGCGGAGAAGGGAGAAGCGTACCGATATCGGCTCGCCGGGGAGGATGCCTTCTTTGCTGAGATGTCGAAGCAAAGTCCGGGTGATATGGAGGGGACAGTACCGCCCCCTTCTGGCGGGACGGACGAGGTGGGGGGGTCGATCGAGGATCTGTTGCCGGGGATGGCGCTGAGTCGGGCGGGACAGGGGAAGAGGGGCTGGGAGGCGGATGTGAGGGTGGGGGACTGGTCAAGGGTAGTCCAGGCATAGTACGATTGAGTGATACTGACTGTGAAATTCGAAGTTTCGCCCTGTACGCTAGCCGTTGCAACAATACTGAGCTTAGGTCTCCAGGCGGCAGATACCGATGAAGGCCGATGCGAGAGAAGAAGTCATTATGTACATTGTTCCCGCCAACCCTCTATTCCTAATCACTATGTACAAGCTGTCTATCATCCGATCCGGACTTTTGATACTGATCGTCCCCCGCTCATATCGCCTCTCCCTGCTAATCCTCGCATTCTAGCCTAGACCTCCCCGATACAACCTTGCCACGCCGCTACGCCAACACCTCGAGTCCGTCCCCAGAGCCAGACTGGGCCGAGTGCTCGGGGATGGCCTAGAAGTTCATAGAGGCGCGCCATGAGGAGCGGGAGCGCACCCTGATACTGCGTGATGCGGTGTGAAAGCTTTCGCGGCTGCAGCTCGGGTCCTCGTCGGCTGGAGCGTTCGCGGCTGGGCCGACTGGAGCATCCGCGGCCTCGTTGGTCAGGCCGTCCTCGTCCTTGTCGGCTGGAGGATCCGCGGCCGCCTCGCCATCGGCCTGAGGAGCGGCGTTCATCTCGACGTCAGCGTCGACGCGAGGTCGTGCTGGACGGAGGTCATCGGGCGCGATGTAGAGGATGGGAATGGCGAGAAAGCTGCCAACGTCAACATCGGCTCCATGCCTGATGCTTGATGATAGGTTGACTCTGGAAGAATCGACCTACATTCCCACTATTGCGTGCAGAACCGAGGAAATCGTACGGGCCTCACTAAGGACACAGTAAAGTCGGTACTCGTTCATGATAAAGACCAGGGCGCACATGGCGTATAAGGGCCTTGCGACAGCAGGGCAGATGCGGCGTTTCCGTTCAAAGTACCCCGCTCAGCACACCATCAGGAAGAACAGTACTAGGCATTTTCAGCTGCGATCCTTCAGAGATTCATGAACAAAGCACGATGCAACTCACGCAGCTCGACGTCCAGCGCAGTACACTCAAGGTACCTCCTCCGCGTACCCCTCAGCGCCTCCTTTGACCCTTCCCCAGCGTGCATGAAGATAGCCGCGAATGAGATAATTCCACCGTCGCACCTAGCACCCCAAGGAGAGTCGGGCAGCCGTGGCACGGTGGCAGACGAACTTGTGCCAGTCGGTGAGTGTGCCTTCGCGGTAGATCTGGCAACGGCCAGCCCTGATGTGTCGGTGGTAGCTGGCGAGAGGGGCTGAGCATGCTACTAGCGCAGATGAAAAGGTCGCCGCTTGGCAGCAGGAAAGATAAGCGCTAGCTGTCAGCGAGTTTCTAGTCCTCAAGCTATACGCTTGTCGATAAGTCAGCATCTGATTCTGTACATTGTCAGTGCTCGGATCTCCTCGCCATGGCTGACTGCACTGCCACTGTGTGCCCGGATCGCCGATGGCGACATACGAAAGGAAGGGTGAAACGCACATGCTTGTCAGCTTCGAGAATCCATTCATGACCCGCCGATGCCGGGGAGGGTGGCAAGATGACAGAGCGGATTCCCCCCTCTTCTTCACTCTCGACCGCCTAACAACGTCAAGCCTTTGGAGTTGATCCTCTAGACTCTTCCCTACCACACATTTAGCTCTTCACACCACAGCACTCGACACCATGCCATCCCCGGCCGCTTCGTCCATCACTCTGCCCCGTTGCCGGGACAGATCAAGGGAGAATCAGCGCCAGAACGGACCCCGCCGACACCGGCACAGGATTGAGCTACACGGTGTGTGGGACCTGTTGGACGCCGAATCCGAAGTTCGCCGAGTCCATCTGGTACGTGGATGATACTGTCCCCTTTACCGCCAGTGGCAACGAAGAGCCTTCTGAGCCAAGCAAAGAGCGCACGGTCGAGCTTCAGTACCGCATCGGGCAGGCAGGGTTGTGGTCCGCAGTCCTCCGGCCATCGCAAGCCTCAGCTGATGTGGAGGGGCAGGCAGGTTCCTCAGGAGGGAAGTGGAGCCGCCTGATCAGCCACGGCCGATATACCTTCCACACCACGCCCGACGACCGATCAACTTCGACCGTGGATGAAGCCAACCGAGCAAGACAGATCGCGAGCTGCTCCGACGAGGAACTGTCCACGATCTTCTTCTGGCCTGAAGGCACGTTTACAGTCGTTCCTCCGTGTCCCAGACCGGACCTCGCCTCCCTCGCCAAGGAGGGTGTCGATGCGTTCATCGCGGCCATCAAGTCGTCTCTCTCAAGCAACAGTGAGGGTCCCGCTGAAGGGCGCTCTTGAGCCGTACGTTTGACGAAGTCGAGGTTAGGATTCATCAGTCGGTTTTGTGTATATCATGTGGCTCAATATCAGCATTGGCTTTATAGAGTGGGGGCCGTGGGGTTCAAATTTTCAGTATGCACCGACTTGTGCATATTGGCATCAGATCGGACCATCAGTGGCAATGAGCTCTGTGCTGGTGGCTTGCCTCCAGAAAAGGTTAGATCGGACTTTCCATAGCGTGGAAAGCGGCGCCGGCGAGGTTGCCCAGTATCGAGTCGATGAGACCTGCTCCGCTCAAAGGCTGACATAAGATGCATGTGAGGGATCGGCGACTGTGGATATACTCTCTGCTCTGTTCAGCTCCTTCTTGGAACTGGGACTCGGACTTACAGATAGAACCCCGATACCACATCACCGCTCAAGTTCCCGCCTAATGACCGCCCGAACCTCCCTCAATCCACCCACCCGCTGTACCCTCCCCGGACTCCCCGGACCCGCAATAGCCACCGTCCCCCCATCTCCCTCCTTCACCGCCTTCCCAGGCGACACAAGTCCCTTGGGGTGATTCCGACTAGGACTGTTGAGATTGGCGCTAAGTCGAGCGCTGGCGAGGAGGCTGTTGCTGGGTGATGTTGGGCCTTGAGCGACCTGGACGGGCATTTCGAGCCAGTCTTGTTTGGCGATGGTTTTGAGGAGGAGGAAGAAGGGGCAGAGGTCGCATAGGAGGACCAGGGATGTTTGGGCTTCGGCTGATGGGTCAGCTACTGTTCCGGTCAAGAAAGATGTGGAGGATGGATGTACCCATCGAGATTGGCGTCTTGGAGGACTTGACGATGACCTCCGCTGCTTCAGACATCGGTACAGCCCGTCTTCTGCCTCGAGGGGGAGTAGACATCGACGACACGCCGGCCGTGGGAGCCGAGAACAGCCTAAAGCATCAGCTTCTCTTCCCAATGACAGTCGTTCATTTGGAAGCTCACATCCAAACAGCCTCAGCTACACCTTCAAGTCGACTGAGCGTGCTCCTCCGCTTGAGCTCTTCCTGCGTTTCCGCGCGGGAAAGGGTGTATTGCGGTCCGCCAGCGATCTGGGAAGCGAGGGTTTGAGGCGCTTTGCCGTTCTTCCGAGCTGCGATCTGATACGTCAGCTCATCCCTACGAAGTACTTGGGAAACAGCTTACCCGATCTCTCATGGCCTGCTGCCGCTCCTCAATCGACCCCGGACGTGCCACTTTAGCCATACTTGGCTTGTCGTCCATGTCGAACGCATCGGCGAGCCTGGCGGTAGCGGGAGACAGGCCGGCTTTTCGTGGTGAGGCACTGCTTGAGGCTACCGTGGAAGAAGCCAGAGCGGCCGAGAAGAGGTTCGCGGCGGGTAGGAGTGTAGATGCGGGAAGGTGAGGCAGCGGAAGGAGAGGAATGGGCGGGATGGTAGATCGGGCATGATCACGGGTATTGGCGGGAGTAGCGAGACCGCCAGAAAGCACCGCTTGCTCCTCCTGTCCTGTCAGCCAAAGTATACCAGCCCGGACGATCAGGATAGCTCACCTCATAACCGCCATTCAGCTCAACCCACTTCTCCAGCCGCTCTCGCATAATCTCCTCCCGCTCTTCCCCTGAGCCGCTCCACCTCCCCACTGCTCCTAGCCCACCTCCTTGCCCCTTGTTCCCTATCCCACCTTCCGAACCACCGTGCAACAGCTGCCTCGTCTCCCCTTTTCGTAGATCGAGCAGAATCCCGAGTCCATACGTATAAACCGACCGCTTGGTTGATGGATCGAGCGTTCTCGTAGGGGTGATGACATAGTTCAGACCCGTGATCTCCAGCTTGGACGTCGAGATCGAGTCGTGATTGACCAAGAACGGATTGTCATCATCGCTCGCCTTGTCCTTGGCCGACCGCTCTTCCGGCATGGACGAGCCGTCCCATGTCCAGAGCCAAGCCAGGCGCTGTAGTTCCGCTGTACCGAACCGCCGGCATCCCGTCCGCTCGACGGTCTCACGGATAGCGAGGAGATTGGTGAGATTCGGTAGCAGGACCGAGGTGGCGTTCGGGGAGTGGGGCGGAAGGACCGGCGGATGCGTAGCGAGATGGAGGGAGAGAGCGAGGTTGAAAGCCCGATGCAGGGTGAGGAGGGTCTCGAGGTGGACGGGGAGCTTGGTAGCCTTGGTGTCCGGAAGGAGAGCGGAGCTACTCGACGCTGAGATGTCCAGTTCGGGCTCGACGTACTCTGCTCGGCGCTGCCGGGAGCGAGGAGGAGTAGGAAAGGGTACCAGTGGTGGATTTGGCGTAGGCGCTCTGATCTTGAGCCCAGTCCTTCCAATTCGTCTCGAGACTCACCCTCTTGTTCTTGCCTTTCCACCGCTCTTAGTCGGCGTCTCCCCAGCTACCGCCTTTCGCTTCCTTGGCGTGATCTGCTCGCTCATACCCATCGAAGATGACGGTGTTGGAAATAGTTGTTTGTCGGACCAGCCGAGATTTCAAGAAGAGATGATTATACGATATTACAGCCACAGAACGACAAGCACCAGGCCCGCTATAGAAGAAGAGCAACAAGAGGATAGATGATGTATAGATGAGCTATAGGAGATATTGGGCGGTGAGGAGGACCTTTGGACCGTCCAACAGGCTGTCTCAGACGAGATCAGCCACGTGCAGGAATGCCGTAAACCCCTCAGGAGGATTTTCCGGAGCTCCAGCTTGGTGAAGAGGTGCAAATTTGCCTATCCACTCACCCTCATCTTGACTCCAGCCATACCGACAAGACTCAGCCCATCATGAACGTCGAGGCTGTCGCATCATCCTCATCTTCCGCTCACGCGACCCAGGAGGTCGCGCAGAGCAAGGGCGGCCGGACACCCGGCAAGGCTCACAAGTCTGCCAAAGCGCCCCTCCGGAGATCATACATCAGCGAGTCGATCAAGACGCCATTCGCCAAGCGGATGGAGGAGGAGCAGAAGAAACAGGCAGTCAAGGCGGTGGAGAAGGAGATGAAGGACGACAAAGAGGCGGATCGGCAAATGTAAGCTGTGTCACGCTCTGCGGGCACCGGGACAATAGCTGATCGGGGTAGGAAGAGGGATAGGCTGAAGGAACGGCGAGACAGGGAGGCGGAGAAGATACGGCAGGAGCAGATGGCGGCCAAGATGTCCGCAAAGAAGCTGCAGCGGATGAAGAAGGTGAGTCTTGCTGTATTTAGGCGGTCTCCGAAGGGGGTGAGCTGATCATTCAGCGTCAAGGACGGACCAAGAAGATCAACGGATAGGCTTCTTGTGCGATGGAGGCTCACGGCTTATGTATCATTATCGTCCCAGCGCGGCGCTTTCGGTCATAGCAGGTCAAAATACCGTTCGCCTTGATCGTGCTCATCCCGTCATCACATCAAGCCTTTTCGGCATGCTCGACTGCCATCCGTTCATTACCTCACGCAGGCACAGCTCAAGCCTAGGCTAAGCACATCAGACAATGCGCTCGAACATTCTGGACTGGGCGATCTGCTATACTCACCGATCATCCTTTCACGAGTGGCGAGAGGAGCAGATCCCAGCCCCGACCCTGACGTACTCGGCCTTTCTCCACAGCGGACTCTCCTTCATTTCTCCTTGTACCTCAGATACCTCGAAATTACCCACCACTCACTGAGGTCCGTTCCCAGTACGACCTCCACTGACCCATTCAGCAACAGCTCGCCAGGTCATCATGTAGTCAGAATCAGGGACGGCCCAGACACAGGAGCCGATCGACACCTCGACCGAGGAGGCGGAAGCGGAGCAATTGCATCGAGCCAGGGTGCTGTCGCTCAACAAGACTGCGCAGAAAACCACGGACGACTTGGCGAAGACCGAAGAAGAATCGACTCATCCGGGGAAGAGGCCACCCCGCCGTCGTCAACAGCAGACCGTGAGCCTTGCGGCACTCCTCGGCGGCTCGGCGTCGGACCGTGTGCCAGGCACCATGACTCCGCCGCCGACGGACAGCAATCACGCCGGTACCAAGGACAACACGACGAGGGTCAGCGAGGCGATGGCATCCTCCAGCGGCGACGCGCGGAAGTACCAGAGCGAGAGTGGTGAGACCGCTCGTCCGACCCAGACGTTCCGGGAATTCTGGATCGCGAAGCACCGTCAGACTCATCAGACCGGGACGGACGAAGCCAGTACCGAGAGCCCTCTGCGTGCCGGCTACGGTAAATCGCAAATGGACGCCGCAAAGGATCTCCAGGGGATGAGGCGGCGATGGCCTTGAGCTCAGTGATGGCGATATGTACAGACCGAGACGCGACTTTATGGATATGCAAGGGATGGCTGACGCTGCCGAAACATATCTTGCCTGCTCACTTACGAATGCTCACTTCCGAAGTCCGGCGCTAGCACGCAGATGGCGTTATGCGAGATGCTATCACCTTGTCATCCTCACCGATATAGATTGCCGCCACCTGCCAGCTGGTATGCGATAGTCCTACACGTCCAGGTCTAGACAGGAGATGAAAGCGGCAAGCTCTGCTGCTCAGCTACTGCACGCTCTGAGATCCAGCACTTGAGCCGTGACTTATTACCGCACAAACGGAGGAATGCGGAGTTGCCAACGTAGCCTCTCGGCCCCCGCCCCGGCCACTCGGATAAATCCCTCTCCTCATGGGGATCCAAGGCCGTACCTCTGAATAATACCTGCCTCGCTATTGGCCACATATCGACCGACATCGTCCCGGACCTCCGACACTTGGGGAAGCATACCGTATCCACGTATCAAGGACAAGCATGAATGTGAAAGCAAGAACCGGCGACCAAGCACATGTCGTCGATCTCGTTGCACTGCCGTACACTTGCCAGGAGACTCCGTATATCCGGCCGAAGGTCCTTCTCGTCGCTCTCTGCTGGCTTCACTTCGGTCTTGCTTATCGGTGAGAAGCAATATACTTGGGACTACTTGACAGGAGTTAACTCGAGACAGTAGCTCAGGAAGGCGATGCGGTGCGGCGCGGCGCGGATCTTCTTCTGGATCAGTGTTTCAGGTTAAGAGTCAGGCACTGCAAGCGAACGTCATCAATCCTCCGATAGTCCGGGTGGCAAAAGCGGTAGTCACTCGACAACACTCTGCCTTTTACCTTGTAACCCCCTCTTCCCGTCCCTGTCGGTCCGCACCCCACTGTCACTGCATAGTCCGGGAGAGATCCATCTCATAATATCTCAGCAGCGACGTGCCCAACGAAGCGGCCACCGACGAGGGGCCACGGTCGTCATATTGCGCTCGATGAGCGCTGAGCAGTCGGCTCGGAGCCGAGGAAGGCTCGGCCGAGCGAACGGAACTTCGGCGCCCTTTTGCTTTCGCTTCAAGCTCTTGCCTTACTTTGCAGCTAGAGCTACGCCCAGCCGCAGCGCCCAGCCTTCCAGTTATCCCTTCAGAGCTTCAGTGCAGCACAGCAAGGTCTGGGGCTGGAGTGTCTTCGCATGTCTCTCATCCCTATCGCTTGCCACCCCCAAAGCACCCAAAGAACATGGATGAATGAGGATGCAAGATGCTGATTGCGGCAATGGCTTGTCGTAAAATCGCCTGATACGGTAATTCAGCACAGACACACCAGGATAAGGAACGCCTCGCGCGATTGCGCGGCAAGGCACCGCGGTTCCTCTATCTCGGTCGAGAATTTTCTGACGAGCTGCAGAAGCTGACGGGACGATGCTACATAGCTGACGGGTCAGTCCATTCATGAGTAGATTCTTGAGCCGTCCATCCCCTGCTTCAGTGACCTTGTCAGCAATCCCCTCCCTCCCCGCGGAACCTCCCAGCCCCGCACCTGCGCGTCTCGCTTGGACCACTACTCTTCTTTTTCTTACTCCCTCTCGTAATACCTCCTGCGCCCCCGCCGCGCCCCTCGAGCCATTTGATATTTCCCCAAGAGCTCTCCTTCTCCAAATCAGCAGGAGATACGGAGTCCGCGCATCGTGCTTGACTGCTTGCGTGAGGCATTTGACCGCCTGGCTGGATTAGACTAGTCATCACCCTCTTATCCTTGTATCAGTAATCAGATCCGACGTCGACTTATCAAGCGGGAAACGATAGGGGGATCGCTGGCGAATCCACCTTCTACGAGACACTACCCTCTTCGCCATCCGGTCGCAGGTCGCATTAGCTTTTCATCAGCAGGCACCGTATTGGAGATCAATATCAGTACTATGTGCTCCAATAGGGCGGACTAGAGGCGGGGATCAGTACAAGAGAGAAAGCAGGAGGACAGGGAGAAGAGGAAGGGAACACCAATACGGGCGACACGTTCCTGCGCATCGTCCCCCCTCGCACCCCGGCCGTCACCGTTACGAGTTGTCTCACCCTCTCACACACCAAACGCACCACCGCCCGTCGCCGCGCCTGCCCCTGGCGTAACGGAGCGGCCCTCCCCGAGACATCCCCCTGCCTATCAACATTCGGGGGATCAGCTGGGCGCTACGACTCGTGATCTACCAAGGCCAGTTTTGGGGTCATTCAGCTCGCAGCGACTGGATTTTGGACATTCGGTACCATCATCGTCAGGAGTTGTAGTCTGGACGACGACCTCTACACATCTTATCCTCGCTTACCGCTCCTCCCGCACGCACACACGCACACAGCCCCACCTCTCATCCCGCTCGAGCGTCAGGTGATTACCTCTTCGCGAGATCTCCGAAGTCTCTTCGGCACCTCCTCCACCTCGATCTGCCCCTCATCGTCCGTCTGTGGAGCACAAAGCCGCGCACGAGCTTCGGAGATACAGTTCCGAGAAGGAAGGCAAAGGCAAAGGCACGGGCGAAGGGGATAGGCTTTAAGAAGCAGGAAAGCGGTCTGGCATAAGGTGGACAGAGGAGACTTTCGCTTTGCTGGGAACGGACTTTTGCAAGTGGTGAGTTGGCCTGCTGATACCTCTGCTCCGTCCTCGCTCTCCTCTCCCCTCTTTTCGCCATGTCCGAAGCTTGATCTCGATGTCCGAAAGCCTATCTCCCTGTCTGTGCCCATTGGTTGAAACGCCTCTACACACACTCCGTCCCCCCTTTCCGCACACACCTGTCCTCCTCCTTCTGTCCTTCCATTTCGGCGACGTCACCTTTCCAAGCGTCCTTTGGCGGATGGGCTGGGCGCCAACTCAATCATCTGCGAAAAACAAAAGCTGACCGCGTTTTTCCTCCGCTTACTTCGACATCTGCTTACTTCGGCAAAATCGCTCTCCCTCCTGCCCCCGCCCCTCCCCTCCTCTCTCTCCCTCCTCTGACCCGTCGAACCTACCGCTCCTCCATTATCCCCCTTGACCGAACTATCAACCTTCTTCCCATCACCCTCGACGCGACTTTTCAACCAACCCACAACCATGCCTACATTCCAACATCGACGACAACAGGCTATCCGAACCAACAGCTGCCCGTCCAAACTCGGCATCCCCATCATCATACTCGAAGAGGACTGCGAGGAAGACGGCGTATACTTCTCATCTGTAAGTCTGTCCTCTTGTGATAGATCTGGGCCCTTTGGGCGTATCGGCAAGTTGGAAAAGAAGCGGTGCCTTATCTCGGAGCTGGAGCGCAGCGGAGGTCTCCTTCACTTCTTCCTCTTCAGACACCCTTATATCTCACGCGATTCCCTTCTAGCCTCCTTCGTTCTACACCTTTCTCCTCCCCTTCATATTCGTGAGCTGCGATATTCGCATTTGACCCTGCCGCGTTACTCCTTTCACCCCGTTTGTCACGGTGTCATCGCGGCATTTTCAGTAGGGCGGTGGTGGCTGGCTCTCAGGGGTATACATGACGCGCTGGCGTTGTGTTGGGGCAGATGACCTGCCACCTATCCTACCCGCCCTCTACTATTAATATTACGCTTCAACCTTTCTTATCCCCTACGACTATCATTCCAACCTTGTGGCCCAGAAAACGACGTCATTGGTTTCGGCCGAGTTATCTTGAGCGCGTTCTACCTCCTTTCTTTACCCAGCCCTCTCCAAACATCTTCTTTGTCTTTCCATCAACATCTCTCTGTTACCGCCTCTTATCGACCCGCCGCTGACCTCCTCGCAGATCTCACAAAAGACTATGCCTTACGCCGAGCCCACCTCCCCCATCCCCTCTCCGGCCAAGGAGACATCCTCCCGCAAGGGCTGGATGTCCCCTCCGACCCACGTCGAAGACATGGACGCCGGACCATCTATAGCCACCGGTCCCATGCCTGGCATTCCTCGTCGAACATCCTCCAACCACTCTTCCTCCTCATCCACCCCTCGCCGTGCCCTCTCCCCCACGGTGTCTCGCCATTCCAGCGCTACACAGCCCTTTGTCGCTTCTCGGCCGATGGAGGGGCTGCCTAGGCGGCTGAGCAGTAGCGGTGGCGGAAGCGGGATGGGCGTCTCGGGTCTTCCCACAGACGGCGGCTCGCTCGGTCTCAAGCTCCACCCCAGTCCCGTCAAGGGTACGGTCCCACCACCTACACCTCGCTCTCAGAAAGACTCGATGAGCTCCGTCTCCACCGTCGATAGCTCTCTACCTCCTACACCATCAGACGAACCCGCCGACCTCCCCTACACCTCTCCCAAAGACCAGTACATCTCCGGCGGCATCCCCTTCCCGCCATACCAGCCCGCGCCTCGGTCCGCCGCGCCCGCTCGGAGCGCCATGTCGCCCGCTCGCCCGACCCTCATCAACTCTCGGCGGTCCTCCCACATGTCTTCACATCGGCGCGACGGCCACTCGGGGTCGCTCCAGATGTTCCCCCAATCCTCTTCTTCCTCTCACCTCCCCGTCCAGTCCACACCGGTCGGGACCTACTCTCCCGCTGTTCGCCCAGCTTCCATGATCCGCAAAAAGTCCGGCGAGGTCGTCAAGCCTTCTCTGAAGCAGCGGTCCATGTCCACCCCAGACCTCACTCGGCAGAAAGAGGAATCATCACCCAACTCGCCCGAGACGGAGGATCGGGACTTTCCCGAGGAACGCTCCAAGTCTGTCCGCTTTGCAGACACCGACGAGGCGGCGGACGGTCGAGCGCTCGAAAACGTCGTCCTCTTCCTCCGTGAACAAAAGGTCACTGCGATCGGCAAGGCGGCGGATCCGGATCGTGCGGGCCAAATCACCGATACGGAAACCGAGGTTGACAATGATACGGATGCGTCCGACTTTGTGCAGTTCCGCACTCGCCGGAATGCCGCTGCGCAGAAGACGGATGATGATCGGCTGGTCATGGAGGGAGGGAGTACGGTGCCGAGGGTCCGCGTGGACTTTGGCGATCCGCGCTCGCTGCAGGGGGAGAATGTGGTGCTGGAGCGGATTGAGCTGGCGACCGATGCGGGACCGCTCCACCTCAAGGGAACGGCGATCGTCAGGAATTTGTCGTTCCAGAAATGGGTCGCTGTACGGTTTACCATGGATCACTGGCAGTAAGTTTGATCCCGCACATCATTCGAACAGTAGCTGATGTGCAGAACCGTCTCTGAAGTCGCCGGTCTGCACGTCACCCACATCCCGTCCGAAACCACCGGTGACGAAGGATGGGACCGCTTCTCCTTTTCCGTCAAGCTCGAGGACTACAAGCGCAAGCTCGACGAGCGCCAACTCGTCATGTGCATCCGGTTCTCGATCGACGGGCAGGAATGGTGGGACAGCAACACGGGGATCAACTACAACTTTACGTTCAAAAAGGCCGCTCCACGTCGTCCGACCCGTCACTCCAATCCCGCCGGATACCCCAAGATGGCAGCGCAAGATGCGTCCCTCGCTAGCCTCCCCGGTCTGCGGCAGAACCGTCACGTCTCCCCCTCGAGCCAAATCAACCGGGCGTTCGGCGTCAGCGACAGCAATCGGCAGACGACCGGACCAAAATCTTGGATCTTCCCCAAGTTCGCCGCCAATATTGACGGTCCCCCGTCACGCCCCGACTCACCCGTCACACCTGCCCCTGCTGCGTCGTTCCGAGCGCCCAAGGTCCCGGACGTACACAACCATCTCTCCCTCTCCAAGCGGTACTGCGCGCCTTCGCCGCCTACCTCCCCTCCCAAGCTATCGGAAGGGGACCAGCTCTCGCCCCCGCTCATGCTCTCCCCGGACGTCGATCTGAGCATGGGCTTCGTCGCTGGTCATCCGGCGACGCTGTATCCTGCTCGCGCTGGCGTAGCGCATGAGCGCCGCAGCAGCTGGAACGGCGAGACGGATACGTGGAAGTCGTTCTCGCAGGCGCTGAGTGAGACGAGCGAGACGGAGACGGATGAGCCGGTCCAGCCTATTGATGGGGAGACGACGCCCATTGCGCTTAGGTCTCGCTCGCCTCAGCGCGGCGGGATGGCTCCTGATCCTCTCGAGCGAGGTAGGGAGCAGGAGAGGGACATGGATAGTGATAGCCGGGACGGGTCGCCCGAATTCCGCGGTCTGCGCACCAAGCGGTCCACCGGCAATCTACGCGATCTCCTCTCGGACGAGACACCCCCTTCGTCCAATGTATCTTCCCCTCCTTCGCCCGCCATTGTCGGTTTGCCCGTCATGGACATGTCACCCCATTCGTCCGTCGCCTCTACCGGCGCATCGAGCCCTATCACCAATTTCAGCAATAGCGATTCGGGTCCTGACCTTTCGGATCTCGTCATCCAGGTGGACCCGGACGAGAGGGGCAGAGTGGGCGACCCTAAGCTGTTGACGAATAATTACGAGGAGTTTGTGAGTTACCTTGAGCTCAGGTACACGGAGTGTAGCTGACGAAACAGTTGAAAAAGTTCTGCTTTTTCCAATCCCCACGCATGACGCCCGTCGAGGGTATCGTCCCGTCTCCTCATCCACGCGCATACGCCCACCCCGGCCAACCAGGACACGGCAGCCCTTCCGGCTTCCCCTTCTTCCACAACTCATCCTCCAACTCGCCGCGCGGCACGCCGACACCTACGGGTCAATACGACTCGGCGTCCGACGCGTTCAACTTCCCCGTCGTTCCCAGTCCGCTTATCCCGCATTCGCAGCTGCAGCTGGGCCAGTCGACGTCGAGTACGGGATCGACGGAGGAGACGGGCTCGACGATGAGCTCGATGAGCACGGCGGGGACGGAGGGCGAAGGTGAGGGGGATGAGATGGGTGGTATTGAAAGAGGTGCGGTGGAGGGTACGAGCGGGAGTACGCCCAAGGCGACGCCGATGTTGGGGAACAGCCCGGGGACGCCCGCTTCCCACCTGGAGGAGCTGCAGGCGGCGTATGGGACCCAGGGGCTACCGTGGGCGAGGTCCAACCCGCCTCAGCTTGCCGGAGGCCACTAGGCGTCCTCCTTCTGTCGTTCATCGCCTTTTCAACACCCATCAGCCCAAAACATCACGACCCCCCTCACAACCCCTATATCCACCGTCACCTGTACCTACCGCTCTCTCCTTTCGATATCTCACCGGTCCCAGCGCAAACGCACGCCACCCTCTCTCGCACACTTCGCAATACCACTTTTCCACATAAACACGAAATCCCACGTCCCTCGGTCTCTGGCCTCACACTCGGACTCGGTCTGTGCATAGATCTCGCACTACCCTGGACCTCGATTTGTACATTATCTCCCCCTCTCCCCTCTCGCATATTAGCGCTTATATAGCTAGGTCTTGTTCATTCTGTTTTGTACGATTAACTTTCTGGGCTTTTTCTCTTCTTCTGCATACGATACGATACGGTACATACATACATTAGCTGTTTCTTTAATTTGGGTCGAATACGTCGTACGTATACGAGGCGGGTTGGGTAGGTAGCGCTGCGGAGCTTGGTCGAGTCGGAGCTAGCTAGCGAGCTATACTATGCAAATCCTGTCCTTGACCATGTTGTCAGTTCTGCATGAGAGACGGTACAGAGGTGGATATTGTACATGCGTGTCTATAGATGTTTCTACCATACTTTGCTGCTCTATTCGGACAGTTCCCTTTGCGATCCACCTCGTGCCCATTAGATAACCCTATCTCAGAGACCTTGTCCGTAGCAATGATAGCTCTCTATACGTAGAGCGCAAGTGTAATTCTGTTCACTGCGAGCCAATCCTGAACTCATCAGCTTGGCACTCGAAACCGGTCTGAAAGGCTACTCTGTACTCACTCCTTCCGTCATATACTTGAGGTCCTACTCTATCAGCTCTCGTCCCCTCTGTCTTCCAGCGCGCCGCCCAGAGATCTCAAAACAAAAGCAAAAGACTCACCGCCAAAAACTCCATCGGCATATCCACCAAATGCCCCCGAATCTTGCCCAATTCCTCCTTAACCTCCCGGAGGCTCATATCTGGATTAGCCACATGGCCCGTCGCAATCCCCGCCGCCGGTTTAAGGTACGCCGCATAGTCCTCCCAGTTCCGAATGGCGTCATTGGGGACGGGACGGAATATCCGCTCAAAGGCCCTCCGGTTGGTTTTACCGGTGGTAAACCACAGATGCTCGAATTCGGGCGAGAGGATATCTTGGACGGCGAGGTCTTCGGGGGAAGACCAGTCGTACGTGTTGAGAAGGGGGACGGGGTGCATGTTGTCGTTGGGCTGGGTTTGGCCGTCGAAGGCGGGTTGGGAGGGGAGGAGGCCGATGTGTTCTGGTAGGGTCAGCTTTTAGGCCTTTTCGTCTTGACGACATGGGATACCGGCGAGCTGACCTCGCATGAGAGTCCTCCGCCATGAAGTCGCCAACCTGCTCGCCATGTACTTCTTCCCATCCATGACAGACTCCACCATATCCGAGTCCTCCATCAGAATCGCAATCTCGGAATCATGGTCTCCGTTCTGAGATCGGTCATTCAGATTAGCACTGCCGCAGATGACTCGGCGGTCGTCTACAATCATGATCTTGGAGTGGATGTAGCAGAGCTGAGGTGTCAGCTATAGGCTCCATACTCGAGTCGGAGAGGTTAGGTCAGCTTACCTCGGATACGATACAGTCCAGCTCTTCCTGCTCCGTCCCGTCCCAATGCTCATCTATCGGCTTCTTGCCCGTCTGAAGCGCGTGCTGGCAGATATTGTCGGATCTGGAGATCAGCGACGTAATCCCCTTCACCGCTCGGTGCACCAGACTCACACTTTCGGATCGACATTGCCCCCACCAGCCTGGAAACGCTTGATCAATTCTTCTGCCTAGATTCCATCAGCTATCGTTCTCTATACCTTTCGCTCTTAATTTGAACGTGGGAAGAGACCCACCTCCTCCAGCGTAGCAGGCAACGGAACAGCCTTCTCCACAGTATCCTTCTTCCCAATCTGATCCGCGCCCGTAGCGGAATCATGCGGCTGTTCAATATTGACGACTTCGTGATCACCACCTCCTTTTACATCGTCCGCGCCGACGTAGACTTTTGCGAGGGCGACTTGGGCTTGATGGAAGGATACGCCGGACTAAGGGGTCAGCTGTGTTGCTCTCGACTCAACCATAGACGGGCAACGAGCTCCGAAAGCTGACCTTCTTCTCCATCTCCTTGATGAGTGTCTTGGGGTTATTGATCCTGTCGTAGCTCCGCAAGTTCCAGAACTGCCATGTCAGCTTGAGCGGCGCAGAACCAGAATCGCCATCGCGTAAACTGACGGTAATGTAGTCGTTCCTGACGGATCAGCTGAATATCCCATGCATGGACGCTGGCGGACCCACGGATTGAAGCCAGCTTTCCGCACCATCTCAAAGATACTCTCCCCACCACGATTGATAGACCTGTACTGAGCCTCCATGATCGCCTTGAGACCAGACTGGCCTCGAATATCTCCAGGCTATACCGTCAGCTTTCGTGAACTCCTGTCTCTCGGCAAGTCGTGACTGCGTGAGCATGCGAGAAAGCTCACGAAGGCACTGAATGGGGTTAGCTGATGGCCTCAACAGTGAGACAAGAGGGCAGCTTACGGGACTGCTGGGATCAAGACGAAGATCTTGAAGTTCCGACCCTGCTGTGCGGCGGAGATGATCCGTTGGGCCAAAGCCAGACCTGTGTCTGTCAGCTTTGAAAGGATTGAGGAACCAGGACCTGATCGACCAGCTCACCAATCATATTCTGAACCGGCTGACCGGGTGAAGTGGTCGTGATGCTATACCCAGTCAGCTCATCTGCGGTACAAGAGCTACCTCCAGACGAAGCTCACACTATGAACGTCAGCTTTGGGTTCATCTGGTTAACGTCGCAGGCCTGCCAACTCACAAAATTGATTCTCAATGTAGATACAATGATTAGCCTCCCGAATCATGCCAATATACGCCTCTACCTCATCAGCTCCTCGTTCACCCATCGTTCACCTAACATCCCATAAACGTCAAGAAGCCAGCTCACGTTGTATACTATCCTCCTTCAAAATCCCATGACTCCAATCCGCTGCACTCCTCAATACCTGCACCCTACACGTCCCGCCCGGAACCTCCTCGCTCGCGCGCGGCTGTTCAGACGGCGGCCAGTGATACGGGTGCGTCAGGGCCCGTCCCTTTTCTTTCCATTCGGCGAGGTGCGGGTGGTTGAGCCGGAACTCATTGTCACGGGCGACCTTGTCGGCGGTGTGTTCGGAACGGACATCTTCCCATGCTATCTTGTCAGCTGGACTCCAGGGCGGACTCAGAGAGTTGGGAAGCTGACGTGAGGGTAGAGCAAGCCATTCCATTCGGTGGTCGTGCTTGTACCTGAATCGTCAGCTGGACATCGCATCAGGTGGGATGGGACAGAGACAGCTGACGCACTTGATCTTTTTGACAAAGTTCCAGCGCTCGCAGAAGTGCTGTACTAGGTCGACGACGCTAGGTCCAACGATGGTGAGCGAAGTATCGTGCCAAGCTGTTATGTCAGCTTCTCAGGTCGAGAGCTATATCTTGCTGTCAGCTCACGCATCCGGGACGTAGTCTGGATAGCCAGCGCATTTGATGTGTACTTCTCGACAGTCTGCATGGTCAGCTGTGCTCTCCGTCGATACGGCACGGGCAGCTGACCTGGAAGTCCATCACCCTGGAGTTGTTATAATCTACTCATCAGCTTGTATTTGCCGCAACGTACTTGCCCGGAAAGCTCACCTTGACCCGGGAACAAGCTCTTGTAGAATTCGGTAGGATGCACATCCGCTAACGGATGGTCCCTCGTGTCCCATCTTCCATAACACGCGTCCAGACCGCCCATCGCCGCTAGCTTGTTGTCGACAATACAGACCTTCTCGTGGTGTGAGAAGTAGTAGACGAGCTCTCCGCCTGAATGGTCTGGGTGGCGCATACAAGCGATGTTGTCGTGCAGGTCTTCGAGGGCGTGCTAGTCTGTCAGCTGGGACCATGCCTCGATTTGGACAATTTAGCGGACCTTGGTGTGGCTTGATGAGAGAGCCATAGAGGCTGTCACCTGCATGATCAGCTGCTGCCGCCGAGAACACGATCATAGGCCTCTGAGCTGACCTCCTTGTACACCATGATGTATATCCGGACACCTTGCTCTGCCTTCTTTTTGAGCAGTCGGTCAAGACGCCATTCCGGGAAGAGCGCAGCGGGTCTGCGCAGCTGAAAATGTAAGCTATAGAACTGGTGAAACGCTTCACACATGTTCCTCAGCTCACCTGCAGCTCGGGTGAGAGCCACCAGTCGAGAATCATGATGCTCTATCCTGTCAGTTCCCTTTGTTTTCGTCGAATGAAGCAGTTGGTCCCACCTCTTCCGCTTGGTCAATGACCTCCGACAAGGCCCAGAAGTAATCTGACATATCAGCTCTCTGCACACTGAATACTGCGCGTGGGTGAACTGACCATGCCCGTCCACATGCCACTTGACGCAATTCCCCTCCCTCTCGCCCGAGAAACTCCTAAACCTGTGTCCATCCCTTATCGCCTCCATCTTGGCATCCACCTCCTTTTCCCATTCCTCATCATGCCGATGATTTGGGTTGATTGTCGTCGATACCGCTACGCCGAGACGTGACAGGCCCGAGGATAGCTTGTCGACCTTGGAGCGGAGGTGGGAGAGGGGGTGGGAGGAGACTTTGGGAGCCTTGGAGTCTGCTTGGGGCATCGACATGGTGGATTTGAGCCTTTTTGGATGGATCTCTAGGCCTTCGAGGAGCCGTTATGTCTGTCTCTTTATGTCGAGAGGACAAGGTACAAGGTGATATAGATACAGTCTATTCATAGCGGAGAGCTGTGGACCGAGTTGGGCCCGAGCCGTTTTGCGGAATGTGGACTGCGAGGCGGACATCGCCGACAGCTATGACGTATTAAGGGGGCTTAGTTACGTAAACAGACCGATTGTTATTGACCGCGACGCGTCGCGCGACAAAAGGAAAACCTAAAGGAAGAGAGCTCTCAACTGCTCTCTACTCAGCTCACCGACAACGAGCTCATACCCATCACCTCTCAGGCTACGCCCAGGTCAATCATCGCTCGCTCATTACTATCTCCTCGACAGGTATCTTGTCCCTCAAGCAAGCTTCGCCCTTCCCTCTAGTTCTCCCAAAATCCCTAACCGACCCCGACGCGTCCACCACATACTTCCCTATGCCGCTCATCAACCCCCCCGGACCCGATCTTGGACCCTCAGCATTGAGCTATGTGGATGCGTACAACTCGATCGTCTCGCGTGTGCGGAGATCAGGCGGGTCTGGGTCGGGTGGCGTGGTGATCTTTTGCGGTGCGGATGTGGTGAGTGACGTGCCTCACATCTTTTCTGCGAGCGCACAGCTGACTCGGGTAGGATGGCCTGATGGCTGCACGTATCCTGGTGGCTCTGTTCAAGCAGGACGACATCTCGTATAGGCTTTTACCTATAGGAAGCTACTCCGAGCTCGAGGTCAAGCGGGACCAAGCTTTCGAGAATGACGAAGTGAGCTATCCGGGCTTGTCACATCTCCGTGACGAGAGAAGCAAAGCTGATCTACTAGATACATACCCTCATCCTCCTCTCCCTCGGCTCTCTCCTTCCTCTCTCGCAATACTTTACACTCCCCCGAAAGTGCCATCTGCATATCATCGACGCGCATCGACCATGGAATTTGTCCAATCTGTACGGCCTGGACCTGGACATGGATGACGAGGATGATGAGGAGACTGGCGGCGGTGGAAGGTTCTGGGTGTGGGGAGATGGGGAGGAAGCGAGTCTGGATAAGGTCAAGAAGAGTTGGGAGGCTTTGGAGGTGAGCTCAGCGGTCCTCGAAAATGTCGAATGAGCTGATCCATCAGTACGAGCCATCAGACAGCGGGTCAGATACGGAGGACGACGAAGAAGAAGAAGAAGAGGAAGACGATGAGGAGGAGGAAGACCCAGAAGGAGACAACAGCGACGCCGAGGGCGACTCCAACGCCCCCGGTCCCAGCCGCAAACGCCCACGTACCAACTCGGCCCGACCCCCCAAAGCCAAAAAGCGCAAACCCATCGACCCCGACGCGCCAGGACGCAGACTCACGCGCGCCGCCCGAGACGCACACCACGACCGTATTCAACGGTACTACGAAGCCGGGACGTCGTGGGGCATGTCGGTCGCCCAGTGTGTCTACCTCCTCGCTACCGTGCTCGAGCGCGCGGACAACGACCTCCTCTGGTTCGCCATCCTCGGTACGACCCACCAGTACATCTCCAACCGGATCGCCATGTCCCAGTATGAGCGGTATCACGAGTTATTCCTCGATGAGGTCGTACGTCTGAACCACGAGGTTACGCCGGTGGGCGTGGGCATTGGACGGACGCCTAATCCCGATGATCGGAGTATACAGCGGAGCGAGGAGATGCGGTTCACACTCTTCAGGCATTGGACGCTGTATGAGGCGATGCTGCATTCGAGCTATGTCGCGGGGAGGTTGGGGATATGGAAGGATAGGGGTAAGAAGAAGCTCCAGGGTTTACTGGCCAAGATGGGGTATGTCCTCTTCCCCCTTCTCCCATCTTCTTCTTCTGGTCCCGAGGCTAATCCCCAGTTTCTCCCTACAACAATGCACCCAAGCCTACCCCCACATGGACACACACCTAAAACGCATCCTGCCCGAAAAGCTAGAAGCCGTCGCCCCAGACTACGGCCTCGTCGACCTGCAATACCCCTCCTTCTCGCGCTCATTCGGATTTGCCCTATCCAGCCTGTCTGCAGCGGACGCCGTCGAGGGTTTCTCGGCCTTACTGGAAGTTGCAAAGGGGCAGCGGATGGAGATTGAGCGTGAAGGGGGACGAAACGGCGGCGAGTGGTTTGGCGGCACGAGAGCGTGGAATATCGGTGGACGGGAAGCAGCGGGGGAGGATAAGGAAAATGTCAACCCGAATGGCGGTGCCGGTGCCGGTGCGGGAGGGGCAGGAGCGGATGGGAGGGGCAAGGAGACGCAAGATGGAGCGAAGAAGGAGCAGAATTGGCAAGTGACCAATTTCTGGATTGCTTGGGATGCGTGCGAAGAGTAAGTTTCCCCTGCTTCTTCTTTTTCCCTTGAAGCACTCGACTGACCCCTAGCGTCGCACTCATGCGCAACTCCCTCCTTCTCGCCAAATCCCTCCACTCGGCCATCATCCGGCAAGGTTCCTCCATCCTCGACAAGTCCTCCATCCGCGCCCTCCGCACATTCCGCTTCTGCGCCCTCAAAGAAGGTCCGGACCTCCGCCTCTTTTCGCATCCCGCGACCCTCTCGCGCTTGGCTCTTTGGTTAATGGACGCGGCGCGGGATAGGTGGGCTGCCAAAGCCGACAAGAATAAGAAGGGGGAGAAGGACTTGCCGTTTGTCGTAGCTGCGCTGGATGAGGAGAGGGGGACGTGGTTAGTTGTGGGTATCACGGGTGGGATGGAGTTTGGGAATGTTAGGAAGAAGTGAGTCAACAGTTGTCAAAGCTGGAGGCGGCGCATACGTCGGACTGAGACAGGGATGACTATGCTGACAAAGTGTAGCAAGTTTGGTCTGGCGTTCCAGCAGGCGGCAGAGGAGAGTGGCGCAGGAGCAAAACACGACATGTTTGAGACGTCGGTCGTAGAGGTGGCGAAGGATGATCTTACGGCGTTTGTCGAGTGCTTGCACTTGCGATCAATATGACCACGGGGGGGAGAGGTTGCTGGTGCGAGCCTAGAGGCGGGATCTTGGGTGTTGGGTTGAGGGATGACAATCTCATATGTAGCGTAGTTAGGCAGTGTATTTGGGTATCGTCTTTGATGGATGCACCTAGTGGTGGGGTCACACTAGCCAAGGCATGACTGAGTACGCGTATGGGTTCGATCCTTTGGACTATGCTGTATGGGCTGTCGGACTGATGTACAAGCACAAGTACATGACGATCGACAACATGATGCTACAACCTAGAAAAGATACATCGGACCCAGACCAGCTGATGTCCGCATCACACCGTCCCGCCCACCGCGTCGCGCCTCCATGCGCCTCCTTATTATCTCGCCCTCTCCGACATGCACCTATCTAGCCTGGATTCTGGCGATCACGTTCGAGGAGCTGCTTGAGCTCGCTGTTGCTCGACAAGAAGCCTCAAGCGCCGGGGCGACCTGTTGAGCGAGACCGGATCACTGGGCGGGGCCGTCCCGTTGGGCTGAGGCGCCTCGTTATCGTGGGGACTGGTCGGACCTGCTCGTCAGCGCTCAGCGCTTACAGCTTATCCTTTGGACGCAAAGTTTCTGCTCACCTCGTGCAAAGGACCTTATAGGCGGGCTCGTGCCGGAGGAGTGATAGTTATAGAGAAGAACAGGTGCTAGACATGTCCTATCGTCGAATGTTTCCTCGTCGATAGTCTCGACCGGTTGGCTACGGCCACAGAACCAGGCGATGCTGAGACGTTAGCGCGAAGCTCGTGTGGGAACAGAGTATACGCCTAAGAAGGACTCACGAAAGAGTAAAGGAGGATAGCGGAAGCAAGACGTTGGTGGCGATGACGACCGTCCAGTCGAGCGGGGTGTAATTGCCCGAGGGAGAGGGAGGCAGTAGCGCATAAGTCAAAGCGACTCTGTCGATATATATCAGATGAGGTCCGGTGAGGTGGTGAAGGACGTACTGGGCAACCTAGGGTGGTCAGCTACCATCCACAGTGAGGTGGCGAATCCGATAAAAGACAGACTTACATCAAGAAAAGCGATGCAGAAGAACAGAACCGCGAAGAGTTTTGCGCGAGCTACAAAGTCTCTCTGAATGGGGCCCTTGGCTGCGTACAGGATCAAGGCCATGATCAAGACAAGAAAGAGGGTGACTGTAACAATGAGCTCATGTCTCTGACATATTGCCCATGCAGTTGGACGTTCAACGTGCACTTACGGAGGACGATACACGTCTGCACCAGCTGGAGACTAGGCCAGCTCGCCCTGAGCGGCGCGGTAGACTCAGAACCTGCTGGAGCGGCTACCTTGTTCCTGTTGATCGGGTAGAAGAGGTAGACCACGGTGGCGATGGTCGTGAGAATCTGGATGAGTGAGCTGTGAATAGCAGGCCGATGGCCCAGGAGCAGCTAGTGACAAAGCAGACCCAGCAAGACAAAAGGACTTACCGGCGCCGTGACCTTCAGAATCTTGTGATGAAATCCCCGCTCCGGCAGTGGATCGTAGAAGAGCTTGTTGTCGACGAGTGGCATTGTGTGCTAGGGTAAGAGCCGTAGAGACGTTGTGGTCGCAGACCTGTAAGATTGATGGCTGAATAATGAGTGGTGGCAAGGATCCGTAAGTGGGTCGACCTCGGCGCGATTGGGGATGGGTGATGGGGATCGCCACCCCTTGGGCTGATTGAGGGCCTACATTATATGCTCAGTGGCCCAGGACGACGGTTTGCACCTCGACATCGTTGCTCCGCGCATCCAGAGCCCCATTCACGCGTCACGTTCCAGGGATCGTCGGTGATGTCATCGAAACGCGTCGGCGCGTCGTTCAGATGCTGGCAACAGCTCTTAAGTTGAGCGAGACCCTGATGCGCGAAACGCAAACGAGTCGCGACTCGTGAGTAGACCGTCAGGACTGTGCTGTGCTGTGAGAGACGTTGGCGGGAGCTGGAGGGATTTTGGCAAATTGACAATTCACATGCCCCGGAAATTGAAATCACATTCCTCCGCTCGGCCGAAGCCATCCGAAACATCGACGATCAGTTGATCGATGTCGGAAGGCTCGCCGCTTTACCGGGACTGGTCAATAGGGCAATTGCCAAAGTCGCTGCATGAGTCCGACAAGAAGATGTCTAGTCCATTGATCACTGATGACCTCAACACAAGGATCAAGCGTCCTCCTCCGACTCCTTGATCTCCTCGAGTGCCGAGTCGAGGTGCTCGATCTCCTCTGCCGGCGATGCGTCTGATGGGAGCGCATCATTTCGAACGATCATGCATCTACATCAGCAAGCATCTCTTGAATCAGCGCAGATACCGATAGTCAGCCAGACAGCCAGCGAGTCAGCCAAAAGTCAAAAGAGCTGCATGCGTCCAACAAGATGTCAAGTCCATGACCTCCTTTTTTGGCTCGAACACAATGGATTGACTGAACAGGATCAAGCTTCCTCCCCCGACTCCTTGATCTCCTCGAGCGCCGAGTCGACGTGCTTGATCTCGTCTGTAGGCGCAGCATCTGATGGAAGCTATCTCATCAGCTTTTCCCTCTCCAAATCCTTGAAGGGCAGACTTAGGGCTTACAACATGGTCGCCCGCACCTGCTTGCGGCAGCTTCAAGTTGGGGTCGACAACACTAGCGCTCCCAGCCACGGCTATGTCGTCAGCTCAGTCTCGCAGCCCGGCCAGGAGTACAGCAAGATATAAACTCACTGTGGGCGGGCTCCTTTGCGCCGCCAGCCTCCTCCTTCGGGACCGGCGCGTCCTCCACCGCATCCGCCTTGGCCTCGGCATCCTCAGTAGCGGGCTCATTGTCCTCCTCTTCAGCGTCGGCATCACCAGTAACGAGCTGGTTCTTCTTTTGCATCTTGGCGACGAGCTGCTCGACGCGGTCCATCTCGGTCTGAGACGTCAGCTCAGTCCGTCAAGATATACAGATGATGATATTAGGCCAGCATCAGAAGCTCACCTTGGTCTTGGTAGACGAATTGGCCTCGTACCACGCCCGCTTGGTCTCGAGATCATCAATCGTCCTCTGGACATCCGACTTTCCAGTCGGGGGCGGGATACCCAGCGCCAACAAGGCCGACAACAGGCTCATCGGGAGGTTGACAGCCCCGCTTCCGCCGGGCGTGGCCGCACCGCCCTCCGTGGGCGTCGCCGTCCCACTCGCCGCCGCGCCCTTGCCTCCAGCAGCCTGCTTTCCCTTCCCCTTCCCCTTTTTGCCCATACCCCCAAAGAAGCCGCCCATCTCCTCATCGTCCTTCTTCTTGAGCGTCATCCCCTTGAAATCATCCTCAACCTTCCTCCGCTCGAGCTCCTTGACACCTTCCACCTGGACAGGCGCCTTGGCAGCGTTCGTAGACGGTACCTCCCCGTTCCCGTATTTACCCTGGAACCATCCCGTGAGGATCTTGCAGTCCTCAATCTCGGCCCCAAAGGCCGGCTGCTTGGCTTCTTCGCGCAAGCGCACAATCTCTTCTTCCCGGCGCTCAGCGTCCTCCTTGGCCTTGTCGGCCTTGAAGCGGTCCTGGCGGGCTTGACGGTCCGCTTGGACTTTGGCATAGTACGTGTCGTTCTCTTCGCGGTATTTCGAGGCCGATTCGCGCTTCTTGCCGAATACCTCGTCCTACTTATTAGCCCTTTCCCCTCTGCGTATTCCCCACCTCAGCGCAACAGAGACGACTTACAAGCTGAGCACTCAACGCATTCCGCTCATCAAACAACTTGTTCCTCTCTTCATACGCCTTGTTCCCCTCATCCCGCAACCCATCCATCTCTTTCTTGAGCACGTCGAACCGGTCGCTCACTTTCCGCGCCTCGGGATCGTCCAGCTTGGCCCGCACCTCATCGATCTTGGCCTTGTCGGCCGCGATGGCGTCGTCGACAGATCCGGTCGATTCGAGCTGTTTGCGCATACGCTTGAGGTTGGACACTTCCTGAAGGGCCTTCTTTTCGTCTACGAGCTTCATGGTGCCGCTTTCGATTTGCTTGTTGAGCGAGCTAAAGCGATTAGCACTGACCCTTCCCCCTCCTTCCATCTCCCCTACCCCCTATTTGCTCCGCCAAAGTGAAGAAGACTCACTCCAGACGGTCATCCACCTCATCCACATTCTTGAAAGCCACCTTCCCCCGACTCGCCTGCGCCTCCTTAATCTTGCGCTGCAACCCCTCTTGCAGCCGCTTGACCTCATCGAGCAGCTTTCCTCGGTCGCCCTTGTACTTGCTCTGCTCGGTCCGGAGCGCGTCCATCTCGGCTTTGAGCTGAGACCGGCGGTCGTCACCTTTGGGAGCTTGGCCGAGGTTGATCCGTGCTCGGATAGCGTCCTGCCCATGGTATTAGCAAGTCGCTCCGCTGTGCCTCGGCGATGCAGATGGTGGGGGTGGACATACGAGCTTAGTCTTGATCTCGGCAATCTCCTTGGTATACCCCTTCTGCTCCGAATCATATGCAGCCTTATCGGGCTTCGAGAGGGTCGTGCGTTTCTCCCCTGCCTCGCCAGCTGCTGCTGGGGCGGCAGCTCCAGTCTTGGCGGGAGCGGCAGCAGCAGCAGCGTCGGGCTTGCTGCTGCCGTTCGCCTTGGCCGCTGATGGCTTGAGAGAGGATGTTGGGGGTGGCATGATGGGTGGGTGGAGCTGAAAGAGATGGATAGATGGACTTTATAGGCCTGGGGCCTGGGCGTGGAATGTTGTAGCTCGCTGCAGCGGCTCGTAAAGGAGGCTTCGTAATTGGACCTCCCACTTACGCTCGGGCCTGGAAGTGGCGCCAGCGGGTGGCGACCTACCTGCCTGTTGCCAGTCTAGCGTGCTAGTCTGGACAGCTTTCCTACCCTCAAGCAGGCTACCTGCCTCTGCTTACACGAGTGCCTACGTCCATCTGATACTATCTTAAGAGAGGAAAGTATCACCGGCGTCAGGGCTCGGAATTCCTGAGGCTGACGCAGGTGTCCTCTTTGCACGAGCGACTTCAAGCATTCCAGCGTATCTGGCACAGGTCATGATCATTGGGCGCTGGAAGCAGTGCATTCAGTCTGCGGCATCCTCAAATCGGATGACTTTCAGCCCTGTCACATAGGTCAAAACAGGACGAACAGGGCGATTTGGCTCCTACGTCGCGCTTGAGATAAAGCAAGGACGTACGAGCCCTCTTGTCGCCATGAGCGCATTCAACTGGGTGGTGATCTCTTTCACGCTCTGTACAGCGACCACCTCATGCTCCTCCCAGTCCTCATGACTCCCTTCAACGGTAGCAAGCACTCCATGCCTAGCTCCTCCGCCCTTGACGAACGCGACCATATCAGCACCCGACATCTTGCCAAGCCATATGGAGCCGTTCGTCGGCGTTCTCTTCTTTGTCTGCCCGATCGCGTCGATGAGCATCGTCCTGACATGATTAGTGGCGGCGCTGGTCAGGTATGTCATATCTGGGCTGGACGAGGGTACCAGACCCGCCGAGACGGAGGGGCCGAATGTGAAGACGCCATAGACGCTACAGGTTCTCCCATCGCTGGAGGGGAGCAAGACGACGTCAAAGGTGTGTCGGGTCGACATCGTGATCGTGGGGTCACGGCTCAGATGAGATAGCGATCACGATAATTGTATTGAGCGACAGAGCTCACCCGGCGGAGCGTATATGGGCTGTTCTGTCAAGCACGCTATAGCTATCCCAGAACGAAAATACCAGTGACGCAATTGCGATATCCTTTGTCTCGTCGAAGGCGATAAGGTGAGCACGTGTGAGCACGACATAGCCACGCACGCGACCATTAACGAGCGCACATCTCCTTTGATGGAAACTGTCAGCGATTCTGACCACATACCAGCCTTTCATCATGCTAGTCACCTGGCTAAGTTTCGAAGGTCATCGCCGTCTCCTTGATAAGCACCTTGGCTTGCCGCATTCCCGGCCAAGAGATCTGCACATCGCTCAGCGCAGATGTCGAGTCCAAGGGGACTACATCGTCAGCTCGGACCCATCTGATCGTCGCCTAGACTCACCGTTGTCCGCCCTGGCAAACTCTATCCGCTTGAATGGCTCCCCAGCCTTCACCGCGCCCTGCCTCGGCGGTCCACCAACATTGAAGAACCCGCTCAAGCTACTCCCAATCTTCCAGACCGTCAATCCGCCTTCTTCCAGACTGACGGTGATGAGCCGCCTTCCATCCGGACTGAAGTTGACGGCGGAGACGGGATGTTTGTGCGGTTCGAGGATGTAGAGTCGGGAAGCGGTCTTGAGGTCATACATGATCAGTGCGCCTTCGTGCGTACCGACCGCCAGCTTCTGGGTGGAGCTGTGGAAGTCGACGGTAGAGAAGCTGTATTGTCAGCTCATCTCGCAAGGCATGCAGGAAAGAAAACTCACGCCAAAACGAGCTCATTCAGAATGACCGTCGCAGTCTGCTGCACATCCTCCCTCATCTTCCCCACATTTGGGTCCAGGCTCTTCACTACCGCCTCCACCACTTTCGGCAAGCTGTTCTCGAGCACCTGTGGCCGCTTCCGCGCCATGTACACGCACAGCTTCATGATGCTCTTTCGCCCCTCGACCGACTTAGCGTCCAGGATATCCATCGATAAGGTGCTCATGAAGAGAGCGGGATTGCTCGACGCAACGTGCAGGACCGCCAGTCGAGCTTGAGCGGATATCTGGCTGCCTTGTGAGGTCGAGGTACTGGGATTGGAGGTGGAGAGGAGGAAGAGACGGCGGAGCATCTCGGCGGGATCGACAAAGGCTTGCCAGGTCGTGAAACCTTTCGAAGCGAGTTCGATGGCGAGAGAGAGGTGAGAGGGGATAGTGGAATTAAGGTAGATGGTGATGCTCTCGGCGATGGCTTTGAGTGCACTAGGCAGATCAGCTTCGACCCGTCAAGGCACAGAAGAGAGTGCAGTCTAGGTAGGAAAAGGCTTACGCGGGAGTCATGGACTGATACTTGTGCAGTGCCATACCGCCCAGCATCGTCAAAGCCAGGTCCGCAGCCTTGAGATGCTGATCCGCAGAAGGCAAGAAGCTCGGCACTATGTTGTCAGCTCGTGATGGGTCGACCATCGCGCACATACAAATAGTGACTCACATTCAGGTAGGTGCGCATCCACCACAGCCTCAAAGTCCGCTTCGGCCATCCCATCCATTTGCGAGCCGAAGAGCATACGCGCGGCCTGATGAATATCGGCTGCTTCTTCAGCTTTATCGCACAAACGGGGCCAGCAAATGAAGAGCATACCGATATAATCGAGGTAGAACGCAGCGAAGAAGGGCAGACCAGCCGGGATCGATCCCTCCGGCAGGGACGCGGTAAAGTAAGCAATTAGCTGGGCCGCCGACCGCTCATGATCTAGACGTCAGCACAGCCTTGCGACCAGCTGATGATAGACATACCGAGAGAGTCAAGGAACGGACGCAATAGCGTGACGATAGCAAGCTGGAGCTTCCCAGTTGATTCTGCCGAGATTCGCCACACCTCCGCCTTGTCTGCGTCCGGGATCGAGTACGATCCTGTCGGGCTTTCCAATCAGCACAGTATGGCGATGTAGACACGTGACTGACCTAGTGATACCAAACGCTACACGATCCGAGGGCGGGTTGATACCCAGTCCCTCTTGACATATCCGGTCCATCTCCGCATCAACACCGAAAGGTATGAGAATCGAGAGTATCGTGCGGAGCGTTGCGAGCGGACTAGTGGACATCGTATTCCGGGAAGATTGCAGTGTGGTACAGAGCGCTCGGACATCGACCTCGAGTAGCCGTCCTGCTTCGTCAGCTTTACTCGCTGTGTACATGGCGATGACAGCCCACCTAGATCAGACTCGACAGGCAGAGTGGTCTTCGCCGCAGAGAGGCCATCCCGAGCGGTACTGAGAGCGTCCAAGTCGCTGAGGTATCAGCATCATTGTACAGCTGCAAAATTGGCCTGTACTCACACCATCGCCCACTCGCCAGAGTTCAGCATGTCCTCGGCGGCGTCCAAACCAGTCGACCGCCGGAACTCTTGCGTCTCATAGTTCCACACCCGAGCTTTGCCATTCGCGTACGCCAGCATGACATCCTTCCCGCCAATGTAGACCCGGCGAAGCGGTACTCGAGAAGCTGGAATGAGGAAAAGCCTTCTTTGTCAGCTCCAACATACCTACTCGAGACTAGCGTCAGTGGAACTTACTGCTCCATCTCCGCTAGGGATATCAGGCCGACTGTGCCCGCCTGCGAGGTACACATTACGCAGCCGCCCAAGCTCCCATACTTAGGATCGGCCAGGAGCGTGATGGTATGTACAGGGAAAGCGAACAGCGTCCAGCTTCCTTGCAGCTCGAAAGTCCTGCTGGATCAGCTCATTGCCGTGACCCACGAGCGCAGACTAGCTCACTCTGCGTCCCATATTCGGATCGCGCCATCCTCATCACCCGCGACAAGGTAAGGCGGGTCACTTTGGATTAGCTTCAGGCACGTGATGCGCGAGTCAAGGCGATCGGCCGAGAGCGAGTCGGTACCGGCCGTAGATTTGCCGTCGAGAACGTGCAATAAACGTCGCTTCGTGACATTGCCAGCAGCTGATGCATTAGATAAGGCCATTTGAGGAGCGAGCGCGCTCACGATCAGCGACGAAGCAGGAATCCAGATTGTGCGGCGTGATGGCTGAGATCGCTGATGTCGATGGCTGTTGGAAGCTGTGGACCCTCTGCTTGTCGACTGAGCCGTCTCGGCCCAAGATGAGCAGATCCGCACCCTCGGCGTCGGCGCAGAGCAGGGCTCCTGAGCCAGCAGAGCACACGATCCTTTTGCTGTCCAGTTGATGAGCCTGTTCCCAGCTAGGCCGTCAGCTTCGTGCGGCAATGTCTGCCAAAGCCCGCTTACTTGGAAGATTGGGGAGAGCTATCACGCTCGGAACACCGGTATAGTAATGTGGTAGTCTAGACTATCAGCATCTATCCCCTGTTTGACATCGAGGTGGTACCGACCTCGTTACGGAGCATGAGAACGTCCTCCGCAAGAAGCGCAGCTTGTACAATTGGGCCAGTCTTGGGGTTGTCGATATGTTGGTCGATCCGGATAGTTTGACCATCATAGAGAAATGTCTAGGCGAGTCAGCTCATTCTTGCCCATGCAAGGCGCTCGCAAAACTTTAACTTGCATCAATGCCGCTTGCCCCCAAGCCCACTCCAAGACCGCTGGTAAGGACGTCCACCTTGCTCCAGCCAGACCCGCCAGCAACTTCAAGCTCTCTCCCTTCTCCGATACCCCACCCGACAGCGAGATCCGGCGTACTCAGTTTCTCCTCCTTTCCGACCCGTCTCTGCGCCAAGAACTTTGCCAGCGACCGCTCTTCCGTCTTCGATTCTGTGGGATGGACCGAAGGCTGATCGGCAGCGTCCCGAAGCTGGACAGTCGATTTGACCTTGCGTAGCTGTTGTGCATCTCCAGGAGGAAGGAGTGATCCCGGTGCAGGTGTTGACGGTCGACTGGAAGTGCCGGGGGTGGCAGCTGAGACGGAGCGAGGTTGGGGGTTCCGCAGCTGGGCAGATGAAGTCAAAGGCGCGGAAGCAAGAGCTGCGGGCGAGGTGATGGGATAAGAGGTGATCGCGGTAGGTGTTGAGCGAAGGATGAAGGAGCCTGGACTTATCAGCTCGGACGTGTCTCATCTTGAGGTGGGGCTTACCGGCAGCATTACTGGTCGCTCCGATATCGCCCAGCCCAGGCAGGTCCAGGCGAGACACTACCTCCAGTATACCTGTCCTACTAGGACGAAGCGTGACGACATGGGTGACCTCCCCATTCGGACTCGGCAGACCGCACGGCCACGGCAGTCCATGGATCAGAATGAGTGACTCCTGATCTACGTCAGCTACGCCCCGCGCCATGAGTCGACCAGCTCACATTGTCGTGCTGCAGGATATTGATGCCCTGCCAGTGCCAGAAAGGCGGCAAGCGAAACTTCTGCTTTGTTGAAACTTCTGGCGCTTCGACATCGATCGCGTCGGTCACTTCGAGGGTTACGAGTGAGATGACATCTAGCAGTCTGATTATCGATCAGCTGCCTGATCGACTTGAGAAATCAAAGGCACGTACCCAATATCCCTCAGTACCAGTAGTACGCCCAGATCCTCGTCCACTTTGAGCTGTACCACCTTCCCTCGGGCGGTTTCCCGCAGTACGATGCGCGTCACTCTTCCGGTCCGCCTCGTCCCATCCTCAGGACCGCTAGACAGTCTCGGTGTTCGCAGAGGAGTCCTCCTCGCCTCTTGTATGATCTTCTCGTCCTCAGCCTCCCGCTTGTCCTCCTCCACCTCCCGAATCATCTCCCGCTCAACCTCGACTTCAGCCACCCTTTCCATCAACTCGTTCCGGTCCTTCTCTTCCGTATTCTCGTCGGCGCCCATCCACCCCATCAACCTTGTCGAAATTGTCCGTCCCGACTCGGCCGACTTCGCAGATTTCGGCGAAACCGCCCCCGAGTGCTCTGCGATATCCTCCTTGCTGTGTACCCCTGGTAGACCTCTTCGTCCCAATCCAGCTATTCCCAGACCCAGCCGCCCATCATCTTGCGTCACACCTGATGCCTTTTGCTCGCGAAGATGACCCAGCAGATCCGTCCGGTCCGAAAGGGACGTCCGGTGATCATGGCCGGCGTGAGGGTCCGCGAGAGCGGTGGTGGTCGAGACGGAAGCGATTGGGCTTGCGATGGGAGGAGGTGAGAGGGCCGAGGAACGTCGACGTGACGAAGACGAGAGAATAGATGAAGCCGATGAAGTAGCTCGGTGGCGGCCCGCAAAGGATGACGAGCGCGGTACGACCGGACGGGAGAGTCGACTCGCGGTGGGTGTCCGACTGCCTCCGGAAGGAGCCCTCGTCGGCGGGATGACGATTTGCGGAACAGAATCTGTGCCAATATCTGGCGATACAGGGCCACCTGACGCAGCCGCCCCAGATAGCGAGGTGATCCAGATGGTGTTGTCGGCACAAGCGAAGGCTACTCGGCGAGACGATCCGGCGGTCGAGGTAGACGGCTCGCGAGAGTGCCAGGAAGCGGTATGGGTGGGCTGAATTGAAAGCGAGCCATCCTCGGTCTCTGCCGCCCCGTAAAGTACAGGTATCGAAAGTCTCATTGGGAAAAGACAGCTAGAGTAATGAGGCCTGAGGCAAAGCACTTAGCAGCCAGGTCAGCAGCTCAGCTTGCGCCGGCGCTGATGACCAGCTGCTATTGCACGCACGTGGCCAAAGATCCGTGCGTCTGAAACAGCCTGAAACCTCGAGCGGAACGCGAAGGAGCACAGAGGGCGACATGTTCTGCCGGGTGCAGCCTGTGTCCGGCATGCAGGACACGCTGCATAACGCTCTTAAACATCAGTGTCCGGCATGCAGGACACGCTGCATAACGCTCTTCAACATCAGCCTCCGCGTCAAGATAATATAGCAATGCGCTAAGACCTTCGTTCATTGTATCCCCAGTTGTTACTTGCATCGCCTTCACAAACAGCCGACGACACCGGTTAAGACCGACGATGCCAGAGCTCTGGGATTCCAAGGACGAGTAACGTTGTAGGCCCAGATCTCACCGTCGTCATAGCAAACGAGACCATACTCCCCATCGGCAGTGTATTAGATCGAGGTCCTCCTTTCTTGATCCTGGGCTGCCTTGGCCACCGAATCGAGCGACGGCTCCGCACTAGTGGCGGTCGCGAAGATCCTCCGCTCGGGCTCGGTTGTGTGAGGCTGGAGACAAGACCACCTTCCGCATTGAGCTGTGGACCCGTCATCAGCCAGTATGACTGGAGCCGTGAAGATCAGGAAAGCCATTGACTGCTTGACAGGATCTGATACGGTGTTCCAGTTCCAGATGCGAAGTAGCCTTCTGCCGGCATCCTGGACGGGGCCTCCGGAGCGCTCGCACCACGAGAAATCGCTGGTCAAGCCCACGTAGACATCGAGACCGGTCTCCGCGTCGTGCTTGAGAGTGAGGTGACCGAGGCTGGTCAAAGGCCCTGACTCACTTGCAGACTCATGCTCGTCGGGGATTTGTGCGGGAGGGGGCATCACGACTGTCTGTAAGATGGGAAAGTGTCGATCTGTGTTGTTGCTGGGGGTTGAGCTGATGAAACGAAGGTTTCAGAGTGGACAAGGGCGAAGTACGGAGGATGGGAGAGTGCTGAAGCCACCATAGTGGCGAGACCCCAAAAATATGCGCTCGTAGGCGTGCTCGATGTTAGCAAAAGCAACCCGTGAAAGAAGACCGAGCGCTGTCGTGTTTCACTTCATAGCATCCTTTCTGCCTCAAGGGATCGGGTGAGCTCGGCGTGCAGGACGAGGGGCAATGTGGTGAGAACATACAGAGGATGGCCACAGCAGTAAGCAACATCCCCGAGATGGCTGACTCTTGGGGCCTCAGTAGCGGGAGGTTGTCAATAGACTTCACGAGGTGACGGCGTCATTAACATGTGCGGTCGATACACCCGCTCCGGCGAACATCAATCTCGGAGAATCAGCTGAAGGTGGCCGAGTTCGGCTGAGGGTATGCGCGGCGTGAGGCGCGCCGAGGGTGTGCTCGCGGTCGAGCGAAGAGGGCTGCCGATCCCGAGTTGTACTGCGCAAGACAGTGCTTGCATACAGAGCATCGGTCCGTGCATACACCTATTGGTGCTTGGCTTCCAGCGCTGCGGCCTGTTCCTCTGCTGTGAACATCCGTGGCTGGGGATCAGCTGACTCCTCTTCAGCGGGACGGAGCTAGTGCTCAGACCGCTATGTGGATAATTCACTGGTATGCCGGGAGAATGGAGGTACTTACCACTTCGTGCCGTCAGGGAACATTGGCGCTGATATTATGAGCTCAGTCCTCTATTTGACGACGGGCGGTCAGATATGGCAGGGTCCGAGTTTAGCTCAAGACCGGTCGTGCTAGTCTGTACTGCCAGTCTATCTACTCGAGCCCGGTAACGTGCATCCGCTATGCTTGTTGCACCTATGTAGCTGTGAACGTGCGGTCCGTTCAGCGGCACATGCGAAAACACAGAAACTCATACCACGCCATGTGGATGTATCTGGGAGGATGACTCGCCGCCATTTGGGACCCATCCCATCCCCTCCAGCCAGAGCCCCATCCCATAGCCTTGGGCCATCAGCTTGCTGGCAGCCCGGGACGCAATCGGTGACATGCTCTGCGGTCGAGCAGCATTGTATACGTTGAGCGACCCATCGGGTTCGCAGACAAAGCACGGTGCTGACCCGGCATCGAAAGATGAGGTGCCATGGCTCTCCGAGTAGCCGACACCTCTCGTATCCAGCCCTTCGGTCACTGGCCGGATGCGTATCTGGGAGCCTTGTTCGAACAGAGTCGCCCATTCGCCGCCGTGCAACATGGAGCCGTCAGACGCCAGGAAAGGAGCTCGAGTGACTCTGACCCATCCTGGACGCTGGCCAGAGATCAGCCCTTCACTCCAGATCAGGAGTCGGGTCGCCCCTAGGTCTCCCTCCTCTGTGGCCCCTTCGCCAGTGCGACACCATGCGAAATCGTCGGTCGTCCCAACGTACCGGCCACTTTTCTCGTCAGCCTTCAATATTCCCCGGATGAAGTGTGGTATCGACGTTCGGTCAGTCCAGGCGCTGGCAGCGGCCATGGGGTTCGTAGACATTATAGGTCGAGTGAGCGCTGATCGTGGATGACCTCAATGCGGAAGAACAGGGATCCTTGTGAGTGCTGGGGTGTGAGCGAGTATGAAGTACGAAAGAGCGAGTAGGCAGAGCAGCAAATCAGCAATTGACCTCGCACCGCTTCTATCGGCTGGGCGCACTCGAAGGGGAGCGCGTATGAAAGGAAGGCAGGGGTCAGCGCGGCGATTGGCCGTGAATATCCTTTGATCGTGACACCTGGTCTTGCAGTCAAGGTTCGAACGACACCGTGAGGACAATATTAGTAAACTCTTGATAGAATGCTTTGGGCGCGCAAGTGCGAACGCCCAGGGTGAGTGAGGCATGGAGTAATCGGAGGCCGACCCGTCAGGTTAACCTGCGAGCATCTGACACCTGGCAACGTCCGCGAGATCCGCGCGAAAGCTCGGCACTGCGCCCGGTAGCGACGTAGCGCAAGATAGTGCTTGCATACAAATCATCGGTCCGAGCATACACCTAGTGGTGCTTAGCTTCCAGCGCGGCGGCCTTTTCCTCTGCCGAGAACATGCGTGGCTGGGAATCAGCTGACTCCTCTCCAGCTGGACGAAGCTGCTCAAGCAGCTATGTAAGTGACTCACTGGTATGTTGCGTTCCCTTGACGGTGTCAGCTCAGGCGCTTACTGTGTTGTGTACACGAGTTGTACGGAGGGGTATTGGGGCGTGGGGAACGGGGAATGCGCAGGAAGGGGTACTTACCATTTTGTGCCGTCAGGGAACATTGGCGCTGATGTTATGAGCCCACTCCTCTACGCGACGTGAAGGTAAGATGTGGCATGGCTCAAATTTAGCTCACATCTGTATGGATCGGGGTGAAGATCTTTTGCCAGACGCTCCTCGGCTTGTTCGAGCACCAGTGCGAGAGCACGGGGGTCGCTGATATTTCTGTACATAATCAGCTATATTCCCAAGTGCATACAGCGCCCTCTCGCATGTACAGCCTGCACCAAGCGACATGCCAAGTCGAGCTTCGGTGCCAGCTGTCTCAGTATTCCTCCAGTCCCGCTCCACCTCGCCCAGCCCAACCTCGCCGTCCACTTCCGCCTTATCCGACATCTCTCCTTCCCTTCGCTTTGACGCCTGCCCTTAATGGTCCTCGGACCTGCCCCTTCGTTCCGTCCGCCTTCAAGCTCGAGATAGACACAGTTCACCGGTCATACCCCTCCTCCCCAACGTCCAATCTCGCCCAACTCACCTGTTCCGCTCGAATTCCGCCCTAATCTCAATCGCCTTGTCCCGCCAGAGATCCCGTCTGATATACCAGTTGAGCGAGTTGACGAGATACCGCTTATACAGCGACTTGACGTATAGTCTGTATGCCAGCGCATCCGGTAGGCAGGAGAGACGTGTATTCGAGATGGTATGAGTTGGAAGTTGGGGGAGTGGAGGGGTCGGGAAAGGGCCTAGGTCAGCTTCTGATCTAGCTCTTCTCGAGCGGAGAAAACGAGCGGGCTGGTCAGACATACCGGTGCGCTACGGTGTATGCGGGTACGCCTGCTGGTGTTGACATTTTGGGAGTAGTTGGTATAGGAAGACACAGAGCATGACTTGGAGTTGGAGGTCAGAGAGGGAGGCGCGGAAGCAAATGACCATGTGGCGGAGGAGTGTGGCAGGTGGCGAGGGGGGTGTGCTGCGTCCCTCAACGAGCATCACTATTGCGCCTGTCTTGAGGTGCGGGATGGGTAAGGTAGTAGAGCGGGTCATGCAAGAGCTGAGAAGTCTGCTTTCTGCATGTAGAGGTCCATACCTCCTCACATGGGGCCGGGCAGGTCAGGAGCTGCGGGGATTATGATGTGAGACTTCAAGCTACTGAGGTTGCATGCACATATGTCGAGTTCTCTATAAACTGACAGCTGTCCTGAGATACGCCTGGTACCGATAGGCAATCAGATATGTACAAAGCCAATTACAGAGAGTTCATTGCACGACTGCCTGTAAGATCGAGGAGTGATACCGACCAGCCACTCTCCGCCCAACTAATTCCACGTCACGCGTCTCGCCGCGCCGTTTCAAACCTGCACGTGACCTTTTCCGTCCCAATCACTTCGCATAACGCCGCGATGCATGCCGTACACCATTGTTTACGCCGACGCGCCTGCCCTTCCCTGTCCCCTACGGCCTATATAACCCTGGCCCCCCTGCCTTCCTCCCATCTCTCATTCAACACATCTTCCACTCTCACCTTCACTCCTTCCCTCCACCACACCACCCAACAACCCAACTCATACACAATGGCGCGCACCAAGCAGACCGCTCGTAAATCCACCGGTGGAAAGGCCCCCAGGAAGCAGCGTATGTCTCTCTTCTTTTCTTGAGCTGTGATGGGACGTGGCTGATCGATAGTCGCGACCAAGGCCGCCCGCAAGCAGCCGACCACTGGTGGTGTCAAGAAGCCCCACAGGTACAGGCCCGGTACCGTCGCCCTCCGTGAGATCAGGCGATACCGTGAGTTGCCCATTCCTTCATACTTCGTATGGGTATAGCTGACATCGCGCAGAGAAGTCGACTGAGCTCCTCATCCGCAAGCTCCCCTTCCAGCGTCTCGTCCGTGAGATTGCCCAGGACTTCAAGACCGACCTTCGATTCCAGTCTTCAGCCGTCATGGCTCTCCAGGAGGCTTCCGAGGCTTACCTTGTCTCTCTCGTGAGTCTCCTCTTCCTTGTCTCCCTTCTCACGCTCTCTCACTCCCTTCTCTCGTCTGCTTCTCTCTCTCTCTGGGACCAAGCTAAAGCCTCAGTTCGAGGACACCAACCTTGCCGCCATCCACGCCAAGCGTGTCACCATCCAGCCCAAGGACCTCCAGCTCGCCCGTCGTCTCCGTGGCGAGCGGTCGTAAGCTGCTCCTTCCCGGCCAAGCTAGGATCTTCACCCCACATCTCTCGGATATCTACCCCACATCTCTCGTCTTGTAGCTTTGTGGTTTCCAACCCCTTTTTGTATCCTTTGATTTAGCTCTTCTATAGTTGTTTGATGGTCTGCGCGGGTTGAGCCGTATGCACATGGTTCCTTGCTGCTTTGTCGTGCTTTTGCCTTCTGGCTCCTTCTCGCTCTTTGACTCATGTGATGTTCATGTGCGTGGTACCTCTTGCGGTTCTGGGCCTGATCAGTCCGCTCCCATCGAGTAGTTTCGATTCTCCAGCCGTTCCCTCGGTATCATTACCTTGGGGAAAATCAACCTCTGCTCTGGATCTTTGCTTTTTCGCCGAAAGATACATCGAGCGGCTTGTGATTCAAAACTACCATCGAGATCACGAATTAGAGTGTCGCCAGACACGGAAACAAAGTCGTGTCATACAAGATACAAGTCCGCTATGTATAGTGTCAAGCTAGGGGAGACACTCAAGTATGGTATGGTAGTTCTGCTAGGTAAAGATAATTTCAGAAATCGCTCCGCTAGTAGTCGTCGACCTCCCCATCACTATCGTCATCTGGCACATAAGCCACTGTCCCATCAGCCCCAGCCTCATGACACCCTCTGTGATGGATCGAGACGTACCGTGCAGATCCCCCGAGACCGACATCCCCGGAAGCGTCTTCCTCCCTGCAGTCTTGGACAAAGTTGTATACCCCCTCCCGCCAGAGTCAGCCAGGCTAGCCACGCTCCTGCCAGGTGAGGGTGAGCCGTACGATACTGATGGGTCCGCTGCGGAGTTGGTGGTCGGCGGTCGGCCGAGCTTTGAGGGTGGCAGGGTGGTACGAGGGAGAGGTGAGGGGGTTCCTTCTTGGTCAGCTAGATACTTGGGTTTGATACACTGGGCAAGACTGCAACGGGGAGTTAAGAGAAGTTGAAGCAGGACGTACCGCCGCTTGACCCCATACGGGCCTTCTTCATCGGTCCCGGCTTCTTGGGCGACGGTCCCCTCTTTGTACCTCCATTCCCGCTCAACACTATTTGGTCAGCTCGGCGCATAACGGCGGTTCAGAGGCGTGATGTGGCACGAAGCTTACTCTTCCCCTTCTTGCCCAGACTACCGCCTGGACTCCCATCGTCCGAATCTCCACCCTCGCTCGGAACATATGGGCTGACGCCTCTCTCTGAGCCAGGCCCTAGACGAGCTTTAGCAGCTGCAGCAGCGGCAGTAGCGGCCGATCGGGATGCGGTACGTCGTGTGGACCCATTGAACCCTAGACAGCCGGAGAGATGTGGGGCATACCGGCTCGAAACGACCTATGATATCAGCTGTGCTCACATCCGCTATCATATGCACATGAAGAAGCTAGCTGAAGCTCACCTGGCGATCACACACCAGACAAGCAAAGAAGACATTCCCCGAAGCGTCCATCCTCCCACTCCCACTCCCGATCCCCGTTGACCCGCCTGTACCCTTCTCCGGCCCGGTCGTATAGCCTCCTGAACGCCCCTCTAGCGTTCCTGAGGTATTTGAGGAGGAAGAGGGGAGAGGTGAGGGTGCGCGAGAGGCTGGGGCGGTGGTTTGGGACGAGGGGGCTGTGAGGTGGGTTGAGGATAAGGGGTTATGTGATCGACATCTGGGGTTGTCAGCTTACATTCAGAACAGCAGTGGCGTTTGGACGTTCTGAACGGATTAGCTTACTTTGTTCCACAGACGCCGCAGACTACTCGACCTCGCTTGATCTCACGATGAGCTGAAATAGTGATCGACTGGACCAGATCCCTCAGCATTTCGTCAAACAGCGAGGAAGCCTATTCTTCAGCAAACAGTATGAGAGAGGTGAGTTCGGTCAGTACCGGTCACTCACAGCTTCAGCTATCTCGTCGGCCATGATCGCCCGCCACAGCCCACTTTGACAGTTCAGCCGCTGGTACTGGCGAGGCTCGAAGGACCTTTCGCTGATCGCTTTCTCAGCCGTTTCCCGCCCGTTCCTGGCTGGATTTTCGGGCACGAAAAGCGAGACAGTCCCTCAATCCACCTGTAAGCTGGAACGTGGCGGCGATAGAGCCCTGCTATGAACAATATACAGCTCGATATCCGAAGCTTGAACAAGACTTCTTTCAGCAGCTGGATGGACCTGTGGACGGACATCGATGTCCGACGTCCGTGCGTTGATTCTTGGCGGTGACGTAAAGCGGCGGTGCAGCATTCCTCTTCCGGCCCGACTATAGTGGAGCATGACGATTGCCCCCCACCTTGTCACAGCTTTTGCGGTATTTACATTGTCTACATTACCTTTGTACAGCTACTCCCTGTGTATAAAGCCTATTCCCACCCGCAGATCTTTCTGTATCATCGCCTATCACACACACAATCGCCACCCAGCCAAATCTCGCAACATGTGGAACAACAACAACAATTATCAAGCGCCTCAGCAATCGTACGGCGCCCCTCCGCCTCAACAGTACGGTGCTCCCCCTCCGCAGCAGCAGTATGGAGCTCCTCCTCCTTCACAGGGATACGGTCAGCCCCCGCAGCAGTCATACGGCGCACCTCCGCCCCAGCAATACGGTCAGCCTCCACAACAGTCTTATGGCGGCGGAGGGGGATACAATGCCCCGCCTCCTCAGCAAGGCGGGTATAATGCTCCGTATGGCCAGCAACCCCCCCCACCTCTGGGTCAGGGGTACGGAAACAACCAGTACGCTCCTCCTCCTACGGCACCATATGGCGCCCCACCCCAGCAGCAGCAGTACGGCGCTCCTCCCGGCGGTCAGGGGTACGGTGCCCCTCCACCCCCTCAACAGCAGCAGTGGAACGCCCCGCCTCCACCTATGGGCGGAATGGGGATGCAAGGAGGACAGCCCTTCTTCCTCGGCGTGCCGGTCCCGCACGATCCACCTTCGACGGCGGTGGGGTCGATGCAGGGATACAATGCCAGCTTTGACGCTGAGCGGATAAGGAAAGCTACTAAGGTCAGCTAGCCTTTCCGCAATCTCCATCGAGGCCAAGCTGACAAATAGGGATTCGGGACCGACGAGAGCACTCTGATCAACACGATGTCGCCCCTGGATGCGTTCCAGATGGACCAGCTGTCGAGAACGTTCGAGCAGCTCGTGGGGAAGACCCTGCAGAGGACGCTCGAGAAGGAGCTGTCAAGCTGGTGAGCTTTGACCCACCTCTGACTGATCCGTCCACAAGTAGCACGAAAGGAGTAGTAGGGACCAAGCTGACTTTTCAGGCTTGAATACACTCTCGTCCTCCTCTCCCTCGGTCCCCTCCAAGGAGATGTCTACCTCCTGCACCGCGCATGCAAAGGAGCCGGGACGCACGAAGACCTCCTCAACGAGATCCTCCTCGGCCGGACCAACCAGGAGATCAACATGCTCAAGCAGGCGTATCAGCGGAAACACAACAAGGATCTGGCGGCTGTCGTTCGTGGAGAGCTTAGCATGAAGACTGAGCGGTGAGCTGGGTCAATCCCAGGGAGTAGCTGCAAGGGACACACAGCTGATATTTAGGATGTTCATCATGGCTCTTGCTGCTGGACGAGACGAAAGCACGTTCGTCAACCAGCAAGCGGTGGAGAACGACGTGGCGACGATATATCGCGCCGGACCGGGCAAGATCGGCACGGTAAGCTGTACCGCCTACACTAGAGATCATCGGGCACAGCTGATATAGTAGGATGAGATCGCGATTTGCGGTATCCTCCTGCAGCGGTCCGACCCACACCTCCGCGCCCTCGCCCAGGCTTTCCAGATGAAACACCGGATCCAGCTCTCGGCTATGTGAGCTTACGTCATCCCTACTATGCATGGATGATTAGCTGATAGTATAGGATCACCTCGGAGTTCTCGGGACATATGCGAGATGGCCTGTACCACGTCGTACGGAAGTATGAGATGGATGGGGATGGGGTACAAAGGGATGCGGAGGGGTTGGAAAGGGCCATGGCTGGTGCAGGGACCAAAGACGAGCGACTGTAAGTTGTTCATGTTGCCTTCGTTTCAATGAATGGGAAAGTAGCTGATAATCGCAGTATCTACCGCCTGGTTCGGCTGCACTGGAACCGGCCCAGGTTCCAGGCTATCAAGTCGGCGTTTGAGGCTACGTATCGTACGACGCTGCGCAGGAGGGTCGAGGGCGAGGTGAGCTCTCCGGTCCATACCTGTGAGGCGGAGCTGACTTGTTAGACTACGGGCAAGTATGAGAAGGCGCTGGTGGGTATTATCGACCAGAACTAGGTGGGGAGAGAGGAAAACGGAATCGCAGAACGACAATCAGAAGAACTGCTAGGTGGATAGGATGAGAGAAGAAAGAAAGAGTATAATGTCGAAACTGTCGTGATTGTCTTTGTAGCCTTGTGAGTTATCATACCCATGAAATGCATACCCAATCTGTCGTCTACCTCGTCTCTCTCTCTGCTCACTGGTTCCAGTTGACGCCCGGGAGCTCCGCCTTGATCTGGGCCGGGGTCTGACCGAGCGATCTGGACACCAACGTCACATAGGGTTCCGGGCCTTGCATCAATCCAAGCTCCTTCAATTTGGCGTAGTGCCACTTGCAGGCGGTACCAACCTTGAACGACGTCGGGGACACCACATCGATCACCGTGACATCCTTGGGCGTCTTGTCCGGGAGCGTCAAGCAACCCAGCCTGCCGCCAATCTGGCCCACACCATGGTGCTGCTCTTCTCCGCTGGTAGTGCACCCGATAGTGAACATCCTGTTCCACCCCCCACTCTTTTCATCAGAGGCCTCACTGATAGGGTGCCTGTAGATGAAGTAAGATGGGACCGCGTCGGAGATGCCGGACGTCATGAAGCTGTGCGTAGCATGTATCGCGGTCAGGCAGCAGTGCGCGAAAGAAAAGGGCATGGGGAGAAGGACGTCTTCAATTGCGGTTGGGTGATGGACGTGCAGCGCGTCGATCCTCAAGCGCTCCGAGCCATCGAGAGTGAAATCCTGAAGTGCCTGCAGGGCGTGGAGGGCTCTGGTCTCTTTGGTGTCTCCGTCGGACCTGCAAGCGGTGCAGTCTGGGCCGCAACCCGCGATGATGGTGAGGCGAGAAAGGTCACAGCCACGGAGACTCTCAATCGTGCTTGCGATCTTTGCATCGTCCCAGGTGGCGAGATCGAGAAGGACCGTCGAGCCATCCGCGAGAGCTTTTCCTTTGCCTTTGTCTCCGTCAGTGGTCTATAGGGTCGTCAGCGACGAATAATTTGCCTAAGCTACGGATGGGAGTCTGCCTGGTTCATTTCATGGATGGGTCTACCATGTCAGACCGCGGCGACTCACGGCGAGGTTTGAGAATTGTGATTCGGGAAGGTCTGACATGGTGGCGAATGCAGAATGATGTACAAAACCAAAATTGAAATCGAGCTGTGCCTCGTTATATAGGCTGGGTATTCCCATTTCTGGCACCACATGAAAGGTTTCCCGATCAGTATCTCCTCGTCATTTAGCACCTCCCTTCAGTATATGACACGCGTGTGAGCAGATTGTGCCCCTGCTGCCCGTGGCGGTGGCGCGCTATCTCGCCTCGGCTGGCTCGTCACGTGTCGTCAGTCACCCACTACGGACACATAAGATACAGGAGCCGAGGATGCTAGTACTTTCTAGATCAGTGACAAGTCAGTGAAAGGGAAACAACGGGGGCAGCAAGGACTCGGGAGGGGGCGCTTCGTTTGGCATGGACGCCGCCGCGGCCTCGAGCCACCCAGAGCCAAACCACAACAAAAAGTCAGACCGGGTAGATCGACGAACACTGAGGATCTACTCATATTTGGCCGACATGTGCGATGAGATGGGTGCTCGCTGCGGCCGAAAGTACGGCGCATATAGCAAGGGTGGCAAACTCGATTTGGCTGGGTGGCGAATCCGCTTATCTGACGGATCAAATAAACTCTCCCAGGCACCGCCTATTTTCACCAGCTGATCGCTGCCTCCATCTTTGTGCTTGCATCCACAACACCACCTCTTCAGAACACCTTCATCAGCACAACAATAGCAGCGATGGCACCTCCAGAGAAAGTAGCAGGGTCGTATCTTGGCCCAGCCACCGGCAGGCCAGAACCACCTTCTGCGCTGGACTTTATCAAGCACCAGATTTACGCTCCGGAGTACAGGGAAGGGAACTTGACGTGAGTTTGAGCAGGGCGGGGACATGAGCTAGGTGCTAGTGGGAATGAGAGGGCGTGCAGTCCCGGCGGACCGGAGGACTAGCCTTTGAAGAGGCAGGGAGAGGCGTGGGGTCTACTACGAGGAGGGGCGGACCGGCTCGGATCGCTACCCCTTTACCAGCGGTGCTTCTTGACAGGCTGCTGCTTGGCGGCCACTGGCTGCTGGACGGGCCGATGGGAGATGTGGGCAGCTGCGAAGCAGAGCTGGGCACTCGAGCTGGATGTAAGGTGTAAAGCATAAAGCTGATCTCGGTAGCATCGCCAAAGCCATCGGCATGTTCGCCGTCGGGGTGTTCTTTGTACGATCGGGGTTCAGTTCGGTTCTCATTCCAGCATTATAAGGAGGGCGTCTGGGGAGGCGTTGTGAGGAGGGCGCCTGGGGAGCTGGCTGGAGATAAGGAAGAAGTGGTGAGTCTACTCGCTCTTCCCGCGAGCCTCAATAGCCTGCATAGATCGCGATGTTAGCAGAATGCTGATCCTTCAGATACGGTGCTCGAGACCTGCAGCTCACATATAAACATGTATACACTACTCAATCTCGACTTACACTCCCTTCCGTCTGGTCACGACCACCCGAGTCAACTCAGCCCGTTCAGTATACTTGCCATCTGTACCACTACCTTCCCCTCTCATCCGTTGCATCTGCGGCTTGATCGCTTTGATATTCGGTACATCTTCCAACACAACTATAAGTACGATACCTGCACATCCCTCACCCAGCGCATCACCCAGCCCAAACACCAGTCCTCCTGACCTCTGATCGCGCCAACCTTTCCAGTCCGCCAACTCCAGAACTAACCCTTCTCGCCCAGCATCAGGCGCAAGTATTGGTCTCCTCCTGGTATGCGAGTCCTTCCGCACAGGATTCTGTTGATATCAGTACTGTCCCTCATGTACTGAGCCATGATACAGAGTACTCACCGATGACACAGCTACCTCGCTGGCATCTGATCCCCGCTACCCCAGGAATCACCGTGCAGTCAACGCCTGTCCCGTTCTCGCCCACAACACAGCCACCGCAGTTCTCGAGGTCGGTAAGCGGATCGATACACTGCTCATATCAGCACTAGACTGGCTTGAAGAAGGGATCTGGACGTACCTCGACGAGCTTCATCCCAGGTGCGACTTGGCATTGAAGATAGCCTCGGCGACAGCTCTGCGACGCCACCCACTGGGTCGCGACATCTCGCCGGCCTTGAGGTCGCTGGCTTGCTGCCATGGTGCAAGCATAGGCGGAGCAAGTTCCTGCGTGGATCAGCGGACGTCTTGACTATCATGGTCTGATCGCTCACCGCTGAAGCAACCCGATGAGGGCCCTGAACCACCTGATTGGCCGCTATCCGCGATACAGAAAGCGCCGGTACCGCCGCAGATATTGCTGAAGCAACGAGCGTTGCCGGGGCATTGGATGTCGCTGGAGCAGGTTGCCCCGAGAGGTTGAGGAGCCAAAGACGTGCACTCATTGTCGAGGCAGTTCTGGCCATTGGCGCAGTCCGTACTTGCAGTGATGCAGAAGCCGCCGGGACCGCCGCAGATACCGTCGGTGCAGCGAGCGTTGCCGGGGCATTGGATGTTGCTCGAGCAGGTTGCGCCGAGAGGTTGAGGAGCCAGAGACGTGCACACATTGTCGAGGCAGTTCTGGCCATTGGCGCAGTCCGTACTTGCTGTGATGCAGAACCCACCGGGACCGCCGCAGATACCGTCGGTGCACCGAGCGTTGGCAGGACATTGAAGGGTCCGCGAACAGGTGCCACCAAGGGTGGACGGAGCCAAAGACGTGCACTCGTTGTCGAGGCAGTTCTGACCGTTGGCGCAGTCCGTGCTTGCTGTGATACAGAAACCGCCGGGACCGCCGCAGATACCGTCGGTGCACCGAGCGTTGGCGGGACATTGAAGGGTCCGCGAACAGGTGCCACCAAGGGTGGACGGAGCCAAAGACGTGCACTCGTTGTCGAGGCAGTTCTGACCGTTGGCGCAGTCCGTGCTTGCTGTAATACAGAAACCGCCGGGACCGCCGCAGATACCGTCGGTGCACCGAGAATTGGCGGGACATTGGAGGGTCCGCGAACAGGTGCCGCCCAGGGTGGACCGAGCCAAAGACGTGCACTCGCTGTCGAGGCAGTTCTGACCGTTGGCGCAGTCCGTGCTTGCTGTGATACAGAAACCGCCGGGACCGCCGCAAATGCCGTTGGTGCACTGAGCGCTGGCGGGACATTGAAGGGTCCGCGAGCACGTCCCGCCGAGGGTGGACAAAGCCAAAGACGTGCACTCGCTGTCGAGGCAGTTTTGACCGTTGGCGCAGTCCGTGTCCGCATTCTGGCAGAAGCCGCCGGGACCGCCGCAAATGCCGTTGGTGCACTGAGCGCTGGCGGGACATTGAAGGGTCCGCGAACAGGTGCCGCCAAGGGTGGACCGAGCCAAAGACGTGCACTCGTTGTCGAGGCAGTTCTGACCGTTGGCGCAATCCGTGCTCGCAGTTTGGCAGAAAGCGCCTGGACCGCCGCAGATACCGTTGGAGCAATAAGCAGTACTCCTGCAAGCACCTGTACATGAGCTCAGTCCTCTCTGAAAGCGCTGAACCAGCACTGACCTGTCCCGGAGCACGAGGCACCCAATACTGACTGTGCGATGGTGGCGGGGATGAAGAAGGAGCAGAACGCTACACTGCTGGATCAGCACTTGCGCCTTCGTGGACGAGATGACGACTTACCAGAAAGCAAGACTGATCGGTCGCATCGTGGGTTGGCTTTACGATGTGAAGGGGCGGGTACGCCAATGTCCGGTGGAAGGTGCGGGATTGGGGATAGTTGCGTCTGTTGTAGATTGGGAGCTGATATGGGATGGTTGGAGGGGCGAGTTGAGGGGAACGCAGACTTTACCGTCCAGGCTATATATCTCTCGTCGATGGGGGTCATTGTATGAGATGGCGGGGCGGAACCGGGCGGCATGGACGCCCGTACGAGCCGGTGAGCGGTTCTGGGCGGCACAGGTGCAGCACCGTACGAGCGGATAGTCGCTGGAGACCGGTGGAATTGCGATCCGCGCCGAGCGTCGCACCTTCTGCTGGCCGGCTCAGAAGCGAGCAACCCCATTTCTTGGATCTAGTGTCAGTAATGTGAAGTGCGACTTTGGCTCTCACGGTATCCGATACGCTGAGACCTTGCGCTATTAGGTGGTGAGTACCGTGGAGCCAGGCGGAGCGGCCGCACCAACCATTCCTCGAGAATGACGACGCCTATCATGCCGGTATGAAGATAGCACCCCAGAATTTTCCCCAGATAGCCCCAGATCGGTTCGGCTTGATCTCTCGCGGGACAAGGCGGCCGCTTCTCCGCACCGAACTGCACCGAAAAGTCGGAAGGATTACGCACGTATCAGCATGACTCATTATTGCTCAGTACTCCCGCAATATATGGGAGGTACGCCTCCTGCTGATCGACACGCGCGCTTTCGGCTCCGACGCGAGAAGGCCCAGACCCAGGACAAGCTGCTCGGGCCCTCGTGATTCCGACCGATATGTGGGGCTTTGATAGGGCTCTGGCAACCTGGAGCCCCCCAGTCTTTGGGGTAGCATAGGAGGAGAGGTAGCAGATGCCTGCAGATGCAAAGACAAAGTTGCAAGCATGCAGCATCGGCTACTGAGATTAGGCGGTGCCTTGAAAGGTGTATTTGATCCCCCACATAAGCGGATTCGCCACCCGAGCCATACAGCAGTGCAGCGGCCAAACATGTGTATAGTAACAACAATTTTCCGGAACACCTCTATAGCGGCAGCAGCAGCGGCAGCAGCTACATCCCCGGAGACGATTCAGGCCTGAGGGCTTCTGGGATAGTCTAGCGATTGGCATACTGACACCGTCGGCGCTGCGCTCTGTCCAAAGCGATCTATGCTCCGGGGTGTGATAAGGCAATCTCGCGCGAGTCTTCGTCGTCAAGATAGATGCGGAATTTGAGTCAACGGGTAGGGGAGAGCAGGGAGCAGAGGGTAGCTAGATGAGGCGGCGGTGGGACATTGGGCAGGAGAGGGAGAGGCGCGTGGCTTCCGCAGAGCTGCTGGTCGAGGGCGGACGGTCTCGAATCGCTCTCCTGGACCCAACCGCGCTTGTCATGGGGCTTTCGATCAGGCTGACAGCTGCAGCTGCCGGGCGAGCAGACTAAAATCTGGGGACCAAGGACCAGAGCTGGACGCCAGGCGCAAGCTGATTTCTGTAGGATCGTCAAGGTCGCTGGGATTCTGGCTGTTGGGGTTTTCTTAGACCGACGAGTCATTCCGTGCTGGCCCCTGCATCAAGGAGTCCTGGCGACTAGCGAGAGAGAGAGGCTGAAGGAGCGGTGAGTCTACTCGCTCTCCCTGCGCGACTTACATACTCTCATTAGCTGCCGTAGGTAGAAATGCCAGGGCAGGGCCAATATTTCGGAACTCAGACACGGCGCGTGGGATCTGCAGACCAGATGTAAACGTGTGTACATGACTCTGACGATCACAAATCAGGTACTCATCCCACTCTGACCTATGCGCAAGCCCTGCACGAGCTACCTCCGGGTACCCGCCTACTCAGCACGCATACCGAGACGACCGCTGCTGCTTATTCACTAACGTCTCCTGGGCAGCAGAAGCAAAGCATGACCCGGTAGTCATGCCTGGTCGCCCCCGGTGCTCTCGACGGGTCGGCGTTGAATCGAAAGCGAGCGGCGATCATACTCGAATGCCTGAGCGCATTTGGCTGGCCCAGGCTCGACGCGATGTCCGATCTGAGTAGGTCTCCGGCTTCCAGCGCCGTGCTCTCCTCGATGTACGCCGTCATGATATCGCGACAGGAGAATTCACTTCCTGATAACATCTCCTCAACAGCTCACAAGCCTTACTCACGAGCGGGTCCTCGACTGGCGATAGCTCTTGCAGGCTGCTACGCACGTCCGGCTCCACGAACGTTTAATGTATCAGGTCTACTGACTGCTTCTGAGGCCCAGCTGCGTTCCGCCTTACTCGCTGTACATGCCTTGCAGCCTTGCCAGCCGTGATCTTGATGACGCACCCGAGCGGATTGTTCACCCCCTGGCCTCCACCGCGCTCAGCGTAGGTTGATACTTCAACGCCTTCACTCGTATCCCCGATGGTGCCGCTGAGAACAGGCCAGGCAGTGAGTACGCCCGCCAGTAGCACAAGTAAACGGCCAAGCAACCCTACCAGTGCTCCCAGACCCAATGTATTGCGGATCATCTGCTACGGCTCGGCAAATTCGTCAAATGGGACTGAACAGATCCATAGCATCATCCGCTACGCCTCGATAATCCGACACTGTCAAGCACAGCTCATTTTCCGCATCGCCTCCTGTTCTATCTATAGCGCAATGTGATTCATCCCAGACATCCCGGAGAAAGCTTTAGACATGGATAATCCGGTCGGCGGTGCCGTAGACCTAGGCGTCAGCATGGGCCATACTAGCAAGCCCGCCTAGCCCACTCACTCGTCATATTCCCATTGACAGCCAGAGCACATTGGCGCATCATAGATGGGCGCCACCTTCCAGTCATCCTTCGCCTTGACATACGACGGCAGGGCCCGACTCCGCCTCCCAATGACACTCCCTAGCTCCTCCTGGAAATCCACTGCCGCACCCCGCCATTGCTCCCTCTTCCCCTCCTTATCCTCGCCCCGGCGCATGTGGGCTGGCATCTCGGGTGGGGGATAATACAGCCCGCCGACGATTCCCCAGTCCGGCACAGACCGAGCGAACGCCTCGTCCGTCGCAATGTTGCCCCTGGTCCGACAGGCATCCTCGAGGTTCCGCCTCGCCCAGTCGCGTGTGCCCTGCTCGCCCGGGGTGGAGTGGATGTAGAATCGAGACTGGACGCCGATGCTGATTGGGAGAAGCGTGGGATCTTCGTAGGTATTGTGAGAGGCGATGGTGGGCTTGTTCTGCTCAGTGTCTCCGATGTAAGTGACGCCCAGGCATAGCGGACCGACGGGCCCGGCTTGACAGTAGTGTCTCAAGCTCGGGGTGCTGACCGTAAAGTTGAGCATGCCCCGTTGCGCGTTGAGGATGGTTTGGCTTCGCTCGTCGAAGCGCGTCCCGATCCGGCGCCATAGTTCTTCCTCTTGGCCGAAGATTCCGCCCGTCGCGAGCGTACGCAGACGCGTAAATACCGCCTTGTATTTGCCTCCCTTGTCCAGCAGCATCAGCCATGCGTCGCAAATCTCCATGGTCTCCCGCACGCCTTGCCAGTCCGCCCTTCGTACCGTCTCGCCAGGACCGTCAGACAGACAGTCCCAGACCTGGTATTTGAAGATGTCGCGGTAGGTGATCTGGGGATTGTACTCCTTGTGTTGATATTCGATAAAGAGCTGACGGATACGACTGAGGAGGGCGACTTTGTTTTCGACGCCAGAGATGCCGCCGGTCTTGAGCCCGTAGAGGAGTAGGCCAAAGTCGTCGACTACTACGGTGTTGTAGAGGATGGGTGCAGCCAACGCGTGCCATGTCAGAGCAGTCAGCCCGATTATAGCTAGAGTTGTACATTGGATTTACCTTGGAAACGCGAAGGACTGATGCCAAATCGCTCTGACGGATTGCTTTGCGCTCTGGCGTGGGCGACGCATGCCGGGCGAAAAGTAGTTGTCGGAGATGATGGAACACCAGCACCCAGATCTCAGGCTTCAGTGGATCCGACATCTTGAATAGAGCAAGTGTGAAGTATGTACTGATCAAGGTTGAGGAAGGTTGACGAAGCAGGGAGAGCTTGACTTGTGGCCGCACCAGCTGCATCTTGTTACGCACGGACGACGTTTCATCTTTACTTCTCGCTTTCGAAGCTGCCTCTGCGTCAATCATCCATCATTTCAGACTGTACTGACTATGAACTGCTCATCTGAAGCGCACGATCACTCGCACGGCGGCGGAGGTCACAGCCATGGCCACGGAGACCACAATCACGAGGGGCACGACCACGACATCCCCCTCGGGTCTGGTCCGCAAGATTCGCTGTTCTCACATATCGACGTCCCGAATGTCGTTGCGCTCAACGCTGTTGGCGGTGGAGAGGCGGGACAGAAGGTCATCAAGTGCGTAGGTGGGCTCTTATCAGTCGCCATTGACAAGGCGGAGGGAAGGACGAGGATCCGATCTGACAGATCAGGAGCTGGGAAGAACGGGAAGATCTCACTCGCGTTTGTCTATACGCCACGCCGTGACCGGCCTGAGCTTATCGACTAGTTCTGCGAGTCAGATACAGATGATTCTATGATCGTCAAGAGTGAGCTAAAAATCGCGGTTCGAAGTCCAGTCCGGCGGGGATCAGCTCACCGCTTAGTCCCCTTCACGGCGTCGGTCTCTATACGGTCTATCACTGTCAAAGCTGGTCCATCCGGCCAGACACCTCGAGAGATGCACCTTGTGAGTACCTCATCCACTACTATCATGACTTCTGGCATCTGCTTGGCGAGTGTCAAGGCAGTAGCTCGCTGTTGAGAAGTTTGGGCAACGAGCTGACTGAGCAGTATCGTGACTCGCCGGGAATGGACTTTGGCGATACCGATCGAGCGGCCACGCAGGTGCTCGAGATGGTAGAGGAGAATGAAGGCGTAGAGTATCAAGTCAAGTGAGTATCCACCCCTGGGTCCGCTATGGACAAGGCGCGCAAGCATAGTCCCCTGCTGACTACCACAGAGCTGCCAAGTTTGCTAGCGTGTCTTCACTTACGCTCTACTTCCCTGGCAACACTTCTGATGGGGACGAGGAGATATCTAGGGTGTACTATATCGGACTGAGAGGGTCTTTCAAGCCTGTAAGTCCCGCCTATCCTTCAATTTTGCCCCGATGAGGCTGGCGACAAGGACGGAGATTTGAGCTGATCATGTATAGTTGCCCGGACGCCCTGGCGTAATTATCTACGAGTCGGCTGCCAGACCACAAGATCATAAGGTGGGAGGGACTGTATCGGAGAGCCAGGGCTGGACACCAGGGACATAGGCGGTCTTGCCTGGACGTGACAGCGACAGAGCTGCGCGGCTTGCGGATTGACTGAATGGCGTTCAGGCTTCGAGGGGGAGAGGCTCGGTGCCGGGTATACCTCATGTCTGCAACATTTCTAGGACATCATGGAGCGCAGTCGGTTTCCGTGTCATGCCTTGTAGCGAACTTGTGGTAGCGCTAGCTTTGGCCGTATCATCCATGGACATCTCCAACTCCTCATACCTCATGTCTCAGACCTCATGCATGACGTGTTATTTCTCTTATCGCTTATCGCACACCCCTGGCGTCCTTTGGTTTCACAATTTCCCCTTGCTATCGACTCGACCGCGACCAGCTATCTCGACTCCGTACATACCCTTCTCCTTTGGCAGCTGTAGTCAAGGAAGTATCGACTCGATAGCCATCTCTAGGCGAAAAATCACCCATAAAGAGGGAGAAATCAGCTCTCCCCACTCAACTATACCCATTTCCGAAATGTCCGACGCTCAACCAACCCTGGTGCAGCAAGCCCAAGATGCGGCTAGCAAGCTCGCAACGACCGTCGCCGAGACGCTCAACATCAGCGGCAGCCCCGGCGTCACGTCTGATGCTTCCGGTGAGCCACCTCCTGGTTTATCTGCGCCAGCTGATATCAGGTTTGCCCAAACTCTACATTGACGAGAAGGCCGGCTCGGACGAGACTGGTACCGGCGCCGAGCTCTCCCCTTTCCAGACTCCCGTCAAGGCATACCAGTCTCTGACTCCATCGACCTCGTCCGATGCGGACCCAACCAAGGTCGCTACCTTCCTTGTCCGCAAGGCCGACTCGGTCGAGCGCAACGAATGGGTCGAGCTCGGGACTTCTGGTCGCAAGAAGCTGATCAAGGGGATTGAGCTGTGGCGGAAGAAGGACGCCAAGGCGGCGCAGGAGGGCGAGCGGATAGCCAAGGAGAAGAAGGACGCGGAGGAGAGGGACAGGAAGAGGCGAGAAGAGGCCAAGGGGGTCGTGTTGGTTGACGACGAGAGCAAGGGGGTTGCCAAGAAGGTGAGTTGATGCTGGGCGGGGCTGATTAGACCAAACTCCACGCCGTTCCAGAACTGACCGGCACCCGCGTCCGGCTGCAAGGCTGGGTCCACCGACTCCGGTCCCAAAAAGCCAACGTCTTTGTCGTTCTCCGAGACGGGACCGGATTCATCCAGTGCATCCTCTCCGGCGACTGCATCAAGACGGTCGACGCGCTGGATCTTACCGTTGAGAGCACGATCGAGCTCTGCGGGTCGGTCGAAAAGGTCAAGGAGGGGCAGAACGCGCCGGGCGGTGTCGAGGTGATTGTGGACTGGTGGAAGCTGGTCGGCAAGGCGCCGGGCGGGGACGAGGCGTTTGAGGGGAGACTCCGAGCTGTAAGTCTAGAGTTGGCAGTGCTGACTGTAGGACACTGAACAATCCATCCGGGCCGACCTGCGTCACCTCGAGCTCCGAGGCGAGACGGCCACCTCCGTCATGCGCTTCCGCGCCCTCCTCCTCCGCGCGTTCCGCGAGTACTTTCACAAGACCCGCGTCACCGAGGTCACTCCCCCGTGCATGGTCCAGACGTCCGTGGAGGGTGGTTCGACCCTCTTTGAATTCGAGTACTATGGGGCCAAGGCGTACCTCACCCAGTCGAGTCAGCTCTACCTCGAGACGGTGCTGCCGAGCTTGGGGGATGTGTATTGTATTCAAGAGTCGTTCAGGGCGGAGAAGAGTTTGACCAGGAGGTGAGTTTTTATCTGGGCGAGCTGACAACAGGCACTTGTCTGAATACACCCACCTCGAGACGGAGCTGGTGTTTATCGAGTTCAAGGATTTGCTTGATCACCTCGAGGATATGGTGAGCTGCGTTCCTCCTTTGATCTATTCACAGCTGACATTCAGATCTGCACCGTGGTCGACGCCCTCCTCGCCGATCCCGTCTCGGCCGAGATCATCAAAACTCTCAACCCCGACTTCACTCCCCCTTCTCGGCCCTTCATGCGCATGGACTATTGCGACGCCATTACCTACCTGAAGGAACACGGGATCACCAAGGAGGACGGCACCGACCACATCATCGGCGACGACATTGCCGAGGCGGCCGAGCGGAAGATGACCGATCAAATCAACCGACCCATCATGCTCATGAACTTCCCAAAGATTCTTAAGGCGTTCTACATGAAGACAATCGACGGTCGGCCGGACTTTACGGAGAGTGTCGACGTGCTCGTCCCCGGTGTCGGCGAGGTGGTGGGCGGGAGCATGAGGATCAGCGATCTGCAAGAGTTGATGGATGGGTACAAGCGGACGGGGATCCCGCATGAGCCGTACTATTGGTTTACGGATCAGAGGAAGTATGGGACGACCGAGCATGGAGGGTATGGACTGGGTGTGGAGGTCAGTTTCCCTGCTCCCTACGTCGATGGGACATCAAGCTGACAGCTTTAGCGTCTCCTCGCTTGGTTCTTGAAGCGGTTTACGGTCAGGGAGTGCTCGTTGTACCCTAGGTACATGGGCCGCGCGACACCATGAGGGGAGATCGTAGAGCATATATGGGACGTATAGGGAGTAGGAATGCATATCATCGGCTGAGATTCGGAGAAGGCGAGTTCAAGGAATTCAAGGAGATAGAGTGCAGGAGATGTGGCAGGGTGAGGGGGAGATCGTAGGGGGAGGGATGATGGTAGGGATAAGACTAAGAGATGGAGAAAGGAAGAGAAAGGAAGGAGGATAAGGTCGAAGAGGGGTGAGAGGGAAGAGATGGCAGTAGAAAGAGGGAAGGCGGCCAAAGAGAGCGGGGAAAGGGAACTTCGCTTCTCAACACATCCCGGTGGTCCGGTCCACCCCTAGTCTCTCTCGAAGGAGCGAAAGAAGTGAAGAGAGGGTGAAGGGGATGCTCCGCTGCCATCTCCCAGTCCCTTCCTCCACCACCCTTGCTTCTCGTGGGCCCCCTGCCAGACCCACCCACGCCGACCCACGTGGACCTGAAACTGAGGAATGTGGAGCAGAAGCTTGCAATGACACACGCCAACCCCGCTATGCTTCTGTCACCTGTGACACCAGTACCTCTCCTTATGGCCTTACGCAGAATGGCCCGGTACGCTGATATCGCCGTCAACTTGACCGATCCCATGTTCCAGGGCATATACCACGGCAAGAAGAAGCACGCGCCCGACCTGGACGCGGTGATCTCCCGGGCGAAATCTCAAGGTGTGCAGAGGATGCTCATCACCGGTACGAGTCTCAGCGAGAGCAGGGAGGCACTGGAAATGGCGAAGAGGTATGGTCAGTCCCTCTCGTTCTTTCGAGGGAGTCAGCTGACATGATCAGACCTGCACTGTACTGCCGGAGTTCACCCAACGTCCACCTCCGAGATCGATAAGCACCCTCAAGGGGCTGACGCGTGCTTTCAGGAGCTGGAGCAACTTATCGAGGCGGATCGAGGGGAAGGCGGGTCTAAGCGGATCATCAGTCTCGGGGAGATCGGTCTAGGTGAGCCTAGTCCTTGCTGGGACGGGCGGAGTCGAGCTGAACTAGCAGACTATGACAGGCTCAACTGGTCACCCAAAGAAACGCAGCTTCGTCACCTGCCCCGACTACTCCTTCTTTCAAAGCGCTTTCGTCTGCCGATGTTCCTCCACTCCCGCACGCCAGAGTCACATGTGGACTTAATCAAGGCTATGAGGGATGCAGGATGGGTCAGCCCTTTCACAGAGGGAACGGGAGCAGGGGAGAAGGAATGGGTCGGCGGCGTGGTGCATAGTTTCACTGGGACAACTGAGGAGGTCAAGGAGCTGGTAAGCTGCTGTACGCTCTCCGACCATCGGGGTTGAGCTGATGTAGCAGGTTGATATGGGGTTGTATATCGGTCTCAACGGATGTTCGTTGAAGACAGCGGAGAATCTCGAGACTGTCAAGACTATACCGCTGGACCGAATCATGCTAGAGACGGGTGAGCGGCCTTTCTTGCATCGCTTGGGTGCTACTCTATGATCACGGGGGCCACCTTGCCATCGCTCGATGGGTTGGCCGACAAGCTATCTGGTGTCGGACGGGTAGGGCCATAGTTGATATAGCAGACGCACCTTGGTGCAGCATCACCACCTCACACGCTTCCCATCCCTTCCTCCCACCTACATCCTCTTCAGTCTACATTCAACGCGTCAACAAGGCGGAGAAGTGGCAAGAGGGTCAGGGCGTCAAGGGGAGGATGGAGCCGGCGGATGTGGCGGTGATAGCGGAGGTCGTGGCGAGGGTCAATGGGGTGAAAGTAGAGGAGGTCATACAGGCGGCGTGGGGTAACACGGAAAGACTGTTCTGGTGATGGCATCTTCAGCACATTCTGAATGAATTGTAATCCTGCTGGTCTTCGCGAAGTCGGCTCACTGCTCATGCGGTCGATCGAGTCATAACATTCGGGCAAAAAGTTCGAAAACCGGCAAAAAGTCGCAAAAAATCTGACCTCGAAGAGACTCGAACTCTCAGCCTTGAGATAACCGGTTTTTGATTAATTGGAATCTCACGCGCTACCAATTACGCCACGAAGTCATCTGAAAATGTTGCGTGCAGCATATATATAAAGGTCAGACAGGAGGCTTCTTGGGAAAATAGCACCAGATTTCCCGATACCGTGTCTTTTTCCCTTTCCCGCTCTGACTGTCTCGGATCTTCAGTGGTCTGTCCAATACGATCTCGAAGCACAGATCGACTCGCGCAGATCAGCCCTGAGCAGCTCGCTGTGCTCACATGCTGACCGATAGAACGCAGAATGACGAGTAGGCTTCTACGCGTTACCGTTGGTGAAGACTGAAAACGCACGCAGGGCTAAGGGCGAGGTCTTGCCGAACTTTAGTTAGTCAAGCTAGGGCGCAGACATCGCCTCGCGCCTGCCAATGAAGAGGCGGTCCTGAAAGCCATGGCAGCAGGATCAATCATCCAGTAAAGGGTATGTGGGCAGAGTCTGGTATTGTGAGCTACGTGGCACTTGCTTTTCGTATACGAAGGGGTTGGGCTGATGATTACAGCCAAAGTGACTGGTCTCCATTCTACTGCACTCAAGCTACACTCTTCGACTTGCCTCTGCGCCAGAGTCGGCCCCTATCCCACTCCTCGTCCGGCATGCACCCTTCCGCTTGGGCGTGTGCACTGTGGGGCACCGGGGAACTCCACATTCCTTGCTCAACGTTCAATGCTTGGGCCTGCAGAGCGTCCGCGTTCGCGCTTGGACCTGTCCTCACTTCCCTTCGATCACCTACTTCACCGCATCTGACCACCCTACTTGACGCTCACCTACCTAATTCTCGATTCAGCTGCATGAAATGTCGCATGAACAGCTCCAGCCCTCCTCCTCCATGACAACAGAGGCGAGACTTCTCATTCAACCTAAAGGACAAGGCCCGTGCTGACAGATCAGGAAGCTGCTTCTGGCCCATCACAGATCCACGATGTTCTTGTTTCGGAACCGACTATGAATGAGCCGACAGAAGAAGTTCAGGAAGACGATACTCCGATGGAGAGCGCGGAGGCGCGGCTGTGGGACACATCAAAAGCACGTGTCCGCCTGCTCAAAGCCTGGCAAGTTCTGAGAGGGGTGAGTGCGCGTCTCAGTGTAGTCTTGGAGGTAGCTGATGGACTAGAGACCGGATATGTCATTTCCTGCCATGATCTGGGATGTTCACAGGATGAACGGGTTAGCGGACGTGTCAGAGAAGAACACCTTCTTCAGAAAAATGGGTGGGTGAATGACATTTCTTGGATGCGTGATATCTATATTCCACGAGAGAGACGCTGATGAGGTAGCTATCCTTGTTATACCCAGAGGAACGGATGCTCAGAAATATTTCTTGATCGCGGCCATGAAGCTGTGGTGTGCTCACGAGTTGCTGAGGTCATACGAGGTGGGATGGGAGGGAGAGATCATCGAATGGACGGCTCGCAAAGACGTTATACTTCTAAAGTGAGCACCTTGTCTCGTGGCTCAGGCTTTAAAGCTGATAGATAGGATGTGTATCGAGGTCGGCATGCTAGCAAACGACAGCGTTATGCCGATCTCGAGGGCGGTCTTGAAGGGCTATGGCATTCCAGCCTCGATAATGGCGATCACAACTCGAGTCTGGATCCTACTCCGGGATAAGGGCAGACCGGCCCTAGATATGCTGCAGCGGACCTGCCCCATGTGGTGGCAAGCCATGTGTCTGGGTGAAGACGGCTCAATCGCAGCTTCCATTCTTTCCGTGTTTTGTGGAGGGGAGGTGGAGCCCACGGATCAAGCGGTCAAAAGGTCATATCAGGCAAGTCAAACTCACAATTCAAGCTGATTGTCAGGGAGTCGTCACAGAGCTTGCTGCAGAAGATGAAATTAACTCTGCGTGGTATCCAAAGCATGTACGTATTGGTCGTACTCGGCGGGGCATCAGAACTGACTCCCAGCTTCTGAATGAGCGGGACCTAGGGGCCTTTCTGGTGGCGAATCCGTATGACTTTCAGATCCTTTCTCTCCCTGGTGAGATGGCACCTATCGACCAGACTCGGAACGCCATTGGCATTCGAGTAAGTTTCTCCGCTTAGCGTTTCAGAACCCATCAGGAATCTGAGGTGACACTCTAGCAAGCCAAGTTGCTCCCAGCCACCGAGAAGACGGACGCGTCCACATGAGGATCGAGCAGCGTTGTATAGTAGATAGATAGCACATTTCAGATCATGCACACTCAGACACGTCTTCGTCGATGTGCTGTTCACGCAGGATGATGACGGACATGGCGGGCATTCAGACGAGGAATGCTCGAGGGAATGCCTCCACCTCCACGTCGACTTGCACCTGACGCGCTGGTTGACTCTTTGTCTCTTCTGCTTCTGCCTTTGTCTTTGGCCTTTTACGCAATGAGAATCTCAAGACTTCTCGGACTTGTCGGGGTGCTGGCCACCTCGCTCCACTCAGCACTGGCCGACGAGCCCACAGCTCAGACGTACAAATACGAAGTGTGCTCCCCGCTATGAACCCCCTTCTCCCTTACGGCCAAAGCTGATATCCAGTCCGACATTACACGTCTTCGCTCCCTCGTCATTCACTCTCTGTACTCGCACAAGGATGTCTTCCTCCGCGAGCTCTTGTCGAACGCGAATGACGCGTTAGAGAAGCTTCGCCTGACGGCGTTGACGGATAGGGAGGTGATGAAGTCTGGAGAGGCCAACGTCACTATCGAAGTCAGGCTGGATGAGGGAGGCAAGACGGGTCAGATTGTCGTCAGGGGTGAGTCTAGGACTGCTATGCGAGAGACAGAGCTGATGTGCAGATACTGGTATCGGCATGACAAAGGACGAGCTGGCGCGCAACCTCGGTACCATCGCTCGGTCTGGGACGAACGAGTTCCTCAAGAAGGCCGAGGAAGGCGGTGGGGCGGATGGGAATCTCATTGGGCAATTCGGACTTGGCTTCTACTCATGGTGAGCTGAGTGATCCGTCTTGCTCTTGCGGGTCACAGCTGACTTGTAGCTTCCTGGTCGCTCCCACCGTCCGCGTCTCCTCACTACCACCCACAACATCAGCCAACCCCAACCCAGAACAACACACCTTCGTCTCCACCTCTTCGGGCGACTCTTTCGACATCTACCTGGACCCTCGAGGCAATACCCTCGGCAGGGGGACGGAGATTGTCCTCGAAATCTCCGAGGAAGAAGCGGAATGGCTGTCCGTGAGCCGGCTCAAAGGCCTCATGTGAGCTTTGACCGCTTGTTTTTGCTTCTTCTCCTTCTTTTCCCATCAACTTCTTCTCATCAAGGTCCGAGCGCAGCTGATATATAGTGACAAGCATTCTCAATTCGCCACGACCTTCCCGATGTACATCATGGAGCGCAAGACCACCAAGATCCCCATTCCACCTCCCCAGTCCCCCGAGGCAGACGGAGATCCGGACGAGCTCAACGATGATGTCGACAAGGACGAGCAGACACCGAAAGAAGAGGAGTTTGAGACCAAGGTGGAGGAGGAGTGGGTGCAGGTGAACGACAAGGCGCCAATCTGGATGCGGTGAGCTGACTCCAAGTGGTGCAATACTCAAAGTTGAGATCAAGCTGACCTAGCAGAGACCCCAAGGATGTCCCTGAGGATGAGTACCGCCAGTTCTACAAAGCTGTCGCGAAGGATCAGTCTGCCGAGACTCTGGGCTGGGCGCACTTCAAGGTGGGTCGAACCTGCCCGCTCCCTAGTCTGTGCTGACTTCCAGGGCGACACCGGCGCAGGCGTCTCCTACCGCGCCATCATGTACATCCCCTCCAAGCTTCCCACAGACTTTTGGCAGAAAATCACTAGCGGCATCAACAACGTCCGCCTGATGGTCAAGCGGGTCTTCATCACCGACGACCTTGGAGAGGAGTATATGCCACGCTGGCTTAGCTTCTTGAAAGTCACCGTTGACGGTAAGCCAAAGAGTGCGATTCGGTCGCCGAGCTGACTGATCAGCGGACGACCTCCCCCTGAACGTCTCCCGCGAGACCCTCCAAACCAACAAGTTCATTTCTCAGCTTCAACGTATACTCATCCGGAAAGCCATCGACCTCTTTTCCCGCCTTGCAGGCGAAGATCCGACAGTATACAAGGAGGTGTCCAAGCTGTACGGCAATGCTCTCAGGATTGGGATGCTGGAGAGCAAGAAGGACAAGGTCAAGATTGCAAAGTTGTTGAGGTTTGAGAGTACCCGGAGTGATTTCACATCGCTAGAGGAGGTCAGCTCGCAGGTCCAAGATAGCTCGGACTGAAGCTGATATTGTTAGTATGTTGAGAATCGCAAAGAAGGTCAGAAGCAGGTAGGTACTGCAAATGAGGACATAGGCTGTCGGCTGATGGGCAGATCTACTTCATGGCAGGTGTTGGCGAGCAGCCGAAAGATCTCGCTCGGTCTCCGTTTGTCGAGAAGCTCAAGGCGAGGGGATACGAGGTACTGCTCCTTAACCTGCCGTCGGACGAACCGATGATGGGTGCTTTGGACAACTTCATGTGGGTTGAATCAGCTTTTCGGTACTAAGCCAATCCACAAAGCTGATGCGTGTAGGGGCATGAAGACACAAGATGTCTCGAAGAAGGGTCTGAAGTATGGCGATGAAGACGAAGATGAGGCGGAGAAGAAGGAGCTCGAGGCGCAAAAGATTGCGTTTGCGCCGCTTATTGAATGGCTCAAGAAGGAGCTCAAGAGCGATATCAGCGATGGTAAGTCCACTCGTCTCACTGAACCAAAGTCCTCTGCCGGCGGTGAAGGGGTGGAAGCAGCATCAGGGTCGCCGGTCCTCATCAATCTGGAATCCCTACTCTGCTATCTTGCAGCACCTAACACCTGAGAGCACCGGCTAACCCGCAGTCATACTCACAAACCGCCTCGTCACCTCCCCCTGCACCATCGTCGTCGACTCTTACGGCTGGTCCGCCAACATGGCCAAGATCATGTCAGCCCAGGCCGACGCCGAAAACGACCCCATGTTCAAGATGATGAAGAACCTGCCTAAAAACCTCGAGATCAACCCGAAATCGCCACTTATCGAGGGTCTGCTGGAGAAGATCTTGGACCTGGATCTCGCCCGGGATGAGGAGGAAGGTGCGGAAGTGGAGGAAGGGCCGGAGGTGGTGGAGCTGAGAGAAACGGTCAAGGTGTTGGTGGATACCACTTTGGTCAGGAGCGGGTTTACCGTTGCTGATCCCACGACGTGAGCTGCTGTGTTCTCAGGATGATCCGTTTGAAAGACACAAAGAGCTGACACTATAGCTATTTTGAGCGAGTCGAAGCTCTTCTCCGCCGATCACTCGGCGTCTCCCTCTCCGCGCAGGGCCAGGCTAAAGTCCGCCCTGCCCCACCCACCGCCGCTGAGCCACTGGACGAGACGGAGCCGACCAATCTCGAGGACTTTATGAGCTTTGGGGATGACGCGGAGGGGATGCCGGATGGACAGGACTTTCCCGAGTGGAGTCAGATGAAGAAGAATATGGGTGGAGGCGGGGCGGGCGCGGTGGAGCACGATGAGCTGTGACCGAGGAGGAGGGGTGGTGGAGCATATAAGTAGAATTGATGGAGGACTGCCAAAATCACAACAGCATAGGATGCATGGCCAGCTTACAGCTTCTCACGCTACACTAAAATGACAAGACAGACCTCCCGCGCCCGCTTTGGGGGATGCTGCGCGGTATGCGCTAAAGGATGAGAAAATAAGAGTTGTAATTACTGGACGGGGGACTGCCGAATCGGGAATACCTACAGTACGATGAGCAGGATCATAGCTTCCCCTGCTCTGCCGCTCCGCCGAGGAACGTCTCCAACGCGCGCTTCGTATTCCCAGCGTCCTTCTCTTCCTTGATAAGCTTGACGAATGGTTTGAACTTGGGGTCCGACGCGTCCCCTTAACTGTCAGCCAACCCTCAACTGGTCCGATCCCCTAAATGGACTTACGCATAAGCCTGAACACGATGCTCTCGGACGTCGTCACCACCGCCCCTGCTTGTCGCATCACCTCCAGCGCGACCGGTATCTCCTGCTTATGCACTGAAGACACCGCGTCGGCTAGTACGAAGACGCGCAGGTCGGACGCGAGGAGGTCGAGCGTTGTTTGAAGGACGCAGATGTGGGACTGAGGGCTCAGCTTCTACACTCCCGCATCACAGATAGGAGACGTATGGTAAGCTCACCTCGATACCGACGATGATTGCCGCATCAATGTTCTTATCTTTGATAGCCTCCTGTACCGGCGAGATACACATTGAGAACTACCCCTGGTCAGCCTGACTTGGGCCGAAAATGGGCTGAGTGAAGCTCACTTTTGTCTTTGGGTGTGCTCCGAGCAGGAGCTCTGAAGGTACTTCCGCCAGGCCTACGTCTGGGACAGTCTCTCCGAGAGCTGAAGTTGTCAGTATGACATCAGAATGCTTCGATAGTAAAAGGGGACAATCTGACCTTTAGGGTTCTGCTCAGTCGCCATCACTGGCATCTCTAGTATCTGCCCATCTCAGCGTCTCCATCTCCCCGTACTATATCCGAGAAAGGATAGTGCTCACTGTAGCAGCCTTGGTCATCTTCCTGATAGCAGAGCACATGTCGGAGAAACCATAAGTCGCTTCCCCTGGAGCCGTCAGCACGCTATCCCCTCGGAGAAGCTAAGCTGACGGGCTCACGGAACTTGGTCTGTACATCGCAAATGAGCAGAAGGGTCCGCTTGGGGTCGAGCGCTTTGGTCAGAGAAGACGCCATTTCTTGCTGGGTGATGTAGTGAGGTGGATGGAAGAAGAGGGCGAGAGGCAAGGGAGCCAGGAGGGACGGCGGCGAATCACCTGCACCGGTCTGGGGATACCCGAAGACAAAGTGGGGAGAGTGGGGCATCTGATACACTCATCGTCTCGACTTTTTGTTACTGGCCTCCTCGCCTGGGCTGCTGTCGAGAGGGAAGAAGCGCTGTAGACTACAACAAAGGGAGAAATGAAGGGGATGGAGTAAGGTGGACTCGCACTAGCCACTCCTCCCTCCCGCACCTATTACCCCCTGATAGGCTCCTGACTTTCCGCTCCCATAACCACCTATGTCGCCTCCCCGTCTACGTATCAGTCTCCAGTAGCATCCAGTACCTCTGAAGCCGGTACATCCCGTAGACGTATATACAAAATGCAAGATACAACACAGAATTCTACTCATCTAGATCATCCCCCTCTGCTCTCCTACCCAAAACCTTCTCCTTCCCATCTCCATTCCCCGCTCCCTCCGCCTCCCCCGAATCATCCTCCTCCGCCTCCTCATCCACCCCCGACAACTCTGTCGGTACCACCACCTCCTTCTCCTCTTCATACTTCTCTCCCGCCTCGTCCGTCGCGATCGGTTCCGCCACCTTTACAGGCGGTCTGTTCCCCTTGGCGCCTTTATCTCTCTGTGGCGGATTGTAGATGATCTCCTCCTTCTCCATCTTGGGCGCTGGGGCGTCCGCTTCCGCCTTGACCTTGGGCTTGTCCGCCGCTGGCAATGGTGCTGGCGCTGGTCCTGGTGCAGGCACCTCGCCTTTCGATTTCTCGGCGTTCTTCCCTCCTAATGGTCGATCCGGTGTCATGTCAGCCGGGGACGCCTTCTCCTTGACCGCCTGACTCCCCTCCTTGTCCTTGCCCACGTCCTCCGTCTTCCCCTCCTCCCCCTCTGGCCCACACCCACAATCATACACCTCATTCAACGTCAAACAGTCAAACTCCGCCTTGCCCAACCGTTCGTTGATCCGATTATGCACGCTGCACAGCCACATTGACGCTGTTTTCCGACTTGACGTCTGGGCGTCAGCTAGCACCTAGGCTCACAGGAGGGATGTAAACTGACCTGAGGTGGATATTGCTTGAGAAGAGCCTGGAATTCTTCGGCGCATTCCCCACATGGGTAGAGACGGGCAAAGAGTTGAAAGTAGGATTTGAGGGCGGTGCGGTCGTCTGGTGTGGGGGACTATGAATCAGCTCCTGCCTCATGAAGTGATATCCAAGGGTAATGTAAGAGCTGATGGATGACCCACCTCTGGATATCGAAGGGTCATAAGATGCAATACTCGCCACGCCGCTCTCCCCAGCTCAGCTCTGTTGATTAGTTTCGCCAAATCTCAAAGAAAGCACCCACTTGGCAGTAGCATTCTCCAATTTCGGCATAATAACCCCTCCCTCCAGCATCGAAGACTCCAGCACCAGACCTGTCCCCGTGCCCTCCTTTTGCCCCTTCTTTGGCCTAGCCATCACCCTCTCCCTCGCCGCCTCGGCGCCTCTCCCTCCCGCCGGCCCAGACCCCACCTCACAGCTCTCCTCCCCACACTCTTCATCCCTCGCCACCTCCTTCTCGAACTTTGGCCTGATTGGCGCTCGCCAATGATCCGAGTCGATCCCACCCGCTTCGTACTCGTCGTAAGCGTCCCCCGGGGCGTGTGGCGAGCTAAAGTGGTCGGAGGGGTAGAAAAAGTAGAGGGTGGTGAGGAATATACAGACAAAGCCGATGATGACGATCTTGTTGCTGCGGAGGGTGAGCATGCTGCCTCCGAGCGAGAGGTGGATGAAGATGAAAGTTTGGTTGTGTTCAAGATGAAACGCGAGATTACTAATGAGAATTGCTGAAACGGGGAATTGTTAGGCAACAACAACAAATCTTCTCAGAGGGTGCATGCATGCCTTTGCACGACCGCCTCTATTCGTCAACACCTCTTCCACAACGAGCTACCAGGGGCTACCCATCTGCACGACACTTGACGCCCAGCAACAACAATCGCCACGTTCACTACCACCTCGACGCGACGCGATTTTCAGGGACGCGAATAGGTTAAATTCAGACCGATCGCCTACCGCAACAGCCGCAGAGCTTTAGATCTTCGTTGTATCTACACGTACAACGCAGAGCTACAGGCACAGAGGCAGCATTTCGGCGCGGACCGTGAGTGACCCCGTACCGAAGTTGCGCTTTGCTGACGATCAGCCATGAGACGATAATGTCGCTCCCTTCCCAAGGGTCTACCGCGCCAGCAATCACCTCGCCTTTGCTGGCCTGGCCCTCTTTACCGACGACGCGGTCTCCTCTTTCCACTCCTCCTACCTCGGCGTCGCTATACGACACGTCCATCTCATCCATCTACTCGCGGCAACCACTACCGGCGTCTCGGAGTCTAGCGTCTAGCCTGACACGCGCAGACACCTGGAACACCTTTGCGGGAGACAAGAGGGGAAAGGGAAAAGCTATAGAGCCAATCGAAGCCAGACCAGAAAGGCACTACGCCCCCCCTAAACAACCCCTCACGCCACACCAGCTCTCCCGCATCGCCCAATCGTTCGGAATCATCGTCCCCTCCCTTCCTCCCCCAAGTCCCAGCTCGCCCGCCGCCGGGCCGTCTCGACTCCGGCTCGACGCACCCTCTCGTCCCTCCCCATACCTCCTCACGGTCATACCACCCCTCTCGCTCCTCTCGCTCAAATCTTTATCACCGGAAGAAGCCGACAAGCGGACGCGGCGATGGCGGCGGGGTCGGCTCATTGCTCTCCAGCCGAGTCTGGCGGGGATGCTCGTTGCGATAGCGAGGGAGTTTGGGTTGCCAAATACGACCGGGCTGCAGGTGTACATGGGCACCTCGGCGTCCAGCGCCAGTAGCGCCGCGTCATTCTCGTCGGACGATCCCGGGCCTCAGATCTCCGCGTCGTCCTGGACGGCGTTGTTCGGTCCTCATCTCCACGGCTCGGTCTCTTCGCGATCCACCACACCTACCGATACACCTACCAAACCATCCGGGTCGCTCGGGCGGGATATTCAATTCCCCCTCTCTCCGCTCTCCCTCGTCGAAAAGAAGCTAGAGCACGAGCGTCTCAATCGGACCCATCACCGCTTGAAATCATTTTCCAGCGCTGCGCCCCTCACAGCCCCCTCGGTCCGGTCGCTCGGCTCGGACTACCCTACCCCTCCCCCAACAGCGGGCGCCAACCCTATCATTGGCACCATCGAGTTCGACGTTGATCCAGATCTCGCATCCTGGTATCCCGAATACCGGCGGAACGGTCGATACCGCAAGTCCTCTACCTCGTCCGAAAGTGGGATCCGGCCACTCCGCCTGCCGCAGCACCTCTCCGCGGCAAGCCCGTCCTTTGGTCCAAGGCGGAGTCAGTCTCGCACGCAGGCCCTGCGCAACTCGGACGAGTTCGCGTCAGGCGATACCACACTCAATGACCACGAGGAGTATCGCCTGAATAGGCAGGCGAGCGGGAAAGACTTTCCGGCGATCCAGTCGAGGGCGCCGGAAGGAAGGCGGCTGAGCGTGCAGCGGAACGGAGGGGTACTGTCCACATCGGGAAGCTTTGGGGAGATGACGGATCCGAATGTCTCGTTTGGGAGTAGTAGCGGGCGAAACGGCGATCAAACCAGAATGGACGTCCCAGAGATCATGCTCCACTCGCGTGAAACGAGCGGGGGCGAGACGTACAGGATGGAAGCCGAGGAGGATCTGCTGGCGAGTCCAATCATGCTAGATGGGCTGTTGACGCCTGTTGGGAAGGTCAGGGAGCGGGACGGTGACGTCAAGCGGGGAAGTGCAATGGTCATGTCGGAGCAATTGGACGATTTGGAGCGAAGTAAGTGTATTTGTTTCAAGGAGGATCCAGCTGATAGTAGTCATGCGCCAACTCTCGCCTCGGGATATTCGGCTTACATCCCCCCGGATGCTCACTCCACGCATGGCCGCCAAGGTCGCCACGTCCAAACTGCAATTCCCGGTTGAGCCTCCCGCCCGCGCCCCCTCCACCCTCTCCAGAGACCCTATCAATTCCGACTACCCCTCCGCACTGCACTCCTCAGCGGCCGCCTCTTCTCTCACCGTCAATACCATCGCGACCCAATCCTCTGTCCCTTCGTTTGACGCCACGACGCTCTCCCGTCCGCCTCTCGAAGCGGAGTATTCGGACGCCGGGTTGCCTCTGCCTGCTTGGCCGGCTGTCCCTTTTGCAAAACTCTCGGAATCCCCCGGTTCACCAGGAAGTATCCACGACTACTTTCGCGCACAGACTATTGCTCCCTCATCGCCCATATCACCGGAGACGCTCACGCGTATGCGGGTCCCTTCTCCCCCTGATTTTCCGGGCCGCGCACCACGGCGTCCCAATCGCCCGCCGAGCCCCGACCTCACTGACAGCTCCATCCCCCACCACTCCCTCCCCGCGGAATACGTCGAACAACTCCACGCGGCTCGGTCGCCAGGCGGGACCGGAGCTGGTGCGCCGGCGTCACCCGGTCCCACGAGGCTGAAATCCCGCTCAGGCTCTATCAGCCTCAAAGGGCTCAAAATGGGGTCGAGGAACTTTGGGTGGAAGCGCTCTGAGCACGAGAAGCCCCCGCCTCCGGCGCTACCTTTGGGTACGCGACGAGACGGGGAGAGCGAGGGCGAGGCGGTGGGGCTGTTTGGGACGGGCGATAAGCTGTCACCTACGGATTCGACCTTCCCTTCGGTCGGGCGGTCAGCTACGCCTGCTGCCTCGGGATCAACCACGGAGTTTGGCCAGCACCCCCCGGCCGAGGTCACACAGCCATCAACAGCGTCATCCAAAGGGAGCGGCAAAGACAGCTCCTTTTCGCGCTGGATGAACCCGTTCGGATCTCGGCGAAGCAACAATGGGCCTCCCCCGCCCGACTCGCCCAAATCCACCTCGGCGTCCAAGAGGGAGAGCAGCAAAGACCGGAGCGCTCGGGACCGGGGATCCAAGTCCAGTCGGCGCCACCCGTCCGTCGACCAACGCACGATCGGGTCGCCCGTCTCTGGCAGCCTGAAACGGCATCCCCAGCCTGCCCTTCCTTCGGCCTCCATCTCGGCGTCGGGGTCGGCGTCGTTGGGCCACAAACAATCCCCGTCGATGTCGTCCGTACATACCATCCACCGACCGGGTCTACCTGGTCTGTCTAGCAGTACCACGACGTACACGGTGGGATCTGAGCCGATCGAAGAGGGCGGGCACGGTGCGGGACCCACCTCGCCCCGATCGATTGGGCAGGGCCAGCTCAGTCCAAGATCGGTGAAGAGAAAACCGGTGCCTCCGCCGCTAGGCGAGATGCCTGTTCGGCAGAGTGAAGACGGGGCGTCAAGTGGGATGAAGGCGAGTATGAGCATGGGGAGCGTGGCGAGTTATACGGGCGAGGAGAGGAGGGGGAATGTGGGACTGGGGATGGGTGTAAGGGCGGGATAGGGGATGTTGGGGTTGTAGCTTCGGCGCTCTAGTAGTGTCCAGGGTATTGAGGCGTATTGCTTGATTTTGGCGGGATGGCGGATGGGGTGTTGTAGGCGTTTTTAGCTATTTGGGATGTATCTTCTAGGGCTTGGGGTCTCCCATATTACCATTCATGGCCAGCGGACCTAGAAGACTGTGCATCGTCTCCATACTCTTACATACGCCCGTCCTCTTCCCCTTTGGAGCCAGGGCCGGTGCCAGCGCCCTCACCCTCGCCTTTTCCCGTCCACCGCCCCGTCCCGCCCGCGCACGCCAATTTTCCCTACCGCCTATGCTGCCAGCGCCGGCAGCTGGGCCGCGTCCCGCACTTCCTCCTTGCTCTGTATCTCCTTGCCCGTCTTGGCGATCTTCTCGGTAATTGTGTCGAAAGGGGCAAGGGAGTCGCCCCATACCAGGACGGTCTGGGTGGGTAGGGAGACATGGAACGCGTTGGCTGAACATATAAGCGGGCGGTCTTATGCCTCATCTTCATGTCATCCCGCTCGCCTTGGGTGACTCCCTCTCAACAGCAACTCCTCGTCCTGCTGTTTCTCCTGGATAGCACCTGCCTTCCCAAAGGCAGAGGGATGCTGTGATCTCACGATCTCACGGTGGAATGCTGACTCACGCGCTTCCACATTCTTCTTCAGGACCCGCTCAATCGCGCCTGAACATCCCCCACAGGTCATCTTGACCTTGTAGTGATATGCCGGGTGCTCGGCCGATGCAGTGGGCTGGGGAACGGCAGCCTGAGAATGGTCAGTATAGCTACAGCATGTGCCTTTGTCATCCGGACTGAGCCGGGTTGAACTTACGCTCATCTCTGCTGAGATCTAGTACCTTGACCTATGTTGAAGGGGTATGGGACGAGGAGGGCTTGAGTATGCTGAGTCTTCAGGCTCGGCAGATGCCAGTAGAGATGAGGATGCAGTGCAAAGGGAGGATGAATTAGTCACCTCGACGACCGTTGACGGACGCGGAGGATACCGTACGCGACGAGGAATGCCGGAAGAGGTAATTCGAGGGTGTTTCAGGTTGCCCTCGTGCCTTTAGAGCTGCTATTGCTGTGCGCCTCGCTGAACGCTGGACGAGCATCGCACGCTACGAGAGTTGTCATGGATGGTATATGAGCTGCGGAGATGTACCCCACCCGACGCTGGCGCCCGAAAGGGAAGGTGCGGCAACTGCCACCAGCAGTCAGCATGTCTCACATCTGCTACCGTTGCTGACGCTTCCTCCTTGATCGTTGGCACGCAGTCTCGCAGAAGGTTTCCGCAGTGCTCATGGAAGCTACCAATGACATTGTTCAGATGAGCGTGTATTTTTCACTGCATACCCTATGCGAAGAAGCCCATATCAACCAAGAACCCAAAAACGCTGAGCCATACTGTTACAACGACCTGCGACCCTCCGAGATCCTCGGTCTATGGACCCTCCTTTCCCACTCCCGCTCCCGATCACGAGCGACCGACTCATTGTACAGTGATCGAGCGGGGTTGAGATCTTTGTCTGGCTCAAAGTGCAGCAGACAGTCCGTGATGACTTCAACGATGAAGTGCTCGGGAGCGAGCGTGACCCGTATGTTGAGATCGTTTGGGATGGGGCCAATGAAGCATTCGATGGATTCGATATGGTAGTATGTCTGATTGCTCATCTATATGATCAGCAGTTGCCGCGAGCATGACAGGGTAGGCAGAAGGGGAGATTGACTTGCCCAATTCCAGACCATCTGGAAGAAGTCCTCTTTGAGTAGCTTGCAGTCCTCGGTCGTACTGGAGGGTTTATAGCACGATTTGATTTGGCGAATGCTGTCCATACTGCCATTTCAGCCTCATATGCACATCAGCGCACTTTGGCCAAACTCACATCGTATACATTTTGCACAAGAGGACCCAGAAGTAGTCCGTTTTGATGATTCTGCCAAAGTCACGGTGCACCTATCCAAGTCAGCGCTTTCAGGATTTCCCTTCGATCGACAGAGACTGACCACTCCCTGCTGCCATGCTTGCATCGATGTCTCCATCGCGTGCAGTTGCTGAAAGGTGAGGTCGATCGTCATAAAGAAGCAAGCGAAGCCATGGGATGACAGCTCGGACGACTCGACACTGGGCGATGGAGAGTACCACCCGTCCTCTGATACTGCCCGACCCGGCATAGTGAGCAGAGTATAGCAACCACGTTGAAGAGTAGATGAGAACCGGCAACAAGGATTCCCGATAAGCTGACTCGCAGTAAGCACTGCTTGGCACGTGAATCCGGCGTTTCAGAGTGACACATGCTGACCGTTCCATCACATTCCGAGATAGTGGCGATATCGGAGAGTTCGGCAAGACTTGTGGTATATCGGCAAGCATGCAGTGCCCATTCTGATGTGAACAAATAGCGTACATCGATGCTCCCCAAGATAAAAGTCGTGATAGTCATAATATGGCGTCCTGCGCCCGCATCCTCCCATCTCTCGCTGTATAATCCTCGCCCTGCGCCCCCAATCTCATCGCCTCATCACGCACGGGCAGCGGCCATGATACCAGGTGCATCCTGCGCGTGTCAGCCTGGCGCTTTCACTCGTAAGGAGTAACTCACAGTAGTCCATTCCCAGAACATCACACCTCCATTCCATCCCTTCCCTCTCGCCTGGTTCACGCACACATTCAGATCCTGTGGACTCATGTATCTGCTCGGTCAGCTCCTGGTCTTGGTCACCAAATGACATGTGACATACCCATTACTAGCCTTCCCAGCATCGAGCGGCTTCCCAATGACAATCTTGTTGAGCGGGACCTTGGCGTAAGAGTTCATCTCCATCACGCTGGTTCCTGGCCAGTATCCGCCACTCGAGTTGATCAGGGACTATATCATCAGCTCGGATCCTCAGTGGTATGCGCAGGACTCACGTTACAGTCCGTATAGACCCCATCGCCCTGATTGTAGAACTGCATGTTGTAAAAGTCGATCCCATCGCCGACAGACTGGTGGATCGCGACGTATGCGCCGGAGCGGTACGCGCTGGACGAGGTGAACCAGGGAGCGACGGGAGCGTGGGAGATGAGGTAGGGCTTGGGCAGCAGTCTCCGGAGTTCCTTCTGGAAAGCTAGCGAGTCAGCACTGCCCAGAAAGCAAACAGTGGAACTCACGGATCAACCACCTCTCGGCCTGATCACTGTTCATTGCCCCCATATCCTCATAGTCGATATCCACACCGTCAAACTCATAGTCCACCACAAACTTGGCGAGCTGCTGGGCGGTCGCGAGCGGGTCTTTGCCCCATGTGGTCGGCTGGTCGGTGGATCCAAAGGCGGAGACCATCAGTGCGATACCGGCGTTGTGGTAGGCGTCGAGTACGCGACGGCGGTCCGCTTGTGGCATCCAGACCCACATTTGCGCGTTCTGCGGATCAGCCCGAGCCGACCACAAAGCAGATAAGGGAGACGTACATCGACAGGTCCCTGATCAGACATCCAGAACGCAAGGACAAAGCGGTTGAAAGCCTTGAGAGTGGACACATCCGGCATTGAGAAGAGCCAGTCTGTCATGTCAGCTCCTGCCTTCCTCCCAGGGAGATCAACTTACAGTCCGAGTAGATCACGTAGTGCGGGGCAGAGTATCGGTCGATCGACGAGGGAGTCGCAGTCACCACACCCTTGGTCGTAGGACTGGCGGTGCTAAAGCTGCTGATCCCAATAGCCGAGACGTCGATAATAGAAAGTGTCTTGCTCGGGTTTGTCAAGTTGGAGAGAACCTCATTGGACGCGCTGATGGTAGCGGCGATGGCGTGCTGAGTCTCGAGCATGGACGTGGCGGATGCCGAAATCTTTGCCGTCGTGCTGGTCGTCGAGGTGGTCGAGCTGAGCTGGGTGGAGGTCGGCGAGCTGGAGCCAGAGCTGGACCCGCGAGGGGAAGCAGAAGCAGCACTGGACGCAGATGAAGCTGGCGAGTCAGCTTGAAGCCTTACCTGAGTTGAGGATGAAACGCACACTTTGGACCAGCGACAAGGTTGTTCCCGAGCTGACTGACGGCTGCGCTAGAGCTGGCAGCAAATGAGACGGATGTGGAGCTTGACGCGCTAGGACATCAGTTTTGAGCTTTCCCGCACTCAGTATGACCTACCTGCTCTCGTCCTCCCATTCCTCGCAGTCTTCATCGTCCGCAGCGCTGCTCGCGCTCGAGCTCGCAGCAGCCACCGACGTGGCTACAGCTGAAGAAGCAGGCATGCTCGTCCACGCCACGCTCGACACGGTGCTGGTAGAGGTAGCGGTCGCGCTAGTCTTAGGCACGGTAGACGATCTGGCGTCATCAGCTTGGTCCTTACACCAATCACAACCTGGGCACTCACGCCGAGGCGATCTCCTCCTCTTCCCAGACCTCCTCCTCCCACTCCACGCATTCCTCCCCCTTGTCATTGATGAAGGTCGAGCTCGAAGCGGGAGACGTCCCAGTGGAGCTATACGACAAGGACACGGTGGGTGAGGCGGCGCTGGACGCTTTTGGCGAAGGGGAGGGGGAAGCTTGCACAACGGAGGTAGGCTGAGCGGTAGTTGCGGCCTGGCTTTGTGGAGATTGGACAACTGGGGCGACCTGAACGTTGGATGAAGCTGGGCTGGGGGAGGAGGACGGGGTAGCCTGTTGAGCGACAGACCAGGTCCACACGCAGCCAACTGTCGAGCCTTGGTCCCTGTCCTGTTAGCGACGCACGGCTAGTCGGGAAAGCTCACTTACGAGCAGATGATATTATCCCCAGTGCACTGCCTCACGACTAGCCAGTTGTTCCAGTTGCATTCTGTACATCAGCTTGCTTTCCCTCTGGCTCAAATATGACAAATCGCTCACGCTTCAAAGTCATGCCGTCGCACTTCCAGTCCCCCTGGTTGCACGTGGCAGCGACGACGGGGGCAGCTGCGGAGCCATCACCCTGCGATGTTGCACTCGAGACCGAGTTGGACGTGGCACGCTGGTCTGGTGAGGGGATGTCGGCGGGATCTACAACAAAGACGCCATTGCTAGGCGTGCCGACCGACTTGTCGTCTGACACAGTCGTCGTCCCGACAGCAGCCAGGTTCAGCGCATTCGCCAAAGCCGGCGAAACGACATCCTCCACAGCATCTTTGACCATCTCCCCTACTTCGCTCGTCCCGTCTTGGCCCGATCCCGCCACAAGTGATGATGTACCAGGGAGGACCGCGCTGGTCCCGTTGCCCGCGGAGCCTGTCGAGTTGGTTACAACGGCGATGAGGCTTCCGCCGACGGCATCGTCGCGTCGACCCTCGGTGACAGGGGCACCACCAGTGGCGATGTTTGCCCCGTCACAGTCGGCCAGGGCGCGGCGGGCGTGGTGCCGACGGTGCTTCACCGAGCGGATACGGGCGGGATCGAGACGCGAGGGGAGATGACTGGCGATGGAGGTTTGGGAGAGGAGAAGGAGGGAGAGAAAAGGGGCGAGAGCGAGCATGGCGAAGACGTTTATGGGTGGGAGTGGAGGCAGAGGGTCCAGTCGTTACAGTAAGGAGCGTGGTGGAGCGTATAGTACGCGTCGTCTATAGTATCGTATAATCTGCCTTCCAGAGGTCAGTGGAGCAACTCGTCAAGAGCGCTGGGTCGTTCGTGAGCGTCAATATATAAAGCGTAGATGTACAAACAAGGCATCCAAACCAGCCAGCGCGGTCAGTAGTCAGGCAGCGGCCCATGAATCCTCCCTCAAACGCCTCTGACAGCGTGCGCCCACGGCCGAACGCTTGATGGAACGCAAGGAGACGCGCAGCAGAGGTATTTTAAGCTTTTGATCTCAGTGACGGCATGTGCCTGAGTCGCGTCTGGCGGCGTTTCATCTTCTGCTGTCACGGTATCTGAAACGCCGTAACGCCGCTGCAGGAATGCCCTCTCAAGGTCTCTCAAGGTGTCGATGAGACCCTAGCCGAGCAGTGACTGAGCTGAAGCGTCAGGACAGGCATCACATACATGGACACCACCCAATATTGACCCTCGACATCTCATTGCTTCTCATCACCTGGCTAGATTCTTCGTGTCATGTGAATGCTCTCCCAAGCATCCTCATCCCGACTGACCACGCTCCATCCCATCTTGCGCCACAGCTGCTCCGCTCCCGGGAGGAAAGGATGAGTGTGAAGATACATCATCTCCGCCTGTTCATCCTTAGCCTCTTCCACAAGCCTCCCGATAAGCTTTTGTGCAATCTGCTGTCCTCTGTACTCGGCAGACACGTAGAGCCGCACCACCTCGATCGTCTTCGTATTCGACCACAAGAGCTCCGGGCGGAGCGCCCCCGCGTTGTCCTTGAACCGAGGAGAGTAAGGTAGGAAAGCGAGGATACCGACGACTTTGCCTTTCTCTTGGCGTTCGATTTGTCTGTGGGAAGGGGGAACCTGAGCGACAAGAAAGCATGCGCCTGAGTGTGCAGCACAGTAGACCTTTCGGAAAGCAGCGAGATCAATGGGGATAGTGGGGTTGTTCGTACGCGGGGCGAAGAGTTCCCTCCACGCGGCCAGTGCGTAATTGATGACTCGTGGCTCGGGATCTGTGACTCGAGCGATCTGAATTTCGGGGGTGGCGACGGGGCCGAACATTGGTGGCTCAGTAATTGTGGCTGTGTTCAGAGGCGGGTAGATCATAAATGTACAAAAGCTCATAATCATGAGTCGTACATCCAGTCAGTCCTTGGCGGTGGCGCGCTGGCTACTGAGCGGTCAGGCTGAAAGGATCGGCTTTCCGATCACGTGCTCAGTCTACTGTAGCTGCGTGTGCGAATTACCTCTTTCAGTCTAGCATGAGTGACGCTGCTGAAGGACGACAAGGTCACGATGAAAGGATCTGCCAGACTGCTACGCCGGCACCGTGTACCAGGGAGGTCATCCAAGCTATGACCCGTCTCGACGCACTCATACGAGTCAGCGCGTGGCGAATTTGAGTCTGAGTACCTTGGGTCGCCCGACCCCAAGGCTTCTGAGCCTTGACATGTCATGCAAGAAAGCATATATGCTTTCGTTTGGTCTGTCCATTGAGGACCATCACTGCATACTCTCAATGAACAACTTCCCACAAGACCTATAAAAGAGGCTCCCTTGTCCCTCTCGTTCGTTCCACTTTGAGCTCTCGCCCCGGTTGTCAATGACGCCCTCGAAGAGATCCTGCCCGCGTCAACCTTGTCTCGCCTCATCGCCCTTGTGATCATTCAGCCCGCGCCGCTTCTTTCCACCCCCACTTCACTGCCGCCAAGCGTCAGAGCTAGGCTCCCGACCGCTTGGTAACAGGGAAGCCGAGGGTATACACATCGATACCATCCACCGATTCGATATGCGGTGCAGTCGATCCGCGTACGCAGAAACGATTGTTGGGGCAGGTGATCCTCACATGCCCGGTATCGATGGTGACATTCGAGCAGTTGCCGTCCAGTACCTTGGAAGTCCTCCCCTCGCCCTGTCGGAGGAACACCCCCTGCGGACTGACAGTGATCGTCGTATCACCGGTGGTGTATGACTTGGATGCTGGCTCGGTGACCAGGTCAGGCAAAGTATTTGCCCGGGAGCTTCGCTCGTCAGTGCAATCGTAGACCGTGTGCATAGTGTCTGCCCCTTGCGTATCAGTCATGGGTCCGCATCAGACAATCTGCACTGACCGATAGGTTGGGGACTCACTGAACTGTGTCGCACTGCAATGATTCGAGGAAGCTGAAGTAGGTGCGGTTATGAAGTAATGTGGTGTGTGAGAGTGGCGACGAGGATCAGGAAATAGAGGAGGATGAGGAAGTGAAGGGGGGAATGGTTCAAGGCCACTTCCTGATATACCCCTCCATCCCTCGATCGCGCAGCACAGCATTTCCTTGACAAAGGACCACCGCGCAATCTACTCACACGCGTAAGATCCACTGGTGGGGCCAAGGATGAAGGGCACAATGGTTGTGTCCCAAACTGAACCTCCGGACTTGGAGCTAGGAGACGATGATTTTTGGGGTCGCAGCGGGACGCTCTCGCCGCGCGGGCCGGTGGTTCAAAGCGGTCAGGTCTGCTGATCAGTATGATGAGTATTCATACCACACGGTGAGTATACTGATTCGATGTGCACGCCCCACTGATGTTCTCATATGCTCCCTCCCCAGACATGGAGATACTAAGCAGCCCCATCACCTGATGACAAGCCCTTTCCATCTAAACCGCCTATACGCGTGACTCCGTCCCGCTCCCCCTCCCTCCAAATTCCAGAGCCAAGGTATTAGATCCTGATCCCCCTGTTCTCCCGTCCCCATCCCTCCTGCTTATCCTCAAATACAGGCAGCGCCGCCCGTTTCTTGACCCACACAGGCCGGATCGTCGGCCCGAGGTCTGGACCATCCCCCTCTGTCCCGGTCGGAGGGGGCATACGGAGGGTATAGATCGTTTCGTCCGAGTAGAGGCCGGGCGTATGGGCTGATCCTGGGACAGAAGAATCGATAAGAAGTGGGGCGTTAGACGTTTGGGTAGATGTCTGGAGGGAGGGCAGGGGAAGATAAGCTGTCAACCTTCGATATCAGCTACGCTTCGACGTTTGCAGAGCCGTTAGCTCACTGCTCATACGCCTGGCCCAATACTCCCGTCCACCCATACACCCCACTAATCCCCGGCATGACGAGCCTCCAGAATGCCGCCTCCGCATGCGAGCTCGCGGCCGCTGCGAGACTCGCTGGGTCCATATCTATCGCGGACGGCCAGCTTATACCCTGCGTCACGCTGCTCGGGAGTCCGGAGCCTGCGACGCCGCCAGACCCACCGCGTGGGAGCGTTGAGAGACGGGGGAAGAGGTGTAGGATGCGAGAAGGGAAGGGGGAGTCGGTGCTCGTTGTGAGGGTGGAGCTGTGGGTTCGGAGTGTGGAGTGAGGGACGGTTGTTCGTGGTGTTCGGGGGATTCGGGGAGACGGGATGTAGGGCGGGAAGAGGTCGTTTAGCTGTTTGGGTAAGCTTTGGACCGAGGACGGAGTCGGTAAGGTGGGAACTTACAGGTGTATCGGTCTTGACGTACGCTACTACCACTTCCCTATCCTTCCCTGACCCTTCCTCGCCTACCGGCCCTTCGAACCGCAATGTCCCCCGCGCGGTCCAGAATGAAGCATCATCCGTCATCCAGCTGCTCCTCATTCCTCTTTGTATACGCTCCGCCGGAGTCCCTCCTCCTCCTCCCTCGGCCGCCGTAGGCAAGGATGTCCCGCCCTGCTCGGTAATGGTAGAGGGCGCGCCAGCGAACGTCCTCAGAGAGAGGTCCGAAATGGAAAGGCGATAGCTGTAGGTCGGGTCCCGCCGTTTTGGCCCTTCCTCCCCTACTGCCACCGCCGACCCTGTAATGTCGTGCCCGCGTAGTGTATCGGTATCTGATTCCGACACCTCCTGATCCCTCGTCCCCTCTTCCCCAGGCGAGGCCGGCGTCAATGTCCCGATGATCTCGTTTGTAGTCGGATCGATGAGGATGACAGACCCGCCTTGGGGCTCAACCTCCCCGGACTTTGGGAGGTTACAATCTTGCGCAGGCGCGGACGGAAGAGGGGGAGTGCACGGACGCTCCGGGCTTTCTTCAGGGGCAATGGCGAGGGGGGCGGTTTCGGCGGGCTCGAGCGCGGCGGCAGACATGATTGAGAGAGTGTGCTTGGTGGCTAGTTGTTGTCGAGCTGTTGTATCCCAAGTAGCGGAGTGTGTATTCCTGTATGTTGACAGTGACAGTGAGACCTGTTATCATGAGAGCCTGAGAGCGAGAGACCCCCTTTAGCGTTTCATCAAAAGCTAGGGTGGGGCTCGGCGATACGCGTTTCAAGCTCGAACCTGCCAGTCCAGATTGCGAAGACGCCATTCGCCATCGATGAGGCGAGATCAGCTAGCACTTCCACTGTGTGCATTTCTCCACTATCACCATACTAGCTGTCAGATACTGATGAGATGAAGAGGCAATAATGTACTCAAGCAGAGCTCATGCTGCCTGCGCTGGCGAGGGCGCACCAGATGTGAGGAATGTGGGGATTACGTCATAGCTACCACGTGGCCGGCTGACCCACTCGTGCGTTGCCGCCAGCTGAGCGGTGCTTCTCCTTTCTGCCTTGCTCCATCCATACAGTATCCTATCTTACCCCCCTAACCCATACTCACACACATTATCAAAGACTCGTATCTTGTTGGCGACATCCACCCAATCATATCCGTGCTTGTCCGCTTTACGTCCCTTCTCAAGGAGAGGCGAAAGTTGTCGGTCCCGGTCTTTTGTTTATCGGTCACCTGTCGAGCACAAGTCCTAGACTGCACATCCACACGCTAAACCATCTCAGCAGAGTAAGCATCGTGCCTCTTGATATTGAGGCCGTAAAGCTGACATGCCAGACTATGCTACCCACGCCGACACGCCCTTCTACCACTACCTCCAATCACAACCGCTCGCCACATCGCAACCCCCGGCCCCCTCACATTCAAGCCAAAGCAGGACCCAGCCGGATCTCTACTTCGACACCTTCCCTATCCCGACCCTCCTCATCCGCAGGACATAGCCGGTCCCGAAACGACCACACAACCAAGCCTGATCCCTCATCCTTACCTCTATCCCCGGACCCAGACCTAGAATCTGATCGACATACGTACACGAGTATGGCGGAACCGGCGTCACCCACGCCTACGCCGCGGCATAGTGCGAGAAGGCGGGGAAGACCCGCGCGGACGAGGGGAGGACAGCAGCGCGCCGCAGGAGCAGGAGAGGAGGAGTCGGAAGAAGGTACCGGAGAGGATGAGCTGTTTGGGCTGTTGGGGATGAGCGGTAGTGCGCCGCCGCGTGCATCAGAAGGCGAAGAGAAGGGGAACAGTGAAGAGAATGGGAGGAAGGGGGTGTTGGCTGTGTCGAAGGCGGATATCGAGGCGAGTGGGGCACAGTCGAGGACGAGGGAGAGGAAGTCGGTGCCTCGGCCGAATGGAGCGGGCTCGGACCAGAAGGTCACGGCGATGGAAGCGGGCACGAGCGGTGGACCAGAGGCTAGGGTAGAAGGAAATGGAGGGACACCGCGGAATCGCCGCGCTCCCAAGCCCAGGACAGGCAGGCAAGCCGTACTCCCCGGTGCCGCATCCGCCGATTCGACTGCGCAGTCCGAGAGCGATACACCCCACACCGCCAGCCAGTCCACCACGCCCAAACTGCGCCAAGCTCGGACAGGTCGGAACTCTACCAAACCCCAGCCCGGGCCCGAAACCCACTCCCGGGCCTTATCGGGCCTTTCTGCCCAACTCGCTGCGCACCCATCCTCCGGCTTCGACTCCAGCTCCAAACCCTCCGTCTCAACGATCCCCTCATTTTCACTCCATGCCTCCTCCTCCTCTGGCACTTCGACGGCATACGACCTCACCTCTCTTTCTCGATCCCTACCCAGCGACGCGCTCTTTGCGCCCTCATCGGGCTCCACCGTCCGTGGTGGGACACCGGTCATGGCGGAGCGGGGCGGGTTTGGGGGGACGACGACCCCGCACAAGGCGGCGGCGGCCAAGGCGCGCCGGAAGAAGGGGGTGGACAGCGAGGATGAGAGTAAAGTGTGGGACGAGCCGACGGACGCGGGACCGGCTGTGGCGCAGGATATGACTGTAAGTTTTTTCGATCAGAAAGGGGTGTAAAGCGTAATTGATCGAGAAATAGTGGCAGCAGCAACTTGGATCTTATCCTTATGCCGATTCTGTGTCCGCCTCTGCGTCTGTCTCTGCGTCTGCGTCGGGGCCATCTCGACGAGATATCCCACCTGCAACGGGTACTACGTCTGACTCGGAGCCTATCCCAGCTGGGACTTCGACCGGAAAGTCCAAGCGAAGCCGAGCGGCCCGGCCCGTCCCCTCCCCTCTCAACCCATCTCATTCCCCTTCCGTCCGACCCACCCATTCGCGCCGCTCATCCGCCGACGCCCTCCCTACCGCCCCTCACTCGCGACACCTCTCCTTCCCTCTCCAAACCTCCCGACCGCCCAGATCAGCAAACGCCCACGCCCACGCCCACGCCCATGCCCATGCGCCCCCGCCATCGGCATACCAGCCCAGCACCTTCGATACCCTCCCGCCCTTCAATCCTGCGCAGAACGTCAGGAGGGCGCCGCAGACCCCGGCAAAGGGCGGTCTGGCGCACAAGTATGCGGTGATGGAATTGCCGCTCCTTGCTGGAGGATTTCCACGGATGCGGTCGGAGCCGGGGTTGGCTACTCAGAGTGGGGCATCACAGGGTGGGCTGGGAAGTGGGAGTGGGAGTGGGAGTGGGAGTGGGAGTGCGAATGGGCTATCGGGTCTAGCGGGGAATTATGCGGGTGCGGACTTTCATAATTCGCCTCATGGACGAGCATTACCCAAGCCCGACATGGAGGATTTCTGAGTGGGGTGTGTGGCGGAGATGAAGGAGAACGGGGAAGGAGGAGGAGGGAGGATGTCGGAGAGAGTGAAGGATGCGCGAAGGGGTGAATAAGGGGTGGGGAGATGGCCAGTGGAGAGGGGGAATGGAGTATACGGTCAAATCAATCAACGTTCAAATCGGTCAAACGGGTCTACGCGAATGGCATAACGACAAACGGACATCACATCAACATCATCTACAGCTACAACCTATCCGCCGTCCTCCAACCATCCTCCAACCGATCGCCTTCCCAAATCTCGCCTGTTGGACGATCCACCAATCTGGGATCTTGCTCGGTCGACGCCGTCTGTCCCGTGTCAGGGATCAGGTTTTTATCGCCTGCCTGCGTTTATTAGGCGGGAAGGGGGCTGGATCGGGTAGTATTGTTTAGATGAGGAGGGCGAAGGTGTGCTCAGGAGGTAGAGCGCGGATGGGGAAACGGGGCGGGGAAGGGGGCTCGCGGTCTAGGCGTCGGGAAAAGGTGACGCTCGGATGGGACGGAGAGAGGGAGGTCCGGAGAGGAACGGTGGGATGGCGAGGTGTGATGGGAGAGTATCGCGGTGGCGGGATACTAGTCGAGAGGCTCAACCCTCTGCGACGGACGAGGGGGATGCTTAGGGGAGGACATGTAACCTGTTTTCCTCCGCCAGCTGATTCTGCTCCGACCTTGGAATGGTTGACAAGTACTGATAACGCTCGACTTGGACATGATACTCTTTCGTCACAAGATTATAGGGCATTGATAACTAGGCTATGTGTATGATAGGTACTCAACAAATTAGATCTTTCCTCCCCTCCGCACTTGGCCTCGCGCACCCACCTGCCCTGTCCTCTTCAAACTTTGCTCAATCTACAACATCCCGTCAGGTCCACCCCCTGTGGCTCTACGCCCCCAGCACCTCGATAGCATAAACCGTCACCCTCCCCTGATTATCGCTACTCCCCTCGAACTCGAGCTTGAGCTCCGTCAACCGGGGGACTGTCCACCCTGACGCCATCCTCTCTCTGACCACGCCCGACTCGTCCGACTGTACCCTCTCTATCTCCTTCTTCCCGCCAGCGCCCGAGCCGTTGACCTTGGCAGCACTGGTAGATGGAGAGGAAGGCGAGCCGAGAGTAGACGATATAGACTTTTGATACCCCGCGGGCAGGTTGTTGATTGCTGCAGGGTGCATCGGGGCGGGCGATTTCCGGCCTTCAGGGTTGGGCGGGCGTTCGGTTGTAATGGCGAGATCGTCGGTGGAGAGGGATACGGGCAGGGAGCCGGTATTGGGCGAGATGAGCGTATTGGAGGGGTATGGTATTCTGTTGATCAGCTACTTGTCTATGCCGCGAGCCCCGGGAATCTTAGATATATCAACTCACTCAAACACCTGCCTGCTTAACTTATCCTCCGGATACACTCTCCGAGCCATCATCAGCCCCAACTCCACCTCGGAGCTCCCCTCCCTCGGCGCCATCGCCACATACACCATCACCGCGCTCGCGGCGAACCCGCCCTGGAACGTGATGGCGAAATGGGTCGCATTGTGGAGTGGGGTCGGGAAGGTCAGGTGGAGGGAGGACGGGGACGTGGAGGAGGTCCAGGCGGACTCTTGGGAGGATGAGGGGGAGAGGAGGGATTTTTTAGAGGAGCCGGGCTGGGAGGGGGTGGAGGAGATGCGGGTCTTGGAGTCGGCGAGGGAGCGGAGGGACATTGTTGCCTGGCGGAGGGAGGGAAGGAGGTAGATCGGATGAGATGGGCGATAGATGTATATATGGTAGTCGTGGTTGATCAGATCAGATCAGATCAGGTTCTTTGGAATCAGGAGCTGAGCTTTACGGTAGAGATCTAGATCCTAATGACGTCTATTCACCGTGCCTGTGCCTGGAATAGCATAGACGGCATTAGGGATTATCCTAATGGCATTACCTTTCTGGTAATAGGATTAGCATTTTGTAATGATAATTAGCTACTCAATTACCACTAGTATTATGACTTTCTCACGATGTCCAACTGATCCCTTCGCCTGAATTTCGGATCGCCAATACTGAGTAGCTCCAGCTCGCATCCACACAGCATACCACTTACCCCACGATACCCACCATGTCCCGCACCGTCCCATCCGCCGCGTCCCTCCTGCGCGCAGCTTCAGCCCCCGCGCCCGCTCTCGCCGGCCGCAGCTCCCAGCTCGCCCTGAGCGCATCTCGCGCCCAATTAGGATCCAAATCCACCTTACACACCTCTCGCCCTTCCCTCGTTCCCCAGACGACCAACACAATCTCCATCGATCCCCGGATCATCGATGGGAGCGCCGGGTTCCTGCCTAAAGAGAATGTAGACCGCCTGGTCGAGTGGCAGACCGGCTTATGGGAGAGGTTAGCTGCGGAAGTCCGGAGTATGTCCATCTTCGTCGAAATTCGGGGCCGGGGAAGAGCTTATGCTGATGAGATAGACAATCCCGGACTGCGGGAAGTCAAGCAAAAGTGGGACAGGGGACGGTTGGACATGACCGCCTTATTGGCGTTGACGGCCAAGGACCCGAGTTTGACCTTGGCGTTCAATTATGCGTCGGCTCTGCTCAATAACAGCTATTTCTTGGAGAGCATAGTAAGCCTTGCCCTTTGGCCAACTACATCTCGGGAATAAGTTGGCTGACAGTCAGAACCCATCAGACGAGCAATCCGTTTCTAGCTTTGCCGAGCAGAACGCTGCGGCCCTAAAGGAGAAGGTAGAAGCGTACGCAGATGGGATCATCGGCGGCGGATGGCTCTGGGTAAGTGGCCATGACAGACACTCCACGATGGCCCAGCTGACACCTCAGCTCGTCCGTACAGGCGTCAACTATACCGACCTCGACATCCTCCCGACTTTCGGCGCCGGCACCCTCCTCATCACCCAGCGCTCCCAAATCGGGCGAGACAATGTCCCCATCTTCGGTACCCCTTCTTCTTCATCCTACCCATCCGACGCCTCCCCCTCATCCTCCGAACCCCTGTCGTCCGCGGACACACTGGCCGACAAGCCCCCAGCTACTCCGACCCGGCCACCCCTCAATCAAGCGACAGCGGCGCAGCAAATGAAGGGACGAGCGTTAGAACAGCGGCAACTGGATGCGCGCAGTCCGATTCTGCCGGTCCCCCTGGCGGTGCTGAATCTGCACGAGATGGCGTATCTGGGAAGCAAGTATGGGGTTTGGGATAGGAGACGGTATGCGGGGGACTGGTTTAGGAGCTTGGATTGGGCGAGGATCAGCGTGCGGGCCAAGAGCGGGTAGGGGAAATGCATTGGCCCAATCTTGAGGGTCTGCGAGGTCTCGGCTATTCGTACTGACTGGCACTGATAGCATCACTAAGTCTCATTCGACCCGTCCGGCCCTGGGCCTTGTGAGAAGTCGTCTCCCAAGAGGATCTTGGGGTCTCGGCGAGGATGAGGGACTTGCGCAAAGTGCATACATGATTTCACGGCAATAGAGATACACACCCTAGTCCAGCGTCTTGCGACTAAGCACCGACCTAATCTCTCGATGTTGCTGCATCCACGCAGGGAAATCGGTCTGGTCCAACGGCACTCCTTGCTCCTTTGACTCGAGCAGGAAATTCGTCAAGACAATAAGCGTTCCATCTGCGCCTGGTCAGTCGAGGTTCTGGAACATACAGCAATCCTGAGACTCACATCGATACAAGTAGTTGACGGCTTGACTGACGAGCGGACGAAGCTTGGCTGATCCAGCGGGAGCGGCATCGACCTTGAGCTTGAAGCTGTACGCATCAGCTCGCCCTCCTGATTACTCAAGAAGAAGGGACACTCACTCATACACCGCCTTTCTCAAGTTCTGTACGCCCTCCATTTCATCCACCGCCCGGTCGGTCAGACGTTTGGCCTCTGTACAATCAGCTTCGTCTCCTTCCTAAAATATAGGAATAGTCGGACTCACGTTTACCATGGCTCAGCACCGTGACTAGCTGCAAGATGGTCTTATATTCGCCTATCATATCAGCGCGATTCCCCTTTCAATGAGACCTCTAGACTCACCGTTCAGATACTGTGCTTCTTCTCCGCCCATATCGTCCGCCTCGCTCCAAGATTCCTCGACATCATCCGACGTGTCGACCTCTGTCCGTCCCGCTTCGACAGTGGCGATCAGTGATGCAGCGACCATCCCAGTGGTAGTCCGTCCTCGGCCCATCTGACAGTTGAACCTAGCATGTCAGCTCCCCTCCGGATCTCCCAAGAGGTAGGAATGCTCACACAAAGTCAGACTCGTTTGAGAGTCCCCGCGCAACACGGTCAACAATGACCTGGAGGCTGGCGGGTAAGGGCGCCTGCTCATCCGTCTACGGTGTCAGGGAGGGTACCATTCACGAGTCGACTGCCTGAGAAGCTGCACTCACAATAGCCACACGCAGATAATCCACCTGATACTTCTCCTTGATAACCTCCTCATATAGCTCTCGAGGAGTCATGATATCCTTCTCCTCGATAGTTTCCCAGATCGGCACAATCTCGTACGTCCCCGGCTTGGTCTCCATCTCGTCATGCAGTAGAAGCTTGTTGCCTCCTGCCCGGAGCTCGCGCAGGACGTCCTCTTTCAGATTGTTCTCCATACGCTCGACGACAGCAGCGGTCACCCCGGTAGTTCTGGGGCATCAGCTTGACTCTCGGCACTTCTAAGGGGAAGCCACCCACTCGACATTGTTGAGCGGCTTGTCAATCAGGCGGAGCACGTGCGGTCTGTCCTTGACATACTACGTGATCAGCCGCAGCAACTATCGTCTTCGCGCTGGACGCACCAAGACAGGTTCTTCTCTCAGAGAAGTCCATACGATCCGCTTCTCGCCACCCGGAGCCGCGCCCATTCTGGCCAAGGCATTCCTGAGACCTGTCCCGCTTGGCATACTAGGAGGTCAGCTCGGCTCAGCCATCCTTGTGCTGTCCAGAAACTCACCCGGTACCGTAGACATATCGCTCAGCGGGCGGCAGATCGGTGCTTTCGGTATCTTCATCCTCAAACGGCGGAGTGAGCGGCATCTTGCGGTAGTTGGCAGCACCGTCAACTCGACTGAGAGGGTCAGCTTTGCTGTAGACCACCAGGGGGTATAGTTAGCTCACTCTGGGAGACTCTGCTTCTGCAGTCCGGAGAAGAAGTCAGACTTCAGTATTGTCTGAGCAGACAAGATCCCTCCAGATCGATTCGCAACCACCTGCGCAACCTCATCTGGCAGCTATACGATCAGCTACGACCCTTCGTACCAACCGTAGGCAAAAGTAGCTTACCGCCATCCCATTCGCCAACTCCATCCTATCAATAGGCGTCAATCCCTGCAATCCACCATGCTCCAACTCCGTCTCGAGCGTCTTGAAGACAGGCCGGTGCTTGACCCATGACTCGAACGAGTAAGGGTTCTCTTCGTCTGGCGCGCGATCGTCGAGGTACGCTTGGAACAGGAGGAGATAGTAGTATCGGCGTAAGTGATAGATACCTGCTCTGTCAGCTTCCTGGCCAAAGAATCATCCAGCCAAAGCCAACTCACCCTGGTCCAGATACAAAGCCTTCTTTTCGGGATCATCTGCCTCTTCCGCCTTCATCCTTGATTCCAGAATGGTATCCCTCAGATTAAAGTGTGCAGCAGCAGCGTCCACTGCCTCATCCACAACCTATCCCATCAGCTCTTGCTACCCTTCACCGGCCGGATCAGTACTCACCCGCTTCACTTCCACACCATTCCGAATCACCCTCAAACAGCTATTGATAATCTGCCAACTCGCCCTGTGTGGCTTCGCCGCCGCGCCGACCGTCAATTTCCGCTGCGTGCCCGCGGTCGATCGACCCCTGGATAGGGTGGGCGGATGGGCGTGCTCGTGTCCCGCGCGCCGGAGCCATCGCTGCATTAGCAAGAGCATGATGGCCGTTGTCGAGCTGCGCCCGCGGCCGAGCTGGTCGTTCAGGATGAACGCGGTGTTTTGGAGTCCGCTCCGCATGCAGATGTCGAGAAGTTGGGAAATATCATTGAACTAGATCGATCAGCTCGGTGTACTGACAGCCGACAGAGATAGGAGGTAGCTCACATCGGGCGATGATTCCGAGGTGACGGGAACGCGGAAAGAAACCAAGTCCAAACCGTCCGTCGAGCCAGCCAGGCCATCCATCACGTCCTTGATACTCTCCACATCCCCAGCCTCGACGCTCTCCCATACTGGAACCACCTCTCCATTCGACGTTTCCGTATGCAGTAGGACCTTGCCCTGGAATTGGCCAATCTCATTGATGACGTCCGACTTGAGGCGGTCTTCGAGCATTTCGAGGCGCGAGGCCGAGACCCCGGCATAGTCCCGCATATGCCGAAGAGCCATACTGCCTCGACGCAAACAGTACGGTGAGCCTGAAAATCAGTTGATGTCGTCACAAGCGATGAGAAGACGCACCGTTGATCATGACGAGCGGTTCTTCTCGGAGACAGATCCAAAACACCTTGTTGACGGATGGACATCGCTCGGCAACTTGCTTGACGATGATGGAGAGGGCATCCTGGGTTGGCTGGCCAGTAGTGAAGATGGACGAGCCGGGGACTTGTCGGAACCCGACAGCGCCTCGGACCCCTTCGGATGAGGGTGCGATATCAGTAAGCCATAGATCGGATTTCTGTGAGTCAGCTACTGGACGCTGTGTACATCGGGGTCAGGATTACCAGTAGCGTCCTGCTCAGTCAGCTTGTCACCCGAAAAAACTTGCAGGAACTCCAGCTCACGATGCCCGCAACATGATCCCGCTCCGATTTGTGACGACATGCTCCGCCCATTCATCACCGAGCACCTTGCCACCCTGCAGATCCATCTCTCTCGGTCGACCATGCGGGCGGTCGCTGGCACCTTCGGCATGCTCAGATGTCCGAGAGATCTGGCTGAGATCATTGACTGGCGCAAAGGCGGCGAGGCGATTTCCAGATTGTCGTCTCATCGTCTTGATTTGGCTGTCTGTCAGTCACGTCCAATTCGGATGCTCACTTGTAGATCTCGGGTCGATTCTGTGCTGTCAGCTACCATACTTGCAAGGTAATAACGAGCAGCCAATTTACCATAAGCCAGGTCGCAAACGCTACGCCAGTACTGCCTGCCTCTTCCTCCTCGATATAGGCGGCGAAGACGATGAGGTCAAAGTACTGCTCAAGCTGACCAGTCAGCTGAAATACGCCTACTCTGCCGTTGGTAGGCTCACCGACCGTATAGCCCGTCCGAGAAGAGCTTGACGAGCCTTGTCATCCAGCGAGGCCGCGCTGTATCTGATGCGGTGCTCGATGACATTCTCGCGCAGATTGGTAACAGCATCACCTGGAAGTGTCAGCTATCTGGTGGTCCGCCTTCGGGGCGCGTTCACAGAAAGCTACTCACAGCTGTCAATGACCTCATCTACCAGCTGCTTCATCTGGCGCCCATGATCCAGACTCGAGATGAGCGAAAGAACGATCTGATAATTGCCCATATGTGCCTTACGCAGCTGCTCCAAGAGGGCCGGCTGGGAAGCTAGGAGATCGACTGCTGTTCCATGCCGAGATGGCAGATCTGGATATCAGCTCTACAGCCCGACGCGACGACTCACTTCTATCCAGAACCTGCGTGAGCTGGAGGAGGCTCTTGGTGAGGACCTGCTGCATTGCTGCTTGCTCCAAAAAGTGGCTAGCTTGAGATTGCTGCACACCCGGTAGTCCAACGATGCTTGATGGCTGCGGGTCAGTCAATGGGCCCAGGATAGGGGAGAGAGGTGTACGTACAGTTGCTAGCCCAGACTGTCCCGATGCCTTGGGGAAGGCGTCTTCGTATCCCCTCATCAGGAGCTGTTTGCGCCGAAGCAGACTTGCGGCGACCATCGCGAAGGTTGCTACGGGTCAGCGCATTCCACATTGACGCATAAGAGAGCTCACTTCGGACAACTCCCATTCCGCAATTGAAGACCAGCGATGTACTCGTAGGGTCGACGTCCTTGATCGCTGTGACGTAGGCGTCAAGATATGCATCCTAGGGATCAGCTTCTCTCAGCTCGATTTGAATTCAAAGGGGCAAAGCTCACCTCGATCGGAGTATCAGGAGTAATAGGAATCCGGTGGTACTGGACTCTCCAGCCCTCGTCCTTGACCCGCTCATACACCTCCCTCGGGGTCCGGATACTCCGCTCATCCACGCTCATCCATGTTGGTACCAGATGACCGTTCTCCAGCTCATCATGGATGAGCACCATCCCGCCATACTTCCGTGCTTCTTCCAGGATCTCCGATTTGAGTCGGTTCTCGATGTCTTCGAGGTTGACGGCGCGGTTGGAAAGGTTGAGTGATTGGAAAGGGTTGGAGGCATCGCGCAGGACGTAAGGTCTGCCATTACTGCCCTGTCAGCTCGATCTTTCGTCGTACAGGAGTCGCAACTGACCAGTAGACTATGCGGATCAGCTTTGCCATTATGTATCTGAGCCGCATAACGCACCGAGTGTCTCTTCCCTCGTGCTAAACCAAATCGCCTGTCCCTCCTCCTGAACAGCGAAAGTACTCGATGCCTTCCTCTGGAATGCCGGCTGGGATAGCACCTTCTCAAGTGATCGAGCACCAGGAGGGACGCTCGATGGCTTCTGCGTGGAAGATGATGCGCGCCGCGAGCTCGGTGCAGGTGGTGGAAGGATATTGTCCGGCTGACAGCCGAGGATGGTCAGGATCGACTTGAGGCCTGGTACAGTTGGCTGAGCGACGCCAAAGACATTCAACCCTTCTTCATCCGGGGCTCGAAAGTTCGGTGCGCCTTGGATCTCCAGATCGAGGTCGAGAGCTCGGCCAGTGGGGTAATGGTCTGAAATTAGCTGCTAATTGGATCCCTGGAGTAGGCATGTCAGCTCACCGGTCTTTAAGATGAAGCTGAGGAACATCAGCTAGAAATCCCTTCTGTGCATTTTCGAAGAGACTCACCCTCTTCCTAAGACACCACCAGACCTCCGTTTGACCACACCATCCACCTCCTTTTGCAAACGTTGCTGAATACCCAGTACCCTGCGAGGCTTTACTCCAGGCAGAGGCTTGGAGCCGGAAGCCTGACGCGAGCCTGAAGAGGAGGCGGAGGCTTGTGGGTTCTGCAGAGTGTATGGGTCAAAGGAGAATTGCCCAAGCGGTGACGGTCGATGAGCAGGGGAGGTGACTGAAGGAGGGGGAGATTGAGGGAGCGTGCCGCGGTCCGCTTGCGGAGGCGCCGAAATGGATCGATTCAGCGCGGTAGACGGCTGACCGGGCGTGGATCCGGGTACCATACTGTATGCTGTAGCTATATAGGGGGAAGATGTTGAAGATCAAGGTCGCCTTAAGTACTGCAGCAGCAGCTGCTGGCAGTGTGGAGGACTACGTGGAGACCCCAGGCGGACAAGTTAGTGGCGCCAGCCGAGCTGGTTCCGGGGGACTTTGGCTTTTCCTCATGGGAAGCGCTCTGAGCGTAGAGAGGGAAGCGGCTCGCGCAATGGACGTACAGGAGTGCATGGATATCGAGAGGCTATAAATCGAACATATAAACATCGCCAAGGCTCCACGCTGCGGATGAAACCGAGAAGAACGGCGCAGGAGGCCGGGCGTGTGTATGAAGCAGAAGCTTCCCCTCTCCCTGTATCGTCTCCCCACCGCTCTCAGCAACAGTCACAGCGCTCTCATTGCTCCTGTCCAAGAAGATCTGACCCACAAGCTCCCCGATACCTTCCCCAAGATCCGGCGGTGCGCCCAGTACCTCGTAAGCCGCCCAATCCACGGGGTGGAGGTGGTACTGATCGCCCCGAGAAAGTCCGAGTTTGGTATCTTCCAGCACCGTCAGCCCGTATGGCAATCCGCCTTGATCTACCCAGACCACACCGTCTTCCAGAGGGATGTCGGCTGTGTCGACATTCCCCCAAGTTTCTCCGTACCGGATCAAAGGCAATGTGTCCAGAGGCCGAGATGCGAGGCTGGAATTGGTGACAGGCCACTGCTTTGGCGCGATGATCTGGTATCGTGTGCCATAACCGCTGCGAGCCGCTCCGCGAAAATCGGTTTCCGTTTGCCAAGCGGGACGCAGCTGGAAGATGCCGACTGAGGATGGGATGACGAACAGAGAAGGTGATTCGTAGGCGGGTTCGGTTGCGGTAGATCGCTTTGAAGTCCACCTCAGTGATTGTCGATTGGGCTCGTCGAGGGTCGGACAGTTTTGGAGTGTATACAGGACTTCGTCTCGGAGCTGTCTCGCAGAGATCGTTTGGCTTGAGGGGGGCAGCGGGAGCGGGCTGGTGGAAGGTGAGGTACCTGGGAAGAACGATGTGTAGTCCTCGAGCTTGAGGTCTTCGAAGTTGAGGTCTTCGAGGGTGAGAAACTCGCGCACATCGCCATTGAACAGATCGCCCTTCGTGCAGTCTTGGTCGCATTCCACGCAGTCTCTTTTCGCGTTCATGATGGAGGGTACGGTATGCTTAAGGGAAGGATATGTATGATTCTAGGGTTGCATCGAAACATAAGTACTGGGACGTCTGATCGCCTGTCCTGCAAATGAGTCGCCCAAATTCAAGCAGAGCTGTGCCCTTCATATACTGTTTCGTCCTCACTCCTTTCAAGTTTTGCACCATACTGGCGCACGACACAGCCCCGGCGGAGTTTGTGGTGTATAGCAGCGCTCTCACCATGGAGACCAGACCCAAAGGATCAATGGTACCCACCTGTGCCACTGCTGCTCCAATACTCACATTGACAGCAGTCATGGTGCGCGCGTAGGGAATGGCCATAGGGTTAGACATTGCAAAGCTGTCAGGTCGAAAGCGTATCGATCATCCCAAGATTCTGACTCGTCCGTCTCGTTGCACACGATTCGACTGCGGTCTGTATGCATCTATTCACAGCTAGTACCCAATTGAAAGGGGCCATACCATCTCAAGATCATTCATTCCGCTCGACTTTCGGACGTCATCTCGTCGACGCCACACAGCTGGCGCCATCGGGCCATCGGGCTCGCCGACCTCGAAGCCGACCGAGCGGGTATGGAAGAGTACTTGACGAGACCCTCTCCATGTACTCCCGTCGTCGTCATCCAATCTTCCGCGCCCGTCCTGTCGATCAGGATCGGGCCGACCATTGTCCTTCCAGAGATGGTCTCCTTTGGCTCCAGCCGTTCGAACAGAGACCACGTTGTGGCCTCCAGCGGGTAGGCACCCGGCTGCACAAGTGCGGCGGGGAAGGCGTCAGCTCCAACACTCAAGGCTTGGGGCTGGCCACTGGCGTTCCTTCGGACAGTCACCATACCCTCTGAGCACTCCATGTCGAAACAGGTCTCGCCCGAGGTCCCGCTGGCGAGTTGAGTGAATGAGAGGCTTGCCACCTTGTCCGGGCCGTCGCACGACGGAGGGGGCAGCTCAACCTCGAATTCACGCCACTCGAGCCCAGTCCTGGTGGATCCATCTGAATACTTCATGGTCGTCGGTGAGAGGGCCTTGAAGGTGTATGTAGCGCTCTGCGACGGGAGGACTTGGAAGCATGGAATGACCTCGCGGTGCGGGGGGAGGACTTGGAAGGGTTGGATCACCTCGCCATCCCGGGGGTACCAGGTCAGGAGTTGCATGTTGGGGTACTCAGCGGTCGGGCAATCGTCCAGGCTGTAGCGAGAATGGGCGGTGGTCCACTGTGCGGGGTCCTCCTGCCGTCATCGGACCTCCATCGCTGGATGTCGGACTGACGGATCTGGATGCGGGTAAGGCCAAACGGTCAGGCCTTGTGGAGGCGTGAGGGGGCACTTGGAGGAATTGAGAAGTGTTAATGTTCATGGTGAATCCGAATTCCGATGCGTGGGTGGTGCGAAGGTAATTGGTGAGAGGTGTGATATGAAGGAGCGGTCGAGGATTCAACCAGGGGTGCTGTGATATAGCTGCGCGGACCCCGAATGTCCAAACACGAACCCTCGATCACCGTTATTTTCTCCCCTGACACTGCCCGCCACATCCGCCACACACAGTAGATCTGAGATTGAGCACTGCAATATCCTGACTAGCATGAAAGGACCGTAAATTGAAACACAGAGCGCCATTGTCTAGTGTATCATGTCAAAGACCTGACTACCTTTGTTCTGTCTGACAGTCCGCAAACACTTGTCGGTCTCCCGCAGTGCACGCTTGCGGTCGCAAAGCGGGGACGGAAAAGTCGTCCGGAGGGGTCGATCTCCACCTCAGCCCGATGTCCTTGTGACTCCGAGACACGGTTACTGGGTCGTGGCAGAAGAAGAAAACCAGATGCATCCAGATGTTAAGATCCAGACTACAAACCCCGTTGAAGAGACAACTCAATTATAGATTTACCCATCTAAAGTGTATTGGAGAGGGGGATCTTACAATCCGGTGTGCCCGTCGGGAGGGCCGCGGTAGTGCGACCGACCGCGAATGACGTACCAGATAACCGAGATGAGTGCGAAGCCGACAAAGACTACAGCGGCGTCTAGCTTGTCAGCGATAGACCCTCCAAGAATCGGGCAGACAGGACCCACAGTTCATGTTGACCTCGGTGACGGGGAGGATAGTCGGGAAGGACAGAATAGGGATGGCGAGGATGAACCACATGATGGCCACACTGACAGTTCAGCTCGTTTCCTCGTCACTTGGCCTGGACGGCGACTTACACATTCGCAGCAAACCCAATCTTGCCCTTATAGAACTTGGTGCCCATAATCTGCTTCCGTCCGCCGCAGAACGACAAGAGAATAGGCACAAAGCAAGATCCGCCGAGGCAGAGTACCGAGACACCGAGGAAGGCGTTGAAAGCGGCGGTCGATCCAAAGTAGATGCAGGCGAGGGCGCACTGGATGACCGATTGGAGGATGAAGCCGTTCAGGGGCATCTCGGCGCGCTTGGACGTCTTGCTGAGCCACTTTTGGCCGGGAAGACCGCCGTCACGAGCGAAACTGAGGATCAGCAAAAGCTCGGGATAGCGTGAAGAGACACTTACGCCCAGACGCATCGGGAAGTAGCCTGCGAGCAAGCAAGACCGCAAGAAAGACCGATGACAAGGACTGCGAATCAGCTGATGGCGTACACAACTTCGCAGATAAGCTCACTGAGGAAGAACAACCCAAACGCGGCCGAGTTGGACCCAGTAGCCTCGAGGTAGATCTCGGGCAAGGGCTGGCCAGTCGGGCTAGCGAGGATAGTCGCGAGGTCGCCCAGGGTGAACATGATGGGAAGGAGGAACATGAAGCCCAGGAGACCGCTGCTGGATTAGTGAAAGGGTCACTAGGTAAAGACCAATACAGACTCACTTGACCATGACACCGTAAAGCCTGATCGTCAGCACGGGTACGTTATGATCCCAGATGCACTCACATAGCTCGGGGGATGGTGGTCTCCGGAGACTTGGCCTCTTCAGACATGGCGGGCAACATTCCGGTGGCACTGAAGCAGTACGCGCCCTGGATGAGTCCAAGCACCCATTGCTGTTGGTCAGTCACGCTCCATAATTGATAGGAACAGACTGACCATTCCTACTGGCCATCCAGCGCCCATGTCCATGAACTCGGTGAAGACCTCCGCGGCCGAACGGCGACCTAGAGCAGCTTTAATCGGGAGCGTGATGACGGTAGCAAGCACACTGATGAAATCAGTCGGGATCTGACTTATCGGGCGCGATCAAGCTTACGCTGCGACGATCCAAGCAATGGTGAACATCTGATGATCAGCTTGCGGTACGCCAGACAGCTATACTTGGACTCACATCAACGTAAGGGAGGTACCGCTGGCCCAGGATAGCAATGACACCGAGGAGAAGGATCCTGATAATAAGCTTGTTTTCTTCCAGCGGAAAGCGGAAAGCGGGGACCCACGTCGCCCAGCACGCGAGAACGGTGTGCCACGGCAGGGGGACATAGTCGGGGTAGAACACTAAGATCAGCAAGGCCCAGATCCGGCGGGAAAGTGCTCACGAATGACCGACGACAGGATCAACTGGGTGGTGCTGTATCGTCAGCGGAGTCACCGTGAAAGCGGCATCCGCAGTACTTACGCAAAGTTGACAGCGAGGGTGACGGTGATGTTCCCGACAACAGCGAGCCATCCGACGATCCACGACATCAGAGGGGCCAGCTTGGGAGGCGCGAGCATGTATGACCAGTAGTATACGCCGCCAGAGACAGGGTATTTGGACGCAATCTCGCCGAGGGAGGTAGCGACGCAGACGTAGATGAAGGACATGATGATCCAGTCCCAAAGGGCGACAAGGGGTCCACCGTTTCCGAGCGTGTAGACTGACCGTCAGTGCTATCCAGAGCAGAAGGTTGTTCAGCTCACAGAAGGTGGTGGAAAGACCGTAGGGGACCGAGCTCAAGACGATAGTCATGAGCCAGAGATTCAGGAACGTCTTGGTCTGCTAGTTAGTGTGGGCCTGCAGAGCAGGGCAAAGGATAGCTTACTCGGGGCATCTCTTGGACATATCTGAGAGGTCAGACGAGCGCTTTCGCTGGAGAGGAAGGACTCACCCGAACTTTTGCTCGAGCAGGACACCATCCTGCAAGGCCTCCTGGTCCATAACATCCGCGACGTGCTTATCTGGTCGTCAGTCCCGCTTGATCCCTCCGGACATACCTTTCGCCTCCTCTCCATGATCCATAGCTCCAAGGGTGTGACTCATGCTCAGTACAGATGCCTATATACAATAGAGAATGTATAGATGCTGGAAAGTTATTATTGCACACATGCGGGCAACTAACTCTCTTGCCGAAACAGGCACACAACAACCCTCCGAGGTTTAGCCGAGCACGTTCCTGAGCCACGTGGAAGGGTGGCGAAAAGAAAAGTGGCGGTGGTCGTGCGACCACCCGCCGCACTAGGCCTGCGCAGGCAATACCTGCAAGCTGGGCGTGAGGCACGGAGAGAGGGATGGAGGCGAGGCGATCGTAGCACCTTCGACATCGACACATATAGCACCGCAGTCCAACAGTGAATGAGGTAAGTGCGAATAGTTCTGTTTCGAATCGTGACATACGTGTGATCCTCTGTTGAAGGGGTCGGGGCCTAGTCGTCACCGATGCACCTGCGCACTGTATGAACTCTGCCCAACGATCGCACCTGTAGTGCTGTCACCTCGACAGTAGCATGCGCGATTGAGCTGACGAAGTTCTCGCTGATAACGCCCCGGCATGGTCCGTCCCACTCGCCACTCTATCGTTTTGGAGAATGTGAATATTATCCGCCACTCAGCTCCGGGGCCCGAGCACCCAATAGTCCGATTCTCAACATGGATCGAGTCTTGTCCTTGATCGACTGGTCAGAGCGATGATCACACTCGACAGCTGGCCAGATACCAAAATAATCACAGTAAATACATCACGTCCAAGCTCGAGGAAACACAGATGTTGTAAACGATACTGGGGGACTCGTTCGTGACTGCTCAGCTCTGCCGCAGCCGCTGTCGCGCCACCTCATCACATGCTGCGGGCGGTCCCAACGCGGGTGTGCAGACTGACTGCGCAAGTACCGGAGACAGAGACGGTGTCGCCAACGGATCCAAAGTGCTGACCTCGACCGGGTACCATCGAGATATGGGTCACCTGGTTCCCCTTGCGGTCGACCACTGGAAGGCGCCCGTCGGTCAGCACCTGAAAGGTGGTGATGCCAAGATCTTCGAGCGGGTACCTCCCTGGGGTGAGATTGCTCGGCCTGCCTTCAACGACGGTCAGATGCGTGGGGTGGCCATCTGTATCGGACCTCTCGATGACGATGTCGGTCGCTGGAATCACGTGGATCGCCTTGTTCCCGGGTGTGTGCTCGACGAACCGGTATCTGCCAGAGCGATGGTCGCTGGTCTGCGCGCTCGCAGCGGTGTCATCCGTGGTTGTGATCGGCACATGGAAAATTCGATCGACGCCACACTAGGTGTGAGGTTTGGTGAGGATCTCGAAGGAGTAGATACGCTCTTGCGTCTGCCTCACGATGACGTCCATCAGGCTGTCGTGCGGGTCTGTATAGAGGAACAAGAGCTGTAGCCGTCGGGAGTTGACAAGGTCTTTCCGGTAACTTTGTTCGACAACGTATCTGGCTGGCGCGGGGGTTATGGCATGGGGCTGGACGTAAGCGGTGGAGTTCGCGTCGGTCGCGGGGTCAAAAGTCCCCGCTGCTGAGGCCGGGGCGATACTGGGAGTGGAAGACATAATGCGTCCTAAGCCAGAGGTGATCTTGACGAAGGGCTAGGGTGGGATGAAGTACGATTGAGGATTGATGATCGTGCGTGTACGTCCTTTTGTACACATATTTGACATTCCGTCCGCATTCTGCTCATTTGATGATAAGCACAGCCTCGCTGGAGCTCGCCATCATCAGACGCCTCGCACCAGAAAGCTGCGACAGCCGAGTAGTAGACACTAGTTGCTCCTTTGAGGCAGTGGTTCAGTACACCAGCATCGGTCAGTTTGGCCGTTGACTGCACCCCTTTGAATTCGATCCACGATTGTACTCTCGCGCATTTGAGATGCTCCTGTATCGACTGTCACCGCTATACTGTACAGAGGTGAAGGAGATACGAGGCTTACAATACCCCAGTGGCACTTAATGTCCGGACGTACGAGGCAATTCGACTCGTCGCTGGTCATGCGGGTACGCAGCCTGGGCTGCAAAGTCCGGTGGCGACTCAGCGATGACCTCAAAGCTTGAAGATCATCGTAGGCCATGGACGCTCTCCTCCGGACTGTACAATACAGCATGACCATAAAAGCAGAGAGTTACGCAAGCGTGGACTTGCAAGTTAGAGGCTTCGCGAAATCAATAGCCCTGAAGATTAGCCTTGCAGTCAACGTTTATCACATGATGGGGCACATATAAACTCGAAACGACTCAGCTATCTATCCACAAACTCGACCCGAACTCTGCAGAACAACCATCCCGACAAACGCACAGACGTGATCAGACGGTATGCTCCATGATATCACCCGAACCTCGCGTGAGAAAGCCCGGCGTGCACCTCGTCGTACAACCCGCGTCTGGGTTGATGGAGACGTAGCTCACGCGGCCGCCACTGATCCCTTGCACTGGCTCTTCGCCCACGACGGCAAACGTAGTCCAGCCCGTCTTCGAGAGGTTGTACTTGTCGGCCGGGATCCCGTAAGGATTCATGCTCTGGAAGGTCACGCTCACGGGCTCACCCCTGCTCCGGCGCCCCCTGTTGACGCGCATGCAGCCGATGGGAGTGCCTCGCGTCTCGGTCTCGAGCCCTCGCTCCGCATTGGCGCAGCGAGTGACTGGAACGCTCAAGTGACCCGCATTGAGCTCTGCGGAAGCAAGGAGTGTATCACCGGCAACGAGCTCGAAGGTCGAAGGGGATTGACCAGTGCTGTCAGGGACCTCGAAGCTGTAGACTTGGATGGGCATCTCGTTCGCCGTCACTCGGACGCTCTTGGGACCCTGGCTGCTGGGTTGCCACCACGACACCCACCTCGCGTTGGGGTTTGCGGGATCCTCGAGGTGCTGGAGTAGGTACTGGGTGTGCCCGCATTGGGTGGGAAGGGGGTTAGAGGTGGGGGCTGAGCTGGACATGTCAGAGAGGTTGTTGTGTGGGATGAAAGAGGATGTGATGAGGTGAATCTCTGTGGGTGGGTGGCAAGTGGTAGGTTGTGAGAATGATGTATGAAAGAGGGAGAGGATCCCCTGCCGTCCGCGCGTTTTGTTCGTGCTTTTCGCACTCCGCTAAGCCAAAGATCCTTTCTCCCTCACAGCTTGGTCTGACCCCCATATGCTGTGCACAGCATGACGTAGCCAATGAGAGCGTTCATCCTTTGTTACCAGTGAGGACTGGCATACTCCACCGGGATCAATCAGCTATCGTCAGTATCGTGCGCGGCCACGAAACATGAGCCGGCCAGCGCGTCGAGCCTGCTTGTCAGTCAGGAAGAGCCAGTAGCATCGCTGTGAAAGCCAGCAATCAGTCCAATAAGCCTACACACCAAGCCCACCATATCATCACGCAGGAACCTCTATACTCCCCACCTCCACCCGTTCCGCATCTGCCAACCTCTTCCTAAACGCCTCCACACCCCCATCTAGCCTCGCCGACAGCTCCTCATTCTCCCTTTCCAGCTTCATCTTCACCATCAGCTCAGATCCCTATCACCTCCAGCCTCCACCCCGGGATTATAAGGAGACAGACATACCACTTTCTCCTCTAATGTCTCGGCATCGGTCCCTAGTCCAACCCATGGATCATACTGGACCGCCATTATATCTTCTACGTTAATCAGCTCTGTCCCCTCCTCTCTTTCCCTCTTTCCCTCTTTCCCGCTTTCCCTCTTTCCCTCTTTGTCCCACTGCCTAATCAGAAAACTCACTAATCGGCTCCGGCCCGAAAATCTCCGCCAAAGTCTCCTGCCTCGCCCTAAACCTCCCCATCGCCAACTCTCGCGGATCCACCTCGTCCAGCCCATCCGCCCACGGCTCGACATCGTTTACGGTTGCCGCAGCGAGGGCGGCTTGGCGGTATGACTCTGAAGGGCGCGGAGCGGGGGGTTGGCGAGGCAGCATTTGTTGTGCTGGGTTTGCTTTTGCCTAGGACTTCAGCTGCGTTCTCACCAATACCTCAGGTCATGGACAGGGTAGCTCACTCTCTTCTTCTTATGACTCGGTCCAGCTGTCCCCGTTCCCGCCTGTCCAGCCCCAGCCCCTGGTCCAGCTCCAACTCCCTGTCCCCCACCCTGCTGATCCCTAATCGCCTGCTGCTGCGCCTGCATCATCCCCATCGCCTGCACCTGCTGTTCCCGCGTCATTCCCTGCATCCCCGCGAACCCCGCTGGCGGGATTGGCACCTGAGGCGGACCCATCTGTCCAAGACCTGCTCCCCCTGCTCCCCCTACTCCTGCAGTTCCCCCAGCCCCACCGCCTAACTGTCCCTGTCCCTGCCCCTGATACTGCCTAGCCTGAGCAGCCATCAACGCCGCGATCTGCTGTTGATGCTGCTGCTGCTGCGCCGCGTACGCCTGCGGTGGGATGCCCTGCCCGCCCTGCCCAGGGGCACCAGTCGGGAAGTTTGGCGGCCGCACTTGTTGCTGCTGCTGCTGCTGTTGCTGCTGGAGCATCTGGGCGTAGGCGGCTTGTTGCAGCTGTTGCTGGGCTCCTCCTTGGCCTTGCGGTTGGGCGAATGAAGGCTGGCCCTGCCCTTGTTGGCCTTGCTGCTGCTGCTGTTGCCAAGGCTGATTTTGCGGGTAATTTTGGGGGAAAGATGACTGTCCGGCCGGGTATGAGCCGTACTGAGCCTGCTGTGACTGCTGATTGTAGCTCATAGTGCTGCAGATGTATATGATGAGAAGGCAATAAGAGGCGCGTCTTGTCGCTTGTCAACATCAGGTGGCGGGTTGATACGGCTTGGGTAAATGCCACGTCATGCCTCTTCACCTTGCCCCGCCCAGCCAGCAGCGTTCCATCTTTTTGCTTGGGGCTATACATCGGGTCAACAACGAGGAGAGCATAGAGCGATAAGGGGTATACGCCGGGGTAGGATAGGTGAGCTGTCCATGCACAGGATACGCGCGAAAGAAGCTGACGAATCAGGCCATAATGCTGCGTGTTATCCGGAAAAGACTGGCTTCCCCCTCGCTCGTTCCGAGGGGGTCAGCCCACCGGCTAGCCTCGGCATCAGCTCTCTCAAGCTCGCAGCCCGCCTCGCTCGCTGTCGAAGAGCCATACGGACAAGCTTACGGTGCTGGGCCCTCCCGCCTCCCATACATCAACCCCTCAGCGGCTGGTCCAGCTCCTGACCACCCACCACTGCTGCCCACCCGGACCCGCCGCGAAATCCTCCTAGCCACACGCGAGCTCCGACGTGTCCTATCCATCTCCCAATCCATCGGGCAATATGCCAACCCCACCATCTTCTCACACCACCTCCGCAAGGCCGATCTCCGCTTTACGACTGAGATGTCCCGGCTCGAACTCCACGCGGTGATCCACCACCTCATGCGTCTCGGGCGCTCCACCCTCGCCCTTGGCATCATCACCCAAGTGATCGATTCCGGCGCCGCATCCCGTCCTCAGATCCGGCATCTCTTTTCGCAGCGCACACTACGCATGCTTCTCCTGTCCGAAATGGCTTCACACCAATTGTCCGCGTCAATCCGGTCTGCCGGGCCCAAAACGTCCATCAAGCTGGAGAGGCTGGTGGATCTCCTCCGGTCTCTTCAGTCTATACGGCATCATCGGCCGATGGAGCTCTATACGCTGTTGGTGCAGATGAGCGTGTATGAGCGGCGGCCGGACAAGGCGGCGGAGATATTTGTGGGATTGGTAGAGGAATGGGTGACGGAAGGGAGAGTGGCAGAAGGGGCGGACGCTACGGGGTTCTATGAGGGCGGGGGACCGCCTCGGATCCTAAGCGACCGTATGGCCCAGAAACATCGGAGCTGGTGGACAGGTGTCCGGGCCTGGACACTCCCCGGAGAAGTCTTATCCCCGCACGACCGGTTGGACCTGTGGCATCCCGCCAAACTCTCCCTCGGTGGAAAATTCCGAAGCTTCCCATTTCCCCTCGCGACAAGTCCACCCAGTATGGTCCCTCCTCCATCTGGCCGCCTACTCGATCCCATCTTATCCGCCCTACGGCTAGATCCGGCCGTTGCCGCCCCCGCAGACTTTACAGCGTCCATGCGCGCATGCGCCATACTGGCCAATACCGTTCTCTCGCGCACACTCCCCCTCTCCTCCCTCGGCCCCCTTCTTCGCGCACTCGAAGCCACCCCCTCCTCACCGCCCGTCTACCCCGCGAGCCTCGCCCATACACCCCCCAGCGGCGATCTATGGGCGTACGAAGCCTTTACGCAGATCCACCTCGCGCTCCAGTCCTTCTTCTTCTCGCCGCCTATCTCGGCCGCGTCATTCGCGCTGGCACGGGCGAACGAGACGATCCTGTCTGGATCCCCACCGACGACGTACGCGGACAAGTACAGGCTCCAGCCCCTCGGGTTTGGGGATGGGGTGATACTGGTCAAGTATGCGTTGGAGAAGATGCGGATGACCAAGGTGGTAGTCAAGCTCGTGGAGTACTTGAAGAGATCATTCAATCTCGGATGGGCGAGGCCGACGATGTGGAATACGGTCTTGAGCGGGGCGACGGTATTGGGGGATGAGAAATTGGCGAGGGTGGCGGATAATGCGTTGTTTGGCAAGACGCCATTAGCGAGGGGGAGGGCGAGTGAGGGGTCTGGGCCTGGGTCACAGTCGAGACAGAGGTCGAAGGAGAGGGAAAGAAAGACGGAGAAGGTGGAAGAGCACATGACCCGCGCCCAGGCTCAAGCGGAGGGATACCTCCCCAGACTCCTATACTCGGACCGGGCGGTCAATGTCCAAGCGGACGAAACGTCCCTCGTCTTGCTGCTGCAGCACCTCGGCAAGACGTCGCAGTTTGACCGACTCACGAGCGTCGTCTATACCCTCATCCCGTTCCTCTCGGAGAACAAGGACAATACTCCCGGTCCTCAGGCCTCGTCGTCGTTGTCTGGCGTCGATGGGCAGGCTGAAACAAGCGCCGAATCCCACAAACCCAGCGAACCGAGCGAAACCAGCCGGTCCGGTCGGACACCCCCCAATCCCCTCACTCCGTCCCTGTACAACGCCATCCTCTCCTCTCTCGCATTGGCGGGCCAAACGGGCCTCGCGCAGAGAGTCTACCACCTCGCTCTCGATGCGGAGAGACAGTGGGCGTGGGAGCATGTCGATAGGCACCCGACGGCGGGTCTGGGGTCGGTGCCGCAGAATCTGAAATTGCCGATGGGGGTGTTTACGGCGATGCTGCATATTTGGGGGAATGAGGTGCGGGTGAGGACGATTGGGCGGGACGGAAGGCAAGGGGGAGACGGGGCAGGAGGGGCATTTGCGAAAGGCTGGAAAGTCGGCGATAAGAGTTTAGCGGGACAACCGAGGTATATCGCCGCGGGTCTCCTAGCGCGGTCAGTCTACCTCCAAGCGGCCAGTCGGTTCCCATCTCCCCCGCCCCCTCCTCCTCATTCTTCCCGATCGTCGGTCGTTCCGCGCAAGTCCTCGACGTCGGGCCCCCCTGGAACGCCCGATGCCGCTTTCTTCGATATGGCCCTGCGCGCCCTGGCTCCCTCTCTAGGCTTCCACCAACCCACATTTGACCTATCCCCAAAAGATCGAAACCTCCTCAATCGCTTGGTTGGCGATATGGACCGCTTCGCCGTCCCCGTACCGGAGAAAGTGAGGGATCGGTGTGCCGCTGAACAGGGGGAGAGTGTGGGTGTCCTGAAGCCGAGAGAGTATCGGGTGGTTGATGTGCTGGGCGGGATGAGGGAGAGGGAAGGGAGAGAGGGGAGGGCGGAGAGATTGAGAGGGATGGCGGAGGGGTTGTTAAGGGCTCAGGAGGAGGGAATGTGGAGGGATCAGGGGCTAGGTGGGGAGGCAGACGTAATGGAGGGGCTGGTACTGGTGGGGCAGGTGAGAGAAGTGGAGGTGGAGGTGGAGCAAGAGACGGAGGAGAAGGAGAGGAAGGAAGTGCAGGAGTTGATTCAGGCCAGTGGGTAGACGCCTAGAGGGGGAGAAGGGGGAAGGTGTACCGGATCAGATATCAGAATGTGAGTAAAACCTTTTGGGCCTTCTGGGCTTGCTTTGCTCCGACGGGTACTGTAGCTGATCCGCCTAGGTTTTGGGCAGTTTGATGCATAGCATATCTATAGGGCACTCCATCTCTACATAGGTGTCAGGTATCAAGTGACATCCATCCGCTCCTCCCTCTTCTCTCCACCCATCCACCCGCCATCCGCATTGTATCACCTTCCCCGCCCTCACCCATCTATCTCACAAACCCCACCAACCCCTCCCTGACTATATACTCTCATTTCAAGAATGCCTATATCCAATCTCAGGCACACACATCCGTCCTCTCTCTACATACATTACGATTATGATGGGCCGATATGAGGAGAACCGAAACGTGGTAGCTACATAGGCCGGAGGAGGCGGGGAAGCAAATTGGGCGGATTCAGCGTCGTGGAAGGGCCTTTCGAGCAACATATTTATGCAATACGAGTCTTCTGACTTTGCGAACGCCCCGGGCGACAGGGTCTTTTCCATGGTCTTGCGGTCTTGCCAATGGCTCATGGTCCATACGATGCGCTGCTGCCGCTGCCTCGCTCGCTTCCATCTGCTGCACGATACAGCCACTCTCAGCATTCCTTGTAGCGGGATCAAATTTGGGTGGTGTTCTTGACGAAATCACAACCTCTTGCAGCTGTATCTCTCCTCCTTCTTCCCATATACATATAGCATAGCATCCAGCGAGACTAGAAGCGCAGCTTGGAAGCCCTACAGAGGGACTTACAAGGAGGAGCGATTCCCGCAAAATACAGGCGGCCTACGCCTCGGCGCACTCGCCCAAAATGACCGACTCTTCGCTCATCGCCGATCTCTCCTCCCGGTTCCCTCTCACCGTCCCCATCCCTAACCCTCTCTCCCATCCGCACCTCGTCTCCTTCGCCGACCTCACGACCGAAGAGGACCTCCTTCACAATCCCGAGAATCTCCGATCATGGCTCTCGTACATCCATCAAATCAAGGACCGGCTCGTCAAATCCCTTCCTCCCGCATCTTCCACCCCCTCACCCGAAGAAACGCTACTCGGCCCCCTCTCCTCCCCTGCCGCCCGAGAAGGCCTACAGCACCTCGTATCGATATATGAGCGCGCTCTCGCCATATTTCCCACATCTTACAAACTCTGGAAAGCGTACTTCCTCACCCGTCAATCGTACGTCCTCGGCGCGCTCACCCTCGAAGCTGCGAAGGCTCGGGCGGAACAAGCAAAGAGAGGCGCGGCGTTCAAGACGAACGTCCAGGAGATACTGGAGGGTGCGGAAGATGCGAATCAGTGGATTGGGGGATTGGACGGCGTGGTGGGGTATGAAGAATGGCGGGCGTTGTTTGCGACGGGAGAGAGGATGTTGGGGTGGTTGCCCCATTTGCCGGTCCCGTGGTTGTTGCACCTGTCGATGGTGCTCCACCCGAAATGCCCGGCGCCGTTCAAGCGGACGTATGCGAGGCGGACGTTTGATAGGGCGTTGAGGACGTTGCCGCCGAGTTTGCATGGGAGGGTCTGGGGCGTGTATTTGAGATGGGCGGAGATGATGGGTGGAGAAGCGGGAGAAAGGGTATGGAGGCGGTTCCTCAAGGTGAGTAAGCAGCTGGATCGGCCTCCATGAATGAAAAGGGGACAGTGGCTGATCGTACAGGTCGACTCATCCCTCACCGAACGCCACATTGCCTACCTCCTCGACGCCTCCCCACCTCGTACCCTCTCCGCAGCGAAATACCTGCTTCTGATCTCTCGCCGCGCGTCCAAAAACAACTTCATCTCGTCCGACGGGAAATCGCCATATCAGCTCTTTGTCGACTTCCTCGAGCTGGTCGAGCGGTACGCGGAGGATGTGGGCATGGACGAGGAGGACACATTGAAGCTCCAGCAAGAGCGCAAGATGCTCCAGGAGGAGGCGCACGTGGATGCTACTCGAGCTGAGGCTGGGGATGACGGCGAGGTCGGGGCAGAAGAGGGCGGACCGGGAATTGTCGAGCCGGCATCGGTCGCGGGACGGTTGATGCGGATCGCGGGACCGCCTGTTGCTTCTGGCGAAGCCAAGATGATTCGTCCTCCTCAGTCGTTCGGCGGGAAGGGGAAGGGGAAGAAGGAGGAGGCACCCGCCCCGGAGGCATACGACCCGGATACGGACCCTGCCAACCCGCGCCAACTCGACGTGGAGGGTATCGTCGAGCGGGACGGGCTCGCCATGTACAAGGACCAGGCCGGGCGGCTATGGACCGGTCTCGCTACATACTGGATCAAGCGGGGCGAGTTTGACCGCGCCACGCGGACCTTCGAGCGCGGTCTAGCGGCGGTGGTTACCATCCGGGACTTTACGCAGATATTCGACGCGTACGCCGAATTCTCTGAAACAATGATTTCAACCCTGATGGATGCGCTGGCGGACGAGGATAACCTCGAGGACCCCGATTTCGACGCGGAGGATACCGAGACGGAGCTAGATGAGCGGATGAAGGCGTTTGAGGAATTGATGGATCGGCGTCCATTCATCGTGAATGAGGTGCTTCTCAGGCGGAATCCGAACGAGGTGGTAGAGTGGGAAAAGAGGGTGGCGTTATGGGCGGACAATGATGAGAAGGTGGTTCAAACGTATCTGGAGGCGATTGAGACGATCAATCCCAGAAAAGCGACGGGGGCGCTTTATCCTGTTTATGTCAACTTTGCCAAGTTTTACGAGGAGGGCGGGAGCAGGCGGGATGATGGGGAGACGGGCGGTGAGCCGGATCTAGAAGAGGCGCGGAAGGTGTTGGAGAAGGCGACCAAGGTGCCGTATAAGAATGTGGATGAGTTGGCGGAGGTGTGGTGTGAGTGGGCAGAGCTGGAGTTGAGGAATGAGTAAGTTTGAAGCCGTCGATGGCGGGGGCAGGTTGAAAGCTGACTCAATAGGAATTATGATGAGGCGGTGAGGATTATGCAGCGTGCAACGAATGTACCGAAAAATACTAAGGTGGACTTTTACAACGATGTGAGCTCGATTGATCTGTCTCGACCCTGATAGCGAGCTCAGCTGACGTTCAAGTCGCTCTCGCCCCAGGCCCGCCTGTTCAAATCGCTCAAACTCTGGTCCTTCTATTCTGACCTCGAGGAGTCTATCGGCACGGTCGAGTCCACCAAGGCGGTCTATGACAAGATCATGGAGTTGAAGATTGCCAACGCGCAGACTATCATCAACTATGCTGGATTCTTGGAGGAGAACAAGTACTTTGAGGAGTCTTTCAAGGTATGTCCACCCTCTTCGGCATTGCGACCAGAGCTGATATGCAGGTATACGAACGCGGCATCGAGCTCTTCCACTTCCCCGTCGCCTTTGAAATCTGGAACATCTACCTATCCAAATTCGTCAAGCGGTACGGCGGCAAAAAACTCGAACGTGCACGCGACCTATTTGAACAATCCCTCGAAGACTGCCCCCCCAAATTCTGTAAACCCCTCTACCTCATGTACGCCAAGCTCGAGGAAGAGCACGGACTCGCCAAGCGCGCCATGGGCATCTACGACCGTGCCTCCACCACCGTGCAAGAGACAGACCGGTTCGAGATGTTTACCATCTACATTGCGAAGGCGGCGGCGAATTTCGGATTACCGGCTACAAGGCCGATCTATGAGCGCGCGATCGAGGGGCTGCCAGATGGAGAGACGGCGCGGATGTGTCGGCGGTTTGCGCAGATGGAGAGGAAGCTTGGGGAGATTGATCGTGCGAGGGCAATCTACGCGCACGCGAGCCAGTTCTGCGATCCGAGGATCGTTCCGGACTTTTGGGCGGAATGGAACTCGTTCGAGAGTGAGTCTATCTACCATGCTCTGGCTGCCCCATCTTACCCTAATCGACTATCTATCTCTTCTGGGATTCCTCCTTTACCTCGGAGCTATTGGCTGACCCAGCAGTCGACACCGGATCAGAAGACACCTTCCGCGAGATGCTCCGGATCAAGCGCGCAGTCCAAGCATCCTACAATACCGAATCGTCATTCATCGCCGCCCAGACCGCCGCGGCTCGCAAGGCCGCCGGCACAGGCAACGGCACACTTCCAACGGACGAAGCGGCCGCTACTGCCAAAGACGCCGCAGACCCCATGGCCAACCTTGAGCGGGAGACTGCGACGGTGGGCGGTATGGGTGTAGGAGCGGGCGGAAGAAAACCGGCGCCGAGCTTTGTGGCGAGTACGCTCAAGAAGACGAATGAGAATGGGATTGATGAGTCTGAGGCGGGGGCGGATGGGGAGGGAGAGGGCGGAGGGGAAGGAGGGGTGGTCAATCCCGAGGCGATCGATATTGAGGATGATGATCTGTAGATCGGGGGAATGTATAGTCGCATTTCTATTCAGGCCAGAGCCCCCGGAATGTCGTGCAGAAGGTCTATACGTACTAACACCTGGGGTTTGTGCTACATTACATGTACCGTCCTGATACTCTTCCTCCACGAAGGTGGCTCTACCGTAAACAATGTCGGGCCTATCGAATCTCCGCTGGCATAGTTATCGCAGAAGGGGAATGGATGTCAAGGCTTGGCGTATCGTACCGTAGGGCGAGATGTCATGAAGGGCGCTGCTCAAAAAGTTCAGGATGATGACGGCGCCGTGCGGATAGAACGGTCGGCCACAGGATGTTCCGCCTGCAGATCTATGGGCTGGAAGTGCTTCGCACACACCGCAATCACCGCCTCTCGTAGTCTTCCCCTGGACGCCTCGAACTTGGGAGAGATGCCAACGACGTGCGGCCTGGGCATCGTCTGCTCATAATTGCTGAATATCTGAAAGTATATCTGGTTGACCATCTATGGCACGCGAGCATTCAGCAGTCGACCACATAGCCTATAGAAGGTGCTCACATGGTTCCAGGCCATACTGAAGATACAGTCCTTGATCGACTCGACCCACGCCTCGAACGTCTCGGGCTTCTTCGAATCGGATCTAGCTCTGAAGGCATCGATTCTGCCTTATCAGCTTCAGGCTGCACATCTTGGAAACAGCAACGTATACGAGTACACTTACGCGCCTAACGAGGAAGACATCAGCTGCCAGAAGATATGCTCTTCGGTAACCTGATTGAAGTTTCGACTCATCTGAACGTTTTCAGCTCCGTTCACGCTTGAGTCAATTGACCCAACTCACAACTGCCTTATCAAAGATCTCTTCGGATCTCGCAAGGATCTGCGCCTGCTCTGCGCCAAGTTCGAAACCCATCATTGTAGTTGACATTATACTCGATATCACAGAGCTAGGCGTGAACTCGAGATCCAAGTTCGACATGGCATACAATAAGCCCCTATCCCCCCGGTTTACAGCACACAGCCAGACAGATGGCTGACATTCCGCGACCGCCGAGTTTCATAAAGTCACGAGATCATTGTTATTCCTCATCATCACATCCCGAGTCTTCATCCGGGACTGAGCTAGTCCTACTGCTATCCTATCATACTGGAAGACGTGACACATCTCGACTTCGGCGTAGAGGGATATCCACAGGTTGGTATGGGACAAAAGGCAAGTAGCCAACTGCAAGTATCGAGACAAACTGCAAGTAGCGAGACAAGTCGCGTTGATAGGCCACACACGTGGCAGTCAAGCTGACTGTGGCAGCAGATCCATACTGACCCCTCCCCATAGCGATAGTCCATTCATACTGTACTACCCGAGGCTCATCTGCTGTCTTGGTATTCGACCTTGTGCACATCGCCTAGCGTCATTCAGATCATAAGCTTCAAATCAGCTCCCAAGTCCCCAACAGCATGAGTCGAGGCAACGCGTTCAAGTCGCTCATCTGACCCCTCCTCTATTCCGATCACACCGCAATACCTTCCCGAGGATGTACAGATGCACTTCGAATATACGTTGTGCGCGGCGAAGAGTCCACGCTACCATACACCATTTTCCAGGATTTCCATCCCCCGGCCGGGCGGCCAAGAATCGCTCATTACTCCGAGTAACCGCCTCCACCATACCCTCCCTGTCCACCTCCTTGACCTCCTTGTCCACCTTCTCCCTGCCCCTGCGCCTGCGCCTGTCCCTGCCAAGCCGCCAAATGGCTCATGAGCTGCATCTGCTGATACTGCGCCGCAAATCTCGGGTTGATCGCCGGTCCGCCTCCGCCTCCGCCATTACCTCCGCCCATGTCCGGTGCGGACCCGACAGCTGGGTGGTAAGGATGTTGAGGGTATTGCTGAGGGGGCTGTACAGGGGGGAATGGGTGCTGTTGGTTTTGTTGCTGGTGCTGAGGGTGGTAAAATTGCTGTTGCTGCTGGAACTGTTGGGGGTGCTGTGGGGAGTATTGAGGCTGCTGCTGCTGCTGCTGCTGAGGCCGAGCGGGAGAGTAATGCTGCTGCGAAACGAGCCCCTGGGCCTGCTTGGGACGATACTGGTCGACATGCTGGATCCCAAACGGACCTGCCTGGGAGGTGGACGGTCCGGCCGATTGCTGGGCGGCATAGAAGCCCGGCTGGGAGGGAGATGCCGAGGTATGCGGTGCGGGGAGAGATGCGTGGGGCAGGGGAAGCCCGATGTTGCCCGTCGAGTCGAAGCCCATTTGGATAGGCGGGGCATCGGCGAACTGAGGCTCGAACTGCGGGCGCTGAGGTAGACCGAACGCTGGTCGAGCGGGATTGGCGCCGGAGGGTCCGGCGTTCCCACCTCGTCCCCTACCGCGTCCGCCTCGTTCCGCTCCACCCCTTCCGCCCCGATCTGACTTGGCCCCGCCCCTGCCACCCCGACCACCACCTCCATCTCTATCTCCACCACCACCACCTCCACCTCGCCCACCTCTTCCTCCCCCTCGCCCTCTACCGCCTCGCTCTCCATCTCTTCTTCCGCCCCTCTGCCTCCCTTGACCTCTCCCCCGTTTCCCCTCTCCACCGCTCTCCCTCGGTGGCGAGGGCGGTACAGGCCCCGTCTCGCCCATCTCGTCCAGATCATACGGCATCGGCGCGGGCCGTCGACTCGCACTCGACCCAGCCTCCGAAATCATCCCATCATCCCCTTCATCCTCTTCACCGCCGTAAAAGCTCGCGGCGTCACTCGCGTCCTCTGGCACATAATCGAAATGCGGTCTGACCGGGAGTTGGTGGCTGACACCTCCGCCCCAACCAGTCCCCCCGTGCCCAACAGCCCATCCGCCCCGCCCATTATCCCTCTCCTCCATACCCATGCTCACCCGACTTTCGCTCCTCTTATTCTTCCGCCGCTTCTTCGCCTCCGCCTCCATCTCATCATCGGACCATTCGGCCTCGTCCTCCCCTACTTCCTCATCATGGATATTACTCGCGTCGGAGCCCTTGAATCGGGGATCTTGGACAGCGAGCATATTGACGAAAGACCGGTATTGGGGGTTGGTCGGGTATGACAGGCGTGTGAGGGGGGTGAGCGAGGAGTTGGAGGGGAGGGGAAAGGGTGGAGGGGGAAGGCGGACAGAGTAGAACGGGGCAGTGAGGGGGCCGAAGGTGTCCGAGACCTAACGTGTCAGCTTGCGTTACCTGTATAGAGATACGGGGGAAATGGGGAACTTACAAAGCCGAGCACGCGTCCGTCAGAATGACAAACCACCGAGCCTTCCTCGAGCCACCCTTCTTGACCCGGCCGTTCTTGCATCGCCCGGATGACTATCGTACCGGAAGATGAGAACCTAGGTACATCATTGACAGCCTTAGGCGGAGCGACTGCTTCGGGAGCGGATGAAGATCCGGCTGCCACTGGCTCTTCCACCTCACCCTCCTCCATCTCCGCGTCCACCGCCGCCTCCAGGTCCTTCTCCGTCGAGACTGCCAACGCCGCCGCCGCTTCCGCAGCCATCCTGCTCGACTCCGCCTTGACCTCCTGTGCATCCCACCACGCCTCAACCTTCCGCTCCCTCATCCAGCTGACCACCTCGCCCGCCAGGCTGAGCGTCTCGCCCGCCGGTAGACGCGCGAAAGGCGGCTGCGGCACAGGCGGTAATGGCGCCTCATGAGCCGATACGATAGGATCAGACGAGGTAGGCTCCTCATCGTCATCGATAGTCTCGAAGGTCATGGGCCGTTTCCGAGGTGAAGGGGCGGGCGAGTCTGAAAAGACGAATTCGGGGTTGCCTCCTTCCGCTTCTTCCTCGTCGTCGTCCTCCTCCTCTTCCGATGATGAGTCGGAGAGGAACTCGGAACTCGAGTCAGAGTCAGAGTCCGAGTCGGCAGTGGGGCGGACACCGACAAACTTATCCAGCTCGGACCGGAGGGCGGTCGCGTCTTCCAGCGACATTGGTTGCTCTGATCCCGCCTGACCACCTGACAGCGATCCCGCAGCCGCCTCTTCCTCTCCTGAGACGGCTTGCGCTCCCTCATCACTGGTGCTCGGCTCCACCACCTTCTCCTTGCCCTTGCCGTTCTTCAGCGCCTCCATCCTTGCCCGTATACTCGCCTCGACTTGTTTCCGCTTCTCTGCCGCAGAGATAGTCAGGGGAGGTAGAGAGCCGACGGCCTGATAGGTATTGACGAGCTCGGCGATGACTGCTAGGTCTTGAGGTATGGAGGGGTTGGCGGGGGCTTTGAATGGGCTGGGAGCGGGAGCTGCGATGGGCAGTATTGGTTCTGGGGAATCAGCTGATGAAACCTGAAATAGGGAGATTGCGGATGCATACGGTCAGATTCTTTCATTCCAGGATCCAGTGTCCGTGCTTCAGGTGCTCCGGGCGGAGCTATGGGCGCCGACGGTCCTGGCACTAGCGAGTCCGCTTCGACCTCGGGAAGAGCGAGCTCGAGCTCTTCGTCCGAGTCCACCGCAGGAGTGGCTAAAGCTTCCGGGACGCCGGAAACGGGGCTGGCAGCCGTTTCAGCCGGTAAGTCACCTGCTGGTGTTCCGCTGTCCATCGTATATGCGGAGTAGATGGCTGTATAAGGTGTTGACCAGATGTATAGTCGAGTGGAGGTGGTCGTCCAAAGTGGACCATACAAATTTTGGATATCCTTTCCGTCGGAAGCGGGAGAGGAGGTGTACTCGTACGTAATGACCACCCATTAGGGAACGGGAACGTGCTGCAGCAGGGTATCTTCATCTATCCTCTATACTTGACAGCCCATACCCCTGTCAGACCAGCTGCGATGCGGTCAGCGACGCTCTTGGCTGGGCTACTGCTGGTGCTGTCCGAAGTCTCAGCAAATGACGCCCAAAATCCCGCTTTGACGGCTGTAAAACCCCGGAAGAAGGGTGAGCTGCTTGCCCTTCTTGAGCTTTGACCTGGTCGTGCGAGCTCCAAGCTGACTCTGTGCAGAGCTCACTGGTCGATTTATACATATCACGGACTTTCATCCTGACCCGCATTATCTCGAGGGAACGAGCTTCGACTCGGGATGCCACCGTGTTGCCGAGGATGAGTTTGACGGAGCGGATGGGCAGAAGAAGGGGAAGGGCAAGAAGGGTAAGGGGAAGAAAGGGGATGGGGATGATGAGGAAGAGGAAGTAGCAGGATATTGGGGAAGCTCCGTCACGTGAGTTTCTGCCCCCTGCAGCTTTATGGCAAGGCCGAGCTTACTCTTGCAGAGACTGTGACTCGCCGCTCTCGCTCGTCAACATGACCTTCGACTGGCTCAAGAAGGAGTGGGCGGACGAGGTAGACTTTGTCATTTGGACGGGCGACAATGCTAGGTCAGCTCACTTGGCTCATACTCTTGACCGTCACGAGCAAAGCTGATATCTGCAGACACGATATTGACCGCTCATTACCCCGTACTCCCCGCGAAATCACCGCTCTCAACGAGTTCATGGCGAACAAGATGCTCGATGCGTTCGGACCTGAAGTCGTCATTGTTCCTAGTCTGGGAAATAACGATATCTACCCTCACAACGTGATGGGTCCGGGACCTAGCGGGTTGACCAGCGGGATGCTGAGGTGCGCCAGACCGCTCACCTTGCCGACTACACGGGTGAGAGAAGCTCACACACCAGAGTGTGGAAAGACTTCATCCCGGATGACTATGACCATGTCTTTGAGCGCGGCGCGTACTTCTCCGCAGAGGTTATACCGGACCAGCTGGCCGTAGTCTCGCTGAATACGCTGTATTGGTACGACTCAAATACCTGTCAGTTTACATGAACATTAATGACCCGAAGGTCGTAACGTAAGCTTACCCTACAGTGGTCGACGGATGCGAGGACGGTTCGTCCGATCCAGGAGCGCTCGAGTTTGACTGGCTCGAGGTCCAGCTGGAAGAGTTCAGGGAAAGGGGTATGCAGGTCTGGTTGACTGGTCATGTTCCGCCTCATTCTGGAAACTACTACGAAACTTGCCGTGAGTTATCAGGATCGTATTGGCTGTGATAGAGAACCAGCAGCTCATATTCCAGACCTGCGATACGGCGATCTTGCTCTGCGATACCAAGACACCATCGTCGGCCACCTGTTCGGACACATGCAAGTTGTCTGCCGCGATTCAGCGCTTCGTAGCTGACTTGCCAGGAACATCGACCACTTCTTCTTCCTCGACGTACCCGAGCTCGAATCCCGCGAGAATCGCCTCCTCTCGACCTCATACCCATCCCACCGCAATCTCACTCTCAAAGGCGCATACGAAGGTCCATCCCTGCACCACGGCGCCGAGCCACATCCCCAATCTGGCCGAATGCGGACGATGGGCCGGAACAGTAATGCCGCTCTGGTCGATACGCTCCGGAAGGACTTTGGGGACATGCCTGGGCCCAACAAGCTCAAGGTGAAGGATTACGCGGTGATGAATGTCGCGCCGAGCGTTATTCCGACGTATATGCCGGCTGTGAGGGTCTACTCGTAAGCTGCCACCCTCTCCGCCGCGACTCGGGGACACAGCTCATATTCCAGGTACAACATCACCAACATCACCCGCTATCCCGATAGCGTCAACCTCGATTCCAACCTCGCCGCCCTCGGCCGGAAACATGGACATCGGCACGGCCGCAAAAAGCCCAAATTGCACTGCAAAGACCCGATCAACCGCGACAAGCCGCACTGCCGCTTCAAGACGCGTCCGCGATACTACAACAAGACGTCCCCCTCGCGCTCCAACGTCCCGCTGTCGGCGCTGGGGTATACTCAGTTCTACCTCCCGGGGGTGGACGGGCCGAAGAATGTGACGCCGGAATGGCAGATCGAGTACTCGACGTTCAAGCCAGACCGCTTGATTGCGGCGGAAGAAGGGCAGCCGGGACCGGTGCCGGTTCACCTGTTGCCCCAGTATGATGAGGGGGTGTTTGCTGCGCTCGAAGCCAGTGGAGAGGGGTGGGAGGATGATGAGGAGGTATGGGAGGAGGATGAGGAGTTTGGGGGATTGGGACTGGGACTGGGTATGACAACGAGGGAGAGGGTCAGGAAGTTCAAGCAGGGTTTGAAGAGGATTACGCCCTGGCGGATGAAGGATCTGACGATTGGGAGTTATGTCAAGCTCGCGAGGAAGCTGGTGGCGGAGAAGAAGATGTGGAAGCAGTTTTCGGATTTCATGTGAGTTTGATGTTTTAACAGTCGTGCAAGGAGAGAAGGGAAGCTGATGGTACAGGTTTGTATCGGCAGATGTGTAGCATGATATGGTATCGCATGGTATGGTATCGCATGGTATGGTATCGTCTGGGCCGTTCCGTCTACTGATGATCTTTACTCTATCGCTCAAGCTAAACTACCGGAGCTCCTAAACTAGATCTACAAGCCCGCTCAATTGTCTCCTATCCCCCTCGCCTACTAAGCCAATCTATCAGGGTAGCAGGATGGGAGTAACCAGAACCTGGGGCGAAGCGTATACTCGTACGGTACCGACCGGAATCGCTGCACCGGCACATCGCACATATGGGTCAACCGCCTCGCGCACCGCCCACATCCGACCACCTTCTTTACGATCGCGAGGATCTCCGTCCTGCTCTCCGTGGTATCTCCCGGCTGGATGATCTGCGCATGTACCGCATCCGCCACTAAACCTCGGGCGTCATCCCATGAAAGCGCCGTAGGCCATCTGCCAGTGGGGTTCTTGGAATACCTCCACCCCGACGACCCATAACCGCAGTTATGGACGAAGTTGGCCCCTCCGCCATCCGTGATCGGCCCATACTGCAGGTCGAAGCGGAGATCTGCGAACGATTTGAGATAGCGGGGGAGGAGGGTAATGAAGATGTGATGGTGCTGGGGAGCGAAATCGAGGAGCAAGGGTGGTGATGTCTGGGGGCAGACGGGTGATGCCTGAGCGGAGAGCCGTTCCCGCCCAGAGCGAGTGGCGCCGCTCGGTCCGGGGACGAGTAATGGCGGCGAGGGTGTAGGCGATGAGGGGAGGATGGTCGACCTTGTCGAGGACGGGCCAGAGAAAGGCGGTCTCGAATTTGGGGATATCGTATATCCGGCAGAGCGCGACCGCCTCGGCGATCGTACGGAGATCGGCCACCGACAGCGCCGATTGGTGCTTGATCACTTCAGAGTGGAGGATGGTCTTGTCGAGGGCGCCGGCGGCTTCCTTGTCCCGGACGACAACGAGCACGGCGAGGACGAGTGCGAGCGCCGCGGATGGGGTCGAGGGGAGGGAGAGGGGTTGCGGCTTGTCGGATGAGGAAGGGGAAGGGGAGCAGGTGGAGAACATGCCCTCGAAGAAGGGGGAGTAGGTGGAGAGGAGCGAGCGGGAGGTGGGGTGGATTATGCCATCCGAGGATAGGAGGGTGATCTCGTCGTCGGGGGCGATCTTGGTAGGGGAGCTTGAGGCAAGAGCGAGGAAGGAAGGTATGAGGGGAAGAGAGGGTCCCGCGGCGCCGGCGGCATTGGTGGCTGGGGAGAGCTGGGCGACTGGTACGAGGATGGTGGTGCCATGGATAGGGATGGGTTTGGGCGTGATGTTGGCGAGAATTGTGGGATTCTGGGCGGGTGTAGGCTCGGATTTGGTGGTGATTGCGGTTTGGAGGGGAGATAGGGGGTTGAGGTCCGGTCCAGAACTCACTGTATTGAGACCCTGGACCTATTCAGACATCAGTAAGCTGCTTCCACTACAGATCAAGGCCGGAAACTCGCCGTTCCAGGCGGTACCGCTGCTCCAGACGTTTCACCCAGACTCTCTGAGGGAGGCGTATCGGCCGATTCTTTGGACTTGGGAGCGATGGCGAGCCCCTTGAGCTTGGTGATGAGGGACAAGATGTACTTGTAAGTCTAGAGAGCAAGACAAGGAAGAAGAAGGATATCTGAGAAAGGAAGGAGGAAGAAGAGGAAACGGAGCTGATAATATAGGTTTCGCGAGGCTTCTGATGGGGATGCCTCGAGGCGCTTGGTGTCGTCCTTTGCCCCCACTTTCCCCACTCTTTGATACCGACGTCATCGCCACATCCGTCGACTGCTCCAGCTGGAACGCAGGCCATCTGTGGCTCTTTGGAGCTAAGAAGCTTCTCGCGGGCGTGGGTGCGAAGGGACGAACCGGAATGTCAGATCTGGGGGGGCTTTCTGGGGTAGCTGGTGACACAGGAGGTGGCGCTTGGCTCTACGGAGATTCTGTAAGCCTCGTAGGAGCAGACTCATTCGGGAACGAGCTGATAAACCAGGTGTAAAGTCGGAAAGATGAATCACATGATATGGTATAGCGTATAGATGTGGCCTTTGTTCCGCACATCCCCTGATGATTTCTGGACATCTAGATCAACGCACCACTCATCAGCACCGCCGCTTCGCTCCCTCCGGTCTACACCCCTCCCTGCAATCTACATGACCCTCCATCACCACCGCAATCCTCCTCCGCTGCGAGCCAGGTTCCGCCGTCGTCCATCCATACCTACCACCCGCATCCACCGCCATCTTTCCCCCTAATACTTCAGACTCGCCTGATCCTGACACCCGTCTAACGAATCTACATCCCACCTCAACCCTTCCCATCCTATACCTCACCACCGTCTCAATACCCATTCACCACCTCGAGATACCGCTCAATCGCCAAGATGAAGGTCGATGCCAAACGCCGCGCGCACGTCTGGCACGGCACCGTCCGCTCAATCACCTTGACAATCTCGCTATGCCGCCACTCCCTCGTGTCACCAACCACCTTGGCGTACACATCATCCGCAGCCTTCTCCCGCAGATCCTTCCATCCGAGACTGCCGCGCTTGGACTTGAAGGCCTTACAACAGCCTGGACGCCCTGCCGGGTTCCCGTACCGGTTCCGAAAGCCCGGCTCCTGGGTCCGGTGCTGGCCCTGGCAGCGGAGGGAGAACTGGTTGCCGCCGCCGTCGGTGAGGGCTTGTCCGGACCGGAGAGCAATACGGAGGTTCTTGCGAGCCCGCACACGGGAAGCGTAGTACGCTTGGTACCGCCCGATGTGCTCTGGAGCGTGAAGCCGAAGGATGGCGGCGAGCTCCGCGGGCACCTCGGTCGCACCCGTATCGAAGAGGCGCTTGATGTACGGGAGCTGGCGAGAGGGGGTTCGGGGGGAGATGACAGCAGTCAGGACGAACCCGATGACCGGAGTGAGATCGGGCAATCGGACGAGGACCGGCCAGATGAATTCTCGTCCGAAGGAGGAGATGTCGTACACATGGGCAAAGTGCAGAGCTTCTCCGATCCCGACGAGGTCTTTGGCGGTGAAGTAGTGTTGGTAAGCGCCCAATGCCGACCTCAGGAGCTTTTGAGTGGCGTCCGACTTGAGTGTAGGGCCGAGAATGGCGAGGACTGCGAGGACGAGGGCGAGGCTGGTGGGGTTGGCCGAGGGGAGAGAGATGGGCTGTGGCTCTCCCGTGACGTCAAGGGGAGGAGGAATAGCGAAGAGGTTGGCAAAGAAGGACGAGTGGGTGGTGAGGAGGCTTCGAGATGCTGGGAAGAGTGAGCCGGCAGTGGAGGAGAGGAGGACCTTGTCGTCAGGGTTGGTGAAGATGTGAGTCGACCTGGCAGCAAGTAGCTCGAGCACGGCGAGCAGTGACTCCGGGTGCGAGGTGACGGAGCCAGGACGTCCGAGGATGTAATTAAGTGATGCCATCAAGGCCGTAGGGCGCGTGAGCAGGGGATGCTGATCACATCAGCCATCTTCTCGCTCTTCCAGCTACAGCTATAGAGCTCGCCTCCAACAGAACCGTCCCATCTGCAGCCTGAGACTGAGATCCGACCGGAAGGACAAGCCAATCAGACTTGAGGGGCTGAGCAATCAGTATCCTGTTCTGCTTCTCAACAATCCAAGTCATCAAACTTACTTGAGAGCCGGCGGGTTGAGTGATGGGCTGAGCGTCAGCGGTGCCGAGAACCAGTCGCTTGAGGGCAGCTAGGATTTACATGATGTCTTTGGGAGTAAGAGGTATAGAGGTAAGAGTACGAAGAGAGGGGGGAAGGGAAGGGATATACTCTATATATTTGGGAGAAAGAAGCTGATGGCTGATTTAAGCTCGGCTTCCTTTTGTTTCCCCACTTTACCCCACTCTACACACACACTGACGTGGCATTCATCGTCGCCGGTGCGAGACCACTGGTTCCGTTCTTCAGCATTGTCTCTGGACTTACTGACTCGGCTAACAGCTATTCGGGGACAGGATGCTTGTATACTGCCAATGTACAGCGCTGACTATGATATGGTATATGATGATATTTACGACTGGCTTCACTAGTACTTCTTGTCTCCCATCCGCCAGATCCGGACAGCACACGTCCACCGCACCCGATAACCCCTCCGCTCTTGCCTTTCCGCCACGCCCCGTTTCCCCTCCTGTCCACTCATCTCCTTCCTCCTCAATACTCCTCGAAAGCTTGGCGGTACCGGTCGATAGCGAGAATGAAGGTAGGCGCCAATCGTCGAGCACACTTCTCACACGCCACCGTCCGCCGCACAATCGCCAGCACCTCCTTGTGTTTCCACTCCCGGAGATCCCTGATGACCTCCAGATATACCTCGTCTGCCGCCTTTGCCCTCATAGCCTTCCAGCCTAACCTTCCGCCTCCCGCCTTAAATGCCCCACACGAGTCTCGCGGGAATCCCTTTGTAGTGACATACTGCCACTCCCAGAACCCTGGGTGTCCTTTGCGCGGTACCAGCGCCCGATTTTGCTTTGGTAGGGCACCACGACAAGACGCAGAGTACCCCTCTACACCACCGTCGGTCAAGGGCTGCTTGGATCGTAGATCCACGCGGAAGTTGCCACCGGCACTGGCGCGCCGGACGGAGTAGGCACGGTACCGCTCGACCTGTTCCGGCGCGTACTGGGCGAGGATTCGAGCGTACTCGCGCGGGAATAAGGTGGCGCCCGTCTCGAAGAGCTGCTTGGCGTAGGCGAGTTGACGCCGAGGATCGCGAGGAGCGATGATGGCGCGGAGGACGAGACCGACGACGGGGTTTAAGCGAGTGAGGGCGACGAGAACGGGCCAGACGAACTCCCGCCCGAATGAGGCGATATCGTAGATGTGGGCGCAGTGTATGGCCTCCGCGATATATATGAGATCCCGCTGGGAGAAGTAGGGACGGTACATCTCCACCTCGGTGCGGAGGGCCGCGCGATGGATGCTGGGGTTGGGGGACGGTCCGAGGAATGTGAGCAGGGCGAGGACCAGCTTTAGTCCGGGGCGCGAGACGGAGGGGAGGGGGATAGGTTCCGACTTCCCCGTCGATGAGATAGGTGGAGGGACCGAGAAGAGGTTGGCGAAGAAGGTAGAGTGGGCCATGAGGAGTGCACGGGAGGTACGGTGAAGAGACCCGTCATCCAGGGTGAATACGACCTTGTCATCGGCTGTGAGACCCGCTGTGGCCGACTGGGGACCGAGGCTCTTGAGAACGACGAGGAGTGAGGAGGGGGAGGACGCTTTGACGAGTGAGAGGTCGAGCTTTGGCTTCTTGGTGGGCACCACGGAGGTCTTGTCCGCGATGAGCTACTGAATCAGCACAAATCCTCCTTGCCATGGCGCCGCTCGCTGGGCTTCGGGGGCAGAGAAAGACTTGCAGCTGGAGGGGGACTTGAAGCGGTGGTCTGAGAGGCCGGTCCGATAGTGAGGATGACATAGGCGGGAGTAATGACAGGCTGAAGCTATCAGCTAAGTCCCCGTCTTGCGGAGCTGGCTGGTGATCCAGACTTACCTGGTCGGGTTGAGTGATAAACACCGCCTCGGCGACTTCTTGATCTGCGCGGTTCCGTCCGAGGGTACCGAGGGTGAGTCTCTGCAGGCTGGCTAGGAAGGACATGGTAGGGATGCTAGCAAGAAAGGAGAGTAATGAGGGAGCAGTGAAGAGAAAGAGTGAGGGTAATAATGATGGAGAACGCTATGAGAAGCTGATGGGATTTTAAACTTTGGCTTCTTGTGTGCTTCCCCACTTTACCCCACTTTTGTGCGTCACTGGCTCACTGACAAGCTTGACGCGCTTCTGTCATTGCTGCTTGCCTGCCGTACCGAATCCATCTCCGACCCAGGGCTGACAATGTACGTATGGCTTGCTGCATGTCATGTGTGATCATGTATAATAAATAATTCTCCTATCACAGCTGCTCGCTAGCCAGCTGGCTGTAATGTCGCCCGATGCATAGTGATGATGTGTTGATGATATGTCTACCTATGATACGTCGCGTTACCGATGCCTCCTCAGGTCCTCCTCTAAATCTCTCCACACCTCGCCATGCAACGCTGGACCGCCACCAGGAACGCCTTTGTGAGCCGGCTGGCGCACTTCCCGCACGCTACCGGCCGCTCCACCACCTCCAGAATTGCTTCATGATCGCACGCCCCGTCCGCCTTTGACTTGATCTCGTGCAGCACGTTCTCTGCCGCCTCCTCCCTCAGCCGTCTCCACTTCCCATGCCGGCGGAAAGCAGTACACGGCGCATACCCCGCCTTCCCGCCTCGACACCTGATCGAGTACCCGTTGTGCTCATTTGGCACCTCCTGCGTCCAGCGCAGCTGCTCCTTGAGCGGCACCAGAGCGGCTTGGAATCCCTCGTATGCCATCTGGAGACGCTCCAGCTGCTCTGGAGCGAAACGTTTGACGATGCGAAAGATGTCCTCCGGGATCCGAATTGGCATTATACCCGCCTGAAGCATCCTGCGCCGGTAGCTCGGTAGCTCCGCCTCCGCGGTGGCGATGGCGGCGAGGGCAAACCCCATGACCGGCTGATGAGCGAGTCGACTTAGTAGGGGGAGAACGAAGGCGGTACTGAATGTGGGGATGTCATAGAGGTGCGCGCAAAAGGCGGCTTCGGCGATAGGGATGAGGTCTTGGACGGTGAGGGACAGCCAGTATCGGTAGGCAGCGGGATGGAGCGGAACAGGCTTTGCAACGGGAGTGAGGCCGACGAAGTCCAGGACGGAGAGGATGAGGGCGAGACCGGCTGAGGTGACGTTTGGGATGGGTATCTCGTCGGACATGTGGCTTGAGGTCTCGCCGGATGGGAGTAGGAAGAGGTCCGCGAAAAAGGGAGAGTGGGCAGCAAGGAGGGCGCGAGAGGTAGTGTGTCTGACGCCATCGGAGGTGACCAGGACAATAGTGTCTGTAGCGATCCGAGTGGAGGTCTCCGAGGACGCGGATGACACGGACCCGCTGAGTGTGGAGAGTGGCGAAGTGGAGGTCTGGGACGTCGGGGAGTGGCTGACGAGAGGTGTTGCCTGCTTTTGAGTCAGCACCGTCAAGTCACAGCTGACTTTGCCTGTGAGCAAGACTGATTTCTACTCACCTGGTGTGCTTCAACGATATTTACCTCAGAAGCCGACTCAATCTCACCGCCAATACTCATGAGGTGAAAGGCTGACGAGATGGCGACGTTCTGTGCTTCGACATCCATCTCGCAGCGGATCAATGTCTAGTCTTTCAGCGATGGACCCTGTAGCTCCGTATGACGTGAGATACGCTACTCACAGTATTCAAGGTTGACGAGCCGATGGAAAGGTTCTCAGAGCAGGGAGCTGCAATGCAAATAAAGAGATGTACGGAGCCCAAAGTCGAGATCCTACCTACTAGCTCTGCCTGCCGCTAGCCGCTAGCGGTGCCTTGTCGCTGATCGGACCTGCCGAAGCACACTTGTCCGTGCCTGTACTCGACAGCTCAAAGGACACAGACAAGTGCCTCAAACTCTGATGGCGACAGTTGTGCCTGAGTAGGCACGCGATTGAGCTCTCTTGGTTCTCGAGCTTAGGGTCCGCGTTATCCTCAACTCACCTTGCGGGTCCTTAGCTTGCAACTGTACTAAGCATCCTGGCTTCCCTGGCTATCCATCAGTCACTCACTCATTCGAACAGTACAGGCATACTTGCCTCTCCGACCAATGTCAGCACATCCGGAGTCACGTCAGCCAGACATCAAAGTGCCAGTATCCCTTTGGAAGACCTTGCCGCCACCGCTTCGCAAGACAGTACGTCATTTCTCTTAGCACTGGGCTTGCACATCATGATCAGTAGCTGACACTGGGGCAGAGCCCTAACCTATACCCCTCTATCTCGGTCAACAGGGACCATCAGGCGACTGCAAGGCACAGATCGGTTACCAACGCGGCCTTAGCTGCAACTGGGAAGACTACCCTCTCGCAGCGTACCTTGCGCGAATCAAGGGTGAGTCAGCTCTGACCCATTGGCGCGAGCGATATCTGCGGGGGAGGGAACCCCGAAGCTGACACTTAGTAGGCCAAGCATGCGGCGGATGCGACCGGTGCAGCAACCTACTTCCCGCTCGACCACACGTCCACTTCCAAGATCATCTTCATCCAGACCGAGGAGGACAATCTTGTCCCCATATCCCGGTCCCTCCTCGTCAAATACTCCAACTTCATCGCGGAATTGCCCTCTTTCCTCACCTCAAATGGGGACGATACTCATACCGAGGTTATTCCCCTACCATCCGCGACATCGGTTGGTATGCAGCTCGTCGTCGACCTCCTCGAGGCGGAGGAAGCCGGAGAGTTTCTCCATCCTGGACGTCCATCGCGTATTGTCAATCCCTGGCAAGATCTGGGCATCGAGGACCTACAAGCCGTCTTTGACGCCATGACCATCGCGGACGCATACGACTTCGACATCCCCCTCTTTACCCGTATCCTCCTAAGATCCGCTTCCGCACACCAAGCCCAATCTCCCCTCCTCCTCTGGGCGGTACAGGCGCTGTACGGCTCGTCGTCGGCCGCGCGGGACCCGATAGTCAACACCTTTCCGTTTGGCGCCAGTACGGTCACTCCTCACACCCTTCAGCTTCTCCAGCTGCACATCCCTCAACCCCTCGCCCTACTCGAGGCGGAGCAAGGGGGCTGGATCAGGCTTACCGACGACTTCCTTCAATCCATGCGCTCCACCTCGGCAACTCCAAGGTGGGCCGATGTCGCCTCCAGCCTCGGTCCAGAGTGGCACGCCCTTCGGCTCGAGCCGCAGTGCCCGAGTCATCGGGACGGCGGACTTTGGGCGCAAGTCAGGTACCAAGCAGCGGATCTGCTTCACACGGCGATCATACAATCGAGGGGCGATATCACGCCGGATGAGCTGCGGATGCTCATAGACTGCGCGGTCGATTGCGGCTTCACAAGGTGCTCTCGTCAGCTGTACCTCATCCTCCGCCCAATCATCGCCGAATTCGCCTCCAAATGTCCAAAGGGATGGTGGAAGGGTAGGTAGGGCGAATGGGCGGCGGAGGGAGGGGGGTTAGATTGAAAGGCTGCTTAGGATGGTGAGGAGGTCATGACGAGCAGAATATGAGCACGTATATCTCAGCTTATTATATGAATATCAGCTGTAAGTACTGTACAGCTTGAAGTCCTTTGATGAGTTCAAAGACATGGTCAGTCAGATGAGCGACCCCGGAGCCTCCTGAATTCACCTCGATTCCCTACAAACGTTCTTCCGAGCAAACCGAGGCCATACTCTCAGTATCCAGCTTGCCACCCAAAGTAACAGGGATGTACTGAATATCTGAGGTGAGGTGCAGGGCATCGCGATGAGAACAGCTTGGAGGCAGTCAGGCCAAGGTCTTTAGGGGAAGAGCGCAGCCCCACATTCCTCAGAAAATTTTAAGCCACGTGGCGCTGAAACTTCCTGAAACATGAGATGGCTTAGCCCAAGCCAGCACGTCACACCCGCGTCATTTACACACAGCCCGTACCTGAGTAGATCGTATACAGTAGGGTCGCACTTGGCGGGCCATCACTGGGTGTCAGATCGCTCATCATCTCTTGACACTGCCGCTTGTTCCTTTAGCTGACCGCTATGTCAGTTAGTCAGACACTAGCTCCTCTGGCGGATATGACGGTGGAGACTGCAGAGAGCAGAGGGGGCGGTGCAGGTTATGCTGCCGTCGGATCGAATATCTCGTCAGCCATCGGTCAGGGAGCTCAGATCTTGGGACAGTCCGCGGACCTGTCAGCACATCACACAGAGGTCAGTCAATCACCGCTGGGCCGGTGACGAGGCGCAACGCTGATCTCTCTCAGTCTGCCAGGCAGACGAGCTCGCGCACCCAATTCCTCCACATCACCACCTCCGACGATCAGCACATCACCGTCTCCCACTCCCTCTTGGCCAAATACTCCACCTTCATCGCCAATCTACCCTCCTTCCTCCTCCCCGCCCCGCACGACGGCCACTCCCACGTCACAGACCTGCCCCTCCCGTCAGCCACATACGGCGGTCTCCGGCTCGTCATCGAAGCCCTCATATACCACGACACCCCTCCTAAGGGCCCTTTACGTCCGTTCCCATCTACCGTCCGTCCCTTCGGCTTCGACGATCTCCAAAACGTCATTGACGCCCTTGTCATTGCCGATGCGTACGACATGCCGTCCTTCCCCCAACTCCTTGTCAGCTATACCGATATGCTCTCCGGGAAACGAGCCATCTTAGCCTGGTCAGTCTGGGCGCCCTCGCAATACGGACCCAAGATCGAGTTCAAACTCAAGCGCACGCTACAGCTGGAGCTGGAGACTCTTCCGGATGACGCAAGGGCGTTGCTGGCAGCGTACGCTCCGGAGAAATTAGCGAGGTTACAGGTGGCGCAAAACGCTTGGGTGGAGGCGGTAGCAGAGGTCAAGGACGAGATGGTCAGCGTGGCGAAGCCATACAACGGCTTCAACGACTACGCACGGGCGTGTCGCGGAACCTGCAGCGGTGAGGGAGTCGGTCGTGCGGGCTGTGCGGCCCATCATCGTAATCCCGACTGGGTCGCCCTCCGCGAGGAAGCGGCTCTCGGCGTCTTACGACAGATTACGACTCCCGGCGCCAACCCGGACGTTGGGAACGTCCATGCCAGCATTCAACACATCGTTCTCTGCCGCAAGTGCGCCACTCGGCTATACCGCACTTTCTGCCCCATGCTCATCGTTTTCGCCATGTCGGACTTTACGGGATCGGGGCGATGGATGCCGGCTTTTGCCCGACGAGCAAGATGAGCCGGGGGGGGGAGGAGGATCTGGATGAGGCAGCGATATCAGGGCTGTCAGCGAGGGCTTTGAGGAGTATAGAAAGGGTAGGATCAGCGATCGGGCTAGATGGTAACGGGAAGAACATCAGTTGAGACATGCAAGGGTATATCAGCAATGAAGATCGCAGTGGGTATATTACAGAGGTCAGAGAGTTATGTATGAGCCATATGCGGGACTCTCACTGTCCGAGCAAATGGGAGTCAGCTCGGGAAAACATAATCAGCACCCTCCATGCCAGATTCAGCATCAACCGTGAAGTCCGTGCGTATGCAAGTGGCCGGAGCTGGAAATTGACCGCCTGATAAGGGTGCTAGGGACGACAGGAGGCGTAGTGGGCAGTCTAGCTGTACCGTGTCAGCTCACAAGCGAAGACACCGTACATGGGATGGAGGTCCACTCACCCAATAAACCCATCAAGCACAAATGCCGCACGAGGGTCTCGCTCGGCCGGCGATACTCCTGGCCCCGGTGCATCGCCGTCTTGACAGGGTGGCGCGTGGGACTGACCTCGATGAGTCGTCCGGCCCGCTAGCGGTCTAGCTAGCGAGAGACTGGATCGGTATCTCAATAAATCGACACGGCCAAAATGATGAAGTGGATAGGACCGAGCGCAGATCCTGTCTGCCTCATCAGCGTTATCGTTTGAGACTCGTAGTGCATAGGCTGAGAGACGGACTAACCTTCTGCAGCGATATCAAGAAATCGCAAAGCCAGTATCAGCCCCACGCCCTTTTGAAAACGAATCGGCAAGTATCTCCCCAAAACACCCGCAGAGGGCCCCGGAAAGTCATCTCGAGCCGATCCGCGCAGGCGGCGCATGGTACAATCGCGTCGATAAGTGGTCGAGACCGATAGGACGGGCAGTCCCCGTCGCAATGGATAGCCATCCTGCACACCGCCGCCGCTGCCACTTCCCTTTGCGCCTGCCATACCCGCTTCATCCATCCCGCCCGACACCGGCAAAATGGCAAAATGACCTTTCCGGCTTGGACTTCGTACCCCTGACCTTTGCATCACTCCAATCCGCCGCTGGCTTCCCGGACAGCAGCGCTTGTCTCAGCACCCTTGTGACTTCTGTCCATTCCGCCCGGACGGCAATGAACCGCTCCAGCTGCTCCGGATCCGCCCGCTCCAGAATCTCCCTCGCCGTCTCTGGTAGCGACTCGGCGGGGCGCAAAGTCGCCATGATCGCCTCTTCGTGATTGTAGTCGGAGGATACGAGCACGGTTCGTGCCCAGGAGAAGAGCGGGCGATCTAGACGCTCCATGTATCCCAAGTCTCCCATCTCCTTGAGCAGCGTGTCCATCTCGTATGTCCGCGCGATAAGGATCGCATCCTCGACGATTCCGAGGTCCTCGAGACCGATCTCTCTCAAAGGCCTATCCCGGGCTGGCCGATTCAGCCATGGACGGTCGTAGCGGTTTTCCGGTGTGGGGACGAGAGGTAACAGTCGGATGACGACGGCGAGTCCGGCGGATGTTGACGAAGGGGGAGGTAGTATAGGGTGGCCAGCCTCCCCTGACCGGAGGAATGGCGGGAGGTCAGCGAAGAATGAGGAGTGCCGGGCGAGGAAGGAGCGCGAGACTGGTTGGAGCGTGTCGTCGGCTGACTGGAGCACGACCGTGTCCGCGCCGGGGTATCGGATACCTTGCGTTTTCATCGGTGCAAGTGCGACTGGCTGAGGTAGCTCGATAGCAGTCCATGCGAGGGTGGCCTTCGGCTGTGGAAGCAGGGACTGAGAGGCACCGAGTTATATGTGCACAGCAACTCTGAATGGTCGATGCTCGATAGCTTGGTCGATAGACGAGTTGGCAGCAGCAGCCGCCATTCGAGCATATGGGGCTCCGCCCGGGCTTTCGGGAATGATTACGTGATCAAAGGAATGTGCCGGGAGTGTGGCACTTTGCCACCCACCACGTCGTCTCGGCTCGCCATACCGTATACTTGATAGCGCTCCCGGTCATACCGAGTTATGACTCAGATATATGGCAGAGCTGTTCATCTTACACACAGCGGTCGAAGTGGTGGATCTGCTGTGGATCGCGAAACAGGATCGACATGGCTACATTAGTTCATAAGAGGATCGATGCCGCCGGGCTGGTCTGTAAAGGAGAGAGATTCAAGGTTCTACATCGGGAAGGAACCTCAGCTACATTTACTGGGGTACGTGAGATGGAATGGTGTGTCTGAAACAAGTAAGCAACGTGAGAGCGTCAGGCGGCCGTTGAAAAGACCGCTTTCCCTCTGACCCAGTGACCCTCTTCTGGGTCCTCTCATGGGTCCTCGACCTGCCCTTTGCCATGTATTTGATACGTGCCAGCCCATCAAGTGGAGGGAGGACGGGGCGACAGACAAAGGAAGCATGCTGTCTCACTGCCAGCGGCGCTCCAAATGAGGCAGCAGCCTCTTTGGAGCGCGCACCCGGTCTGCCCAAATTCACATATATAAATGGCCCTCAGCCACCAAATCTCGTAGTCTCTACACACCACTCTACTTCTCTTCCCACGCTCCTCTTTTCCTACATCTCCACTCGTCAGCCACACCCACACAACCTCAAAGCGATATGTCCGATCTTGCCCCGCCTGTCAGCGCTCCCAAGATGTCCTGCCAGCCGTCGTCCCTTGCCGAGTGCGTCAGCTGTTCCGGAAGCTCTCAGATCGACTCAAGCCCAGATACTGAGCTGGTGACGATCAGCTTTACTCCTTCCGGTTCCTCATGCCCAAGCATCGGTTTTGGGCCTGCGATCTTCAAGCCCCTGAACATCAAGCGGTATTACCTCGTCGAGCCTGCTTCCTGCAAACGGACGGACGAAGGGGACGTGAGCGAAATCGACCCGAAGGCGAGCTACCAAGTCGAGATCGCAGACTCGCACAACTATGCCAGCGAAAATCAAGATGTGATGTGCTACAGCTACGACAAAAAGGATGGGAACAAGGCGACGCGGGTGACCGTCTCGACGAGGCTCATCGTTCAGCATGCAGACGGCGTCCCCTCTGCTGTTACATTTGCGGACAATGCGGGCGAGGAACACCTCTTGGGTTCATGCGACGTCCGCGATGCCGGATGGGAGGCCTTCGAGTACATCGGCGATATCGATTCAACGAGTACGAAGAGTGTCAACTACTCCCGACGGGACTTTTAAAAGCCTGAACACCGAAGGCAATCGACTATGGCTCCATGTCCGAAAACTTCCCAAGGATGGACGCGGCAAGGTACTCATCCCAAGCTGCACCGGTACCACCGCCGAGTTCTGGCGGTCCATCCCGCAAGTACCAGGACCTGAGCTGTCGTAGTACAACGAACATCAGCTCTCCATCAGTCATCATCCTCCGTTAGCGCTGTACCGCTATTTCATATTTCCACCTAGATGTCCGTTGAGACCCTGCTATGTACCATCATAGACCTTTGCTCGCTTAACTCATGGTGCAACAGATGCCTCGCCCGGTATGCGTGTGGGTGCGAAATCAATCCTGTCTATATCCGTTGTGTTGACAGTGTTCTGTAGTGGAGAAAAGCTTCAGTACAGTAGTTGATAGAGTGTTCAGTCCAGTCGGCCAGCATTGTCGAGGGCTGGCGTAGCTGTTGTCCGAAGTCCGACTTCTTTTGCCATACGCTTGGCTCTAGGGTGGCGAAAAGTCATGTCAGCACATTTGGCGCCACTCTCAGGGCATTACGTAACGCAATATTCAGCTGTATTGTCGGTATGGACCTGCGGGCTCGCAGTACTGCCCTGCATCGTACATCTTCTATCTTACCTGCGCTGCGATGTTCAACAAGCGAGTCAAGTCGCGGCCCTCCCTTCGAGCCCGCGACTCGGACGTCGAGACATCCGCGGGCTCCCCTCTCGCTAAATCGGTCGTCACCGCCTACCCAGCCGGAGAGGACGAAGACGAGTCCAGCGGGTCCGGCTCGGTCCTCGAGCGCAAGAAAGCCCAGAAGAAGGACAAGCGACTCTCCGGTGTCAAGTCAGGCGGGACAAGGCTCAGCTTTGGCGGGGATGGGGATGAAGGAGAGGGGTTCAAGCCAAAAAAGAGCCTCTTGAGTCAGAGTATCAAACTCCCTCCTCAATCACCTGCATTCGACGACTCGCCTGGCGCTCCCTCGCTCTCGTCCTCCTATTCTCGGGAATACCTGTCGGAGCTCAAGGCGTCGACACCGACACGAGCGCCCAGGTCGGCGGCGGATAATGAGGGCGGAGACGATGCTGGAAATGGAGAGGGAGACGAGGAGGATGGGACGGGCCTGAGCAGGATGGCTCGGAGCAAATACGCCTCGTCCTTCGTTGAGGACACAACGGCGGGGATACCCGATGCAGCGGCGGTAGCTTCGGCGCGGATGAAGCGGCAGGCCAAGGTGGAAGCTGCCAAGCATGGAGGAGATGAGATGGGGGAGGACTATATCGCGCTGGGAGGGGGAAAGTTGATTGTTCATGATGGAAGAGCGGAGGGGCCTCATCCTGGGAGTAGACTGATGAGGGAGGAAGATGAAGGCGAAGAGGGAGATGAAGGTGAGCTGTGGCGTGTTGAAGCTGTTACCGCAGAAGCTGACATCCAGATTTGGCTGGATTTACCGAGGTCAATGATCGGCTGTATATCGGAAAGAAGCAAACCAAGGCTGCGTCTAGGAGGGAAAGAGGGGAGATAGGCGAGATGATCGCGGACTTGTAAGCTACAACTTGACGATGCTTGTCGAAATCAGCTGATCAAATAGCGAGGCGGACGAGGAAAGCGACGAGGAGACCCGGGAATGGGAGATGGCCCAAGCTCGTCGAGCCGGGAAGTACGATGACGGCTCAAACGGCATGCCCGCAAAGAAGGCCTATGTCCCTAACCCAAGTACGTCTGGTGACTCAGTTTCACTTTGCCTATGCTGATATTCCAGTACCCACCGCGCGACCACTCCCTTCAATCTCATCCGTTCAAACTCGCCTCGCTCAAGCTGTCGCCGAGCTCAAGATCACCAAATCCGAGAACGAGCATACCGTCGAGGTCGCCTCGGCGGAGCTGGCATCTCTGGAAGAGCAGGAGCGGGATCTACGCAGAGAAGTGGAGCGGGTCGAGGGGAAACGAGAGTGGGTAGAGGAATTTAGGGGATGGGTCGAGATGCTTGGGGGGTTTCTGGAAGAAAAGGTACGTCACCGTATTTGCATTCAGGAGATATCAGAGCTCATGTGCAGTTCCCCAAGCTGGAGGCTATCGAATCCGACTCCCTCCTACACCTTCGTGAACGCGCCGAAATGGTCGAAAAGCGACTCAACGCCGACGACTCGGATGATCTCGCGCTCTTCTTGGGCATACCGCCAGCAGCCAAAGACGAGGTGGAAGAAGTGGACGAGATGGGTCGATCAAGGCGGGACTTTGAAGCTGGACCGAGTTCGGGCATTCGGATCGGTCGACGAGCGGACAGGGAGCGGCGTCGTGCGCGTCGGCGAGAACGGCGGGATCCCGCGCAGTCTTCAGCGGACGAGGACGGCTTCTCGACAGACTCGACGCTCGCGGAGGGTGATGCGGAGGATTATGGGCAGGCCCAGAGTCGGCTAGGGAGGCGAGTAGTCGCGCTTCTGGACGATGTCAAGGCGGAGGACTTTAGGGATCCGGAGAAGGGTCTGGCGGTCCGGTTTGGGGGATGGAGAGCGAGGTATGGGGAGGAGTATACGGGCGCGTTTGGGGGGCTGAGTATGTGTCAGGCGTGGGCCTTCTGGGCGAGAGGGGAGATGGTCGGTTGGGAGCCTATGCGCGTGAGCTTTTTTGCCCCCCTCGCGTGCATGGAGAGCGAAGAAGCTGATCCCTAGGCATCATCCAGTATAGAAGGCTTTAGATGGTTTACCGCCCTCCACACCTACTCGCACCCTCGCTTAGCTGCTGGCGGCGACGATGAGATGGACCTGGACGACGAGCCCCCACTCGGACCGGACGGCGACCTAAACGCGCAGATGGTGAATGACGCGGTGGTACCGCTCCTGACTAAGTCGTTTGAGAATGGGGCGTACGATCCGTATTCTGGGGCGCAGACGAGAAGGGCTATTGATCTGATGGAGGTCGTGGAGGAATTGGCGGGGAAGGATAGTCGGAAGTTTACAGTGAGTTACACCTCCCAGCCCTGCGATGGATATAGCTCATCATCAGGCTCTTCTTCGATCCGCTCTCTTGTCCATCAACACCCATATTCTCCATCTCTCTTCTACCATATCCGCTTCCTCAGCACCCCTCGCCACCCCAGCACCCGCATTCAACCCCGCGTCTCGTACAGCTCTACAGCGATACGTCCGCCGTCGGCTCAAGCTGCTTCGGAATATCCTGCTCTGGCGGTCGATTGCGCCAGAGGAAGTAAGGGCACTGGTGGCGAGATTGGGGAGGGAGGTATTTAGACCGGTATTGATGCGGGGCTGGAGTGGCGGCGGGGCCGAGATGGCGGAGAAGGTGAGCTAGGTCGATCATGTTGAATGGACTCAGCTGACATCTCAGGTCATTCAGGCTAGTGGGGGACTGTTACCCGCGGACATTGTCGCGTTCCTGCAACGAGCTCCTTAGCGCATGCAGCAGCATTGTAGGTCCTGCATACCGGCCCGTCCCCCTTCTACGCACTCACCAATAGCGCAGACCACTGATCTGTCTGACACTATACTCCCCCTTGATCAATTCCTGCCCCTGCTTTTCTTCATCCTGCCTATTCCTCCCTCTACCCGTCCCGCAGCATGTGACTCCAAAGACGCCCCGCCAGCCTAGCGCACCACAACGGCGTGGTCGGTCCGTTCACAGCGTGCAACATCTACTCCCAGACGCGCATTTCTGACCCGCCCATTATCTCCCTTTCGTCTTTCACGTCGATCGCCACTCTCCCCGTTCTTCCTTCGGCGAGCGGTGTGCAGTAGGAGAATATCAGTGAGGCGTGGCTCGTTCCGCACGTTACATCCTTCCACTCGCAGATAATCACCTAGATGCATTTCTTGGATCCAGACCCGTATCCTCCAAAAACCCGCCTTCTAGCGCATACGCATCCTCATCCAACAAAGCATCATAGTCCGCAGTCGTCATCATCTTTTGCCTCTTCTTCCCCGATCCCTGTTGTGGCGATACCGGCTCGTAAGCCGACGGAGAAGGTGCCTCGCTCAGGTCCGACTCGTCCCCGTCGTCTTGGGCCGGGTCCCCTTCTCCGCCAGTTGTGGAATTGACGGGTTTGGCGTTCATGCTCCCTTGCCGAGATAAGGACGGTCCCGCTCCAGCTCCAGCTTCCAGCTTGGCCATCTCCTCCACCTCGTCCGGAACTTCTCCCGCTGCGTCGACTGACAGATCAACGGGACCTTTGGCGCAATCGAGGATCTTGGCGAGAGAGAGAGTTCCTTTCTGACCCCATTGTTCCACTTCTGGCTTGAATTCGTTCTGCCGATCAGCGCAGCTCGGCCCCAGATCAGGACACAGGTTAGATGCAGTGAAAAGCGAGAATGAGCTGATACTCACGTACATGTGCATACCTAGCCTGTTGAGGTCTTCTGGTGGGTGTGAAGCAGCGACGAGCTTCATGGCGCCCATGACGTGTTTCGCGTTGTCCTTGAAAGCGCGGGAGATGTACAGAAAGGCCTAAGGTATCAGCTCGCAGTCCAAGTGTTGATGAGGCGTGAGAAAGACTCACAACGCTCGGCGGTATTGCCACGCCCTTCTCGATAGCTCGCCATGTCCCGTCTGTACGCTCTATGACTGGTCTACCTTCCGTCAGCTCCATTCATTTATGGACACGCAACGAGGACGTACACCCTAGAATTGTCAGCTGCATCCTCAGTATGAGAGACCCTCCCCTTAGCAGGCAACTCACTTCGCCTTCAATATCCCCACCCAGGGCTGACTACTTCCCATCTCATCCCTCTTCTTTCTTTCTCTCTCCCCCTTCTCCCTCTCTCGCCGATCCCACTCCCTCTCCCTCCCCTTCCCCTTAACGCCCCAGTCACTCATCCCTGGCAACTCCCTGATCTCCTCCAGACCGTCTTTCGTTTCTTTCGGGTTCAGGATGTTGCCCAGCATGATAGCGTGCTTGAGCGATGAGATATGGACGTAGCCATGAGCGAGCGAGAGAGACTCTTGAACGTCAAAGCCGAGCCGCTGGGCGACGGTATATGCCCAAGCGGTCTTGACGGGGGCGCGGTTGGTGGTGACCGTAAGCGGTATCAATGCCTACATATGTGAGCTAGTCTTGAAAGAGCTGCATTCATACGAGCTACAAAGCTTACCTCGGGATCTACGACCTCGTGAAACTCCAGGGACCGAGGGATGTCATCGTCCCCTTGATTCGTCTTGAGCGGCTCGAGCATGTCAGAGTCCCGCCCTCTCTTCTTCGTCTTGGCCTGTCCCACATCAGCTGCTATCAGGTCGTGTCCAGAGTACGCTAGCTGACCTCTCCACTCGTGATCCCCTTCAGAGCTTGCTGTACCGACCGCCGGTTGTCCTTGTCCGGGACCAGCGGCGTCAGCTTCTTTGCATCCAGCTCGGACAGCTTCTGTTTGGTGCTATGAGTCTTATAGCTTCGTCATATCAGCCATGAACCACCTAGTGAAGGTTTCAGAAGCTCACATCTTGGCTGCAAGAGCCATAGCTACCCGCATAGGTACCCCTCGATTGGCAAGCAGCTTCAGCCAATCTTGCAGTGGCAGGACTGTCTCTGGAGGTATCGCGTCCAAATCTGGGCCTTGCGCTTTGCTTGCCATCTCGAAGCTGTATCACAAGGTGGAACGGAACTGTACTGGGAAATCTGAGCTAGTCAAGGAGTAGATAATGGTCGAGTGGGCTGGCGATGGCTGCAAGGGGAGATGGTCGGCCCCGGAACCAAACAAACCGATGACGTATAGGGGTGCATCTCATATTCCCATTAGCAAATTCCTAAGGTCAATTCAGCGAATTTCAATAGCAAAATCTGAATCCGCTAATCATAAAGCACCAAACTCCTCATTCCTCAACAAAAGTTTTCAGCCATCGAGTCGAACGAAAGTCCTTTGCCTCGAGTCGAGACATTTAGCGGATGTGACATCCGCTTGTGTCATAGTCTGGATCATGGATCGATAGCCAAAATTCATACCCTCGTCACTGTATATTAGCCGTAGATATGTCCGCCCCGATATCGACCAAGCTCCACGGTGAGACGGGGGACATCGGGACCAAGGACGAAGAGGTCTTCCGCGCGCTCGGCCAACCGCCAATACTGGACGATGTCGACATCGGCGAACCCCCTGATGGCGGGTCCCAGGCCTGGACCAATGTCTGCTGCTCATGTTTGCTCATGTTCACCGTCTTTGGCTTTCGTACGTCCAGCTTACTGACTCGAAGCTAATGACTCGCTAATTCATCAGAGAACGGTCTTGGCCAGCTCCAGACTTATTACAGCGAGCACCAGCTAGCAGCCTACTCGACGTCGGCCATATCGTATGTCGATCACTCCATCATCAAGTAGAAATACTGACGTTATAATAGCTGGATCCCAGCGATCCATTCGTTCCTGACATACATCGGTTCCCTATTCGCAGGGCGGTACTTTGACTCGCACGGACTGACGCTACTGCTGCGTACTGGATCGAGCATGATTGTCATATCGCTCGTTGCCCTTGCATGTGAGCTGACCCCTACCCATCCGTGAAGGCGAGCTGATGAAGCAGTCTGTCAAGAGTACTATCAGATCATGCTGGCTCATTGCATGTACGGACTCGGCGCTACCATGCTGTATACACCGGGTATCTCGGTGACGAGTCACTGGTTCAAAAAGCGGCGGAGCTCGGCCATGGGGCTGGTCATTTGCGGCGCGGGCCTAGGTGGAGTGCTGTATCCCATCATGTTCAGAGAGCTGTTCGCGCGACTCAGTGAGTGAATTGTTTCGAGTAGGGTCTGATGCTGATCGTACAGGCTTCCGGAACACTTGCCTGATCGTTGCCGCTATAAATGCTGCCCTCCTCGCCCCCACCCTCTTCTTCATGAAGACCAGACTACCGCCTCGATCACTCCGGTCTTTACGCCAAGTCGCTACGGCCTTCAAGGAAGTCCGGTATTTGTGCTTCTTCATCGGCCTGTTCATCGTAATGATCAAGTAAGTATCTCACCTCAATTTATGCTCGCCGGCTAATGTTGTAGCCTCTTCGTCCCGTTCTTCTTCGCTCCCACCCTAGCCACGTCCAACGGTCTCCCCGCCCCCCTCCCCTCATACTCCATCGCCATTCTCCAAACCGGCGCCTTCTTCGGCCGTGTCGCCTGCGGCTATCTCGCAGACTGGCTAGGCATCTGGCGGGTATTCACAACATGCGGCGTCGGATCGGCTATCATTGTCCTGGCCCTCTGGATACCCAAGCTCAATACGGGCGGGACGATCTTTGCGCTCTTATCCTTCGGCGCGGTCGGCGCGGCGTGGGTCGCCCTGGCCTCGGCATCATGTGCATCCATCAGCAAGCCGGAGGAAATCGGAGGACGGTTGGGAATGATGTGGAGCTTGGGGGCGTTCGCTATTTTGGCTGGTCCGCCCATTGCGGGAGAGCTGGTCAAGATGGACAACGGCGGATTCACATCGGCGGGTATCTTTTGCGGGGCGAGTTATCTCTTGGGGAGTTTCATCATTGTCTTGCCGACTATCTTGGGTCGCTTCGGATACAGTAGAGATTATATAGGTAGATAATGTAGCTCTAGGCTGGCTGGACTGCTGTGGGGCAGTAGGACCTCTGTACACTGTATCGAACCTGGACCGGTTTTGCAAAGCCTCGGTATCGCCGTATCCCCGGACCTTCGCTTCCACCAGTCATCAATGTTTTGTACCCATCGCCCATTCTTCCCACCGATCTTCCATCATCTATCTCTTGCTACTAGCAGACTGTACTCAGCTGTATCGTCACCTCTGTCATCCAGCATCGGCTCGTTCATATCGTCTAACGACTCCAGCCAACTGCGCTTCAGACCTGCACTCCCGCTCAATACCGACATGTCCGTTCCCCTCGCGACCCCCTCCCGGGATGCCATACAAGCAGCCATCGACCGCGTATCGGCTGACCGTAATGCCTTCGAGCTCATCCACGTCTCCCAGCCCACTTGGCCGTTCGCATCCGAAGCGTCCCAATCCTCTGAAAGAGCCCACATCGTCATCCTCGACTCATCCTTCAATCCCCCTCATTTCGCACACGAAGCCATGGCCTCATCCACCTTCCCTCCTCCCCTCGTCTCCAGCGACGTAGACTCTCAGCCGCCCTACTCGGCCCGCCTCCTCCTCTTTTCGGTACGGAACATCCAGAAGACGCCTAAAGCGGGGGACGCGTCCCCCGTCCAGAGGCTGGAAATGACGCTTCTCCTCGCTGCGCGGCTGGCCAAGAGTCATGCACTTCCTGGAGGAGTGGCAGTGGGGATTCTGAATGAGCCTACATTCGTCGGGAAGAGCCGGATCCTTCACTCCCACCTCTCATCCCCTATCTCCCCCACAGCATCCTCCTCTACCTCGGTACCTCCGGCCGGACGGCGGATCAAGCTATCCTTCCTGATAGGCAGCGACACCCTTACCCGCTTCTTCCAGCCCTCCTTCTACGGCGGTATCTCCGGTATGAACGCCGCGTCGGAGGAATACTTCGGGATGGGCTCTCTCCTGATTTGCGGGCGGAGAGGGGAAGGGAAAGAGAGTCGGGCGGTGGAGCAGGAAGTATTGGATAGGGAGGAGGTGCGGCCTTGGGTCGAGAAGGGGCTGGTGAGGATGTTGGAGAGTAATCAAGGAGGGCAGGAGGATATCAGCTCGACGACTATACGGACGGCGATCAGGGATGGGGATGATGCGGTCTTGGGCGGACTGATACCTGAGGAGATTATGGCGTATATACGGAGGGAGGGGTTGTATACCTCATAGGTGAGCTTCCATTGCGCCTTAACTTTACCATACCAGCTGATCTGGCAGACCTTAGGAGCAAGGCATATTCATGCGATCCTCCCGGCGCCCGGTACCACACACGCCAGATCTCGCCGAACCACCAGTGCTACTCAGATCGGCCGCCTACGCTACGCGGAGCGAACGCCCGACGCTGTCGGAGTGAACCTGCTCAGCTTTGCCTCCTGCGCAGGTCACTTCCCGGCCCGCGCAGATTCGGTGCACTCCCTCGCGGCGGGATGATAGTACAGGTATATGCATGGATTGGGCGCTCATCTACTGATCTCTAACAAGGCATATACACACTCAAGCATATTCACACATCAATATCGATCAGCCGTCCCTCCTTCGCCTCCATCTCTGCCAGGGCGACAAGGTGGCGGTACTCGTCCGCCCCGCCCGCCATGCACAGTTGCTGAAACTTGCCTTCTTGGCGGATGAGCTCCAGCGGTGAGCCTTGCTGTATGAGACTGCCTTTGTCCATGACAAGGATCTTTGAGCACGGCATGATTGTCTACTATCAGCTTCACTTCCCGGCGTATAAAGCTGAACTCACCCTCAAGCGATGAGCGATGATGAGCACGGTCGCCCCGGTGAACTCCTCGTGCACCACCCTGCTGATCTCGCCGTCCGTCGCAGAGTCGATACTGGCTGTTGCTTCGTCCAGAATCAGGATCTTGCTTCGTTTCAGAAGGGCTCTGGCGAGAACCACGAGCTGCTTCTGGCCAGCTGACAAACTGGGAGTCAGTACCAACTTCGCCATACACGTCTGGCTACTTACTTCTCACCACCAGACTTGATCTCGAAGTCGAGATTGGAAAAGATGTTGGCGTGTTCCTCAGGCTGATCAACAACGGTAGCGGAGCATGAGGTCGGGCTACCGGTCACAAGCTCTGCCGCCTCTGATCTCGGCTCTTCCGGCGCGGGGAGGGGAGCCGCTGGGGGTTTGGGCGACTTGCGGACGAGCTGAACTTGATGTAGGGCGTCGTAGAGCTGGTCATCGGTGTACACACTTTCAATGTCGAGATTGAGCCTGAGGGTACCAGAGATCAAGATTGGGTCTTGCGCGATGATGGACAGCTTGCACCTGACTTGGCCCAGATCCATATGGGCCGTATCTGTCCTATCAGCTCATCACCCAGGCGGCGGCACGATGGACTCACCTCTCCCATCAATGATGATCTGACCCGTGATGTCGACGAATCGGAACAGGGCCTTGGCGAGTGTACTCTTTCCGCCACCTGTCGCTCCTACAATACCCACCCGCTGTCCTCCCTCGACCGAGAATTGGAGCTTGTGCAGGATCTCGGGCATCTCGGGGCCGTACTTTGCCGAGAGATCTCGTACTTCAAGCTTCCCGGCACTCGGCCAATCGGCGTACTCGGCCGACAACTCCGCCTGGCGCACCTCATCTTCCGCTGACCCGAGTCCATCGACAAGCTCGTGGCCACCTTCCAGCTCGAGATGGCGGTACTCGGCTGTCCGTTCCAGTGACACACCGTCAGTCTCAAAGTTGGCGAGGTGGATCATCAACCAATTTGCGTTGGCGCTGATAGACCCCACGAAAGCCAAGATGAATCCCGCGGAGGACGCGCTGATATGCGTGGATGTAAGTATAATGAAGAGCATGGTGCTCATGAGTACGTGGTCCATCAGTCGCAAGTTGACTGATGGTCAGGTCAATCCGACTTCCGCGGATCAAAGAATACTCACTATACAGCCATCGTCCGATATAGTGACGCCACGTGAACATGTTGATCTGTACGTTTAGCGTCCCCATCAGCTCCGACAGGAAGACTGATTGCATGCCGAAGGCCCGGATGACCGCGGTACCGGCGATGGTCTCGCCGTAGATTGCGTTGACGAGTCCAGGTGTCACTGACTGCAGTCTCCGAATCTGACGCCCAGCGGACCGGTACCAGATGCTCTGGGTCACATTAGCTTCGCAAGAGGTGAGACTGTACGGCAACTGACGGGCTTGTACAAAGCGGCAAATATGGCGATGGTCACCCCCGCAAATGGCCATCCGCCGTAATATGTGACGGACACAAAGGCGAGTACGGCTGGTTGTAAGCGCCTGGCTCTTTGCAGTCCTGCTAGACTCACCTCCTATTACCGAAGCCGCAATCCCGCCAATCAGCTCGGAGCAGCTGAGAATATTGGACTAGGGCATGGTCAGCTTGAACCCCATTCTGCGATATAATATGCTGACAAGGTCCGACCCAAACCGCTGAATGATAGATCCGGTTCGCGTTCGGGAGAAGAAGACCATCTTTGCTCGCAGCATGTTTTCGAGCATCTCTGCGTGCACCTACTAAGTCAGACCTTGACTCTCACGAGGGTGCACTTACTTTCTTCATCGCACGAAGACCGCCGAAGAACCGGCATAAGCCGTACGTGGTACTGAGGAGAATGTTTCCTCCCGAGATCTGCCTCATCAGCCAGGCAGATAGGAACGGGGATGAGACTGACAGCCGAGTACAGAATGACCCAGAACACGACGTTCTTCGCAGATGTATGAGGATCTGAGCCATCCGCCGTCCACAGCCTATATGTCAGTGCGTTCTCGAGCATTTGGTGAGGGACATTCAAGCTCACTCCAGAACACGCCTCTCAGCGATAGGCGCGATACCTCGGATCAGCAGCAAGATCGTCGACAACAGCCAAAACAGCTTGCCGCCGTTGAAAGTGAACAGATCGCGCCACAGACCGAGATCGACCTTGCCCTTTTCCCGCTTTTCCTCCATGATGAGCTGCTTGGGCGTCTTAGCCGGAGCTTCCTTGATCTCGAACTTGCTGACGTCTCCACCGATCTCATTGATTTGGGCCTGATCCGGCAGCTTCTCCTTGAACTCCTTGACTGTATGAGCTGTTTGGCCCGCATGGTCGGTGTTGAGGTGGGACATGTGCTCGGACGACAGGAGCTCAGGGCCAGGACCGGTCCACACTACCCGACCCGCATCAAGAAAGATTGCTTGGTCAGCCAGGGGCGCCAGTGATTCGACGGCATGACTGGCAATGATGACCGTGCGTCCCTTCATCAGTGAACCGCGGAAGCAGTGTTGGATGATATGCTGTGAGGTTTGCGCGTCGACGGCGGAGATGACATCATCGAGTAGGACAGTGGCAGCAAGGGAGTAGACTGCTCGGGCGAGACTGACTGTTGCTAATCAGCTACCGTACTGACCGGTTAGAGTCGGTGACCCACCGCGCGCTTTCTGACCGCCAGAGAGGATCTTGCCACTATGAGAAGCTTAGCACTGAAACACTCTGTGCGGAAGGGAGACTCACCGTTCTCCGATCTCTGTGAGGTCTGCATCGTCGAGGATCTCAAGATCTGGCAAGAGGGCGCATGCCTACTTGTATCAGCGTGGATCTCAAGCGCTTCAGGAGAGCACACTCACAAATATGACAGCTCGGTATCGGTCCATATGAAGAGGTAAACCAAATAGGATGTTCTCGCTGTAGGGTCAGTGAGAGCTTGATCACTGCTCAGCGCTACTGACCGGATGCTCTGACTCTGTAGCCACGCCGTCTGCGGCACGTAGGCCACCCCGCTAGGGATCAGATCCCAACTTCCGGGCGAGACGGATTGCTCAACAAGAGGCGACTTGATCTCAGAAACGGCATATGAGATGTCTCCTTCAATGAGGTGCGCCTCGCCGAGGAGTGCGAGCAACATCAGGGTCTTGCCTGCTCCGACCTTTCCAGCGATCAGAGTGACCTGTCCCCGGGGAAAGACGACGTCAATGTCGTCAAGCTTGAAGAATTGCTGCGGGTCGGCCGGGGCACCGAGGTCGACGCTTTCCAGGTTGCTCCCACTACTAATGTCCCAAGTGATCTTCCCGCGTATGAAGAGCGGGTTCTCCGCAACATGTTCAGAAACATGATCGAGAGGCTGACCGTGGTAGTCGACATCCCTTGTACGAATGAAAGCTCCAATGCGCTTGGCAGACAGGATCTGCTGAAGGCATTCGGCTATACTTTGCGGGATGCCTGTGAGGACTGGCCGAAGCTCCTCAAAGACCGCTATGGACGTCTGCTTATCAGCTGAGCCTTGAGCGGTACTCACGAAAGCGATAGTGGCCGTCAGAGGTTTCTTCGCCACAAGCGAGTAATGTGCGAATGAGACGACCACGATGATTGTCGGGGAAGCAGCGCTTGAATATCAGCCAGACTCTAGGTGAGAAGGGCAAGATTGATACGTACCATAGCATACCGGATAGGAATCCCAGCAGTCTGGCTTGCACTAATCGGTCAAACTCAACATCACGAACATCCTGGGAATCAGCCCGATTTACTGCTTGAGCGCGAGAACAGGCTTTCACCTTTATCCTTTTGTACCAATATCGCTCTGCTGCCATCATTTTGATCATGGATATCGCCTGCACAGCTTCCTGCATCAAAGAGACCTTTGTGTCGGAAGCAGCGAGGCGTTTCTCGAACACCTTGTACTGCAGTTTCGTGATGAGATATGCGGGGACGGAGGTGGCGAGAAGGGTGGACAGCCCAATGAGTCCTGATGGGCCTAATGTCCGTCAGCACAGGAGCTAATAGGGGGTCATAAGACTTCACCTAATAGCATCCAGACGTAGGTTGCTCCCAATACCAGCTCAAGTTGACTGCGGAAAAGGTCAGAAATACCGAAGCCGAGTTGAGCGATGGCGGAGACATCCACCGAGATGAGGTTCAGTATGTCCGCTCGGGACGCTGGACCAGGCTTGCCCTTGCCCTTCGCCTTGCCGATCGATTCAGCTTTGGCGAAGATGTTCCTTGACAGTAGCTTTCTGCGGGATCAGCCACGAGGAAATGCAGGATACATACCTGTACAGAAGGTATTGGGTATGAGCACGGATCCGGGGAGAAGCGTAGGAGCTGGTACTATGCGATCAGCCTATCGCCATGTATGAGGTAGAACTGAGCAGGACTCACTAGGCGAGACGCATGAGCAGTATAAGCATGTTGGCTAGCTTGCCGAGGACAAGCATCACTGCCCAAGCCATCGCTGTACGTCTATCATAGCCGAGCTCGATCGATGTCAAGACCTGTTGCAGAGCGTAATGTGGTATGTACCAGCAGGGGACCAGCCAGATCCCAATTCTAACACCTGAAGCTTCAGCAACAACCGGACCCCATGCGTTAATGAAAGAACCAACCTGGAAGGACAGCACGCCACTGAGGAACCCAGACTTCCCACAAAAACGCGCAGGTGGTTCCCCAGCGCTCTGGCGAGATCTTGTATCGAGCGTAGCTCATGGCCTCCCGTGCTGTGTTCTGAGTACGTAGAAAGTGATGAAGCCCCGGGAGGTCTTGAATGTCTGCTTGATCTAGACGGGACATCTTTGAGATGATGGGTACTACCCATACGAGTATGAGGCGAGAAATGATGGTAGCCGAGTACTCTGGTACCATGTTGACGTCGTCTTGAGGTTCTTCTCCCTCGATCCCGGAAGTAGCCTTTGCCATGGCCGCCTCTCCCTTGTCGATAGCTTTGGCGACTGCTCGATTGTACACCTTCTTCAGGTCAAAGTGAGCTCCGGGCTCGCAGGGGACCGATCCTATGGCGATGATCTGCATGAACGAGAGGGCGAATAGGGCATACTGCGGACCTTCGAGGGTGACTTGCGTGTTATTGATGAGGTACTGGCCAAGAGTGATGAGATACATGTGTAGGAAGCCTAAGCTCGCAAGGGTGAAATTATGATAGGTCAGGCTTGAGTGAGTGCTGACGTCCTTGGTGAGAGCGTAGACGAACGCAAGAATAGGTTGAATGATGAAGACCGAAGTAGTGAGACTGATCGTGAGCCAGTCCGAGAATGTTGAGGCATCGCCAGCACGACGAAGCTGCTGGAAGCACTGGAGAGTCGTGGAAATGAGTATCAGAAGCAGGAAGGTGATGCGGAGAGGGAGCACCTGAGATGATCAGTACCATGACCGTGCACATGCTGATAATTCGATCTGTTGAAACGCACCTTCCTCCAGAACACCATTGTGTTCACATGTTCTCCATCGTCATCGGGAAGATTAGGGACGTTGCCGAGCAGTTGACGATTGAAGGCTTCTCCACGCGTGAGGGGGGCCCGATCTGAGGTGGGGAGTCGTATCCTTCCGGTGGACTTTGATGTGGACAGAGCATGCAGGCGATAGATAAGAGCGTAGAAGGCGGCAACAAACACGGCGATCAAGGAGCATGATTCAGCTGCGAGCAGCCAGACTGGCTTGGTGTTCAAGGCGATGAGTCTCGTCATGCTGTTTGTTGGGGGAAGGCGAAGGGGCAGGCCCAGAGGACACAGCTATATGCCCTGCAATCCCGGCGGTGCTCCTGGCTGGTCATAAAAAGGAGACAGGACAAAGGTGAATCAGTCGATAATCGCTGGATTGTTCTGGAATCGATATCGCTGTCTCTAAGCGAGGCCATGTAGCTCTTGCTCCTTTCATCCGCAACCAGCAGATAGCACCACTTCTTCGATACTTCTTTGTCTGGCCTGATACGATCCCTAGCGGCTCGAGCTCACCTCACAGTAAATGCTTTATCCTCATCTCCTCATCTACGCTGCATGCGTGAACGAGCTGAATGTCTATGCTATATGACTACGCGCTGACGTCTACAAGCTGATTCTTTTTCGCCTCCAGCTCGGCCATATCGACAAGGTGTCGATACTCGTCCGCCCCGCCAGCCATGCACAGCTCGTGGAATTTGCCGTTTTGCCGGATAAGGTCAAGTGGGGAGCCTTCCTGTACGAGATTTCCTTTGTCCATGACAAGTATCTTGGGGCAGGGCATGATTGTCTGCTTGTCAGCTGCTGCCTGAATGGTGGGGATCGAAGAACTGACCCTCAAGCGATGAGCAATTATGAGAACTGTAGCGCCCTTGAACTCCTCATGGACGACGCGCGAGATCTCAGCGTCTGTGGCAGAGTCGATGCTGGCGGTCGCTTCATCCAGCACCAGAATCTTATGTCGCCTGAGGAGGGCGCGAGCGAGTACGACGAGCTGTTTCTGACCTGCCGACAAACTATGGCGAGCTTCAGCTACGAGAACCCGCAAGCAGCCAGATCGTGAGAACTCACTTTTCACCACCTGACTTGATCTCATAGTCGAGATTTGAGAAAATGTTGACATTCTCCTCCGAAGTACCCACGATTGTGGCTGCGGAGGAATTTGGACTGCGTGGCGCAGCCCAATCCGAGCGCTCCGAGGCATCTTCGCTCAGAGCCAGATCGGTAGCCAAGGCCTTGGGCGTTTTGTTGACGAGCTGGACCTGATGCAAAGCGTCGTAGAGTTGTTCATCCGAGTAGGTGCCTTCGATATCGAATCGCGAGATTGACTCGGAGGGTATCGGAGAGGAGAATGGGGTCCTGTGCAATGATATCCAGTTTCGAACGGAGCTGTTGCAGCGGGATGGTGGCGATATCTTGCACGTCAGCGAGTGGCAAGCGAGAGATCTGCAATCCGTAGCACTCACCTCTGCCGTCTATCCTGATACTGCCATGACAGACGTCCACAAAACTGAAAAGCGCCTTTGCCAGCGTACTTTTGCCACCCCCAGTAGCTCCAACGATCCCCACTCTCTGACCGCCTTCGACCGTGAATGTGATCTTGTGCAAGATCTCTGGCATGTCTGGACCGTACCTGGCAGACATCTCGTCGATCTCAAGCCGGCCGGCGCTTGGCCAGCCTTCATACTCGGCGGCCAGTCTGCTCTGGATAAGAGTGTCTTCTGCCTCGTCCCTCCCTTCGATGAAGTCTGTCCCGCCTTCCTTCTCGAGCCGGCGATACTCTGCTGTGCGCTCGACCGAGATTGCGTCAAGTTCAGCATTACGCCACTGAACGAGCACCCAATTGATGTTGCTCGATATGGTTCCCGCGAATGCCAAGATGAATCCAGCGGAAGATGCCGTCATATGAGGTGAGGTGAGGATGATGAGGAGCACAGTCGCCACGACCAGGACGTCCATGACCCGGAGATTGACTTCGATTAGTTTTATCCACATCCCCAGAGAAGGGTAAGGGCTCACTGAATAGCCAATTGCCAAGATATGTCCTCACTATCGACGCGTTTGTCCGCATGTTGAGCGTCCTCATGAGGTCTGCTGATCAGCTTGGTCACGTAACGTACCAATGAGGATTCCGCAGGCGATACTCACCGTTGACGAATATTGACTGGGAACCGAAGGCTCGGACAACAGCCGCACCAGCAATGGTCTCCGCATAGATGGCGTTGACCTGCCCCGGTATTGTCGATTCCAAGCGTCTGACCTGACGCCCTGCCGATCTGTACCACACGCTCTGATCCATTAGTCACACCCAGATAATCGAGATTGGGGTACGCACTGGCTTGTACAGCACAACAAACATGGCGATTGTCATACCCGCAAACAGCCAGCCTCCGTAGTAGGTGACCGAGACGAATGCCACAAGGACTAAGCTCTGTCAGCGCTACTAGCATGTCTTTGATGGTCTCAGATCGAGACTCACTGGCTATGGCGGATTCAGCGAGCTCAGTAATGAGCTCCGAGCAGCTTAGTATGTCGTTCTGCCATTCAGTGGTCATCCAGTGGGTTTTCAGTCGAGAGACACTGACGAGGTCTTTGCCGAATCTCTGTACTATACTTCCTGCTCTCGTGCGAGAAAAAAAGCTCATTTTGGCACGGAGCATGGTCTCCAGCATCTCTGAGTGCACCTGTAGGGTCAGTCCTTTGTCCTGAGCATAGGTAGCAGGCTTACGCGTTTCATGGCTCGTAGGCCACCGAAGAACCGCCATACACCGAAAGCAGAATTGATAACAATGCTGGCGATAGACACCTAATCACATCAGCATAGGAGCATGGAAGGATCCGTAGATGATACTCACGCCTGCATACAGAGACACCCAGAAGATGACCCGGCCTCCATCCTGCCCCGGCTGTGTGACGTCTCCTGTCCAAAATCTGTACATCAGCTAGCGGTCCCGGTCAAGGCGAGAGGCCGTCTGGACATACTCCAGAACTCCTCGTTCCGCTACTGGAGCTGCCACCGTACCGAGCAGAAGAGCAGCCAGGACCAGCCAGAACGTCTTACCCCCATTGAAACTTATCAGTTCTCGCCAGTGGCTGACATCGACTGTCCCTTTTGCCTTGTGTTCCTCCATCATGAGCTGCCTGGGAGTCTTGAGCGGGTGCTCCTTGATCTCAAACGCTTGAGCATTGTCAATGAGACTATTCCTCCGCCTCTTCTCTGATAGGTCACCACCAATGCTGGTGGAATCGTCGCCTACCGAGTTCGCGGTTTCCGTCTTGAGGTGAGCCATGTGCTCGGATGCCAAGATGTCTGGCCCTGTACCCTGCCATACGACTCGACCAGCGTCAATAAAAATGGCCTGATCGGCGATGGGAGCGAGGGATTCCACGGCGTGAGAGGCGATGATCAGTGTTCGGCCGGCCATCAGGGGTCCTTGGAAGCAATGCTGGAGCATATGCTGGGAAGTTTGAGCATCGACCGCAGAGATGACATCGTCGAGTAGCAGTGTGGCGGCGCGGGAGTATACCGCTCGAGCCAGACTGACTAGTACCTATCAGCCAAGACTGAAGGTCAGGAAATCGGAACGTACCTCGTGCCTTTTGGCCGCCGGATAGGATTTTGCCCCTGTCCCATGAGTCCACTATTCAGGCCGATAGGAAAGTGACATACCGCTCTCCAATCTCTGTCAAGTCTGAGTCTTCCAAGATCTCTAAGTCCGGCAGCAATCCGCATGCCTGATCCGTCAACTCCGCTAGCATGTACGTCGATTGATCAGCTTCCACTCACGAAGATCACCGCACGATACCGGTCAATGTCCAGGGGGAGACCGAAAAGGATATTCTCGCTATATAGATCAGCACTAGTCACCCAGCACCCGACGGAGAAGAACGAACCGAATACTCTGGCTCTGAAGCCAAGGCGTCTGAGGCACATACGCCACACCTGTACCTAACAAATGCCAGCCTTCCGAGAGGTCCTGCTGTGGGTCCATAGTTTTTGAGACCGCGTATGAGATCCTCCCCTCCAACAAGCGGGCTTCGCCCATCAGAGCGAGCAGCATCAATGTCTTCCCAGCTCCAAACTTGCCGGCAATCAGATGGACCTGTCCGCGTGCAAAAGTGAGGTCGATGTCTCGGAGCTGGAAGTCGCCAGCGGATACCGAGGTGACAGAGTCGGTGCTGCTGGTAACGAGCGGCGCGGCAGTCCAGCCTACGGTCCCCTTGAAGAAAAGAGGCGCCTGCGGGTCCAGTACAGGAGAATCCACAATGCTCTCTTCGAACCGGTCAAGATCGCGTGTGAGGAGGAAGGCACCGATTCGCTTGGCGGAGAGAATCTCCTGCAGAACCTCGGCAATGCTCTCCGGAATACTCAGAAGGGTGGGGCGGAGCTCTTCAAAGACGGCCATGGAGGTCTGGAGATTAGTTTGAATCTTATCATGCAGAGCCGAGAGTCGCTCACGAAGGCAATAGTAGCAGTCAGTGTCTTCTCGGCGATGAGCGTGTAATGGGTGAATGCGACGACCAGAATGATGGTAGGAGCCGCGGTGTACAGCATTCCCGATACGAAACCCAGCGATCTGGCTTGGACCAGTCGCCTGAACTCCTCATCCGGGACAGTCTTGATCCTGCGGTACCACCACCGCTCTGCTGCCATCATCTTGATCATGCCTATCGCCTGGATGGCCTCCTGCATCAGTTTGGTCTTCCTGTCGGACACGTCGAGGCGTTTCTCGAAGATTTTGTACTGATATTGGGTGATGAAATATGCCGGGACGGAGGTCATGAGCAGCGTGGATAGACCCCACAACCCGGAAGTGCCTGCTGGTTCAGTCATCCGCTGGAAGCCTAAAGTATGATGACGCACCTAGCAAGATCCAAACATAGCTCGCACCCACCAACATCTCTATCAAATTCCTGAAAATGCCCAAGAAGGTAAATACCAGCTCAGCGGTTGCTTCGACATCAATGGATATCAAGTTGAGGATGTCGGCAGAGGAGGTCGGGACCTTTTTCTCGTCATCACCTTCCTGAGCGGGCTTGACGAACGTATTGCGCATAAGAAGTTTGCTGTAAGTGTCAGGCTTGTTGGATTCTCGGACATGAGCAAACTCGCCTGAACAGCAGGTACTGGGCGTGCGCTCTAATCCTGGGCGAGACGTAAGTGCCCATGCTGAGCGATGAGCGCCGGAACCCCTCAGCTGGTCGAAAAGCACGGCTGAAGGCGACTTACATGGTGATCTGTCGTATCATTGCCAATGACGGCGCCAGCTTCCCCAGTACAAGCATCAGAGCCCAAGCTGCGGCGCTGCGGCGGTCGAGGCCAGTCTCAATCGCCGATAAGACTCGCTGAAGTGAGATATGCGGGATATACCAAAGAGGTGCGATGAGAATAGCGATCAATTGGCCTGGGAGTCAGTGATACACGGTTTCCGGGGACCGCAGTACTCACTTTGCAGAGCTGGCCGCCACTGTGGTGCCCAGACTTTCCACAAGAACGCCCTGGTGACACCCCATCGCTTGGCCGATATCTTTGGCCCCGTGTATGCATTGACTTCTCGGGCCGTATCCTGGACCCTCAGGAAGTGGTGCAGTCCAGGTAAATCCTGGATGTCTGCTTGGTCAAGCTTCGACATCTTCGAGATTACCGGCAGAAGCCAGCCCAGGATCATCCTCGAGAAGATGGAGGATGAGTATTCCGAGACCATATTAGCCTGCGTGGCGTCGGGGCCGACGAGCTCGTTTGCCACCCTGGTCATCTCTCCCTTTTCTATGGCAGCAGCCACAGCCTTTGTATACACCTTTTTGAGGTCGGCGTGCCGCTCTGGCTCGCACGGGATTGAGCCAACCGCGATGATCTGGCCCAAAGTCAGGCCGAAAAGAGTATACTCGACCCAAGTGAGGACGACGTGAGAGTTGTCGACGAGGTACTGCCCGAGTTTGGTGATGTAGACATGGAGGAAAAGGGTGGTAGCGATGACGAAGAGGTGAAAAGTGAGAGTGGCATGGCGAGGAATGTCCTTGGTGAAGGCGTAGGTGAGAGCGAGCATGGCTTGGTAAGCGCAAATACCGGAAGTCAGGACCACGGCGACCCAGTTCCAGGCCGTAGGACCACGGATGAGTATGTGATAGTCGCGCAGACCTTGGAGAGCGGCTGTAGCGAGTACGGGAAGGAGGAATACGATTTTGAGCGGAACCACCTGCGATTGGTCAGCTGGATGTCATCTGGCCCGATAGTGATCTCGCTTACAGTCTGCCAGAATCGCTTTTCCTGTACAAACTCTCCATCATCGCTCGGTAAGACCTAAACGTTGGCAAGCAGTTGGCGGCGGAACTCGTCGCCCCGAGTGACGGGTGGCGATCTGGGGGTGAGGAGCTTGATCTGGCCCGAGCGGCGAGCCTGGAAGCGGTCGTAGAGGAGAGAGGCGAGGGAGTAGGCGACAATGAGTGAGACGATCACAAGCGTGGATACCTCGAGAGCTTTCAGCCAGGTTGGCTTCGGAGTATGCAGAATCGTGGGATCGAGCATCTTGATGTTGGCGAGTTGGCGGATAGTATGGAATGTCAACGAGTCAAGGGGGACGGGGCGTCTTATAGGCCCCGATGGCCGGCGGTGAGTCCCAGATGAGAGGAGTGATAGGACAAAGGGCAACACAAGCGACTAAGCAGCTATATCGAGGCGTCAGTCAATTGCCGAAGGACAAAGGTAGGCTCGGTCGAGCTGAACGCCGCTTTTCGCTCCACCTTTGTCAGTGCTTCCTTTCACGGTCTAGCTGCGCTCGTTGTACCACTGTGATCAGAGAGGTACAGATTTTGTCGTTCTGTACTGCATCAATCTTGACTCGCAGGAATGTCCGACGAAGCCGACACAAGCATCAAAGCCCGCGCGAGCGAGGCTAGGCGCAAGGTGGCGGATGCCTCGCAGAGAGGACGGGAAGGGGCTGCCAAGGTCAAAGACACGGTCATGCCTGTGCTTGACAGCGTGGTTGAAGCGTTAGGAGGTGTGAGTGGGATCAGCCATGATGAGCCAGCTAGTCAGTCAGGCTGACTGTCAGTGGGATGAGCTCGACAAGACGGTCAGAGACTACAACCCGACCCTCGCGAAATTCGCCAAAGACAGCTTCTTCGCCCAATACTCGCCCGTACATGGCCCCGCCAAGTTCTTGATGCTCATGCTGGTGATGGGTCTGGTGCAGAGGTGAGCTCTACTCCTATACATTCTCAACAGTGATACCTAGACCCACTCGATAGCATCCTCCCCATTTTTGCCTGGCCCCTCGACTTTCTCGCCCGCCTCCTCGGTTTCCTCCTTCTGTACAACACCGGCCTCCAGCTTCTCCAGGCAGGCTTCGAGTCGTCCAGCTCTCCACCCCGCCTCAAAACCCTCTTGTCGACATTCATCATCTCTTCCCTCCTCTCACTTATCCCCTCCTTCCTCTTCGACGCGTCGCACCACTTCGGCGCGCTTTGGTGTTTCTTCCTTCCCGCCCTGCTATTCGTGACGCCAAAGAGAGGAGGTGCGACCGTGGCGGTGATGATCTGCGACACGCTCTTCGCGCAGATAGGGGATGTGATCACCTCGGTGGTGCCGGCGAGCTTTCAGGGGAAGGAGGGGAGGACGTCGATGATGATCGCTGGAGCTGTCGTTGCTGCCCTATTGTCAGTGTGGAGCTCACTTGCGGGAGACATCACTTGAACTTACCAGGCTAACGGGATAGCTGGGTAGGATACCTCGGCGCCCTCGGATCGTACATGGCCGTATGGACTGTGTTGACCTTCCATACCATCCACGCCATCTCCAAGCCTATCGAGGACAAGGCGGACGCCAGCGCGTACAAGGAACAGCAGACCGTCTGGCACAATCTCCTTGCAATCTGGCTGTGGCGATACCTCTTCACTGCGGTCGAGGGCGTGTCAGTTCCGGGCTTGATGAGCGTCATCGGTCTGGTCACCTTCTACCTCCCGAGCTACTTCCTATGGCTTACCGCCTTCTTCTTCGGGATGTTGATGACCAAGAAGGTTTCGGAGAGTCGAGTGAGTCTGGATATAGTGAGGTGGATATCGGCTGATCAGTCTAGAAAGCGGCGACGTGGTACGCCAAGTGGTTGACGGGCGGTTTTGCGAAGAAGGCAGGGAGCTCGAGTACGTCCAGACCGAGTGCGGATAGTTCGAGTTCGTCGAGGCCGAGTGGGGAGAGATCAAGCTCGTCAAGCTCAAGGCCGAGTGGAGATAGGTCGAGCTCGTCAAGGTCGGGCGGGGGAAGGTCGAGTCGATCCGCGCCTAGGTCATGACACCCGCCAGGTCGACGGCCCGACAGAGAGTAGATAGAAGTATACATACATGCTTTGTACAACAAGTCTCCCCTGAGATATCGGAGACCGCGATCTATAGTTGATTCCGCTTCTTCGACGTCCGCATGAACGGCCGAAGCAGCCATTCAATATCCGCGGTAGCCTGGTCCACTGTGCCTTGCCGTATTTCATAAGCTGGTGGTCAGCCTCAACTATTCCCTTTGCATCTCATCGTGATCTAGCTCACGTTTTGCCTCGAACCTGGGCCCGACCTCCGCTAATTGCACATCCTTATGTGACGATTTGGCAAAGACGTGATGTCTGCTGATCAGCTTTGCGACATACCCAGCCTCATTACTCACCTGAAAGAGATGAAGTCGCTGTCGTTCATGAACGTCATGACCCTCTTCGCGTCCTCCTTGGGCACCGGGAACAGCGCCCTCAGAATCCCCATCACCCTCTCGCCCAGCTGCGTGCTGAACCCCTCAAAGATGAGATGTGGAAACTGCTCGCTGACCGTACTTGTCGCATGTGACGAGACGTCATGCCGAAGAACGACGTTGTGGAGGGTCATGGAAAGGGTGGGGCCGTGTGGGAGATGCGAAATGATGAGGGCGTCGGGAACACCTCGGTGCTCGTGGACGAGGATAAGGTCGGTGATGCTGTTGGAGAGACAGGCTGGGATGAGGTCGGACATGGTGGTGTTTCCGCGGTTGAGGCGGTGGGCATTAGGAAAGACTAAGCGGAGCTCCTGTCTCGTCAGCTTGATCCCGGCGGAACACCAATGTTGAAGCTTACCTTTGCGAACTGTATTAATCGGGATGAGGGAGATCGGGAGGTGGTGACAACGATCTTAGGATCATACGTTCCGACTTTGGCATACTCATCGTCGATATGGCTCTTCGGTTCTGCAAGTCAGCTTCCAGCTACCACATGCTCTTGGCCCCGCTGCAATTCGTCAGTTGAGATGAACGACTCACCCGCTTGCGCTTCATCCAAAACCAGCTCCTTCGCTCCTTTCCTCGCCTCGTCCCTCATCTCCGTCGGTAGACTCTTCCCCTGCGCCAGCAGATCCTTGATGTGCTGCTTCCGCTCATAGATGGCTCTTTCTTGCGATTCTTGAGACTTCTTGAAGATATATTCTCGCCTCTCGCGGGTCTGTCGACGAAGCTAACCGATCAGTCTGTTTCTTTTCCTCTGGGATGCATAAGCCCTCTGGACTGACCATTGTACTGTACCGCTGGGGGTGTTTAGGGTATCTTATGGGCAGCAGGTATTGCTGTGATGATAGATAGTGGACGAAGGGAAGCGCTGCGTGCAAGATTTCTGACCCTTACGTCACACCCACGGACCTCCACCTGGGACGTTATCAATGCCCCACATCTAAGGTTCACATCGCTATCTCCCCATGCATGTTTCCTGCCGCTTAACTCGCTCGTAGCCGGATGACAAGCCAGATGGCGGAGCGATATCGATCAGATCCAGATAGAAGCCCAAGCATACATGGGTAATTGTATGACATCTTGGGCTGAGCCGGAAATGTGCGAGAGATGACTTCGTGTCAAGCCACTCATCGCGGATGATCCTGGACCGCCTCGAGAGTGTAGCGCGCCAGTATACTCCTCAGATGAGGAAAGGCCAAACTTGTGTCGCGTCTGAGCCAATCCCATCACGAGACTCATCCAAGTTGACAGCCATGTCGATTTACGGCACATCTCCGTAGGGTCGATCTGAAACGCGTTCTGAAACAGCTTGAAACACCACGATCCGACGTCGCTCCAGAAGCTCCAGATGCGGTCATCTTCTGAGATGCCCTATGCCCAATCCTCATTTCAATGGCCACCATTTGCGTGGCATTTCAGACGCTCAGCAGACTGCTGGACCTCAGATAGTCTGACCCCCTATAACGCCGCGCTTTTCCGTGAGTGCCAGGCGAAGAGACCCGCTGAGTACAATTCCTGTTGCACCAGGCCGCGGAATCGATCAGCAACCCGGGGTCAGCCAAAGAGTATCGGGTACGAGCACAGTTGTTCTATATTCGGTAGGACCCAGTGACTCTCACATCGAGCATGCCTGCATCTGGGCATAGCTTCATTGCTCAGCGCTCAACAGCGACTGCTGCAAATCCGGTGGCGCAAAGCCACGTGGATCAAATTACGTCACCACCGGTTCGCGCGAATTCGTGCCAGCCGGCAGCAGCAGCTGCAGCAAAATGGCTTTCATACGAGCAGCATATAGACTTGTCCAGCAGACCACTCGAGCCGATGTCGATCACGGGCATGGCGGAGGATGCGGACCTCCTGGCCAAGTTTACTGCGCTCCTCGCCTCGCCGGACCCAATCGCGCTCCCTCGGCAAACCCTTCTCGGCGCGGTCTCCCATTACATCTCAACCTTGCCGTTGGCGGAACTGCGGCCGCTGCTCAAGGTCGTCATCCAGTCGCCTCATTTATGGGATGATGTCAAGGATCGTGGTGACAGTAGAGCAGCTGTCAAGCTTGGCGCCCGCGGTGCGCTTGATCGCCTAAAATCGACCCCCGGTCCGAGTCGGTGGTTCCGGCGTAATGACTCCTTATCTGACTGGCTGGATGAAGCCTATGGTACCACCGCAGAGGCCGAAGGAGGAGGGAAGCTCCACGTCATGGTGGCGCTGCTGGTGGTGGATCCGGCGACAGGGGTAGAGCAAGGCAAGGCGCAGCTGTGGAAAGGGAAAGAACGGGCAAAGGCGGAGGATGAGGTCATCATGGGAGCAGCCGGGAGGCTTCACGAGGCGGAGAAAGGGGCAAGCGGAAAAGAGGACGTTGGGCTACTCTGCGAGGTACTGGAAGCGGTGGATGGGATGAGGGTTCGAGTATTGGATACAAACGTAAGTCCACGTTTTCTCCCCTCGTTATGCCGCCCGCTGAACTGTAGGCTGCGTCGCGGACCATACTCAGCAGCCTGTACCTAAGGCTCGCCGACTCGCCGAGCTCGGTGGCCAGTACAATCAGTCGTACCAGCCCGGAGATACTCAGCCGAGCTGTCGCTCGCTTATTCGGTGTCCTCAATGATGGCGATGTCGAGACGCGGGGTCAAGGCTGGAACGAGATGAGGCAGTTCTGCATTCAGATGCGAGGGGTGATCAGCTGTCTGCCCCTTCTATCCTCAGCCTCGAGTGGAGCCGGAGGCAGACATGCGCCGGAGAGTACTGGTAAGTCCTTACATGATTGCATCATGGAGTACCGCTGATTGGTCAGCTTTCGCAAGGCAAAAGACTGCTCTCTTCGCCTTCCTTGTCCCCTCCTCCACCACTCTTTCCATCCTCCTTCAGAATGATCCGCCCTCTGGATCCACCGATCGCCCGCATAGGACATCACCATCAGCGGATATAGCCTCCGAGTCGCTTCACACCTTATCGGCCTTCGCTTCCATCCTCGACCTGTCTCAAGGCGGTCTCGAGGGATACCACCGGATATTACACGGTATGATCGACATCCTGGTCGCTTCTGCTGGTCCGACCGGAGTCAAGGACCTGCTCACGCGTGCTCCGGCGCCAGACGTGGCGAGCCTCGCGGAAGGAGCCTGGTGGATGACCTTTGGGGAGAGCGTGATCAACCAAGTGGACCAGTGGGGCTTCGAGACCGTACTTGAACCGATGATCCAGAGGTGAGTCAGCGGATCACAGATCTGTCCAATAAAGCTAATAGTCTAGGTTTATCTCAGATAACTCTCTTCGATCGAGCTTCGAAGCTGCACACTCGTTACGGCTGGCCACACTTCAAGCGGCATCAAAGACCCTGGACACGAATCGCTCAGACCGGATCCTTGTCCAGCGGGACTTGCTGGCATACGCTGACCTGCTTATCCAAGTACGTCTCTCGTCATGTTCCAGGGAGATTATGCTGATCAGCAGCAATACACCGAGTCGCTCATCACGTCCGACCAGTTCCGGTCCGCCTACCCCCTCATCGTCGAAGCGGCATCAAGTCACTCCCCAGAACTCGTCAATACCTGTCTGCGGCAGCTACGACTCGCCAAAGCGCCCACTACCTCCGCAGAAGCAGACGCGTTCGGCCATAGTCGCCGAATGGTAATCATCGCCTCTGCGCCTCATATCCCCCTTCACCGCCTGCGGTCGTACCTCGATGGTCTGGCCCAGGATATCGTCGCTACCCCGGCGGACTCCAGTCATCGGGTCGAACTGGCGGGCGCGGCGTTCAGGATGGTGATGCATGATTTGCCGGATGGGCCGAGGAGGGAGGGGATGGAATGGTGGACTAGCTGGAGGGGCGTCTTTGACAGCGGGGCGAGGTCTGTAGATGCCAAACTCTGAATGGCACGGATGAGTGAGGGGTATAAGCGGTGCAGCGAGCTGATATGCTCATAAATCCATCGGCGAGAAGAAGCTTCAACGTCCACAAGTACTGCATACTGATAGTGCTTATTGAGTATTCACAGGGGCCAAACATCGACTCGCATGGCGTACATACCCCAGCGAGTACCCCCAACAATATACACATGCCTAGCTCCCACTGATGCGTCGCCTGACTCTGCGCATCAGTGCGTACATCATTGACCGGTCCGGCTCGGCTCCGGAGCGCTGCTGTATGGGAGCTCGATCACGGTACCCTCACCATAGACGGTGGCGTTGTCATGCGTGGTCTCTGTAGCAGGATCTCGTTTCAAGAGGACCAAGCCAACAGGTTTGTAGTCTGCGGAGGTCGGATCAGCCTCGGAGCGACGTATGAACATCGACCACCCATTCGACCACCCGTCCGACCACTTGGGGAGGGAGTACATCTCGGTCCAGTGCCCGTGATCGTCGCTTCTCTGAACCTGCAGGTAAGTAGGTGTGTCGCCGGTGTCGAAACCGAAACGGAAGCTGACAGGGGTCAGGGCCCCGTCGAGTCCGTATCGCACTTTGCCCATCGAGTCGATCGTCAGTGTCTTCAGAGTGGTCGAAGCGTCGAAAGGCGAAGAAGGGAGAAAGAGAATGGTGGCGTCGAGTCGAGAGCCGGAGAACAGAGGGGGTCGACCGGTCGGAATCTCTGTTGCAGTAGCATCATCGCGAGAAGGTATCAGCTGGGGGGATCGGAGATCCGTGGTGGACTCTGTCACGAGGCATGGCGTCATGAGTGATCTCAGACCGTCTTGGCTCATCGAGTACCAGCACAGTCGCTTGCCGTCCGGTAAATTGGGTAGTGGCCGAATGTGGATGACATACGTCGAGATCGGTGGCTTTGGGAGCAATACAGCCAGGCTGGCATCGGACGCACGTGATGCCCGGGTAGGATTGATGTTGTTCATGCCTGCTCAGTACTCAGTGATGAGGTTGGCTGTGTAAAGTAACACTGATGATAACGAAATGGAGAGAAACGGCTTGGAAGAGGGGAAAGAAATCTGAGGCCCGTTTCTTATCTGGCGCACCGGTGATCGGGAGGTTCCCTCTGATCGGGCGCAATCCTTTGTGATTCTGCACCACCCTCGGCAGATTGTCGGATAGCTTGCATGAGTCCGGACCTCTGACTATCCTCTGACTGATGGCACAACCCCAGCGCAGGTTCAAATCTGCGCGTCGCATGCAGGCAAGGTCCGAGCGAGGGCCGAGCGGGGTGGCAAATCTGACACCATCGGAACTAAGGTCCCTGCAGGGCCTCCTGTACCCCCTCGAGACCTCAAGTCATGCTGATATACGTTCCTTTGCCGATCTGACACCGTTATCAGCTATGTGCGACTCTCCTTGACCAATCTCGGCGGGGAAATGAACGGCAGGTCGAGACTCATCGAATCCTCTCTCCTTCCATGAGGCGTGCTCTCACAAACGATCAGCTGGGGACACGACTTTGCCTGTCCAGCGTTGACATTGTCGGCGACGATACAGCTCGACTTCGATACAGTACAAATTCATGTTTCTATGTGACTGTGTCTCTCAATCAGTCGCTCTTGTCCGCCACTCTCCGTCCCGCTCCAGTGCCTCCTTCGCCGATCCCGCGAATCAGACTCTGTATCTCAATCCATAGTGGAGAATGCAATCTCTCCACAGCGGTATGTCTGCGGTTCACCACGCTCAGCATCGCTTGCGTCCGGTAGAGTTTTGAGCAGGACGGACCCCGAGACGATCTTGCCCTCAAACGCCGCCGTGTCACCCAAGATCACAAACTCCTGCCAATCTGATGAGCGGAGAGCGTACTCGCGGATCTCACGGCGTTTGGCTCCCGGTGGCTGATGGCACGACATCGTGAGTGAGCTGTCTTGGTCTGCGGCCGCGCCACATGCACTGCTGAAGTTCAAGACTTGTGAGATCGTGACGAGACTCCCGGGGATGCTGGATTTCCACCTCGCTTCGGTAGGATGGGGTCCGAGCTGAATCAGGCGGTACGGGTGGAGACTTGACCCGTGCAAGGAGTCCGGAGGCAGGGAGACAGCCTCACATGTCTTGCCACGCATCATGACCGAGAAGCCTGTGGGACGGATCGGCCACCAAGATAGGGTCGCGTCAGTGTCACTGCCGCCGCCTGCCTGATTGTCACCGCTGTTGGTCTCGTAGATCGGCCCGATGTGCCCGTACCCCCATCCGAGCAGATCCGGATCCCCTGGGAGTCGGCCTTGCAACACGCAGAAGTGAGCGGGCATTCGATGCGTGCGTAGGCCAGGCGAAGAGGCATTTGAAGTGCGGGAAGCTGTCGCAGAGTTGGAGCTCATGGTGAGGATTTAGTCAGATATGTGGTGAAGTGAAGTGAAGCGCGCTGGGCTCTACAACACAGTAGGAGGATTCCGGCGACGGCGCAGGCGCAGCTGAAAATTGCAGATTCAGACTCCGGCGGGTGTCAGCCATCCTTTGCAAGTCGATCTCGGTATACCTGCTGGTGTTTCATCCTATGACCGACCCGAGCTCGTGCGCTCGATAACGTGGTGTTGCGCCGGGAGACGTATCGTAGCTCTCATGTCAGCTACATACAGCACTGATACAACATCCATCCTTGAGATTCACTACTAGCCATGCAATCTGGCTGGATCACATGAAGTCTGCCGCCCCTTTCCTCCCACCACCCACTCTAGCCAGAATCGGCGCCGGCTTCTCCACCCACATATCCTCCTCTTCCTGCACGTGTACCCCGGTCCCAATATCCCTCGACCCAATCTCAACGACCGCAGGTGCCGTCTCCTTCACCGGTATCGCCGCACTCTTCCTCAACACACTCGCCACCGGCTCTTTCCGCTCCATCTTCCGTTTCCTCTCCCTTCCTTCCGCATCGCCACCGGCCCCACCTTCCTCCCCTTCTTCCTCCACTTGGAAGCTGAGACTCCCTTTCGGCTTGCTCTTGTCCTTCTTCCGTTTCTTCTTGCCCTCCCCCGCTGCCCCACCTCCGCTGAATGCCCCGATCGCCTGGACAGGCTGGGTGGGATCCGTGTCGTCCCTCTCTCGCTTGACCTGGAAGACCGGCTTGAACGTCGTGAGATCTACCGGGGCAGTCGAGACCGGCTTTGGCGCAGCAGCCGAGGATGTGGAGACCGCCGATATAGCGGGGGTGGTCGTGGCTTTGGCAGGTCCCGCGTCCGCATCTGCCCCGTCCTCCTCATCCGAGTCCTCATCGTCACTCGCAAAGATCGCCTTAAAGATATCGATACTCGGTTTGGTATACGTCAGAGTATCCCTCCCCTGATTGATATCCTCCGCCATCCCCACTTCCGCCAGCGACTTGGGTACGCGCTCTCCTTCTTCCACCAGCGCCGCCGCCCCTGCCGCTAGGGGTACCGCCGTAGTCGAACTGGGCGAGCTCGGTTCCGCCGGCTTGTAGATGAAAGCATCCTCCCAGCTCGCATCATTCTTCGGCAACGCCCCCAACTCCCCTACTCCACCCCCACTGCCAGCTCCAGCCCCTGCCCCCTTGGGCTCTCCCTCCGGATGAGGATCCTGCACGCCAAACCTCCTACACACCAACTTGGCCGGATAAAACTCCTTCACCACCCGAGTCTCCACGCCATACCGCCCCTCCACCGCCGCACGCTCCCTCGGCCCCATATTCCGCTTCTCCTCCACCTTATCCTGATTATCCCGAACCTTCTTGGCATCCTCTATCGCCTTCTCCGCCTTCTCCTTGTCGTACATATGTAGACCCGGTTTCGCCTGCTTCATATCGCTTCCGGCGAGGCTCGCGGACCCACTCGTAAAGCGGGACGACATGGCGAATGACATGGGCTTGAATATCCGCGCAGAGCCGGCAAAGTCGTCCAGCTCTTTATTGATCTCCTCGATAGATCCGGTCCGGAGGTTGGGTTGCGGCGTGCGGGTGTTGAGGGTCTGAGAGGAGAGATAGGAGCGGTACCGGTCTTGTTTGGCGGGATCGTCGGTGTAGGGTATGAAGCCGCGGAGGGCGGCACCGGCGGTTCGAGGGGAGAGTGGGGGGATGATGACCGAGGTAGGAGGGGGAGGGGCAGAGGATGCAGGGGTATCGGTTAGGGAGAGAGGTGGAGGGACGGTGGCCCCGGCTCGGGCAGCAGCGGCTATGGCTTGGATCCGTTCTCGGTCTTTCTCGGACATGTATTCGAAGACCGATTTCGCTTTTGACGTTTTCCCATCTTCCGTTGTCGATTGAGGTATCGGAGGGGCGGATGTGGTAATAGGTGCTGTTTCCTCTAATGCTTGACCCCGCTACATCGTCAGCTTTAGTCTGCATGATTTCCAGGACCACTAGTTTACCTGCTCAAAAGTCAACGGCCGACCCGGAACACCCCTAACGACCTCCTTCTCCACCTTGACCTCCCCAGGCTTCTCATCCCATCTCTTCCCTGTTCCCCAAACGCGCGCAGGACGAGGTCTCCAATCTGGCGGTATTTCCGGCATCTCAAACCTATTTATCAGCTAAACGTTCAGTCATCCCGTACTGTACAATCTAGCTCACCATTTATCCGCTGGAACACCTAGTGGGTCTAGCTCGAACCCTGACAGGACCGGCCGACCATCATGCCACCTCGTCGTATCTATGTCCGACCTGCCCCCTCTCGACGAGGACGACATGTCTCTGGCTGAAGGAGGCAGTCGGGACGGACCCGCCGAGCCACCAATGACGACCGGCATATCCTCGTCTTCGTCTGCATCGGTAAAAGCGAACGGGCGGGCCGAGGTCGATGGCCCTGCTATGGCGTAGGGATCATCTTCGTCGTCCATATCGACGTGGTTGGCTCTTATAGCTATGTCGTCAGCTTAATCCAACTCCTTCACCACCTAAGCTGAAGTGGCGAGCGAGAGAGACCTAAAACTCACCTAGCGGTTTCGCGCGATCCAACCCTCTTCCCATCCCCTTCGAATACCCTAATCCCGCCTTCTCCTCCTTCGCCTCGTAGACCACCAGCTTCGTATCCCTCGGCGCAAACGTATGCTTCCCCTTTCCCTTCCCAGTCCCACTGCCCTCGCCCCCGATGCTCGGGTCCATATCGACATCCTCGTCCCCATCGTCGGGATCCGGTAAACGGCCCGACTTGGCATCTTGCATTTTGAGCCGCCGGAGGTTGATTCGAGGTCCGATACCTTGTCCGGGACGCCAGCCTTGTTTCTGCAGGAGGGTTTGGCCGATGGATGTCCGGGCGGGCTCGATAAGCGATTGGAGGGCTGATGGAATGCTACGGATCAGCAGGGCTCGTTGATGTATCCCGTAGAGGGAGATGTGGGGAGCGGTTGCGAGTTGGAATATGGAGTTCGGCATGTAAGACTTACTTCTTCTCAGCCAGCTCAGCCTTTGTACTACCCAGCCGGTCCGACCTGAACGTTTCGGTATTCTCCAGAGTCCGATCCTCCTTCATCTGTGCCAGATCTTCTTCATCCATAAAGTCCTCTGGCCGCTGGGTTTTGGCCGCCCGATTGGTACGGGAGGACTTGAAGGTCGAAGGGGCCCATCCTGCAGTATCAGTTGAGCTCTTTCCTACTACCGAGCTGAGCGCATAGTAGCTGTTTGACCAGGGTAGAAGCGAGAGGCGAGAGGGGGTGACCCACCTTCTTTGGACCCCACGGAGTTGTAGTAGCCCGCTGAGTATCCTCCAGTGAAGGCCCCGTGGAACCGACGACGTCCTTGCTCATCGCGCACCTATATTGTCAGCTCAATTCTCGTACACAAGGTCATGGAGTGCCTGTCAGCGGACGGATGACCTACCTCTTGTTGCCATTCCGGTACATACTCGAGCTTGTCTTTACGGCTCTCTGCCAGCGCAGGTAGTGGTGTTCCGATCTAAACGGTCAGCGCTATACCCTTCACAGATATACGCAGTGTACAAATGAGCAAGATGGGTGAGCTGAGAAAGCGACGTACCTGGACAAACGATTCGTTCAAATATGCGCTCTTGAGGTTGACCTGCTCCAAATCGAGCTTGTGTTTCAAGCGGGACGTCATCCTGCTCAACTCCGCGGATGACCCGAGCTACTGGCTGTCGGGCGGAGTCTGGAGCGAGGCTCGATAAGGTGAGTATAAGGAGTAATGGCACAATATGGAAGGCGAAACCGTCCGCTGGAGATCTAGAGGCAATGGACGCACGGACTACTTTGACTAGGAAATCGTACTAATGGAAATTGAGGTATTTCATTAGGGCTAATTTGTATTGAGGGAGCCCCACATCCCATAACGACCTCTCCTCCGCATCGAAGCAACCACCTTAACTCGTGCCCCCTATCATCCCTTCTTCTCCCTCTACTTCACAATTCAGACCCGTGCAACATGTCGGGAACGTACGCTCTGCAGCACCATACATTTCTGGCATGTAGCTGACAGACCAGACGGGAAGCTACACACGCGGGTAGCTGGTACACCTCTTCCGGTCCGCTTGCTCACCGTCCCACTCCACGAGTCGCAGAAGCTGACCCTTGTAGGCTCGCAGCTCGAGTCTGAGCTTGATGGATACCTCGCCAAGGTTGATCCTATACCTGAGCTGGACTACGCCCCACCCGTCGCAAACGCCAAGGCTGTCATAGCACCGTATGTCCCCATATCACCTTCAGCTATGTTGTACATGTGTTTGTAAGATAGCTGATGTATAGGCATGCGGGATACTCATACTCTGGTCCAGCGGCCGCTTGGGCATATGCTGCTATACCGACTCAACGAGTGTACGTTTGACCCATCATCCTCCTTAGCAGGAGCTGAAGCTAACCGAGTAGGAAACGGGTCTTCTTGCTTGGTCCTTCGCATCATGCTTACCTGTCCGGAGTCGCGCTCTCGCGCTTTGAGACTTATGGCACTCCTCTCGGGGACATTCCACTCTGCAAAAACAGTGAGCTGTTTCGCCGCGATCGCCGTTCGGGTTGTCGCGTATAGCCTAAGCTGACCTCGTAGCCATCTCGGAGCTGCAAGATTCAGGCCTCTTCTCGGACATGTCGCCCTCAGTGGATGAGGACGAGCATTCTCTGGAGATGCATCTCCCATATATCCGTCATATCTTCTCAGGGTGAGCTAGGCATCACATCCGGTGGAGACAAGGGTGATTAGCTGAACCGGCTAGGATTGAGGACCTGCGGCTGATTCCTATCCTGGTTGGACATCCCGACGCGAGGACTATGGGCCGTCTGAGCGAGGTCCTTGGTCGGTACTGGGCGGAGGAAGATACATTCTTCGTGATCAGTAGTGATTTCTGCCACTGGTAGGTCTTGCGTCCTCCTTTCTCCCCAGCTATGGGCAAATTTCTGGTCCTCCATGTCCTTATTATCCGCAGACGTACTGTCTGCCGCACTTCAAATCCATAGCTTGGGCATGGCTGATCATCAGGGGCACCCGCTTTTCATGCACACCCTACTACCCCTCCGCCCCTCACCCCTCCAACCCCGTCCCGCCCGTTCCCGCCGCCTACTCGTCCACATCGACCTCATCAGCCCCATCGTCCCCGCCCGAGATGGTCAAGCGCTTCGACAAGCCCGGCACAGCAGCTATATGGGAAAGTATCCAATATATGGATCATGAAGGTATGGACCTCCTCCGTCGGCCTGCAGGGCAGGGCGCAGTGGACGCGTGGGAGCGATATTTGTCCCGAACCAAAGTAAGTCATAATATTCAGCTCGAGCTAGCATCTGCTCCATCGAGAGGTCAGACCATAGAGCTGATCAGACAGAACACTATCTGCGGTCGGAATCCCATCACTGTCCTCCTTCATCTCGTTCAGCATGTCTACGCGGGCAAGCCAGAAGCGGAGCATCCGGAGTTTGTGTTTGTGAGGTATGAGCAGAGTAGTCGGTGTATGGCGAAGGGGGATAGTAGTGTGAGTTATGTGAGTGGGGTACTGAGGGTTCCGGGGCGGGTTTAGGTTGAGCCTGCTGCGGAGGTCCTGGAGGCAGAACAAGAGTTATGTGTAAACAGGTCGTTTGGTTGTACATCATGTATCGCGTCCGTGAACATACTGATCATCCTCATTGACCGAATCTCATGTCGCTCACCGTGCTCAAAGTCTTAGTGTTACTTCCCTACATTGCTGATATCGATACTAGCGGCGACTGGCCCCTCCGGCGATCGCGCAACCATCCTTTGATCAGCTACATAGCTCGAACGTGTATGAGCTACCCCTGAATTATACCTGCACTGCCTCACTCTAGATTGCGAGACCAGCATGTCAGTATAAAGGAAGATCCTGGCTCTGACGTGTCTAATGAGATAGATATCGAGTTCGAGAGGGGAGCAGACTGAAGGGGCGAAGGATGAAAGCAAGGCCGACTGAAAGTGTAGCAGTCAAGCGATCCTTACAACTAAGCGGGCTAAATACGGCAGAGAGGGACTGGTGAGGGGTATAAAGCCCGTCCCCCGCCTCCCGGATCCCTCAATTCTACATCTACTTTGCCCCACTCGCACTTATCCTCTACCACACCATTCACATCCTCACAACCACTTCTTTCACCTCACCATGTCTGCCATCCCTTCCTCTATAATCGAGGAGGTTCTCTTCGATGCCTGGGCAGCCAAGATGTTGTTGGAGGAAGGCTACCGCCCCCACTCTACCCGCATTGGCGACATGGAGTTCACGTGCCCGTCAAAGGAGGAGTGAGTAATCGGGACTCAGCTACCTGCCTTCAATCCTCGATCTGTCGGCGGTGCAGCGACCAGCGTCATAATGCTAACGTACAGCGAGGAGGGAAACCGCACGTATGTGATCGGCTGCGATACCGTCTCTACTCCCGAAGGTTTCAAGACCACCTTCAAAGTGGCCTCGGAAAAGGTGTTCGCTTCGTTCTGCAAGCGCATGAAAGATCAAGCGGACGCCGCGAAGACCACGCAGAAGACGGACGAGCAGCAGCAGCATGATGCGGCTGATGAGACCAAGGGCACGCAGGATGACACTGAGGTAAGCTATCAGATGCAGCAGCTGTCGTGTAGGGATATCCGGCTGACATGACCAGCAGCCACCCGTCAAGCCCAAGGCCTGAGCTCGCGCATCAGTGACACCCGTTCCCCATCTGATACTCTCCCCTTTGTTCCATATACTTGCCGCATGCATCGTTTACTCGTGAAATGATACGCCTCATGGCGAACTCATCAGGGCGCCTCGCGTCGCCAGGTTGAAGTCCCTACACTCAGTCCCTTGAGCTGACAGGTTCGCACTCAGCTCGCACAATGTAGCTCTGGGCCGAGCATGGAGATTAATTTGCAAACGGTCACGTCGCCATCAGCGCAGCGAACTTGCGGCAGAGATCGCGCTGGCCATGAAGATCCAAAATCTAATACTGAAATGCATAGCATGGAGACAGTGGGCTCGCCTCTATTATACACGGTCCGTTGCGGGATGGAAGGGCTCGGTACTAATATCGGGCGTAAGAGTGTTTCTCCTCGTCAACCGGTATGCTTTATCACCATCCCCCGTGACATACGAACAGACAGCAAATTGAGACCCGCCATTGACTCCACCATAATTGCTGAGGGTTCCGTTGATGACTTCGAGGTCTGGAGTCGGAATTTGGTCCAATTTGACGCCGGCTACGACGTGGACGTTCGTGGACGCGATGGCAGTGCAGAGCGTTGCGCGTGTTCGGCGTTCCGCGCGTTCGGCCTCAAGACGAGCCTCTCGCTCAGCATCAACAGTATCTTCCAATTCTTTCGATAGGTGGTTGAGATCGTTGTCGAAGTTTCCGCTCATCATGTCAGCCGAGGGGCAGTAGGTCTCGCTTCTGCCCGAGATGTCTCGGTTGGACATGGCGGGAATGTGTGGGCGAGATCGAGGTGCGATGTGCCTGTTGATTGTTCAGATTCGGTCGTTGCAGCTCAGGATGCGAGGCGGTGTTGAGATCTGAGAGGAGCTGTCGTTTGAGGTGTTGCTATGATTATGGAAGCTGACTTGAAAGTCAATGGCTGAGTGCTGAGTGGCGAATGAATTAAAGTCGAAGGGTCAGCGGTAAGAGACCATACCGATAGGGTAAGGCACGCTTGTCAAATTCAGTCTCAGCTAGCACAGCCTCACAGGATCCTTTGTATACACACCTGTTCAAGGAGCGTTGCGCGCGCGTAGCATGGCGTCACATGGATGATAAGAGGAAACGACTGCGCCTGGATTATACATACGTCCTTTGATCTCCGTGAACAGCCCAAAGGCGAAGTGAGGGAGACAGGGCATGCTCAGCACACTCAGTGTGCTGCTTGATGCGAAGATCAATAATGTATGTGAATCCGCCATGATATCAAATGTAGTGTAAGTGAACGAGTGTATGAATTTCCTTTGTTTCTTTTCCTCTCAGCTAGATACAGTACTTCCTTTGTATGGCCTACTCCACACCGAAACACAAGATCACTGGCCGCAGGCCAGCTGCAGCTGCGTTTGATACCCATAATTGCTTGCCTGGAATCTTGTCTAACGTCGACTGGCGGATGAAATGAGACAATACTCACCACCAGCATCGATGTCGGTTGTGACCAGCCCGCGCGGCCACTCACTCAAGCGGACCGTCGCAGATCATACCAGCGGTCAAGGTCACAAGTGCTGGCAGTGGAACGGGTGGCGCTTTCCCATCGGGCTCGCCTTAGGCCTGGCGGCAATCGTTCTCTTGCGCTGGCGCTGGCTTGGAGCAGCCATCATAAGAACCGGGTCATGTCACTACTCCGGCAGTCAAGGTTGTTAGGAATCTGAGATTCTAGGCTCTCTGAAGCGGGAAGCGAATAGGTAGCGAGAAGTCACCCCTATTCGGAAGCGAGCTCGGTAGCGAGTAGGAACTCCTATATCGAGTAGGAGATCCAGAGAGTGCGACGCCAGAGTGGCGAGATCCCATACCGAACAGCTCAGGAGAGTCTGGCATGTCAGTATGGCGGACCGAGTGTGGCGCCGACAGCACAGTAGGAGCTCCTATGCAGTATAGGAGCTCAGAGGGATTCGCAGGTCTGAAGAGAACTCCCTATAGCACATAGGGACTTGCTATAGCTTGTAGGGACTTGCTATAGCTTGTAGGGGATTGCGTAAGAACTTCCTATAGCTTGTAGGAACTTGCTATAGTTAGTAGGGACTTCCTATAGCTTGTAGGAACTTGCTATATACTGTAGGGACTTCCTACACTATGTAGGAAGTCGCCAGGCTGGAATATATAAGGAGGTCATGTCGAGTCCAATGCATCCCCACTCTGCAGTCGGAAAAGTGTCTTGCCCATCCTGGTCCCTGGAAAAGTTAACAAAGGGCTGGCGCAAAGCTTCATGTATATGCCGTTGACGACTTATGACTCTTCACTCCCCGGCGCTGAAACGGAACTCACAGTACGTCTCTCGCTTGCCTGGATTTGGCAAGACCCCTCGAGCTTGGCGAAGCTGAAGCCAAACAGTTCGACATCGGGGACTCGACGTATTTCTCCCCTCTGACCAAGGCATCCGCCATGTTCAACCTACAGCCCGCCGATACCGGCGCACACGCTCCACCCTCAGCCAGACCTGGCTACCGCAACTTGGCGACTGTCATTCGACTCTCCAGCGCGGCGGATATATCCCCTTACGCCCTGGCGAACATCCTCGCGGTGTATGCGAAGGTGGACGATGTCTATACTAAGGCCTTTCTGCGTATCGTCATTTTCACTACTGGAGGCAACCTGAAGGGCCCACTCGATCTGCCAGAGGAGACTATCGAATACCTATCAACCATCAAGTGGGTCAAGCTGATCGTCCTCACGGATGGCGTTCGGTTCACGCGCATCGATCCGGCTTACCGCGCTGAGAAGACACCCCCACTTATACATACAACAGCCTTTCCTGACGAGCTAGTCCACAGGCAGCTTCAGCCCGGACCATACCTCGCCACCCTAGACCCGCTCGGCTCTCGTCTCACTCTAAGTCCATTGTACAAGCTCCAGACTGATCAATATCGGACCTTCGTCTCGGGTCTGATCCCATCTACCGCCGAGCGCGGAGGCTACAAGGTGCTCGGACGGCTCAGCCAGGCGTTCGGGGATCCCCTGATCCCGATCCCATCGAGACTGTACACGATGTACTCGGGCCTCCCCCTCGCGGGGCTTCGTTTCGCCGTGAAGGGTAGGTCGCGCTATCATGAGTGATTCTGGTGAGCTGATAGCTGACATCAATTGGGCAGACATATACGACGTCAAAAGCGTCAAAACATCCGCTGGTAGTCGAGCCTATACCGACCTCTACCCCGCACCGAACAGTACCGCGCCGGCCATCCAGAGACTCCTAGATCTGTAGGCTGTTATGGTGGGCAAGACAAAGACGAGACAGTGAGTTCTGGATCTCCCATACCTTCACTCTGTCTTCTCGCCGCACGCTCGTATCTCGTTGCCGGGCCTGAGCTGTGGCTGATCCCCGCTCGAGATTCGCCTCCGGCGCAGGCACACACGATGCGACCCTGGAAGTCCAATACCCCTTCTCGCCCCGCGCAGATGGATGGCAATCATGCGCAGGCAGCTCCTCGGGCTCCGCGTGTGCGATCGCAGCGTATGGATGGTTGGACTTTACGGTGGGGACGGATACGAGTGGGTCGGTCCGGCTGCCTGCTGCTGTTGCTGGTGTTTACGGGATGAGGGTGAGCACCGGGAGTACTGCATCGCTATGAGTAGGACTGATCAGATACAGCCTACCATCGGAGGGATGAGCCTCGAGGGGGTACTTCCTCTGGCGCCTGCGTTCGATACGTTAGGTGTATTGGCTCGTGATCCTCAGCTGTGGACCAGAGTGTCGCGAGAATGGTATGGGTATAGGTGAGTTCTCTTATGGTCATGGACTGGCATCCTCGTGAGTATCTGGTCTGAGGTCAATACAGCCGACGGGCCAAGCCATCCCCAGAGGCCTTCCCGAAGACACTCATCTACCCTACCAATTATATGCCCCACGGCTCCTCCGAAGCCCGCCAGCTGAAAGAAGACTTCATTGGTGCTCTTCAAGATCGGTACAGGATGGAACATCGCAGAGTGGACGTTCAGTCCGCTATCACCGAGGCTGGGATGGACGTCAACGGCCTTAATACAGCATTTGACGATATCGTCGCTTGGGTGAGTATATCCCGCGGGAGACCGCGCTGCGGCGTGGCATAGGCTGACCCGACAGTCTCAATGGAACAGTGTCGGACGAGACCTCGTAACTCGGTACGCGAGCTTACATGACGGCCGGTCCCCTCCGCTCGATACGGCCCGCAGAGCACAGTTTGCCGCTTGGTCCAAGAACGCCACTGAGGAACGTCATAATGCGGGCTTGCAGTCTATGGAGCGCTTCCGAGATTGGTTCAATACGGACTTCATGTCCGCAGAAGCAGATGGAGAGGATATTGATGATCGGTTTTGCGGTGCGATGTAAGTACTAGAGTACTCATTGTGAGATTCGCGTCAGCTGAAGCGATAGCTATGTCTATGATATCGGCACCGGTGGTCAGCCTGTAAGAATACACCACATCAGTTCTTTGACTGTCGTATAGTCAAGCTGATGGGCTTAGGCGTACCGTGAACAGGGCCTGAATGACGGACCGCTATTCTCTGATCCGCTCAACAAGTGGGTTGCTTCGGCCCGCCTCCTGGCAAGCAGTCTGATAGCCAGACCGATTGAGCTGACGCAACAAAGTACCCTGCACCAATCTCGCACCTCAGCTTACGCCGGCTGCGCCGAAGTCACCCTCCCGATAGGTCAGGCGCCGTTCCTGAGTAAGATCAGCGGCAAGGTGGAGTATCTGCCTGTTTCGATCAGCTTGATGATGAAGGCAGGATGCGAGTGAGTGGTGCTTTGCCGTACTGATGGTCCGAAGCGTATATGGGGCTATCATAGCTGATGTGTCAGTCATGTGCTTCTGGATCTCGTTGACGATCTCGCGAAGGTAAGCAGAGGATTTGTCGAGCGTTCTAGGACTGTGGTTGCCGACTGTTGCTGATCAGCTAGACGAGGCTGATTCGTCCTGTCTTGACCGGTCAGGCAATATCAGGTATATACAGGTTGTGACATGCCGTCCGTCCGGACCTACAGAGAGGTTGCTTACCGTAGGTGGGGCGGAATGGGCAGGTCGTACGCCGGATATGTGTAGTCCAATTAGGTCAGATGTCGAGCGAGCCTGATGTACACCGAGTAGTCGGGAGATAGTATACATGCTGCCTGCCCAACGTCTATTCAGTCTCAATAACAGTGTACCCCTTAATCTGTCCAAATCAGCTCAATCTTTCCTCTCCTCTCCTCCTCTCTCATTGGTTCTTTGGCGGAACCCCAACTCACCTTGTTCTCCCTAATCATCCTCGTGTACATCTCCGCCAACTCCTTGCAATTCTGCAAGTGATTCACCCCTTCTCCCCGATAACACTTTTGCAGCTCTTCCCGTACTAATCTCGCCTCCATCGCTTTGACCCAGGATTCGCGGACGTGGTTTTCGCGGTTCTTCAGTTCGGCTGGAGGTATCAGCTCGTACAATGAGAGATGTATACGATAGGTCTAGCCGGGGATAGGGCAGTAAGGGGAATAGTAGCTGGCAGCCTGAGAGGGAGGCCGGATGAAGACGTACTTCTGTAGTCGTCCATTGTTGGTACCGCTGACATTTTGGCTGAAATTATTTGCGGATAGAGGAGCGGAGAGGACGGATATGTTGGTGTGTTGGGGACGATAGGTGTGACTCGGTATGCTCAGTAAAGTATAGGCTACAGCAATAGCAACAACACCGTCTTTGGCTGGAGGAAGGAGAAGAAGGTGGAAATAGCTTCTTCCCCCCACTTTAGACCTACTTTCCCACGTTGTTCGAGTGGCATCAGTCAATGGAGCCCCGCAAAGTCCGTGCGACTGATTTGTTGGTGGAGGTTGGTCCAGGCTCGAGCTTTTACCCTATAGATCTCACTCACATTGTCTCACCTTCCATACATATTAGACCCATTCTCCTTCTCCCTCCCTCTCCTCCCTCCTGAGACATCCTGTAACAGTAAGCCCTTATCTCTTCTTTGATCCCGAGAGGAAGAATGCTGACGTGGAATAGCTCGGGTGACAAGTAGTGACGGGTCACGCCAACCCAACCCTCGTTCCTCGCCCTCGGTCCGTTCCTCGCCTAGCTAGGCCCTAGCTCCGCTCCCCCTTCTCCAACCTGGACCTGCCCCTTCCTCTCCTTCTTCCATCCATACTTCATCCTCACACCACTCATCATGGCATACCCAGAGCACTACTACACCCCCTCCCTCGTCTCTGCCTCTGGCTCACGACGCAACAGCCCGCCCAGCGACCCCCCTACCCCAGGTATCCTCTCTCCGACCGGACCGCCCCAGGGCGGCATGTGGGGCAGTAACGGAGCTCCTCACGTTCCAGAGTGGTACAAGTCCCCAAGGGGCGCCGCTAATGGTGGGATGACTAGCCCGTTGGGTATGGGTCACCCGGGAGGGCAGCGACGACCGGTGAGTTGAGCTCTATATAGCTGCGCATACCTTACTCCGCCTCCCCCTTCTCACCCTCCATTCCTGTTCTGTCTCACTTGTTACTGTCATCATCGCCCCTCTCATCTTACTCTATCTTCTCCCCCAACTCTGTCATCTCGCATCTCAGCCATCTCCACCTTCTTCATCCCATCAACCATCCACACCTCCCCCTCTCGCTTCTTCCTCCTCCACAGAAAGCATCATGCCTCCCGCCTCCTCCACCTCCACGAGCTCTTCCACGCGCTCTTCCCTGATCCAAGCTCATACTCAGCTCGGCGATGTCAACTCGAACCAGATGCCCACGCTCGGTCTCGCTTCCCCATTCGTCCCGTCTGACCCAAACTGTCTTTGGGGTCCACCGATGGGTATGCAGAGTCCGGAACAGCGGAGTGTATCGCTCGAGAAAGTACGTCTCGCCACTTAGGCGCTCCTGCCCCTTCCCTTCTCCCTTCTCTCCTCCCTCCCACTTCCAGCAGTTAGCAGATAGCTGACCAAGTAGGAGCTCGCAGCTGCCCAACGGAGGATCCGCGAGCTGAGTCTGGAGAATCAGCAGCTCAAGCAGCGTGATGCAGTATGTCCTTGTACTCAGCTCCCCAATTCTTACCCCGGCATGGCTAAGAGAAGAAGCTGACACTTCAGTACCGCTCCCCCTCCATGTCCAGTATCAGCCCCCTCCACCCCCTCAGTCCAGTCACATACCACACCCCTGGTCCAGCTTCCGGCACGCCCGTCTACTTTGACTCGATCGGAAGCAGCATGTACAACTCGGGGTATAGCGGCGTATCGCACAGCGGCGGGCAGGGAGGTGGGGGGTATTTGGAGGAAGAGACGGGAGTCGTCCAGGAGGGTGTCGATGTGAGCTTTCCAACGCTATCCTTACAGCAAAAAAGAGATATACCATGGGCGCAAGCTGACTTTCCAGGCGAACGCAGTCTATATCGCCCCGAGGCTTCTTCAGGCGGACCTCCTCCGTGGCGTCTACAACTTCAACGATATGCGCGATGTTGAGATTCGGCCTATTGTCTGGGTGATCGCGCACGTTCAGCCTCACAACAGCATGGAGAGGTGAGTGCCCCACTGAGCTTCAAACCCCGCGTCGGCGTACAGAGGACCTAAGCTGATCCTCCAGCGCATCCCTCAAAGCGGCAGTCAGCAATCTCGCCGTGAGCTGCTCCTTTCCCAGCTAGGACAAGGCGAAGAAGCTGACTGGCAGAACCGCTTCTCGCTCGGCAACTCCCACCCGACGTGCATACTCCTCATCAACGCCATCTTTGACTGGGCCAAGGGACTCTGCTTCACTTCGTGCGGCAACTACCTGTGCCAGCAGCTTCTTGAGAAGGCGGACATGCCGGATAAGCAGAAGTTTATCGATGTCATCAAGTGAGTTACCTGATTCTCCACGTACCACACAACAGGGCAGAGGATGGTACAGCTGACCTTGAAGGGATGAGATTGTTAATATTGCGGGAGACAAGTTTGGGACGCATGTGCTCTGCAAAGCTGTGGCTATTAAAGAGCTTGAGGTCAGCTTTGTGGATCCCGGAATTGATTCGGGGGCAGCAGCTGACACAGGTAGGAGCCTATCGCGGATGCTTTGATGAAGTATGGAGTATTCGATTCGCTTAAGACTGGTGCGAGGCGATTATGGCGGGAGGTGAGCTAGAGCGTTCCGGAACTCGTGGACTCAGCTGATCATCTAGTACCTTGAGAAATGCCGGCAGAATCGATCGCAGGATGTCTTCTACAAGTGAGCTGGCGGTCTCGGGAAGTTGTGCTGGCGGTCTCGGGAAGTTGTCAAAGAGGACCACAGCTGATCATGACAGAATCAACGAGGAGATGAAGGGTCGTTGGGCCGACTTGGCTTGCAGTAATGAGGTGAGCTTGCCGGAGATGCTGTATTGCGCCGAGAGCTGACAATGTAGCATGGATCGATTGCGGTCCAGCAGGTGTTTGAGGTGTTTGGTTCGCAGGAGTTGACGGTGAGCTTCTTTGTGCGCAGAGCCTCTCGAAGTAAGCTGACACGTCAGGATCCATGCTTTAACGAAGTGAGTGCCCTGCTTGTGGGCATATCATACGAGACAGCACTAATCACCTAGATCTTGGACGCCATCTCCACCGTCGCGAACAACCAATTCGGACAGTAAGTTGGCTCTAGCTCCATCTCGATCGTCATGCCGAAGCTTACACGCCAGCTTCCTCATCACCAAGCTCCTTGGCTACCCTCACCTCGTCAAGCCGACCTGCGAGGCCATCATCGCCTCGTACCCGCCTGTCGCGATCACGCACCACGGCGTCAACTTTGTCAAGATTTCATTGTCCGAGACTGCCAGGCCGGGGTTGAGCAAGTATATCGACTCGATCTGTAGTTCGGAGAATGGGTCAGTTGGCAGTCTGCTTCGCCGCTCGTAGATGGTAGATCAGCACTGATTGGAGCAGGCAGACACCGGGCATCGTCAGTATTGCTACAGCTTCGGTTGGGAAGGCGCATCTCAGTGAGTCCAGCTACCGCCCCCGGGACATGGAAGCAGCTGACAAGACTAGTCTTTGTGCTTGGATACGTGAGCTTCTCCGCCTGGATTGACTTCTGAGGAGACAGCTGACGTGACAGTTGAGCCCCCTCGAGCAGAACCGCGTCCGAGGTGTCTGCAAGGCGTACAGCACCACCCTCAGGAACTCGCAGAGCGGCAATGACCTTCTCCGATCTCTGTGAGCTGTTGCGTGTACCATCTCGTGTAGGCGACCAGAAGCTGACGCCAACAGGGGCATCATCCATGCGGTCGGAGCGAGGTACCGTGCCGGAACAAACTAGGCTTTGAGCCTCACGGTTCACGAATCACGACCATACGACCTCTACAAGACAGTCACGCAATCCACGACCTCAACAACGCTACATCCTCCATCCCTCATCGGCTCATCAAACATGTGTATATCATCGTATCAACCCCATTTTCCTCCTCATCAACCTGTAAATACCATCCACGCTATCGGCTCATTTCCTCATCCTCGGTCTCCCGGTCTCTCGGTCTCTCGGTTCGCATACTCTCTGCCCATTTCCCCCATCGCACGATCATGACGACCCCTTCACACGCAACATAATATCCGGCCGTACGACCCCGCAGGCCTCAGCATTATACCATTACGCATTTACGCATTTTCGACATTCGGCCGACCTTATCATGTACCCATTCCATTAATTCTCAATTCAAAAAGTATCCCTCGGACATCGAGGGCCATCGGCGGTGGGCTGGGGACGGGCGGAGGTGTGCCAGGAGGTAAGGAGGGGAAGGGGAAAAGGGAAGACGCTCGCTCAAGTATGTATTTTGGCCGGAACGGTTGGGCCTTGTCAATTCTTTATGATCTTTGTGTATACTGTATGTAGCGTCCTCGTTTGAGATAGATCGGGTACTCATTCATCGTACGCCGACTCGGCCCCGCCGATTGGCTGTCACTGGGCATATGACTTGGTACGCCTTCTCCTGTCCCGAGTCTGAATATCCTGGCCAACGGCGAGACCTGCAGAATGTGTCATCATGCCGAGTTCCTCTGGATTGCGATACAACTCGTCCAAATCCACCCGTTCTCGCCCCGCCGCGTCCCAATCCCCTAGATCAGAGCTTCGCTTTCAGCTGTTCCTGCTTTGGCTGCCGCTTTGCCCATTCATCCACCAGCATCGGCCTCATGTCCCGCTTGACTACTTTGCCGTTGACGTTTTTGGCTGTCTGTATCAGCTCGGCTCTGTCTTGGCTTGCAGACTGATCACAGAGCTCACGGAGGGGTCCATCGTGTATCAACAACAGAGAAGGGACGGCGAACCGCGGCAGTCTGATGATCAGCTTGATACTTCGCCTCCCTTCTACCCCGCCCGCTCCAGCGTGTCCGTCCCGTCCCTCTTTTTCATCCCACGTGTCACATGAACTTTCCGCGCAAGGGGAACATGAAAGTGACATACCTCCCTTTGACACCCTCCAGGATATCCGCCTCGGTCCCCTTCTGCCCAGGCCGCAGAGCCACTATAGCACCAACCAGCTCGCCCAGGATCTTGTCGGGGATCCCAATGGCCACCGCCTCAGAAACGCGCTTATCCGCGTATAAAGCGTTCTCAACCTCTGACGATGTGATCTGGGCGTATCAGCTTCCCCGTCTCACTTCGTACAACGGCTAGCCGGAAGGTCCAAGCAGGTGTGAGATAGCTTACGTTCTCGCCGCCACGGATAATGATGTCCTTCTCTACGCTCATCAGCTGCATTCTGACCGGCATTGACCGAAGTGCAGAGACAGCTCACGTCGATCTCGAATATACACAAAGCCTTCATAGTCCACCTCGGCCACATCGCCGGTATCGAGCCATCCGTCCGCATCGATCGCCTCGGCGGTGGCTTCTGTACTGGATCAGCATCCTCGCATTCCGAACCCGTTCTCTCAAAGCTGCACCTCTGCCGCCCGGATTAGCCCGGAGCGAGAGACAGTATAGTACCGACCCCAGCGTAGAAGAGAGCAGTAGATGAAACTCACTCTCATTCCCATAGTATCGCTTCATCACCTGCGGACCACGCACGAGAAGCAGACCGATCTTGCCATCGGGCAACTCTTTCCGAGTGGCGGGATCGACAATCTTGACATCTGTCACGGGAACGACGGGTCCACTGGCTGGTCAGCTCTTTATTGCCTGCTAAATGAAGCTCTGACGAGCAGGACATACGTGCTATCAGGCTATACCTCATCAGCCACTGTCCGCGACTCCCTGACGTTCAGGTGGCAGAAGAGGCTCACCTTGAGTACATAGTCCCCTCCGGCGATAGAACAGACATAAGCGTTAGTCTCCGTCATCCCGTATCCCTGCACCCTATCTGATCAGCTTGGCCACCAACCGAGCATACGGAGTGAAGTAGGAGCGAGAAAGGCGAATGCGTGGCAAGGCACTCACAGTCCTGCTTTCGGCCATCGCTCTTTCACCTCCGCTGCGAGCTGCTTGCTCGGCGGCGCGCCGCCGTAGAACACTGTATCGAACGATCGATCTTTGAGGAGGTCGGGAGACTGGAGGATTGAAGCTACGACGGCTGGGACTCTGGTACATCAGCGATAGTCCTATGTCTCCGCTCAATCCTGCGCCTGGCCTTGCTCCCGATACAAGGCATGAAAATTTACCCTCCAATGACCGTGACCCCCTCTCCCTCAATCAGGGCTACCGCCTCCTTCACGTCCCACCTCCGCATCATCACCATCTTGCTTCCGGCAAAGACTGCGCGCATGAGCCACGAGAGGCAACCCGTGACGTGGAACAGCGGGATCGCTAGGAGGACTGTGCGTTGCGGGTCGGATGTGGATGGGAGGGGAGGAGGGATTAGGTCTGCCCGAAGCGCGGCGCGGGCGGGAGCTATAGATCAGCATCAGGCAAGAGAATGGTGTGTGAGGACCGAGAGGAAGGGAGAGTAGGCATCAGTCTGGACCGGTGGATCAGGGGTTGGGTCTAGAAGGGGACACGTACCGACCATCCCGGACCAGAGGTTCGTCAACGCCATTCGCTGCGTACTGAGCACCGCCTTCGGCGGGCCACTCGTACTGCCTCATCAGCTCTTTCCCGTCTCTGCCGGACGATCGGGTAAATTTGAGCTCACCCAGACGAGAAGAAGATCAAGCCGTCACTTTCCGGATCCAGCGCCTCGAGGCCTTTCCCAGACCGGACATCTTCCAAGGAGGCGGGACCGCACTGCAGGTCCGTCGTAAAGTCCACGACCTGCCTCATGAGCTGCCGCCCCGTCTGCCGCTCTAGGGCCGTTTCCGCTCCAGAGGGAGAAGGGTGAGGGGGAACTCACCGGCCCTACGCCCAGCTCTTTCAGCATGGACAGGATAGGTTTGAGCGCTTCTGCTCTTTCTGGGTCTACCAGGACTAGATGGGGAGTGGTCGTCTTCAGGCAGTGTAGCATCAGATCTTGCGGGCTAGCCCGTCAGTGACAGCTGGATTGAGAGGACTGGAAGGACCGGACGTACAGCATGGCATTGAGGCAGACGGCTATTCCGCCGATCAGGTGGACGGCCATGAACGCCACAACCCATCTATACCGTCAGCTGCCTTCCTCTCTACCACGTCCCGGTCGGAATAGGCGCCTGCAAGGCTCCCAGCTGTAACAAGGGGACCTACCCTGCGGAATTGGATCCCCCAATAGCTACCCGACTCCCCATCCCCAGCCCTTGCTCCTTCATCCACCCCGCCAGCCGCTCCGCGCGTTCATGGACCTGTTTGAAGGTCACGCTCTCCCGGGACGTCCCAGAGGATGAGGGGGAGGAGATGAATGTCCGGTCCGCATATTTGACCATGGACGCCAGGAAGAAGGAGCGGAATGTTTTGGGTGCCTGCCCTAGTCAGCTCTAACTCTTCCTTCGACGCCCTCTATGGCACCGCCCGCCCGATCAGTCGGCAGGGACCAGACTTACATGCTTCCAGACTCGGTATTGCCGACCATCAATCTTGCGCTCCTCAATCTCGAGGATCTCGCCTCGGGATGTGAGGATATGATCGCCTGTGGGTTGTCAGTACTCGCGCTCCGCTTGTCGAGCGAGCTGCCAGGCAGGATGTTTTCTTGAGAGCCAAAGCTCTTCACTAGCCGGTCCGGAGCTCAGGATACGGTGCCAGCTCAGCGGGGGAGAGCACGGGACGCGACAAGCCGTCCAGGGAGTGCTGGGAAGGGTCACTTACATTGATCGATTGACGGCTTCTTGCCCATGGTTGTCGATGTTTCTTCAGCCTTCGTTTGCTTGAGAGAGTTTATGCAGATCGCTCAGCCGGCAGTCTGGGTGGGGGAGAGGCAGTAGAGTACGTGCTCGATGTACACTGGAGAGAGCTTGACAGTCGCAGGGAGAGATCCTCCTCCACCCCCACCTCGGAGAAGACCGATGACCGGTTGTAAAGTAGCCGTATGGAGCTTGGAGAGGGCTCCTATGCGCAGCAAGTTGCCTCCAGCGCTTCAGAGACTGCTTCAATGCTGGCGTGTAGGGTTGACGTGGGTCTGCAGGTGACCGGCAGTACGCTGAAGCCACAGTATGCCATGTATGTACAGTCTTTGCTAATCCGCTTCTCTATCGCCATGCCGACCCTTACCAACTACTGCGTCTTGCTGTACTGCTTGACCAGGTCCGACACCGTCGTCGCCAGAGCTATGACCGTCAGCTACGAGGCTTAGAAATCAATAGGAATCTGACAGCTGTACTCACTGTCGACACCCGCAGTAGTCTTCGCCTCCGCATAAACCCTCACGCAGTCCTCCGTCCCACTCGGCCTAACAAAACTCCGGCCCATCTCCACCTTCCCCACCGCCTCGTCCAGCACCGCCTGCAATCCCGCCGGCGAAGTCAACTTGCGCTCCGCGTCGGTTGTCTCGAACAAGAACCGATCGGCCACTTCGACCTTGACGAGACGGTTGGGAAGGTCCTCGTATGCCGCATCCCACTCGACGGCGGTCCAGCCCCGATGAGCGAGGACGACCTCGACGAGGAGCATGTCGGAGAGAGCATCCCCGACGGCCTGGTTGATGAGTTGGGAGAGGGCGAGGAGCTGCTTGGTGGCGGTCGAGCTGTCGGGGGAGGTGGGCTCGTGCACTGCAAGAGTGGAGAGGAAGGAGGGGGAGAAGAGGACCGTGCCGTGGCCGTTGGCTTCAAAGTATACGCCGATGTCGTATTTCTGGGCGGCATGGTGCAGGTGTTTGACGCCGGTGGGGACGCAGGTTACCGGTACGCCCCGCTATGAAGTCAGCTATACTGCTGTTTCGCACAGTAATCATAACTCACACCCTTGAGATACTTTGTTGAGCTGCCATTGGCATAGGCAGTCTGCACCACTCCCACCTCGGCCGTATCCTCCCCACCTTCCTGGCCCAGCTTGGCCTTCTTGACCAAGTCCATCAAGAACAACGCTACCAGCCCCGCGATCTTGTCTCCGTCCAGCAGACGGAACTTGCCGCCTTCGCCGAGGTAATAGTAGATGATCCGGTCGGCGTCGCCGTCGAGGGAACAGCTGCGGGTATCAGGCTTGTCGAGCAGGCCAGCGTCTTCGACGGAGGGAGGAAGGGCTTGGCGGGTCTTGACGTAGTCTGCACCGCATTGCGAGTTGAGCGCGCCGGGGGTGGTGGTGGAGTCGTTCATCGCTTGGAGAGGGAGGGAGGTGCCGAGATAGCTGGAAAGGGTAGAGATGGCGGGGGCACCGACTCCGTTCGCGCAGTCGACGTAGAGAGTGGGGAGCGGCCCTCGGTTACCCTATACTGTCAGCTGAACCGCACATGGACTATGGGTATGCACCAGCTTACAATCAACGTCTTAAACGCTCCAGCCATACGCTCATAGTACCCCTCCACTGTCGGCTTCCCCTGCTCCCCGTCCCGCGCATTCGTCGCCCGCACCACGTAATGCAACACAGGCGTGGTGTGCACTCCCAGATCAACCACCTTCAACCCCTGGAACGCGCTCAGACCAGCCTCGAACGCCTCAACCAGCTTCTTCCCTGACGGCCGAGTATCGCGCGCGTAGATAATGCTCGATGGCGCACACGCGTCGAGCTCCACGCGGAGGTGGTGCGCGAGGTCGATAAAGGTCGTAATGAGAGATTCGGTCGATGTGCAGTTTGCGAGCAGGGTTGCGTGGGATTCCCAGGTCGGGTCGAGCATCTCTCCCGAGGGGTCGACGAGCTTGACGCCATTGTCCTATAGAGTCAGCTTGGAATCACGAAGGAAGGGATCCTTTAGCTTGCCTGCTCAGGGTTGTGCGAGGCGGTAATCATTACGCCGATAGCTGCTCCACCAAGCTTCTTGGATCGCAAGACAGCAAGGAGCGCACAGCAGAACATGACAGAAGGAAGACGTTCGCCGCTGCTGGGTGAGCTTGATTCGCAATGCCACAAGACCAATTGCAAGAGCAAGCTCACAGAGTCCTGAAGCCAGCGGTACCATAACTGAACTTCACACCCTGTGGCTTTGGGTACGCGTCTGCCGCCTTCTGAAGGGCCGACAAGAAGACCGCATGCTCATGAGCGCTCTTCTTGGGGTCGGCTGGAGCTGATGTAGACATTTTAGGTTATAATGTAAGGAGCCAGAGGACGAAGCTATGCTTCTCGCGCTAAGGAGCGAGGTCATTAGGCTCTGAGGAATGTGGAGTTGGGGATGCCGGCATGCGGCTTGAAAGTGGCGGGATTGTGGCGGTCTCCGACTGGACTGCAGCTTGCTGATAGTCGGGAGTCGGGCTTCGAGGGGGCTCAAGAGAGTGAAAGCGTCTGTGAGCCATAGTTGAGCCCCAGATATCAGGCATGCTCTGGGATGTAGGAGAGTGCTGCCCTTCCAATAAGTTACGCTAGCGACAGACCGATGTCTGCGCCCTGGAGACTCCAGTCGATGTCAACCAGCAATAAATCATCACGTGCGGCACAATCATAGTGGCCATACCCCACATCAATGCGACTTCTGCGATTGGAATACTGTAAAGGGCTGTAAATCTGAGCCGCACCATGTGCAGAGTGACTGGAATGACTCTAACGACCGTCCGCTTCCACGTCAATTCCATGCCCTGGAGGGCTAGAACATAGCTCTCCTCAATCCGAGCTCTCCTCAACCTGGGAGCCGTTTGAAAATACGGTGTGGCTGCTTAGTGGCATCACAATTCAGCCACTCATCGGATATATTGTCATCTCGTATTACGCGATAGAGACAAAAGTGCATTCAATAATCACATGTGAAATATGGACATGCGACAGTACTGGATGGGACGATAGGAGTAGGTACTTGAAAGAGGGTGCGATTACCGAGTAAGTCAGTTGTAACCTTTCTCCTGGCTCTCCTTGATGATTGTGAGGATCTCCTTGGCCGCCGTCTCAGCCGCCTGCCTTTCGATGAGGACCTGTGGGTCGTTGGGTTTCGGGTCGGCCGTGTCCCTATTGACGTCAGCATCGCATCGTGATGCTCTCCCATTCCCATCACTATTACGCCAACACGATCAACTTACCGGACATATTGAGCGATGAAGAGTTTCACGAGGTCTTCACCAAGCCACGTGATGAGCTTGTCCTCGGGGTAAGTCTGCCCTCCGACCTCGAGACCTTCGCCCTCGGACATGAGGTGGAGGATCGTTTGCGTGACATTGCTCTTCGGCATGAGAAAGTTTCTGTGGAGCCGATCGTCACTGAGTGTCTTGCGAAGATTTTCTGTCTCCGTGATCATTTCACCGAGCGTCGGCACCGCACCTTGTGAGATAGCCTGCTTCCAGTGAGAGACTGTCTGCGCAGCGGTCATGGTGGGGAAGAGGGAGGAAGGGTGGGTAGGCGGGTTGGAAAGGCAGCAGGTGTTGGTCATGGTAGTCATCTTGGATATCAGGTATGTAGGTAGGGAGTGGATGTGAATGTGATGACTCTGGGTGGGTTGAGTGTGAAGAGGAAGGTTGAAGTACGGTTGAACGAGAGGGGCGCGGGTGCCCAGCTTTTTATACCAGTCCGACAGCCCGACCAGAACCGTTGCAACCCTCCATATCCTTTCACTCTGCCTCCCTTGGGACATCTGTTACACGTGTGACGATACTTGTAAGGATTGAACATGAAAGGTGGGCAGGATATCGAGTCTACGCATGTTCAAAAGCTGTTCAGCCCCCGTATCCTTTGACCTTGCCGCCCTTGGGGCATTTGCACCACGTATGACAAGGACGAATCAGGATCGGGAGAGGGGGGGCACACAGTAGACGTGATCCGTCGGGACTTTTCCGGGACCCCGCAGGGGACGGCATATGAAAGGTTCAGACGAACGGCGAAAATGGTCGATTTTTGGGGGTCTCAGCCGGTCTGGCGGTCGTCCCCCCTTTCCCCTCGATGCAACATATACGGAAGCTCTCGATGGCGACGATGAGCGTGTATATAAGCCAGATGAACCTTAACCTCCATTAACAGCTAAAGTGGGCCTGGAACCCGCGTCCAGATAGCAGATCAGTAAGAACTGAGACCTAAACGCGCCTGCGGTAAGGTAAGAGAATTGCCATTGATAAGCTCAAGATTCCCCATAGGTCGATCACTTGTACTTGTACCACCTCGCTCTGCACTCAACCGCCTCCCACCGTACACTCCTCACCGGATCATCCAGTGCCCGTCCCAGATCCCTGAGCACAACGGGCTTGAGCGAGCTCAACGCCTCATGCCGGATCGCATCGGGCACAGCTGCGAGGCATCGGAGAGCATTACCTCGAACAACCTGTATATCAGCTCATGCCCTCACTACCCCCATCACGCGTACTTTCGAGCGAAAGAGGGATAAGAGCCGGGACTTACAGCTGAGCTTCCCATCTCCGGTACTTCCCCGACACTCTTCAATAGCCCCTCAACGATAGTCTCCGCGTATCGATGTACGAGCGAGTCAACAGCTAACGAGGCATTCGACGTTTCAAGGAGACTTTCGAGGGAGGTGATGGCGTGTGCACGTTCAGCTGCGGAAGGGAGGGAGAGGGTGCGGATCATCAGCGGCAAGATCTGGCGGGTCAGCTGCTGGAACGTGCTTCATTCTGCGAGGTCTTGACGTACGTTGGACAGGTCCGAAGCGAGCAGGGAGGCAGGGACGAGTGGCAAAAGAGAAGCGAATGCGGAGAGGTACACGAGGCGTTCGCGTCCTGATGATCAGCTTTGTCTTACTTAGCCGGTAGCATATACCACGACGGACCCTTGGCATCCGCATCTCCCTCCATCAACTTCGGCAGCGCAAAGTTCCACATCTTCTGCGCCCAAAGCAGCTGGAATGATCAGCTCGGCCGCTCGTCTAGTATTTGAGGGACGAATGAGCTCACCTTAGCAGTCAGGTGACTCGACTTGTCCTCTCCCTTCCCTTTTGCAATGACCCCCAGCCCTCTCGCAGCCTCCCCAACAATAACAGGGTCATACGACGCCAGCTTGAGCACGTCCACCACGCGCTCGACCGACGTGTAGGCGAGAGAATGCCGGACGAGAGCCAAACCTCTCGTAATCTGAGGGTCAGCTCATTCTGCGCAGCCATGCTATACGTGCAGCTCAGCTCACATGTAGGAATACCGCGAGAGCTCTGCGTCGGACACCTTCCTCCTTCTCCAGGTCCTGCACATCGCCTACCCAGACCCTCTCCATCATGCTCGTCAACGCCTCTTCCATCCCGGGGAAGGTGTATCGCTTGTTCACAAACGCGGTGATGAGCTCCAGGGCGTAGTGTTGCTGAAAGGCGGCAGTGCCGAGGTGGATCGTCCAGTTGATGAGCTTTGCGAGGAGGTCGGCTGGAGCGAAGGGCAGAGCGGTCTATGATGTTAGCTGCTGTTGATGGGAGGAATACGACAACACAGCTTACATCTGGTTTGAGCGCTTGTATTGCCGATGAGTACAGGACGATCAGGTTCTGCTCTGAAGGGGGTGCTCCGGTCTGAATATCAGTGTTATGCTCATTGCAGTCCTCACGGCAATACTCACGCGTAATGGCGACCCAGCAGTCCACTGTACAGACCCGGCGACAATACCGCCCATCTCGCCTCGGTCGAACGCGCCATGGAGCGATATCAAGTACTTAGCTTGTCGCCTAAATTGTCAGCTTTGGCCAAGGATATCGACAGGGTAGCTCACTCTGCCGGCAATTCCCACACCAGCCGATCTACCACCTTCCCCAGTAGCCCCAACAGCCGCTTATCTCTCCATACCGGAACTCCACCCCCTACTCTTCCTTTACTAGCCTCCACCGCCAATCCCGTCAGACGCGGAATGACCGTATCGAAGTGCTTGACAACATCGGCATGTTTCGCCTCCAGCTTCTTGACAATCACACCGTGGAGAGTATTGAGGATATCGAACGAGTAGGCGACTTCGCATTCCCTTTGCTCGCCCTCGGGTGATAAGGAAGCGATCACGTCCAGCTTGTTGAGAGTGCGAATGACGAGGATCTCGAATAAGGCAGGGAGGAAGCATAGCTCGGCGACAGATGAAAGGACAGAGCGGTATTTGTCCCGACCGGAGGCGTCGGCCATGGGCGGAGAAGAGTCGGGGAGGGCGTGGAATAGGAGGGGGAGGGTGGTGGATTCGATACTTGCCGGGAAGTTCTGCGCGAGTGTTGTGAGACTCTTCAAGACAGCTTTCCTAGATTTATCAGCTACATCGTGGTTTCCGGGAGGCCGAATCAGCTCACCTAACATCCGCATTTCGCTCGTTCAACACGATATCGCCCATCCCCCTGACCACCTCTTCCACCTCTGTCCGACTCCACAAGCCCGGTATCTCGCTCAACGCGACGCAACCGCGCGCTGCCGGCTCTTTCAGTCCGTTCGTCCTTAGTCCTTCTCGCAGAGTGTCCATTAGGGCCTCACGATACTGCTCGAACGGGCGTTCGTGACTGTATTGACGGGGACTACCGGGCGGAGCGTAGACCTTAGACGCGGCGATGAGGAGGGAAGTGAGAGACCAGAGAATAGGTGCGCGATGAGAGGGGTTGGTGGGGTGGTTGAATTGGCGGAAGAGGTGCGGCAAGGTTTGGGAGACGACGAACGGTCCGACAGAGGCTGAGTTGTTAGCTGGTATCTTCAATCCTCTTGCGCCCGAAGAGTGTACGACATAGCTCACCTGTCGATTTGAACATCGCGACCAAAGCTTTCGTAGCTGCGAGACTTTGGCTCTTCTCCGGGTCTTCCAGCAGCTTCAAGCACTCCTTGATGATATCCTGAGCGAGCCCAGTTGGACTATCTCTCGGTGTGGGGTACATAGCGCGCATGAGCGATTCGAGCGCAGATAGCGATGCAGCTTCGATGCCAGCATCTGATTGATACAGAATCTAGCGCGTCAGCTCGTCTGCCATTCAAGCTGCAAGGAAGTTCTTAGCTGACCTCCGTCTTGATTGCTTCCCATAGTTCCGTCCCGCGCTCGCTCACAGCTGCTGCTCCATATGTAGGGAAACAAGCCGCCATAGTCAACATCAGATCTTTCTGCGCGCGTCAGCTGATGGTCGCGAGAGCCTCTGCTGGCGCTGTCAACTTACCATAGCGGGTCCGACAGCGGTTGCAAACTTCTCCAGAAACAGCGGTAGTGCCATCTTGGCAAATAAGGGCGTTGCCGACATACATAGCCGTAATGACGCTTTGAGGTCGTCCGCTGTGATACCATACGGGTCGTTCGGTGGGGGTCGGAAGGAGATGGGGAAGTAGCAGAAGGTGATATCGAAGAAGTCCTACAAGGTAAGCTCAACCCTCCAATCAGAGTCTGAGAAGGACGAAGAGGACATAGAAGCGTACCTCGACGAGCTGGCTGATGTCGAATTCTAGCAGGATGACTCGGTCCATCGCGAATAGCAACATCAAATTCCGAGGGTCCTTCTCGCCGTCCACCATCTTGGTGTAGCTATTGAGAAAGTCCGCACCCATGCTCTTGAGAGCTGGCGGTCAGCATAAGGCATAGATCGGAAGCGTAGAGACTGACCATTACGGTGACTAGCTAAGAAAGAGTCGAATAGCTGGTACACCTGGTTCCGCACTACCTGGGTGTACGCCTTCATATTGACATTCTCGCAGATCGCGCGATACACCTCGACCGCCGCGTCGTCGTCGAAAGTCGGCAGTTTTGACAAAACGAGGAGAGCGCTAAGAGAAGGAGGGAGGGAGTCAAAGTCGTCGACTCCCGAAGTGAAGAAGCGGGTCAGAGTAACAGCTGCAACGTCAGCGGCGTTGAGCGGTGATAAGTAAGGCTTGACGCACTAGCTGGTCGATTGAATTTGCTTGGGGTCGTGCTCTTCAACAGATTTGACAAGAATGTCAAGCCTGTGGATCAGCACCCCCTCCTGATACACTCCACCCGGCCATTTGAGAACCGCCCGGTCGAGACTCACCCTTCAGACGGACGCCGTCCTCTACGGATGTAAGATACTCTCCCAGCGCTTTGACAACCTCCAGAAGCTGAACCTTGCCATCATTCACACCTAGCGATATCAGCCCACTGTCCTCCGTCTTGTATCAGCCAAGCGGACTGACCGCTGATAAGATCGGCAGGAGGGTCCAGTTCTCCGATAGTTATCTGGGTCTTTACTATGCGTGGGACGTCCATTGTGGTATCGTTCGACGCGCAGAGATCGGCGCTACTCGATGGGATAGGCTGTGTATGCCTTCCCGGTGGTTGGTCTAATAAGAAAGACGATGTATAGACGAGGGACGATTGATAAGAGCGCTGGACTTGACTTTCGGACTTTTCCCGGCGCCGGCTGGTCCGTGCGTTCGTGCCTGAATATCGCCTATCCACCGTCGACTTCAAGGTATGGACAGGTGTTGTACCCTTATGAGCGTCATCACTATCGCCTAGACTACTGCAGACGGCCCGCCAGGATGTTCGAGAGGACGCTCCAGGACTTGATCCGAGGTCTTAGGGCCCACAAGGCGTCCAGCAAGGCGCAGGAGGATGCGTTTCTCCTGGAAGCCATGGGCGAGATTCGGGAGGAGTTGAAGGGCAAGGACATGGCGTTGAAAGCGGAGGGTATTATCAAGACCTGCTATGTACGTCTGACAGTGTCCGACTGCCCTGGGTGGGAAGCTTTGGGAAGTTGGAGAGAGTCCGGCGAGCCCAGAAGGTGGAATGTATGGTTCCAAGCTGATATCTGTAGCTGATGATGCTCTATCCGATCACACCGCCTTCTGGCTTTGCTTTCCATGTCGTGGAAGTGATGAGCTCGCCAAGATATCATCTGAAACGTGAGTCGAGGTCCACATACTGCTGAGATCACTTGCTGACGTCGGACAGAGCTCGGATACTTTGCTGCCCCTATGGCATTCTCAGGCGAGACCGAGGAGGTTGTATTGACGGTGAACGGTATCAAGAAGGTCAGTGGCTATCTTGAGCTCATAGAGGAGGCTTGCCTGTCGCGCGCCGGGGACACTCGCCAAACAGCAAGCTTGAATGAGAGCTGACATAACCAGGACCTGATGTCACCTCATCTGCCCCTCCCTCCCCTCCCGCTCACAGCCCTCCCGCACCTTCTCTCCCTCTCGCCGTCCCTGTCCCATACTCTTCATCCGGACCTCCTGCACCTCCTCACCCACTCGTCACCACGTATACGGAAGCGCGCCGTACTATGCCTTCTGCCCTGCTGGGAAGCATTCCCAGAAGGTCTCCGCGAAGGCTTCCCGAGGCTGCGTGAGCGCCTAGCGGACGACGACCAAGGCGTAGTAGGCGCATGTGTCAGCGTCGTCATGGAGCTGGCGAGGAGACAGGGTGGGAAGAACTATCTTCCCTTGGCACCGGAGCTGTTTGGGATCTTGACGGGGAGCAGCAACAATTGGATCTTGATCAAGGTGGTCAAGCTGGTACGTCTTGCTTAAACGAACATGGGATCTTGCTGACACTCTAGTTTGCGATATTGACACCCCTTGAACCGCGGCTGGTACGAAAGCTCTTACCACCAATAACGAACCTCATCTCGTCCACCTCGGCCATCTCGCTATTATACGAATGCGTACGAACATGCATCGTAGGCGGGATGCTCGATCCGGATCGGCCGGAGAGTGATGCACTGGCGAGAGTATGCGTCGAAAAGCTGGGAGGGTATCTTCGGGGTGAGGGCGGGGACCAGAATTGTCAGTTGCCGCGATCTTCCCTTCTACCCGGGATCAAGCTGATGATGTAGTGCGGTACATCTCGCTTCTTGCTATGGTCAAGATCACACCTACACATCCGCATATGGTAGCCGAGTATCAAGAGGAGATACTGCAGAGCCTGGACGATCCAGATGTTTCGATAAGAATGAGGGCACTGGAGCTGGTCACCGCTATGGTTAGCAATATCGAGTAAAAGCGTCCCAGCCCAGCTGACGTTTCAGGTGGACCGTGACAATCTCCAGTCCATCTCAGATCAACTCCTCTCCCATCTCTCACCCACCTCACCCGACCCGCTCCCTTCCGCCCTCGCCTCCCTCCAAGCTCTCTCCTCCTCCGCACCCCGGGAGACCGCCTCCGCCCTGTCCCTCACGCCCGCATACCGCCTCCTCCTCACTCAGCGCCTCCTCTCCATCGTATCGGCGAATACTTACGCGAACGTCACGGACTTTGAATGGGTCATCTCCCTCCTCGTGGATATCAGCTACGTCAGCCAAGTGGACGTCGGGCGGATCGTCAAGGAGATGCTGGAGGATGTTGTGGGGCGTGTTCGGTCCGTCAGGGAATTTGCGGTCGGGGTGCTGGAGAAGGTATTGGCGGATGAGGAGGTCAGGGAGCGGGCTCGGGATGGGTCGTCAGAAGAGGAAGCAGGCGTCGTACAAGCTGCAGTGTGGATCTGTGGTGAACACTCCAGGTAAGTCCACCGGAAAGCCTTGTATCTAGACGGAGCTGATTGATGCCCAGCTTCCTCTCTTCTCCGCTATCAACCATCACTGCCCTCCTTCCCTCCTCCCTCGCCCACTCTTCACCTCACCTCATCGCCCTCTCCCTGCACGCCACCCTCAAGATTCTCGGCACATACCTCGCTACCTCCTCCTCCCGCTGGTCGGCGGACCAGCACGCCCAGACACGCGATCTCGTCAGTTCCGTCCAGGCCGGGATCGCCCCTTTCCTGGGCCACGGCGACATTGAAGTGCAAGAACGCGCTGCCGAATTGGACGTCTTTCTCAAAATCATTGCTGCGGACCTGGGATCGCATAAACCGCCAATTTCCGCCAATGCCACCGCCATATCCACCGATATCCCGGGTCTGGAAGTCGGATTCGGCTCGTCCACTGGGACTGGACCGGCTGGTGCAGGTGATCAGCCAAACTACCCGAAAAGCCTCTTCCTCCTCCAACCCCTATTTACGGCGCATGAACTCAATGCCGTCGGATCGTCGGCGCAGGCGGCTGTTCCCATCCCGGAGGGACTGGATCTGGATAGGGATATAGTGCCTGGAGGAGGATGGGTGGGGGTGGATGATGATGATATGCTGGAGTTGGAGAGTGAGGGGGAGAAGGAGGAGGTGGATCTGGGTCAAGGAGGAGGGGAGGGGATGGATGAGCTCAGGAGGGTTATTAGGGAAGGAGGGAAGAAGGGGAGGGGGAAGGGGAAGGGGAAGGGGAAGAAGACGGAGGATGGGGTGATGGAGAGTAAGGAGGAGCGGGATAGGGTGAGTTCAGCTGTCGAGTCGACTCTTCGTCTTGTGAGTAGCTAGCTGATCACTGTACAGAGAAGGAGAGAAAGAAGGGAACGACACAAAGACGACCCGTACTACCTCGCCGAGAAGGATGACGGGTCGGACGAGCTCGACATTGACGATATCCCAATAGTCCGGCTAGAGCTGGACGATCCCGATCCAACCTCGGCCGTTCAGGCGAGCAAATCGGGTCGGTCGAAAAGCTCGAAGACGAAAGCGAAGATCAAGGCCAAAGCTCCACCGCCGGACTTTGACCGGATGGGGGAGATGCCAGAGGGGGTACCGGCAAGTGCTATACCAACAGCCAAGGGGGCGAATGGGGCTGAGAAGGAGAAGAAGGGGTTGGCTGGCGTAGATCTCTTGGGGGCGGAGTCAGAACCGACGAGGCGAGGAGGTGGAGCAGGAGCAGGAGCAGGGATGAGTGGGAGATTTGAGGAGTATGATCTGGACCGGGAGGATATTGCGATAAGAGGGAAGGATGAGGCAGAGAAAACAGGATCTGGGGTGGTTTTGGTGGGCATGGGGGATGAGGAGAAGGAGGCGGTGGGAAGGATGGAGGACGACGGGGATGTCCCGGCAGAGTCTGGGGATATTCAGGTCATCAAGGTGAAGAGGAAGAAGAAGAAGAGAGTCGAGGGAGAATGAACTATGTATGTTAGGGCTGATAATCACTCATACTCACAGAGGGGTCGCGAATAGGAATATTGAACTCGCGCTCAGCTCACCGCGCTCAATACTGAAGCAAGATCGCCGGCGATGCCATGCCTGACACTGGCCGACAGAGATTACCCCTCTCGAACTACGCCGAGCATACTCAAGCTATTGAATGCATCGAGCCCAAGAAGATATGTAGAGTGTACGATAGTCCACCATCATCAAAACCCTCAAGGCCGTTTGTCTAACAGGTTCACCAGCAGAGTCAATTGAGCGGTAGAGAAGTGTGGGAACGCCGTTGTGCTGGGGTGAGCTCCAGCGGTCTCCCGGCGGGCCCGCGCTCCCAGTGCCGTGAACCTTGTGGATTGCTTGGTACCATCGCGCATGCACGTGGCGACCTCTGTTCAGACTGCAGTCACCTCCTCCGGTCTCAATTCGAGTTGTTCGGGGGCGCCCTGGTGAGCGGTGCTGGCGGACGTTGAGCCGTTCGTGGAAGACATGATGGCGCGACGGGATGTAGGGGGTGGAGTGGTAGCGGTAAGGTAAAGAGGTGTGAGGGGGAATGAAGGAGTGGGAGTGAAGGAACAGCGCTTACCTGGGTTATTTCAGCCAGACGCCCCTGAAAGGGCTTCGAAGCGCGCGCGCGCAGATGTGCAGCGAAATCGTGCATTTACTGACATTCCTTTGGGCTCATCCCCTCAGATATATGACCTGCTCCAACGCGTAGCACGACATGATTCGCTAAGTCCCAACTTACCTTTGATTCTCTGCTCAGCCTGGATTATCGATACGGCTCTACGGCCGACCAGATCTGTATGTAGATCTGGGCACTCTGACAGCGCGCCTCCCGTCCCCAATCCTTTGACGTCCAGCTCCAGCTAGCTAGTGAGCATGCCATTGAACGCCACCTGTTCAGATCTCGCCCTCAGCCTTATCATTTCCCCACTCTCGCCGTCGTCGTCTTCCCTTGTCTTTTCACGCCGACTAATCGCGGCTTAGGGACGATGTCCCCACTTTGCCTCTACTAATCGATCCTTTCGCTTGCACCGCAATAACGCCATGTTCAGGGGCTGCTACATTCCCCCCTCGGAGGGGGCGCCGACGCACGCCTATATAACCTCGCCACTTCCCCATTTCTCGGCCGTCCCATATTGCTTTCCCACACTGACATATCCTATTCCTATTCTGCCGACCATCCAGCTGCAGCTTCTTACCTGTTCACGGTACTCATCCCCTCCACTCCACCGCGCTCACTCACTGTGGCCCTCCCCCGCGCCGATCATCTCTTCTATCGCATTACCAAGTTCCCGATGGTCGACGCCGCCAGTGCCACGCTCTCAGACGCTCAGCCGAGTTGGTTACTCGCTCTCAGCGACCCGGGCAAGACGACGAGGAATGATCCACACGTGGACTCGTACGCATTTCAAGACTTTGACAGAGATGTCACCGTTGCCAGCCACCGACGAGGTACGGTCTGCCTCAGTCGTTCCGACGTACGCGACAACCAACGGCTCCTACATTACAGGTTTCGTCACCTCGTACGAGGGGTTCCCGGAGCAGGAAGTGCCCTATCTGGTCATGCTGTCGAGGCCACTCGGGAAATACCACTACGACAAGGTGTCCTTAGCGACCTGGTGCGGGGATGCAACAGCCAAGAATGGACCACTCTCTCTTTCCCCCAAGGAACAAGTCCATCCCGTGGGTGACTGGGTAGAACCATCAAGACTTACAAGCCCGGGGAAGATGATGGAGTCGATTGTCCGCTGATCACGACAGTGCGAGATGCAGGCCTGGCAAAGCCGCACAAGTACGATCAGGTCTGCGTCCCGAGTCACCGTATGGACGGGCGATCCATGCAAGTGCTGGCCCCCCACCAGAGCGGTTGTTTGTATGGATGGAAGGGCACAAACGTTGACGACTCAGTCGTACCGGGGATGCTCTTGAGGGACGGAGCAGGAAACAAAAAGATGTTGAAGCTCCTGCCTTCATCCGACTTCCAAGGTCATCGGTGACTGTAATTGCGATATGCTTTGTCACGATATGTTTTCTATGTACTCATGAGCTGCGAATATCATTTGCTGTACTGCCAAGGGCATCAGAGCCGTCAAGATACCTTAGGGTACTACTCGCACAGACTGATTACCAGGGCGATTGCTTCAGCGTTGTCTCTTTATCTCTTTACTGTGCAACTACACCTCGCATCGATGCATACGGCTCAGATTACGCTTCGCTCCCAAGGATCATAGCTAGTTCTATACCCCGGCCAGTGCCATCACATTTCATACACCAGTGTTGTTTGGCGATCTCAGGTCGTCGAACTTCTCTTGGAGCTCGCCCTGCAACACGGCCAGCTCCGTCGGGTTCAATGTCGAATACTGCAAGGTGCTTGGGGCTTCCCTCTCGACCGGCTGAACTGCGCCCCCAGCGCCCTGTTGAGGGCACCTTGAACCTGAGGAGAGGTCGCGCACATCCTCAAGACGGCGGTGATGGTGTCACGGCCGGCTTGAGTGACTTTGGTCCAGTCGATGGTATCCCTCCATGATGATGTCGTGTTGGCGGAGATGGTTTGGCCGGCTTCGGACATGATGAAGCACCTGAGCTGGTAGTACGTACTTGAGATGGGTCGACGATCGATGATAAAGTAAGAGAGTGAGATCTAGTATAAGAAACAGGCACGAGGAAGGATTCGTGCATTGTGCCGACCGCTTTCAGGTTTATATGGTCTCCTACCAACGACGTTCAAGATCGCGTGTTGTGTCGTGTCTGCCTTCGACGAGATGGCCGACCTCGCTTCGTCTAGAATTCGTCATTTGACGCCTTCGGCATCTCATGGATCTGACAAGCCAGACATATGCGCCATCTGTATGGGCAGCGATACCTCTATCGGATTCTGCATGGTCCTACCAGTCGCGACATCACACACATCCCAGGTCGGCGCCGCCACGCCTTTCATCAGTCTATATGAGCTCGTAATACACGAACCTTCAGGTGCTCAGCCTGACTGATCATACCTTGGCCTCGCTATATGATAAGGGAGTGCCGGATCAAGCGATGGCGTGACGACACGTGCGTTGTGGTAGAACTTGCTGGACTACCCTGCTCCCTTTGTGCGAGGCAGACCTGGGGGCGACTGACAAAGGACGGCGCCTCAGCCTTGCATCACCCCTTATTACTGCTGTTTTCTCTTCGGTGCCGCTCACAGTCACACATAACACACACCTCCACATCGCTTCATTCCCCTCAACGCACAGACAGATATCGCGATCAACCCATCGTCCACGCCCGGGCCCTACCATGAGTAGCAACGATATTGACGAGAAGGAGCCTTCCATTACAATGGTCAGGAAGAAGAGCGGCCTGGTGCTTTGCGTCAGCAAGATCATGTCAACCTCAGAGGCTACCAAATGTGGCTACAGTAACTACGAGCCCGGACACCTCACCGAGATGCTGCCACCCAACGTCGATGATGGAGAGGGCAGCGAGCCTCGAACATTCCAGACGTCAGTGAGATACGACAGCGGCATCATGGGGATGACCAAAGCCATGGGGCTCTTACGGAGCTCATCCGGGTTTGTCAAGGACGAGAAGCCCTTCTGGGCGTGGCTGTCGGAAGAGGATTCAAACGGGGAGAGAACTCTGGTCTGCTGGCATCGAGAGGCGACCACCGATGGTTCTACGGTCGCTACGTACTCCATCCTCGAAGGCAAAGTGAAGAAAGGTCAGGGAACGGTGCGGAAGGAGCGGAACGTATCTCAGGATGAGGCGACCCTGGACCCAGACTGTCCGCCCGAGATGCTCAGCGCTGCCAGGCGCTACCGCGCACTGGGCAACCCTCTTCCACTGCACGACTTTGTCACGCATCTCGACATGGCCGATGGTCGCTCCGTGGTGCTACACCAGCCGTACGCTAGCAACGCTATCTGGTCCGGCGGCGATCCAGTCACCGCGTGTGCAGACTTTCGGCCTCTTGGCTACGGGAAAGCGTACATCGTGACTCTGATGGATCCCAGCAATGCTGAGTCGCACCGATCGGACGGTCCCGCAGAATAGGAAGATGCGTATCAGGCACATTGTCCTTCAGTGTCTTGTCATGTACAGCTTTTCTTGCTCGCTTGAAGCAGCTCCACGACTACGGCAGTCCACGGTGGCAAACGCCACAGAGGGCTTGTTGAGCTCGTTGACCGCCACTTTGAGCACCAGCTGGGTGCCACGTCATGAATCGAGGGGATTGATACCGCCACCCGGCCGTGTCGGTAGCCTGCACACTGTGATTTTGATGTGTTCGCTGTTTACATACCATCTATATACCTGTGGCTAGAGACCTCAGGCCGTACTGCCCCAGAGCTGAGCCGACAGGAGCCTCAAAGCGCGCAGGAAGAAAATAGTAAAGCGATACGAGCAGCCCGAGGAATCATCGTCATGTCCCGTTCGCCTACCGCCTCTACCCGCTCCCCGTCTCGAAGTCCAGGTCCAGACGATGCTGCCGGATCCAAGAGGAAGAGGTGAGCTAGATTGAACTATCTATGGAGAGTATCAGCTGACCACACAGGTCCGCCTCGCCGCAGCCCCGAGAACGCTCAGCATCCCCTCCGTCCCGCCGTACCCGGCGCGGACCCAACTCCGCTTCTCCCCCTCCCGCATCCTCCGCGGTTGTCCCGACGCCTGCCGAACCTGCCTCAGTAGTGGGCGCAGGAGATGCAGCGGCAAAGGCGGAGTTTGCGAAATTGCTGGGATCTCGCTCGGGAGGGGCGTACATTCCGCCCGCGAGGCTGAGGGCGCTCCAGGCCGAGGCGTCCAAGGATAAGAGCAGTCCCGAGTATCAGAGGTTGAGCTGGGACGCTTTGAGGAAGAGTATCAATGGTCTGATTAACAAGGTATGTCCAGCTTGAACAGTGCCTCGTCGGGAGGTGAAGTAGCTGATGAAATAGGTCAATACTTCCAATATCAAGCATGTCATTCCAGAGCTCTTTGGCGAGAACCTCATCCGCGGGAAGGGTCTGTTCGCTCGGTCGGTCATGCGTGCTCAAGCGTCCTCGCTACCATTCACGCCCATCTTCGCGGCGCTGGTGGCTATCGTCAATACCAAACTGCCCCAGGTTGGCGAGCTGGTCCTGGTCCGCCTGATCAGTCAATTCCGACGCGCCTACAAGCGTAATGACAAGGTAACCTACATCGGTCGCTTTTGCTGGGGCAGTAGCTGACTCCTAGACCGTCTGTAACGCCACATCCTCCTTCATCGCCCACCTTGTCAACCAATACGTCGCGCACGAACTCGTCGCCCTCCAAATCCTCCTCCTCTGCCTCGAACGCCCCACTGACGACTCTATCGAAGTCGCCGTGGGCTTCATGCGCGAAGTCGGCTTCTTCCTCGCAGAGCACTCGCCCAAAGCCAACAATACCGTCTTTGAGCGGTTCCGGGCGGTACTGCATGAAGGGGCGATTTCGAAGCGGTGTCAATACATGATTGAGGTGTTATTCCAGGTGCGGAAGGACAAGTACAAGGATAACCCGACAATCCCGGAGGGGCTGGATTTGGTGGAGGAGGAAGAGCAGATTACGCATCGGATCACGCTAGATGATGAGTTGCAGGTGTTGGAGAGTCTGAGTGAGTTGACGGAGACGTGACAAGTTCGACGGGTCCAGCAGCTGATAGATCAGATTTGTTCAAGGTGGATCCGACCTTCCTCGATAATGAGGATCGATATATCGCTATCAAGAAGGAAATCTTGGGCGACTCGGATGAGGAGTCGGGCGTTTCCGGGAGCGAGGAGGATAGCGATGATGAGGATGACGACGGGGCGGCGCCGGAGAAGGCGGGGATCACGGATATGACCGAGACGAATCTCATCAATCTGAGGAGGACGATCTATTTGACGATCATGAACTCGGTGAGCTAGAGTACTACGTCTCGCTCTGGACGGATTTGAGCTGACAACGTAGCTCAACTTCGAAGAGGCTGTGCACAAGCTGCTCAAGATCAACCTGCCGGAAGGTCGCGAGGTGAGCTAGCGGGTCCTTTAGAGTGAGCAAAGCTGATAATCAGATCGAGATGTGCAACATGATCATCGAGTGTTGTTCACAAGAACGCACCTACTCCAACTTTTACGGTCTCATCGGTGAACGCCTCTGCAAGCTCAACCGGGTCTGGACAGAATCCTTCCAAGATGCTTTCGCAAAGTACTACGAGACCATCCATCGATACGAAACCAACAAGCTCCGTAATATCGGTCGGTTCTTCGGCCACCTGATCGCATCGGACGGAATCTCCTGGGCGGTCCTCCACGTCGTCCATATGAACGAGGACGAAACGACCTCTTCCTCGCGTATCTTTGTCAAGATCATGATGACGGAAATGATTGAGGAGATGGGCAACACCAAAGTCGTCGAGCGGTTCCGCATCCCTGATCTTCGACCGGCATTCGCGGGGTTGTTTCCTATGGACAATCCCAAGAATACGCGGTTTGCCATCAATTACTTTACGTCCATCGGGATGGGTAAAGTCACGGAGGATATGCGGGCGTTCCTTGCGGACGCGCCGAGATTGTTGGCGGCGCAGCACAAGGCGGATAGGGGGGCGGTGAAGGAGGAGGATAGCTCGGATAGCGATTCCGACTCGGACGAGTCGTCGGTCGTTTCGAGCTCTTCGGAGGAGAGCAGTTCGGATTCGGAGGATTCGAGGCGGGGCGGTAGGCGTAGCGGGAGAGGGGGAGGGGCGCGGAAGAGGTACTCGAGTGACTCGAGGAGTCCACCCCCTCCTAGGCGAAATGGAGGTGGGGGAGGAGAGAGGAGGTCGAGTCCGCCCAGACGTGCCTCGCCACCGCCGAGGAGAAAGTACTCGCCTAGTCCCAGTCGGTCGCCCTCGCCACCGCGAAGACGGAGGCGGGATAGCTCGTCCCCGCCCCCTGTACGCAAAGCCGCTGGGGATAGGAGGAGGGAGGATGATTCGCCACCGCCAGCGAGGAGACGGCGGTATAGCGATGATTCGGCGCCTAGGCGGAGGAGGGATTCGTCGACCCCGCCGAGGAGACGGTAGATGGGGGCATGTTGGGTGGAGGGAGAAGAGGGCAAAGATGAGGAACTGATGTCAAGTGGTAGTGGAGTCTATGTAATCTGATTATCATGGTCCGAAATCCGGCTCACGGCTCGTTATGGCGCCGAGCCGCCCTGCTTCGAACATGGTCGAGTCTTGTTCCAGATGCCACTCTGGCAGTAGCCGGCGATGTCCGGACTGAGGAATGAGGAGTTGCGACCTTTCCGGCCCGTCCAAAGCCGGTTGCTGTTTGGCGTGTTGCTGCCTCGAACATATCCGCAATTGGGTTGTGGGTAGCAACCTAGCTCACCCTCGGAGCGCATCTCGCGCTCTCTTTGTCTCGCCGGCGGACCCCGGAGGGAAGTTCCGACAGCTCGCCGTACCCATTGGCCGACGTATCACGATGCTGAACCTCCTCCTCGCCTTGGGGATACTACCCGCCCTTCTCCTCCTTCGGCGGTTCTACTACTCTTACATCATGCCCAACTTCATCGAGCGACCTGTCGGTGGTATCCCGCGCCCACCGCTCGTAGCGGACTGGATACCGTTCATCGGGAACGGGCTGAGAATGACGCAGGGGGATGGATTCTGGCGGGATGTGATTAGGCAGTATGGGCCGGTGGTCAGGGTGAGGGCTATGGGGGAGGTCAGGACGTTCGTGACTACTCCAGGTGTAAGCCTTCATGTCCTTCGAGCCGGGAGAGTTGCTGATAGTAGCAGCTCATCAGCTATGTCTACAAGAACTCCAGAAACTTCTCCTTTCTGCACTTTAGGCGCACCCTGCATAGCACCATCTTTGGCCTGGTAAGGTATTCCTACATGAGAGCCAGAGTTGAGATCAAAGTGCTGATACTGCAGCAAATGAGTCATGCGCAGTCGGACGCGATGACCGACAAGCTCTTCCCGCAGCATCATCGGGAAATGCAGCCGGGCAGCATCGCCGACTTGATACGAAAGTATGCGGATCATTTAGAGGATGGGATGAAGCGCAAGGTGGAACAGATAGGGGAAGAGGGGATAGTCATTGATCTTGTGGAGGATATGTTTGATATCTTGGTAGGTCCCTGATTCCCTCTGCTGGAGGAATGGGGTACTGCAGCTGACGAGCAGTACGAAGCCTCCGCAAAAGCCTTCTTCTCCCCGTCATTCCCACACGCAAGCTTCAAGCCCACATTCATGGCATTCGACGAAGCGTTTCCACTTCTCTACCTTGCTGGTCTGCCGAAAATCGCACGCCGGTCAGCCGAAAAGATCCGCGAAGACGCTCTGCGCATGATAGAGGAATGGTGGGTCGATATCTCCTTCGAGGATCGTAAGGAGATTGCGCCGGCTATGCTGGGGATGGTGGAAGTGGCGGAGGGCGAGGGGTGGTCATTACGGGACGTGGCGAGTTTCTTCTTGCAAGAGATCTGGGCGCTAGAGGCAAACGCGCCTTACGGTGAGTGAGGACCACTGTCTATGAGGCTGAGCGGGATGGGGATATGCTGAAACCCTAGCGGGAATATGGACCATCCTCGAACTCCTACGCAACCCCGGCATTCTCGCTCGCGTCCGGACCGAGATCACCAATGTCATCTCTACTCTCTCCCCGCCGACCCTCTCTACGCTCCTCCACCGACCCCAACCGGGACTACCAGGTCTCTTACCCATCACCAACGCGGTCTTTCAGGAGACCCTTCGGTTCCACGTCGATACGCTATCGCTCCGGGTCGTGCAGGAAGATTGCGTTGTTCCTCCTAGTCTGATCCCGGCGGGAATAGGGAAAGAGACAGGTTTGAGACTGTATAGGGGGGACCAAGTGATCTGCGCGACGAGGGTGCCGATGGTGGATGAAGAAGAGTGGGGGCCGGACGCGGGAAAATGGGATCCGGAGCGGTTTATGAAGGGCGGCGCACAGGGGCGGGCTATGCACCCTTTCGGAGGAGGTGTCTCGATGTGCGAAGGTGAGCACTTTATTCCTACCGTCGGATAAGAGGAGTAGATGCGCCGGAGAGGCGGACAGCAATAGTAAAGCTGATCAACGGTATAGGTCGTCATTTCGCCTCTGCCGAGATCCTCACCTTTATCGCAGCCTTCACGTACCTCTTCGACGCGGACGTACTTTCGGACACAATCAAGCCGAATCCGCAGCGGATCGGTCTCGGGATACAGCAGCCTATGGGTAGCGCCAAAGTACGCCTGAGGAGGCGGGCCGAGTAGTCGAGTCATATCCGGGAGGTGTCGCATCCGCCCTCATACGCATTACCACGATAGGTATAGCCGGTTCTCGGTCAAGGACAGGCGCCATGAGAGGCTGGATGGTGGCTGAGCCACGGTAATGATGGGTAGGATGCCGTCACGCGACCGCTCAGGAAGGGGAGAGCGGCTCCAACCCCGCCATTGAGACGGTACACGGGATGGGCGTATGGCGTATGAGCGTGACTCAGTGAGTGTGGGACAAAGTACAATTCATGTCCGGAGTTCATTATATTTGTGTTGTATCGGGCCGTATGAGGATCTCAAAGCTTCGGATTCCTTCACAGCCGTACTTGCGCAGACTTGTAAGCTTGAGGCTCATGGTCACGTGCCCCGCGGCGGCCGCGGTGGGCGGGCGAGATTACTTTATGAGGAATGCGGAGTCGTACGATTCTGACTTCGGAGATTTCTCCGCCTAACGAGTCGCGCATCGTTCAAGACAATATAAGAGAGCGGTGATCCGCCCCCTCGCTCGACCTTCCGACAACGGAGAGGACATCAGCTCTCTCTCAGGCCCAGCTGTAGTAACGAGCCAACAGCCAGATCCCCACACGGTGAAAGGCAGCATGATCAACCTCGTTCTCGCCCTGGGGCTCATCCCCGTACTCCTCGTCTTAAGACGGTTCTACCACTCTCACTTCGCGCCCACCTTCTTGGAGAAGCCCGAGGGAGGTGTCCCGCGCCCGCCGCTTGTAGCGGACTGGGTACCGTTTGTGGGGAATGCATTGAGCATGACGAGAGGCGACGCGTTCTGGGCGGGTGTGATACGGCGGTACGGGCCAGTGGTGAGGGTGAGGGCTATGGGGGAGGTCAGGACATTCGTGACTACTCCAGGAGTGAGTCAATCATTCCTATGCGGCAGTCATTTCGCATGAGTTTCAGGCTATCTCGCTGATCAAGCAGTTGATCAGCTATGTCTACAAAAACTCGAGGAACTTGTACGTTGCCTGGTAGTCTATTGGCGCCCGCCGGTTGCTCGGTCACGCGAGCTTACGTCTCAGTGACTTCCTGCACTTCCGACGATCCATGTCTAGCCAGATCTTCGGACAGGTCAGTTTCTCGCTCCACACTCGACGAATCCGAGTGGAAGCTGATGATTGCAGAACGCGAATCACGCCCAGTCGGACGCGATGGACGCCATCATCTTTCCCGGACATCACAAGAACATGCAGCCGGGCAGTATCGCCGACCTCATCCGGAAGTACGCCGATCACCTAGAGGGCGGATTGAAGCAGGCGGTTGAGGCAGTGGGGGATGAGGGCAAGGTGGTGGATCTTGGGGATCACATGTTTGACATTCTCGTAAGTATCCCTCATGACCTCTGTGTTCTGTGCTGATGATCAGTACGAGTCCTCCGCCAAAGCTTTCTTTACTCCTTCTTTCCCCGCCGCCGCCTTCAAGCCCTCTTTCATGGCCTTTGACGCCGCCTTCCCACTCCTCAATCTCGCTGCGCTCCCCGCTATCGCCCGGCGTCCCGCCGAGAAGGCGAGAGATGAGGCCTTGCGGATCATCGAAGAATGGTGGGTCGACATCTCCGATGAGGATAGGCAGCAGCTCGCCCCAAGTATGCTGGGTATGGTGGAGGCGTCGGAAGCGGAGGGCTGGCCATTGAGAGATATCGCGGCTTTCTTCTTGTCGGAAATCTGGGCGCTGGAAGCGAATGCCCCTTATGGTATGTTGAGGCGAGCTCAGAGTGGATAGAGTCGCGCTGATTGCATAGCTGGTATCTGGGCGGTCGTCGAGCTGCTCCGGAACCCGTCTGCCCTCACCCGCCTCCGAACGGAGATCACCGACGTCATCGCCACCCTTTCTCCCCCTACACTCTCCACCCTCCTTCACAAGCCTCAACCAGAACTCCCAGGTCTCTTGCCCTACACAAACGCAGTCTTTCAAGAGACGCTCCGGTACCACGTCGATACCCTCTCCCTCCGGGTCGTCCAGTCCGATTGCGTCATCCCTCCCAATCTACTCTCTGGCGGAATTGGCGCCGAGACGGGATTGAGGCTGCACAAGGGGGAGCAGGTGATTTGCGCAACAAGAGTACCGATGGTGAATGAGGAGGAGTGGGGTGCGGATGCGGGAAAGTGGAATCCGGAGAGGTTCATGAAGGGTGGTGCGGCGGGACGGTCGATGAACCCGTTCGGGGGTGGAGTGTCCATGTGCGAAGGTGAGTCTCCTTCTTCTTCAGAGAGATTGAGCGAGACGGCACGATCTGGTTATGATTGAGCTGATGCTATAGGTCGCCACTTCGCCTCGGCCGAGATCCTCACATTTATTGCTGCTTTCACGCACCTCTTTGACGCCGACATACTGAGCGATACGATGAAGGCGAACCCGCAGCGGATCGGCTTGGGCGTACAGCAGCCTATGGGTGGGGTCACAGTCCGCTTGAGGCGTCGAGCAGATGGATATCCCAGGGGAAGTCAGCCGAGTGCCCGCTGAACTCACAGAGGATTTAGGTTCATGTATGCGTATTGATTGGGCTCAATCTGTCTCCTTCCAAGCACTGACAGGTCTAGTCAATGGGAACCGTTCCCATGACATACATATCCCCGGTGCACCAAAAATAATTACTAACGATATGTATAACGACAGCGCAGCATTTTAAAGTCCGCTCGTATATCGCTCGGCCCGCGAGAGGGCGGCGCGTAGTCATAGCAGCGCCTACACTGTCCGCGGGCGCTCCTTTGCGCCACCGCGCAGTCTTGCCGAACGGATTACATGACGCGACGCGTAAGAGAAATCTCACAGAGCCATCATAGCCACAATGTCCCTTCACCCCGGCTTCAAGAAAGGAGTATCAGAGTGGTAGGTGCCAGCCCCCAGCCGATGAGCTGCCGGTCTCTCCTGAACATATCTGCTCTTCATTGACTCGCCTGTGGCTCACTCCTCCACTATTTGCACATTCCTACACCTTCTGCTGCTTCTCAGGGAAGTTATCTGACCATATTGTAATTGGTTGACCACCTGCTGACTGGTGATATAGACGGAACATCATGTCTACAAAGAGCTACGATCCATCATCCGGAGGCGGTACGCAAGCACCCGAAGACGCAGTACAGGCAAAGATCAATGGTGAGTACGCTTTTCCAAGGCCTCTTACTATGATGATTTGGCTAACAAGGTGCAGCCGCAGGCGACGAGCAGAGTCTGCTCACCCTCATGTCGTCCACAGCGCCGAGGGCATCGTCCAAAGGCGCGCAGAAAGCGGCCTCATGGACGAATGAGACGCTGAGGACGTCAACTGTCTACCAGCAGCTCTGCGCCGCCGCTGGCCAAGACAACGGCAGCGAGGCTGCAGTACAGGCGCTGATCAGCAGGTATGAGCTGGACCCCGGTACCCTGAAGGCATGGACGGTGAAGAAGATGACAGGGTCGGATATGAGGGGGGACGCTTGAGAGGGGATGATCGCGGTACGAGAGGAGGGCGTACTGATATATATAATCGGGGGCATGAACGATTTAACGAGAGCACATCCTTCGCTGCCAGGCTATACGAATCGGCTGAGAGCGAACACTTTTGCCGCTCAACGCTCATGAGACGAAGGCCGAGATGTGCTGCATACAATCACGAGGATCTAGCGTCCGGGAGGATTGTGCCCGGCCCTACCCTGTGTACCAGTGACGAGAGTTATCCTTCTGATGAGCCGGGTCAAGATCTCTTCGCTCCTCGTTCGCCCGCACGTTCGCCCGCGCCGCGCAGCACGGCTGACTGAAAGGTGAGCGCAATCTACTGAAACGCCACACAAATATCGCAAGATAGAGGTGGCGCTGACTCCTACGTGACAAGGGAGGTGATAAATGACTGAGGCCCGAGGCGAGTGATGGGGACCCTTCCCCTCCTTTCACGCCCGACCCCGCACTGCGCATTGCGAGCGATCGATTCCTGCTCCGCCGTGGGTACATATGCCTGTGTTTCCCCCCCTGTCCTTCAGGATTATCTCTTTTGACTTACCTTCACAGTTCTCGCGAAGCACAACATTTTGACAACAAGTTAGTGAAGTATACTCTTTCTACGAGAGTTCGATTGGCCCTCCACCATGTCAAACATAAGCTCAACTCTAGTCCCGATACACAGGCATGCCCTCAAACAACTATCGGCCTGGGTCGCCGTCAAACCGCCATCGGTCGAACACGGAAAGGCACAGCTTGAGCATGGGTGGTGCAGGTATGTGCTCTGCAACAGGTCTAGCACACTTCCGTGTCCCCCACTGACGTCGATCATCTTGTCGGCCGCGAGACTGTCAGAGAGCTGATCCTCCTCAGCCCATGTTGTGACGGGCCTTTCAGCATCCTTGCTGCGCGCCAGGGAAGAGGCCGATCGTGTTCGGCAGGACAAGGAGGACAGGGCCGCGCAGCGCGAATTCACAATGACCACGCTGAAAGACTCCGCGCGGCATTCTGTGAAACAGGACTCTCTCGAAGTCGAGTCCGGCGAGCGCACCGCTCCGGGTGTTTACGAGCAGCTCAAGGAGTCCTGGGAGTCGCTTGAGGACCGCGACAAATTTCAGGAGATCACGACGAGGTACGATCTGGATATCGAGACGGTGAAGACGTTCATGAGGAACAGGCAGATCGAAGACGAGTGGGCTACCGTGCGTGCTGCGCATCCTTCTGGCGCGAACTCTGCTTGAGAATGCCTTACATGCATTGATATGTGGACGCCAGTACAGAGCCGTTATGGATTACAGGTGTGAGCAGTTAGGAAGCTTGAGTAGACTGCTGGCTAGGTCGAGCTGGCCGGCTACACGCGTACTATCATGTCTTACTGATGAATACCCCCTTCTCAAACTCGCCTTCCACTCGCTCAGCGCGTTATCCATATCCTGCAGTACACCAGATGCCAGGGCACATGTTATGAAGGGCAAGTCTCGTTGGCCGCATCAGCAGCAATGAAACTCCAGACATGTACACTGCAGGTGTCTCGGGCCGAACCCTACCTCGACGCCCCATGCTCTGGCTTTCTAGCTTGACCACCCAATGCACATCACGGCACTACAATCTGGGTCCAGCGTGGCATCACCCAGCCTGCTTACTGCATAATAGTTATTTGCGATGCTATCGGACGTGGACCACCGCAGAGAGGTACTGTATGCGAACTGTGACGATCGTGAGTAGGATCAACTTGGAAGCTACATGGCCATCATTGACACCATGCTGATCACGTGATGACCTCGTCGCCGACACCGAACTGTCCTCAGTGCGCGCCACGTTGCAGACATCGAGTCGTCAAGCTCGAGAAAGGTGACCGCAGCCCTCGTCGATCAGGTGGGGAATCAGCACGCATACTTACTGACACTCCCAACAAGATTGGCTGGCTCCAAACGTTGAGCGGGGAAGTAAGGATGTCCTGCTCCCTTCAGCTATCTCAAACCACTACTGCTACCTCACGGCGGATCCAGAGCCACAAGATACGATCGTCCTCGCTACTCGCGTGGGTAAGCTAAAAGATTTTGACCTCGGTGCCGGTTTCGATACCGATATGTTGATTATCGGGCTGAGTGAAGGGTTGGGAGACCTCCTCGGCTCGAGTGAAGCTACCGGAGTTCGCAGAATAGCATGGCGAGGATCTTGATCTTCGTCGGGATATCCAGGATCTTACAAAGAAGGTGTTGGACCGCTGGACTGTGAGTGGGATGAGTGAGATTGAGCCCGGCCGAAGTTGCTCCTTATTGGCGGTCAAGCTCTCAAGGAAAGCCGGGAGGACATGTGGAGACGACCAGCCGGCCGATCACGACCACTTCGTTCCATATGGACCGCGTGAGGATGATACCGAGTAGATTGGAACGGATGAATCTGTTCTTGGCTTCGACAGGGACGATGGTTGAGCATGGGGATCACGGCGTGCTAAATGCAGGCGAAGGCGTTGAATGTGTTGGTCGGAAGGCGTCAGATATATTGTCCTCGATACATGGTAGCTCTAGCATGCTCACTACCAGACTGCTAAGTCAGTCAGACAGCCTGCGGCAGAACCTCAAGCTGATCTGGACTCACCTAAGCTCTAGCTCCTCCCACAGTCCCAGTGTATACACCTCTTTAATTGCGCCAAATCCGTCCCCTTCCCCTCCGACCTCTCGATAACGTCTACTCCTCCGCGGCTGCTCTTCTTGCTGCCCTCCTCTCCTCGATCTCCTTCATCACCCTCGACTCATTCTTCATCCTCCACTCCCCTATCTCCCTCTCCGTCGCAATCTTCCCCTCCATCGCCAGCGCGTTCCGAGCGTACTTCCGCACCTCATTTTCCTGCATCCGCAGTTCGTGCTCGTATTTGAAGAGATGTGAGTCGGCGCCGACGACGAGGCCGAAGATTGAGGAGGAGGAGACGAGGAAGCCTTTTATCGCAAGTGTTTGCCGGCTGATAGATCAGCGCTCCCATTCATTATGCGGGCAGGCCGTCTAGCTCACCTGAAGAGTGGCCAAGTGAAATGCGCAAGTGTCACCACCGCCGCTCCGTACATGGTCCATCTCAGCGCACCCTGCAGACCACCCTCGATCTGTATCCGGTACTGCCCGATCAGCGCCCATCCCGCCCAATTCGCTCGATGGGCTTTCTCACTGCTCTTTCTGTCTGCTCCTCCCGGTTCGCCCTGGCTGCTAGCTCTGACGCTGACACCATAGCTGTGTAAGAGGCGAGTAGGGCGATGCATAGGCCTCTTCCTCGACCAAGGCGCAGGCGATCGGAAATCGACGCACGGACCACGATTTGACTTTTGTTTTTGACGCGTCCCAACTCCTCATTCCTTCTCTCATCTTCACTTCAACTTCACTAGTCATGCAGAGGTAGTGAGAGGGCAGTATGGAGGCCTCCATCAATGAGAGGCATCTCAAAGGTGAGCTCGAGCAAGCTTTGACGAACCGCTGGACCGGGCGGCTCTCTTGCTAGAGCTGACAATTTCAGACTTCGTCCGCCTTCTTCAATGTGCAAGCAGGTATGGAGAGGAGCTATGTATCCACGCCAATAAGGATCACGTAGGTCACGCGTGGATGAGACTGTCCTGAAATCCCTGCACATCATAGCTGATATCGCCAGTGGGAGCTCGCAGTGACCAACTCGTCCAAATCCGCCTTCTGCCTCTTCAAGCTCCAACCTCGCTTCTTCTCTCGATACAAGGCACTGGGAACTCCTTCTGAGCAGAGGAAAGGCGTCAAGTACAAGCTCTTGGTGAAGGTAGGCGCAATGTCTTCGTTGCGCGTAGCTCGTAATCAGCCCGGGGAATCTGAGCGGAGTTGCTTGGAGAAGAAAGTGAGGAAGGAAGGAAGGGGTGGGGTCTGGCTTCATCAGGCGAGGGGATGGCATATGAACGCCTAGACGGGCTTCGTCGCAGAACAGTCCCAAAAAGGGAGACTGGGTCATCCGGACATCCACCTCACATCTCTTGCTCGCTGGTACCCTGCTTTGTTTGCCCTTCCGAGCTGGAACCATGCTGATCAATCAGAGCGTACTTGCCGTAGTCAGCAAGACATCGACCACAGCATCCATCGAGCGGCTCGATCTGAAGATCTACGACCCGACTGGCAATCTCCGAGCCCGGTCGAGTAGCGCTTCCGCCTCAAGTGGTACCGTTGGCGATACTACCGGCTCGAACCTTAGTCACCACTTTGACGATGACTATCACGAGGAGATCAACATGCGGGGTAGTGTGCTGGTCGTCAGGCTGGTGTGCAAGCATGGTGAGCTGATCTGTACCTCACGAGGCCGGGGCATGTCGAGCTGATTCTTCAGGCGTGACCAAGAAACACACCCTCAACCTTGGCTCGACCGATTTCGACCGCGCCATCGTCGATCCCGACTCCACCCCTTCCTCATTTACCATATCCGCTCGTACACTCCGAAACTGGCTCGACCACTTCTCCCTCACGTCCAACTCTGGCTCGTCAGCCCACAATCCCGCTCGAGCGGAGAATCAGCTGGGGTGGATGTTTGGCAAGAATGAAGTCAGGCTCAAGAGCTGGGCGGGGTCGGATAAGGATTTGTGTACCGAGATCAAGGTGGATGTGGCGGAATTTGGGACGGACAGGGAGGGACAGGACCGGTATTGGGTGGAGCAGGAGCGGGTGGATTTGACACTGCCAATGAAGGAGTTCAGGGTGAGTCCCGGTATGAGCACTGCTGGAATCGAGCTGACACCTCAGGCTACTCTACAGCTCGCCGATAGCATGTCCATCGACCTCACTATCGCCTTCTCCGAATCTTCTCAGCCACTCACCATGGTCTACACCGGCGGCGAGGAGGACGACTTTGACATCTTCTGCGCTATCGCCACGATGGCATGCGACGCCTTCCCCGTCGATCTCGGCCGACCAGCCGCTAATGGACAAGCGCCGGCCCCGCCTCCAGTCGGCGGTCTCGATCCGAAAGGTCGGCGCATTGTCAGCGATCTTACCGAAGACGGTCATCCTCAGCGCCCTGGGCCAGAGCAGGCGGAAGGGAGCGTCCAGCGACAACGGTCGCAAACGCCTAGTAGGCGGACATCTCGGCTCGAGCTCACGCCGAGTAATCGGGTCGGGTCGGAGCGGCCCGCGGTGGTTTACAATTCTCAGCCGACTCAGGCGCAGGGGTGGCGGTCATCCCAGGTCGGCAACGGTGTCGGGTCATCTCAGCTGGGGCATGGTGGAGGAGCCGGATCTTCGCAGGTTGGGAATGGCGAGCCAGGGCTGGGAGACGTGGGAGAACCGCTCTTCCTTGCAAATAGTCAGGAGGAGCAGGACGAGCCGATGCCTGCCCAGTCGCAGCGGATGACGCAGGAGGAGGCTCTTCAGAGAGCAGGAATCTCGCAGGCCGACGTGGATAGCTTCCTGAACGAGGCGGATGCGGAGGATGACGAGGAGTGGAACAAAGCTCGACAAGCCCAGCAGCTAGCTGGGAAAGCTGAGCCCGAGATGCCCGGTCCAGACGACTGGGACGACGCGGACCTCCAGCACGAAGGCGGCCGATTCGAAGCGGACAATTCGGTCTTTGACGACATGTCCTTCAATCCACCATCCTCCATGCCCACTACTATCCCTCGTCATCCCGGGCCCCCGCCCCGCCTCTCTCCTGCCAAACGCGCATACACATCGCCGACTCGACAACCTCTCCCGGCCAAGACGTCTACTCGGTCCGAGCGTCTTCCGACGCGATCGCCGCCTACACGGGTCGAACGGGGCCGGTCAGCGCAAAGCGTGCGGGATAGTACAGGGGCGGGACCGTCAGGCCGGGCAAGTCTCAGCAGGAGTAGGAGCCCGCTCAAGGTCACGCCGATAGCGAGGATGCAGGCGAGAGTGAGGAGTCAGACCGAGGAGGAGCGGGAAGAGATGGGTGGGGTGGAGGTGGGCCCGTCGAGAAGTTCAGAGAGGGAAATGAGGACGCCGCCGACGGGACAGGGGGCGATGCTGCAGGGGGATGATCAGGACGATGATGAGGAGATGGCGCAGTCGCAGAGGAGTCCGGATGGAGTGAGCTCTCATTTTCCTTGGGCTGATATGTGGTGGAGGGCAAAGCTGATCTGGACAGTTCCAGGCCTTCTTCGATGATTGAAGGGCCACCGAGGTGGCATCGGCGAGTAGATATCGAGGGGAGCATCAACTCGATCGAGAGAGAAACTTCATTCACGTTGTACTAATAGCATGAATGTGCATAGATCCCATTGCTGAATAGGTTGAGATTTCGGAGCCAGAGCCCCAAACTGACTAATGTGTCTCATTACTGACGAGATACGAGGACCATGACAATTGTCCGTCGGCGTCCGAAGTCTGAGCTGACTTTCAGCATAACAAGGCGGCACTAGTGCTATGAGTATCCGATGTCTTCCGTCGGCCGCACAAGAATCCTCAGCAGGATGACAGTCTGTGAAGTGTTATGCCCGTTGTTACTCGGCAGTCGCAAGCACCTCTCTTGAAAAAATCGGAAGTCGCACCCAAAGAGCACCTTAGACGAACACGTCTTCACGTTCTACATCGTCCGAGAAGCATACATCATGCATCAAGTCTCATACCACCACTTCGCCTGGTGAATAAAATGGGCAACGTCAAAAGCTGTTTGGAACTCCGCTAAACCACGAGATCGTCCTGGTCTGCAGGGCGAGTAGGGTGGCTAGTCCCAGCTCGATCTCGTTCCACGATGGCCATCAAAGGTAGCACACATCAAAAGGATGCGGACGAAAGCTGTGAATATTGCGCGTCAGAGCGACCCGATTGCGTGCTTATTTATCGTACCTTTCCTTAGGGCACCGCAACGTGGGATCAGGGGGGAGCCTGCACGGCCAGCTGTTGCCTTGCATATATCCACTCTGCCCCTTTCCAGTACTGTCATCAACCTTTCAGCTTCACTTTACCCAAACAGAACAGTACATCTGCACATCTGAAACTACACCTCCCTGCAGCACCACTCTGATCGCCATACCAGTCGTACTCAACTGCAGTTACCGAGATGAGCCACATTCAAGACATCTTCCACAAACACAACCCTCCGGGGACACTGAGTCTGACTTCTGTCGGGCCATGGCGTGAGACGTTGTCAAGGACTTACAATGATTGTGAGCACCAGAAATTAATGCCATGGCATGTACCGTGCCTCAGAGTTCAGGCTGACGCTTTTCAGCCGAGATCTGGAATGCTGTATCGCTCGCTTTCATCGACTGGAAGACCGACGTCACGGACCCTGATCGAGCGCAATTCATCTTTGCCCTCATCGATTTTGCCGAGCGGCACTATCCTGAGGACATGAAATGTTCCGGTGGGATCCCCGACGGCGTGCTCGGCGAAGCTCTTCTGAAGACCGTTAGGCTGTCTACTACCTTACAACAGTCTCGTGGCATTGCCATTGCTTGCACGACAGACCCTCTTTTCAGCTACTACAAGACGGATCGTCAAGCACAGCCTTACGATACAGCGAGTAAAGAACATGAGCAACGTCGGTGCGAGACGTCTGAGGAACGGGGTCAGGACATCGAGGTGATGAAAGGCTGGGAGCACATCTGGGGCTACAAGAGCAGCAATTCGCACCCCGATGAGGAGACGCTCGACGGACTGGAGCGCCATCGCAGGGAGCTGGGCATCAAAGCCTCTCACTGGACGATTAAGGATATGCCACACGTCAGGCCGGGTGACATGCCGATCTGGTCTCAAAAGGCTCTCCTGACGACCGGGTACCGAGGCCCCATTGTACTCGTGCGGCATCCAGACTCCGGTGCGCTTGATGATGACAGCCAGTACGCATCTGAGCCAGCCAGCAATTGGCGCACTGGGGAGGCGCTCACGGAGACGCCGGCGGGAACACGGGGACACTCGGGCACACGTGTCAATACCCGCCTGTGGATGTGAGCAGTATTGTGCGTACGCGCATTCAGCCAGTTTCGCAAACGTATCCAGTGGATATTCATGAATGATGTCTGGTGTTCTCTCCATGTATTTGCTGCTTGGCGCTCTGCACAGATCTACTTTTGTCCCTCCGAAAGCTGACCATCTCCACCTAGCCCTGAGTCCACCAGCAGGAGAGCGCTAATTTGCTCTCGCGCCACCAAAAGATTATTCAAACATGCTTGGACTCCATGCATCAGCTCTTGAATGACTGCGACTGCCGCTACTCGCAAAACAAGATGCTACAGGCACTCTAATAGCCAGCGGACCAGTCAGTACGCTTATCTATGCAGTGCTGAGCGCTGCACTGAAACCGCCACATTCGGGAGCTGATTACGTCATACTTGGACTGTTCGCGTGTCGCGCGCGCGCGACGCGAGGAATGCGGAGCAATTGAAGACCAAACCTCCCGGCCTCAGCTACAGGACCTGGCCGAGCATATATCATACTTTAGCCTCATAACGCATATACTCTCAGCTCACTCACAGCATGGCTCCAGTAACGCTCCCGCCGTCATTCTATAACTCATTTTGGTCGGCAGACTATCGAACCGGACTCGAAATATTGTTCAAAGAGCTGGACAAGGTGGGGAAAGCTCGGACCTCCGTCTGAGCGCGAGACGCTGATGCATGTAGGGCTGCACAGAAGCAGAGGACGTTGCGAAATTCATAGAGGTAAGTAACTGTGCTGGCTGAGGTGAGGAGTAATGCTGATCAAGACAGTCGCAAGCCAAAGGACATCATGCACTGTCCCAAACCTTACTCGTCCCACCCACTTCACAGCCACCATCAACTTCCTCGCTTCAGCACACCCTCCTCGCTCTAAAAGGCGCATCTTCGGCCCGCGGAGAAGCTCATCGAGCACTAGCTATCGAGCTGGAGAATAGGATCTTGGTTGGATTTCAACAATGGGCGGAGAGGCATCATGAGCGGGTCACGGAGGGGAGAAGAGAGGTTCTGGCCAAGGGAGGGGTGGTGGGTGTCTGGGAGAAGGAGGTTGTCAAGCTGAATGCGGTGAGTAGTCTGCGAGATAGTGACACGCGGAGCCTTGGGCTACTCGACCGAGACAGTAGCTAATTGTTCAGCTGAAGGCGACCTATGTGGCCAAGACCCGAGCTGCAGATGACGGCGAGGACGAGTAAGCTATATGGTTCCGAGTGGTCGATCTCTAGCTGACTCTAAAGTGCCAAATTCGCCCCTGCGACAGCAAAATCCCCTCAAATGTCTGTCCGGTCACCCTCCATTTCCTCGACCGATGGCTACACCGCTTCTCCCCAACCCCAATCCGCAGCCCTCCGCCGCACCGGCACTGTCGCCGACCGTATCTCGGAGAAGCTTCGCGCAGCCAGCATCTCTTCCACCAACGACACATCTGTGCCCATCTCGCCGAGTAAAAGCCTCAAATCCAGCACATCCACGTCGTCCTCGTCTCGGCTGCACAAACCTGTTTTATCGATTGACGGCAAAATGCTCCCGCCTCCGCCGAGCCCTTTGGGCGGTACCCCAGCGGCGGACGGGTCACGAAGTCCGGTCAGCCCTGGAAGTCCAAGGGAGGATGCGTTTATTCCCCCTTCTGACCCGCATGGGCGGCCGACCATGGGTCCCTCGGTACCCGACAAAGAGAACGGCGCCATGGCTGTGCTGGAGGTGCAGCCGCCTCCGGTCCTGCTTTCAGGTCTTTCGCTCTCCGCGCAAGGTCTCAAGGACCTCCTCAAGCGGTTCGACGCATATCTCCTCACCACTCCGTCGCCCACCGCCGACGCCGCGGCTATATCCACCAAATCCAACGCGGCGCTGGCATCTCGCCACCGGACCTCCATGCTCGGCACGTACGACAAGACCTTTTCGGGCGAGGAGGTCATCGAGTGGCTTCGGGATAACGTCGAGGGCTTCGGAGGCGACTGGGAGCGATGCGTCGATGCCGCGCGGGAACTGACCTCTATGGGTCACTTTTCGCGTATCGGAGTCAGTGTTCAGAGGGGCTTCGAAGCGGGAAGCGAGACGTACTATGTCCTTCGCGCCAATCCGCTTACAGATCCCTCTCCGGTCTCCGCACTCTCCGCAGCGGCGATGGACAAGATCAATATGAGCAACATCTCGTCCCCGCTCTCGCCCGCGACGTCGGCGAATATCCAGACTATGCTCAAATCCTACGTCCCCGCTCGGTTCGCGGCTTCGGACGAGCCGGCGCATGTACGACTCAGGAAGGAGGCGCAGAAGGCGGACGAGGCGTACAAGGAGGGAGTGAGGGTGGCAGAGATGAAGCGGTTGGAGATGGAGCAGGCGGTGGAGAGGGGATTGAGGGTGTGGGAGAGGTGGGAAAGGGAGCGTCTGACGGTACTTCAGCAGGGTGAGCTATTCATTTCACAAGATTGGTGATGTGGCATATAGCTGACAGACAGTACTGAAGCAATACGAAGCCGCCCTTGCCCGTCTGCCGACCCGCCTCGCCGCTCTGCAACAAAGCACTACTCTGTCTGTCGAAGCCTACAACCCCGACGCCGACCTCAAAGCGCTCATCGAAGGCAACAGGACTGGTCCATTCCGGCCCCAGCCGCACGTTTACGAATCGCTCGAGGTGGACCAGCCGGAAGTCAATTTTGGGATCGATCTGCGCAAGTGGGCTGGGGACTCTGGCGGATGGCGATCCGCCGCGCAGGCGCCGAAGCGGGAGAAGGGGGCGGTACCGGAGGTGCTGCAGGGGATGTTGAGGGCTATGACGGAGATGGGCGAGAGTGCTACCGATGACGGTGAGCTACCCGGCATATTAGCTGTCGAGACGAAACATAGCTGACATGGTGCAGAGAAGCGTAAAGCGTGGATTTACGAAGTCCCCCTCACCGAGACACACGCTCTTCGGAGCTCGCTCAACAATCCCGATATGCCCCTCGACGATTTGGTCTCCGTCGTCAAGCAGTTCAACCTCCCTATCGCCGCTGGTACGATCAAGCTGTGGCTTCTCGAGCTCAACCCGCCGGTCCTGGGATGGGAGGGATGGGAGGACGCCAAGGCGATCTATCCGAGTGTCGGGGCGGATCAGGAGAGGGACATGACGTCTGCGGTGACTAGTGTTCTGGGACGACTGGGCGGGATCCAGATCTTTGTGCTGGACGCGCTGGTTGGCTATCTCAGGCAGTGAGTTCCGCTACAGGTTAGAATGATACAGATCTGATGCGGAAGAATGATCGACGCGACCAAGACGGATGAGGCGAACGAGATCTACGTCACCAAGCTTGCTCTTTCTCTCGGACGATGTGAGCTTTCCGGTCGAATGTCAAGGAACAATAGCTGATGAACAGGCATTACCCGACCCCACTCCGAGACGGACCTGACTATCGGCGACCGCACCCCCTCACTCTTCTTTGCCGACCTCATCAACCTCTATTCGGCCGTCCTTCCCCCGCTCGTCGAGAAGAAGAAGAAGGACTCGGAGCGGGTCATGCCTGTCCGCAAGCGGACTGTGCTAGTCGACCAGCGGATCAGCCGGCGCAACATCAGCGAGGACGACGATACTCGCGAGCTGCTTGAGAAGCAGATGGCAATGCAGCATCCTACCCCACCTCGGTCGGTCGGAAGAGACAGCCTGACCCCTTCGTCTTCGACAGCGAGCACTCAGCCGCCTAGGACATTTATCGAGAGCGCCACACCAAGCCATCAGACTCCTCCGTCCCTTCCTCCTACGGCCGGGCTGGGACTCGGACTCGGCTTTGACACGGCGCCCAAGATGGCGGAACCCCAGGACTCGGACGACGAGGGCGAACCTCCTTTCAACCCTTCTTCCGTCCAGGTCATCCCGCCCACTCCGGCTCAAACCGCCTCGGGACAGGTACCGGAGCATCAACCCTCAGGCGCCGACTTTTCAACCCAGGGTCAAGGCCAAGGCGGTGAGGACGAGTCGGCCACTGCGGACATCCTCGACGGGCTCGTCGACCAGGAAGAAGACGCGCCGATTGCCGGAGCGGGCTCAGGAGGTCTGAAGCGCGCGACGAGCGGGGAGGCCGGGGCTCTCGGGATAGGAGGCGTGAGTAGGCTCAAGGGACCGAGGGGCGCCAGAGGGCCCAAACCGGCTGGAGGAAGAGGTTTGAGTATTGCGGGCATGACGGGTGTGGAGGCGGATGATGCTTCTGCACAGGGATCGCCGAGTGAGTCGAGTCTTGCGGCACGTCTGAGGTGGTGAAGCTGATGGTATAGCTGGATCGGCGTCGGGCAGGACTGGAGGAGCGATGCATCGCTCAAAGGGGAGCGTAAGCGCCATGGCGGCTAGGTTTGAGAAGAATTAGGGGAGTTCATCGGGCTATTTTCGAGGCGATCCTCTGCAAATGGAGCGGTATAAACGAAGGATCTGGGCCAGCCTCAGTGCCGACCAAGGGCTCAATCTAGCTGATACTGGCTGCGCTCCTCGGCCGACACACTAAACGCAGATCGAACCTCCTTTCTAACTTCGACACAATCAGCTGTCGACTCGGACTCCACTCCTTTGTGCTCTCGACTGTCGCTTGTGACTTGATTGCTTATATTACTCCATTCTCCTCTTGACTCGACGCAGTGCGGCTGATCGGCTTATATAAGGGAGACAGGCTTACTGACGTATCATTATCCAATCAACTGTAACCAGTACAACGAAATGACGACGGTCAGCGGACCTCACCTCATGCGATGGGATGAGGTGGCGGACGAGCCGTATCTTGTTCTCCCATCCTTTCCAGATTTACGTCTCACACCCTGGCGTGCTGGAGATGAGGACGACGTGGTGAATGGTATACAAATCCTTGTCCTGTGACTGACCAGATAGCATGCGCTGACCCCTAGATGCGCTTGTTCAACGAACCGGAAGTTGGCATGTTCGCTCATCGACGTCCATACCCGTACGTCCTTATCTATCTAAACCTACCTTCCGTTCTCGCATCAAGGCTGATCAGCAGGTATCTCCGTGAACACCTTCCCTTTTTCTCTGACGTACTCGGACCTTCCTCTCGCAAGACCATTGACAACGTCCTCCGGCCTCTTCTGCACGACACCCCCACTTCCGCTGGTCACATCAACTACAGCGGAGCCCAATGTGCCTTTGACGTCCCGTACTACCCGTGCATCATGCTCAGGCATTACCCCTCGGGCAAATTGATCGGCGATCTCAGACTCTTCCAGGCTGAGGATTCTGCCGGAGGTGATCAAAACGCGGGTTTCGCCGGGCAAGCGCAGCAGACTGCACAACCTAGCGAGCAAGTATGGGAGATTGCCTACAATCTGATGCCGGAGTGGAGAGGGAAGGGGGTGGCTGGTCAAATGCTTGACGTCATCATGGCGGGCTGGGTGGAGTGGTTGGGCATCGGGACCGGGATGGCTGTAAGTTCACCTATTTGGGTATCGATGCAGGCAGGCTTGTTGACGCTGCAGGGTGTTCAGACCGTCAACACCGCATCTGCCGGTCTGTTAGCCTCCAGAGGCTTCACAAAGGGAACGACGTTCATGGAGCCATGGCCCGAAGAGAAAGGAGGCGGAGAGAGGGAGGTCGCGAAATGGACCGTTACGCCGGCAACGTATCGATCGAGGCTAGCGCTCTGAGTACCTACGCGGATACCCTGATCAAATACTGAAAAAGACGAGATGTAAATCAGTGTTCACTCACACAAAGGACAAGGAGCATCCTTTGTCCGCTCAGGAGTCAAGGCGACCATTCAACCCGGTTACTGCTTGCACGTTCTTGCTTTGTCCTTTCTGGTGTCGCTTATCGCGGACGCTGAGTCCAGCTGACCTCTGTACTGCTCGCGTCTGTCCATACATCACGAGAATGACTGACAGCCCGGCCAGGCACAACGACTTGCTGCAGTGGGATGCTATCGCAGATGAGCCGTACCTCGCTTTACTGGGATACCCTGGACTGCGCCTCACACCATGGAGAGGTATGCAGGAGACGGAGGCCGTGCGTGCAATGGTTACTGTCAGACAGTTGCCGTAGCTGATGCATCAGTTGAGATTGTTCAACGATCCCACAGTGACCAAATACTCCTGTCGCCGGCCTTTCCCGTGAGACTCTGTTCCCTGAAAATTGGTTGGCCAAGCTGATTGTCAAGGTATAATCGAGAGCACCTCGAGTATTTCACCGACTTGACCGCGCCCTACTCGCAAGAGACCGTAAATACCATCCTCAGAAGAAGCTCATCTTCTTCGGCCGCTTCTGACTTGCCTCATCCGGCCGAGATGCCCTTCTTCCCGCTGATGGTCATTCGCAATCACGCTACCGGTCAGCTCATCGGTGATGTCCAGCTCTTCCAGCCCGAATCAGACTACTGGGATATGGAGCTGGACCGTTCTCTACGTGTCGTGGTACCTCAGATCGACTCTCCCGAGGAGCAGACCTGGGCGATAAGCTACAATATCCTGCCCGAGTGGCGGAACAAAGGATTGGGAGGGGCAGTGGTGGATGTCGTTGTCGGTGGCTGGGCAAAGTGGGTGGGTTTGGGACAGGTGATGGCTGTAAGTACTTTCTCGTTGCGAGAGCTGTACAGACTCATCTGACGAACTTAGTACATCGAGACTGATAATATTCTATCCTCGAGACTCGCAGCGTCTAGGGGGTTCACGAAGCGCAGGACCTTCATGCAAGCCTGGCCGGAAGGTAAAGGTGGGGGAGAGAGGGAGATGAATGAGTGGGTGGTGTCGGTCGCGAGATATGGACAGCGAAGCGCTGGGGATGGGACCAGCCTAGTCATGTCAAAGCCCTCGCTTGGTTCCCAGCGTTAGGCAAACACAGCTGGTAACCCAAGTCCTCGCTAGCATGGCTCGCAGAAGCGTAAGACTGAAGTTCTGCTAGGGTTCGATACCGAGATGTGAAACTATGTCGTTCTTGGCTAAGCACGGACACGATCTCATGAGTCGTTACCCAGCCTAGGTCAAGCTCGGCTTTCAGCCTTCTTTGCAGCCCGCCACACTCGGCACAGCTCGCCACCCTATCTGAACTCCTCATTCCTCATGCCGTAACGGCCTCGCATGGGCACCTCAAGCCTCAGGGCCTCAGGCCTCGGGAGGGATATTAAGAGTGCTCGGAGTCCTACTCTTGTCCTACACATCGTTCTTGTGCTTGATACTGTCGATTAAAGAGACAAACAATCGTATCCTTCAGGAATGACATCGTACTCTCCTTATCCACCTCGAACGGACCTGATGAGATGGGACAGCGAGGCAGACGAGCCTTACATGTCCGTGCCGACGCTGCCGGATATTCGCATGACGCCGTGGCGCGAGAGTGATGCAGAGCAAGCGGTGAGTCTCTATAACAGGGACGATACTTGAGCCGACGGTATGTGGGTGAAGCTCTACAACGAGCCGAGCATAGGGGAATGGGCGTTCAGGCGACCTTATCCGTAAGTCAGATACTCAGCTAGGCCGCGCATCGGGTCCGACGCATGGCTGCGTATTGTCTGGTAGCATGCACCAGCTTGATCCGAGCTGATACCTCAAGGTATACGCCGGAGAGCCTGTCATTCATCCGTGACACTCTCGGATCTGCTTGCAAGGACACTATCAACACTATCCTTCGGCCTCTTCTCCGCGCTCCAGCGAGCCCCACACACCCCCTCGCTCCCCTTCCTGCCTCGACACCAGTACCGCTCTTCCCCTTCATCATCATCCGGCATCACCCCTCGGGACGTATGATTGGCGATGTCCAGATCTTTCAGCCCGTGCATCCCGATATACCCGCCGACGAGGTGAAAGCCTCGTTCGCGGGGAGGCGCTCGCAGGTGGTTTCACCCGCCGATCAGACTTGGGAAGTTGGATATAACTTATCGCCAGAATGGACGGGCCAGGGGATCGCAGGCAAGGCGGTTGACTGTCTGATTGAAGGATGGATGCAGTGGGTCGGGATCGGGACGTTGATGGTTGTGAGTCAATTCCGCGGACAGGACTTCGGACAAGTGCTGATAGTGCAGGGTGCTCAAGTCGCCAATACCAACTCTACCGGTCTCATCAAGTCCAGAGGCTTCGTTCATACCGAAACCTTCATGGAGGCATGGCCGAAAGATAAGGGAGGCGGAGAGCGCGAGATGGCGCACTACGAGCTGGACCTCTCGAGACACAAGCCGAGGCTTCCTCCGCTCTGAGAGGTGCAGTATGGTCTGCGACGAGATGTTTGCTGGTGTGAGTCTCTCTCCAGGCTCAGAGGCTTTGGTTGGCGAAAAGAAAGGGCCGCAGGCTTGGGGAAAGCTGATCCTCGAGGTGGCCGACGTCGCGAGCAGCTACTCTTTGGGTTTGAGTCATACCCGATGGATACCTGCGGCTGTGTGTGCCAAGCCGCGTACGAAGGCGGGAAGCATGGGGAGACTCAGTGGGTGCTGATCTGTATGCGGCATGTCATAATTGTCGCTGTGGTCGGGGATACAATAGACCCATTCGCACATGTAATTTATCCTCCACGTCCAGACTGATCTTTCGCCTTCATTCGCCATACAACCTACGAGCACCTACTGCACTATACTGCAAGGTTCTTCTTGATACGGGCCCAGCTGCTGCAGATCCCAGAAAGCTTCCCATAAACAAGACCCATGCGGTACCTTCGAAGCTTCGGGTTTGCCCGGACCCGACGCCGACGGCGATGTTTTCGAGTCACCACATTGAACAGGCTATACTTATATCTTTGACATCACATCTCCCTCTCCATGAAAGTCTTATCACTCTCACGCACTCACAAATCTCACAGCATCAATTAGATATCATGACGATCTCAAAATCCCTTCCACCCCGAACGGACCTGATGAGGTGGGATGAGGAAGCGGATGAGCCGTATATTCTCCTTCCATCTCATCCGGACTTGCGGTTGACGCCATGGCGCGAGACTGATGTAGATGATGCTGTGAGCTGTGCTGTTAGGCTACAAAACCAGAAAGTATGAGCAGCGGTTGACGGGACAGATGAAGCTGTACAATGACCCGAGTATCGCCAAATACTCATTTCGGCGCCCGTACCCGTACGTCACGCTCTATCTTGTGCTCCCAATTCTAGACCACACACGACTGGGGATCAGTAGTCAACTACTCAGACGGTATAAAGCAACACAGCTGAACTCTGCAGATATCGAAAAGAGGACTTTGGCTTCCTACGCAATGTAGTCCTCCCCCCGGCGACCGAAACCATATCCACCGTCCTCCGGCCTCTGCTCGCACCGCCCGCTCAACCCACACATCCGCTCCCCTCCCCATCCTCGGACTCCCCACTGCCCTTCTTCCCATTTATCATTATCCGGCATCACCCCTCCGGACGGATGATCGGGGACATGGCGATCTTCCAGCCGATGCGCTCGGACGTGTCCGCGGCGGACGCCAAAGCTGCCTTTGGAGGCAAGGCAAAGACCTCACAGACCGCAGCGGAGCAGACGTGGGAGATGGCGTATAACCTCATGCCTGAGTGGACGGGCAAGGGGATCGGAGGGAGAGTATTGGATTGCGTGCTTGAAGTATGGGTAAAGTGGGTGGGGATAGGGACGATGATGGCTGTGAGTCATCCGGGAGTGAGACTTGCGAGTGTCAATGTATGAGCGTTGTGCTGACTCGCCAGGGCGCCGAGACGGCCAATGTCAACTCGTCCGCACTTGTCAAGTCGCGTGGCTTCGTCAAGGTCAGGACCTTCATCCAGGAATGGCCGGAAGATAAGGGAGGAGGGGAAAGGGAGATCTCGCATTGGGAGCTCAAAATGGCGGATCATATCTCACGGTTGGGGCCTGCCAAGTCATAGCCCTGGTGGGAGGAGTGACTCCCTGCTGTATGCCTGTCTTGAGTCACAACTTGCACATGCACAGAGATAAGGGGCTCTGCGATAGACACTTAGAGCCGGGTATGGTTGATGCCACAGCATCCTCATCCGATGGCGATGGTCGATATCGCTCCCTTCCCGTATTCGACCTCAGAATCTCGGGTCTTTCTCTATGACTAAGCCGTTCAGTACTAGGCTCCCACACCTCCCTCATAGCGGTGCCATGTGTAGCCCTTCGGCCGACTAGGAGACCAAGGCAGAGAGCGAAACAAGCGCGAAGCCCCGCATGAATCCCCGCGCCCAGACTATCTCCCTCCCATCTTCTTCGGATGTGCAGCAGACCAGATGGAATGGTGATGCTTGGCATGCCAGAAGTTGGGCCAGAATCACATTCGGCCGCGATGCCCAAGAAATGTGAGCGGGCACATACTACAATGTCGAACGGCTTGATCACACCAAGAACGGCTGAACGGTTTCGGCCGCACGATGTACTCGTGTCCTCATTGCGGACTTGGCATGCGGGCCGAGCCTCATCCTCACGACGTACTGAGCTTCACCGGAGCTTTAGATGAGGTGTGCCGAGTGTCGTGATGGATCTTATCCAACATTGCGCTAATCAGATAAGATATCGGCCGATATCGGTTGCTTGGGTATGAAGCGCCAAGCCATTGATAGCGGCCGACCTGCAGGACTGGATGGACTCTTCTTGTACTCACTAGAAAGGTATAAAGAGCAAGGCAACGCCGGTCGATCTGCTACCCATCCTATCACGGGATACCATCAACCGGACCAGAAACATCCGAACCGTCACAAATATGCTCTTCGCTATTGGCCTTGTTGTTCTCGCTGTGCCGTTCGTGCTGGCTCAGTCAGGCGGATTCACCCAAGCTGTCTGTGAGTGCACCACCTACTCACCTCTACGGTCTAAGGAAAATGTCTGATATCCCCAGCCAAGCTGTCCTATCCTGTAAGTCTCCCTTGCCGCCTCTACCCCTCCCCTTCCTCGTCTTCGCCAGCTGACTCACCCAGCCCTCGCGCGGCTCCGACCCCCTCGTCTCCTCCATCGGCCCCTGCCAGGCCTACGCCCTCGGCGGCCGAGTCCCCTACCCGCTCTCCGGCGGCCGCATCTCCTGGTCCAACATCCGCGACCTCAAAGCCGTCCAGATCGCCTACTCCACCTCTAGCGACCCCTCCGCCCAGAGCGACTTTATCGGTGTAGGCCAGAACCTCAGTATCTCGTATGTCGGGACGCAGTGCGTGGCCGGTCCGGACTTTGCGGGGCTGGGCATGAAGGTAGGAGATGAGGTTACCGTGCAGCTGGGTTGGCAGGCCGGTCCGAGGTCTAGTCCGGGATTTGAGGTGAGTACCGCGAGGGAGTTGGGTGTCATCAGACACCAGCTGATGGTCAGTGCGCCGACCTCACGCTCGTCTCCAACGACGAATACGCAGCCGGCAACTGGACGGTCCCATGCACCAACACAATCCTCACCACGCAAATCCGAGGTGGCGCCAACCCCCAGCTCGCCGCTCTCAAAGAAGCCGAAGCTGCGTCGAACTCCAACTCCAACTCCACCTCTACCTCGGGAGGCGGGTCGGGTCTGACCGTGACCGAGGCGGGCGTCGTAGGCGCTATGGTCTCCCTCGTGACTGTACTATTGGCGCTGGGCGTGTTGGCTCTGGCGGGGGTGGTCGGTTTTGGGAAGCGGGCCAAGCGGGCCCGGGCTGGAGCTGGGCGGGACCACGTTGTTCGGGACGATATGGTGAGTTCTGTGGTCAATGTTGGCTGATGGGTAGACGGAGAAGTCGGTTGGGTCTGCTTAGGGTTAAAAGCCGGGGCTTGAAGTGCAGCGGCAGCAGTAATGGAACACGGAGTATCGTGGTCAACATCAGATCAGTGTCTTCAAGAGCGTGCGGTATGCAAAAGCTGCCAGTCGTATCGTCTCAACTCTCGTTCAGCATTTGTTCAAACCTGCTTCACCTATTTCGAGTCTGAGAACGATGATTAGTAATGGCGAGTCAGCACCGTGAGGCTAGACAAAATCGCCAAATGCATCCCAATCCAATCCAAATATCCCCTACTCATGCTTACTCTAAGCTGCGACCCCCCTTCGTTGCCCCACCCCCGTCCCCAAACCCGAATTGAATCCTCCCCTGCCCCTTCCTCTCCCTCCTCGCCCTCCACCTCCTCTCCCACCCCGTCTCTCTGTCCGTCCGCGCCCTCCACCCTCTCCTCCGCGCTCTCCGCCCTCCTTCCCACCCTGTCCCCCACCCTGCTGATTACCCAGTTTCTGATCCAGGACCTTTTCATTATTCTCCACCATACCCGCCACGCGCTCCGCGAGCTGTTGGGCCAGACGCTGCACCTCGGTTGTCTCGGTGCGGTGGAACATGACGACGGCGTCGATCGAGTCTAGCGAGGCCGAGAGCTCTTCATTGTAGATCATGCGCGAGATGAGCGATTTGAGGGTGGGAACGGGGAGGGAGAAGGTCGAGGAGAGGTGGGAGAGGGAGAGGGAGGCGTAGTGCGTCGAGTAGGTAAGGAGGTAGGTCCGTAGGGCTTCTTCTTGGATTTTACTGCAAGTCAGCCAAATCCCTAACGTATAAGATAAAGACATACCGGCCAAGCATAGCCTTAACCTCTTCCGCACCATCCAGTAACGTCCAGACCTTGATGCCCTCAATCAATTCCTTGGCCTTTTCCCAATCACCCGCCATGATCGCCTTGGACGCCTTGACGACGTGATCCCTCGTATTTTCCGGTGGACCCATAAACGCCTGTTTATCCGCCATGTCCAATAACCGCTTGAACTGCTTGCTCGTCACCCGTCGGCGCTGCTCGTCCGTCTCGGCCGCAGCAAGGAGCGGGACTTCGATGAGCATGCACGAAGTCAAATACGCCGCCTCGAGCAACTCGAGATTCAAGTGTAGGTGGAAAGGGAGTAACCGCCTCTTTTCGACCAGTTCCTGCTCCGGCGTGATTTGGTTCCCATACCGCTGAATCGCTTGCGCCAGCAATTCCTTCTGCCGCTGACTCGAGAACATGTCGGCGAGGATGACTTGTGCTTCCGGAATGTAGCCAGACCGGAACGCGGCGAGACCGAGCTGCATGACGGCGCGGTTGTACAGGATCTGGGTGGTGACGTCGGCGTGCGAGATGGTGTCCTGGAGATGAGACATGAGGAGGAGGTCCCGAGCCTGGTGGTACCGCCCGTGCATCCCGTGGTTGAAGATGTGGCACAGGATGGCGCGGGCACGGAGGAGGGGTGCGTCGGAATTGTAGATGTAGACGCAGAGGAGGCGGATGAGTTGCGAGGGGGAAGTCGAGGCAGTGAAGGGGGTGATGGAGGAAGTGAGGTTTTCGAGGGTAGGGGCGGCAACGCGGCCAAAGTGTTCAATGACCACGTCGGGCTGCAAGTCAGCTGTGGTTTGAACAGAGATCCGGATACCATAGCTTACCTTGGCGTAGAGGTGCTCCACGCGGCGCATGACGGCCCGAGCAGTCTGATCCGCGAGGTTATCCCGCTCAAACAATGCCTGCGCCTTGGTGATCGTCGCATAGAGCGGCGCCTCCTCCCTCAGCCTCTCGATATAGTCCGAGCTCTTCTCGTGTGCGTCGGTATGTTGCAGCGTCTTGGTGAACTACCACGTCAGCATCTCCTCCTTTCGTCTTCAAATCGAAACTCACCTCGTTATCGATATTCTCGACGAGACTGATCAAGTTCCCGGCAATCTCAACCTTGACCAACTTCCCATCCTTCTCCTCCGGCTCCCTTTCCACCATATCATCATACTCCGCCACCGTCTCCTGCACGACATATCCGGGCTCTTTCAGGAGCAGCGAAAGAAGCAGATCCAGCTCCTTCAGGCCGGCAACCCAGGACTCGTGCGGAATAGAAGGGAGGGCCTGGGAGTAGTCGAGACGCGCTGGAACCAGAGCGAGGAGGACGCGGATACGCTGGTAGGTCGTTTCGGTGACTTCGTAGAGTTTCGAAAGGATCCGAATGGTTTCTCCACGGTCGGTGTTCTGAATATCAGCTACTGTCGAGGTCCACAATCTTTTAGACCTAGACTGACCTTCTTTCCGCGCGACTCGAATACCTCGCGAAGCGTCTTGAAGGTCCCTTCAGCAGTCAAGTTGAGCGCCCGACCCCCTTTGCCGATAGTCTGGAAATCCCCATCGTCGCCTGCTGCGGCCGCACCGGTAGGATCCTTCTTCTTGGGTGCTTTAGCGACAACGGGCGCGGCGTTGGCCTTGTCGTAGGCGGCAGAGTAAGCCTCGGGGTCCTGTATATCAGCTGAGTCCCCTCTCTTCTCTCCTTCTCATCTCTCCGATCCAAATCACCTCGTTGTAAGTCTTCAGCAACAGCTCAAACTCCTTTGCCTTCTTCTTCAGTGCCTGCCGCATCGAGCTAACCGCCTTGCTCTTCCCAGCTGCCATCTTCTTGGTCGCATTCTTTTCCGAGGCGAGTACCGAGGTGATGCCCTGTTCGAGCTCGACGAGGGTCTGGAGGAAGGCGGGGGGATGTGGCCGGAGGGTGGGATGGGGGAGGCGGCCATGGATGTTTGATGACGGGTGATGAAGCGGAGGAGCTTGTCGAATTCTGAATGTCAGCAAGGATTAACGAGTAGTAGCTAGGGCCAGCATGAGCTCTGAAGGAGCAAACTCACCAGAAGAGGCTAACACCCAGTCGTTCGCCGCACCCTCGAGCTTGGTCGCATTTTGAATAGCCTTGATAGCCATGTCCATCTCGACGAACCGCTTGTCCTTGGCGGACAGGACGACGGTTTTGTCTTCATCCTCGGATTCGTCGTCGGACGAGTCGGCGCCTTTCAAGAACTTGTTTTGGAGTTTCTGCAGGTCAGCAGGAAGTCAAGCAAAGCGATGAAGATGAGGAAGGGACGGAGTAGAATCGGTGGGAAGGAGGGTGGACCGGCCACAGGTTGGGATTCTTCCCAACCTGCTTATATGCGATCAACGCTGAGAAAGCCCCACACCCATCTTCCTCTATTCTCTCCTGCTCATTCATACTATCCCGCCTTTACCACCCCTCCCATCCCCCTCACCGAATCTCCTATCCTTAACCAACCCATACCAACTCACCTTCCTGCCTGCATCACTATCCGCCCCCTCATCCTCACTATCCTCATCACTATCCTCGTCGTCGTCATCCTCACTATCACTCTCATCATCCCCACTTCCTCTCTCAAACATCCCCTTCTTCCCCTTGCCCAACTTCAACTTTAAATCCTGATCCTCTCCCTCATCTCCGGACAGGATAGACTCTTCCGACTCGGATCCCGAGTCCGAGTCCGAGTCGCTGCCTAGCTTGGCGAAGAATGACATTGTCGGTAAGTCGGTAAGCGTTGTAGCTGTATGGTCCCTGTAGCTATAGCAGTAGCTGTGTAGGGGTACCTTTTGAGTGTATAGGACTAGACAAAGGTGGCTTGGACGCGAAGCAAGCTCGCCCGCCTCGAAATTAATTGCCGACCAATGCCGCGTGGCAACTCAATGTGGCACAACGGGAGCAATTTTGGCTCAAGCTTATATGTGGGTGTGGCATTCCTCGTTATTCGCCACCCTACGCTCCGCTCGACTACACATGGCTCTGCTCTAGTTGCTAGTATTTCTATCCCGTGCACATCTGCCTAGCTCCAGGGACGACCTGACCATTCGCTCCAATCACATCTCCGCAGATCAACCTCACACCGTGGAAATCGCCACATGGGTGGGCATTGGTGTCAGACAAGCTGGCAAGGTCGTAGACAAAATCGCCTAGATCGCCATTGTAGTCATAGGCGTCAAGGTGGCACTGTGTGCGTGGTCAGCCTCTGAAGGTTCTCAGACACAGAAAGCGGTTCACTCACGTCAACGATCATCTCGTCCGAAGTGTGCCTGAAGGAAGCGTTTCCTGACTCCCACGACGGATTCGCGGCATCACTTTCAGTGCCGACGAGGACGTAGTCGTGACGGTTGGATGTCGACATGAGCAGCCAGGTGTGACCATCACCGGCGGCGCCCATTCCCAGTGCTGGGACATGGGTGCGGAGTCTAACGTACATGGCTGCTACCAGTCCCGGAGCGACAAGCGCAACCGAAACGGCGAGGGGGATGAGGCGCATTTTGGGAGTATATAAGGTGGGTTTATTTCTTTGTTGATAGGGTCAGAAATACTCGTGTGGATTGTGGAGGGGATTGCTCTTGACGACCTTTTGAAGTGCGTCTTATATCACCAGTGGTACAAAGGAGCCTGACGTACTGAGATCTCTTTTACATCTCCTTTAAATTTGTCCCTCTCGGATACCACGTGCCCCTAAGCATGTCCAGGGGAGAGTGACTGATTACATCAAAGGAGACTCGATCACACGTAGCCTTGAGAGCGGAGATTGCTCTTCCCCTGGTTCGCTGGAAAGTATTCGGGACAAAGCAGGCCCGCGTTATGAGTGGTATCCCCTGAGATCGCCCGGGGCACGTTACGGATTGGTTATATGGATCGATTACCTGGATCGACCCATTAACGGGCATGCTCAGGTCACTGCCTGTCATCAGCCACCTGACACACAGGAGGGGGCAGCGCAATCCGCCTTGGCTTGAAGGAGTACCCCGCGCTGTGCAAGCCCCCTTCAAGCGCCAGCTTATCACGATCCACTGTTGTCTCCTCGGCTTTTTTGGCCATCAACCTATCTTGTTCGCTCCTGCTTGGCTGTGGCACTCTCACACTGCCACCTTAGCTGACGCAGCTTGCGCTCGCCTCACCGCCGCGTGCACCGAAGTAATGGACATTTGCCACCCAGCCACGTGGGACCATTACGTCACGTCCACCCAAACCGCGCGCGAGACGCGTCGAATCAAAATCAACAAACCAAGCGCGACTTCCTTCAATACCTACCCCTCTTCTGCTACATCCACCTACTATGCCGCCCAGGCGTACATCGCGCGCAGTATCAGGCGCCTCGGCTGCTCCTCCACCATCAGCTGCATCTAGTCGGGCCCCTCGACCGAGCCGAGCTCGGAAAGCATCGATAGCGCCAACCGTGGATGACCAGGACGGGGAGGATAGGTTCCCCGGTGACTCTGACGATGCGGAGGAGGAAGAGGTCGTCGTCAAGCCAAAGTCGAAGCGGGCCGCTCCGGTATCGAAGCCCAAGGCGAAGACTGGGCGGGCGGCCAAGCGGATAGTCTCGGACGAGGAGGACGAAGCGCCAGAACCGCCAGCGGAAGAAGAGGAAGAAGAGGTGGTCAAGCCGGTATCAAAGCGAGCTGCTCCTACTTCCAAAGGCAAGGCGCCGGCGTCGACAGGCAAAGCACCAGCTGTACCTGCCAAGCGCAAGAGCGCCAGGATATCCATGGCGAGCGCAGCGGAGGAGTCTAGCGTTGCGGATGAGGATGAAGCGGGGGAGGCGGGGGAGAAGCCGCGCTCGAGAAAGGTTTCGAGTGGGCGGGCGAGGAAGGTTGTGAAGCAGGAGCCGGTGGAGGCTGTAAAGGAGGATGAGAGTGCTGTGGAGAGCATGACGGAGGAGGATCCGGCTGAGGCGGCTGCAGAGGCACCAGAAGCTCCAGTGGAGGCGGAAGAGGATGAGGTGGAAGCTCCTCCCTCGGCGCAACCGGTTCCCGTCCCCGCTATTACCACGGAAGACTCCGACGAAGAGTCAGACTACGAGGAAGCGGACGTCACTGTCCGTCTCGACTCCGCCCTAAATATCTCCGGTACCAACCCCCTCGCTCCACCCGCTACACCCCGGCTCATCCCCCCTTCTCCCTTCGGCTTCGGCGGCGGCATGAACGACAAGACTCCCACCGGTCCATCCGGCGCGGGCGGTCTCGGCGGTCCCAGCAGTCACTCCTTCTCCCGGGGATATACCGTCCCTCCCTCCCCTTCCCCGGCTGCCGCACCACCACCCCCACCCGGCCCTAAACCCCGTCTCACCATCCACAAAATCGTCCTCATCAACTTCAAATCCTATGCCGGCCGGCAGGAAATCGGGCCGTTCCATAAATCCTTCTCGGCGATTGTGGGTCCGAATGGGTCCGGCAAGTCCAACACGATCGACGCGCTGTTATTTGTGTTTGGGTATAGGGCGAGCAAGATGAGGCAGGGGAAACTGAGCGAGTTGATACACAACTCGGCGGGCAAGGAGGGGTTGGAGAGCTGTAGTGTGGAAGTGTGGTTCAGGGAGATTGTCGACCTGGTTAGTTGCCGGCTTTTCCACCTTGCCGTGCGAGACAACCCAGCTGACACTCTAGCCTGGAGTGGACAACTTCCTGCTCGTCCCGAACTCTCAGCTGGTCGTGAACCGCACGGCGTACCGCAACAACTCTTCGAAGTACACCATCAATGAGCGGACCTCTACCTTCACAGAGGTCACCACACTTCTCAAAGCCAAGGGCATCGATCTGGACCATAATCGATTCCTCATTCTCCAGGTCAGCTCCGAACTCTCTCTTTGATGTCGGGGGAGAACCCAGCTGATACTCCAGGGCGAAGTCGAGTCTATCGCACTGATGAAGCCCAAAGCGGGGAATGAGCACGAGGACGGGCTGCTGGAATACCTCGAAGACATTATCGGGACCACCAAGTACAAGGTGCCCATCGAAGAGGCGGAGCAGGAGGTGGAGAAGCTCAACGAGGATCGGTTGGAGAAGTTCAGTAGGCTGAAGGTTGTTGAGCGGGAGCGGGCTGCTTTGGAGGTGAGTTGTCCGATCCCTTCAGGCTCTGGGGAGGGCCAAGAGGAGTTAGCTGATTCTTTAGGATAAGAAGACCGAGGCGGAAGACTACCTCCGAGACTCGAACGAGCTGGTCAGGAAGAAATCGCTCTTGTGGCAGTATCACATGAACACCTTGACCCACAATGTGGAGATCACAACCAAGGCTATCGTACGTCCTCTTATCTCTTCTCTTTGACTGGTGTAGAGGTCAAGCTGACACTTCAGGACTCACTTACCGCCGAACTCACCGACGAGCAAGATCGGAACGCCCACCACCTTGCCGAAATCTCTTCGTTGCAGCAAGCGTACGACGACAAGCTCGCGGCATTTGAAGAGGTCAAGAAGTTTACGGAGAAGCTGGTCAAGGACTCCAAGAAGTTTGAGAAGGAGGAAGTGGGGTTGTTGGAACGGAAGAAACATCTCGGGACGAGGGTGAAGAAGGTCAAAAAGAGCTTGACTGATGTGAGTTCTGCTTCTTTCACTTGAGTGGCTGCCCCTTCCGCGTTCTGCAACCTTGCACTGCTCCATCTTCCGTCGTCCTCCCTCCTCAATCCCCAACACTGTTCCTCATTGGCTCTAAGCAGTAGCTTACACAGGCGAGGATAGCGGTCTGGCGCAATAAGTAGGAATGAGCTGATGAGCAGGACGGTCATGCTCGGAATGAGGCGCTCGGTACGATCGAGAATTGCGCGTCGGAGCTCGAGAAGAACCGCATCAAAGTAGCCGACCTGGAAGCCAAGCTCGTCACTGAAGAAGCGGAGCTCGAGGAGATCCGGGATAGTCTCAAGGGTACGTTCACAGCTGCTGTCCTTTGGAGGTCATGAGGTAGAGCTGATCCACTAGGCAAGACCGACCACTTTACAACTCAGATTGAAGCCAAACAGCGCGAACTCGAACCCTGGACTGCCAAGATCAGCGAGAAGCAGTCGGCCATCGACGTAGCGACGTCGGAGCGGGATCTGCTGGCGCAAAAGGCTGAAGGGGTTGTTAGTGCTTTAGCGGAAGCCAAGGCGAATTTGGATTTGGTAAAGAAGGGAGATGAGGGGAAGAGGGGGGAGTATGAGGGGTTGAAGGTGGAGAAGGGGAAGGTTGTTGCGGAGCTGAAGGAGAAGGAGAAGAGTTTGGAGGTGAGTCCGGCTTCGAGCACGGAGATGGAACGTGCTGATATGATAGGGCATGGCTGCTAAGGGCGAAGACCTCCGCAACAGAGTGTCAAGCTCTAGATCCAAGACGGACGACGCGAAGGCATCGCTTCAGGCGGACAAGTCGGAGAATGCTGTCTTGAGCAGCTTGAACAAGCTCAAAGCGCAAGGACGGATCAAGGGGTTCCACGTGAGCTACACATTCCTGCATCAGGAATTAGCTGACAGTCAGGGCCGACTTGGAGACCTCGGTGTCATTGACGACAAGTACGACGTCGCTGTCACTACTGCCTGTTCCGCTCTCAACAACCTCGTTGTCGATACGGTCGAGCAGGGCCAGGCCTGCATCGAGCACCTCCGCAAAGGCAACGTCGGCCGAGCGAGCTTCATGGTCCTCGAGAAACTTCCCCCTCGCGATCTGAACGCTATCGAGACGCCCGAGAACGTTCCTCGTCTCTTCGACCTCATTCGGCCGAAAGACCCCCGCTTTGCTCCTGCCTTCTACAAAGGCCTCTTCAATACCCTCGTTGCGGATGACCTAGCTCAAGCGCAGCGGATCGGGTACGGCAAGAAACGATGGCGCGTTGTCACGCTCGCGGGGCAGCTTATCGACCCGTCGGGGACGATGAGCGGAGGCGGGACGAGGGTGAGCCGAGGAGGTATGAGCTCCAAGTTCACGGCGAACAGGGTGGAGCCGGAGGTGGTGGCGCGTCTGGAGCGAGAATTGGGCGATGCAGAGAGGGAACTGGCGGCGTTCCAGGCGGAACGAAAGGTGCTTGAGAGCGAGGTGGCCAAGCTGAGAAAGAGGGTGCCGGAGATTGAGATGCAGATGGAGAAGGCCGAGTTGGACGTCAAGACGGGTGAAAAGAGGATTGCGGAGGCAGAGAAGCGGCTCGCCGAGTTACAGTACGTCTCCAGTGTGGTCAATGCTGATAAGCAGGAGCCAGAGCAAGCCTGACGCAGCGGACGAAAAGCGTATTGCCTCCCTATCTTCGGAGATCGCCTCTCTGATCAAAGAGACCGACAAGCTCCGTGTCCAATCCTCGTCCATCTCGTCCGAGATCAAATCTCTCCAAGAAAAGATCCTCGAAGCGGGAGGTGTCAAACTCCGGGCTATCCAGTCTCGCGTCGCTACTACCAAAGGCCTTCTCGACCTTGCTTCTGAGGCCATTACCAAAGCGGAAGTGGCCCAGGCCAAGTCGGAGCGGGATGCGGACAAACTCGGCAAGGCGCTCGAGAGAAACAAAACGGCGCTAGAGGAGGTGGAGGCCGAGTTGCAGGCGCTACAGGGGGAGCTGGATGCTGTGCAGAGTGATCTGGGGGTTATTAGGGGGAAGGTGCAGGAGGCGAGTGATGCGGTCGTGGATGTCCAAGAGGGGTTGGGGGAGAGTAAGAAGGAGTTGGATGAGAAGACGGACGATATCAATGCGTTCAGGAAGTTGGAGGTGAGTTGAAGTGTCCACTTAGGGGGGAATCGGCTGATATGGTAGATGGATATCAAGCAGAAGATTGAGGATAATCAAAAGATCCAGAAGGATAGTCGAGGGAAGCATGAGCATTGGCGTAAGCGGCACGATGAGCTCGAGCTGCAGTATATCGAGTAAGTACAGCTGGTATTCAGGCGTGATAGCCGATAGCTGATAGGATTAGCGAGGATGACGAGGACGACGAGGAAGAGGCGGAGGGCGGAGAGGCTCCCAAACCAGCAGACGATGCTCCGATGGACGCCGCGCCAGCACAAGGGGCAGACGGGAATGCAGACCCAGAAGAAGGCGAGGAGGCTTCAGCTCCGGTCGGAAAGCCAAAACGGAAGCGCCGAAAGGCAGAGACATTCGAGCTGGTCGAGTACTCGCCGGACGAGCTGGCGACTGTGGACAAGGAGCTGCTCAACGCAGAGATCACTCAGCTGGAAGGTAGGCTTTGTCATGCTTTTGTGCCTCTGTGAAATGAAGGTGGGCCTGAAGCTAACACTCCACAGAGGAAATCGGCAAAGCCAGACCCAATATGACCGTCCTGGAAGAGTACCGCAAACGAGACGCCGAGTTCCTCAGCCGCGCTCAAGATCACGACAATGTCATTGCAGCGAGGGACGCTGCCAAGGCTCGATGTGAAGACTTGACCGCACAGCGCATGACGGAGTTCATGGCTGGTTTCACTGCGATCTCGACCAAGCTGAAGGAGATGTATCAGGTGAGTCTGGCCAGACCGGAGTAGGGGCATCGGCTGACATGGGCAGATGATCACGATGGGTGGGAATGCGGAGATTGAGTGTATTGACAATAGCAATCCGTTTTCTGAAGGTCAGTTGCCACGTTCCTGTTCAGCGGATCGGACCAAGCTGATACGCTAGGTGTGGTATTATCAATCATGCCTCCCAAGAAGAGCTGGCGGCAGATTGCCAATCTCTCCGGTGGAGAAAAGGTCAGTTGACGTGTGCTGGTAAGCCGGCAGGATGAGCTGACGGGGTAGACACTCGCCTCACTCGCCCTGGTGTTTGCGCTGCACGTCTTCAAGCCGACACCGCTATACTTCATGGACGAAATCGATGCGGCATTAGACTTCAAGAACGTGTCTATCGTCGCCAACTACATTCAGCAGAAGACTCAGGCTGCGCAATTGTGAGCTTCCTCTCCCTTACCCAAGGCAAAGCGGGAGTAAGCTGACCCTGCAGTATTGTCATCTCTCTCCGAAACGACATGTTTGAGCTCGCACACCGTCTGGTTGGGATCTACAAGACTAGCAATTGTACCAAGTCCATCGCTATCGACAACAAAGATCTGCGGACACAGGCGGTTCCTCGTCGACTCGGTCCTGCTGGACGGTCACCTACGAAAGGCGGTTCGCAGAGTCAGCGAAACGGAAGTCCAGAGAGAAGAGGGAGCGTTGTGCCCGGCACGCCTAGACCTGGGATGGGAATGACACCTGGGCCGAGTCAAGGGCTGGGTGCAGGCTTGGGACAAGGGCTGATGGTGCCGAGTACGCCGAGACCGGGGTCGGTCGTGCCCAGTACGCCAGGGACAGTGAGAGGTTAGGCAGGATCAAGGGACATTTGGGATCTCGGGGTATTTCATCTTGCTGCGTTCATCTGTTGTATCATATGGACTGGTGTTAGAGGTCTGGAGATGGTGCATGCGGTAGCCAAGATTATATCCAATTCCGAGGGTTCCGAAGCACTTCCTGCAGTTCCCCCTCCGGTGTCCCTTCTGCGCCCATCTGGGTCATGTACTCCCACCTCGCAATCTCGGGCAGACTATCCATCAGCTTGCACGCTGCCGCGCTGAATGACTCACCTCATGAGGATACTCTCTATTCTCGCTCCGGGGGTCATTAACCCAAACTTTGTCCCTCTGTCATACACCAGGTTGAACTCGACATACCGCCCTCTCCTCAGCAGCTGCCACCTCCGCTCCTCTTCCGTCCACTCTCGATCTTTATTTCTCAACACGATGGGAACATACGACGGCAAGAAGCTCGACGAGACGTCCTTGACGAAGCTGAACAGCTCTTCCTGGCTCGGTCCCTCCGGCCCCGGACTCGCCTTCCGCCCCTTGTTGATCTCCGACGACGTCGTCAGATCATCAAAGAAGATCCCGCCCACCCCCCTCGACTCCTTCCGGTGCGGAATGTAGAAGTATCGGTCACACCACCCCTTGAACTCCTTCCAGTACCCGCCGGACCCGTCGTGCTTGTCACACGCAGCCTTGATGGTGCTGTGGAAATGCCGCACGTCGTCCGGTACAAGGTATGACGGCGTGAGATCCGTCCCGCCGCCAAACCACCATGCGGCCGGCGGCTCGCCCGGACCAGGCTTGTCGGGGTTCTCGAGCTCAAAGTAGCGGTAGTTGAGGTGGACGGTGGGGACGTGGGGATTGCGCGGGTGGAGGACGATAGAGATGCCGGTAGCGAAGAAGGGGACGGGTGTCTCACGAACGGGCAGCGAGGCGTGGTCTGCCCGCATTTGCTTTTGGGCGCCAGGCGGGAGTTTGCCGTGGACGATAGAGACGTTGACGCCGGCCTTTTCAAAGACTCGGCCGCCGGTGAGGACGCAGGAAGAGCCTTCGCCCCCTTCGGGCCGGAGCCAGTGGTCTCGGAGGAATTTGGGAGAGGGCGTATCGGCGGAGCTAGGATGAGAAGCCTCGATGCACTCGAGGGTGGTGACGATGTGGTCTTGGAGTGCCTTGACCCATAAGGCCATCCGGATACGCATGGGGTTCTACCGGTCAGCCCAGGCCGCCAAAGGTGGACGTACATTTGGGTCATCCTGCTCGTACGCTTCTGCCGGTTCCCATTGCTTGCCGCCCTGATCCACCATCGGCATCGCGGGTGCACCATCGCACTTGAGCTCCTCCTGGCGGTCAGCATAGCCCCGGATGCTTGGAGATGACCTACGTTCTGGGTGGTTCCAGTATACCGCCTCGTCATTGTCAATATCAGTCCAGCCGCAAAGCCAGCAGCGGCCATGCCGACTAGCGGACTCATCGGCTTCCTAGGCGGAGGAGGCGGTACAGAGGCATAAGTCCGAGCTGCTTGTCTCAGCTTGCGATCCTCGGGTATGCCTCTCCTTGTTCGGCTCCCTCCTCCTAGACGATCCTCTTCCTATCTCCCTCCTCTACCCTATCTCCCTCATCTGTCGAGCGCAGTCAAGCTAGAGCGGAACAGCAGGCAGGTGAGAAGCCAGGCTGACAGCCCCGACCATGCGACATAAGAGTCTTTGTGGAGGATAGCTCGCCAGACCCACCTGTAATCCGGGAGGCGCTATTGAGGGGTAAGCGACCCGAGCTCGACCCTACTCGCAGAGCAGTTCGAGCGCTGCGGATACTGGACATCCTACTCGTTCTGCCGCTCTCTAGGCCTTGTCTGATAGAGGGGGAGATGGATCGCGAAGATGATGTATGGTCGAGCAAATTCTGAAACTCAAGGTTCCAAGTGACCAAGTTTCGGATCGGACAGCCGATAAGATCCAGCAACTATACATCTACCATCTACAGCTCTACAGCGATAGCTAAGGATCAGCTCATCAGCCCCGACCAAAGATGTCCTTATCGATGCTAAAAGCAGTACGGCGGACGGCCGCCACTCAACTGGAAAGTGTCGGAGCTCTGGCTGGACCGTCTACTCGGCACAGGTGTAATCGGACCTTCTCGCAATCCGCCTCCAGACAGGCAGCCCAAGACGGAGAGCCAGGAGGAAGCAGCCAGTCAAGCGCGCAGTTCGGTGCTGTACCGGACGCAATAGCAAAAGCTCGAGGATCCTCGTCTTCTCGTGCTCGACCTGCTCGTTCGCCAGCAGCGAGTCCCTCGGCTGGCGCAGCGGCCTCATCTCGCTCTTCTGCCGAGGCTACAGATCCTGGGATCTCTCCGGAAGATCCAAATAAGGAAGATGTAAGCCACGTTGCGGGTTCTTCGAGGTATAGCTGATGCACAGGCTCCAGTACTCCTCCGAGCATCAAGAGTTCCCTCATCCAAGATCGGCCGGTTTTTGCATTATGGGTGTGAGCTACAGCCTCCCCTAAGACGGCTGGACAGAGCTGACATACAGCTTTGGCAGCTTCGATGGGCTGGGGAGCAGCTACCGAGTCTGTGCGTCGGTCTGCAGGCGGAGAGTCAACTGGAAGCGTATTTATGTCGGATGCGAATGTCCGACGGCTGGTGTCGAGTCTGACGAGGATGCGGGGAGCAGCATTGAAGCTTGGGCAGTTCATGAGCATACAGGGTGAGTTTGAATAGTGTGTCAAGCTGACTTTAAAGATAATCACATGTTACCGCCAGAGATAGAACGGGTGCTCTCGCAAGTACAGTCCCATGCCAACTACATGCCTGATTGGCAGATGGAGGTGAGCCCTTTGCTAGACTTGTGCTGACGCTTAGCGCGTCATGTCGTCGGAACTCGGCCCAGACTGGTCCTCCCTCTTCGCGACCTTTGACCGCACTCCCATCGCCTCCGCCTCGATTGGTCAAGTCCATCGCGCAACCCTCCCCTCCGGCCAGGCCGTCGCCGTCAAGGTCCAGTTCCCGGGCATCCGCGACTCTATCACCTCAGACCTATCCTATCTTACCCCTCTCCTCGCATCCTCCGCTATCCTCCCTCGCGGTCTATACCTTCAGAACACCATCGCCGTGATGAAGCGGGAATTGGCGGACGAGTGCGACTACCTGAAAGAGGCAGAGGCGGGACGGAAGTTTGCAAAGATGTTGGAGGGGGACGAGTACTTTGATACACCCCAGATCATCGATGCGGGGTGCACTGAGAGGGTATTGACGATGACGTGGATGGAGGGGAAGAGTCTGAGCCGGATGAAGGGGATGACCCAGGAAAGGAGAGACAAGGTGAGTTGACGGCACCTTGAGACCGGATATCAGCTGATCACATAGATCGGTACAGGTGTACTCCGCCTATGCCTACAGGAGCTGTTCCACTTCCGGTTCATGCAGACCGACCCGAACTGGGGCAACTTCCTCTACAATCCCGCGACGGACCGCCTCGGCCTGATCGACTTTGGCGCGAGCAGGCAGTATTCCAAGGAGTTTATGGATAGCTGGTTCGCCTTGCTGTCCGCGGCCATCAGGGGCGATCGGGAGATCATGAAGGCGGAAAGCAAGAACATCGGCTACTTTACAGGCGAGGAGGAAGAGGTCAGCCATACCCTACCACGTTGGACTGAGCTGATATCCAGCTCATGATCGACGCCCATCTATCCTCCATGTCCCTCTTATCCGTCCCCTTCGCTCATCAAGGCGTATACGACTTCTCCAACCAGACCATCACCGACGACGTGCGCAAGTACATCCCCATCATGCTCAAGCATCGCCTCACGCCACCGCCGCAGGAGACGTACAGCCTGAATAGAAAGCTCAGCGGGGCGTTTTTGATGTGTGCGAAGCTGGGGGCCAGGGTGGATTGTGGGAAGCTGTGGGAGGATTGGGCGGCGGGATACCCGTATCCGGAGCCCAAGGTATAGGGTGCCATCAATGTGCGAGGAAGCGGAGCTCAGATGTGAGATATGCTGATTTCGACTATCTAGCTAACGAAGGTCGAGACTGCGGATTTATCGGCGAACTCAGTTGAGCACTGACAGTACTGACAGACGATACTGATATACGACGCGGCCATGATGCACTGATTGAGGAATTGCAGAAAGGAGGTGAGATGAAATGCGACGGGCAGTTGAAAAGTAAATAGCTGGATCGTTGGCTGACACGCGTATCACGCTGCTTTACTCGGGTCTCCATGCTGGACCTGTATTTAGTTGTGATATTGAATGGATCTTTCTGCGTTTGGACGTGGGGAAAAGAACGAAAGGAGTCCCTCCAGTTTGAGACCCGGCTGACAGGAACAAGTCAGAGCGGGTAGGGTCCTGCTCACTGTGTCCCCCTCATTTCCGCTTCTGCTTACTGCCTACCTAGCGATAATTGCACAGACTATCACCTCCCTATCCGCATCAACATTCCAGCACAAGACAAGCGACCGGCATCTGCAAGAACAGTAAGTATGCGTTGTATCGCAACTTCGCTTTCTGCTACAGGCCGGATCTCGAGCTGATATGGTAGTGGCTGACCAGGAGCATATGTCGGAGGCAGCAGAGAGCGACTACGGCGGCTTCACCCCGAGCTCCTCGCAGACGCTTCCTGAACCAGCGAGAATGTCCATCTCCAGCCTGGTCTCGCAGAATGAGTCAGACAGAAAGGAGATCGCCAAGCTGATCGAGAGGGTCGGGAAGCTTGAGAAGGAGAAGTCGGGTCTCCAGTCGGCACTGGACGAACTCAAGACGAAGCTCACTCAGACAGAGGAGGAGAGGGATGCATCTCAGGCGGCCTACCAGCGGACCGAAGGCGATGTCGCGCGTGTCAGAGCAGACTATGAGACAGCCCTGAGGCTTTTCCGAGGCACACGGGGCAGCCGCAAGGACTAGGGGACGAAATGCTGAATCTCGTTGTCGGGAGTGCTGAACATGCATTGCTGATTTGGAACCATACTTATGCGTTTGCAATCGGGCTGGAGCGAATTTCCCGGCTGGCCTACGTCCATCGCACCACGCTGCTCGCGCGGCAACCGGGGAAATTGACCCGGATTACTTGACAGCAGAGGCTGGGCGTATGTTGGCTCAAGGGACACTCAGGCTTTCTGCCCTCGCCCGCGTCCTTTTGAGCTTCCGGGCGCCACCAGGCAGTGGGATCCTGGACGTTCAATAGCTGATACGGGGAGAATGCCTCCATCGGCTCATGTTCGGGTCCCCCACCTAGACTGTCATTCGGATCTTGACGAGAAGGGATCACCACACTGCTCTTACGCGTTTCATGCAGATTTGCTCGGCTTTACTCGGCTTAGATCCAGCAACTCACAATGCGTGCCTTGTACAAAGGGGACTTAAGGCGTGCGAACAGGCATTTCACATGAAAGGGGCTTCTCGACGTACTATCAGGCCTGGGGCGACAGTAATACTTAAGGTCGCTCAGACCCCCATATTCCCTCCCCTCTTCTCATCATTCTTTCCACTACAACTCGTGTGCACTGTGATGCCCAGATCTTCATCAAGCTCCAATTACACGATGAGCGACGAAAGCAGGATGAAATGTGAGTATCTCGGCTTTCACACTGGCCGGGTGGCAAACTCATGTGGCTTACTGATCCTGTCAGCCAACCAGTCCCAGCCAAGTTCGGCACCACACACCGTACAAATCACTTCCGGAAATCGATCCACATTGACAAGCCAGCCGGAACAAGCAACAGACCCCTCCACACCTGGGAACCCAGCCTTGACACTCGCGGACTTGATTGCTGAGAACATCCGGCTGACCGCGAAGAACGAGGCTCTGGAGAAGAGAGCTTCACAGCTGGAGTCCAATGTCCGGCATCTTGAAGGACAGGTCGCAGCAGCAAGTCACAGGCAGGCTGCCGAAGAGCGCGCAGACTGGATTGCACGAGTGGAAGAAGCCATGGAAGCGGACGCCAGCGGGGAGGCGCAGGAGCGCAAATACTGATGCGGAGTCGTGATCGGGTTTCTTGATCACCCGTAGCAAGCTGTGCAAGTGATACGCGTAGCTATGCAGATGATACATGCCGCGCATCTCTCCCTCTCCTTAGGGCTGCCTCTTGAAACCCGCTTGCAAAAGAACCTGTCTACCTATGTGTTTGATAACTATAATCACAAATGCTATGTATACTAATCTAAATGTAGGTCGATGTCCTATTCTACTTTCTATATACGAGTCTACATACTTGCTACTTCTAATTCAGATCAGTCCGGAAGAGGGGTATAGTTGCCAAAAGCAGGCCGGAAGGGTATATTCGTGATGATGTCGTCATTTGATTTGAGGTCGGGGCAGGAGTCGTGTATCGCCAGGAGTGGCAGGATGGCGATTAGACCGAGTATCGTTCCCGCATACGTTCGCGGATGACTGGTGGGAATGACGAGACCATCGGTTCCCAATTTGCCCCGAGGTTGTTGCGGAACCCTTGCAGGATCTAAGGTGTCAGCTGGGGTCCCAAAACGTGATGGACAAGCTCACCGATCGGAACATATTGTCCAGCTGTGATGATGGGTGCTGCCACTTGCAGATGGCATTGCAGAAGTAGTGGAACGCCTGGCTGTCAGCCGAGATCTCTTGCGTGTTCGGGGGGATGATGCGGGTTGCCATAAGCCCGAGGAGCCGTGCACAAGCCTCATGCCCGTGCTCCCGGCGGGGGTAAGTACAGATTGGGAAGGGGGTAATCTCGATCCGGGAAGAAGACGTGAAGGGGTAGAAGCAGGGGTGGAGGAAAGGAGACTTCAACTTACACTCTCAATCCCCGCAGGATTCGCCGAGATCATCATGCAGAACCCCCTGAACGCCGAGTCCTTCTCCTCATTATCCTTAATCTCCCACAGGGCGGTACACCACGCCTGCGCAAACTTGGGCAGCTCCGGCGCGACCGTCGCGGGGCAGACCAAACCTATCCGCCCAATGGTGACGGCGGCATTCTCGCTGAGCGATTTTGGCGATTTGGGATTGATGAGGATGGGGATCAGGCGGGAGATGAGGGGCGGGACGAATGGTTCGAGTGGGGCGGCCGAGCCATTGTATTGGAGGGCAATCTCGCCGGCTGCCCAGGCGGCATTGTTGCAGACCGAGATGGATTCGGGACCTGGTTCCGCGATGATCTGGTCGATTACGGCAGGCATGATTTGGGGGACGACGGGTTGTAGGATCGCCCAGCATGAGATGGCCATGTCACCGAGGAGGGCGTGTGCGGATTGGCGGATGGGTGCTTCAAAGTGCTGATATCAGCTATGTCAAAGCAGGACTTACGGTCAAGCAAAGAGCCATGAGGTGGAGCAGGGGCGGCTGGGTCGTGGCGATGAGCTGGTGGATCTGGTCGCCGAGACCTTGGGTGAGACCGGAGAGCAAATCAAGGGCGACGACGATGAAGGTCCGGTCGGGCTCTTCGATGTTCTCCTGGTCGGCCTCCCAGACTTGGTACTGTTGGAGCGAAGTGTGGATGATGTTCAGGCACCGCTGGAAGACCGGCGCGGTATAAGGGGCGAACGCCGCGCCAGCTGCAATCGATACTGACGACAGGCACTGCCATCAGCTCAGTCAAAGTGGAACTCACCTCTAGCAATGGCACGAGATCTCCGTCATCATCTGCGAGCTTCATCCATCGGTCGATCAAAGGCGGCATGAGGATATCGAGGTATGCCGGCTGGCCAAGGGCGCTGCCGACCGAGTCTGCGAGTGTTCCGAGGGCGTCGTAGAGGATGAGCAAGTTCTTTTGCTGGTATTTCTGGAACGCAAAGGTGAGGTTGCGCAGAATTGGCTCGAGGAACGGGGCGAGCGCCTCTTCGGCTTCCTCTTCGAGCGTGGCGAAAGCGGAACAGCCAGCTTCTTGGACCCGCTTGTTTCCGTCCAGAACGCGTTTGAGTAGCTGTCATCAGCGATGCCACGACCTCAACTCACTCCTTCCATAGTTGGGATAAAGAACTTGGTCTTGTCCTCCTGAGCGGTCTGGACGACCCAGGACGAGTACCGGCCGAGTGTCCAGCACGTGATGGAACGGACGAGTGCCTGATGTCAGTCGGGCCAAAGCAAGGCTTACCTTCTTGTCGCCGAGGGAGTTGATGAGCCATGGTACGAGCTGCTGGAGATGTGGTTGAAGACCCTCGATACAGCCTGGAATCAGCACGAGGTCTACAAAAGAAAGGAAGACTCACCCTCGGCAATAGCGCCAAGAGCCAATATCCCGCTCTCGCGCTGCTCCCAGTCCTCGTGGAACAGCCTGTCCTTCAAATGCGGCAGCAGAATTTCCAGCACGTCCGTCCTGAACGTCACCGCCATGACGTCCAACGCCGCCGCCGAGCACTTGCGGATGTTCCACTCGCCCGACCCCTCGTCGTCGTCATCGTCATAATCCTCATCATCCTCGTCGTCATCCTCCTCCAACGCCCTGTCCGCCGCCTCTCTTGACTGCCCGACCCGGCCCGCGGTGGTGGGGTCGTTCGACTCGTGCGTGTGGGTCTTGGACGAGTAGTTTTTAGGCTTGATATCCTCCTCCTTGTCCGGCACCGCCTCGTCTTCTTCGTCGTCGTCGAGCGTGAGGAGGTCAAACTCGGTATAGACCATGCCTTGGAGCAGTAAAGGGAGGATGATGTGGAGGTAGGGACGGAGGTGCTCCTTCATGTTTGGCTCTTCCGCAAAGGTGAGCCAAAATTCGCACGCCTCGAGAGCGACCAGCTCGTCCTGCTCCGTGGTGCAGTACGCCATGTAGTCGACGACGTTTTTGAGCTCCGGGACGAGCTTGTCTGGGCGGGTATTGAGGATGACGGCGAGGGCGGCGCAGACCGCTTTGCGGACGTCCGAGGATTCGTCCGATGCCCGCGCGAACAGGGCCTGGAGGTAGGGGTCGATATTGGCGGCCATGCTGGGCGAGTTGAGTGCGCCGAGGGATTGCAGGGACTGCAGGCAGGCAAGACGGATTTTGGCGGAGGAGTGGGCAGTGTAGCGGATAAATTCAGGGACGAGGTGGTCGAGGAGGTTTCGACCCGAGACGACAAAGTCGAGCTTGTGGGGGCAGTCCTCGCAGATCTTTTCGAGGGTGTTGAAGGAGCCCTAAAATCAGCGATGCCAGTGAAAAGGCTAGAATGCACACACCTCGGCGAGGTTGATATCCTGCGATCCCATTCCCACCGTCACCGCGTTCAACGCTTCTGGCCAGCTCCCCGAATCCGCCTTTCCCAACAACGCAGTAATCACAGCTCCCACCGTCTGCCGGATCATCTGGTCCTTGTCCGACAACCCCTGTAGGATGACCGCCCTGACATAGGCGACTGCCGCAGCGCCCGCGGGATTGTTCACCGTGTCCTCGCTAATCGAATTTTTGAGAAGCAAGCCCGCGACGGCTCGATGAGAGTCTTGCTCACCGGTACAGACGATGAGGACGTAGGAGAGGTAGGCGAGGAAGTCAGGGTTGTTTTTGAGTATGCCAATGCGCTGGAAGTGAGCTCGGCTCATGACCAGGTTGAAGTCGACATACCTGGGTGACGGCTCGCTGTATTTCCGAGTCACTTGAGCTGGATTGCCGGAGGAGCAGTAGGACCTCCTCTAGGCCTTGCTGCTGAGGCTGCCAGGTCATCGTAGCTGAGGTAGTATAGGAGTGAAGGGTACAATAGAGGCAGAGGAAGAGGCGAGTTTGGCTGGCTGCCTTTCGCTCTCCTAATTCCTCGTTTGGGATGGTGCCCCGGAAAACCTTAAAATAGCCACGTGGAAAGCGACGAAAGTGGCACCTGGCCCATATTCGCCACCCACTCTGGTGGCTGGTATCATATAGCAGTGGCTTAGCTGCACCCTGAGAGCTGCTTTTGGAGATGATTAGCGGGAGTATATGGTTCCAGTCTCACAGCCCTCTGATGAGGGAAGCTGGACATTCCTAATCTAGAGCTCGCTTGTGTCTTGGAGAGAGGAGAGAAGAGGTCCGAGCGGGAGACTTAACCTATGCGCACAGACCCACCTGGTTTCCTTCCTCTGACCCCCTACTGCCAACTGACTCATCCTCTTTCTTATATCTACATCGCCTCACTGCAGTCATAAGATGTTGATTGAGCTTACTACACTCACAGAAACGGCCTTCAACTCGGAGATACTTGACGCCGAGTGGGCACAACAATGTACCTCGGTCCTGATCGATCGCTCCATCTACCAGTGGGAGAGCTTGTGCGACTTCCTCCCCGATCGATGGGACGAGGAGAGCGAAACGGCTTTAGTGAACGACATGAAGGGTCTCATCGTCGTAGCCCATACCTTCCGCAAAAAAGCTATGGCGGTAGTCTTTGACGGGGAAGATGAGGACATGCTCCGTGGGTTTCCTTCCTCGCGAACATTTAGTGGAGACTGAATGTATAGTGAGCGCAGAGATCTACTTTGACTACTGCGTCAGCGCAACGGGACAGGAACGTACTGGTCTGAGGTTAGAGGGGCAAATCGTGGGCACCTCAGCAACGACATCGGAGGAATGCCGACTCCTGGCGGAGCGGCTGAAAATCATCGTGAGCTCACCTGACTAGACGCGGACGTCAATCTGACCAGTAGATCCGCAAATACGCCGACCCTCCTATCGATCCCACCAAGATTCAGGAGGTACTTGATCTCGTGAGTCATAGCTGGACTTGGCAGCTAGCGTGTACTGAAGCTATAGGCTGTTAGCGCGGCGGAAGCCAGATACTCCGATGACGAGGCTTTCAACACGGGAAGCTCGCCAATCTCGAGTCCTGCAAGTGCCTCCGCTTGGGACCGTCCAGGAGACTTCAAAGGGCGGAAGGAAGAGATGGCGCGGGTTACGCAGAGAGTGTTCGACCCGACTCCGCCCTGGCCTCTTAAGGCTATAGATTTCGATCCTGTAAGTCTCGAATGTCCAGTATTTTCATAGGTTAGCGCTAACGACACAGTCACTCGGACTGAGGGTATGTACTATTTTAGCCCTCTACAGGATCTGCTCCTACTGATGGGCAGAACAAGAACGGTCTCGAGACGTTGGAGAGGATATGGTGTTTTCGCGAATGGCTGAATGAGGTGAGTTCCCCCTCACCAGCGAGCAAGCGCCAAGCTGAGACCTCCAGAGCCGCAACAAACTACTGAGCGACGATGACTTCGAGCTCCCCACGGAGACCACCGGACCGGTATTGAACCGCTGAGAGGAAAGAGTGGGTAAGCAATCGGTGAGTGACTTCAAATATCAGAGCTGATGATCTAGCGGCATCAGAGATGATCATGGAGAGCTAGAAGGGGGAGAAGTTAGCTAGACTGGCCAGGTCTCCCAGATGTATATACATGTATGCCCAAAACAGATACTTTACAAGATCTTCCCAAACACGCCCTTAACAGTACTCTTCGCCGCCTCCTTCATCGCCTGATTCCGCGCCTGCTGGAGATAGTTGGTAGCGCTCACACTCGCATTGTTGAGGCTGTCGTTGAGTTGGTCCATATATGTTCCGCGCTCCTCGGTCGCATTGCGCATTTCCGAGTACCTATTATCATCAGCTATAGCTCTGGATAAAGCAAAGCAAAGCAAAGCAAAGTGACTCACACGTCGTCCCTCTCCCCTGCGACCCTCGATGGTCCAGCCACCTTCTTCACGGCCGTCCGTTTCGGCGCTACTGTCGTTGGCGAGACGACCTCCACCTTCTTCTCGGCGGGCGGGTCTCCCCATGTAATGAGCGGCTTCTTGGGTACCGGTGCTGGGGGAAGAGGAGGGGGCCGCTTGGGTCCAGCCACTGATGATCAGCTGTATCCTCGCAATCGGACAGGAAACATACCAAGAGCGTCCAGCTGAGCGCCGCTGAGCGGCGCTCCACCCCACAACCACGCCCCCGGAATCCCACTCGCCGTGAGCGGTATAGGCTGAGCCGGGACTGGCCGCTTGAAGGCACACGGGTCGATCCGCGGCGGAAGGGGTTTACGGAAGTGGAAAAGGGTACGGAGGTTGATATCGAGCGGTCCAGCGTATTCGACAAAGTCGCCTGAGCGGTCGTCTATCGATATCTTGCCAATTCGGCGGCTACAACGTCAGCTTTTTGCACCTCAGCAACGAAAGATACAGCCCAGCTCACCCTTGAGTCCCAAAGGAAAGCTCCATCCTCGTGATGGGCTGAAGGAAAGGCAGCGAGTAGGCCAGAACCGAGCCCGTCGTCGTTATCCCGACCAGTATCTTTTGACCTATACTGTCAGCTCCGCCCGATAGACAGCAAACAGGACATACCATATCTTGTAACGTAGAACGCCTCGCCTAAATCTTCATCCTCAAATTCAACCTTGGCCACTCGCTCCCCGTTGAAGTTAACCGCCGCCCGGATGCTCTTCCTGCTCGCGGCGATCCAGACACAATGAGGCGGGACGTCCTTCTTGCCTTCTGGCGTCCCGTGATGCGCCATCGCCGCGGAGAGCGCGTCGGCGGTGGGGTGAAGCTCGTTCCCGGTTGTAGGGTCGAGTACGAATGTTCCGAGTGGGCCGGAGAGGGATTCGTTTGTAAAGGTGGGAGGCTTCGCTTCGACCATCCATTCTCCGAGGACATTGACGAGGGTGTAGATCTTGGTCATGCCCTTGGCGTAAGAGACGATCAGGCGGGGTCGGGGTGTCGAGTCTAAAGATGAGCGATGGTTTTGAGAGAAGCGAGCTGCACATACCGGTTCCCATTCCCGAAACCACCCACTTCAACCTCCCCACGACGCTCTGCTCCCCTACTACATTCTGCACGTTCTGATTCTTCCGCCTCTTCTTCTTGATGACCTGTCCGTCCCCATCGAAACCTTCTCGGAGAATGACATCCGGTCCGCGCATGTCCAAAACAGCGATAGACTTGGACGCAAAAGCGACCGAGATGAAGCCTGCCTATCAGCTACCTCTCTAATTTGCTTAGACTAGACTTACCGATATCCGAGACAGCACAAGCCAGCGGCTCGCCCTGCTTCAACGTAAAGATAGCGACCGGCTTGAACCCATCTACAGAATACCTCGCCAAATGCTGGATCTCGGTCACCTCCTCGACCCACCCGTCGTTCCCTCCCGCGGCCGGAGTGGTCGGGGTAGGCGGGAAGTAACCCCCATTGGGACTCTTGAGCGACTCGTCCCCATCGTCCAGCTCTTCCACCTCGTCGTCCGCCCGCCCTCCCTTGGCTTCGGCAAACTTGGTGACGATGACCTCGCCAGTCATCATCGTAATGACGCACTCGAGCGCCTCGCGTGCGAGATGGACCGACTTGATCCGGACTCTGGGGCGGTCCGTCTCCCATAGCCTGGCGAGGGGGAGATGGGCGACGTCTGGCGATTTCAGGTACTCGCCGATCGAGATGGTCAGGTGGGGGAGGGGTCCTGGGTACTCGAATCGCAGTGGAGTGGGGAGTACGAGCAGCTGGGGAGAGGTATCCCAGAAGCGCACGGTCGCGTCAGGGTGGAACGTGATGAGGACGCGGTACGACTCGAGCTTGGCGACCTTGACGTCTGGGGCGCCGGCGGATTGAAGATCGGGAACGGCGAGACCGCCGTGCAGGGGTAGTCGGGGCATGGTCTCGGACGAAGCCGTCTCGATAGACCAGGAGATGAGGCGCTTGAATGAGGGCGTGGGGAGAGGGACGAGCTCGCAGCCCAGTACCGAGAGGTGTCCGGTCCAGATGGATGAGGGGATGCGGTAGTGACGCCGAGCGCGGGGGCGGTGGTGGCCCGAGGCGGACATGATGGAGTTGGGGGTAGCGACGCGCAGGCGAGGGGAGGGGAGGGGCGAGGAGTTAGTCCAGGGTAGACGCCACCCACCACTCGTCGGCGTAGTGGGATTGGGAGACATCATGGGCGCAGGGGACATGGCGACGATATTCTCCCCCTCGCCGGGTTGGACGAATGTCTTTCGGCCGAGCGCCGGCGGTATCTCGGTCGACCGCTGAGGGGGAAAGACAAACGCCTCCATGGCGCGCGAGGCGTGGGGCATGTCGATAGGCGCGAGCCGCTTGTCCGGGGTGAGCGAGACAATGAGCGCGATGGCGTCGTGCGCCATACCGAAATATGGGTTGGACCGGGGGAGGAGAACAAAGTCTTCTGGAGGGGACTTGGTAGGGTAGTTGGACGCCCCGGTGGGCATGAGCGAGTCCCGATACGCGTACCGTTGCTGCAAAGGCATGCTCTCGGACGACGCTGTGGTCTTTTTGGCTGGAGCGACGGGAGGGATGTATGCGGGGAACTGGAGGAGGTTGATACCGGGCCGCTCGCCAGGTGACTGTCCGCCGAGAATGACGAGGAGGGTCTCGCCACGTTCCGCAAAGTCCATGGACGCGTTGGTGACCGGCTCGACCGCCTCCGTTGTGGCGGCAGCTAGGAGCTTCATGGCTGCGGCGTCCGGGAAGCTGGCCCAGGCGAGCTTGAAGATGGGCTCCCGATTCGCCATGATCGCCGAGGGGATAGGTACGCCGTCCTTGTCCAGCTGGTCCTTGCCCTTCCCTTTGCGCTGGTTGTCCAGTGCGCCAGCATCGTAAAGCGACTCGGCATCCGCGACGTTGACGTCCTCGTGGGTGATCGTCCGTACCATCAACGGCTTGTCCGGCTCCGAGTACGCCCAGAACGCGATACAGCCGTCCGAGTGACCGACCGCAAAGACTTGACCGTCTGGGCGCCAGGTGAGTGAGGTGACAGATGGGGTGCGCTCAGTCCAGATGGCCTAAAGTCAGCTGTGTCTGTGGTCAGACTTACGTCGTTGTTCTGGTATGATCCTCCTCCTGGTGCTCCAGGCGGTAAGAACATTTCAAAGTTCTTTACCGCTACACCTTTCTGGAAGTCCCATGCTACTACTCCGCCTTCATAGCCGATGAGCATAATGTTGAGATCGCGTGGGTTGAGGGCGAGACAAGTAGCCATGGGTCTATAATGAGCGATGCGCTTTCTCGGTGTGGATAACACTCACCCTCCAGCTGTCTTCCGCCTGCCTGGCATCCCGCTCCGGACCATCTTGGCCTCATACTCTCCCCAGCAGTTCTGCACTTTACAGCTCCCCAGCGCCCCTCTGCTCAGATCCCAAGCGAGCATCTGCCCATCCTTCAACGTGACGAACAGGTGGGTATGGCTCGGTAGCGGCTGATCCACCGCCGTGACCGTGCCCCATAGGGTATAGTGTGCTTCGCGAGTAGGTAATGGGGGATGTGTGGACGGATTGGCGTGTTCCGAGATCTCTTGCATGGAGTAAGAGTAGAGGGTATTGCCCGTATCGACCGCGACGATCCGGTGGTGGCCGGGGTGGAAGGTGAGGAACTTGATCCCTGCGCCGGCTTTCGAGGAGGATGGACTGCTGATGGGTAAGGAGAATTGGAAGGCGGTCTGACCAAAGACGTGGACGACACCCGAGGAGGTACCGACTCCGAGTAAGGACAGGACGGGATCGACGGCGAGGGCGGTGATTTCGCCAGTCACCCCGAGAGAGCGGAGATGGCCATAACGGTAGAAGGAGGTCTCGCGGAGGTTCTTCGTCCAGTCTGTCGTGAGAGGCAGCGCTGGCTGCTTGTTGGACTTGAACATGGCGTCCAGCAATAAAATAGGTAGACAGAAGCGAGATGCGGCAGAAGATAAGGCAACAACAGTGGGGACGCGTTTGGCCCCGACGCGCGCGAGCATAAAAGCGCGTAAGAAGGCGCGCGTTCGTCCTGCCACATCTCTCGTAGCGCTTGCAGGTATAGCTGGGCAGGTACATAGTGAGGGTGGACAGCTAACCCGTTTGATGCGGTGGCCCCTTGACCTCTCTCTCTCTGCTTGCTGGGTAGAGCCGCTAGCGCGTCGGTTCTGGGAGGAGTAGATCTCGTAGCGATACCCAGTCACGTAGAGCTAAAGCACTGAAGGGGCAAAGCCTCTGCCACTATCTCAACATGAAAAGGCACCTATGTATATATCACACTAGCTGTAGAGCCCAGCGACAGCCGAGAAGGGTGTGTAGGCGATGTGTAGGGGATGGGCACAGATGAAAGCGAGGTCTCAAGCAGTGGTAAGTCACTACCTTGGCCGCAGCTTGTGCTATATCTTCATATGTTACAATTGGACTACGCTTTCATCAATCTGACACGGTTGCATAGTATATCGGTTAGTACGTCAGATTCTGAATAAAAGAGGCCTTAGCTTTAAAAAAGTGACTTCTGAAGAGTCCGGTTCGATTCCGGGTGCGACCTTTTTTTTTGTCTTTGGCCAAACCGACTTTTTGACATGGATGTATGCTCCCCCATCTCAGCTACCCTCCTGTGCTTTTCTCATACTTTTACGAGCCGTGTTGCACGAAATATGGCTGTTTGAAAATAAGGGCCTCTCCGCCAGAATAACTTCCGCGGCAGTGATCAGCGGAGCTGCCGTTATCCCGATTCCAGCAAACCCGATCCTTTTGGGGCCCCCATGTTTCAGTGACGAAATAGGGGTCCCGGCCGCACGACACAGGGACGATCGTCGATGGGTTCAGGTTCGTCGATGCAGTCAGCACTAAGCCATTGATGCGTTGATGTGCGATCCCGATCCCGCTTGATATCGTCTGACGTAGCGACCTTCCCCACCCGGCGAAACCATCCCTCTGCTCGGCGGTGATCCCTCTTCCCGATCCGATGTCAGCCTCTCCGGTCCCGGCTAGCTCGGCGTGGGCGAGCGGTACCTGACGCTCGGACACGGCTGATGTGATGAGATGTGATTGTCTTAGTGTCGATCCTCCGCTGCATCATCGCTTTTCACCTTGAGATCGGGGGAGGTGATACACATCAGCGTCATACAATGGCGTCATGCGAGGTTGAGTCAACTCTAGTCTTACTCGTGACCACCCCTTCCTGAGGAACATATAAGGCGGACCAAATCCCCCTTGCTTATTCATCAACTCCATCTTCCACTCCACTACCACACCACACCACACCAATCAATCAACATGTCCACCTACAAGCCCACCGAGGTAAGTCTTTGCATTTCTCTTTCATTCAACTGGATAGTGGCTGACGCTACAGCACGACGGCCTCAAGCAGGACGGTACCCCCGACAAGCGGGTGTCTTCTGAGCACGGCTTTGGCGGAAGGTATGTCTTCTCTTCCATCTCATCCCACCCTTACCACGCCCTACCACCCATCCCTTTCGCATTATACACTGCCTCACCGTCGCTCCGACCACCCTCTCTCTTAGAGCTTAGCTGACCCTCAGCGACGGACCCGACCCACACGTCGAGGGCGCCAAGGGCGGCAAGGCCTCCGGCTCGACTGACGGCGAGACCTACAAACCTTCTGAGCACGGCGGTCTCAAGAAGGACGGTACCGAGGACAAGCGGACCTCTTCCGAGCACGGCTTCGGCGGATCGTAAGTCGCTAGCCTCAATCACGATTTGTGGAGCCAAGCTCACCCTTCAGTGACGGACCCGACCCGAAGGTTGAGGGTGCCAAGGGCGGCCAATCCTCTTAAGAGGTCCTTAGGCTAGGAGTAGTATAGGATAGTCAGAAGCAAATGCAACAATTGAAGCACTACCATCTCTCTCTGCAGCAACCCTTCTCATCGCTTTTGTCTGCTGGTCATCCTTGTCTTGTTGTCGTGGAGCATGCTTCGTTGAGCGCACGAAGAGTGGCCCACAGCGTTTCCTCTGAAGAGTGCCTCCTTTCATGGTTTTGGGTGTCTGCGATGAGACAGCCATGGGAAGGTTCAGGCAGGGTCCAGCTACCTAGGTGCGAGATCATAGCGTTTCATGTTTTGACTTCTCAACCACATATGGACCCGCCTGATACAGGCCTGACCCTCTAGTTCGCCTTGTTGATCCGCCCTACCACCTTGCCGGTCCCCAATACCCTCTTCCTCTGCTTGAGCATGTACGTGTATAGCACATACAGCGCTGCATATCAGCTCAGCCGAACTCAATTACCCTATCCTTGACTCACAAGGCCACCACACCAGGAACAGCCCCAACCTCCAAAAGTCCACCGCCCCCCACTCCCTAGTCGCCCCCACCTTGCTCTTCACCCCCGACTTGGTCATGTTCCACAGCAACGCCCTGCCCCAGCTCGACCTGAGCACCACGTTCCTTAGCGACCCCGGGAGGTTGGCGAGGATGTACTTGGTCGGGATCTTGGCGATAAGCCAGTCCGGCAGGAGTTTGGATATGGGTGGAAGGGTGGAGAAGCTGATGAATGCCTCGGAGGCCGCGCCGAGGGGGTAGAGCGGGAGGAAGGTGGTGTACCTCAACCAGTCGAGTGCGCGGATCTTGATACCCAGTAAAGAGGTCGCGTAGTAGGTGTACCGAATGACCTCGGTGAGGGACCAAGCGAGGAGCATGGTCGTGAAGAGAGGGTTGGAGTGGGTCTACATCAGCAACGTCGAGCTGGAACTCACCTTTGGGACAGCCTCCACAACGCCCCATACGGTGTAGACCCTGCTTGCGACCTGACTCGCGGTAGTTAGGATAGGGCTCCGGACCCATCCCAAAGCAGCATGGACCACCTCCAACACCGCCAAGGTCTGGGTCCACTTGGTCAACCACCCGAGGTTCTTGTAGTTGTACGACCCGCTGAGGAAGGATTTGCCGGCCAGGAAAGGCATGTACGAGATGGCCTTTCGGCCGACGGGGTGGAGCGATGCCAAGCGAGTGAGGTAGGACGACGGGTTGGACGCGCCAGGTTTGCCAGTGAGGAGGAACGAGACGGTAATGTAGAGCAGGTTCGCCCAGAGCGCCGCCGAGATGACATTGTACGCCAAAAGGTAGATCTTGAGGGGAGTGAGGCGGGTCTTTGGGACAGAGCCAGCGAGCTGCTTGCCCTGTCGAGCGATGCGCTCCTTCTCGAGCTCGGCGCGCTGCCCTACGTTCTGAGTGCGGTTAGACATGGTGTGGATGAGGAATGAGGCGGTCAATGTCGGGTAATGTCTACGCGGGCGGAAGCAAACAACGATGACGTTGAGACGCGTCACGACGGTCAACTCGACCCTTTGACCGTTCTCCATGACTATCAGGCGACATGCTCGGTAGGTCCTCGGCGTGACTCCGCTGATAGCAGTCGTCGGCCTCACTGGCGGTATCGCATCAGGTAAGCCCCTTTCCGGCCTAGCTGACAAGAGGCAAATCCACCGTTTCAACCCTCCTCGCCAAGCATGGGATCCCCATCATCGACGCCGATATCCTCGCTAGGGAAGTCATCGACCCCGGTACACCTGGCTTCCGCCGCGTCGTACAGCATTTTGGCCCGGACCGGGTCTTGCGAGAGGATGGGACGCTCGACCGAGCCGCTATAGGCGATATAGTCTTTCATGACCCTGATCAACGGGCATGGCTGAACGGTCTCGTCCATCCCCTCGTGCGTCGCGCTATCGTCGCTCGGGTCTTTCGCTACTGGATCACAGGACACGCTGTCGTCGTTCTGGACGTCCCGCTCCTCATTGAAGCGGGGCTATGGCGATTCGTCGGCGAAATAGTCGTGGTGTTTGTGTAAGTCCCCCTCTGACCCCACTGATTACAGAAACGAACGACTCCAGCTCTCTCGGCTACTCTCACGCCCCTCCAATCCCCCTCTGACCGAACATCAGGCCCAAGCCCGTATATCCTCCCAACTCCCCCTCTCCGCCAAACTCGCCTACTCGACCCAAGTCCTCGATAATTCCGGCGCACCGTCGGATCTCGCCGCACAGGTGGATCGCCTAGTCAGGAGGTGGCATAAGCAGCAAGGAGGGGATTTGGGGTGGTGGTGGCGCTTGTGCTGGGTGTTGCCACCGGTAGGAGTGACGGCGGGGTTGCTGTGCCTGGCGGGCAACTGGGTGCGGTCGTTGAGGCGCAAAGGACGACGGAGGGGGAGAGGGGAGGTGGACCGCAGAGATGGAGAGAGGATAGAGATGAGGGATATGAAGAAGAAGAAGGGGAGTATCACGGATGCAGACTGAGCAGGCATCGTGTTTTGCGGAGCCCTGTGTAGCTTGCATTCGGCTGACGAACAAGTCAAAGTCCCGGGAGAAACAGTACTCATTGTAACCTCGCTACTGATCCCGAACGTGAAGAGGCGTAGCTAATTGACGAGACCGGCCATACAGGCGGGCTTATCTCTCTCTGCTTCGACTGATCCGCTGCGCAGTGGCGCTCAGATGAAGCTGATGTTAGCGCAATTCATCGAGCCTAAGCACCATCGTTGTGCCGAGCAGAACATAATCTCATCAGGAACGCTTGCGGGAATGTGTTAACTTTTGGACGGGAGACCAAGAGGCAAGATACTTTTCCGACAGCAGAGTGGGGATGCATTGGACTCGAACAGCTCTCCTTATATATTCCAGACCTATCGATAGCTAACCTATCAAGCTATCGATACCTAGCGATCTACTGATAGCCTATCGATAGCCATCCTATCGATAGCTCCTATCGATAGCTCTAAGCTATCAAGCTTACTGATAGCTACCACTTCTGGTATCACCGAGCTCGTGTCCGAATAGGGGTTCCTCCTTGGGACCTATTCGCTTCCCGCTTCAGAGAGCCTAGAATCTCAGATTCTCAACAGAATGCAGGTCCAATATACATAACTGTAAATCGCTCAACCCCTTCGGCAAATATTGACCACGCGAACCGAACACTGAACACCTCCTCAATGCAAAATCGCCCATCAAGTGTTCACCACCAGAGCCTCGGTCCAAGCGCCCAAGTCGTCCGGTATCTGAGCGCTGTCCGCATCATAGGTCTGGAAGGGGCTGCGTGTATCAGTAAAATGAAGCCGCTGCTCACGCGTCACGGCCATGGGCCATCAGGACTCACTCCGTCTCATCGATCTGAATGCTCTTCTCCACGAGATCGGTCATGACGCCCGACCAGGCTGTGTCCGGTTGACCCCTCCATTTCTCAAGGTGGTCCAGGATTGCCAGCTTGGAAATCACCAAAACGGTAACGAGGATGGATTGAACGTCCTCGCTGGCGTCGGCGTGGTTGTCTTCCGCAAAACACTCTGGGATCCTGCTGAGGAAAGCGGTGAATCCCAGCCTCTCCTCACGGGACATGGAGCAGCACTGCTCCACGAAAGGTATGGTGGTCTCGTACATGAGATCCCGTTGGCGTTGCTGGGCAGCTTCGTCGAATACGAAAGCAGACATGGTGGACTGATGAGCAGATTGTGGTGTAAGAGGAAGAGAGGGAAGTGTAAGTCCAAAACTGCTCCGCAGAAATCTCCCTTGTATATGTCTTGTGGACTGGTCTTCATGGTGAAGATGATACGAGCGGAGTCGAATTGCAGAGGGCTGTCCCCCTCTACAAGGTAGTCCCGACAAAGCTCCGACCGGCGGATGTTGTCTCACATTCCATCACCGTTCACTGACTTGACACCCCATAAAGCGGGATGCCGTGCAATCTCGTGCGTTAGATCCACTCCGACTGGAATCTCATCGCGCTTTACAAGCTTTCCTTAGATGTGCGTCCCCATAGCTCAATTTCCCCGTTCCAGCTTTCGTTCACCGCTCCAGGCGGGATTCCGAACGGAGCGGAGTAAATGTCTCCTCCGTTCCGTACTCCTCATCATACTCATCGATACTTGCGTACATGCAACGACACTCGAATTCACCTTGACCACAACTGATCCTGTCGTCTTGACCCGAAAGGGAGCCGCAGAGACGGTGAGAGCGGCCGTAAAGGCGCTCTCTGTGTTCTAACCACATATGTGGCGAACCTATCCCTTATCATGCCCCCCCGTGATCCTTAGCTTGGGGGTCCTCTCAGCTACTCGAGTCTGCTGATACACGTTCGAGCAGAGCTTCCTTCCTTCGTCACCCTGCCGATGGCAGACCTATCCATAAGCGGTAGAGAACAAGTGCCAGCACTTGCTGCGTGACCGATGACCACTGGGCCAGTGCCGAGTCGTCACGCTACCACGGATGCGCCAGATCCAGACCAAGCGTGGGCGAGACGGTAGGCATGATGACCATAGATAGGATATTTATAGGTGATGCCAAACTCAATACGGTCCCCATCCCTCGCGTGCAAGATATGTACACCGAGAAATTTCACCAGTACAGGTGATATATGTGATACTGGCCCCCTGCCCAGCCTGATTCAGCTGAGCAGCTCACTCGAGCACTCGGATGGCTGCTACACGTTCGATTATCGAGATCCCTTGCTCCGTCACCCGCCGAAGGCAGACCAGGCCTGGAGCAACGGAGAACAGGGGCTGATTTTGGGTAACGGATCAGTGCCGCACCACTGACTCGCGAAAGTGCGAGATCCGGGTCGATACAGGTGAAAGGATAGGCACGATCATACATCTGTGCAAGTGAGACACATCTCCATGTTCCTCATCCTTGATTCCTTCCGCTACGAGGGATATATACACCGAGAAGACCCACGTCGAAGTATACTGCTCCCTGCTATTCCCCCGCGGAACTTCTCACTGCCTGTCATACTCGTCTGGGGTACCAAAACAGTGCCACCATCTGCGCCTCGCCGATCTCGACCTCGAGGGCCTTTGCGGAAGCTGTGACGTCGGAAGGTGTGCCGAGAGAGGGTCATTGAGGCTGTTGCCTGGACCGGATTCGGCTTGGGTAGCTGGCGTCGAGACATGAGTTCCTTCCCACGGAAGTGTCGAAGGCATCATGGAATTCTTCACATCCGACGCTTTCGACGTCGTCGAAAGCTCCCATCGATCACCTTGGGTCCCTAAGGACCCCCACACCGATGAGCCGTCGTCATAGGAAGGCGGTGCGCCCCTCGCCTCACGAATACCTCGTTCAATCCCCTGGTCGTGGATGAACCGTTCGCGCTCCTGCCTCCTTTGGTCCTGTTTAGCTGCTTCGGCAGACAGCTTGAGAGACTCGTCGATGATCCGCAGTATGGATGGGGCATTGCGAGCTTCACCTTGTGCCAGGTCGCGGGACTCAAATACGCCGGTGCGGTCGATCAAACCTCGTCTGTGGTCATCCAGTCGGCCCAAACCAGAGACTCTGGGTTCCAGCGCTCTTCCCTTGCCACGCCTGGCAGATGAGCCGCCTTCCTGCTCCCTCACGGCCGGGGCTTCTGCTTCCGCCTGCACCGAGCTGGCGATAGACTCCATCTCTCTTTGCAACGAGCTGACGATAAAGTCGTGAAGAGAGTGGAGCCTATCATTTTTTGGGTTGGTGATCACGCGACCCTCGAGCAGGCCCTTTTCGAGCAGCGACGTGGTGGCGCTGAGAACCCTGGTCTCGAAGCCACTGAAGGCTCTTCCGCCGGCCTCAGCTGCCTGGTCCAATCGGTGCCGGTGCTCGGCAGCTCTCCCGCTCAGCTTCTCTGCAAACATTGATGACACCCAATCGGGAACGTCCTCAATCTCCTTGGGAGTCCAAGGCATGACGGGATGGACCTGGACTGTGATTTGGCCTGCTTTGGACTCGTGGATCTCGAATGCCACGTCGAGATACTTGGTGTCTCTTGACTTTGCAGTTCTCGAACTGGGCTCGGATGGACGAAGCTGCCAGAAGTACGGCGGCACAGTCCGCTCTGCAATGTCGTCCGGTATGCGGCTATGCTGCAGATTCTTGTAATCGTCGGGGCCGATACGGAACACATTGCTTCCTTTGCCGTAGCTGTTCTTGCTCACCTTTAAGAGCGACAATGGCGCCCGACTCTCCAAGAATTGACCAAACGCCTCCAGAACCTCCGCCTTGTCTTCGCTCTTCTATTCCAAGGTATCAGTACTTTTCATTTCTAGGGCATGTATGCACTTACCATGCCATACTTCAGCCTGAGCGCTTCGAAGGCCTCGAGTGACTCTGCAATGGCCTCTTTCAGAACCCCCAGCTCCTGTAGCTCCTGTAGCTTCTGGGTCGTGTGACCAAAACGACTGTCACCGGTGTTGGTATAGGTGCCACGCCAGACAATCTGACCATCCTCCTCCTTGTCGGCTGCATCCACGATACCGACTCCAACGAACCAGGCTGAGTTATCATGCCTCGGGTATGTGGCGTCCCCGCGCAGAGGCTTCTCCTCTTCCCCACTGATGAACCGCTTGGACTCGGCGAAGCGCCACTTGCCCCGATCCGCCTTTGGCTACTCCCCCGGGCGCAAAGGTTTAAAGCGGCCGAACAGGTTCTTGAGCGTGAAGATATCATCCTCCGTGATTGGCCTACAGTATGAGCATGTTGACTACCCAAAACTTACAGCGGGGACGCGTTGGTCGTGCTGGATGACATGGTGTGTGTTTGGATAGCCGAGCGCAGTAAGTGATGATAAGAAGGGGATGAGGAAGAGAGGTGAGTGGCAAAAAGAGAGAGGGGATGGAGCCGGCTCTGCTTATACGATCTTGACCCGCCCTTCATGGAGATAAGAGCATTAAGGGATCATCAAGGAGTGATGCACCCCAAAGTGTTTCGACTCAAATGCGGTGCTCCTATCCCTTGTGCCCCGCTATCTCCAGAGCGAGGGGTGCGCATCGCCTTGCTTCCTGCTACTACACGTTCGAGTATTGACGCACCTTTGTCCCTCACCCTGCTCATCACTGCCGAGCCAGCTGTGGCGGGCGATGAGAGCCGGGCAAGGAGCCGGGTGGCAACTGCCACAACTGCAAGTGTGCCACACTCGACCACGTGTCGCTAGGTCGCTTCAGGGTCGTGTTTCATCTTTCCATCTTCAGCTCCTTCAGAATCCTCCCAAGTTGCCATCTCACTCACTCTGTGAGCTATATACCGCATACTTCAGCATGACTACAGCACAAGCTCAGACGCCGCTTCCGGCACTTCCGTCCCTCACCTCGAATCCCACCTTCTTTCCCACCACCCCAGCCGACCAAGACGCGTCCGGCCCTTCAGCTCTTCTGGGCAAAACAACCTCATCAACACCGTACTATCCGCCTCTTCCGACTATTGCGACACATCAGCCTGCACCAGTGACATCTCCAAGACTGCTCTCCATCACTCCGACCCGGACAAATATCTCAGCGGTGCCAAAGTCAACTTCGGGGAATGGGCTATACGGTCTGAGCGTATCCCAAAGCCAGGCGAGCCAGGCTGCTACGGACTGGGAGGTCGCTTTCGAGAGACAGGAGGAGGAGCGTTGGGGAGAGAAGATCAGGAGTGACCTGTCGGGCTGGAGGGGTGGCCATGGGTGAGTGAACATCTCGTTGCTGAAGCTAGGACGATTGGCGGGGTGAAGGGGTTTCAGCCGGACAGGTGTATTTTCGGCAAAGCTCGTCACATACAAGAGTTTACAGCTGACTGTAGTAGAGTGGTTCGATCGACCTACTCGCGCACGGCTGTTCCTGGGCTATCATACTTTGGTCAAGCCAAGACTGGTGTAGTCGGCCTGCATCTGCCAAAGGAGGTCATAAGGGTCGAGCGGGATTGGTCGGATGGAGAGATCTGCCAGTGAGTTCACCTCACACAGCGCAATGATGAGCGTTGTGTACCCAGACAAGCTTGGTTACGATCATGTCGTTAAGAGACAGGTAGGGAGTGGTGCTGACCCCCAGATTCGAAACAAGCTTTCCCATGGAGCTGGACGGAAGAGTGAGCTATCCTCCCTCAGCTATGATGGACACCAATGTGTGATCGCTGCTTCTTGGCTGATCCCCTAGATCACTCCTATGGCCTTCCAATCCCTGATCGAAAGCATCAACACCCGCCTCACCGCCGCCTACTCTATCCGCGGCGCCGCCATTGACAATCTCATCGCTATCGCAAGCTGGTGGACTAGTATCTGGTGGCGTACAAGCTGTTTTGAGCGGAATCTGCAGGCGGCGGAGAAGCAGATCAAGGAGGCGAATGAAGGGGTGTTTAATCCGGCTGGACTGAATGTTCTGAGCCCGCGGGATGTGGCCTTGCAATATGTGAGTAGCGGAGTTCAATTGTTGGGATGAGCTGTGCTGACTGTCCAGCTGGAGATCGAGTAGGTCTTGCACCACTTGGGAATGAGGACGTAGCTGACTGGCAGATACTACTAGATCAGACTTGACGCGCAATCCTGCTGGACCACACCGCCAATACCGACCACCACCTTACGGGGATCTTCAAAGCGCTATGATCGCTTATTAGTCCCTAAGGTCGTCGTATGGCCATCGAGAAGTGGTCATCGCGTCCAAAACGGCGGATCAGCCCATCGGTCCGGCTGGCGATCGACCAAGGCGGAGAGACAGGAGGAGAGAAGGAGCGGATCTGAGTCGGGAATGCGGCGATAGCTGTGGGTAGGATCTGGGCGGATCTGACGTAGGTGTGCTATAGGGAGGATGTCCGGGGCCTATCGGAGGAGCAGAAGACGGCAGGTCGTGCATGCGGTCAGCGCCAGCGTTGGGTCAGATCTGCTGATGCTGCTTCCGACGGAACTTGACTCGGTTGAAATTCCATCGCTTCACCCGCAACATTGCTAAGCTTCCAGTAGACTTTGCTTTCAGCTTGATCAGCATCATATACAGCTAGAGAGACCGCGCCAGCCCAAGCCATATTATACCAGAGCCAGTCAATTCGCTAGCAAAAGAAAGGGGCCCGAAAACCAGGTCGAAATCCCTCAAATTGCACCCAAAAACCATGTCCGCCCCTCGCCAGATATCGCAACCCCCCACAACCCCTCCCTCGCCCTTCACCTTTGACTCTGTCCCGAAGGCTATCGAAGCATACAAGAATGGCGAGTTTGTCGTTGTGATGGATGACGAAGGGAGGGAGAATGAGGGAGACCTAGTCTGCGCAGCTGGAAAGGTGACCACGGAGGGGATGGCATGGATGATCCGATGGACCAGGTTTGTCCTCTCTCATTCTCTACTTGACCTTCGCTGACAAATTAGCGGCTTCATCTGCCTCTCATTACCCGCTCCACGACTCGCCGAGCTCGGCCTCCCCCCTCTCCTCCCCCCAACAGGCATCTCCCAAGATCCCAAAAACACCGCCTACCACCTTACCCTCGACGCCTCCTCCTCGGCCGGACACCCGGTCACGACGGGTATATCCGCACATGACAGAGCGTACGTCTCGAGGCTGATAGCGGATGGAGCGGGGGAGGCGGACTTTACCCGTCCGGGACACTTGGTCACGCTGAGATATACCGAGGGGGGCGTCAGGGAGCGGAGGGGACATACGGAGTGTGCTGTTGGTGAGTACTTCCCTTGTCTCCCCTTCTTACAGCCCAAGGGTGGTCATGCTGATTGCTAGACTTGTGTTATCTCGCCTCGCTGCCCCCGGCTGGTCTGCTGTGCGAGCTGGTCCACCCCTCAGACCCCTCCGGGAGCATGGCACGCCGAGACGATAGCTGGCGGTTTGCAAGGGAGTGGGGATTGAAGATCATCAGTGTGGAAGATTTGGCGGCCTTTGTGCAAGGGGAAGGAGGAGAGCTGGTGCCTAAGCGGACCAAGGCATAGCATGCAGGTGTAGTGTCTGCAGATGGTGGATACAGCTGGGAATCACAAGGTGAGGGTGCTCAGCATACTGACTTTCCGCACGTGAAGACTACACATTTGTCGTATGTCACACTCTCACCTCTGCTACTGATGTACTGAATTCTGATGTTATGTTGCCAAGTCAGACCTGCCTGTACGGATACGTCTCCACTCCCCTACCTGCCATTCCCCTCCTTCACCCTCCGCCTAGCTTAATACTCGATCATCACTCTCCTTTGCCGTGGCTCCGCCCTTCTCCAAGCTCAACCTCAGCTTCTCTCTCTTCTCCGCCCTAACTTTATCTTCTCTCTCGACCCACCTGACGCCCTCGAGCTTGTACTGCCTCGTTGCCTGCACCCAGATAGCCCTTTGCCCCTCGCTCTCCGCCCATTCCTTCTGAAATCTATCCTTCAATTCCGCCACGACCTCCGGATCCTCATCAACCTTGACCACCCATCCTCCAGTCCCCATCTTCCTACTGACCTCTCTCGCCCGAAACTCCGCCCACGCCCGCTCCGGATCCTCCCTACTCGATGTATGCTCGTGGCCGTGATCCGCGAGGTAGGGCTGGACCGATTTGGCTGCAGCGGAGAGGGTGAGGAGGGTCTTTGCAAACTATAATCAGCCCATATCTCACAAATGCGCCGAGAAGGCAGCTCACTTCCTCTATAGCTGACCACTTGTTCACATCGGCATCATGATACGCCTGTTCCGCCATGTTCCGCCGCTCCGCTCGCATTTCTCTCGCTTTGCTCATGAGCGCCGCCTCTTCCCGCTCCCCCTCGCTTCCGGCGGGAGCTTCAAGCTTCTCTCTCGCCTCCAGCTGAGCGAGCACGTCGACCTCGGCCGACAGGTAGTCGCTCAAGGGAAGAAAGCCAGCTGCCGACCCCTCGAACCGCTTGGCGAATTGGGCAAAGGCGTCTGAGAGGGCTCTGGACAGGTCGAGACACGCCTCGTGGTCTGGTCGATCAGCTTGATCCCATATCAAGCCAATTTGGGATAATTCACCTTGTTCCATCGTGTACGCCCTACTGACTGGCTGACTCCTTGTGTTCGGCGACAACTCCGTGACCAAGCGCGCAAGACCATCGTGCTCGGCCATCGATGTACCGGCGAGATCGGTCATACCGGAAGCGACCTGTCTCCTGCCCGAGTCGACACCTCGGCTGAGTATGGCGCCATAAGAAGGCGTGGTACTGAGAGGTAGGTGGACGGCGGTAAGAAGTTTGCGTAGAGGAGAGTACGAGCCCGCATCATCCCTGCGACGTCAGCTCATTCTCATTGGGCCATATTGCGTTGACTCACTTTGATGCTGGCTTCACCGGGAAATCAAACACCCTGTGCCTCCACAGAACGCCCAGAACATCATCCTTGTCATCCTTGTCCCTACTCGACATCGCGGCTAGCGGGCCCGGCCGCCTCCAGTACTCGCTCTCCACCTCCTTGGGGTAGAACCCCGCATACTCCCAATCGACGACGCACTTGATCTCAAACGTCTCGGAATCGAGCAGGAGATTGTGCCACGCCAGGTCGCCATGGCAGAGGACGTATGGGCTGTCGGCGTCGTACCGCCGGTACTTGTAGTCGCTCAAGGGGAGATGAGCGTTCTCGAAGCGCACGGCAAAGAGAGGAGGGCCGGCGAAGCTCCGGCACTCGGGATCCGTGAGTGCCTGGAGCTGACTGATATAGCCCTCGAGCTGATGGACGATACGAGCACGTCCTTCCGGAGTGATCTGAAGCGCTTTGGGCGGTACGCCGTCCTTGACGAATTTGGTGACCAGCTGAACCGGCGCTCCGGGCTGGTCGTTGAACTCGACGATGAACGGAACGGGTATAGTGGTGTGCTTCCGCACGTATTGAATAGCTCGAGCCTCATTGCGAATGGATATCCGAGACTGATCGGGAAAGATTTGAGGGGTCTTGCGCTCAGACAAGGAGACGCTCTCCTTGACGACCTGCCGTCCCTTGCCGCTGGGACTCCGGCGTTCGTAGACCCGTGCATCACCGGTGAAGTGGTCGAGCGGAGGTAGTTGAACTCGCTTTGGATTTGACATTAGGACTGAACTGAAGTATGGTGAATATCAGGCAGCTTGAGTAGGCAACGCAGAATCAAGCTCCTTCCGACCGCCCACACACAGCATCGTCAGGCACGGTTGCCCGACCGCAATTGCCCACTTTGTGCCCCATTTTACATACTCAGCAAAGACTCGGCGGGCATGCTTCGGACCTAAAGCGCATGATTAGTCCTAGGGTATATCGTTAAGGCCACAGGCGGGAGCATGTATGGATAAGGGCAAACAACAACCACAACCGTCTCAACGACCGCAAGCTGGTAGGTGCCTGGTGACGTCATGCCAAGTCAAACCTTCTCGCCACCAAAGACGACTTCCCTTCTATCTCTTACCTCTCCATCTCACCCAACGCCAGCCACATCAAACAGCCTGCTCGTAGCGCACCTATCCATACCAAAAAGCAACTCAGCACTACAATGAGCACCTCCACCGAGCCCACGGCGACCAGCACCGCCCCCATCACCGCCCCGGGCGCAACCACCTCCCCCACCTCTCCCATCTCTCCCTCTACCACCCCCTCCAACCCCATCCCGACTGCCACATCTACCCAATCCGACAAGCTCATCGCTGTCGCATGCTATGCCCTTGATCCCTCCTCCAAATCCTACCGTATCCGACCCGCGGTCGCCTCGTCCCTCTCCCCTCTGGCCATTCTCGTCGCCACGCCATCTACCGCCTCCTCTTCCACCCAGCCCGGCGTAGTCGCCTGCTTCAACGCGGCCACGGACCTCGTACATCATCTGGACGAGCAGCTCGCTCGGCCTCCCAACATGGGCGAGACGCTCTCGGGATTGTTTAGGCCAGCTAGTGCCGAGCTGGGCGGGAGGTTGAAGAAGCTGGGGGAGAAGGTCAAGTCCGGCAAGGAGAAGGTGCCGGTGGGTAAGGGCGGAGAGGAGTGGAGTGGCGACAGAAGGGTGGAGGCGATTGAGTGGAAGGAGTTTGAAAAGATCTTTGGGACAGAGTAGGCGGCGGGCGAAGGGAAATTGGTTGAGGTCAAAAGGAAGAGGCGGGACGTGGTGCAGGTTTAGATGACCGACAGGAAGATGTAGTAGCTATAATAGATGTCCTAGCCAGTAGAAGATACCCAAGAGATACATGTAAACTGTAGATATCGACAAGATGGGCCTACACCGTCTCGACAGATCGTGTTATGGTCATCCTTCAGATTCTCCTTTCCAGATAGCATCACAGCTCAGATTCACCTCTTTCCCACCGATCCGCCGCCTAGAGCAACTTCTCAATCTCCACCTTGAGCTGCTCAGGTGTCGTATTGGGTGAGTACCGCCCGACAACGTGGCCTTCTCGGTTGACAAGGAATTTGGTAAAGTTCCTGTGGGTCAGCTCTGCCTTCAGTCAGCCTTTGACACCCTGACCATAGCTCATGCCAACTGAGCACCCAAACGAGACCACTCCCTCGTGCACCACGAAAGGCAAGCTAGGACACTCACCACTTGATAGAGGTCGTGCCTCCGATCCCACCTGCCCCGTCGACCTCCTTCCCATTCGCCTTGAGCCACGCAAAAACGTCATTCATATGTGCGCCGTTCACCTCAGACTGGTAGATCAGCTTCGACTTCATCTCCAGCCCTGCCCGTCTCCGCAGCCAAAGGAGAAAATGACCTTCTTCATCAAAGGGAAAGTGACACCGTGGTTGACCTGACAGAAGCTCGCAATCTCCTCGTCCGATCCCGGATCTTGTCCACCGAACTCGTTACTCGGGAACCCGAGCACCTCGAGTCCGCGAGCGGCGTAGGTCTTGTGCAGCTCTTCGAGCCCGGTGTATTGAGGGGTGAAGCCACTGTTCAGTCAGCTTTGCGCGCAAGCTGAGATAAGGTTTGAGCCCGGGTCCAGGCCTAGATCAGGAACAGCTTGTTCCTGTTCCTGGATCACACAAACTCTACCGCAAATTTGGATCGGGGCGAAGAAGAAGAAGACATACCACTTGGACGCAGTGTTGACAATCAACACCGCCTTGCCCTTCAAGGTCGCAAAGTCCAGCTCGCCCTTACTTCCCGGAAGCGCCGCCTTCAGGTCGTAGAAAGACCGCTCCTTGACACCCGCGGGAACAGACTCGAAGCCGAGGATATTGAGGTAGTTCATTCTGGTCTGTGTGGAGTAGATGGAGTGGCGAGAGGAAGATGAAAGTGGTCGATGAGAGAAGGGTGGTTGAGGGAGAACAAAGGATATACGACTTGTGCCGAAGCCCGAGCTCGACCTTGAGCGCTTGAGCTTGAGCGGCTGGAATACTCCGCGGATATCGGGGGTGACGTATCGGATTCGGCGTGGGGCCAGAAGCATGCGGGATTATCAGATAGGAAACGTCAGCGATGGTGTGTCGGACGTCGGGAAATAGGCGTTCGGGGGTATTTATGGGTCGAGAGGTTGAGAGGGGAAGGTGGATCGTGGATGATAGGCAATTGAAAGGATGGAGGTAAGCAAGGGGACGCTGTACGCTGGAGGTATATACATCGCCGGCGACGGATATCGATGTCTGAGCCTTATCGCCTCGTCCGCTTCCCCTTCGGCGCCCGCTCCGTGCCTCTCACGGCGACTGCTATCAGATGACCGCTTGGGCCTTGGGAGGCACACTCTCGCGCTGTGTCTGCATGGGACCGTGACCGAGGGGAACGCCGAGACAAAGTACAGTGTGTACTGCGCAGAGTCGCAGCTGCTTGTGCTTTGGCAAGGTCCGGCGTGCCGCTGGCAGGCTGGCAGTCACCGTATGTACCGGTGGTCCGTACGGCCCGTATAGGCCCGTATGGAACCAGAGCCGCAACCCGAAGGACTATCATCAAAGTCCGATCGCCGAGGTCCGAAACACCGCAAGGTCTCGGCGCAAGCGGAGACGAGCCCACTGCCCAAAGTTGGTTCGCGCCAGCAAACTGTATAAGCTCTGGCTTGTATCAGCCTAGAGGAGCAATCGCCGTCCAGACAGACGGTAGTGGCGGGCTGAGCGCTGGGAAGCGAAAATGCTGGAAGGCCGGCGATCGGGAGTATGAGAGTAGGCTGATAAGTGTACTCTATCTGATTGTACCTCACGAGGTGGTGCCTTGTGCCTAGATCGCTCCGCTAGAGATGACCGACGATGCAAGAGCAGTCAACCGATATCTCGCGGTCAAGTCGCTTGAACGGAGGCGCGGGAGTCCACACAGACCTCGATCTCGATCTCGATTCCCACTTGACAAGATAAGAGGTCCATAGCAGATAGCAGATGTAAAGATCTAAGGTCTAGTCAAAGGTAATCTTGGTCGGAGCAGGCGCATCCGACATGTCCTTGTAGAAAGCACCATATGATCCGTGCTCTATCTTTATCAGTATCAATCCTATACACTGCTAATGGAAGAACTAGTACTCACCCTTCTTCTTGATGGTACTAGGGAACCTATCCATCTCTTTTGGAATCTCCGCCCCAACATCCCTTAACACCCGCATAAATTCGCCAGCAAGGGACCGCTCGTGGTTCTCGCCAGTGAAGAACGTGAGTGCCTTGCCGGTCTTGCCCGCTCGGCCTGTCCGACCGCATCGGTGCACAAAGTCCTCTGTCTGATCAGCTCCTCTCCCACAGTCTTCCCTCATGGATGGATTCAGCAGCTGAAGCGACGTACCAGTAGTCAGAGGGAACGTCACATTAATGACCAACCCTACATCCGGGATATCCAACCCCCTAGCCGCCACATCCGTAGCCACCAAGACATTCACATCGCCCCTCTTGAACTGATCCAAAGCCCTGAAACGCGCCTCTTGGCCCATGTCCCCATGCAGCGCGCCGACGCTATACCGGTTCCGCCCGATCGTCTGTTCCAGGCGTTGCGCCTCCTTTTTGTAGAGCGCGAAAACGAGGATACGGGTAGGCGCGGCGGGAGTGGAGGGGTGGGCGGCCATGTGCGCGCGGAGGTGGTGCAGCATTCGGGGACTGATCATTAGCCTCACTCGCACCATAAGCGACACAAGCTCACTCTTTCTCGCGTCCAGAATCAAGGACCTCGACAATCTGCTCGATACGCTTGTTGGCGCTGAGCTCGTCGGAGCCGACGGTGATCCGGACGGGGTTGTTGAGGAAGGTGGAAGCGAGGCGCCGGACGGACTCGGGCCATGTTGCCGAGACTACAGGATCAGCTTTGTGTTTCGCGCTTATGAGCGATCAGCAAAGTTCAGCTTACACATGACGGTCTGCCTGCCCTCAGCTTTGGTGTGGGCGATGATACGGCGGATATCGTTCTCGAATCCTTGGTCCAGCATTCGGTCGGCTTCATCTAGGACCAAGTACTTGACACTACCATGTCAGCTCTGAGTACTCCGCAATGAGGAGATGGAGCTGGAAGCTTACGTTGACAAGTCCATATCTCCCGAATCAGCCAGATCCAACACCCGTCCCGGCGTCCCCACAACCACCCTCGTCTCCTTCTTGGCCAGACTCGCCAGCTGCGCATCCTTCCCTACACCTCCATACAGGCATACCGACTCCACGCCCATCTTCTTCCCCAGATCGCTCAGCGTGTCGTGGCTTTGCAAGGCCAGCTCTCTCGTTGGCGCAAGTACCAACAACTGTATCACGCCCGCTCCTCCGCCAGCACCGCCCTTCTTCTTCTTTCCGCCTCCGCCACCGGTGGTCGAGAGGGTAGAGAGGAACTGTAGACCGGGTACGCCGAACCCGAGGGTTTTACCACTTCCGGTCTCGGCGACACCGACGACGTCTCGGCCAGCGAGGAGAGGGGGCCAAGCGCAAGCCTGGATTGGTGTAGGTTTGGGGAAGCGAGAGAGGAAGGAGAGGATCGAGGGCGAGACGGGGAGACCGGCGATGGAGAGCATGGGCGGGAAGAGGTGAGGGGTAAGGGTGATGCCTTGTTCGGTGAGGTAGGTGGTGTGCTCGGCGGTGAAGTTGGCGGGGACGACCGAGGGCGCAGCGGACGAGGACGAGGTACCGGCGGCAGCAGGAGCCTCGGTGGATGCCCCATTGGCTTTCTTGTCCTTCTTCGACTTCTTCTTGGGCTGATCTGCCGACGCAGCAGAACCCTCCGCTGCAGCTGAGGGAGTAGGCTCAATAGCCACCTCTGCATGCTCCGCAACTCGCTTCCGCTTCCTCTCGTCCTTCCGCTTCTTCTTCTCCTCCTTGCTCAGTCCATCCTCCTTCGACCCGTCTGCAGGTGAGACGAGCGTAACCGGGGTGGTTGACGGACCAGCTTGGGCGGGGGTGGACGAGGAACCGGCGATACCGGCAGCAGCTGCTTTCTTGGCCTTTTTGGCCTCCTTTTTCGCGCGCTTCTCTTCTTTTGAGAGGCCAGCCTCAGCGGCAGGTGCTTGAGCGTCGATAGACATGGCGGGATTATCGATCTTGACAAGCGGATTTGGAACGGAGGACATCGCAGAAGCTCTGGGCATGCACCTTGCACCGATCAATTGATCGCAACTTTTCAGCACGTTACGGCATATGGCGTAAACCTATACTCGATACTGATCCCGGGTGGCAAACTCGGTTTGCTCTAGCTACAGTAGACAGCTCTAGACAAGCTCTAGATCCAGATGTGGTGGAGGACGAGGCGTAGAATGTATGTCAAACGCACAAGCCATATACGACGAGAATATCAAGCGGTGCATGCCGGCCAGACCAAGAATGTGCTGGGTTATCGGACAGGAGAAAGGATGTACGCAAAAAGGGGTGATCATCAAAGGACCTGCCCAGAGTCACCTGTCTCGGGCCGTTTGAACACATTTCTACCCCCATTATAAAAAGGGATCAGCTTTCCCCTCTTCTCTGTCTCTTCACTTTTCATCCCAATCACCACCGCTCACCGCTGAGAAGACTGTCTCTTCACCTCCCCGCTTGTCTCACTTCACAAACCGATCACCTGTACCATGTCGTCTCCATCTTCGTCAGATCTGCTGGATTTTACCGGGGACACTCTGCGTGAGTCCAGCGTGACCACCAAGGACCGCGAAGACTACCTCCAGCAGACCTTCTCTACGACTCCGGACGGTGACGGTCGGTGCCAGAAAGCCTTTCGACTCTTCGAGCTACCCACCCAGCTGAGTCGCATCAAGACCTCTTTTGGCGGATCGACCGGGGTTCATGCCATGACCGAAGACCAGTTTGTGGCCGCTCTCAGCCCCGAGGAGGCTGTCGCAGTCAACAACATGCTCCTGACCTGTAAACCGAACGATTACTCAGCGTACAACATCAAACTCCCGGACCCCAGTCGCCCCGGTCCGACAGACGCAGTTCCTCCTGGTGCGAACGGCGCTTAGGAGGGTCGAGTCCGATCCCGCTCACACTCCGTTGTACATATCCCTCAGTGATCTTGTCCACAGTTCTCATTCCCTACACCTCGTATTGTAAGCATGCATATACCATCTGATCTTTGGATGTTAAAGGGGCAGTCTGCTGCGACAAATTCACCACTGAGCACATGTACAAGGCAAGCATGATCATCTTGGACTCGAGGTCCTTCATACCCCGCTCGAACGTGCCCTTACAGAAGAAGTGGCGGCCAGAATTCACTACGATACCGACGATCCATTGAATTCCATGAGCTGCACGGTATAAAGGACTTGCAAGGGACCACTGCCAGCTTGCGATTGAAGCAGAGAGAAATGGCGCAGCCTCCCGGCGTCCTGCTGAGTGCCAAAACGCAGGAATACCTGACAGGCCTGAGAGATCCCCGGGTTCCCGACCCCACTGATTTTATTGCTACCAGCGGTACCGTTCGAGAACTAGATGCGAGGGAGGAACTGAGGGGAACACGAGAGCCCACTGCCGGCGAAGTCGGTCGGTGCCAGCCTCGGGGGGCGAGACGGACTCGGAGATGAGCTAGACTCATATGCAGGAACATAGCTGCACTGCTGCTGAGGCATACAGGACGTTCATTTGCAGTGCATGAGGTGAAATGAGGTGAAGGTACTCCGCTCTTGCGAGGTCAGTTACCTGGTCCTCACGTGGTTCAACGACAGCGAGTGACCCAGGAGAAGAGGCTCCAGAGGTTCGTCGACTCGGTCGACTTGGAGCCAGCCGCCCCGTCCATGCCGTTCACACTGAGTGTTCCGTCGCTGGACTTTGTCACAGTGTTCTCACCTGGCACAATGGGATACGCTCTCCCACCGATCACGATCTTCTCGTCGAGGATGGAGATTTCCAACCCATTCACCTTGAAGTCGCAGCTGTCCGTAGGCCTGCAGCTCATCGTGGAAGACATGCCTTCAACGCTCACGGTGAACTTCCTGGTCCGGTCTGGGTACGTCAGCCGTGCGAACTCAAGTGCACACTTCGACAGCGGGGCTGTGTGGTGTTCTCCTTGCAGAAAGACTTACTTGTATCCTTTGGTACAGATGTAGGTTGCCCGGTTGTGTATGATGAGGTAGAGTTGAGTCGCGAGTAGCGATAGCGATGTGATATGAGAGATTAAAGACTGGGTTGAACCGGGGCTGTTGGGCCTGGTATAGCACAGGAGACTGGCGTAGAGATCTGCCAGTTCGCCGAGGTACGGAGTGAACATGAAGGGATCATATGTGTGAGACAGCATGTGCACGAAGTAGGCGTAAAAGGATTTGAACCGGGGAACACTCTAAATCGAGGGCTTCAGCAGCTGGCTGGGGTCTTCTTGTATCGTGCTCGGCGAGCGGTGCAGCATTGGTCAGGATACGTCGAGGGAGTGCCACATACAGACTACATCCGATACGCTCTGATCAGGCACTATGCCCAGCTAGGGCGACAGTATCAGTCAGCTAATGCAGTCAAAGTGCTCATATTGACTCACGAGTGTGGCACTTTTTGCCACCCGCTGGATCGTGGGGAGGACCAATAGGCCGTTTCCAACAACCCGTTATTGCTTGAGAGTGCTAGGCTCAGTCCACAGTGCGGGATCAGTAGCGCTATACGCCCCCGTTGTGTGCAAGCACTACACCGTACTTGGGCATGAGCGACGGCCATGCGCCACCCTCACTACGCGGAGAGGCGATGACGGAGACGGGCGAAGAACTCCGTTGCCCCGACCTCGGCCATCGGGCATCTCGGGCACGGCCACGTTTGGCTCACCGATGATGATGATCTTTCTTTGGCGCAGCTATCCCTCTCGCACTCCACTCATACTTATTATTCTACGCCTAACTGTCGTCCTGACCTGCATAGCTATCTTCTCATAAGCTCTCACAGTTTCGAATCCCCCATCGAAGAGACATTTTTAACTACAACCAAAAAAACGAGCTAGACAAAGGTACACAAATCCCGTCTATCGCTCAACCCCTCATCGTCATCATCGCATCCTCGCCCTCCATCCTCGCCGCCCCGCGCAAGCGCCTCATCAACATGGTGACCACAGCCGCCGCTTCTTCTCTCCCTACCACCCGCTCCTCCTCCCCTACTCCACCCACAAACCGCTTTTCCACTCCCCCACCTCCGCCACCCGCCGGCGCCGTCCCGACCGACTTCCGCTCCTCCTTGGCCGCATGGTGGAACAACACCTCATACAAAGAAGCTCGGATCGCCGAGGAACGACTATTGAGGCGGATGGCTCACTTTCAACCTCCTCCGCCTGTCGAAGAGGGGAGAGGATGGTTTGGACGCGCTGCTACGGCGGCGCCTACGCCTCATCCGGAGATGCACCAAGAAGCCCCGGCGTCCGCTGCGGACGTAACGAGCGCGCATCAGCGTCAAGGGGAGGAGGTGTCTCAACCTATTCCGATCGAAGGGACAAAGCTGGTCGCTACCCTCCGGAACGTGTTCATTTCGACGCCAAACCCGCTTGCGGCGCCGCAGCATCCGGCGGATCCGATCATCGTGGAGCACGATTCGCCAGCGGGGTCAGCGTCATCCTCTCAGGCGAGTCTGGACAAGACGTGCAAGGACAAGGTCAAGTCTGCAGGGAGGCGAAAGGCGGGCAAGACGGAGGATTATCTGAATACGCTGGAGATCAGCCGACCGGAAGATCGGGGCGAAAAGGAGGCTGTTGTGGTTCTGCACGGATATGCCGCCGCACTAGGGTGAGCTTTGGCGTTGACAACGCCAATGGTGAGAGCGTGGCTGACGTCGCAGCTTCTTCTTCCGAAACTGGGACGCCATCTCCCAGCACGCAGCCTCTACCTCCCGTCGCACCTTCTTCCTCGACTGGCTCGGAATGGGCCTCTCCTCCCGTCCCGCTCCCGCCCTCCTCTCTTCACCTTCTGGCACACCCATCCCCGCCCGCGTCGCCCGCGCAGAACACTTCTTCCTCTCATCCCTCGAATCATGGCGCGAAGCGGCCGGGATCGAGCGTATGATCCTCGTCGGCCACTCGCTCGGTGGCTATCTCGCCAGCGCGTACGCCGTGCGTTATCCACATCGCGTAAGCGGGTTGATCCTAGTCAGTCCGGCAGGAATACCCCATGGGAAGGAGTATACGCGGTATGAGACGACGGCGGAGGCGGAGCGGCAGCGCGCGCTGGGTGGGGGAGTAGCGGGAGTGGAGAAGGGCACAGGGAAGAAGGTGGATGAGGATACGATACAAGGGGGCAGTCTGGACGAGGCGGCGGCGGCGGCGGATGCGGAGCTGGGGGGCGGGGATGCGGCTGCTGCGGAGGCAAAGGGAGAAGCGAAGGAGTGGAACAAGAATCAGACGCTTCTGAGGAAGAACATGATGAAGTGTAAGTGTACCTCCTTTCTATCATCCTACTTTGCGCTGACTTGCAGTCTTCACTTGGGGCTGGGAAAAAGGAATCTCCCCATTCACCTTCCTCCGCACCATGGGCCCGTTCGGACCCATGTTTGCCGGCCGATACTCTCTCCGCCGGTTCGCCGCCCAATCCGACGAGGACGTGCGCGACCTGCACGGGTACATCTACAATACGTCCGTCCTCAAGGGTAGCGGCGAGTTTTGTATCAGCCATATTTTGGCGCCGGGGGCTTATGCGCGGGTACCGATTGTGGATCGGATAGGGGGGTTGAAGGTGCCTGTGACGTTCTTGTGTGAGTCTAATGTTTACGAGGTAGGGTGATGAGAGGGCTGGGGATTGAGAGAGAGGGGTGTGATCAAGGCTGAGCTGATATTTCAGATGGCGACAATGACTGGATGGACGTCCAAGGCGGACATGATTCCGCTGTCGAGCTCAAGAAGGCCGGGAATGACAATTGCGCAGTGCACGTCGTCAAGGATGCCGGCCACCATGTCTACCTGGACAACCCGGAGGATACGAATCGGATCATCGGCGAGGCGATCCGGGCGATCCCAAAGACGCTTTAGGCACGGGGTCTTACTGAAGGGGATGGCAAGGGGATAGGATGGGTTGTATATAGGATGATCAGGAGGTGGGGATGGGTTGGTCAGGATGTCGATAGAGTATACTATATCATATAGACGAGCTTGTGGATGTATACGATGAGTCTGATTAAATCCATTATGAGCACCGCAGTCGAGTCGGGAGGTACTTCGAAGCGCAAAGAAGCAAGACTGCATGTACAGTATAAGCCAGGACATGACGGATGGGATATGCTAAAGATATAAACATGGGATATCAACAGATGATGAGCCTAGATATGATAGACAGGAGATACCGTATCGGGAATATGCAGACAATGTCCAAGAAAGACAAGACAAGAAGCCACCAAGATCCCCGAGCCCCCTTCCCCTCCAGTCCTCTCCCTTTCCCTCGACTCCTCCCCATCCACGCAGACCCACGCTACGCCCCAGCCTGATACAGACACTGGAACAGCACATCCCCCTTGGTCCCCTCCGCGCCCGTCATCTTGCCCTCAAAACCCTGCATCCCCATCTTCCCCTTACCCTCCCTCTCGACAGGAACACCGCCGACGATGACGCCCTTCATGGGCGTAATCGGTCCCAGTCCCGAGTCGCTCATCCCGGAGCTCGGGCTGGACCCTCCACTAGCGTGGCTCGCCTGACTGTCAACACTCCCCTTCCTCCCCACGTCCACGTCCACCGGTTCCTCGATAGGGTAAAGATCCACCCTCGTCCCCTCGCTGGTCGCCATACTCGCCGGGACAGGCATACCCACCCATCCCCACTCTTCTCCCCTGATCCACCCCTCCGCCTCATCAAAGGCCGGCAGATCCTCCTCATCCGGCCCAGTAGCCAGAGCACGGGCGTACCGCGCCGGCGTAGCTGACGACCTGTATTTCCGGATAAACGCTTCTCGGCGGGTATGGTACCTTTTGGACCGGACGGGGTGGAAGCTGTCAAGCAGCATCTGCGAGAGCTCCTCGGTGCGGTAGTGCACCAACGGCGGGAGGGTGCGGTTGGGATCAGTGTATCTGTCGAGCTTGTAGCTCGAGATGGAGCGGATAGTGGGCTGTGAGGTGGAAGAAGAGGGATGAGCCCATGGGGCCGCTCGAAGCGGAGTGGAGAGTGAGCCGGGAGTAGTGGCTGTAGAAGAACCAAGGAGGGCGCGGACCTGCTCGATCATGGCGAGCTCGACGGAGGCGGGGGAGGAATCGTAAGACCCCACTTCGACGTCGATGAGGCCTTTGGTGCGCGCGTCGGAGGTGGAGATGGGTGTCATGTCATGGAGTAGGTGGGCGGCAACGATGAGTCCGCACCGGTTGGCATAAGAGTACCTGTATGTTAGCTCCGTCAAGGTCAGGTGACGGCCCAGCTTACGAGTGGAACTCGGACCCGTGTAGCCCCATCGCCCTATACGCCGGGTTTAGGACCACTCCTCGCGCACCGACCACCACATCACACGCCGCCGCCAGCGCGACTCCTCCCGCCGCCGCGTTTCCACGAAGACAAGCCATCGTCACAATCTCCCTTTCCACCAATGTCTTCTCCCCGGCGAACTTGGGGGAGCGCTCCGCGACCGTATCGCCCAGGAGGAACTCGACGATATCGTCAATCGCGTTGATATTGGCCCATGTCTCGTGCGAGGGGGATTCGGAGGCTTCGATCGTGTTGAGGGCGATACCGTTGGAAAAGTAGTTGCCGCCCATGAGAGCGAGGAGGCGGATGGGGAGGTGGGAGCGGGATGGGTCGACAGCCCATCGGAGAGCAGAGAGCAGAAGCTGGCAGTTGGCGGTGGTGAAGGCGCCGTTACTGAATGTCAGCCTAGCCCGAGTTTCAAGCTGCAAATGGGGCAGTAACGCACTAGAAGTTCCAGTAGACCATCTGCCCAATCCCACCATCCACCTCCACACTCTTCACATAGACCGCCTGCCATTCCCCCGCCTTGTACTCGAACCCATCCTGCGTCCACTCTTGCACTCCATCGAGAGCCGCCCCGTGCCCCGCCTTCTTGATCGCATCCACCATCGGCACCTTGGGGTCCAGCGGGTCCTTCAGGCTCTTCTTGGGCGGTCGGCCATGCGTGATCCAGACGCCCGCACCGCCCCCGAACCGCTGTTCCGTCTTGACAAACACCGCACCGTCCCTCGTACCCAGGATCGTCCCGTTCGGCACGGAATCGAGGGAGCCGTACCGTCCGTACAGGTGTGCCGGGATGGTGGAGGGGTCGTCGTGCACGCACGCGCCGTAGGCGAAGAGAGCGGTCTTGGAGTCGGTCGTGAAAGGAGGGATCTGTCCGCCTGGCTGAGAGTCCCCGGCGGCGATGATGCGCAAGACATCCCGGGCGGTATGTGTCGCCCAGTCCGGCCGGCGTGATTTAGACTGGAGGAGGTGTCGATCGTGGACGGGACCGCCGAGGAAGGGCTTATCGGCTGTGATGCTGCGCGCACCCCACTCCGCCTTGGGTCGAGCGGAGACGATGGGCTGACCGGCAGCGATGGTCGAAGAGGAGATCTCGTATACCCGGAAAAGAGCGGTGATGAGTGCCAACATGGCCGCTTGAGAATGTAGCCCCTGGTACAGCTGCGCCTTGGTGATGGTGCCGATAGGAGGTAGAGGGTACTGCTCCCATGCCCATACAGCGCCGCCGTCGAGCTCTTCGTTCGCCTGGAAACAGATGGTTCCCCAGTGAGAGCGTTGAGTGGGATTGAGCGAGTAGGCGGAGGAGGAGAGGTGTGCGAGGGTATCGGCGGATGAGGGGGAGAGACCGGTATCGCCCATGAGGACCCAGTCGAGGGATGAGGGTCCGGCATCTCCGGGCGGACCGGGATGGATCACGAGCGTCATCCACTGCTTGTCAGTGCCGCCCAGGTCTGACGCAGAGAAGACATACCCTGGTGAAGACACTATCCGGGATCCTAGCCGTCAAGAACGGACACAGCAACACATCCGGCTCGTAAGCCTCCGCAGCAGCTACCATGCCTTCCGCCGACCCTGCAATCTGCACCGCATAATTGTCGACGCCAAGGTGATCAAAGTACGCGACGACCTTTTGGACAAACGAGTTGACCGACGTGCAGAGGATGAGGATGCGCCAGTCTTTGAGGCCGGCAAGGTGAGGCGGGAGGGAGGGGAAAGGGCCGAGAGGGGCGGTGAGGGCCGACATGGCGCGTGGTCGCGTGTGGGTAGTCGGGGCCGAGATGATGAAGGACGTGCGGCAGATAGTGGCAGATAGATGGTGCTAAGATAAGATAGGGCGGGCGGGGGAGCTTCGAAAGTTGCGAAAGGTAGGTAGATATAGGGCGCAGGGCGATAAATAAGCAGAAGCAAAAGGATAGGAAGGATGAAATCTGATCAACAGAAGGATGTGAGGGATGAGATCTGATCAATCCAATCAATCAATATAATAGCCAGCCCCGTCGCGGACGATCTTGTTTGCTTTGCTTCGCTACTGCTTCTGATCTTATTAGATTTGATTGAGGGGGTGGATGTCAAGGTGATGAGGAGGATGTATAGCATACCGACAGTCTCTCACGTCGGTCTGGACCCTCGAAAAGAAGGGTGTGGAGTCCGTGAGTGGGCTAGTCGTTCCTGGATGACGACCACGCGGGGCGGGGCATACTCGGTGCCTGAGAAGGATGGCTCCGAGCCTCGCAGGAGTGAGGGGACTCCATGACGGTCGTGTAGGCTGGCGCTGACGGCTGACAGCCCAAGAAGCGGTGAGATCTGGCCAAGAAGGCGTCCTCGGTCCAAAGCTACAGCCAAGTGAAAGCAAGGGGCACAGGATCCTACGCTCAGCGCAATTTTGGCTCCGAGCCCAAACACCTCATTCCTCATCAACACGTGGCCTTCCCTGAAAGTGTCCCTTTGGGAGCATATCCGCGCCGCCGGGCCAGCGTGCATCCACCAAAGCCACAGGCCGCATGGAACCTCTCGAGCAACACAGCGGGATATAGGAGCTCCCCCCGCGTCCCACTTATGTATGTATCACGGATTGCTCACCTGAAACCCAAAATAATGGTAAGTTCCTGGTGGAGCGCTCCATTCAGGGGAGGGTCTCGCCATGAAACACGGTAGCTTTTGAGGTTCCTAGTCGTGATCAGGCTCCGGCTTTGGGAGGGTGGGATGGGTGGCTCACACTCGCAAGGACACTCGCAAGGCGCCAATACCGAACACATGTCACAAATGCCCTATCGCGTTTGCAAGTCTAGCTGCCCGCATCCTCTCGGCCTTGGGTCCGCATCATGCCGGCTTGCACCTGACCCATCAATTGACTTGGTACTGACACGGCAAGGAGCACGATACATTGAATGACCTCATCCGCCCAAAACCATACACCCTCCCCTCGGCATCTTGACCGCCTGCTGCCATTTTCACATACTCATGCCCTCCATCGAATCGAACCACTGTTCATTGTCATCACCGTCGGATCCAGACGAAGTCTCCTGTTGATGTTGCCTGGTGCTCTGCTGTTGGGGTGGCGCTGCCGACGCTTCGCTGTAAGGAGGAGGTGGATCATTCGGTGTGTTGGCCGCGGCAAGCACCACACGCTGCACCGGCTCACTCTGCACGGCATCGTATGTTGGCAGCTGACTGTTCTCGACAGCTCGTCGTTCCGCATCACTCACAGATTTGTCGATTGTTTGCAGAATGAGCTGGAAGGTAGGTGGATCTGGTAGAAGACATGAAAGGCTGTCTGAGTTCAGCATACCGGTTCGCCGCAAATCCTGCCGCTGACGCCAGTCCAGTCTTGTCGAGTCGGAGATCTTCGGACGCAGAAGTCCCCTTGGTACCTCACCGTGCATGTCCTGGGTCAGCTTGTTAAAGAGGGTGCCCATTTCTCGATGAAGAGCTGTCTTGATGAAAGCTTGAAGCGCACGCCTTATCCCGAGTGTGTCCGTGCACGGATATGCAGACTTGCTGGACAGGCCTCTGTCGCGCGTTGCTTGATCGGGATCGTGTACAAGGGGATCCTGGCCTGAGCGTAGCCTCTGCAGCCGCGCGCTGTACTCCCAGAAAGCTGCTTTGGCAGATGCGATCGTCTCATTCCAGTGCCTCCGAGGTACTTTTCCCGGACCGCGGGCCCAGTCGTCCGAAAACATCTGAGCGAACAGTTTTGGCGTGACGTCGATCCCTTCTGTGGTGGGTGGCAGGTGGAAAGAGCTCGTGATTGGGTCGTTGCCCGTTGCAATGTCGAAAAGCACAATTGGAGACCAT